AGTAGAGCACACAACATAATGCGGAGTACGTACTTCTTATTGTTCTTATGAAACTGATGTCCACACACACCACAACGGTTCTCCTTAGTGGGTGAAGCAGATGCATAGGCGTACCGCTTCTTCTCCGGACGAGAGATCTTCACCATCGGCTCGAGTATGACATCGAGCGAGATCTTAGTTCCTTCGGCCGCGACATCAGCTGCCGTAGCGCAGCCGGGGTAAAGCAGTCTCGACATAGCTTTCCGTTCAGGCTCAAACTTCAATAGAGCTTGCAGATATCGCGATGGAGTACGCAAAGGCTTTGCTGTGGTTTGTCCAGAAGTCGATGATGTTGTATCACCGGGAGAGCTAGTACTTTCTCCCCCGAAAAAAGCCTCCCGTTGCTTACGGTACGCGACTTTTCGGAATTGCCGTCGTATAGCATACTCTTGGCTTGGAGTTCGTTCCAATAAACTCACTTCCTTAACAGTCTTACTAATCTCCTTGGCTTTTGGTATGACACGGTCGGTGAGTTGAGATCCGGGAGGCATTGGTGCAAGAAGATTCCTTTTCGACATCATAGAAGTGTTTTCGTCAATGAGTTTGGTCTTTTGCTCTCGCCCGTGGATCATGGACTGGCTGTCAACTCCAACGATGCCGGAAATGTAATACAAGACCGTATCATCGTTGGAATGACCCATAAGTAACCTCCTCTGAGCTGGAGTTGCCGTCTCTTTTAGATGGTCAGTTGAAAGCAAGCATCATATCATCGTGTGATACATACTCTCTACTGCTACAGCATAAGCCCTGCGGAAGCAATATGCACTCAGCCTGTCTTCGTATCCAGCTCGTTGTCCAAGACCCTTGATCATGTTGTTGAAGCAATTGTATGTGAGGATATCGTTTTCGGAGACTACGCCGTTGTTGCAGATACTTCGAAGGATGGGTCTTTTCGTCGCCTCCGGCTTGTAGCGATATTTGTACAGCTTACTACCAGGTGGCAGTTCCTGTGCTGCAACGTCTTGGAAAGACTGACGGTCCGCGAACACTCCGTCTGCTAGTGCTAACGCCAAAAAATGTGTGACTGGACATAGAGCTCGCGTAGGTTCTTCGTAGAGAAGCATCACAGGTCTATTTTTTCTTAGAGTTGAGATTTTTGCGCTTAGGGGATCCTCGCTTACGAGTGCTTTTTGTTGTTGCGGTGTCCTTTTCGGTTGCGCAACTTGACATGAAGAAGAAATCCTACGTATTCTTCATTTTGGAAACGTACGAGAGTGATGTCACCATACAGAAGCCCCTCATTACTGTGTTTCCAGGCCGCTGATTCGATGATTTCTCCTGGGCGACTGCCCAAATATGTCATGAGGACGATGGAGAAAGCCAACTGCAGACGTGCACGTGGATGCGCAAATTGATATTCGTCGCACACCCACATAAATTGGATCAAATCCTCAGCAACAAGCAAAGGAGCTACTGGCTTGATATAAGCCCCAGTTCCAATCTTCTCTTTATGTACGAGCTCTTTCGTGATGTAGTTCTCTAGCTCCTTGTTCTGCGCGGAGTTATATTGGTAACCAGTGTATAACTTGATGGCTCGTTTGAGTGAAGACAGGCGGTTTCGAAGAGTAGTGTCTGTGATGTTCTCGTCCAGCTGGCCAGTTCTTGTTGCAGCAAGCCAGAACAGGTGCATCTTAATACGGTACACAGCGGGTGCTTCTCCAAACTTAGGGTTTACGGGTTCGTTAGGATAGAAGCGTTCGAAGAATCTAGCTTGTTAGCAAAAGATTTGCACCTAATGCCAGCCCTTGACTTACTCTATCCAGAGATCCATAGTGTACTTGTGTGACTTGTAGCTTGAAGGAATCAACATAGCTTTCACGTCTTCCTGCGTGAGCGGAGTCGGCTCTTCCTCGAGCTGAACAAGAGAGTGCAAGTGCGCAAGATCTTCACTCTTTTTCTTAGGCGCCATAGTAAGCACACGGAGAAGTTAGGACCGTAGAGGGGAGTAGCACTGCAGCGGAGACAATGTGAGGACAGGAAGATTGTGAGCCCGATCCTGGCGGCAACTCATCCTTAAACCAGTGCGCTGCTATTGCAGCGAGTACTGTTAGACGCATACAGGAATGGTGAATGACTGTTAATGGTCATTCGGGGCTATGGTGGTGGGGGCTGCGGACGGAGTCGCGATTCCTGAAACGGGTAACCGAAGACGAACCTCAGTTAATTGACCTCAACACGGCACCGTGAGTTTTGACGGATGGCGAGGGTGAACTAATTTTCAGTGTCCTATGGTCGTATGTGGGAGAAACGGTTGGTGGTAAAGTATATATTCCTCTGTGACTTTTCACCCCATCTTCGTGGATTGGCATTTTCCCTCTGGAGATCCACGAATTTGATGGTCGTATACCCAAACCCACTCCCATTATCATTGTCCTAATAATGAAGATGGTCGAGTGGGATGATTTGGTACGATAACTCTGCGCCCTGCAGTGTAACTTTCTTCGTAGTTCAATGCTGTGATAGGTTCATCTACTAGGCGAACGTCACAGGTTGAGTATCCCTACGAGTAGTTAGAGTTATGCGCATCTCTATCTAGTTGGTACGCGTATCTGCTGCGCAACTTCCCACCGATCGTTTCTGAAAGCCTGGTCGAGCACGATCTGGTGTATCATCTGTGCCTGATGCTTTTCGACATCTGCCTGCTGTAAAGCCTGATACAAAGCCATCTGATACAAAGCTTTGTTTTGACGTCGCACGCTTCATGGATACCTGATTGCAGGGCATGTGTACGACTAACTCGACGATCATATCCGTTCTCAAATGACACACGTATAAAGCCTCCTCGCCACCTCAGCTATCCGTCAAACAGCCTCCTGCCACCACGGATGCGTCATAACCTGGTTTATCGTTGACCTAGCCGTCGGGTCAGGTGTCGTCATTCCAGATATCATCTTCTGTGCCTCAGAACCCAGTTCTTGTCCTCACACCTCGAAGCTCATTTCTGGTTGGTCTTGCACCGCCAACTCAGCCATTTGAGATGCTAACCTGAGAGCTTTTTTCCATTTTTCGCTAGCGATCTGGCTGAGAAGGCCCTCGGTCGCTGACCCAAGATAAGAGAAGTGTCGCGTTAATATTTCTTGCTCCGGGCTTATGCCAAGCTTGACGAGGTCCTGGTAATCTTTGATGAGTAGCACTTCCCCAGCCCCGAGGGTATATATGCACTGCGCGAACGCTTAGCGTGGATTTCTTCGATGATTCCCATGAAATGGCATGGAATATCTTACAACCAGTCCGAATGAGTAAACATCCGATGCCTTAGACAAGTCTCTCCCGGTCTGTCCTTCTGGACTGCGCCACATGGCGTTCCCTACTGCATCAGTAGTCTGATGCAGCGCTCCGTTTCAAACTTAAAAGCGATATCGAAGTCACCTAAAGCGACGTTAGTGATTGTTTTTAGCACCCTGTTCGTCGCAAGTCCAGTTGACCAGTATATTATCAGGCTTGATATCTACCAAGATCGATTGTGAGTTAGAATTTCGTGATGGAAGATCAAACTTGGACTGGTGGTCGTACCTATATGGATCCAGTCCTTGCTATGTAGTTCTCGTATGGCTTCTCCTGTCTGCCGCAAGATCTTCTTTCGTGCTGCATCAGAGATTTTTGAATCCTCCTGAAGTAGCCCAAGCAGGGTATGTTGGTAGTACAGATAGATTAAGACGTTTTCGTCCTCTTCGGAATCAACATGCATGCGAAGCCGACAAGACTCGGGAAAATCGGCTGCAAGGCGTAAGGACAGGTCATAGAATGGTTTGGACACACGCTTGAAGACGAAAGACTGGTCATGAGATCTAAAACGACTTTTGTTGAGCGGAACTCCAAGTGTGAGATTTGTATAACGTACTCGGCTTTAAAGATGTTCAATCTAGGATCTTTGCGCTCCTGGAGCACCTCAAGCTGAATGTATACACGACCAGATTTGCCTACGATGGTGGATGCCATTCTGATGCCTATACGTGACATTGGGGATATGTAATAAGCAAGACGATTGAAAAGCATGAGTGGAGAGTTGGGAAACAGGAATCTATAGGAAAGAAGTTGTCTCAGTAGTTAGAGGTTGTTCGTAGTAACTAAAGAATGGTGTCCCTTAGTGCTGTGCGACCCACTTTTGTCGGCCTAAGCGCCCACCTAGTTTTCTAGCTAACCCGCGATCGCTGGTTTCAGTACGCGGCATCTCAATCACCAAGGACTTGATGTAAACCTCTCCCAGTATGCTATCCAACCCACTGTCAGCGATACTAAACCTGCCATATTTACAAGCTAGCGGTATGCTGGGGTGCTCGGTTTCACTGTTCATGAGTAAATACTCATAACGATCATAGGCATGCTCTGAGAATTTCGCCTCAAACCAGTGGGCACATCGGCCTTCTGTACGGCATCCGCGAATGCGTCTTTGACTTCCTGTGAAAGCTGTGTTCGCTTGATTTGCACTAAATGCTAGCCCTTAACATACTCTATCTAGAGATCTATAGTGTACCTGTGTGACTTGTAAACTAAAGAAATCAACGTAGCTTTCCCGTCTTCCTCCGTGAGCGGAGTTGGTTCTTTCCCAAGCTAAACGAGAGGGTGCAAGGGCACAAGACCTTTACTCTTTTTCTTAGGCGCCATAGTAAGTACGCAGAGAAGTTAGGACCGTAGAGGGAGCAGGACTGCAGCGGAAACAATCTGAAGAGGACAGGAAGGTTGTAAGCCCCATCCTGCCGGCAACCCATCCTTAATTGAGTGCGCTGCTATTGTAGCGAGCACTATTAGACGAATACAGGATGCTGAATGACCGTTAATAGTCCCTTGTGGCTTTAGTGGTAGGGGCTGCGGCGACAGAGTCGCGATTCCTGAAACGGGTAACCGAGGACCGCGAGTTTTGACGGATGGCGAGGGAGAACTAATTTTCATTGTCCTATGGTCGTATGTGGAAGAAATGGTGGGTGGTAGAGCTTATATTAGCGGAGGCCCAACACCCATCCTCACTGCATCCGATCCTGCGCCGGCCACTGCAGATCCGAAGCAGTGAGCGACGGGAACGCAAAAGGCGGAATGAGCATATTTCCCGCCCCCATCTCAGCACTACCAAACATCTTCTCGACATCGTTCTGTTCCATTATCAGCATTGGTAGAACCAGAGGAGAATATGTCACTTACCCAGTCAATATCATTAACGGCATCCATGATGTTACCATTTGTTGATCCCGCCATCATCCCACTTCCTCCGTACATGACTGACTGGGGGCTGTCGGTGTCGTCTCCAACTTGCTGTGCGGCGTCCGGCAGCAAAGTGCTTGTGTAATTTGTGGGTGAAATACCACTGTAAGACGACACTGGCATGGGCGATGGCATATCGAAAGTACCCCAGTCTACAGTCGGTATGGCACCAGGGAAAGTATTGATCCCGGTTGCTACTGGGTTTCCAGCCTGTGGGCTTTGCGATTGCGATTGCGATAGTGGCGGCGGCGGCGTGAGGTTTTGCATATCTGCATTACCGCTCAGTAGATGCGAAAGGGGACCAGAAGTACTCATGTTCGATTGCGTGCTTCCACTGCGCTCTCTTTCCTCTCTCTGTACTCGTTGTCTTGGCGCTACACATGCTCGCGGCATGTTGGCAGGAACTCGTACTCGTTTCACGTCTGAGTACTTCTTCGTTTTGCCAATAAGTTCTTCTAGAACCATCCTTATTTTCTCGACGTTGGAAAGTCCAGCGGGCAGGTTGAATGAGTAGTCCAGGCATCTCCACATACGCTGTTCCATGGCTGGCTCTGGGTTTGCTATGTAAATCTCATTCACGAGGAGGAGCGCGCAGTGATGTTGGTGGAGAGCTCCGACAATCCATGACCAAGAGGATAGGATTGGATGCTGCTCAATTGTCATACCGTGCTCCAGAATCATGGTTGCCGCGCTCATTGCCAATAGTCGTAAGCGCTCCGGCATGCGACTACGGGCTGAGGTGATGTACTTCTGTAGTATGGAAACGTAAAGGCGATTCGAAACGATGCCATACAGTTCAGACGCCAAAACATGTATTGGTTCCGACTTGTTGAGCATGGGAAGGTACTTCTTTTCCATAGCGGCCTGGAACGACTGGACACGCGACAGCAAAGAGGTAATTGTGACTTTGCTTTTTCCGTTACCGAGTTTGCGATCCAGTTTTGGGCGCTCACTCCAAAGCAAACGATGCATTTCATAAGCTTCGAATCGCATGCGGCTGATAGTCATGTCGGTAAAGTGATTGCGGTCTTTACTAACATCTACCTCGGTGTCGCCACGCTCAGCGCGATCGAGATCGACGTCGTCGATATTCCGTGGGAAGCGAGTGTCATAATCGTCGAGCCGGATTTGTGGACGAGGACCAACAGCTTCGCAAGTGCGCATATCCAAGAAACATATTTGGTACCATATGAGGCGCCGTACTTGGATCTCAACTGGTGAGGAACTGTAGGCTGTTGGGTCCCGGTGCAAACCCATACACTCGGCTAAGCGAATAAGGGATCCAGTGAGTGCGGAGTGTGCGCGAGACACTTCATTGCGACATATAGGGATCTACAAAAAAGTGTAAGCATCATTCTGATAGGATTCAGTGGCAAAGACGAGGGTACAATGCTGTGTACTCTCCATCAGACGGCAGACTCACAAGGTACATCACGAAAGCTTGGAGCGTCTCCAGTTTCGTAGTGCGAAGGAAGTTGGCTCGCGCCAATGCTGTTTCGGCCCCTTCACGGAAGCTGTTTACCATCGTTTGCCTTTCGACTCCAAACTCAGCGCGCACCATATCGTCGTTCATGGAGACAACTGAACCCAACAAGGCCGCGAAGAGCACCGCTTGGAAAGATGCACGAGGCTCCATGCCCATGTTGACTCTGATCCAGAAGTTCTGATATTGTCTTTCGAATGAAGGGCGATGTACAGTCCGAGCTATGATATGAACAGTGACCCAGTAGTGAGCGAGCAGTTTATCAGCAACAGCACGTGCAGGAAGATAAGCCTCAAGTGATGCTTGGTTGATCCCTGATGCCAACATGAAATTCGAAGAGGGCGCAACATAGTCTTGCGTAGGTGCTAACCAACTAGCAGAATCCTCTTCGATGGTAGACTGATGGAGAATATCGCGGTCTGGCAGCTCACTGAGTGATTGCGTAAGCTACAGGGAGATGTGTCAGTGTAGGTCTTCATGCCAACAAGCGCAGACTCACTTCTTCCGAGAATCTTGGGCGCACGAGTCCTCCGATACGTTCTGTGATGCGAATTCGGCCCATGCGGAAGCCCAGATCGATTATGTCGTCGTTGAAATCGTCGTTGAAATCGTCGTTGACAACGTCGTCAGGCTCATAGTAAGCGGCATCTTCGGTAACGAGATACGTTGGTCGCAGCTCTTTAATTTCCTCGTCGTCTTCTTGGTCACTCGATTGTTCCTGGCCAGGCAGTTCGCCGAGTCTAGAAAAGCTAGGAGTATCTGTTTCATTTGCTTCCGTTTTTCGCGCAACATCATCTTCGAGGCTTCTCTCCAAACGGCCCATCTGCTCTTTTACTTCAGCAAGCTTTGCCTGAGCGTTCGCATCAAGCCCGGAGGCGATGAAGACGCATTGGCGCGTGTTCTTGGTGCAATGTGCACACGGATGACCTTTGTCACATTTTAGCTTCCGCCGCCTACACTCAAGACAAGAAGTAATAAGTCGGTTTCGGCGGCGAACGCGCGGTGGCGGCTGGTGCGTCTTCTTGTCGGCTGCAACTGATGGGGAAGGTTGAGACCCATTCTGGCTCGACAACGATGAGCTGGACATGATTGAGATGATGTTGCAACGTATTAGTGGAAGGATCGGTTCTTTACGGACGTAAGACCCCAGGTTCGTGTTTCTGTGCAGCGGTTAGCGATGCGCGACCCTAGAAGGGATCAAGCTGGGCATGTCATACGTTAGTTGCTTGCCCGTCCTCCACCTTTTTGACAACTAGATGACAGTGGAACTCAGTACGGTACACATCGGGACTGCCGGATGATGCAGGTGTGTACGACCCTAACTACCCAGTGGTGGATGATGTCAGATCTCTAGAAGCACGTGCGCCCTAAACCCCTCTTCTTCTCCAAAGCTGAGATGCTTGCAACGAGTACTGAATGGTGAGTGTGTTGGCTGCTTTCTTGCGACTTAGTAGGATCGCCAGCCCCACCCTAGCTCTTTCGCGATGCATCGACTATGGCTGATTAGGCATTGTCGGCGTCATTGGCTCAGGTCTCACCGAATTCAATGTACGTTCAATACAAAGAAGAAGCTGCACGCAAGAAAGTATAAGCTGTTGAGCGACTCGCCGGGTTTCAAAGTCTGTCGAGTACTTTATAAAAACCATAGGATGGATAGCTCTAGTCTAATACCCGCAACGCGAGAGGTTGCCATTATAATATCTGGCTCAACGATGGCCCTTCGGACTCGACAGAAAGCTGTGCACTAAAAAGAAAAGAAAATAAAAGGGGAAGAGGTTGTCCCATTACTACCATGTAAAGACTACGCGAATCCTTGACCGTAGTTGCGATGTTCCTGGATCCAGTGAGGCTAATGCAGTTGACTGATCTAAGTCTCGCTACTATGTACCCATTAAGGCCATTCAGGGGCGAGATTTGTCGCAGCATCAAAAACCGATAGGCCTGGAACCCAGTAAGGAGCGATGCTGCGCTTGACCAGCTCGTTCCATTTGCTTCCAGGCGCGGTGGGCAAAGAGAACACGGCCTCGACGCGAACGCGTAACGCCTGATCACGTTTCGATTGAACGCGACCCGCAACAGGCTTTAGAACAATGATCCACTGATCGTTGCCGCCGCGATCTATCTAACGCACGTCCTCACCGCTTCCATAACAAACACCTTTTCCTGCCGCCTTTTGCAGAATCCCCACCACGCACGCCTCTCGACTCCCAAATCTATCACATCACCCAGATCAAATCCTCTCACCTGTCTTTGCTCTCAATCACTTACTTCCAGCTTCAAAATGTCTGTCGTTTCGCTTCTCGGTGTCGAGGTCAAGAACAACCCCGCGCGCTTCGACGAGCCATATGAGTTCGAGATCACTTTCGAGTGTCTTGAGCAACTACAGAAGGGCAAGTGCGCTGGATGTGCATATCCGTTGCAGTCACTAACAGCAAGTCAGACCTCGAGTGGAAGTTGACCTACGTTGGCTCTGCGACCTCGTAAGTCCACTCGTGCTTTTGGTTGTGAACACGTCTGATCACTACACCGCAGCAATGAGTATGATCAAGAACTCGACTCTGTCCTCGTCGGTCCCCTCCCGGTTGGCGTCAACAAGTTCCAATTCAAGGCCGACCCTCCCAACCTATCACGCATTCCCAACAGCGAGATCATCGGTGTCACAGTCATTCTGCTCAGTTGCAGCTACGATGAGCGCGAGTTTGTGCGTGTTGGATACTACGTGAACAACGAGTACACAGACGAGGCGCTGGCACTAGACCCGCCCACCAAGCCAGTCATTGAGAAGGTGCAGAGGCAGATTCTTGCAGAGAAGCCACGAGTCACGCGCTTCGCCATCAAGTGGTATGTTCAACTACAGACACCTACGCCCTCTCGGCAGTACTAACCCTTATAGGGACTCGGACGAGTCCGCACCCCCTGAGTTCCCGCCTGAGCAGCCAGAGGCCGACCTCACCGCGGACGGAGACCAGTACGGTATCGAGGAAGAGGAAGACGACGACGACGAGGTCGAGGGTGAAGGCGTTGCCGCCGAGGGCGAGGATGCTGCTATGGCGGGCGCCGAAGATACTGCAGGCCCCGCCAACGACGAGGATGCCGAGTCTGAGGCCGGTAGCGAAGAGATTGACATTGAAGACTCAGAAGACGACGAGGAGGAAGAAGGCGAGGAGGGAGGAGACGATGACATGGAGATGGACGAGGGTGAGGCAGGCGCCGCCAGTGGTGACAAGCCAGCCCAACAACAGCCCGGAGGTGCCCCGCAGCAGCAACAGGCTGGTGCGGATGTGATGGTCCACTAGATGTACCGCCATCTTTCCTGCTTGCATACTTCATCACCGCGGATGCTTCCCGCAGTAAGCCACGTCCGCCGCCTTGTGGTTTTCTTCTAGATATGTAGACAGTAGCTGCATTGTCGCTCTGTCAGCACGATTTAGTCTTCATCGTATCATGAAGAAGTTGAATTACGAATACCCTAGCAGAATCGCCGCACATTATAAGTGACGAACTGTGTGCTGTGACAGAAACTTCGACGGTGAGGCTCAGATGGCAAGAACGTATGCAGCCGCGCAAGCCATTGCTGAGCCTTTACGTGGGTCATTCTACATCTTGTTTCTGCATACAGTTTTCTCGGATCTGCCGTCAGATCCGAAATTTGTTAGTACAGGCCTGCGCGGACCCGTTTGTACAGACCAAAAGTGATGGTTCGGAGCAACGTCAACGTCACTGCACAGCCTCGAGGTGAAGGGCGCAGTAACGTGAACTCGGCGGCTGATTTCCGAGACGTATCGAAACGTTTATAATAGCTGGGAGCGACAGGTGGGCAAGGGGCGAAATTATCAACAGCTGCTGGTCACTACCTTCAGGGACCCTCCACTCCTTGTTCCTGTGACCTTAGAAGCGCACATGTGTGCAAGCCTGAGGAGCTCACTCGGGCCTCTACGTCAAACGACGCACCTTTCACACCCCCAGAATCCTAAGACTGCCGCGATTACTCCAGCGTCTGTTTCAGTAGTAAACAACCTGCTCCGTCGTTTCGAATCTCTCCCTGAAGCTCTTCTTTTCCCACCTGCGCCGCTCCTTAACCGTTCACTACCGCAGCCTCCGCTACTTATACCTCTGCGCTCGGCGATATAGTTACACCATACACGACTACGAGGATCGCCCGCTTTCTCGTATACGATACCCGACAGATCGCAAGGGTTGCCGGCGAGTTGGCATTTAGCGACAGCGATTCAGGGACATACCCCACCAAGTTAAGGTACGCTCATTTCCTGCTCCACGCGTCACTCGGCATGCATGGCGCCCTCGATGACTGCTTCGCGGAACGGTCCTTGGAACCAGGCGGCAACTTGCATAGAACGCTGTTTCTCTTGGACAACGGCTGACGCTTACATCTCAAGCACCACAGCGTGTAGCAGTTGATACCCTATCGCAACATACATCATAATGAGCTACCACCAGGGCCAACCCCAGCTTGGGGCTACTTTTGTGCCAGGAGGCTTCGATGACTATTATATGCCGGCTCCTTCGCCTGAAGTCATCTCGCCTGCGCCTCAGCGGTTCGTTCTAGCCCATCACCACATGCATGCCCTGAAATTGCGGCTGACGTAGGTTTGGCGGTAGGATAATGCCCGAAGTGCCCGAGAACATGCAAGAAAACATCGCGCATCTGGAGTTGGAAGCCAACGGCCCTCGTGGTACCAACGGCGCAATGTCACCCATGCAGGGCTACAATCAGTCACAGCAGAACTTCCCGCCGCGACAGGCAAGCTACCAGAACGAGTTGCCTGTCCACAACGATCAATGGCCGGCGCGGCAAGCAAGCATCTCCTCTGCCTTCCGACAACCACCAAACGTGCAGCCTCAGTCGGTACAGCAGCAGCAGCAGCCGTCGCACGACTACAACCAGTTCGCCCAGAGCCACGACTCGCCCAACTTCTCGCCCTTCCCTAAGCTTCCCAACAAGCCCCCGAACGTGCCACCGTCCGACGATGAGAAGGAGGCCGTATTGGAGAACGCCCGCCTGCCGGTGCTCAACTCGAATGACCCCGAGATGCAGCTGGCATGGGCACAAGACGCGCTGCAGTACGTAGACGCCGCGCAATTGCACGAGCAGCGCATTTCAGAGATACAGGGGGCGAGACCAGCCACACCACAAGTCGAGCACCAGCTGCGCCTGGATGCCATGAACGTAGTCACCTTCTTGGCGGACCAAGGTCATCCGAAAGCGACCTTCATGCGGGGTATGTGGCTGGAGTTTGGCAAGTTCGGCATGCGCGCAGACAAGAAAGAGGCCTTTAGGTGCTACTCTCGCGCAGCTGCAAAGGGATATGCGAGGGCAGAATACCGCATGGGCATGCAGTTTGAGCAGTCGAACGATCCCATCAAAGCCCTGCAGAACTACAAAGCTGGCGCGGAACAGGGCGACTCGGCCTCCAACTACCGCCTTGGTATGATGACGCTACTCGGACAGCATGGACAACCGCAGGACTTTGCGAGGGGCGTACATTTGATCAAGCAGGCTGCGGCTACTGCCGATGAGAACGCTCCCCAGGGTGCCTACGTACTGGGCATGCTACAGGCGCGAGAGCTACCTCAGATCAACGTGCCGGAAATGTTTTTGCCCTATGATGAGAAGGGCGCAAGACAGAACATTGAGAAAGCTGCCTACCTTGGATTCGCAAAGGCTCAACTGAAGTTGGGCTCCGCATACGAGCTTTGCAGCTTGGGCTGCGAGTTCAACCCTACGCTGTCGCTGCACTACAACGCGCTCGCATCCAGACAGGGTGAGCCCGAGGCAGACATGGCCATCAGCAAATGGTTTCTCTGTGGACACGAAGGAGAGTTCAACAAGAACGAAGAATTGGCATACCAGTACGCGCAACGTGCCGCAGCAGCCGGCCTCGCAACAGCAGAGTTCGCCATGGGCTACTTCAACGAGATCGGCATGAACACTCCAGTCAATCTCGACAAAGCGCTGGAGTGGTACGAGAAGGCCGAGCAGAACGGAAACAAAGATGCAACTGCACGTATAGAGAGCATCTCCAAGTTGTCGCGGACACTATCAAAGAAGGACCACGAAAATGTCGCTATCAACATGATCAAATCAAAGCACGGTTCCATGCGAGGCCAGCGGCCGGCGAGATTGCAGAAGTCACATGCTCCTATGCCGTCTATCACTGACACTAGCCCTTCTGATTACGGCGACACCTCCCCAGCTACTACAGCTGGTGGTCGACTACCACCTAGGGGTGATAGTACAACGCCATATCCTATGTCCGACCAGCCCCCAATGATCTCAAATTCGCCTATGTCAGCACCCTACGATCGTCCTTCGACAGCAGCGCCCTACCCCATGGACAACGGCCCTCCTCGACTAAGCCCGCAACGGCCCGGCATTGCCGGCGGGTTTGCGCCAGAAGTGAGAGCTTCGAGTGCTCGACCTGCATCCTCGGCGTTCAACATCAACCCCAACGTGTATCCTCCAAACGACCCCTACGGACGCAGCAGTCCTCGACCAAATCCCGGTCCTGGTTACGATATGGGACCGATGCCAATGCGTCCTCACACGAGCGTGGACAACATGGGCCCAGGACGCGGTGGGCGTCCTTCCAGCGGTGGTCGTGGTGCGCCGCTACCACCAGGAGGACCGGCGAGTTACAGACAGCCTGGAGGACCGAGTGCTCAACGTCCAGAGCCGCAGAACCGCCCGTCGACAACGCAGCCTCCAGACATTGGATACAGTGCGCCAGATGGACGTAACAAGTTGCAGAAGCCGACAGGAGCGCCACTTAAGAAAGCACCTACACTGCCCGACATCGGCTACGTCGCGCCTCTCGAGCCCCGCCAGCACACCCGTCCGTCTACTGTTCAACCAGGTCAGGAGAGTAGGACTTCTTCACGGATGGACAGACCCTCAACCACTACACCCGGTCAAGGCTCTCGACCATCTTCACGACCGGGCTCCTCTGGTCGTCCCAGCGGATATGACAACATGCCCAAGCCTAACAGAGTGCAAACATTGCAGCAGCAGCAACCACCTCCCAAACCTACGCCAGTACAAGCAAGTAAGCCGGTGACGCCTGCGCCACCTAAGCCAGCATCATCAGCTGCCTCGACGCCAGGCAAGGGGCCAAAGACGTTTGATGAGATGGGCATAGGGCAAGCACCAAAGGACAGCGATTGTGTAAGTTACATCACCTCCATCGCCTACCACAAAACGCTCGTTAACATATCCCAGGTTGTCATGTAGATTGAGCAGTGCTGGTATGGCGCGATATTAATTGACTTTTGCATAGCGGAACATTTTGATCTTGCATAGTAGTGAACGGTCGCAGTACTGACACTTGATATACCCATTTTTGAAACACCTGAGGCGGCGTTGGTGATTATTCATTATAGACAAATTGCAATGCACAAGACAGCAATAAGTTCAAGGCCATGTCTGAATGTTGAAGTGTGATGTGGAGATGTGGGCTGAGTGCATGGTCGTAGTGGGTGGCGTCCTATTCAACGATAGGCACTTTGAATACACCCAGATAACTTGTGGTCTAGAGTATATGCAGCTTCCTATGTGTATAATACAAGTCACTGTAGCACCATGATGTCACACTACGTTCTGAAGTTAGCTGGAATGAGATTGCACCGAGGTAATCACGCGTTGACGCGGTATCACGTGTCAGCATCAAATGTCGTAGAGTTGAATCGTGTTGAATTGTGCCCAATCGCTAACCCAAAACTGTTCTACGGTTTTCCCCTATGTGATTTTCCTTCCGACTCCACTTGTTCCCGACTTTAAGTTGTTTCTGAGAACTCATAGTACCGTGGGGGTGTGGAATTGGCAGGCACTGCGCTGATACTAGCGCGGTTCCTGAACGGTTCAGCGGGGAAGGAGCGCGTTCCGAATTACCTCACTCGCAAACACTCAGCAAACCCCCCTCCAGCCCGATCGCGTTCCTCAACCCTCTCGCTCGCCTCTATAGCGACCGCAGTCATGTTTGCGAAGCGGCCCCGCGCTTTCACAGATGGGCTTGATCCTAGCGGCATAGGCAGCAATAGTCGCGTACGTCGATTGTCTAGAGCCAGCACGAACACATATGCTAACATCGCCTAGAACAAGCGACTCCGACAATCTGAATCCGAAGACAGCGACCAGTCCTCAGACGACGAACGATCCAACGCGGCAAGCGGCAGCGAATCTCCCGATGACGAAGGCGAACAAACCCGCGAACATGAGATATGGGCAACACAGCAGGTGCAGAAAGAACGTCAGGCGACTGCAAACCGGCAAAATGAGGCAACCGACTCTGGAATCATTGAAGAAGTTCAGTGCATCAACTTCATGTGCCACGAACATCTGACCGTAACCTTGGGACCTCTGATCAACTTCATCATCGGACACAACGGCAGTGGCAAGAGCGCAGTGCTCACAGCTCTCCAAATTTGCCTGGGTGGAAAAGCTACGGCCACGAATCGCGCTCAGAACCTCAAGAGCCTCATCAAGGAGGGCAAGGATCACGCTTCTGTGACTGTTAAGATCAAGAACCAAGGGCCACTCGCTTACAAACCTGCGCAGTACGGCGACTCGATCATCGTCGAACGGCACTTCAGTAGATCTGGCACCTCGGGGTTCAAGCTCAAGAATGTAAACAACAAACTTGTCACAAACAAGAAAGCTGAGCTTGAAGATATCCTGGACGCGTTCTCTATGCAGATTGACAACCCAATGAACGTCCTAACACAAGACATGGCAAGACAGTTTCTGAACCACTCGACACCGAAGGACAAGTACAAATTCTTCCTCCAGGGTACGCAGCTCGAGAACCTAAACAGAGATTATCAGCAGATTGAACAGTCCCTGGAAGTGATGAATGCGAGAGCGGAAGTCAAGGAAGCCGACCTCAGCGTCCTGAGAAACGAGATGGAAGTGCTGGCGAGAAAAGCTAAACGGGCGGCAAGTCTACAGACTATGCGAGACAAGGAAGCGGAGCTCGCCAGACAAGCAGCGTGGGCGACTGTCCGGGAGCAGGAACAAGAGGTGGAGAACAATTTAAAAGAAATTGCGAAGTGCGATGGAGTCATACAAACACTACAGGGACAGGTGGAGGAGGCAGCAGAGCGCTATGAGCGGGCTGATCAAGCCTGTGAAGCCGTTAAACAAAACATCACCGACATCGCAGCTGAGTTGGAACCTGCAGAGCAATTGTCACTTGAGGCTAAAGCAAAGTTCCAAGAGGTCAAAGCGAAACTCCAGCAGCTACAGCCTGATGAGCGGAATGCTCAGAGTGAGTTGAGAGCAAAAAAGACGAAAGTGCAAAAGCTGGAAGCAGAGATCGAGCAATACCGACAACGACAGGCTGAAGCGGACAATGGTCGTCATGCCGAAAAGGTCTGGGAACGTGACGAAGCCAAAGTTCAATGCGACAATTCCAGGGCGGCATTCGAGGCCCATGATACTGGCCTTCCAGCCCTGCAGGAGCAGCTTAAGGAAGCCCAGAAGGAGCAGAACGAAACCGACAAAAAAGTAGAGAATGCGCAGACGGACATCAGACGCATCAGAGAGACAATCACAAAACTGCGGGGAGGCCAGAGCAATTGGATCGATGCGTACCCAAATCCCAGAAAGCTGAGCGAGTTACTTAATGCGATCAAGTCTGAGCGCAGATTCAGAGAACCACCAGTGGGGCCTCTCGGTCGTCATGTCAAGTTGATGGAGTCCAAATGGGGTCGTATCTTAGAAAAGCAGTTCGGTCAAGCTTTGAACGGGTTTGTCGTCACTAGCAAGCAAGATTTCAATACACTGTCGGCCCTGATGAACAGGATTGGCTGGTGCGTGTCTACCTCCCGTTTCACCAACGAAGCTAACAATGTTAGGTCTGCTCCAATATACATTGGCAACAAGGCGCGCATCAACACCAGGGAGGATGAGCCTCCGAGTGAGCTCATGACATGGATGAGAGCACTTACAGTAAGCACAGTCTATGCATAAATTGTTTGAAAACATGTAACTAACCAGCACCTAGATTGGCGAAGACCTTGTCCGAAACCAGTTTATCATCAATCAGTCGATCGAGCAGACTGTGCTCATCGAGGACATGAAGGAAGGTGCCCAATTCATGAATGCCCGCGGGCCGTCGACTTCGAAAGTTAGGATGTGCTTTACGTTTGCAGACGGCGACACTCGAAAAGGTCGCGTCTTCAACTACACCAACAACGGAGGTATCAACAACAGTCCGATTGCGGAATACTCCGGACCTCTACGTATGCAGGTAGACATGGATGCTCAGATCAAGTGCGTATAGTGCTTCATACGTCGAAACATGTGCTGACTGAACAAACAGGGATGACGAGGAACGTCTCGCTAAGGCTCAGAGAGAACTTCAGGCTCTTGAGCAGTTGTCCAGTGAACGGCGTGGTAAGGTCAACACATGCAAGGCTCAGATCCGAGACCACGAACGCCAAAAGAAAGAACTTCAAATTGCTCTCCAACGTGCTTCCAATGAATTGGACCGGCTTGAACATGAATTGGATAAAGCAACCCCCGATGCAGCAGCTATCCAGGTGCGCGAGGCAGAGCTCGCAAATGCAGAAGAAGAACTCAAGAACTGTGAGAATGTTTTCGAAGATTTGCAAATGCAAAAGTTTCAGTTTAATGACGAGAACCGCGCCAACAAACGGGAGATGGATGAAACACAAAAACATGTCGCTACTCTTCAGTTCCGCCTCGAGAAGGCGCACTCGACGGTTCGAAAAATGCAGAGCACACGAGAAGAACAGCTCAAGCTCAAGAACGACGCGATAGATCAAGTCGCCAAAGCTGAAGACTTCAAGAAGCAGTGGCAAGCAGAGCTTGCAGACCAACAGGCATTGCTGGAAGAAGTGATTGATGGTGCGAAGACTATCTGCGAAGAGCGTGTCTTTGTCCCTCTTGACAAAACATCTGACAAGCTTCAAGAGGCGATGGCTAGGATGGAGAAAACAAGGAAAGAAACGGAAAGAGAACTCGGTGGATCGCAGCTGGACCTTACTCGGGCGGCAAGCGAAGCGAAGCAGAAGCACCACGATGCAATGCAGGAGTTTGAGGACATCAGAAGCCTACGTAATGTAAGTATGGTCGCACGTATGATTTCGACTCTTGCTAACGTGGTACAGCAACTCATTACTACCTTGAACAACCGACGCAATCGGTGGAAGCAATTTAGGTCCGGTATTTCCGTTCGGGCGCGAGTCACGTTCAACTATTTGCTGAGCGAGCGCAAATTCAGAGGGACGCTTAGTATCGACCATAATAAGGGTCTTCTTGACATTCATGTAAGTATGAATACTAACCTGACGCCGCACAATGTGCTAAATTTGTAAGGTTCAACCGGATATCATGGAGCGAAGCGGGGACGGGAGGCAGACCAAGACGCTCTCTGGAGGGGAGAAATCGTATTCTACCGTGTGTCTTCTGCTCTCATTATGGGATGCAATGGGTTCGCCCATTCGCTGCCTCGACGAATTGTAAGTTCTCCAACGTCTCCCTTTTTCTGCACCAGCTGATTGTCCCAGTGACGTCTTCATGGACAGTGTCAACCGCGAGAGGAGTTTGCACATGATCATCCAAGCTGCTCGCCGCTCGATCGGTCGACAATTCATCTTCATTACCCCGCAGTCGATGAGTAACGTCACCCAAACCTCAGACGTTAAGATCATCAAGATGTCGGACCCGGAGCGTGGACAAACGGCACTGAACGTGCAACGTAGTTGAAATACCCCTGGGACATGGCGTTGATTTGTTGAGCATTTTGTCGGCGTTGTTATGTGGGACCGCCGATCATGGAGTTTGTGTATGGTTATACCCGCTCGTAAAGTGAACATTGATTTCATGGCCAGATGTATACATGTATAGTACCATGGTCTTAGTGCTGATGTGCAGACGCAAGACTTGGTTGTCTCCACAGTTCCATACACACCCGCAGTGGCTGGGTGCGAGTACGATCAGTATCACGAAATATACAAGTCCGAGTTTGCTATCTGAAGAACCTGGATGTGTTGACTCATATGAAGCTGCCTGTAGGACGTGTCAGTTGCATTTGCCGCGCAAAGCGTAGTTGCGGCGTAAGCGGCCGGGGCGGTTGTACAGGGAACGGAGTGGGTATGCAAAAGGTAAGGCGGATGTGCACCAGGATCCAGGGTCTCTTGGCCAACCACGTCGATTGAGAGGTCTGATACAACACTTGCACTCGACGGCTCGCTGGCAAACCTTGGGCACATGTAAGAACCGTATTATCGTGCTGTTCCCGCACTTGGCTTCCAACCTTCCTCCGGGAGCCTATATGCCCCCACGAAGTGTCGGTCCCACGCAACATCATGGCCGACTCCCCACCCTCAACACCCGACACTCCACGAACTGCGTCGCCGCTACCTTCCGAGAGAGACCTTGCCCGCTCCTTTTCGCCCTCGCTGGACGATGCGCATACCGCCGAGATGCAAGCTCACGCTGAGGGAGTCTGGACGAGTGCCCCAGCGCCGAGTATGGTGAATGCGACGGGATCGGCTGAGCAGGGCGTAGAACCAAAAGGGAAGGAAAAGGCTACAAAGGGGCCGCTGAAGTTGCTGGACCTGCCTATGGATATCTTGAAAGAGATTATACACCAGGTGAGTAGGGGCGGCTTACGCGCAGCGCCCTGCCATGCGGCACGGTAGATGCTGACCAGCAACTCAACAGCTTCCACACACGAACGACCTCACATCGCTCTGCCTCTGCCACTCGGCCCTCCATCGACTCACCATTCCATGCATATACTCGCGTTTCGACATCGTATGGCCCGACGAGAGCACCCACAACGAGCCTCGCGCCGGCGTGGACGCTCTCACATATGGGCTGGCAACACTGGTCATGGGTGATGACTGCTTTCCTCACCAGAACCGACTACGACTACAGGGGCAGACGCCACATTCCATACTGAGGACCGCCGCAAACCCATACCCTGTTCCGCAGCGGCGGTTTGGCAACTACTACGGACAGTTTACAAAGAAGTTCTCCCTTGGCAATGGACCGCAAGCATGGGTTCAGGAGTACATGATCACAAAGGAAGGCGGAAAAATGTTGGGAACCTTGGTAGCGCTCGCCATTGCGCGTATGGTCAACCTCGAGACGTTCGTATGGGACATGCCTACGGGTGTGCTTCGCGATGTCTGGCTCGCCTTGTCAAGCCTCGCGCACCGCAGTGATGGGGAGGAATGCCGTCTAGACCGGCTCTGGATACGCTGGCATGATAACACAATCGACGCGCCAATCCCTCCGCCCGCACCACCTATGATACTTAACAACCAGAATTTACCTCCGCCTCCGAACACCACGCATCCAAGCGGGCTTGGCACCGTGCAAGCCCCCGTTGTTGTGGTACCTCCGTACGCACCGAGTAGCATGTCTGCGCTAGATCGAGTCGAACATCCTACCTTTTCTGCCATACCTGCGCTGAAGAGCTTAAGTGTCTTGGATATCGACGAACTGCCATACCTCGATGAGATGAGCATCCTGATCGCAAGGTCTCAGAAGAAGCTACGCGAACTAAGGATTGGCATAGCTGCTCACGCACAGCAAAGGGACTGGGTGACCGTTTGGGAAGGTGAGGGTCTGCAGCAAGTAGACTACAACGTTGCAACGACGGCAGCATCCTCAATAGGAGAGAAGAGGCTAGGAGGTGTTCTGGGCATTCTCGTTGGTCGCATACATAACATGCGTCACTCAGAAGAGTCTCCGTCCCAGAAGCCCGGCGCTACTGGGGTCACAGAGCGATCAGTGGAAGCAACGCCAGCCAAGTCAGCCGCATCCCTGCCCCTGCCATCCATAGCCTCGCTCTCGTTACAAGAACGCGACCCGGAACAGGATGTAGACCATTTTGGTAACCCGATGGAGGACAACTCCATAACGGAGGGTGCCAGTCTGTTCAGCGATAACCAGCCGATCAGTGCCGAACATACTACACAAACTTCCAGCACGGCGAAATCGGCTATGAAGACGCATGCAGCGTCTCCGTTTCGTGGCGAGGCCACCAAATCAAAAGATGAGCCCCTACTGACTGGCAAACTGAAGCTAGAAGTCTTGGAACTCGAACGCGTTCCGCTATCCGTCCCTGTTCTTCGCAGAGCCTTCGATTGGTCGATTTTATCAACATTGACCCTTCTTCACTGCAGCAACCACGAACAACTGTGGAAAATATTACGGAGGACATATACCCCTCGTCCCCCTTACCCCGGCTCACCGTCTTCATCCAAAGCGTACAAGGCGTCTTACACTCTTCGAACAGAGTACCAACTCAACCTCAAGCGGATTCACACTAACACCGTGTCTCCTTCGCTGATCACCTTCCTTAAAGAGACACTGGCGCCTAATAGTCTCGAAGTGCTCTTCCTCCAGGAAGGTCGTTCGTACTCGTCTACGGTGACAGTAGATGCGATCTACAAAGGGCCATTGAAGAGACACCGAGGTAGTCTGAAGAAGTTGATGATTGACAGTGGTGAGAAAGGACCAGACGGACATACGACTACTAGCTCAAGGTGGAGACGATGGATGCTGAACCGCGAGATTCTGACATACATAACAAGCGGTCGTATGAACAGTCTACGAGAGCTCGCAGTGTCTATCGACTACAAGGATTGGGTATGTTGCACATTATTACAAGTTGGCCTTGTTTGACTAACGTTTGTAGCACCACTTTCTCCAACGTCTTCCGTATATCCCTCACATTCGCTCTCTTTACATTCCTTTCATCGCGGACCACGCACATGGCAGCAACATTGATCCACGCGAGCTCGCCTACCAAATTCTCGATATCGTGCACTTGCGACCGGAGATCGAGCTCTGCTACATGGGTCTATCTACTAAGTGCTTCGAGATTCTGGAGAACCGGCCATCGAACTACGACCTACGACATGATGGCATGCACGCTGATGGCAGCGGCTCTGCCTACGCAACACATGATCCTATGCTATCTGACGACGAAAGCGAAGCCACAGAAGATGAAGATGACGATGACATGGACGAAGGCGCTATGCCACCTGGTGGTGACGATACAGAGAGCGAAGCGAGCGACGAAGTGGATGTAGAAAGCGACGACGAATCATTTGTGCAAGATTCGCAGAGAGGTCCTAAGCTACGTGTTCGAGAGATACTTTTTTACGAAGAACGAGTCGAGGCATTCAGAAGGCGACATGGCGTACTGAGGCCTTAAGATGATGGGAATGATACGACAGGTATGGTGTTATATAGTGTCACTGCAGCATTTTCTGTATGCATGGAATGGAGCTTGGAAGGGAACGGAGTAGGATGGCGTATATGGTAGATATCCTTGATAGTTTTTCATCAGGTATGCGGTCTCGGGACCTGGGATTTTTTGTGCACGAGGCTGTACTATGGCTTGTCGATGGATGTGTTTCAACACAATGTAGTATTAGACATCAGAAACTTAGTGCCATTTAAGAGAAGCTTTAATGGTAGCAGCCAAAGTGACAATGTCTTTATAATGCGCACCTTCCATGTACGCAAGAATATTCTTGAGGTGACGATCACCCCACGTGAATACGCGTTGTAAGTGGCCCGAGCTTGATTGGAGGTGATCGCGACTGTGACATGCGCGAACAAACAGCACAACAGCCCCAAAGCCCAACAATGAGAAGACTTGCGGTGTTGGCGTATTTGATGTCCGAACTCCCATCGCTCACACGCCTATGAAGTCTCCCAGATCATCACGACCCCGAACATAAACAGTCACATAGTGGGGCTCCGCAGCACCTCCGTCCGCCATGGACCATTCGACCCTGGTCTTCGCGTCCGTCTTTCCAGTCCTCTCCTTCTCTCACAGCACGCCGACGCCGGTTGCGACACCGGATCTGGGACACACAGCGCCAGGCACCTCGTTCGGGAGTCCATATGCTCTAAGAAACGCTGAGAGCCGAACACCAGCGCAAGCACATGGGCAGGGCCAACACAGAGCAGTCAAGCGCAACATAGCATGGAGTTGCGCGACACGATTTCTGAGTTTACCAAAGGATGTCAATTTTGCTCCCAGAATACAAAAGAACAGAGAGATTGAAGAAGCTCTGAGCTTCTTATTGAATGGAGAAGGCAAAAGCGACGACGGGAAGGAGGAGACTCTAGTTGAGTGGTATACGAACGAATGCAGACTACACTTTGCGAATCATGTCCGGCCAGGGCTAGAGAATTTGTGGCGGGATGAGATTGAGTTCCAACGGGCCTGGGATATCCTCGATGAAACACAGCGCATTCTCGAGCAGGTGCAGAACGTGTATCTCCAACCCTTCACCGAACATCTGCTCCCTCTCATACAGCAGAACGCCGGTAACACGACCCTTCGACCGAGTAGGCCTACACAGATCGCCGACTCAGATACCACAAGTGCAGCGGATTGGAAGTTCCGTCGAGATTTACAGGCTGTCTTTGCGCATTGTCTGCCGCTACGACGGTACGGGAAGACGTTGAGCTATGTTCTATACGATGCAGGATGTCGATTATTTCGCATATACACCCGAAACGATGGCATGCAGCCGAGTACTACACCTGAAAAGACACAAGAGTTTAGGAAGCGAATGACCATGCTGCTACAAAGCCTGGAGCGCGTCGGGCTCGGTGGCGATAGCGCACAGAAGGCTTTCGCGCATGCGATGAACAAGCTGCTCGACTCCTTCATTACAAGCCACTACTTGAAGGTAGATTGGTATTCGAACAAGTCAATTGTGCCACAGTTAAGATTGTGGATTCGTGATGGCTTCTGTCCGCTTGTCGAGCTGGTACTGGAATGTCTGCGGTGCGAGCAGAGTAGTATTCTACCTACCGAACTGGGTTCATGGCAAGAGATGGCGCTGGGTAGGCTGGGGCGAGCAAGAGTCGATAACTTGTTCGATTTTGTCATCAACTGGGACAAGAGTCTAGGTGCCATTCTGGACATCAAAGAGTATCTACGGACTTCAAACGCGAAGCAGTATCTTACTGCGAGCTTTTCCCAGCAGGTATCGAGGCGGCTGTTACATCCTGGAGCCACGACGACTTACATACTGAACGTCTACATATCCATTATTCGCTCATTTCATGAGCTAGAACCTAAAGGCGTACTGCTCGAGCGTGTAGCTAGACCGATCAGGCGGTACCTGAAGGAGCGAGAAGACACAGCGCGTATCATCATATCAAGTCTGCTGACTGATCTGAGCGACGAGACGGGGAGTAAATTCTCATCGAACAGCGAGCTCTCGTACGAAATTGCCTGTGAGATGGGAAAGCCATTCGCAAACTATGGACAGGATACTGATGAGGAGCTCAACTGGAATGATATGAACTGGCAGCCGCTACCGCAAGACGCATCACCAGACTACAAGAAGTCGAAGGTTGAGGATGTGATATGGTTCTTGTTAACACTTTGGGAGCGAGAGGACTTTATCAACGAGCTGAAGAACATTTACGGAGACCATTTGCTCAGATGCCAAGACCCCGAGTATGAGAAGGAGATCCGACTGTTGGAGCTCATCAAAGTGCGTTTGGGTGACGATAAGCTACAAGCTTGCGAAGTCATGCTGCGAGACGTTCTGGAATCGAAGCGTATCAACGGTACTATTCGCACAACAATAAACCTACCAACTGCAACGTCGCTTGTCACACCAGATCACCGTAGCAGAGAGCCTCAAACACCAGACGGCCGAAATCCGCGGACACCCCAACCTCGCAGACCCACACGATCGACTCGGAATGTCACTCCTTCTGCCCCCAGCGCCACAACACCCACTGGTCCTACGCTCAATGCACAGATTCTATCATCATTTTTCTGGCCCCAACTTCGCGACGACACGTTCCGTGTACCTGCACAAATTGATGCACTACAGAAGGAATACGAGTCACGTTTCGAGCGTATCAAGGGTATGCGCAAGCTGCGGTGGATGAATGCCCTAGGAGATGGCTCCATAACCCTCACATTCGATGACCGCACTGAGGACTTTGACCATCTCACACCCTGGCAAGTTAGTGTAATTTACGCCTTCCAACCTCAACCCGACGAGGAAGCAAAACATGCAGACAAAGGCGGCGAAGGTATAACACGCAGCGTATCCCAACTAGAAGAAATGCTCGAAATGGACGAAAGCCTTGTCCACCAGGCGCTCTCCTTCTGGGTTGGCAAATCCGTCCTCCGCTTCCACGCCCCATCCACCTACTCCATTATTGAGTCCCTCCCCAAACCCACATCTAAAACCGGTGCTCACGACGCCCACGCAGCGGCTGCAGCAGAGGAATTAGCTACCATTCAAGCCAACGCCACGAATAACACTGTCAAATCCCAAAGCGAAATGCTGGAAGAGAAGAAGGATGTCTACACGGCTTTCATACTGGGTATGCTGACGAACCAGGGTAACATGAATGTGGGTCGCATTGCCATGATGATGCGAATGATGGTTCAAGGCGGATTCCCATTCGGACCCGAGGAAGTGAAAAAGCTGTTAGGCGACTTAGAAGTAGATGGCAAGGTCGTCGGCATGGGTGGTGATGTCTGGAGCATCAGGAAGTGAGAGACTTTTCGTCGGCGTGCCAGGGGATACGTCTACAAAGCATGAATAAATCTACCTGTCATCTCATTCTATCTTCTGACTCCTCACAAACTCAGACGAGCGTGCAGTGTACACATCGCCAACAATTCATGCCTCACCGCCTCGAGACTCTATCTCAAATTACACACAAACATAACGTCGCTCACAGTAACACAACACCATCTTGCCACCCGCCCGCCTATCTCCGTACCAACAGATCTTCCCGTACAACATAACAATCTTAGACTCGAAGAAAACCACTCTAGTACCACAAAGATCTACGGGTAAAATCGTAGATGAGGATGTACCACCGCTACACAATTTCCCATCTCTAACTAAACTGCAACAACACGTACTACACATTACACATGGCACAAAGTGGCGTGCGTAGCATGATGCGTTGTCGTGTAACAGACCTGTGGTAAAAGCCTCTTGAACGTTGTGGCGCTGGGGAGTTGGATGGTACTGTGCAGCCTTTCGAGACGACCAACAGATGATGATTACTCAACCTAAACGTATGATGTCTGCATTTCGTCAGATGTCGTGTGCTGTGTGATACAAGGGCGGTTTTCGCGCAAGGGCGTCCTTGTGGATCTCGGAAGCTTTCATATCCAGATAGAAAAATTGGCTAGCCGCGTCGCGTACATGAGCATGACAGGTCATTGCCATGGTGCGAGGAATGCTGGCAGACGCGGGATGCGGGATGCGGGATGCGGGTGTGAGGCACAGTGCGTCTGCCGATGCAGTAGCGTGTATACACGGGATCGATAAGCGAGGGATCCATCCACTCTTTCTGCGCTTTTCGTATCGGATGCACTGAGGCGCCCTTGCATAATCTGTATGCAAGTCAGATCACATTCCTAGGACGTGCGTGTTGGTGGATTGTAAAATGGAGAAGAAAGAAAAGCGGTAGGAAGTGTGCTAGTGACCATGGGGACAATGTTTATGATGATGTGTATATTGATCTAGATGTATAGAAGGACGAAGGAGGCTGAACGTTATAATGTACGAGAGACATTTAGCATGCCCCACATATCCTCCTTACCCTATTCGATGACGAGTAATCTCTCCGTAACATCCAGAGCGCCTTCAAGATTTCCGCTAATGGCATAGATACTTTGCATTGCAAACGCCGCATCGGTGCTAAAATCCTCATACCCCCAATTCTCGTCCTGGCACTGATCTCCTGCCTCCTGTTTAACCTTGTCACCAAGTGCGACACACCTTTCGTACACCGGAAGCGCTAGCGCAACGAGACCTAGTCCATGCCACATCCTCCCCACGTTGAACTCCGCCTCTTGTTGGTGGATCGCATGCGGGCTTTTGGTGCGGAGATCGTAGTATCTGTATACGAATGACAGGCCCTGCTGGATCTGGTATTGTCTGTTCTCAGAAAGTCGTTTCATAGCGTGTTGGATGTACGCAACGCCAATACTCAGATTCAATACTGGATCTTCAGGCGTAATAGTGAAGGCACGGAAGTAGTAGTTCAGTGCGGCCATGTAGCTGCCACCGCACATCAAGACATGTCCGTACAGTGCGAAGAGTGCGGGATCGTGGTCTTTGACCCGGTCAACATCTTCGACGTTGATGTTGTTTCTGAAACCTCCTTTGCTGTCCTTTGTGTCGCGGAAGTTGTACGCGATGCGCTGTGCCGGGGTGAGGAGCGCATAGTCAATAGTCTTGATGTAGCGCATGAGCACTTTGTACGCTGGACCTGTCGCAAACCCTTCAGGGAAGGAACACAGACGGTTGACGGCGCCATAAAGACGGAAGAGATCTGTACCGAACGGATACTCTTTGAGGAGCCAGCGCGTTGCTACAGACGCTTGGCGTGAGTTGTCTGCTATGAGGGCGCAGGTGAGCCGACATAGTTGTAGTTGCTGGTGGTAGGTTCGGGAGCGATGGAAGACGTTGGCCTGAGTGGCAATATCGAGTGTAGCGAAACACTGTTCTTCATCTCCCTCGCTAGCAAGCAGGATGGCATAGCGACCGAACGCATCACACCATTTGTCGAAGTGGATACCCCAGAAATCGACCGGAGCTGAGTCTGGTCGCTCTCGTAGCTCAGGATCTGTTTCGCCGTCTTCGACGTTGTTCGCTACCACAGCAAGTACCATTAGTGAAGACTCTTTCCACAGATCGCCACCCGTAACGCGTCGGAAATAAGTCATAAGGTCTTCCTTTCGGTTTGAGTAGAATAGATCAAATGTAGAAAACTCTTCGATGAGCTCTCGAGTGATGGACAACACCTCATGTACAGAATCCTCATCTCCATCCTCTGCCGCTTCCCAAATCTCATCTAGTCGCTTGAAACTAGAGACGATCTCCCGATGCTGAGCTCGAGCGGCTTTGAGGTCGTCGGCAAAGTCGGTTGCCAGTCTTTGAAGCTTGTTACGGAATAGTCTGTTATTGATCGCTCGATACGGCACGTCGGTGCCTTCAAGTGTAGTTCGTCTTGGTTCGATATCAGGAAGTTGTTCAGCATCTTCATCACGGACAGCAAGGAAAGCTTGAACTTTAGGCGCCTTCGCTCTTTTCGTGCGGAAGAAACCTTTCTTAGGACGTTCGGTCGGGGCGACAAGTGCGGGAAGCTCCTTGTTACCGTTCTCGGTCGCAGAATCTTCGTCTTCACCGGTCTGCCCGGTAGCCTTCTGCATCCTCTTCCTGTTCCTTCGGACCGTGCTCTTTCGGACACCATACCTGCCGCGAGCTTGCCTTCGCTGATTATAGTAGTATACCCTGAGCTCATCGTATGCCTGGAAACCCAGATTCTTGAGCTTGTGGCCGTACTTGTCGCGGTAGATGGTCTCAGCTCGTTGACCAGCTTCCTGCCACATACCCTGATCTTCGAAGAACTTCGCAAGGACTGCGAGATCATCGTAGTTCTCAGCCGGCCACTTCTTCAGGATGGGTATGACCTCTGCCGCTCTCTGAGTCCTCCCCAAGTTCTTGAAGCATGTGTGCAGCCCGATGTAGCTCTGCAGGTTGAACTCATTCGAGTTCTTGTCGAACAAAGGCTCGTAGAAACGCAGTGCGTGTTCATCGTTGCCGGTAGCGTGAAGGGCATCGCCGATTATACGAAAAAGATCTTCGTAGTCCCAAATCAGGGCATCGGGACCATGGTTGTCCGGCTCCAACATCTCGAGGTGGCGCTTTTTGTTTGTCAGTAATGGGCTGAATATGTTACGGGCATTCGGCTTACCATAGCTTCTTCAAAGTCATCCTTGCTCTTGCGTAACCGAAACAAGCCTAACTTCACTCTGATCTCTAACGGCAAGGTTGAGCCATATGGGGCATCGTGCGATTTTCGGACAAATGGCGGCACAGTAACGCGTCTTGGCTCATCTTCGATATCGAACTCGCAATCGTCTTCAAGTTTATCCCAGAATGCCTCAGAACGCCTGCCCTGCTTCCACCGGGCAAGCTCCTTCAGTCGTGTGACACCTGCTTCGTAGCTACCTGCTCGATCTAACAGATCGAGATAGATGTTGATCAGCTCCCAGTCGAGTTCGTTATTAACTGGATCCCGGTCGGGCTGTGTGAACACATCAATGGCTTCTTCAAAGCTGTTCAGCAGTTTGTTGAGATGTATTCTAGTCTGCTTTGGAGAGGCAGTACCCATCATTGCCATGATCTTCAGTACACTTGTATCAGGGTCTTCTCCTTGCTCCTTGCGTGTTTTGAGCATCTTGAGACCGAGCGCTACGCACTTGGACGAACGACCTAGTTGTGCCTCGATCTCGAGCTTGTGACTACGAGCTTCGTAGTCATTGTTGAGCAGAATAATCTCGTTCAAACATGGAAGGATGGCAGCCGACTTGTTCTCATCTGTAAACTGCGGATGCTTCTCGGGATCCAACTGTTGTATGCGCTCAATGATGTACTGCCAAAGACCAGGATCACGCTTAGTTGGCGCACCAGCCAGTAATACAGCCAATGAGTCCTCCTCCCGACCCATCTCGGTGTAGATCTCAGATGCGATGTTGTAAGCATCAAAGATCTCTGGGTTAAGTTGAATAGCCTGCTGGGCGAACAGAAGGGCCGCCTCATAGTCTTTTGCGATGAATTTGGCATTGGCCTGCTGCTGCAACGATTTCCACTCTGCACCTGGGTCGGCAACAGGTCGAGGTCCTCTAGGACCCTTTTCCCTTCCAGGCTTGCCCCGCTTCTTTTTGGGCGTTGGCCTAGCACCATTGTTGCCACCTCGGCCGCCACGGCCCCTAGTCGAAGGCCGACCTCTTTTCCCACCACGTCGTCCTCTGGTACTAGATACAGGTATGATACTGGGGGTGGCTGGAGTTTTGAGCGTACCTCTGCCTCTGCCCTTTCCTCTCTTGTATTTCGTTCGCTCCTCAGTGTCCTCAAACTCGACACCTAGTTCCATCTCATCTGGGTCGCCTTCGTCTTCTTGTGCATCTTCCGATTCGTAGTCTGCGTCAACCTCGGAGTCATCCCTATTCTCGATCCGAAGTAGCTCTTCCTCCTCCTCCATGGTAAGGCGATAATCGTCCTGGTCAGAATCCGAACTATCAAAGTCGCGGTCGTAGCGCGAATCGCGAAACCCGACCGCATTGGTATAGTCGTCATCGTCGTCTTGTCCAGGATTTGCTGGAATGAATCCTTCAAAGACCGCGGGTCCATTGGTAGCATAAGCTCTACTGAACGGATCCTGAAACCCGCCGCTAGTGAAAGGTGGAGGCTCTTCTTCTTCTTCTTCCAAATCCTCTACAGCGCTGAGTGGAATAAGAGGTATGAAAGGACTCCGAGCTGACGGTTGATGATGATGATGATGATGATGATGATGATGTGGAGGCTGAAATAGAGGTGGGTGCGGATATACCTCTTGAGGAGGAAATATTGTATTTGGCGGGAAATGTACGGGGTATTGTTGTCTGCCATGTTGCGCAGGTGGTTGCATCAAACTTGGCGCAGCATCTCCGAAGGTACCTGTAACAGGTAAGAAGCGTCTATTGTTCGGCAGCAGCCCTGGAGGCCACTGCTGCCCGTAGTATCCATTATTGGGGTTCATTATAAGCTTGATTGTATCGCATTTGCGTTAGTTCAAACTTGTTAGTGGTCAATCATTGTGGTATATAGTACCGAGAGAATGGTGGTGGTGATGAAAGCTTAATGACAGGGATTGCGGCCGTTGCAAAGGCTGACGCACGTGCTTCGCGCTAGCACATGGCGTGCATCTCGCCAACGTCCAGGCACCTGACACTCGAGACACTCTAGGAATTGAACGCTCACTCAACTCAGTCTATTAAATTCCGACACGAATCTTCTAGGAACATTCGTCTTGTTATACCCTACTCATTTCCTTGCCAGAACAGAACTGAGAGCTGGAGATAAGTAGAACAGGACCCTGATGAAGTAAGGCTTCCATGAAGAAGAATGAAGAAGCGCCTGCACCTTTAGCCTGCTGCTTAGGCAGCCCTGACCGCTTTCCCGACCACTAGTTTAGCAACCTTCGTAAGCGTTTCAGGTAAGATGTCGATTGTATGTAGAATGCATGCCAATCTCCAAGAATCTTGGAAGGGCCTGTTAGTGTGCTGTTAGGATTTACTGTCGTAACTGCACTCTTGAATAGTCTTAGCACCTGCATCAACCCATCTTAGAGTAAATACATCACTACTGTATACGTCTTGCGACCCTTTGTTTCTTACTTTACAACGACCATGTTACGCAGACATTTCCTCATCAGTCTGTCCATGTGTTTCACCATATCCGCTCTCAACATACCAGAACATGACATACAACTGCCTCTCCTTCCAGAGCACGAAAACAATGAACCGAAATCGCAGAGTACCCGAGTCGTGTTGGCATTAAGAGAAAATGGAAGTGACAGGGAGCATCAAGTTGAGATACCTTTACATACAACTGTCTTTCCGTGTATGTTGCGTACAGCAGCAGGCTTCACTCCAGCCCGGATTAACAGTCTGGCCAGGTGTGGATTTACCAAGTCACTTAAGCACAATAGAGATCAGAGCAGTCACCGAACAAGGCCGGTCGGTATCGCCGGCAAGGCTCGACAGAATCATATGCAAAATCACACCAAATATCAGCGCGGAGGAGCGAGAAGCCGTGGGCTCGGGAATGGAGCTGAAGGCGTTGCCATGGTTTGCAGCAAGAGATGGAGCCGTCCAATTCGAAGATAGTAGTTCCAGATGGTTTCTCGGAGGCAGAGCAATAGAAAGTTACGAGTGTCGATAACAGTAGCCAGGGCCAGATATGGGAAAGAGGGGTAACGTAAACTTTAATGTATAATGCTCCATGCTTTCTCAGGGTATAGTACAATGGCCGTCAATGGCCTCCTTCGACTCGGATGGATGTGTCCAAACCAGCTCAACCCAAACGCCAAGTATGCAAGTCTGACATGTAATCAGACGTTATTATCCCCCTCGTTCATGCCAACCATCTCGTATTCACCGGCACCGTCTCTCCCTCTGCCCCTGCCTCTTCCCCTAGACTCGCCGCCCTCATTCTCTGCGGCCGGTTGTGATCGTGAAGGTGTCTTGCTACCGAAGTTGATTGGTCTTAATTCACGCCACTGGCATGCCCATACGCCTAAGGAAGTCATGACAGTCGCGCTACATATTTGAAGCGCCCACCAGAACAAGTTGGCGGGTATCGCATGTGTATATAGCGAGGTGACGATCAAGTGGATGAAGTGTACAGTCAAAGCGAAGTCGAGAACGAGTTTCGAGCGGGCGATAAGAAGCAGTATGAAGATGGCACTGCAGCATGTTAGATTGTCGCATGACTTGTACCAGGGCGTTGTAGCACTTACCAGGTGAGGCTGTTCAGCACCCAGACCAGACCCAGTGTCCATCCGATTGTCGTATCACCACGTAGACTTTGCCAGCTGAACAAGAGATCTGTGCTGACCTCCTTGCCCGCTACCAGCGCGGTAAAGACAATGAGAATGCCGGCGCATGCATAGTATGCAAGCTGCAGGAGTATGATCTGGGTGAGGATGCGGGTAGGTGACAGATCCGCAAGTGCGCCAGGTCGTGGAGGGCGGCGTCGGCGTGGCATCAATACGCAGGCGATGCGCTATGACATGGACATAAAGGGAGATGGAGGTTTGACTTGTTGTAGTTGCAAGGTTGCCTGTTGATTCACGGGCTCCGTAACGGTTCGGCGAAACGTGGGCAGTCAGCGCCGATGTCATAGCTTTGGAGCCCGCCAAGCACGAATTCGAGATGATTGCGCTCGTCAACGTCTACTGCCGACAATCCTCTCCAGTCTACAAGGCCCGTCCTCAAACATACCCTGCCGACGTACGTAGCTATTCCGAACAGCCTCGTCTGCGATCCGCCTACCGTGCGACTGACCCCCGCGCCAGTTTTGACAGTCGCCTCCACCTCCGCATCTCCTCCGCAACCTCGAAAATCGTAACCATGGGTTGGTTCGGCTCAAGCTCCAAAGACGACTCCGGTGTCAAGAAGACAGAGGGCGGCGCATTCGAATCACCCTCACGATCCAACCGAAAACAATGCTACGCAGCACGTGATGCCTTCTTCGAATGTCTCGACAAGAACAACATTTTGGACAGCATAAACTCAAAGTCCGGCAGGGATAAGGCTGCAAGCTTCTGTGCACAGTTTGATCAAGAGTTTGAGAAGAATTGCGCACACAGTTGGGTACGTGGAATCTCCGAACGGCAACAAGCACACTTCACTGCCTGCGTAAGAAGCTGGCAATGGCGTATTCTACTGGCTTTCCAAACTATGGGATTGCTGGGCAAATCATGCTTGGGGACTAAGCTGACAACCTCCAGGTCGAATACTTCAAGAAGCAGCGAGTGGTAAATTACCAAAGAGAACAAACGATCAAAAAGATCGAGATGCAAGGCGGAGAAATTACAGCGCCGCAACTACCACTACCGGGCCAGAACAAATAGATGAAGCATGGCTGAACAGCCCTGTTAACGCCGCTCACGACCAATGTACCATATGTATACTACCCTCAAAGCGCTCCAAGAAAGCGTTTACAGCTGCCACACAGAACGGCTTCCCCTGCAAATCTAGACTTTCAATACTAAATTGGGAATGTGTTCTATCCAACAAAATGTCACCCACACACTCCATGATTCCCATGCAAGACATCGCGTTTACCTCAGCATCTAGAGCAAATTATCGTGCATGAACCTCACACCCTCCGCGCGGAGCTATAGCCCGAACCAAATATCTAGCACACTACATTACTCGAGCTGTGACTAGGCTCGCATAATGTCGTCACTGCATCTTGGGAACGCTTACCGATGTAGTTTAGGCACATGAAGCGTTGAGCCGTGCCTGTCGAGTTTACTCCTTGCATGAAGGGGGGTTCATCGCACAGACGCAACGACGAATCGGGGCATGGCGGGGCCCAGATTGTCCATGCAAGCCTACGTGCGGGAGTTGCTTCGACTCGCAGAATCGTAGCGTGTATGTATAGGTCAGGCCGTGTCTTGGCTTGCTGCCAAGCGCCGTGAGCTTTTGTTGGTCACAATACCTCCAAGGGGCATGTGAATGTTTGTCGGCAGTTTCCTTTTGCCCGAGTCTTGTAGCTGACAGCAGAAACTCTGCTGTGGAAGGGGGACGCGCAAGTCTTCAACTCTGTTTCGTGCCCCTCATCAGCACGAAAGCCTAATCAACAAGATCAAAAGCATCAACCCGTCAAGCCCGAAATCCTACACATACAAAAACCGCCAAGTGCGAGAGCATGACAAATGTTTGACCACAAGACAGCATGTTACCCAATATTGTTGATTAATACTGATTGGCTACTAAGACGTGCAGGTTTTAGCCGCAGAATCGAGCGGCAGTAGCAGCAACGCGCCACCTGGTTCCAGTCCTCGGGTCGGCGAGATCTGAGCTTTTTCTCGGTTATCTGTGCCTACAGAGAACCCCCACCCCACCATTCCATGACTTCATCCGAGTCAAGTGGCTTGTTTTACCCCTCCATTGGGTTGGCGCGGCTCTGAAGGATCCTGCCTTCGTGTGTGGGTGTGTGGGTGGGTGTGTGTATGTATGTGTGTGTGCGTATGTGTGTGCGTGTCGGTTCGTGTGCTTCGGTTTCATATGCGTCGTGACCATATCCCAAGCTACCTAATACTGAATCGAAGTTTTTGTTGCTGTCAGTCGTTTGCTTTTATTATCGGCGTCGTCGCCGACCATGTCTGTCACCACTTTGTCGGCCAAATAGTCGCAGGATCGAACTCGCGCCTAAAAATCTCCACATCGGACGCGCACCCTTTGCTCGGCGACCCAACCATACTACTGTCGATAGCGAATACGACATCCTGGAATGCGCCATGGAACTCCTCCTCTTCGAAGAGTAGTTTTCTCCACATTCGCGCTACCTCCTGTGCCGGGTTGCGGAATATGGGCCCTAAGCCGAAAGCGCCCAGCACCAAGTTCCTGTGCCCGCAGTAGGATGCGATTCGCAGTACTGCCCGCATTTTCTCCTTCATGAGCTCTTTTTCTTGTGCGAACGAGTATTTGCATCCGCTCTCGTCGAGTTTGGGACGCCGCACGGGTGCAACCGATATTACAGGTAAAGATGCGATATCTGTAAAGGTTGCATAGTCTTGATCTGGGCCTGCTCGGAAAACGACTGCAGCCCGTTAGTGACTTGTGGCTCAAGATGAGCGTTGTTGGTATATCAACATACAGACTTCGGGGGAGTAGATGCCGCCCGTCTGTGGTATTGGGTAGTAGTTTTCTTCTCGGCCCAATTGCGCGTTCCACGGCATTGTGAGGGCATGTACGAGATTGCTTCTCCGTGCGAAGCATTCTTCTGGTGCCATGAGCCCAGATTCCCAGTCGCCTCCAGCGCGCTTCTCGTTCGCTACGTTGATTACCGGAATTCGCTTGCAGTCTGGATCTGCGTTGACGGCACTTTGATACCAGCCCAAAGCGTAATTCACCGGGTCACCTTCCATAACTGCCACTCTTGTTCGTTGTGATGACCGTTTGTCCACGTTGATTCTTATTTGTGCTGAATCGGGATATAGGTACGAGGTTTTGGAGTCTCGGATGTAGTGCTTCCAGATATGTGGCATCCATATCCGCTTTGCTTCGGCTGCTATTTCTGATGGTTTGGGTCTTGACGGCGGCATAGTAGTAGAGTACTGTGAGGAGATTTGTTGTTGAATTTCTGTATGATTGTACTTGCAGTGAAGGTATGTACGATAGCAGCGTGAAACGGCTTCAGAGCAGTGAGAGGCGGGGAGAAACGACGACGAGTCCGTGACCCTACCGGCAAAAAGGTAGTATATCACTTGAGCAACTACTGAAGAGCGTGTGATAACGCAGCTAAATAATGGCTCTAGATCCAGCAGAAGACTAAGCTGGCGCAATTCCGCTGCGCCAGTTACCAAAGCGGTAGCCGTCTGCGGGAATCAAGCCCTCCCCTGCTAGGTGCAGTCATCGCGGGTGGTGTCTACACCAGCCGTAGCGCAGACCTGCAGGAAGATGGGGGCATGAATCGTGTCCTCAAAGCAATTTAGGGTAGGCACAGTGATCGATGCCCAGTAGCAGCCGCGCCCTGTGATTGCAAAATGCATCCTGGTCCTGGGGGCGATGCTGTGTGCCCACATAGCTGCCAGGTACCTTGAAGCCACTAAGTGCCGTGTCGGGTTTCTGGGACATGTTGGAGCAGGGATGTGTGACTGGATCGATCGTCCAGGCCTTGAAGCGATCTGCATGGAGTTAAAAGCGGCTTAGAAAGATCTGGCGGCGTTGAGCAAGCCGATGATGACAGCTACTAACCAAGATCCTGCACGATATAGCGGCGCAGTGATAGCGTCGGCACTAAGATCCCGGATGCAGGGTAAACGTACTTTGCTGGAATGCATGGCGTTCTACAAGGCGTCTTCTTCACCGCCAGCGGACGTCACACGAAAACGTCCGAGTAACGAACAAATCCGCCACTTCGATGACGGGTGCTTGCTTCCACCATCTCGGCGCACGATGAGAGTTGTACAAGCGGCCGTCTCGCTCGGTGGGGCGTGTCTTGGTGTGCTTACTGGGGGTGGAGGGGAAGAGGAAACTGGTCCGTCCAATGATGGTGAAGAATCTCACCAAGAATCTCACCAGGACATCAGGCTTCAAGGTCCATCGGCGCTATGCTCATGGGTCGCAAATCTTGTGCACTTCCATGGTCGGTCCTTGGAGCACATAATGTATCAGCCACGGCTGAAGTGTTACAGTCACGATTAACGAGCCACAAGAACGGCACGGGCGAGACCGCCAGATCCTAGCGTGTGGTCCAAGCGTCTGTACTTTTTTTCCAAGGTTTCATGGACAACATACCGATTGAGGCAGCTGTTTCTACGCTACACCGCACATTCCCTACTGGCTGATCGAAATTTGCCAACGCGTAAATGAGTTGGCTCCTGCCCGTTCGGAGGAGTGTTGTCCGCCCCCAGCACTTATTTCGAAACCGGGGAACCGCTCTGCCTTGCGCACATGCGCTATCACTATGTCGTCCTCGCTACAGTTCGGTCTTCTGCCCAAGCAATATTGCTGAGCTGCTGAGGCCGTCTCCACAATCAAACTCCCTTCAACGGGCACCACAGGATAATGAGGCGCTGACAATAAACGGCTATGTGCGGACAGTACGCAAGCAAAAGCGTATTGCATTCGCTGCTATAGGAGATGGCTCGACCTTGCAAACAGTGCAGGTAGTCCTACCTCCCCAGTTAGCGGAAGGGTCAGTAGTTCACTTGCGTGTGATCTGCAAGTACTGACATGCTGTGCTATCAGACTCTCTACCGGTGTCGCGGTGACAGTCACGGGAAAGTGGACGCCCTCACCAGGCCAAGGCCAATCCCATGAACTTCAAGTAAACCACGTGCGAATACTGGGAGAGAATGATGCTACAGTAAGTTGGTTTGAGCGAGCCTTGAAGTCGTTCCCGATTTCTGATTTGTGTTCCAATTTCAGGCCTACCCAATCCAAAAGAAATACCAAACGCCTGAATTTCTGCGCACTCTCCCACATCTTCGAAGTCGACTACCAATCAACTCTCTTGTACTGCGCCTGAGGTCTTTGGTCACTGCGCAAGTGACCAGCTACTTTGCAGAACATGACTTCATCCAGTGCCATCCACCTATCATCACATCTTCCGACTGTGAGGGCGCAGGAGAGGTGTTTACTGTGGCCCCTGAGGCACCTTCGTCATCAAGCCAATCCTCTTCGAACCAGATCAAAAAGCACGAAGACATGTTTTTCGGTTCCCCAAAATACCTGACAGTCTCTAGTCAGCTTCACCTAGAAGCTCTGGCTCAGTCAGTGAACAAGGTCTGGACTTTGTCCCCAACATTTCGAGCTGAGAAGAGTGATACGGCCCGTCACCTTAGCGAGTTCTACATGCTGGAAGCAGAACTAGCTTTCGTGGACGATGTCAATGTCGTCATGGACGTTGTGGAAAACATGTTGCGCTCTGTTGCGTTGAAATTACAAGAGTCAGTTGTAGGCCAAGAGCTCCTAGAGGCGCGAGCACGAGACCAGGATCAAGAAAGCACATCCGTGTCGCACGCCGTCCTCGCACAACGGTGGCAAGGGCTGGCAGAGGGGCCATGGCCTCGAGTCACCTATGCAGTTGCGATACAGCACCTCAAAGACGCAGTGGCTCAAGGCAAGGCGGAATTCGAGTACGCACCTGGTCATGAAGGCGGCCTCCAAACTGAGCATGAACGGTTTCTGGCCGAGAGCTTGGGACGCGGTGGACCTGTATTCATCACCGACTATCCACGCAACATCAAGCCTTTCTACATGGCGCCGACAAATGACCCGACAGCTAATGAATCGGCTGCATCAACAGTCGCATGCTTCGACCTGCTTGTACCTGAGATCTGTGAACTTGTAGGGGGCTCTATGCGCGAACATCGACTAGCAGAGCTTCTAAAATCCATGGACGAACATGGCCTTCAACAAGCGTCGGATAACTCTACCGACGCATCAGACGGCTCCCTGCAGTGGTACGTGGACCTCCGACGATACGGCAGTGTGCCGCATGGAGGCTTTGGTCTTGGATTCGATCGACTCCTGTGTTACCTCGCTGGTGTCTCTAATATCAGGGACGTAGTCAGCTTCCCCCGGTGGCACAAGCGGTGCGACTGTTGATGCGCGAACAAAATATAAGGAGTTCCGGTGTCCCGGATCACGGCATCGCCAGCTGTTCGCGGACGTGTCCCCTCGTAACGTGCCATGGCAGACAGGCTGGATATCATTGCTGGTTGCAGGATATGGGAACCGCGCGTTCATTGTACTTGTACGATCCGCAATCGGCTGTACGATAGCCGTTGACGATATTCGCATATGGATATAGTAGCCTCCTATCAACGAACCGAAATCTATATGTGGGAGTTACCCGCAGATGTCTATACTAATACATGTAGGCTTGCTCTATTATCCATCCAACACACGTGCGTTGAGCGCCGACTAGAAATATAAGCTTGCCATTTGTTCATTTCCTAGACATTGTGCTAAGAGCACCTAGCGAGCGAAAGTTCGGCACCGAGCTTCAGCTGGCATCCACTATCCAAACTATCCCAAGATCGGACATTAATCAGCATGCCATTCTGGATGCGCTAACTCAAACCCGGCGCCTTTGCGGGGTATCATGAATAGATTCAGGCTTTGCGTACAGCTTGTAGACGACGGGACGCAGACGTGTGGCGGACGTTATGTGCGGGCGGAGATGATCTGATAAGATATGGCTGAATCCAACCACATTTCCCCTCCCGCATCCGAGGCACCTTGGCCAAATCTAGCTATCGCATTGATGATGTACTTGATCTCCGCGGGCACCTGTCAACCAGCGTTATGCATTTGAGGGCTTGTTGCAAGTGGCCAGTCGTGGACCAGACGGCAAAGGGCATCACGAAGCAGAATTTATTCGTAGATGAGCTGGCATGCGCATGTATGAGTTTGCCATCGAAGCTCCGGCATCGCTGTGTTGATGGCATGGGTACGTAGAGAATACATACTAGAGAGAGTACCTAGTCGCCGGATTTTAGGTCTGACGTCTCGGCGTTCGGCTGAAGTCATCTCGCGCTTCCGTTAGTTGCAAACAAAAGTAACAACTTCAATTTCAACCATTGCCCACTCACCTCACCTGCCCCTCTCGCGACGACACCCGAAGCCTCCATAACTCCCCCAAAACAAATATCACCAAAGTCGCAAATCTGGAATCCGCGGCGCCAGTAACCGGCCGACTTATGGCCCCCAATGATCGGCCATCAGTTCCTATCGAAGAAGAACACGAGTACAGCTCCATTGCACCACCACACATAGGACACACCCGTCGCTGACTTGCGCGCCAGTTATGAGGCGCTCCCGCCAAACTTCTCCCTTACCGCGAATATGCTTGCAGGCGCATTCGCGGGTATCGCCGTACGTTCCTGAAGTCGCCTCCATGTATACTTCTCAACTGACTTGACCATAGGAACACTCGGTGATGTACCCAGTCGATTTACTCAAGGTGCGCATCTTTCTATCAAGGTCTTCATCCACCGCCGACAGTGCGCTGACTTCCCGCAGACCAGGATGCAGATTGTCAACCCGTCGCCGAGCGCCATGTATAGCGGCATCTCGAACGCCATGGTCACTATATCGCGAGCAGAAGGATTTTGGTCATTGTGGAGGGGACTATCAAGTGTGGTAATGGGTGCAGGTAGGCAACGGCGGGCGAGAAGTTGGCGGGCAGCAAGAACTGACAGAGGGCAGGTCCCGCGCATGCTGTCTATTTTGCATCATACGAAGCCACGAAACACGCCCTCGGAGGCAATGAAGGAGAGAGCCACGAGCATCATCCTCTTGCGGCAGGTGCGCAAAACTACACCCACGTACATCCAGGGACAGCCACTAACCATCAATAGCTGCTAGCGGTGCTGCGGCCACCATCTCCAGCGATGCGCTGATGAATCCTTTTGACGGTAAGATGCGCATTACGACCTCGCTCCGCGCCTACTGAACCTCGCAGTCATAAAACAACGCATGCAAATGCACGGTTCCGTCTACAAATCTGTCCCTCAATGCGCCCGAGAGGTTCTCCGCACCGAGGGAGTGGGCGCGTTCTACGTCTCATACCCCACTACACTGTGTATGACAGTACCTTTCACCGCACTACAATTCATGGCCTACGAATCGATGTCAAAGGTCATGAACCCGACCGGCCGATACGACCCCTACACGCATTGCTTCGCCGGAGGTATCGCTGGTGGATTCGCAGCAGGGCTTACCACTCCGCTCGATGTCATCAAGACGCTATTACAAACACGCGGAAATGCTAGAGACGCAGAGTTGAAGAATGTTTCAGGCCTTTTCCAGGCGGCGAAGATAATCCATCAAAGGGAAGGATACAAAGGATATTTCCGTGGTCTGAAGCCTCGAATTATCACCACCATGCCAAGCACTGCGATTTGCTGGTGAGTCTTCACCTGCATAGACCGACTTGTAATTATCTGACAGCATACAGGTCTGCATACGAGATGGCGAAGGCTTTCTTCATTCGGAGGAGCACCAACTCTTCCACGGCCATATAGAGAGACGACGATTCGACTGATCCTTTTTTGAACCACTACGAGAGCCCTCTAATACCACGATATGCGCATTACCAACGGAACGATATACACGCAGTGCCGCGGAGAGTAGCGACCATGGCAGTACTGGGCATTCAAGGCTAGGTCTAGCATTTTGTGTGGCGGGGGCAGAGGAAAATGTTGTGTCGCGACGCTTCTTCATTGCCATTGTATAGTCATAGAGGCTTTTCTGGAAGCTCATCTGGCGGCGTACTGGATAATTGGTTATGCGAGCACATCATGGCATGCGCGTACTTGTATCATAGAGCAAATTCAGTATCGGCGTCGCTCAAGACCCATCAGCATTTTCGCCATTCAGTCCAATCCAGGTGCGTAATCGATAACAGCCACCCGAATAGCGGCCCCACTTGCACATGCATCTTCCTCGTGCGTGGCAGTGGACATGCGAATGTTGAGTTGATAATATTACCCTGTGATCTGAGGTGTTAGCGTAAGAGTGTACCTAGCCGCGTGGATAATGTTTGAAGAGAGTGTCTTCCATGGTCGCCGCTGCTCAGCCTTCGAGGTTGCGAAACACCTGGGCAGCTACCTACGTCACACACCCGCGCGAACTAAGGCCGGCGCATGCAGCAGACGAATCTACAAACACGAGCCCAAGACTTTGATGCGAGATTCTTATTCCCGTCTTTACAGCGCGAATTAGGCGCACGATATACATGTTTTCTGCTATGCGCGCCAACACGACGCAGAAGGCCTACGACGAGGCTTTCCTTGCCTGCTCGACTGCAGTATACTTTGAGGGCCAGGTCAGTGCCCAACCACCCAGCAAGTGTCGCACATGCTCGACAATACTGACAGAACGGCGCGTAGAACAACGAGAAAGAGGCGTTACGATCGTGGAAAACCGCTCTTGACCACATCTATTACCATAATGCTCGTCGCAACCCCTCCACGTACCGTCCCGCGTCCGAAACAGAGAGGGCACTGATCGAATCGCTGCGTCAGTTGGAGCTGCAATGCAAAGAGCGTGTGGATCTGCTGGAAGCCCTAAAGAAAAGTAGACAGGAGTCGAAAGAGAGCCTTGCCTCGCAGTCGTCAGATAACGATGCCCCAACACCACCTCCACACGGCGTGCCCCTTTCGCAGAACGATACAAGCGCATCTTCTTCATGGCTCGGAGGCGGATCTATACCACCCATAGAATATACAGATCTTTCGCGACCGCCGCCATTGCCATACCGTCCTGCCATGGCGCCGCGAAAGAGCTCTGGTACTGGGTCTATACGAGACAACAGCTTGACGCAGACTCGGAGCACATCAACCCTATCTCCAGCGATGGCGGGAGAGAAAAAGACGCGAACACCATCCCCAGAGAAGAGTGGCAGAATGCTACGGACATTGAGACCTGGAAGGGAGAGCAAACCGTCTTCGGCGAAGTTGCCCAACTCGTTGAGAAGTCGCCCGGATGCTTCAAGGGCGGCGACCCAAGCGTGGAACGTCAAAACTACAGCGACCTCCAGTCGACCAGCGTTGGGGACTCCAAATCCATCGATCAATTCGCTTACACCCTCAGCTCGCTCGTCCATTGAAAAGCCGGCTGTTGAAAGGTTGGGTGCGTATTGTTCCAAACCAGAAGTACAGCAATTGCCCACACAAGCGCCGTTTTATTTCAGGGCGGGCGAAGGTTCAGCATCAACTGCGTATGCGGTACCACCATCCGGCGGCGAAACCGATCCGGAGCCTGTCAAATCTCCCGCACCCGAGCGAACAGCGCCAACAATACCTCGCAAATCAGTCGGTTTAACTCAAGTGCTCAATGCGCAAGGGGCCAGCACGGCTCTACCCTCATATCGGAAGGAATATCCAAAGCCCACACTAGACCCTCGGGCCCTCGCTGCTTCTGCAGCAGCGCATTCGTATGGTGACACTGGTGGTGAACGAGGTGGAGTCATTTGGGATCCTACAACACGGAGGCTAGTACCGAAACCCACAAGTGGTAATACTAAAGCGCGAAACAGTTCGGAGCAAGAAGACTTGCCTGAGTCTATACCGCTAGAAGAGGATGGAGAGTTGGTCAAGCAAAGGCCATCGCCAGTGCGGAAGGGTAGGGCTAGAGGAAACTCGATGCGTGCAGAACTACCAGATACCCCAAGTACGGATAGTACTGAAGCAGAACAAGAACCGGAAGAGACGGATGAATGGAAGCGCCGGACGGATGAGATCATGAAGAATCTACCACGAGGTGTGGATAAGCAAGCAGCACAGCAAATTTTGAATGAGATTGTGATACAGGGAGATGAGGTACATTGGGACGACGTATCTGGACTCGAAGTCGCGAAATCAGCATTGAAAGAGACGGTGGTTTACCCGTTCTTGAGACCTGACTTGTTCATGGGTCTGCGAGAACCTGCACGCGGTATGCTGTTATTTGGACCTCCAGGTACCGGAAAGACGATGTTGGCGAGGGCCGTGGCTACGGAGTCGAAGTCCACCTTTTTCGCGATTTCTGCAAGCAGTCTGACGTCGAAGTTTCTGGGCGAGTCCGAAAAGCTTGTTCGTGCGCTGTTCCAGCTCGCGAAGATGCTTGCACCATCAATTATCTTTGTCGACGAGATCGATTCGCTCCTTTCGTCACGCTCAGGATCTGGTGAACACGAAGCGTCGAGACGCATCAAAACCGAGTTTCTTATTCAGTGGTCTGACCTGCAAAAGGCAGCTGCTGGAAGCGCAGTCACTGACAAAGACAAAGAGAGAGGCGATGCCACTAGGGTACTGGTACTTGCAGCAACGAACCTTCCGTGGGCGATTGACGAAGCAGCGAGACGACGATTTGTAAGAAGGCAGTATATCCCATTACCGGAAGATTGGGTCCGGAAGCAGCAGGTGAAGACGTTGTTGAGCCATCAAAAACATGAGTTGAGCGACCACGATCTGGATTGTCTGGTCAAGCTCACTGAAGGTACGCGCTTACAGCTGATACTTCAAAGCGGCAATCGTAGTAAAAGCCCAAGACGTGGTATTAACCTAGATCTAGGCTTTTCTGGTTCCGATATCACTGCGCTTGCGAAAGACGCCGCCATGGGACCATTACGCTCACTGGGCGAGAAATTGCTTTCCATGACAATGGATCAAATACGGCCGATACAATTTCAAGACTTCATAGCGAGCTTGCAGACTATCAGGCCCTCTGTAAGCAAGCAAGGACTAAAGGAGTTTGAGGATTGGGCTACACAATTTGGTGAACGTGGAGGTTGAAACACTGATTTGGGACTGGCACTGCGCCAGTTGCGACGAATGAAGTATTTACATAATTGCATACAGGCTATCTGTATATTTGAATCGCTACATTCGATTTCTCGTAACTTGTTTATCACACTTTCCTGGGTTGGGCGTGGCTCCTTCCGTCTAAAGTATGCCCTTGACCTAGCGCCATCTCAGAAGGAGCTGGACATCTCACGCGTGGCAATTCCTTCTACTTTTGTTGCATCTATCGTACCATCACATTCGTAGCAGAAAATGGCGCCACGCAAGAAGACGGAGGAGAAGGCGACAGCCAACGAAGCATCGAATATGGTGTTAGAGTATCTGCGTAAGTCACTCACCTCACCATACATCTGAAAGCTCAACCGAACGGACTATAACTTGGCTTCAACGGCTAACTGGCTACAGGCAAGCAAAACCGCCCATACTCAGCTATCGACGTCTCAGCAAATCTGCACAACAAAGTCACGAAAGGTATGTTGTTGACATGATACTATCTCATAGGGCAGGAACTGATCACGATGCAGCTTCCGCAGCAAAGATCCTGAGGGATCTCCATGAGCAGAGAGCGATTGAGGGACGAGCCGCTGGTGAGTACCACTCATCCTACTTTTAGCTCGACCCAGTTGACATCTCCAGGCAAACAAATCGTCTACCACGCCCTGCAGGCAAGTTCCATCCTTGTCTCTTTTGTACCGTCGGCCTAAGTCTGATCCAATCTCCAGAACGCAGTTGAAGCATGTACGACTGAACAACTCGCCGCCCTCGATGAAAGCATCCTCGATCTTCGCACACAAACCAGCACCCTCGTCAATACAGCAAAGAACCTTCGCAGCTCACTGTCCCACCTAAACTCCACGCTCAGCACTGCAGACCTTATCGCCAATGTGCATACGCTCGAGATGGGGAGAGTGGAGATCGAGACTAGACTTGATGGGCTGAGGAAGGGAAAGGCGAAGAAGGTAATTTCACTTTCCGGTGAGCCCGTGCATGTACGCATGTACTGATCCTGCAAGGTCACAGCAACCGAGCGAGAAGCGATCGAGAAGGAGTGGAAGAGGAGTGCTCGTGTGGCGAAGGCGAGAGAGAAGATCGCGAATGATCTATGGGCAATGATCGAGGACATGTTGCCTGATCAACAAGCAAAGGAGGAGCATCAGAAGAAGTTCGATCTAGATGGATAAGTGTGTGATGTTATGCAAGAGATGGAAGATGCTGAAGGTATCATGTGCTAGCGATGTTGTAAATGTCAGGAGGGAGACGTAATGTAACCAATAAGGGCTTAAGTTTTAGAGAAACTAAATATAAAGATGCACTCAAGAGTGACATCTCTGAGATACGTAACTATTCACATCGTGCTATAGACGTCACTCATGTGACCTTTCCAACGAACGCCGCGCTGGCAAATAACAGTGATACGACCAAGAATTGAACAAGAGATGAGAGCTCGGTAGACAATAGCAAGTAAACGCCTCTACAATGCAGTTCTGATACCAATACATGAAATGCATGCGTGTAGCTGACTAGGCCAGCTGATAAGCCGACAAAGCTACCATGCCAGCGCAAACAACCCAATACAACGATATGCAACACCTGAAGTATCCAGGAGCTTGGAAACTTGATGACTCAAGAGCGCTGATAAGAGAATGAGCTGCGGAGGTCATCTCTAATCTCCTGCGACAAATTGTCATCATCGTCATCATCTATCTGATGAGGATCTCGTGCGCGCGATAATTCTTCGAGGGTCTTGGACAGGGCAGCGCCTTCCGTGCGTCCGCGGTCTACGTTGACGAGCATCATGATGGGGAAGGGGAGGCCAACCAGGATGGCTAGAAACCAAAAGGCCTTTAGTTTGCGTTAATAAGTCGTGTCCATGAAATAAGATTGTTTCGGGGTATAGTTACCGGTCTGATCTCTCCATAAGCATCGGTGATGGCGCCTACAATTGCAGGACCAAAGACACTGCTGCCTTTGTCTGTGATGGCATATAGAGCGTAGAAGGCAGCTTCATAGCCCGGGGGAATGAGCTCGCCGAATAGCGCGCGGCAATAACTGCTTAGTCCACCAAGAACGAAGCCGTAGACTGCGCCTAGAGGATACATTTCCCACTGCTGCTGCAAGCCTAGGTATCCCAGACGTTGTACTGCTGGAATGTAGCCAAGAAGACCGTAGATGGGTATCACCTCGAAGAGTGTGATGCAGAGCAAGATTGTTTGTGTGGGTGACAGACGGAAGAAAGCAGATAAGCGTGACCACAGGAAGGCGCCTAATACGCCGAAGACCGTTGCGATGACGTTTATCAGGGCGAGCATAGCGTATGACATTCCGAGTGTTGTCTTCGCAAAGAGCACTGCTGTGCCAGATACAGTGGCTATACTGTCCGAAAGAAGGAACCACGCTGCAAGGAAGAGTAAAACATCCTTGAGGTGCCGCGCATGCGTTGCTGTACGGCCAAGAGATTTCCACGAGTATGTAAAGTAGGCGAGGGCAGTACCTAAGTTGGAAGTTTGCGCGCCGATATGCAGAGGTGGTCCTGGACGGGGACGCAGCCAGCGGGCGGTGGGTAGTGTGAAGACGAACCACCACGCGCCAATTACGAAAAGGACAAGCCGGAGACCAAAATTGGATGATTGAAATGCTATGACAATGAGGATGCCGAGGGTCTGCACAAGCAAGGCAGCAATGTAACCGATTGCAATACCGTAGGATGAGATTTTAGTTGCGAGTGCAAGCTCTACTGAAGGAGCGGCCTTGCTTTTCGCCCTTGGAATGGTCAAGTCGGCGGCTGAGGGGTTGCTTGGAAGAAGTGCGGTTGTCGCATCGGCGACTTCGTCGAGAAGGCCTTCTCTCTGTCCAAGCTGGTTCGCGTACTGTGCTCCTCGTATAATGTTTTCCTGTGTGGGAGTTTCTCCGCCTCTTTCATCGTCCTCCTCTGTCTCCGCCTCATCATCTCCTTCGTCCGCGTATGAGATGTCGGTGACGGAGTCGGCATACTTGACTGTCGGATGGAAGCGCACCATCAGTGGCAGGAAGCTGTTTAGCAGTACGAAGCTAGCACCAAAGCATGTGTTTGCGACGATTGCCAGTACTGCACCCAGAAGGTATACCTTGGGCACCACGGGCAGGAACAACATGGTCGCTATGCTTCCAACGAATGCGAACCATAAGAGAAATGTTTTCCTGAACCTCCCGTGATCTGCAGCACCGCTCATGCTTATGATTAGCAGGGCCTGTATTAGGACTGATATGCTGAAAGTGTACATAGCGAAGCTCGCAGTGTTGATCTCGACGCCGAGGATATGGACGACGCATTGTCCCTTCTCAGGATTTGGTTTGAACAGGGCCTCTACGGCGTTGGTGGAGAGGGAGAAGCTAGGGTGAACGGTAGGCTTGGTGGCTTTGCATGGCGTGGAAGGGTCGGACAGGAGGACGCCATTTTCGCGCGCAAGTTGCTCAAGTGTTACGGGTATGAAGGATCCAATACCGCAAACAACGAAGACCTGGAGTGGTTAGTGGTGGTGTTGGCGTAGCTCTTGAGCTTGACGCGGCGCGTACAAGGCAGCAACACGAGGGCGAAGAAGCGCACAACTCTGGGACATGGAGGAAGCTTGAAGAAGTCTGAAGCAGATTGGAATGGCTGTAGATAGTATGGAAAGAAGTACCTCGGCAGCCCATCCATACATGTAAAAGCCGCGGAGCTCCTTGTCGCTCGTCAACCGGGTATCTTCGCCCTCGTAGTGGGGGTGCGAGTCGTTGGACTCCATGTCGAGGCTCTGGTCGGAGGAGAGACTCTGCTCATCGTCTGCCTCGTTGGACTGCGATATGGACGGCACCGAGACTTTGGACTGTGAGGATGCATTTCGCATGAAGGTCGGTCGCTGGTAGGGCGGGAGCTCGGGCGCGCGCGGTGCCATCGAATGAAAGCAGCCGTCCGCAAACAGGGTCTACACTAATTGGCGGAGGTGCGTCACCGCAACTGAGACATGTTGAAGGATCAGAGGATAAATGCGCAACAGCTGACAAGGGCCGGGTCAGGTTGGAGGGCAGGTTCTAATGGGCACGGTGAGGTCAGGACCCAGCTGAGGAGAGAGGTGGAGTTGTTGGGGCAGCGGGCGATCCCATGGTCGTGCTGGGGTCATGAGGGTTGAAGTATTGGCGGCATGACTGAACATCTGATAATGCGTCTAGTTGCAGTAGAGGCTATCCGAGAAGGCATTGGACAAGGCGCTTGCGCTCAAGCTCGCATCTACATAGACTACCGGCCGCCGCAGCCGCAGCCGCAAGCTCGCCGAGCCATGGATGGGAATGCGGTGAGTGACTTGATATACTAGTGATTAAATTGACTAGCTGTATTGCATCCGCCCTAGAAACTGTCTGGTGTCCTCGACGGACATGCATAGAGCGAGCTGCACCTACGGGGCCTGCCTGGATTTCGGATGCGCCATCGATGTGTTTGAAGGGAGACGCAGGGCTATACACTAGTACGCCAGGTTGCATGTGTGGAGCAGTCGCCAAGACGCTAAACCCAATGCAATCCCTCCCGTTTCGACGACCTCATTCTTGATCGCGGAAACAACATCATCGACTCAGCTACCCGGCGTCGCGCACCCCATTCACGATCACTCCAGACTGACTTCGATTGCTACACGAGCGCGACTGCCGCCACGACATCTCGCAGCATCCACAGTCCACGATGCGCTAACCGGCAGCGCCCCAACCTCGCTTTCTTTTACCTGCTGCATTCGATCAGCGCCCTTTCACCACCCGCTGCGCCTTGTGCTTGCTACCTGTGCGCATCCATTGTTACGCCAAAACACCAGCTTCATGATCGCACACTACTCCTAACCTGCGCGATTCACCACCGACTCCATCGCCAGCCCTCTAACTCCGGTCTCAAGCCCCCCAGACTCGATTGTCCTGCCGCCCATCTTACGCTCAAGATATTCGCGAAAACACCGCGAGATTTCGTTTTGGCCAAGCATATCAGGAAAACGCTAGACGCGCGTGCAGAACGGGTGCGCAGACAGCGCCCCAGGGCCGCGGGACCGAAGACGACGTAGTATGCCAGGCATTCTCACCATGAACCATACCGGGTCCGACTCAGCGACGGCTTCACGCGATGCAGATGGCAGGAAGCGCAATCACAACGCGGATATGAACAATGGCGCACCCAACGGGACGCGAATCGACACGCCGGCAGGGGGAACTGCTATTTCGAAAGACAACAACATCAACGGCGCATCCATGGCAGTAGCAGCAACGGCTGGTCCCACGCTCGAACAGTACTCGGATCTGCCACCGGAGATCGCCCACATCGGCCCTGAGCAGTACAACTCCCTCTCAACGCTGTTATTGCGGATATCACAGGAATCCTACAATGAGCTCGAGGAAGTACTGAAGAACATGGCCGCCATTCATATGACTCCAGTAACCAATGGCGCTCTTCCTAATGGTCTTGGTGCAGCGAACATGCAAGGAAATGCAGAGGCAAACAGGCGTAAAAAGCTGGTTCTCCTTTCGTTCGCCCAAGAGCAGCGGTCCAAGTTCATCAAGCTGCTAGTCCTTACCGAGTGGGGAAAGAAAGCTTCCTCTGACATTTCTAAGCTCATTGACTTGCTGGCCCACGCGAGTACGCAGGCAGCCCACATGGATGCTGCTGACTTCAAATTGGAGAGAATCAAGGTTCTCTCGAATAATGCAAGGGAGAACAATCCGGACATTGCGACAGCTCTGGAGGTGCTATCAACCGGCAAAGCGTCGTGGATGCCGAGCCTTGATTACATACCGCCTGAGCCCATCTCTGCCGAGCAAGCTCTTAAACTTTTGCGTTATATGAACACTTCCCTCTCGATACGCCTGAATGTGCACGAAAGCCTTCCACGACATCTCCAGAACTGGCGCGTGCATTCTGGGCGCGCAACCTTTATTATTGACAACGAGTTGGAGTTTGACGTCATGTCCTTTGTGGAGGATACCTCAGAACAGTGGTTTCTCATTGATGTCCGGTTACTATTCACCCCAGCGCCCACCATCACCGTCGGTAGCCGCTTCTTCATGCAGCTTAAGCTGCAGGCCGATGTGGTATTAAAGGACAAGGGTCTGACCGGTCTTTTCGATTTCTTGAACAATTTCATTTTGACGCACAAAATTTCTGTACTTCGATCACAGGCTATGGGCCTTGTCCGTGCCGGTTGGGCAGGCTCTCTCAAAGTTGAGCCTGTGCATCGCTTGCTCGTAGTGTCGTACTGGACCAACAAGCCCGGAAAGAAAAACTGGATCGAGATTGGCGTATCGAACAACAAGCCAAAGAGCGGCAAGGTCTCGTGGAGAGGACCACCCATTCCGTCACTGACTACACGCTGGTTTCGCCAAGGCAAGGAGGTGAAAGATGCCAAGTTCCAGTTTGATTGGAAGGATCTGTCCATGGAATACGTTCTCAAGCAAGTCATCGCACGCCACACGAGCGATATTCTGCGTTCTACGAAGGATAGTTTCAAATCTGGGGTGATGGCGATTACACGCCTTTCCGAGACTGAACCTGCGGATTGCACACTTAACGCCACGCTGGGTGCGACATCTACTTCAATGACACTGTCACTAGAGCAAGTCACTGGCAGCTACATCTTGCGACCAGCTAGTGCACTATCAGCGCGGGCAGAGAGCGCTTTCAACCAAGGCAGGGAGCCAGGACAGATCGCTAATGTAATGGCGCAAGTACTTGCCCGGACACTGCTTAGTCTGATCCAGAAGTACGCACAACAACTCGGCTGGCAATCAGTAGCGAAGCAAGCTTTACATCAGCAGGTAGTTTCGGCTGCCGTGAGGTTGGATGTCATTTCATCCATTCTGTACTGCCCTCGCGGTTGGACCCCAAGCTGGGCATTGGCAGCGGTGATCGACTCCTCAGGTGAATCGTGGTGGATTTTTGAAATCGGATCTGGTGGGAGAAGTATCGAATATGCCGAGCAGATCATGATGGACAGACCCGATGGAAGCTCCTTGCCTATCAATCGCAACACCCTGGCAAGTCTCGAAAGAGTTGCCGTGCAACTGCTGTCATTCCGTGTCACAGCTCGTCAACTAGAGAAGGAGAAGAAGAACTATAGTTTGAAGTATGAGCTAGGCCCCTCCGTGGAAGCTTGTCGCATCGCCCGTCGGTGGGTTCTACATGTGCAAACTGCCGATCTTCTTGTGGCTCAAGTAGGCCAAGACGCATGGCTCGAATCAGACATCAAGATTACCTGCGAAGGCATGAAAGTTGGAGGTCAAAATGTCTGGCACATGGCTGCTGGTAGGATGGCCAAGTCTGTTGCTGCGGACATGCACAAGCTCATGGCAGCTTCACCGCAAGATTCTTTCAAGTTCTCAGAGGACGGTAACTTCCGAATCCTCCTTGCCACGGTCTTTGGGCAAGACTTACTTGGAGAGCTGCGAGCACGACTGCGAGGTGTCAATCGTCTTCGTGCTTTTGCAACTACACTTCAAAAGCGTCAAATGCGGCTCGCATCCTCCTCTTTACAACGCGTACAATTCCAATACGGACCATCACCATACTCTGCTACTGTCAATTTTGGTTCCGAAAAAGAACTCACTATCGAGCTTTCACCCAGCAACCCGCACCATCGAATCCTGCCTCTACTCACCGAGATTGCCAACGATCGGATGCCTTCCTTACCGGCCATTAGCCTCAGCGATGCCAATGGTTTGGACCGCTTCTGTACGACACTCGTTGCCACCCGACCTCTCTTCAAAGTGCTTCGCGAAATCGAGCAACGATCGCCAGGCAACTACAGCAACCCCGCAATTCATGTCCACACCATCTTCAAATATCGTCTCACGTATGACAATCCTGTCTGCACCTTCGATGTTCGTCTCCAGCCCAAAGACGATAAGGTGTATTGGTTTGTCGAAGACAACTTGCGCGCAAAGGACCCCAACGTACTACCAACCCCCGAGCGTGCACCAGGTCATAGACGCCTTGACAACCTACAGGCTAAGCTGAAGGAGCTGTTTAGTGGGAAGGGCTCAGGGTGGTTTGGTACCCGCAACGGTATGGTGGCGGAATTGGATGCTATTCCTGACGCCCTCCAGAAGCTTGATGAATGCGTTCTGAGCTGTAAGATGGCGCGTGGCTATGTTGCGCCTCCACCACTCGAGAAATCCGTACAGCAAGGTCATAACCAGGGCTCTGGGTTAGGTCAGCAGGCGCTCGCACAGGTGAATGGGGGCCAGCAGGGGAATCAACAACAGCAGCAGGCTAGGATGCAACAACAGGCGCGCCAACAACAGCAACAGAGGCAGGGTCAATCTGGGAAACCGCACCCGAACCAGCAGCAACATTTGAGAGGCCAACAAGCGAATGGCAGACCACCTCAACAACAAATGCCAAACGGCCGCCAGCAAATGTCGCAACAACAACAAGGCAGAGGCGGTCCAGGAGGTCGTCCAGGGCAGTCCAAAAACGATGTCATCACTATCGATTAGTAATTGAGACGAATCTGGCCGTTTCGATCTCCCTCATTCCATCCGACCATGGAGTTTTTTCTACGTTCATGCATGTACCATGTTTCTTTCACGTTTTCACGTTACTTGCATTGGGTTAGCGGGACTATGATATAATTTGCATTTCTAACGTGCCTTATTGTTTTGCGGTTTGCTCAGGGTTTCCTGCTGTCTTGTACATTCTACCTGATTTGGATGCGTCCTTGATGTACCTGATCCATACTTCTTCTTTTTTCTTTCTTCGTAGTTTGTATGATACTCTTATACCAAATCCTTGGTGGGAAAACCAGGTTATGGGATATACGCACGGAGTCATGTTACCTTATAGAGTGGTACTAGCAGTTGCTCAAATAAATGCTCGAAATCTAGATGTTATAGTCAGTGTATAATGGTACAAACCAGAAATAGCATATTATGTTATCTATTCATTGTCCTTGCGTACCTCGGTCACGTGCTACTACCATCAACTACGATATACAGTCTATGCCGTCCATGCATGCAATAAATCACTTTCTCCATTTGCAATTTCTCTAACAAGAACCCAACTTTTTTTTTCCAATCTTAACCAATGATATGGCCTTCTCTCATGGATGGAACGCGTGGTAGACCAGTTGCTGGCCTCCTATATTGTCTTCGCCATAGCCAAATCGCGCCTGCAATTATCAAAAGTCCTCCCACAGCAGCACCAAGCGAAATGCCTGCTATTACCCCCTTTGTAAGGTTCCGAGAACCTGGACTGCCAGAGGAGGTAACGCCCGTTACCGTGCACTCTGAATTACAAGAACTTGACGTCGCCGTAGCATCGGACGAGATGGAGGCCGTAGGCATAGGCGTAGCACTAGGAGCGCCAAAACTGCTAAGTGTCCATTCCTGGCTCCCCGAATCCCCCTGCGCGAGAAAGGGCTTCAAACTCCCATCCTCGACATCGAGATAACTCCCCGGCCCGGCACGATTGTTGCTGACTTTGACGTTTCCATCGCTTTGCACGTCCAGTCGCCAATACTGTGCGTCTATGTCTTCTGTGTCGCGGAATCGTAAATCTGTCGTCTGGCTTCCCTCGTAATTGTATGTGCTAAGAGAGTAGCCGTCGCCTTTGTCTTCAGTGTGGAGGCGATAGTAGTCGTCTAAGTCGGTCTCTTCGAAGTACCATAGCTGGCTCCGAGTAGTGTCACTCGAGACGGACTCCAGGACGAGGGTATCGTTATCTGGGGTAGATGCGAGTGAGCTTTCTGATCCAAATTGGTCGGTTTTGATGATGTATCTTGTTGATGGATTGATGAGATTTGCCATTGTAAAAAGGAAGGGCGTTTGTGTTGTGTGAGACAAAAGAAATTTGTCGGCTTCTTGATATGGATATGAGGCTATGGCTCTTCTTTGCTTAGATGGGTTACTCCATTTTCCAATAAGCCACCACATCTCGAGCGGGCTATGCCATGTCACGGGTGTACTTCGTAAATAGGGCTGGCGCCTGCCAAGAGCGCCATGCATATGCTTCGTTGCCTTCTTGGTCTTCAGCTGCTCGAATCAACACCAGGCTGAAGGCACCTGTAAAATAGGCGCAGCCTAATGTGTGGCTTCTGCAACACTACTGTGGTAGGGTACATGCTGAGTCGGCTGGGGCCAAAAAAGGCACTGCAGGTGGTTGCGAAAGCCTCCACACAACCCCCTACGATCTTGACATAGCCTCGCGCTTATATTAAAGAAATGATTTGTCCTCAACAAATCGACATGGCATATTTTGTGACAATGAGGCAATGCAATCAAATGCTACGACGTAACCGTTTATGATGACGTTGTCAATGTATGGTACGAGGGAATCATGACTGTCTAGTACAGTACTGGGATTGTCGTTAGCTCCGTTTGTTTCCACCACAGAGTCGCCCACAGTTTATCCCACTCCAATCTCAGCACCAACTTCAAATCAGCCTTGAAGTACGTTGACTTTCCAAGCCCCTGGCGCACACGCTCCAATTGAATCTTACTCAAGTCAATGTCAATCTCGCCTGCGTTTCGAAGTTCTTTCACATGTCAGTTGTAGAAACCTTTTAGCCGGCATTACTACTCACCATCAGTGGCATCTTCAAGACGTGTCGGCCGGTGTTCCTCGTTGCTCAAATATTGCCAGATTGTCAACGTCATTGTATCCTGTCGCTGCTTCAAGAGTCGGATGTGAACCGTTTTCGACCGCTCCGTTGATTCGTTGAACAGGATTAGGTCGCCTTTGTTTAGCAACCACGTGAGTTGCCCTTTAGCGAAAGCATTTCCGCCGTGTTTAATGAAGTCATCTTGCTTCCCATGATGAGCTGAGGTATAGCTTTCGTCTAAGCATATTCCGTAGCTGTGCCGACAGGATGTAGTCCGCTTCAAGCTTCTCATGCCATGCTTCTCGATACCACAAACCACGGCACCTCGAACAACTGCCGTCCAAGATTTCTGAGGCCTCCAGTATTGCATCACCATCCTCTCTTGTAGCAACATCTCGTTGATCTGAGCTTGGAGGTACTCCGACTCGCCATATCCTCCTACCAGAAACAGATTCTTCCAAGGTTAGTGTATTGTACGATGACCATGAAAGACGAAGCTTCTTACTTTCGGACGATTCCGACGCTGCTCTCGAATCCGTTTAACGTGAACATTGATCAAATGCACGATTCTCTCAATTGATGCGTCAAAGAATGATTCCATCTCATGCCTGAACAGGTCACTATAGTTCAATGAAAATGAGCGTCGTATTCACCTTTTGATAGTAAGAAGACCCTGATTCACACGACCTGGGACACTATGATTCTCCAACGGAGCCGGAAGCTCTAGTTGACAGTCTGAAGACCTCACTGTGAACTGCTTCTTTTTCAAATCGAAGTCTTTCATGAGTGATCTCATCGCTGGAGTTTCCGAGGCGTGATTTGCGACTTTGTCAACGTCAAAAGTAGGGTCGAGCTTTCGATAGCAGTCATCGGTAAGTATGCCTCGTAGCCACCTCTTGAACTCAAGGTTGATGAATATTGAACCGCATTTATCGCCTGTGACAAATTAACCAGGCTTTGTTTTCTTGGAAGAGGATGCGCTTACCGGTCGGCATTCCAATCTGCTCCAACTCAAGCGCTGGCTCCAACTGCTTGACCTGGTATGATACCACATCCTATAGATCATGATTAGTTGGCTTTTATTGAAAATAGTTGGCTTGTTGGCGAACTTACTACTGTACCACCACCAGCATCGCAGAGTATGAAGTATTGGCCCACCTATATATCTTTAGTCCCGTAGGGGTGAATTTACTCAAAGTCATCTTTAGTGTTTTGGAAATACCTGCAGTATGTTTTGCGCGAGCTCGTCGCGATAATGGCGTGCAGTGTAGACTGCAGCAGCCTCCGGTTCTGTGATGAACATGACATCCTGCAATCTTGGGAAGCTAGCTCGATTGAACCCGGCTTTCGTCAGTGCTCGAAAAGTTGAGTTCATCGCCATGTAGGACCAGTCCTTGGGAACGTCAGCTCATACCGCATGTCATGTTTGGTACCGCGTACAGTAGGTATAGTAACCACAAGATCTGTGGCAGTATGTTTTCTCGCGATTGGTCCGAATTTATCGACTTCAACTTCTAGATGTTGAAATACTTTCTCCAGATAGTCGGTGACAATCTCCTCCGGGCTTTTATGTGAATAAGCGGGTACATCGTCGTGACTGCGTACAGTCTTCAACATCTCGTCGATGTTGAGATTGGCCATTCCATCTAGAACCTGGAGCGTCATATCTAATTCACCCAAGGTACTTTGTAGACCAAGCTCAAGTTTGGTATGCACCATGGAGATGGACTCAGCACTCAAATCACCACCCCACTCGTAGTCGGGACGTGAATACGAAATGACACTCGGAACTTTGTCGTCCACTGTCGCACCTTCTCTTGATCAGCAAAGCTCTATTCACGGGAATGAAAATGGCTTACCCCATTCTACCATGACGTCTATCTTTTCGAGCGAGCAGCTTGACCCAGATGGAGTTGCATAAGCCACACCTAAACTGGGTATCAGTCCACCGACGATGAGCAGCGACAATCCAAGTAGCATACCAGTGTATGTGGTGCCGTAGTCTAAGCCGATTACTAGTCGCGTTTCTTGCACGACTTCATTGAGCCTTTCTTCCAGTTTGTTTCTGGTGGAGCTATACTCGTCGTCTGCGTGAGAGAATACATAGGAGGCGTTCTCGGAGTGATACATTGGTTCTCTGTCATCCATCTCGAAGTCCTGCCAAGGACGGTGTGATGCTTGAAGTTTTCGTCGTTGAGCCTACTTGGAGGATACTTCATTCAGCTTCATTATAGTTTGATTACGCCGATTATTGTGCACCTGAGTCGCGAATAGCCTTGGGCTAATGCACCTGTGGGGTTATGGGACGAATGAAGCATATTGGCGGGTGCGTAAGCCATGTGTGAATGCGAGGCTAGGTTGCCTAGCGTAGTCACCTCGAAGCAGGTCGTGCAGTCAACGACTCTGCGTTGAGACCTGGATATTTGACCCCATGCATACGCCGGAAATGGATAAATTAAGCGTATGGCGTAGCGAATAACTTCAGATCCGGCTGGCCTTAGCCAATGAGCTCGCGATTCGTGTTCGCGATGTGCGCAGAGGCGCAAGGCTGATTCCCAGCCTTGTTGCATGTGTTGATGTGGCGCTAGCAGCAACATTGGAGCCGCCGGGTAGAATTCCAGCTCCAAGCAAGCCAAGACGAGTATGCGTTGTGCTGCCTACCGAAAGCCGCCAGTGTAGCTTGAGAGCGAGAGCCTTGACACATCGTATTTGAAGTTATCTTTCGATCCTGGAATCTGCATGACCATGTTTCTATTCTTTCTCAGAGAGACAGCTGAAGTGATCGGACACATGTGATAGCGATAGACCTAAGGCTGGCGCATCCATATTCAGCAACCTTTTTTCCACGTGTTTAGATCGGAGATGAGCATGAATATACTCAAGGCCCTCCGAAGCGGAGGAGCTCGAAGTCCAGAGACAGACACACCTTCCACTCCTGATTTCCTATCAGGCCAACAGCAGCAATCCGATACAGCAATGTCAGGTCCTAAAAAAGCCAGACTAGGTTTTCTGGGAACTATTGGATACAGCCAAAACCCCGAGATACGACGAAGACATAAGAGGCAGAAGGAGCCAAAGAACACACCAAGCCATCACTACCCTTACAGCGCATCCACGGAACCTCAACCGATGTCATCGAAGGATGTCTCACATGGTCAATATCACCACGCTCCGTCACAAGCTCCTCAGCCGCCTCTCGCCCGTGATCCAACAATCGACCCCAACGAGTCAAACAGTGCTCGCCCTCTACCAACGCCAATATATGCGTCTAATATGGAACGTTCACCGCTCCACATGAACCATACTGCGACAATCGAGAAATCACGCTCCTTTGACACATATAATTCTCATACAAAAGCGGGCTTACCCAACACCCACACAGAATATGTAAATCACACACGACCACATAACAGGATCAAGACTGACCAGTAATTCACAGTTCTCAGCCAACAACCGAGGTAGACCCCAAAGTCAGGAACTTGTATCAAGGGCTGGGTATAAATTTCCGATATTGCAGTCACAATCTCGAGAGACGCTGGAAGAGGCGGTTACAAGGTTTCCAGATCGAAATTGTGAGCTTTCTAGTTCTTTCAATGAAGAACACATTTCACTGAATCAACATGGGGTGCAGGTAGCTTCCGTGGGAGGCCTGCAAACAGAAATACAGAGGCTAAACAATGAGCTGCGAGCTAGCAACACCAAAGCAGAGGATCGGAGGAAAGAGGCCAGCGATAAACACCAACAAATGATCAAAGCTCAAACAATGCTGGGCGAACAGAACGCAAAACATATGCAAGAAGAGAGCTACTGGAAGAGCGAGATGGAGAAATTGAAGCACCAACACAAGAGTGAGATGGACGAGGAGACGCAGAGACTGCTTAATGAAAACGAGCGAATTAAGGTATATTACGAAGAACAATTACGTACAGTTCATCAGCAAGAGAAAAGGCGATACGAACAAACGATCAGCAGTCTTAAACAGCAGCTGACTGAGGAACACTGGAAATGGGATACCCACGTGCGAGGATTGAAGGACACTCACGAAGCTCGCATAAAAGAGCTACAAGGGGGGTTCGATCAACAAATGAAGGATGAATACGACCAGCATGTTCAGCAGATGCTGCAAGAAAAGGAAAGATATGAAGAGATGATGAATAAGCACTATTCGGATGCTGCTCGAACGAAGCTCGAGGCGGAGCAGGAAAAACTGAGATTGCGTGAACAAGTACAAATTGAGCAGGAAAGGCTTCAAGAAGAACAGGGACGGCGTGAGAAAGAGCTCAAACGGCAGGAAATTCGTTTGACCCAGAAGCACACAGATGAGATATTCCAGCTTCGTACCGTCACCGAGGAGCTGAAACAAGGTCTCTTCCATAGGAAGCACTTCAAGGGTTTGAGAGATCGTGATCTTGCCAATCAATTTCTTAGTATCGTAGGTCAAGTACAAGACTTCGCGAACGTGGAATGGGATAGTCGCCTTGCCTTAAACTGGCCTTTCAGCGAGCACCAGTTACTCGACCTCCATCGCGAAAATACGAGAAAACTTAAGAAGCAGATCATCCAGAACACTTTGTGGGTGCTGCTTTATGATCACATCTTCGCAAGCCCATTCAGGATCCTAGGTTTAGAAGGAAGGGATCTTGATCGCGACTGGATAGACATCCATAAGCCCTGTAAGTCTTGAACCATTCCAATTATATGCCATTAGACTAACAGGTCGCAAGACACTTCCAGCTCTGAATGGCCTGAGATATCAGAAGATGTCGAAAAGAGACGGTACGAGACGGCAAAGTCATTCTTAGCCGTTATGGAGTCGTCCACGTGGCCCTCGGGAGATAATCTGCGGCTCAAGACCGGCTATAACAAATCCATATCCGACTTGCTCGACGCTCTACATGGTGCTTTAGAAAACGTAGCTACTATTGGAGACAGGCATGCTAAGACGCTCGAAGGTCTCGTGAGACTTTGTGCAAGGATGTGGATGGAGTTTTGCTCGCAGCCTTATAGACTGATTGTGAGCCTACCCGCCGGGAGTGGAGATTTGCTATCAGATCGCAGGACGAAAGAGCGCGCTCCCACGTTAGTCCTTAGCCCGGAGCTCAGGCGGTATGGGAATTCCCAAGGCGAGCACCTTGCAAGTGGAGAGGTCATTCCGGACTGCCAAGCTGCGAAAACATCGTATCCTATCCGATGATTGAAATAGCAAATTATGTTCGCACCAGCCTCACAGAACCAATGAACACGTGAACCCTTGCAAATGACTGTAACCGCTTGTGGAATCATGTCGCTCAACGCAGCTTTGAAGCGAACGGCTCATATGCCAAAATCGTACCCCTTGTGTGATTGGACGCCCATGCTGAGAACCAAGAACCGTGTCGCGAGAGGCTGAGGGAGGCAGACTTCCCACAGCGCCTTGCTGGGGATGTCATCGGGGCGGCTGAGTGACGAAGCACCGCATGAGCATCGACTTTATGCACCTGCAACATCTTCAAGGATCGAGCCGAAAGTGGTGTGCTAGTCTCCAAAGGCTGGGATCAGTGGGCTGCAAGCGTGAATTCTTAGGCTACAACAGCCTTCTTGCTAAAGCCCTTGGCATGCACATGCAGCCACCGAAGACTGCGGAATAGCATGTATCCGTCGATAAGCCGCGCCCATATTGAGACAGCCTCGCTCCCTTTTCCTGTCGAACGGCCAACTCGCTTCCCTAATTTCTCTCCTTAGATTTTCATTACAAATGAAAGTCTTGCATTTACCTCTGCAACCTGAAACCGTACCTTTATTCATTAAACAGAGCCATGCGCATTTTAAAGAAGACAAAAAGCCTTTGGCAAGTAGGAAGAACGTCTAATTCAGAAGTCCCAGCGCCACTGCCACCACTCAATACAGTAGACGCTCCTCCATTACCTTCAATCGAGCAGCATACTCATCGTCAATTTCTTCAAAGAACGCCGGAGCCGGCTCAACTCGTGACGGCTGAGAACATACGTGAGCTGAGGGAGAGAATCAGGTACCGATACAGTCTCGACGTCGAGATCTTGAAGCAGAGGAATGTCAAGAAGTACATGCGCGGAAATCTAGAAGAGAATATGAGAAAGTCTGTGGCTGCGCTAGCAGACATACAGAAGATGGTGGAAGGCTGGGACCGTCGAGAGTTCTTCGCCACTGAACTGGAATACAGGAAGTTCCAGGATATCAGACAGCGGCTTTTGACGGGGACCAAAATAGACTGGGAAAAGAACAAGCCGTGGGATCTTGCGGTCAGTAACATGGTTCCTCTCCGAGCACCATACGAGATGAGCAATCGGACAGATCCGATAGCACAGCGGCCGGGCCCTTCGTCGTTCGGGGTTCGCCAGGCTGTTAGAGAACGTCCAGAAGATGTGCCATTTGCGCGACAAAGCCAGATGCAGAATCATAGATCCAGCCGAGAGCCCGTGCAGAATCCTCCACGGCAGACCCAGCATTTTGCGAATACCCCACAACAGATACAGCATAGCATGGATTCCCTACGACAAGAACATGATGGCACACAAGCTTCGAGACAAGTTCCATATTTTGCAAACCCTACGCCTCAGATGCGGCATGCGGCAGATTCCGTAAGGCAGAGCCAATTTGTCGAAGGCCTCTTGCAGCAGAATGTGTATGCTCTGGCATCTCCACAACAAAGCGAGATCTCTCTACACTCTTCACATAGAAGTGAACTTGGTGTGAGATCTCCTCCGCCGAGCGAACTAGCTCCAGGATCTCCTCCGCCGATCAGATACGCCGCATACACTCCGTCCGATGCTCATGGGGCACAGAGGTCACAGTCTTTCATGCCGAACACACAGCCCGCGGCACCATACGGCGATCTTCCACATCCACAGCAGGGTGGAACTGCGGTAGCCACGCATAGGCAGACTGGAGTGTTGCGTCCGTCTCGACAAAGGGATGTACGGAAGGTCTCCGCTCCAACACCACAGATCAAATTGACCGCACCTACGCCGCCCGTGGGCCGAAGAGTTTTATCGGATCCGTCGCATGTTGATAACACCAAGTATCGACCGATACGTATGGATAGCCCTATTCCAAAGGGGCGGGTCGAAGGTCCTCCGTCATCTCAACACAGTTCCCCCGGGTATTGACAGAGTGCGACCTGATGCTTGCTTGCCCGAACGTCCTCTCTGGAAGCTTTGTTGAGCTAGGATCGGTATCAACTCCTTCCGAAAGGCGCCTTTATCTCCTATTGCTCGCCTGAAGTCACGTATAAGTTTGGTGCCGTTCGAATGTTCGGCGCATCGTGTCAATAAAAGGACTACAGCGCCTTTGGTTCAGACCATTGACTGACTGGGGGTCCGCGGTTGTCATTGAATTTGTGTCGGCGCGTCGTATCTTGTGGATGAGGCATAGTGATTATGTATAAGGTAGATTTAAAATCTGTTGCTGTGTTACAGCATTGCTAAGCGATACATGTGCCCCGAACGTGCTGGCTGACGATATGTAAGGACGTCTGCTATGTTCACAGCATTCTGATTGCGTGTGGAGATGGTGTCTGTGCGCTTGCAACGTCATCGGCCTTTAGTCTTGCCGGCATAACCTCTTGGTTTTCCATCATGTACTCCAACATCTATTTTGTTCTCTTTATTTTAAGGAATATATACAGCAACGATTTGTCTGGTCTGTATCGCGTGAGTCTGGTGTTATGTTTACGTTAGCCCTGGTAGTCACACATAACAGTTCGATGACGTACACTTTTAACGCCTTGTGTGCCTCTTTACCTGGATAGGTGCTGTCTACTCGTGCTACGATTCGCAGGCTGCCTTGAAGGCCCGATCTCTTCATGTCGAAAACTTGTGCTGTTCAAACACTGAGTACTCACCATCATGTGCATAGAATCGGAAACGATTCAACATGCGGTGGTCATTATAATCTATGTTCAGTTGTGCTGAAACAAGTTGGTAGTATATGAGAGTAGTTGCGACTCATTCATTTGTTCCGGAGAACTGATCGATGTATTACTGCTCAATGTCGGCACTTCCGAACCGACTTTGCGAGACCTTTTACGCAACTACTACCGTCAATCGCTGTTTCGAAGGTGGCAGATTCTGAATTTGCTTCAGACTTGTGAGTTCTAGAGGGTATTGTGGCGATGCACAGGCTGACCAGCGAGCTTTACACTGTCAACAGAATAACGGGATCGATCTCATTTTGGCCATCGTTCGCAAGTGGATCATGTTAGGTATAAGACTCTAGACTATTAAGTCGCCTTGTGGTCAGCTAGGTACGTGTACCTGAGCTTTGATCGGAGGCGTCCCTGCAAACGACTCTCTGAAGAACGTGAGGGATTGATAGTATGATGAGCGAAAAGACGGTATGACGCATCGCTAATGGCGGACACCATCGCCTGGCTTGAATTCAGGGCATATCAGCTGTTTGTCTTCGACATCTACAAATGCCATCTATCCTAAGAAGCAGCTTTCGAAAGCGTTTCACAACGGTATCCTTGGATACCGTCAGTCTGCCGTATGAACACCCAAGTCTGCGGCAATCATCTACCCTACATAGTAAAGAGTAAGAATTCGATTCGCCCTAGTCAGCTGTCTCACCATTAGACCTCTTACCGCTCTATTACCTCAAGACATCGCAGAATGTGGCACCTTTACTTGTTCGTCAGTATCTCTTAGACATGTACCTCTGGCGCTAGCTACCTATATGAATCAGTAATTGGTCTCTCACCTCTGTCTTTTCTACCTCGCCTTCAAGGCTCGGACACAAACTCTGGACTTGATTCTCGACCGACAACCGACGTAGACTAATTACAGTGATCGGCTTGTACCCACTCAACTCTTACAACACTTGCTGTATCTTCCAAAAAAATCACCAGAGGCAACCCTACGCCCGTTCCTATAAGCTCCGCCGACGCCATGAATGTTGGTGAGCTGGTACGCCAGACGTCTGCGATGAACATTACAGAACACCCATGGCTGGAGAGCACCGAGAAGGTATGTGATTCGTTCGTTGAATTGTTCATGTTGGCTAATATATTCAGCTCGACAAGGTCCTAACTCTCAAAGAGGTTTGCCTCGGCAACTGTCGTCTTCTTTACGGCAGCGAGAGGTTTAAATTCTATGGTTAAAACCCTCCCATCGATTCTCGACAATAGAACTGACACAAGGCTAGACGTCGTTATATGCGAGGATGAAGACACAAAAAGCTTCGCTGCTATCTTGACATGCAACCAAGATGGCCAGACGAAGCTGCTGCGCACCGAATTGAGTGTATGTCCTGTCGTGGCTGTTCGTACCCTGGTAGATGGTCTTCAAAAGGATACAGCCAAACTGTTTCGTACGCTCTTTGCCATATGCAACATCTCCGATGTTTTGCTAACTCAACAATGTAGTCAAGTACGCCGTGGGTTCTCAGATTCGAGGCCAGCAAGGATTTACCAATATAGAAACTGGCAAGTTCGAGTTGTGGGATGCTGCACAAGAGAAGCGTATTCGTGGTCCCAACGATGATACGCAGGGCCTTATTCGTAGCTGGAGCGATGGACCGGGTGCTGATGGTCGGCCTCTGCCGGGTCCCCGCGGTGATGGTTATCATGGTCGGAACAACAAGCACATGAGGCCAGTCGAACGTCCGGAGAAGCCCATGATTGAGACGGACATCATTGATCTCGACTACTACGACTAGTAGGATATGAAGAGCTAGGGGACTACCTAGATACGAGAGATATGGGAGAATGAGAGCCTAGGCTAGCATCCGATTAGACATCATGATGGAACTTTTAGTATGCTGAAGTATTAAAGTGGATACACCTCTATCTAGTCCTTGTCGACATCATGGTGAGCTTGAGGATCTTTTAGGGCGTGTTACAGTACTTCTAGTACAGATATTTTGATGTATTGGGGGCCGATGCTCGTATCAGATGATTTGAAGATATTCGCAGAGACCTCGGGCGGACGACGCGTGTGCACGTGAAGTGGAGTTTGACTGGGTCCAAGCGCCCGCGTCATGACGTACCACGACTCCCGCAGTACATTGCCATCCACTTTGCTCACGGCTATGTTGCTTGAACCTGTCTTCACATCATGAACAGTCCCTCCAAACGCCGGAAGAAGAATGACGGCTCGGGGAAGCCGGTACGCAGCTTGGACTACTTCTTCGCAAAGCAAACAGCTAAAGCGACACCCAAAGATGCGCCGACGAACACAGGCCCCAGCGAACCGCCTGTGGACCAAGACGATATAGGGATGACTGATGAAGAACTCGCGCGCAAACTCCAGGCGCAATGGGATAAGGAGGACCAACAACAGGGGTCAACTCAGGAGCCGGCGGAGCCGGTGAACTCGAATGAGCTGTACGAGGAGCCCGAAAAGGTCACTGTAAACACGGCGCAAGACACAGAAGAATGGGATGGAATCTCGGAGCTGCCAACACGTGAAGTTACTGTAGGGAATACGAAGCCTGCAGAACCTACCCAGAAGAAGAATACGCTATCCCTCCAATCGACCGCCTCGGAAGAAGACATGATAACAGCAAACATACCCTTCGATGAAAGCCCTCTCGAATATGAACCCGCAAAATATATACCAGAGTTGCAAAAACATTGGGTGACCGACGGAGGGCATGCGACATACGCGTTATTGACACGATGTTTCATTCTGGTCAACAGCACAACAAGTCGCATCAAGATCGTTGACACTCTCGTCAACCTTATCCGGACAGTTATCGAAAGCGATCCTAGCAGCCTGCTTCCAGCCGTCTGGCTCGCGACGAACGCGATATCGCCCCCATACATCGATCTGGAGCTCGGATTGGGAGGCTCAGCAATTTCGAAAGCGCTTAAGAAGGTCTGTGGACTGGACAATGCAGGATTGAAAGTGCTGAACGCTAAATATGGGGATGCTGGAGATGTAGCTTTCGAGGCAAAGAAGAAGCAAAGCTTCACCCTGCGCAAACCGAAGCCTTTGACGATCAGGAGTGTCTTCGATTCGCTAGTCAAGATCGCAAATAGCAAGGGTCATGGCAGTGTGGAGAATAAGCAGAGAATCGTCGAAAGGCTAGTGCAGGATACGCGAGGTGCTGAAGAAAGTCGATACATCGTACGGACGCTCGTGCAGCATTTGCGGATTGGAGCTGTCAAGACTACGATGCTTATCGCTCTGTCCCGCGCGTTTATGCTGTCAAAGCCTCCAGGTGCTCAGTTTGAGGTCCGTGATCGAAAGGACATGGCGAAGCTAAAGAAAGAAGAGCTCGCGGAGATCTACAACAGGAATGAGGAGATCGTAAAGGCTTGTTTCGCTCGACGACCAAACTACAATGATCTTGTACCCGTACTACTGGAAATCGGTGTTTGCGACGAACTACTCGTGCGCTGTGGGCTGTCACTACATGTCCCTCTTAGACCCATGCTGGGCAGTATCACGCGCGACATGGGCGAGATGCTCACAAAACTGCAAGGACGAGACTTCGCCTGCGAGTATAAGTACGATGGACAAAGAGCACAAGTACATTGCGATGCTAAGGGCAAGGTTACGATCTTCTCACGACATCTGGAAGTGATGACTGACAAGTATCCGGATCTGGTAGCGCTGGTTCCCAAGATACGAGGCGAGGGCGTCTCAAGCTTCATCCTTGAAGGCGAAGTTGTGGCTGTTGATCGGGAGAGTGGAAACCTTAAAACCTTTCAAACACTTGCAAATCGTGCAAGAAAAGACGTCATTATCGGCGCCGTGACCATCGATGTCTGTCTGTTTGCATTCGACCTGATGTATCTGAACGGCGAGGAGCTGCTGAACCGGCCTTTTAGGGAACGGAGGTCTTTACTCAAAAGTCTGTTTGTTGAGATACCGCACCATTTCACTTGGGTCAAGAGTCTTGACGCCACATCTGCCGACGTAGAAGCAGTCCAAGCCTTCTTCCAAAGCGCCTTGGACATCAAATGCGAAGGCATAATGGTCAAGATTCTCGACAATCTCCCCAATCCCGACCTCCTCGCCGAAACCGACGAAGCCATCGAAAAGACGCCCTCCCTCCCACCAACGCCGAAGAAGAAAAAGCCCACAAAATCAAAAGCCAGATCAAAGTCCACTGATGGCGAAAAAGACGAACCAAAGACATCCGGTCGCCGCAAAGCCCTTCTCTCAACATACGAACCGGACAAACGTCTAGACAGCTGGCTTAAAGTGAAGAAGGACTACAGCACCACCTCCGAAACCCTCGACCTCATTCCCATCGCCGCCTTCAATGGCTCTGGTCGAAAAGCAGCATGGTGGTCGCCCATCCTCCTCGCCATCCGCAACGCAGATACCGGGCAACTGGAAGCAGTCACAAAATGCATGTCCGGTTTCACCGACGCCTTCTACAAAGCCAATCGCGCAAAGTACGATCCAGACGACCCTGATTGCACGAACGTGCTAGCCGGAAAACCGCATTACGTGGAGTATAATGGCGGAGCGGGGACGCCAGTTGTTTGGTTCGAACCGCAAGAGGTCTGGGAGGTAGCTTTCGCGGATCTCACGTTGAGTCCAACGTACACGGCTGCGATTGGGTTGGTTAGTGAGGAGCGAGGGCTGAGTACAAGGTTTCCGAGGTTCTTAAAGGTTAGAGAAGACAAAGGAATCGATGAGGCGACGGAGGCAGAGGAGTTGGCTAGTCTTTACCGGAAACAGGAGGCCAAGGCGCCCAAGAGAGATGATGCTGTCAAGGAGGTTGGCGACGAAGAGGACTAAAGGAAGGCATGGCACAGTAATTCTTGGATACCCTGGTGATAGCGTCACCTGCAACGATGAATGTTGTTACAAAGCACTCTCTGATTGAAAACACTCTCTAAGACTACCATCTTAATCGCCCTTTCATCCTGCAACAACTGATACTTCAGCCTGCGAAGCTTCAAAAACCTGATCTGCTTCCTTCAAAGAGACGGAGATAGGAAGACTGTGGTCCTCCTCCAACGTGGGGTATCTGCTCTGCAGCATCGCGGCTCAGCATTGTCGAGTGTGTTCCGCACATGCGACATGCCGGCTTGCTCTTCCTCCGCCGTATTATTGGCGCGACCTTGGAGCGGTCATCCGGCTTCGGCGGGAGGAGCGGCGGTGTGCATCACATCCACATCCTTTATGAGTTTAGAAACCGTGGACCTTGATGGTCTTGCCATCAAGGCCCAGGCCCTCCTTCTTGTCAGTCAAGAAGTCTTGAACATCCTTGCGCTGGTCTCCCTGCAACTGGATCACCTCTCCCATCTCGGTGTCTGCGACGACAGTGCCATTGCAGGCGAACTTCTTCTTGATGACTTTGAGAATCTTCTTCTGGTCGAACTTCTTAGGTAGGCCTTGGACCGTCGTTAGAGTCTTGCGACCATTGCGCTCTGTTGGGGGTTGACGTCAGCCTTGCGCGATTTCTTGAAACATGGGGAAAGAGGGGAAGGAATAGCGCGCCGATGTCGCGCAGAAGACGAGATCGGAAAACAGGAGATAAGAAGGTGTACATACGCTGGATACGAATATGGATGTAGTTTTGCTGAGTAGACTTTACTTCTCCTCCAGCATCATCAGCCTCCGCGAACGGATCGAAGGACTTGAGATTCTGGATGTCCGTGGTCATGAAATCGACTGGGGCGCTCTACGGGTGCTGAGAGAGTGTAGTAGGTCGGTCGTTCGTGGTATAGTGGGAAAGTGGAGAGTGGTCGTGTGTGAGGAAGGTCGCGAGTAGTAGAGTGGAGCGGTTGAGGGTATTAATCGGCGAAGGGAAGGGTGGCGAGGGGACCATCTATGGGGGAGCCTGCAGGCGGTCTAAGCCCCGCTGCCAAGCCTCAACTCCGGAACAGTCATTAGCGCTGCTGAGTGATCCACCGACCTCCCGGGCTGTCTGCATTCACCACTTCTCCGATTCTTTTGTTGACGTGGGCAATTCTCCTGATGCATATCACAGTCCCACGACTTGAGCACTGGTTAAAGGCATGACTGTCTTCGCGACTATGACGTCTCCTCGTATCATGTGTCACGATCTTATCACGCATGCCCATGCGCATTGTCACCCGTCTCAACAAAAGCGCATAGTGCACCAACAGGCTTGAGGCTTTATCGCTAGTCATGGCAAAGGAAGCTCATTTGTAACTCATGGATATCCCCGGAGCGACTCGCTGACCTGTCCAGAACATTCTACCAAGGCATGGAAAACCCAATTATTTTCACAAAGACACCGATGTCACCTCCCGTTATATTGGTACGCAGAAGATACACGAATAAGCAAGAAAACACGACCAACAAATTTGTTAAGAGGCTTTGACGTCCAAAAATCAACTCGATACTGTGCCACAGCTAGAGGATGCAGATCTACTGAATAATGACTCCATGCTGATTTCAACTACTCACGATAGTCTTCATCTATGCCAGATCTCAAAGGAAACCTCATACTTAATCTAGCTGAATTCTACATATTCGCTTCCGCGACACACATATCACTGCCTGTCCGCTTATTCTGCAGACCCTTCGGTGACCGTCCGTGATTTCCAGATTGCTATCGAGCAGTCAACAAGGCGAGTGTATTCGTTCGCCTGTCCAATGCCCCCTCTCACTGGCCGTGTTACTGTCCTGCGGTCATTTTAGTCATCCGTCGATCTGGCACGCCTCTCTTTTCCACCAAACTCATCGCTAGCTCGTTCCAAAACTCTGGCGGAAACCCTTTTCTGTGTGAATCTTCACCCTGCGCCTTCATCAAGTCTCCGGTAGCCTCATAAGTGTAGAAGTCCACCATCATCCTCCGAGCTCCACATGCGCCAGGAGTGCCAGCGTAGACGATCCATACGTGCTCGTTTGATGGAATTCTAGCACTCTCTACGGACTTCGCAAAGATAACGTTCAGAGCGGAGTTTGCAGCCTTAGTGTCTTTGACCGAGTGCGCAATGTTATGGAGTTTGCACAGGAGGGCGTACTCGTCGTGATCAGTGTCGGATGAGCCATTGGGTTTGCTTGGAAGGCGACCGGTATAAACGAGCTGGAAGTAAAGAGCAAAGGCACGGGGGTCCATTTCAGGCAGATGTAATACGTTTTTCTCCGGGCATTTGACAATGCAAGGGTCTTTCGCTTCCCGTAGCTCCGATGGCAGGACAAAAAGATGACGAGATATATCTATGACTCTTCCCGGTGAACAGGAACAATGAGTTCTCTTAGAGTAACGACAAAAAATATTAGTCGAAGCGGTTAAGCTGGACACCCCGGATCGAACGCAAGCTGACTTAGCGACCTGGTCGCGTTTGCGTATATGCACGAACAGCCAGCATATGAGAGACTGATGGCGTGCTATTATCAGGTTCGAAACGTCGATTGTGCATTGTTCTACATGCAGAAAGGTGCACGCGGGTCGGATGTCTATGCAGCGCGATGAGCTGTTGATATCCAGCGCACTTGGACTTCAGAAACGCGTGAACCTTGAGCGGACCTGATATGAGACAAAGTCTAGAGTATAACAAATCATGTAGTGTTGATATACCTCTGGCATCTACATGGCTCTCTATCAACGCTGAGATCGTTCCACTGAATCACTAAAGTGTACGACATGAGGGATCCTGGCGATATACGGCGCCGTGTCGTACGAAGAGTGATACCCAAATCAAATACCGTATAACCTCTGGCTACACTTTTACCATGTAACTCTTGCCTCCAGATCATGTTGCATTCCTTCTGCCCATTCTTCAAGAATGGGGTGAGCATGAATAACTTCCGCTCTATTTGTCTGGCTGTCTGCGGGTAGCTGTGCGCAAGACAGTGATTAAGTAAAGCTTCCCAAAAGTGAACCCATATCGACCTTCTTGTCGTCGCGTACCTTCCTTCTCTTACCATCAAGCCGAGACTTGTCTTCCTGGACACGCTTCATGGGTCGAACAGGTTGGTCTTTCAGCTCCCGGATGAACCATGCGGGCTCTCCAGCCAGCCCTGTTTTATTATGCTGAGTATATTGCATGGACAAGGACTGGTATGTCCTGTCGCCAGTAGGAACGTTTTTGGATATCTCCAGGGAGATATCATACAAACGTCGCATGTCGAATGCTCTCGAGGTATCAGAAGTTCCCCACACGCTATGCTGTAAGGTTTCGTCACGACCGCTGGTGTTACCCTGTTAGTAAAACGAGCCAACATCTCAGTATGAGTAACCCACTTTGGTGGAAAACGCAAGTGCCAATCTTCCCAACAATCTTCTGCCTTAGGAGGATCGTCTGAGCCAAAGATCCCAGCGAGATTTAAGCTAGGAAAAGAGGAAATGCTCTTTAAGACTGATCTTCGTGGGAGGGAATTGCAGCCGTCAACGACAAGTACTCGTAGTTCTTTGAAAGCACCACTTTCGCTAACACTCCGTCCCCAATTGCGTATCGTGTGGATGGACATTGTCCCATCCCAAAATGCAAGTGAGTCTCTCCCAACCTCCAGTGCGAGTACTGCAAGCGTATTGATCTTAGCAAGGGCAATAAGTTGATCGATCGTCAAGTTGAAGGTCTGGATGCAGAGGAAAGTCAACATGCCAAGGTCGAGTTTGACCAAGCGATCAATGACAGAGGGCAAGAGATTTTCGGATTCCCAGTCAAGCACACGGAATGTAGAGTGGCGATCAATGTCTTTTGGAAACGCTTTCCGAAAGAGGCTCCACGTACGAAAAGTCAGCGTGTCGCTGTATAAGTGGATTAGCCAGATCACGAAAACCCAAGTTGCGACCTTTGACCCACGTAGACTTGATACGGTCGTATAAGCGGCTGACATACGGCCATCCAAGCCATTGCAGAGTTTCAGGTTCCATATAGTCAATGTTCCAGATACAACAACGGAGGGCCATTGATTGCAGGGTATCGCATCCTGGAGTTGGGCGCCGGTGCTTCGATGGGTCCACTCTTCGACCCCAAGAATGGCTCGTCCATCCCGGTATCATTGAACGGACCGAAGTTGACGTCGTCTCCCTATAGACAAGGCCAGACGAAGGGTCAAAGCTCTCCATGCTTCTGACTGACTGATTGATGAAGTGAACACGATCAAACTGGCGGCTGAAGGGACGCGACGACCTGTAGAGGTGCAAAATATGTTGAGCTAAGCCGACAGCACAATGTTCAAGATGCTTCACATGATACAAGCATTTCGAAGCGTATGGTGATTGTCCGCAGTAGTCATATTGCGCATGTATGAATAACGTTGAAGAGTGATGATGCTCGACGCGTCGACTGCAGACCCATAATTGTTGTTAGTGCTTCCTGCTCATTGGTCGCTTCCCCCAAACCACACGCATTCACGCCACCCACGATCAAGTAAGGGCAATGGCGGGTTATCATGTGTTATGCTGTTTTTGGGATGACGCCCGGGCAAGTAACGCAAGTGGCAGTGCAATCACAGCAGAGTCAATGGCTTCTCAAGTAAAACTTTCTCTGGACGTTCGAATGCCCATTGAACATCGGCGCTCGAAACTCCGCACATCGGACAATGACTAAATCTCAGCACACAGCTTCAACATTCTCAATCAGAGCCTCGCGTTTGCTCAACGTTTGCATCGTCTACTCATCTCTAGATCTCTCGTGAATCTGTCCCGAGTACCATCATGGCATCATCACAAGCACCAAACACATTATCCGCCCACGTCGCTAAAGGCACCCCCATAATTCTGGACGGTGCACTAGCAACTTATCTGGAGACCTTGGGAGCAGACATAAGCGGCGCGTTATGGTCAGCATCAATTCTTCTGGACCAACCGTCCCTAATCAAACAAACGCATCTCGACTACTACCGCGCAGGCGCAAATGTCGCAATCACAGCATCCTATCAAGCCTCCGTTCCGGGACTAGTCAAGCATCTAAGCTTGAGTGAAGAGGAAGCCAAGAAAGTCGTGAAGAAAAGTGTGCAACTAGCGCAGCAAGCAAGAGATGAATATGTCACCGAAACAAATGAAGATGTTCGGAGTACATTGTTCATAGCGGGCAGTGTAGGCCCATACGGCGCTTTCCTCGCAGATGGCTCAGAATACCGAGGCGACTACTCCATCCCACAGGAAGAGATGAAGAACTTTCACCGCGGACGCATCCAAGCCCTTGTATCTGCCGGTGTCGACATTCTGGCTTGCGAGACCATACCGTCGAAAGGCGAAACCGAAGCCCTCCTAAACCTCCTTACCACAGAGTTCCCCAGCACAGAAGCTTGGTTTGGATTCACACTACGGGATAGCTCGCATATCAGCGATGGAACGCCTTTGTCCGAGATCGCAGCAATTTTCGATGATGTGGAACAGGTGGTTGCGCTGGGCTTCAATTGTGTACCAGACGATTTGGGGTTGGCTGCTTTGAAGACTTTAAAGCCATTGGTGAAGAGAGGAACTTTGCTTGTGTATCCCAACTCTGGTGAGCAGTGGAATGCTCAGGCGAGGAAGTGGGGAGGTAAGAGAACAGAAGGGTCTACATTGGCGGAAAAGACAAGGGAGTGGTCTGATACTGGGGCTGGTTTGATAGGAGGATGTTGCAGAACTACACCGGAGGATATTGGTGTTATGAAGAAGGCACTTGAGGGACGCCACTAGATTGCTGATAGGGGAAAGACGCTAGGAGTATTGTAGCAAAGAGCAAGGCTACTATATCGTAGAAGTGCGATTGAGATCTAAATGTATCGAAGGACTACTCCTTTCGTCGCATCGCCCTACTTGAGCGTGAAAGCGTTCGTGTATTTACCTCGGAATCCTTTACTGCGAGTATCCCGGGGATGTCTGCAGCGGTGCTGTAGAACTCTGTCAAGTTCAGTTGCCCCTCCGTCTCAGCTTTGTGGCCCTGCAGGCTGCCGTCTGCTTTCCAGGTACATCCTAAACGTTCCAGATCCATAGGCTGCATAGTGTAGGATCTGTTGTATGGTTCTGGGCTCATCTGGATTGCGGTGCTCCACGTGCACGCTGTCGGCATTTTTGGTTCGGTTGGTCACGTCTCAGTACTCCAAACCCCTCATCCATCAACATCCATGTCTTCTTGTCCGCCTGTTATACTTGCAGTCCGCTTCTGTAATTCCTCCAGTATCGCCTTCGCCCGATCCAGCACATCCTCTGTCCCAACTTGTCCCGAGCTCGCCCTTGCGTTTAGCACGCCCACGTCAAATTCCCCGTAGCCTCCGTTCTTGACTTCCTTCTCTGGGTCCACAACTTCGCTCTCATTTTTTTTGCCTTTCTGCCCTTGTCCTTGTCTCTGTGTCGCGGTGAACTTGGGATGGCTTTTTGGTATGACCTTGTACCGCTCCAGAGCGTTGATTTGCTTCACCAACTCTGATCGTATTACCTCGCAGGACGCTGAGACGAAAAGAGCGTTGATTCGGAAGGCTTCTTTGCGCGCGTCGAGAGTTCCAGGTGTACACTCCATGGCGTCATGTTGGAAGGGGATCGGGTCGTTGGTGAGCTGGCTAAGGGCGGTTGCAAAGTATTTGAGCAATTTAGGTATTTGGTGGTTGATTTCGTTGAGGGTATCGATGTGCTCAGCAGCGACTTCTCGATACGTTTTCGGTTCTTCAGATGTTTTCGCGGCGCCTGTCTGCTGCTGGTCCATCTCGGTTGCGGTTTGTGGATCGGCTTCGGTGGACATGGTCGGATGTTTGGAGGTTGCAGACAGTAGTAGTGATTAGAGTGGTGTATGAGTTGATTGATGTATGAGGCTATAGAGCCGATGTCTGCGACAAAATCAGATGTGCCGAAAATTAATGCGACAAATATCTGGCCTGTGTTTGGTATCTTGGAGTTGAAGTTGGGAAGCTCAGGGCCCGCCATGCATGCGCACCGCCATATTCTTGGCAGGCCGCGCGAGTCGAACCTCACCTCCGTCCTTCACTCCGCAACACGGCGTGTCTCGGTGACGTCCTGGGAAGCTTCAGACGCGACTCACCCATCTACACAGAGTCTTCACGCGTCAATATCTCACCACTACCACTTGCGACCGAGAAGCGACCATCAGAAGACGTTTCCGGCCCTTTATGCGCATTGCGACCTGTCTCCACCCAGCCTCGAGGTGAAGGAGCAGCCACCTGCCGACATAGAAGAGAAGGAACAACACCACAACCATGTCAGGGCCCCCTCAAGGGCCCGGGCCTGTAAGGCAAATGAGTGTAGGAAATGGACCTCCCAGCGCAGGTCTACCACCACACAACGCCATGCCTCCGCAAGGTGGTCCCCCGCCGCCAGGTGCCTCGGGGCCGCAATCCCAGCAGAACTTGAATCAAATTGTAGGTACAGCTCTCTTCCCTATTCAAACAGTATTTGCTATTGTCGCTGCTCCAAGGGCCTGTACAATTGCGGCAGGTAAGAGCGCATTGTTCGCGCGGGTTCTGGCCGTCGCGTTTTGTGAAAGAAAGCTGTGCTTGGTTTTATTCTCGACGTACACTCTCTTCTGGTTTCTACTCAATTCCGCTCTCAATCTGCGCGCATCTACCCGGTTCCAAATTTGCGCGCTTTACCCTGCTGGTAGCGTAACGACAGCCAAATATGAGCGGATCACTGTACGGCCAGTCCTATGCGGCCAATTCCAGTAGTCACAATATGGTACTGCGCACTCGGAGCTTCAATCGCTGCTTCGGATCTATGAATGACTGTACATCGAAGGGCGTTGTTGCTAACATTCATACAGGTGTTGGAATACCTCTCGAAAAAGGGTTATGTTCGCACCGAGGCGATGCTCCGCAAGGAGTCTGAGCCGCAAACCAACGGCCAACCTCTCACGGCGCAGAGCACCGAAGCAGGCGGTGCGAAATACACAAAAGCATTCGAGCTTCTACGCAAATACACCGAGGACAACCTAGACCTGTATAGACCAGAGTTGCGAAAGCTGCTGTGGCCTGTCTTCGTGTACTCATTCCTGGACTTGGTGCGCGACTTCTACACGAAAGATGCGGAAACCTTTTTTGCGACGTATCAGGGTCTCTTCGAGCGCGACCACGATGAAGACATCAAGACACTCCGCCAAGTGCGGCTACAAGCGCATTTGCAGGAGAGCCGCATAGCGAAGCTATATATCGATAACAAGTACCGGATTACGCTAACGACGATGCCGTTCTTTAACCTCATCCAATTCCTCGAATCCAAGCATTTTGATGGCGGTTCCACAATAATAGACGTGATCCGGGAACACCTGAACATAGTCACCGTCGACCGGACAGCCACCGCCGAGAAAAGTATCGCAGCAATCCTGGCGAGTGGACACGGCGAAGACGAGCTCCCAGCAGAAGACGAAGGTATTCCAGGACACGCCCCAGGTCATCCTCTGACTGCGCGCCACGATCCTGAAGCGGAGGCTGCTCGGATAAGGCTGCAGTTAGGTGCATACCCGCAAGAGGCAGACCTGCAGGAGGACGTCCGAGCAGCTCTACAAGACGAGGACGCTAAGAGTGCACCAAGGCCAGGACAACCAAGTCTGGTAGAGGAGTTTGAGCAACGCATAAAACAGGAGCCGACAGAAGACGGACCCTCGCGCGAATTTGTTCCTCTGCCTCCCTCCCTAGCGCGCGACGTCTCTATGGAGGTTCAGAAGATCATCGAGCACCGAGATCGCTACAAGATGGAAGGCAGAACAGGCGGCGTTGGTCCCGCTGTCAGCGTCACTATGTACACCTTCCACAACACATACGACAGGTGAGTTGACTAGCTGTGTCATTCCGAAAACTATGACTGATGTGGCAATAGCATTAACTGTATCGACTTCTCTGGCGACAACCAGCTTGTTGCTGCCGGTATGAACGAGTCCTACATCCGCGTCTGGTCCATGGACGGCAGTCCTCTCACCTCTCCGAACGACAACCCAGATGCTCAACCATCGTCTTCAAGACGGCTGGTCGGCCACTCAGGTCCTGTTACTGCAGTGGCCTTCTCACCCTCCACAGCAAATCCATATCCTTCTGGCCCACCCACAAACTCAGAATGCCTTCTCTCATGTTCGGAAGATAAGACCGTCCGACTCTGGTCGCTAGATACATACACTTGTCTTGTAGCGTATCGCGGACACGACAACCCCGTCTGGGATCTGCAATGGGGACCCTATGGACACTACTTCCTCACAGGCTCGAATGATCGCACCGCGCGTCTGTGGTCAACAGACCATATCGAACCTCTGCGCATCTATGTTGGCCACGACAACGACGTTGACTGCGTTACTTTCCACCCCAACAATCTTTATGTCTTCACTGGCTCTTGCGACCGCACGGTACGCATGTGGCACATCGCCGGTGGTAACTGTCTGCGCCTCTTTACAGGCCATACAGGCAATGTAACCGCCATAGCCTGTTCTCCTGACGGTAGGACTCTCGCATCCGCCGACGACGCAGGCAACATTATCCTGTGGACCCTCGAGACTGGGCGAAGGCGCAAGCGCATGCGTGGACATGGCAAGGGCGGTATTTGGTCGCTGTCATGGAGCGTGGAGTCGAGCGTCCTTGTCTCAGCCGGTGCGGACAAGACGGTCCGTGTCTGGGATGTGCTGCAGGAGACTAGCGAGAAGACTGCTGATGGTGTGGCTGCGAAGGCGGACGGCGCCATGACGACCAAGGGTGCGAGTGGTACCACAGTCACAGGAAAGAAAGCTAGCAAGGAGACGGGCGTGTCGGCTGATCAGATCAGTGTATTTCCGTCAAAAGACAGTCCTGTGTACAAGGTGCAATTCACCCGGATGAATTTGGTACTGGCTGGCGGTGCCTATCTACCAACGCGTCAGTAGCGTTTGGCATAAGCTAGGTCTTGAGGTGTTCATATACGGATGGGTGCATCCGGGCGTTTTGGGGGTAAAAGCATCAAGATGACTAGCTATAGTATACCCGCATGTATGTAGAATCACATTCTTCCAACCTTACCTTCCATGTTATTGACCCTGGTTTTCTACAACGAGTTTAGACGGCACTGCTAGGAATGTTTGCGATGCTGGCCTCACTCAGCCCCGAAGTGAAAGACCGCTCTCGTGCAATAATGCAACTTCCTATCTAAGAGTTGCGATTGCATTCGGAGCTGCCGAAAATTCTCTCATGACGTTGCTACAGTCTCATATTATCATAGTTGCCTCCAAGGGTTGTTGCCCTTGCCCCTTCGGATGTGTTTGTTGTGACCAGGGAGCACCTTCTCTAACCTCATCCTGGAACTTCTCATGGAGGTCACCCATCCCTTGGCACTCGTGCCTCCCCCGATAAAGTCCATCGCCGAGTATTTATCATCTCTCTTCTGCCTGCACCAACTTCCTACATTCGTTTACCACACTCACCTTGGCCCTCCTTCAGCAGCCGTCCTGGTCCTTTCGTCATCTTGCTCATCAGGTGCACTCTTTTATCCCACCTCGCCTCAGACGTCAGCTCGACGCCTGACATGAAGGTCACCCAGCTTGCCGCCCTCTTCGGAGGTACTGCTCTTGCAGTCCAGCCTCTTGCATCCCCTCGTAAGTCACGTTCTTCATGCAGTTCTCTGCTCAGCATTGCTGCTCAGTAGGGCAGCGGTACTGCTCGATACTAATGCTGGAGATGTGTGAATGATCGGACAACTCTGACATATTACTAGGTGTCGAGCGTGCCCTCACCGATATTCACTCCATGGTCGTTATGGTCACGTCAACCCATCTGGTCTCCGAGATCTGCACGGATATTGCAAGCTGCCCTCCTTATACTACAGCTGCTCAGACGTCTGTCGTCTATGTCACTGCAACCACCACCATCTGTCTTCTCTCATCGACGCCTCCGGGATATGGACCACCTGCCACTACAGCTACTCCATCATCGGTTGCTAGCTCTGCGTACCCTACCGAGTCTGGGGGCATCTCTGTCAGCATCATCCCAGGGTCTTCGATCTCTCCCATTGGTTCCGAATATCTCACTGGCTCTGCTCCTCAGACGAGTGCTTTGCCAACAGGCGTCTCGTCAAGCGCCTATGTCACGCTCCCTAGTGTGAGTGTAATCACTCGGTCGGAGTCTTACAATGGCCCTGTCTTTGTTACCATTACGTCAGTGTACCCTCCACCCGGATCAAGCGGTATCATTGTGGTCCCTTCATCTACCATAATAGATTCCATCGTCACGTCTTATTCCGTTTCTTCGGCTGGAACCAGCTCCATTGACTCGTCAAGTGGATACATTGCACCTCCTGGTGGCTCATTGGTCCCATCACATACCAACCCAGCTCCTGTGGTTCCTGGTAGTTCAGCGGTCTCGTCCGTGCCATACTCAGACTCTGTTCCCCCTGTTAGCTCAGCAACTCCACCCCACAGCAACACTAATGAAGTGCCTAGCTCCTTGGTCACCCTGTCTTCACGACTAAGCTCCGGTAACTCAGCTGCTCATTCAACACCAGGCTATGTGCCCTCTGGCCCAACTACGCCATCGAGTAGCAACACAAATGCCGTACCTACTTCTGCAGAAGCCAGCTCTACTGGCTCACTGTCGAGTGGGTACAATGTTCCGTCCGGTAGTTCAACTGCACTATCGAGCTCTTACACAGATACCGTGCCGACTACCCTCGCAGTCTCACCACCCGCAGGTCCATCTTCAAGCGGATATACATTTTCATCAAGCAGCTCTGCTACCCCATCTGGACCTGCTGGACCGTCTTCAAGTGGGTACGTTGTGCCATCAGGCAGCTCGGCCGCAACAACAAGCTCCAACACTGCTGCTGTGCCTAGTTCTCTCACGGCCTCTTCGCCTGGTGTCAGCTCCGCCGGACCGTCCTCGAGCAGACTCCCCACAGGCTCCCAGACGGATGATTTACCCACTTCCTTTCCGTCTGGGGGCTCCTCGACCAGGTCTGCATCAGGCAGCTACCTTGCTCCACCCGGTACTGCAACAGGATCTTCGGGTGCTATCTCTGGCACGTATCCAGCTACAAAATCTGATACTACTGGTTACCCTGGCTCCTCGTCCCCGACAGGCCCTGATTCCACCGTCATCGAAAGCACTATTAGGATAACGAGCTATCAGACGCAGACCTTCACGTCATACATCACTGTAGGGCCTTCCTCGGGCGAGCTTGGCAACAGCACGAACCCCAATACGGACACACAGGCCATAGCGACAAGCTTCCCTTCAAGTGTCTCCGGTTATCCCTCTGGATCTGGGTACGTCCTGTAATGTTGTATTTTCGACCATCCACTAACCGATCTTTTAGTTACCCATACCCATCCGTCGGCATCAACGGCACGATCGTTGCCCCCTCTCCCAGCTACATCGAAATCCCTATCAACACCGGTCATATCGTTAGTGCGGGGAAGAACTCCCTTGCAGCTATTGTCCTCGCTCTCGTCTTCGCTCATTTCGCATGAGTCGGCGAACGATTTCTTTCGCGCAGCCCTCCTCCTGCCATGGCGTAGGTATACTGTTGTCGTGGTAGGTCAGCCTGGTGGGACATTCTTGCATCGCGTATCGCGTCTAGCATGGAGTATCCCGCTCTATACGCATACTTACTGTGGTTTCCTCAGGAGAAAGAGGGATGGTACGATCTTATTAGGGCGTGTTCTTTAAGCTAGGCAGGGTTTTCCTCACATGTACTACCAGTTACACGGCCACAACAGATCAGCATAGAATATACAACACCTTTTACTACGGCCGTTCACAAGTATCCCCGACACACTGTGAGGTATTTTTCAGGGTTTCATCGTGATTGTAGATATGTCAGATAAACACTGGTTGTTGCAAGTTACATGGCTGTGTTGACGATCGCTTGCCGTCACCGTACATTGACGGCCTTCAAGGTATCGTCCAAGCTCTCATCATCACCAGGTATTCTCTTGTTCCAGACTTCGTCAGAAACACGTTCAGCCTCAGGGAGTATGTTAAAGTGTGGACTTGGCTCAGCCTTCAACCACTTGAAGTCATCGATTTGGTCCCATTGGTTCGCCGACTGGTCGATTTCCGGTGTCGCCTATGCGATCATTAGCCACACTAGTAGAGGAAAGTCCACGAATATCGAGAGGGAACTCACATAGACACGAGGTAACGGTGCAAATCTCAAGCCCTCACAATCCTCAAAGATCGGCCGACTCGTACTATGCAAGTACACATCCACATGCTTACTGCCATGCATGCGGAATTGCCGGCATGCAGTGACTATGACGCTGTTGGAGACGTCGGTGATGTGGATTGCGCCTGCGACCTGGCCGGTGATTATGAGCGACGAGGTTATGGAGCGGAGGTATAGGGCGGCGAAGGGTGCGTTTGCTTTTGTTGGAGCGCTAAGGTCGACGATGCAGTGGGTGAGGTGAGAGACTGTTGGTGAACTTGTAGCGTGAGGCGTTGGAGGAAGGGTTATATGGGCGTGGGATTTATGGGAGAGAGCGGATGTGGAGGGGTCCTGTTGCATCGTCTCCTGGTGTTGCGATGGCGGTGTTGGTTCGGATGGAAGAGACGGTGTCGCGCTTGATATACCTGGTGTAACTTCTGGTTTCACGATATCCTTCTTTCTATTCTTGAAGCTGAACTTCTTGGGCGGATCGAAGCTATTCCTCACACTCGATAACTTCTCGCTCAACTTCTTGATCGTCTATGTTTTCTTGTCAGCTTAATCTTCCCCTTCTCGTCCTTTTATATATATATATCTGAGCTCACTTCGCTATATGTCCGCTGATCGTAGGCGGGCAGGAGACTTGATGCGTCTTGGACATCGTGGGATAATCTATCTATGCCTGCGAGGCAGTCGTCTATCGCTTGGTTGCGCTCGCCGCCTGATGTAGATGTAGAAGACAAGCTTTCGATTTGCCTTTGGAGTGCTGGGTCGGTTAGTACGGCGCATGTTAGTTGTGCGAGGGTAACGGACTTGCGACATCCTGGTGAAATTGGCGGTAGAAGGTCTCTTTGAGGTTGGACTCTGTCATTGCACGTGAGATGTCGTCACGATGTGGATAGACCGATGTAGGATTATTCTTGGAGTGAAAATTTTGTTGGTTGGTTTTTTTTCTTTCATGGATTGATGCTTTTCGGGGAGAGGTTCACGCGTCGGTTGGTGGTTTGGTGGGGTTGGAAGAGACGCGCATTGAGCGCGACAAAAGTAGCAACATGGTACAGAACGCTGTTCCACGGAATTCACGATTTCATAGCAATACAACGAAGTGATGGCCTAGAAGCTTGTCTGCGTTACTAGGCCAGTATTGAGTAGAATTAAATAGAGAGTCGTGAGACGCGACATCATCGAACTGGTGGGATGCAAGCTACCCCGCATTTCACCAATAGTGTCTCGTGTATTGTCAGATGGATCGAAGAAGCACGGTTGCTAATCCCCGAATAGCTGTGTTGAGGTCATGATTCGTTGGAAGCTATTTGCATACTGAAAACACGTCGCTCGTCCTACTTCGCATCGCTAATTGACCTCGAGCAAGAGCGATCCGGTGTCATTCAAGCCTGTTTGTAACCATCTCAGATATCTTTCCGAAGTTAGTATCCAAGCCGTTCATCCAATCGTATTGAAACCCTATGATTATTATCCTCTGGTGCATGTTGAGTAGAGAGCTTCAGCCCAATACCAATGTAGAAAATAGAGCCAACATCTTGATGGACAATTCGATTGTTTGAGGTAGTATGTACACGAGCCAGACGCGGCCCAAGTCTTTGTGATGAGGTATTTGATGTTGTGAACTCCAATGAAAGGTGTGCTGCTTCTAAGCCGATTCTTGCGCTGCCTTGACGTCGATGCCGTACTTGTCCAACAAGCGTTGCCTTCTCCTCTCCTCGTAGCCGGGACCGTAAATTCCTAGTAGAGTCAGCCCCAGTGCAAGCGTATTGACTACTTTGCAACGTACCGCGTCCCTCACCCAGTTGCTGGAGAGTCTCGGATAGTGGCCGCCTGCGCACCTTCTTCAGCTCCTCCCTGCGTTCGACCTCGCCATCATCGTCGACCTGATCGCGGATATCTCCCACACCGCGCATACCGTTGGTGTATCGGAAGGCAGTGAGAACAGTGGAGAAACATACTCCGGCACCGAGCATGAAGGGAAGGCTTCGCCCTGTGGTCCGTTAGTACCGGTCTATGCATGCGTCTTGAATGTTCATACTAGCAACGCCGACGCCGCAGCCAGCGACGAATCCAGCCACTGCCTCGCTGTAGCAGTCATCCTTTTGTCGCAGGTTGCTAGTCGCGTCCAGTGTGAATTGGTAGGCGGCTCCCACACCAGCTGCACATGAATTAGCTTGGTCCCAATGCAATTTCCTCCAATTGACCTGCTACGGACCGTATAGCGCGATTATGCCTCCCGAGCGGGTGAGGATGCCCATGGCTCCGACATTCTGCTTCCGTAGTGTGTTCTGGACACCGGCAACGACGGCGCCGACAGCCGTGGTCTGGAGAGTGGTGCTCGCGGTGTTGGAGAGAGCGTCCCGGGGGTGGAAGGTGACGTATTGGTCGGCCATGGCGGGCGAATTGGGCGTGGGTGTCGTCTTGGAAGCTCTATAGACGTTGTTGAAGTCGGCTGCGGGAAGTTGCGCCAGACCATAAGCGTCTTGGCGCTCAGGGCTCACAAGGCGGCGGCGGCAGGCGGGCAACTGCATCATCGCGCGCCGCGTCGTCTCGAACTGTCGCATGGGATGCGGCGAGGCTGATGCTTCACCGTTGATGCCTTTAAAGTTTTATATTTCATTGTACATGGTGCTACGAGTGAAGTCTCTTCCCATGCGGGCTAGTTGTTCCGTTCCTTCTGCTTTCTAGCACTATAGTGTCTCTTAGGCGGTTACCGCCTGCGATGCTCTTTCTGTAGACGCTTCAATCCCACACTTGCAACCTCTCCTCGCCTCTCTCCACCCATATCGTCGTGCATGCTGTGCTGCCACTGGTTCCCCGCTCCATCATCGATAAGACAGGCCACATTCTTGCTCCGCTCCGCGCACAGCAGCTATGGCGCCCGGTACTTTGTCCGCCCTTGTCCCACCAGCGTGTGCTAACTATGGCTTCTAGGCAAGACCGCGCCGCGGCTACTCCAGGACCTCTTCACATATGATCCGCGACACGAAGAACGGGCCGGCCGGAATCTGCTGACGAGCCCTCCGCCGCAACACGACATCAAAGCCCCAGCAGTCGCCGCCGTACCCTACCGGAACTGCCGCCACAACCTGTTCACCAAATCTGAGCAGTCGCTGTTACCCGTCCCAGGCGAAGAACCAACCTCGGATACCGTATACAAGGTCGCCTCATACTGCCTCAAATGTCGCTGGCATGTCGATGTGCTTGTCGACCACCGTATCAATGCTGCCAAGGTCAAGTCGTGTGGGAAGGGAAATGAGGATTATGCCTTGCATCACTTTCTCTACGAAGGAGAGGATGATGCAACCGCTATGGACAGGCTCGAGGCTCAGCTGCGGCCGCGCACTTATATCTTTCGCTGTTCTGCGCCAGAATGTTCCGTCAGGGCACGGATTAGCATGAAACCGCCCTGCTTCTCGGAGCAGGACATCGAAACCCTGACGAATCAGGCTCAACTTAGAAGACGATGGGAAGCGGCCAAACAGATCGCCGGCGACCGAGCAGATGCAAACATGGCGCGTAGGGTCGATGCTCCTGATTACCTGAATACATACCTGCAAGATTCCCTAAAACCAGCAAAGGGCAAGGCACGCATCCCGCTGTTGAACAAGAAGTTTCTCAAGACTTTCGGTAGGGATTGTGATTCGATACTGCGACGTCTTGGCTTCGAGAAACATCAGGAAAAAGAAGACGAGACTGTTGTGGAAGCTTGGTATCTCCCTAAACCCGACGAAGCCGCATCTCCGCTTGAATCGACGCTGCGCACCAAGATCGAGGACGCTCGCTACGAACTAAACACCATAATACTGGACATGCCGGAGAGCGAGCGTGTGGGTTGCAGGCACCAACCAATGTACCCTACGCCGTCACGGGGCGACATGGAGAGGGCATTAGCATGCGCGGATTGTATGTCTACAGGCGCGCCGTTCGTTACACAATGTGGATACTGACAAGCTACACAGACGCCAAGGTGAAAGGACGGGAGACACGCAGTACAAACCACGAAGAGGATCATCCGTACGTGCCCCGCCTTCACCGGTTCTAACTTACTGACGAGTAATAGCTACTATGCTAGTCTAGGCGCTGTTGGTGATTTTGACGACTCCTTGATCCTCTTCGCCTTCTCTCGACAAGGCGCAGTTGACATCGAGAACAAAGCTTACTACTTTGAGTGCTTGCAAGATCTCGCAGCCGGTCGCCAAAGTGATATGCTCGGCATGCAGGTAGCTATGCTGGCCTCACAGGGTCTCACAAGCAAACGGGAGGCCGAGCGCGCATACCAGTACTTTGGTATCGACCCAACACACGCAGGCGTAATAAGTGACGATCATATCATAGGGTGCTTCCGATCTCGGCTAGCCGATGTCAGTGTTATACAAGCCGAGGAGGCGCGAAAGCAACTGCGAGTTTTGGGAGACGTGCGCGATAGCGACAGAATACGGGGAGAGGCTTCAGGTTCTATCGAGACGTACGAGCAAGCGATGGCCTTCTTCGACCTTGACCCTGGCGTAGCGGACGATTTCGTTCCGACCATGTACTCGTTGAAGGTACTGTACACACGGGGCCCTGCATGGACTGTTTGTTGTTTGGAACAATGCTAACACTCAAAGTAGACTCAAGACAATCCTTCAAGCATAGAAACAGCAAGAAAGGCTGTGGAAATCATAGCAGAGACGCGCAATAGCGAACGACTACGCCATTTTGCCAAATTCGGGACGATGAGCGACCCTGAGATGGACTTAGGCGACGCATACGCCCTCTTTCAGCAACCAGACAGAACTGTCGCGCTCGACCCTGCAGTTCTGGAGTCTGTTCTTAGCACCTATGAAATCGGCACAAGCGAGAGATTGCGCATGGAGAAAGCGCACGCTCTCATCCAGTACGACCAGTCACAGAGATTTGGCGACAACCATGTCAACCCGAACCGCTCCGAAGTCAGAAGAAATCTGTATCCTCTCGATTCATGGCCGGTTGGGCTTCGCAATATCGGCAATACCTGTTATCTTAACAGTGTGCTTCAATTTCTGTTCACCATCAAGCCTCTAAGAAACCTTGTTCTCGATATTGAAAAGCATATGCAAGACCCTTCCCCAGAAGCCTTGAAGAACAAGAAAGTCGGGCGCATGCTCGTCACAGCCGAGAGGGTTTTGACGGCACAGAAGTGTCAGTATAACCTTCATTGCTTCGGACCAAAACTAACTTTGTGCAGTTGTTCGTGAGTTGCGAGCTCTCTTCGAACGAATGACTATAGCTTCCACAGAGACGGTACAGCCTGCGATAGATCTCGCCTCCCTTGCACTATGCAAGTCAGACAATCCCGTAGAGTCGGTGCAGTCACCACTAGTAGAGAATACCGACAGCGTGGGCTTGGGTACCATCGATGGAGCAGCGGTCAGCGGACCAATGCTACCACCTACTGCAATGCAGTCCGCTCCAGCAGAAGCTCCGGCAGGTTCAGTCGTGACTGACGATGAGGCAAAGTCTGTGGATTCGGTCATGCAGAATATCGATGCGGCCCCGATGACGCCCGCTGACTCGGTCATGGCCGATGATGGTTCAGCGAGCAAGGGCGAGAGTGATATACCTGCTCCACCGACCCGACCTCCCCCAATCCCACCACGAGCAGACCCTAAGCCGGCCACGAAGCCCGCTGTTCAATCGAGTACAAAGATTGGTAGAATTGAGGAGAGCGCTCGGCAGCAGGACGCCGCAGAAGTCATGTCCAACATATTTGATCTGATCTCTTGCGCCATAACAGGCGATAGTATTCTACGAGAAGGCGAGCAGGGAGACGCTATCAAGAAGTTGTTCTTCGGTGATGTCACCACGGTTATGGAAAAACCAGATGGTGTGCAGAAGGTCCAAGAGCTTCGAGATCATTTCCTTGTGGCTACTGGACAACGAGATCGCTCACTCTACGCTACACTTGACGAAGACTTTGGGCTAGGTGAGATAGAAGGTGGCAGCGGCACCAGATATGATTATGTCGAACAGGCCGCACCCATTCAGATCATAAACGTGAAGCGACTACAGTTTAACAAGGGTCAGCCCGTATACGACCACTCGCACATCGGTCTAGAAAAGACCATGTATCTGGATCGTTACTTGGCAAGAACACCGACACTAGACGAAGCACAACTGCTAGAGCTTCGCAAAGCGCAATGGGCAAAACAGAAAGAGCTGCGAGAGCTGGACACAAAGAGAACAAAGCTGCAGACATCAGGCATGGAGGGCATGAACCTACCTGACTGTCTGGAGGCGACGAGTGAGTTTGTCAACAGCCTTGCAACAGAGAAGTCAGAGCACGAGCAACCATCATGGTCGCAGGACTTTCTCCCTACCCCACCTCCTGAACTCTCCGATGCCCTCCACACTCGCGCCGCCGACCTTGCCTCCGATCTCTCAGGTATCGATGATCAAATGACGATCCTAGAATCCGAGATTAACACAGTTTTCAAAGACTGCAACTCCGTTCCCTATCGTCTCCATGCTGTTTTCACCCACCGCGGTGACGTTAAAGGCGGTCATTACTGGATTTATATCTACGACTTCCAGAACAACGATTGGAGAGTCTACAACGACGAACGGGTAGATCCGGTTGTGGAGGAGAGCATAGTGCTCGACAAGGAAGAAGGAACCCGGCCCAAGGTTAGCACAGGCGTGGTGTACGTGAGAGCCGATCTTGTGGACGAGTACACTGAGGCTGTATGCCGTCGGCCTGAGAAACCTGAGGAGGATGTACAGACAGATGTCGAGATGAAGGACGTTACTTTCACTGTCGATCCGGATGAGGAGATGCCACCGGTAGATTTGAAGGATGTACCTGTTATTGAAGGCGTGGTGAAAGAGTAAGCTCTTCTCTTTTTGAGCCCCTGCTCTTTTCGTCCCTTCTCTCAGTCATCACTTGCTGATCTTGACTGTTGTGTTAGCACGGGTCTGGTTCCTTACGATGAGCCTTTGACTACTCCTCCGGAGAAGAGAGTGGGTGTGCGCCTGGAGTCTCCGCCTAAGAGAGGCAAAGGCGGGATTGAGGTCAACGACGGGTTTGATGACACAGAGCGACTCTAGACGTGGATATGCACAATGTGCAGACTGGGCTACGTTGAGCGTATGCCATGATGTTGACGGGCATGGCCCACGAATCGTGCCGATATTGACATTAGTATTAGCAATGGCACATGGATAGAAAAGGGTAATGCATAGCGATGGAAATCAGTCTCGTAACTGGTGAAGCTTGACATATCGTACATCTATATGATTCATTTTTTTTTTCGTATCACTGGAAGCGACACTTGAAGCTCACACAGCATGTCTCTTCCTTCCACCACCTCTCCGCCAATTCCACAGCGCTTCCTGAGCAAACGTGCGCGCAGTAAGATGCCCCCTCTCTTTGTTCGCCTCTTCAGTCAACGTCTCAATCACCCTCCCTTCTTCGATGCACTGCCACAGCCCACCTGCCATGGCACTACCAATGTCCTCCTCCACCCACTCCTCTCCATCCTCGTCCTCCACTACCTCTGGATTCTTGGCAACTTTTGCTGGCCCATCGGTTGTTTGTTCCGCACTCTCGACCCCAAATTCTCCTCTACCTAGTCTGTATAGAATACGACCTAGTGTTTGGTATGCGATGCATCGTTGACTCGCCACTTTACTCCGCGCGGTCACTGCAAGTTCTGGGATTGTGTAGCCCGCTGCCTCTGGGGCTTCGGCGTGATGGTGAAGGCCCCTGTCAGTCGGTATAGCTCGCGCGACGCTGGGTGCTAGCAAGTTGCCAGAGAAGTCGAAGCGCAATTCTGCAGGGTTCAAAGCAGTTTGAGAAGGATGGTATGGCGATTTTGTGTCGGATGGGTCGATGGGTGACATCCATGATAGCGAGGAGGGATCGTAAGGCAGCGTGGGGAAGTATTTCTCGTGTAGGCTCTTGAGGAACGAGGGATCGTTTGGGTCAAGGTCGGGTGGTTGTGGGGGCTGAGGGAAGTGTATTGAGTCTGTGGTATCTGGCATGGCTGTCGATGTGGTGTTGTCGTCGGACGGGGGTTGCGCGGTGGGTATCGAGCTTGGTGCTGGTTGTGACGTTGCTTCATTTTCTGGTTCTGGTGCTGCGAAGGAGACTTTCTTTGTAGTCGGGGTCTTGGGCTGAGGTTCTAGCTTGGCTTCGTCAGTCGTGGGGGATGCAACAGCTGGTGGTGCTGGAGGCTCTGTATCAAAATCCCGCTCGTTGCTCCCTTGATCAATGTTGGACCGCATGAGCAGCTTCTGCAGTAATGCTGGATTGAGACTTGACATGAGCTCTTGTCGCTCTTGCTCAATCTCCGCGTCCGACATGCCCGCTAGTGTCTGTCTATTCTCCTCGTCTATCGCTCGCCTCTCCTCGTCTCGGTCAACGCCAAATGCGCTTCGTAGTTTGGGCGCATCTTGCGTTTTCGCCGGTGCTTTCGGTACCGCATCAGCTTGCTGTTCTTTGGCTGCACGCTGTTGTTTGAATGCCGATACTCTCGGTACGCGTTTCTTATGCGCCGGAAATCCATTTACATTCGGTTTGAGCGAGGGCGCAACTGGAGGGTTAGCTAGTGATGAATCGCGCTCTTGAATGTCGCCCACGAAAGTAGGGAATGACGGCATGGGGAGCTCATGCTGCTCTTCTTGATCCAGCTTCTCGACTGCGCCGGTATTGAAGTTTAAGTTTACGCGCTCTCCTCGTTGAAACTCCATGTTGACGGTAGTATTGTGCGGTGGTTGGGGTGACGCAAATGTCCCTCCTCGAAACTTTGGATTGATGGACCCTTGCATGCGGGGCGCTGCGAACGCGTTCGGCTGGACTTGCCCGACGCTTCTTCATACACAAGTGAGCCTCTTACCCCACCACACTTCCAGCAGCAATGCCACGAATACATGCAGAGGGAAGCTCAAGGCTCGCTATGGGTTCCGAACATGACAATATCGCGTGCTTCTATCATGGTAGTCACATTCATTATTCCTTGGTGACCTCTGAGAGCCTCCCCCTGACAAAAGCCAACACTATGAGCAACATCAGCTCTCGACGAGACTCAGTCCTTTCGACTGGACCAGATATTACCACTTTTTGTACGCAATATAGAGGGTTGGCACCTCGACTTACTGTCCCTATCAGGGTGTGCAACGAGAAGTTATTCGTTAGCAATGGTTCTAAATGCCCACTCTGTCTATTTTTTGCTGCTATACTACACGGAAATCGTTCGGCGTCTACTGTTTAAAAAAAAACCCCCCCGTTTCCGTCTGCTGGACCATCAAGGGCCGTTGACAGCTGGTGGGTCACGCGATCTCACGTTCCGGAACCATATCATCAGTATTGGGGCCTGCCGTTTACGATGACTGCTTGTGCGGAGATACAACCCAGATCTAGATGGTGGTCTCATCTCTGGGTCCATGGAGTCCAGTTGAAGAGCGTACAGACCCAGCTTCATGCTGCCTTCTGTCGAGAACTATGCTGGGTAGTCGGTCCGGAGATGCCAGCAGCGATCAGAAGAAAAGATTTCCCAAGCTGGTCCTGGTCAGGATGGATCGCCCCTGTAGCATGGGCTTCTACATCTCCACTGACCTAGGACAATATTCTGCCAGTGGAAGCCCACGTAGTGAAGGTCGACGGAACAACTGAGCCTTTGACTGAAGAGATGGTTAAGATCGCTTTCGAAGATGACGACAATGTTACGCCCGTTTACACTTACAAGCTACGAATAGTTGCTGAGGTCCTTTACCTCCGATTCGCGTATCTTCCAATGAGAGGACGTCCGTATTCACGCATCTTCAATCGCGCAACCGGCATGTATAAAGACACAATGTATGCAGCACAGGAGACTATTGAAGCAGTTTCCAGCTCTGGAAAGCTTCATCTTCAGTATCATGACTGGCTATTGGATGTTGCAAGCCACGTCGACGAGGAGTTGCATTACGCGCTCTGTAACCACATGTTCGAGGGCATAGTCGTTTGCAAAGAGTACGTCCTGGTTACGCGTACTAAGGACGGAATGACGGAACGGATCGGGTTGATGTCCACCCACTCCGCGAACCCTAATTGGTACACTGAACGACACCTTCGCTTGTGCTTTCCAGGTAGTCGACGGGATGTCATTCTGGGATGATGAGCTTGTTCACAAGAATGTCCAACTGAAAATTTTCAATCCAATCACTCTATATCTAACTACAAGCTTACACATATGCTTTAGCGGCCAGTGCTTTTAACACCACATAAGTCTTGTGTGCAACTCCTACATATTGTCGTGCTGCTTTTGTTGTCTCTGATTAACGGTATGAAGACGCGGGGTGTATTGCTTGTTGTCAGTACAACATCGCGTATTTATGGTCAAGTCATTGCGGAGCTTCTAAAACATCTGAAAGATGTCACTATGAACCTCTCTGTATTGGAGTCAGGTATGAAACTATCAGTCTTTTTATCTCGGAGGGTAGTGTGCAGAATGTATAAGACACCGTTGGCGACAGGAGTTTAGATACCTGCATAACTACGTGGGATGTTTCTAATGCGAATTCGTGACAATAGGCAAGTGATGAGTATGAGCTCCGAAGCTGCGCGGGCAGTATCCCGATCACATATATCATAACTAGCTGTGTCATTGAAGAACATTTTCGCCGAGAAGAAGAAATCATTAATGCCAATGGCAGGTTTGTAATGATCGAACAAGCACTGTCGCGTGGGAACAACGGTCAAGTCAAGGTAATTAAGATATTGGAGTACAGCTACGCCGCTGCAGCGCGGTCGCCTCAGCGGAGAGCTGCCTCGGCTAACCGCGGTCTACTACTATGAGGTCGCCAAACCTCATTCCCCACAACATCGACGCTGTAGCTTTGAACCCCGGTATCTTTGGGCAAGGACTGAATTGTATTACTGCGGTCGCATACAAGACGTCTTCTACATCATCAAAATGCCTTCATTCCGTCTCAACCCCCGCATCCTACATCGCGCCCTTCAAAGCCGCACCTATGCAACCGCCCAAGCTCCGGCTATAAACGTTACAAACGTCCCAGCGCCACACTGCGGAAGCATAAGGATACTTTCGTTGAACAGGCCTGCGGCACGTAATGCGATATCACGGCAATTGCTTGCGGAGCTAAGCCACCAAGTAAACAGCATACACAATGAGGGGGATAATGGGTCAACAAGGGCATTGATATTGGCGAGCGATGTTGACACAAGTTTCTGCGCAGGCGCAGATCTAAAAGAGAGGGCTAAATTTACCCAGGAAGAGTATGTCCAGTCGTTGGAACGGCTACCCAGGAAGAGCACAGCTAACAAGATGCTAGAACGTCCAATTTTCTGACTACATTACGAGGAACATTCGCATCTATCTCGCAACTACCTATTCCCACAATCTCCGCACTGGCAGCACCAGCATTCGGTGGTGGCCTCGAACTAGCCCTTACGACACATATGCGCGTCTTCGCCTCTACGACTACCGTCGCACTCCCGGAGACACGTCTTGCTATCCTTCCTGGCGCAGGAGGAACATACCGTCTGCCCGCATTGATTGGCCTCTCACGCGCGCGGGACATGATACTGACAGGCCGCCGTGTTGCAGCGCCAGAGGCCTACTTTCTGGGGCTGTGCGACCGGTTAGTAGAAATCACTGCCGAGGACGTACAACAAGAAGGTGCTGCGCGGAAGAAGGTCTTGAATGAAGCAGTTAGACTGGCGAGGGAGATATGTGAAGGTGGGCCGATAGCAATTAAGGCTGCGCTTCAAGCGGTAGAGGGATGTGCGCTAGGCGAGAAGGCCGAGAATGCTGCATATGAGCTTGTGGTCAAGACAAAGGACCGGGATGAGGCGCTTATTGCGTTTAGGGAGAAGAGGAAGCCTGTGTTTAAGGGTGAGTAGACAGATACTGGCTATGTCGCTGGAGTACCAAGGCTTGCGTCCCTGGCCTAAGCCGGCATGCTTTATTTGTGCCTTGCCAAGTCCTATGATACACTCTGCGTTCTACATCTTACTCTTGATCTCCTCCAGTAGCTTACTTAGCTCGCCCTTGTCCGCCTCCTTGGTCGGCCAGCCGATACCTAGTCCTTCTTGCTCATTTGGCTTGGGAATCAGATGGAAATGCACATGATCCACAACCTGATGCGCAATCCTTCCGTTGTTCTGCAGGATGTTGTAGTCTTGGATGTTTTGCGCGATAGCAATGCGCTTCGTGACGGACAAGACTTCGGCGAGCTGGTCGTCGGGTATGTCGTGGAGCTTTGCGCCGTGGTGTTTAGGGATGATCAGCTAGTAGGTGCATTAGCATCAATCAACCGGTGCCCGCCTCACAGAAGCATGGAGCGCATGAGAGGGAATTGGGACACGTACAGAGTGGCCTTTGCTCAGTGGGCCGATGTCAAGGAAAGCAAGTGTCTTTTCACTCTCGAAGATCTTCATCGAAGGGATCTCGCCTACCCGTCCAATTAGCTACTGTTGATTGAGATGAGAGAAGAAGATAGTACCCTTGATGATCTTGCAGAAGATGCATGCAGCAGAAGACATTATGGTACTCGCGGATTGGAATGTTGGTTGATTGGTACGAGTCTGGGTTGGGGAGAGCAGTGAGGATGACGCAGGGAGCTTGTTACTTAGAAAGCGAAGTGGGGTTGACCGAGGACATGTGGGGTAGCTTTTTGGCGGGACGGTTCCGCTTTGCCTGATGTGGGATATTCTAGTTACGAATTCATGTCTTTTTGGACGCTACTATCACTAATGTAATCGTTCTTATACTCTCAATTGTAGTTTGAACGCATCATGTCCCTGCAGGTCATGACTGTGCCCATTTCCACGATGCGCACTCAAAGTTTGCATAGCATCTAAACTCGTTACTCAACCCTTTCGCGTGCTTGATCTCGTAGTCCGTCGTCCTGGTCCCTACTTTCCCGTACAGCTTGTCCGTGATCAAGCTCTCCATACGTTCTCCAGTACACACAATTAGACGGAGAGAATCTTGCTCCCAGGACTTAGCTAGCCACCGCACAGTCAAAGCAGCTATACTTCGTTAGCGACACCAAACCCACGCTCGGTTGAAGCAAAAATAGAATATACCTTTCGTTTGGCAGTCTTGACTTAGGAATGGCGGATCGCAAATGATGACATCAAATGAAGCCTTCATCTCAGCTGGTAGTTGGATCGCCTTCTCGAAGTCGTAGCGCACAAATTCCCTGAAGACGGCAAAGCGTTCATCGAACTCCAGTAATTTGATCTGTGGCCGGCACTTGACTTCACCTGAGTTCTGAACTGAAGTCAGTATCTTACTCTCTCGCTAACCCGGAATTCTTACCAGTAGATTCTTCAACTGGATAAAAGCACTCGGGGCAGACACAACTGCTATCCTTGTCTCGTCTGTCGCACCATCCAGAAGTTGTCTCGCAAGTACCATAGCCGTCTCATCACTATACCAGAACTGACTTGCATTCCAGTCTTCGGTAAATGCATCCATGGACAGCTTTCCTTCGAAGTCATCTTCGGCTTGGCCCTTTAGTTCTTCAAACTGTTTTTGTCGTGCATCCCGCTCGCCATAAAATTCCTTTAGAGCGGCAAGAGCATCGCCGGAGAGCTGTCTTTATCTTTTAGTATTTGGGTTGCAACCTTGGAGTCTACTAGGGAAAACCTACGGGATCTCGTCGTCGTCTTCGATTGGTGCCATATTGACTTTGGCTCAAAGCGATTTACCGCAAAGTGTACCTGAAAAGTGATAGTTCGTCTGAGTCGTATCCCACTATCGATAAGCGACGTGCCTCGGTAAGTGACGCTCAGCTGCAACCTGAGGTAAGAACGACCATGCACCCGCGTCTGCGATGTTTGTCAGCCTCCTTCAAGTCGCGTAGACTATATTCAAAAATGACAGAATCTCTGGTATCGCTTCTGGAGGTTGAGCAGGTCAGTGACAGGGTAATTCGGGTTCTGGGTGGTAATCCCAGCAAGGTGAGCGTTGTTATCATTTGAAGACACGGCGCACTCTGACAAACTTCAAGTTCACGCTGCAAGGTAGACGCATTCGCATTCTTTAGGCTGATAAGTTCTAAGGATCATAGGAACGAATACGTATATAGTCGGTCGCGGCGCATCGCGACTTCTCATCGATACCGGTGAAGGCAAGCCGCAATGGATAGCCTCGATCAAATCTCTCCTTTCAAAGGAGAGCATCGTGATTGATAAAGTACTATTGACGCATTGGCACCACGACCACATCCAAGGCGTCCCCGATCTCCTCGAGCACTATCCAAACACGAAAGTCTACAAAAATGACCCGCACGATGACTGGCTCCCTATAAGTGATGGGCAGAAATTTGAGACAGAAGGCGCGACCTTGCGCGCCTTCTTCTGTCCGGGGCATACCACAGACCATATGGCATTTGTGTTGGAGGAAGAGGACGCAATGTTCACAGCGGACAATGTGTTAGGCCAGGGCACAGCTGTATTTGAGGATCTAGCAGCGTACATGAAGAGCCTCGACGCCATGTCGAGGCAGTTCAGGGGTCGCGCATATCCCGGCCATGGACCCATCATCGAAGATGGTCCATCAAAAATCACCGAATACATCAAGCACCGCAAGCAGCGCGAGAAACAGGTGTTAGACGTGCTAGCAGAAGACAAAGGGAATGGCATGGATTCGATGGATATCGTGAAGGTGATATATAAGGACTATCCAGAGAATCTATGGGAACCTGCGGAGAGGGGAATACGACAGATTCTTGAGAAGCTAAAGCTGGAAGGCAAGGTGGGCGGAGAGACGCTGTGGACGCTTAGTGGGAAGAGTAGTCTTTAGTTGTTCCAATGACACATAATTAGACAAGGCAGGATTTCGATAGGCGTCCACACCCCGAAAACTCGACTGCGCCCCACCATACCCATCTTGACTCATGAAGCTGTTGCATGTACTTAAAACGCTGTCTCCACGTGTTGATCTACATTATATATTGTTAATTTTGTTATCATTTCATCAAATCATCAGTCGTGATGCCAGAGTGGTTAATGGGTTAGACTTGAATTCTTCGTTCAGTTATCTAATGGCTTCGGCCTCGCAAGTTCGAATCTTGTTCACGACGTTTAGTAGCCCTCAGGTGTTGGTATCAATCTTTTTGGATGGTTATGGCTGAGGTTAGTCTTTTAGGTTTTTTGTCGCACGATTGAAATGGTGGTCGCGGGCAGCAGTCTGCAGGACGCATCTATCATCATCTCTTCTCTTTTTCTTCATACTGCGGATTTTGCGCGACAATCGTTTGATGCATGGAAGCAACATGTGCTGAGGCTTGACGGTGGAATGACAAATCACATAGTTCCAAAGTGACATTTTCTGGAGATGACCATGCAATGCTCACGTATCTTTAGCCATCTTCCAAAAGTTTCTTAATGTACTCTGAAGCACCAGATAATCATTCGTGGAGTTGATTGTGCTTAGGTAGAACCAAATACACCAGTTGTCACATATCTGCATGAGCGTATCAACTCGCTTAACATCGTCGTTTCTCCAGACTCCGCCCAGTCTCATAGAGTACATCGAGCGCGAAGCACTTGTGGACATTCTGAATGCATTGCGAAGAATGAGATCAAACCCGAAGGAACGTCCCTAGGAAAAGTAAACGAATGGTTACTAATGAAACCTAAAACCAGCAGATAGACAACTGTTGCTCGACTCAAGAACGGTTTTTCTACTAATATCTTGTACGTCGCAATGGGCAGTCAAGAGTGTTATCCACTCTGGTCCGCGTTCATTCTAGTTCACATTCACTCATTACCAATATTTCAGTTACGATGGGGATTGCGTTAGAGTCTCTAGTGACTGTTACCTAGAAGTATGTGCACTTGCGCCAACTAACCACACAGTTCTCCTGCCACTCCCTTAGACTATGTAAACACTCATTTTCTCCTACTTGGTTTCTCCAACCACACTGCTCATAGGCTCTACTTCAATCTACATTACACTGGACCTCAACCAATATCAGTCAGCACTACTTGTACCCAAAGTAACCTGAAAGCAATCAATCAAGATGGCTAGAAACAAGAAACAGAATAAGAACAATTCCAACGCTCATGCGAATGATAATACGAAGTCTGGCCCCAAGAAGAAGTCCCAGGGCAGCATGTACGAAAAGCAAGAGGAGAATAGGGATATAACTTTGGAGGAGCTCGACTCTTCTTTAGCACAGAGTACAGAGGAGAGCGAAAACAAGGCGATGTACGAAGCGGATGACACTGCGAAAATATTCGAAGAATCTGTAGAAATCAGTCGAGCTACAGAACAAACACGGGAAGAGATCCTGCAAGACGAGCTTTCGCAGCCAAAGCACATTATCACCGAGACTGAGCTACTTCCAACTACCACGCAAGACGAACTAGACTCCAGCGATCTCTCTAGTGATGCCCATGTTAGGAACCAAGCTTCTTTAAACGCTTGGTCCATTGATGGGGGAGAGGTTCAAGATGTTACGGACTCTAAAGATGGCCTAGGTGGTGGGCTCCAGCGAACTCCTTTCGAGGTGCAGGTATCTCAAGAAGACGTAGACGTGACGAAAATCGAAGATGATAAGGAAGGCATGGTGGTGCCGACCGAGGACATCATTCGTTATTCAAAGCTCGAGGATGAGGCAGCACGTAGAAAGCATTGTGGTAGCGTGCCATCAGCTCAGCCCGGACCCCATCAGCAGCCATCACCGGTATCCTCTAGGCAGCTGCTTGACGGACTCAAACCCTCTACCAAATACCAGAGAAACAAATTACAAGCATCGACCAAGTTGCCGGCCCAGGAGCCGAAGCTTTATGATCGAGCGGCACCATCTCTTCAAGGAATTCTGGAACAACCCACCACTACCCGGCCAGCTCCTACTGAGTCGCAGCTGCCTAGCAAACCCAAGGCTACTACTCGAGATTATAGTACCGAGACACTCAAGCCTGTTACTCGGAATCAAAGCACTCAAACACCCAACACTACTACGCGGGATCAAGGCACTCAGACAGAAGTATCGATTGATTCACCAGCCCAGGAGCCGAAGCTCCAAGGTAGACCACCATCACCGCTTCGCAAAATTCTCAAGAAGCCTAGCAATACACCGCCATCGTCAACTGGGCCACAGAGCCAGGAGAAGCGGAGTTCAGATGGAAGGCCGAAACCACCGCTTCATGACATTCTCGAGTGCCTAACTAAGGATCGTAGTGTGAACTCGGTACAACCCACGCAGGAGCGGATGGAACCAGGACAGGAGCGAATAATTCGTGATCTGGCTCAAAAGATTCCCGTGAAAACCCCAGAACACGCAACCCGACTCGCAAAGCCTGATATACCTGCACCCAGGCAAGTTCAACCAGATACCATGCCTCCGCCTATACTACGGCCTAATGGTCAGGCAATGCTAACGTAAGTTCCTCACCATAGTCATTAGATGTCATCTACTAATACCACCCAGCACTACCGGTCCTATTCTGAAGCTAATCGTGGACAACTACGCTTATCCATTTGTAGCTAACCGCGAACATATCCTCGCGACCAACACTACTTACTTCTCTGCGAATGTTCGCGAACATACCGGCACACCGCTTGGTCGCCAACTAGGGCGGTATGTCAACTTCAGTGGCGAACAATTCTTTCTCGAAGTCATCAAGGAGTACTCGCAATGGCTTTACGACGGCACGATTCGTATCATGGCTTCTCTTGTCCGAGTTACTCCCGCCAACGCCGACCTAGCCTTCAAATTCCTGGCCAGAGCCTATGTTTTCGGCGAGCATATCAACGACAAGCGTTGGATGAACGAAATCATGGATGCGTTCATTAGTGTGCACATCCGGGATTGGCGCTTCGAGATGGACGATATTATCTTGTACACGTACGAGTTTACGAAGTCTACGTCGCCTATGCGTAGGTTGTTGGTAGATATGCATGCGTATTGCCTCAAGTCATGCGACAATGTGAAGGTTAAGCTCAGGGAACTGCCGACCAAGTTTGCGATGGATATTCTGGTGACGTTGGATGAGGTTGGAACTGCTACAAGCAGGGATTGGCGGGAACGTCTAAACAATCGAGAGACGTATCATGTATAGATAATGAGAAAGGAGTCGGTAGGGACGTGGGCTTTCATTAATGACGATCGACTGGTCGTTGAATTGGCGATGCTGTAGCATTATGAGGCAAATCGGCATGTAGGTTTGTAGTTCGCAGGGCAGGTCAGGTACATTTTAGTGTATTAGAGCGGTAGTGCTGACACGCATACAGGCCCTGTGCCGAATATCTATGACAGGATGATTCAATCATGCAAAGCGTACAAACGGAAAACCATTTGTCCAATCACCTCGTCTCTAGATAGAAGTTCCCAATTCCGCGAGCAATACACCAGAACACAAATTAAGGAACGCCGCTATCGAACGTACTGTGTATACAGGACATGCAATAAAACCTTGTTTATAGAAGTCAGGTGTCAGAAAAGCCCACTCCGCTTCCGCTCTGCAGCCTCCAAGGAAACTTCAGGCTTGAAGTCGCCGTAGTTTCCCCAGACGAGGGATGAGGGGGTTGTGGGGTCTCCACCTCTGCTGATGAGTGATCCTAGAAGACAGTGACGTTGCTTCGTGTTGTAGCACGATATCGGAAGCATAACGAGTCGGCGGTGCATATTACTCCGAGCTAGTAGTGTGACCCACTTATCGGCGACTCTTTCCTTCCGATGCTGAACAGAGTTAGTTTGCCGTCTAGCGTCTGCCTATCTCAACTTCAATCAGCAATTCCCGCCGCGACCTCCACTTTCGCCGGTAACTTTTCCCTCAAGATGGTCTGCTTTGAAAAGACGTTTACCCAACTGGACGACTGCACAGCGCGGAACGACGCGAACCTAATTATGGGGAATCTGGGGTAGCACTGACACGCTCGCGCGCGTTTTCTGGGGTCTCCGAGCACCCCATACAGTCACCGCGGCTTTTGAAGATGCGGAGAAGGGCTTATGACGACGGCGGCAGGGGGTTTGAAGACTTGCAGTCATTTCAGCCTTCCAGAAGCAGATTTCGGAGATCAATGACACGCAACCTGGGGCAGAGTTAGGATCAAGGCAATCATCGAGCTTTCACTACCGATTCTCACGATCTGTAGCAGAATAGCTCGGCCAGTCTCGGACGCAAAGGTCCCACAGAAACTTCGAGCGAACCTTTCGATCCAAGCGGCGTTGCCTCAACAGCAGGACCCCCACACGCGCACACCGCGGCCAGATCCCAAGCCACCCGATATCTAACTGACAAAAGCTTCCAAGAGGTGGTTGTCAAGCCCAACTAATGTGCAGTCGCTTCGGGAAACGCTGGCCGCTGTCAACTCCCAGCATGCAACCCGTTCATATTGGCGTTAGCTCCAGGATATAGTCGGATGTGTGCCTAACGGCAGTCATATGCCTGGCACTAGCGTTGGCAGATGCTGTACATGGCGTGGACCCACCGGACAAGAGTTAACGCGGCATCAAGCGAGACATCGAAAGCACATAAAGCTGTCGATTGCCTCCCCTCATCCGCTGCTTCCTCCAGGCAAAGCCATTCACTACACGGGGCAGGTTCAACACATCACGAACCATACCACTGAACGACATTATGGGTGAACAAGATTCGATCAAGAGCGCGCCTTACGAGCAGCGCGAGGCGATGCCTCCGTATTCCAGCAAACAGGGAATGGTGACTAGAGAGCCATATGGACCAGCAGGTATGCATCGTTACCTACCAGAACTTGAAGCACACTGGGATGTGTATGGAGACTGACCTCAGCACTAGGCTTCCGTGGTCTCTTTTCCAACCCATACGTTGCCATGTGTGCAGCCTTTGCCACGATTGGGGGTCTTCTCTTTGGATACGACCAAGGTGTCATTTCAGTGACCCTTGTCATGGACCAGTTCCTCGGTCGATTCCCACGTGTCTCGAGTGAAGCATCCGGAGCCGGGTTCTGGAAGGGATTGATGACTGCTATGCTTGAGCTGGGCGCCTTGATTGGTGCTCTCTTCGCTGGTTGGATCGCAGATAAACTGTCTAGGAAGTACTCTATTGTCGTTGCAGTCATCATCTTTACCATCGGAAGTATTCTGCAGACGGCGGCAATGGACTACGCGATGTTGACAGTCGGACGTTTGATTGGTGGATGGGGAATCGGAGCGTAAGTTGAGACATCTCTGCACACAGGATGGCTACTAACTACGCGTAGTCTTGCAACTATCGCCCCACTCTACATTTCCGAAATCGCACCCCCAGAGATTCGTGGTGCTCTCCTTGTCTTGCAGGAGTTCAGCATTGTTCTCGGTATCGTGATCGCCTTCTGGACAACCTACGGTACCCGCTACATGGCCGGCGAGTGGTCATGGCGACTCCCGTTCCTCATCCAGATGATGCCCGGTCTTGTTTTAGGTGCTGGTATTGTCTTTCTGCCGTTCTCTCCACGATGGCTCGCTAGCAAAGGGCGGGACGATGAAGCATTAGTCGTGCTAGGCAAGCTTCGCAAGCTCCCTACCGATGACCCGCGTATCTTCCAAGAATGGTGCGAGATCCGCGCTGAGGTCACTTTCAATCATGAAGTCAGCGTTCAGAGGCACCCCGAATTGCAGGCCAAAACCCGCACGAATGAGTTCAAGCTCGAGGTACAATCCTGGCTCGATTGCTTTAGGCATGGGTGTTGGAAGCGCACTGTCGTTGGAGTGGGCATCATGTTCTTCCAACAGTTTGTTGGTATGTATCTTGCCAGCTCCAGCACGAGAAACGACTAACAAGACCTTAGGCATCAACGCTCTCATCTACTACTCGCCTTCTCTCTTCGAAACGCTAGGCCAAGACTACGAGATGCAGCTTCTACTTTCTGGAATTATCAACTGTACGCAGCTCGTTGGTGTCGTGACAAGTCTGTGGACTATGGATCGCTTCGGACGCCGACCGCTACTTCTTGTCGGTGCTGCTCTCATGTTCACCTGCCATCTCATCATCGCTGTCCTGGTTGGCAAGTTTGGTGGCCGATGGCTGGATTACGCAGTTGAGGGTTGGGTTGCTGTCGCCTTCCTGTTCTTTTACATGTTCAGCTTTGGCGCTACTTGGGGACCAGTTCCTTGGGCTATGCCTTCAGAGATCTTCCCATCTTCCTTGCGAGCAAAGGGTGTCGCACTATCAACGTGTTCGAACTGGTTCAACAATTTCGTCATTGTAAGTCCACACATCCTCTGCAACCCCTATAACCAGCGACTAACATGTATCAGGGTCTTATCACTCCTCCTCTAGTCCAGAACACCGGCTTTGGAGCCTACACCTTTTTCGCCGTCTTCTGTCTGCTCGCCTTCGTTTTCACGTTTTTTGTCGTACCGGAAACCTCTGGCAAGACGCTGGAAGAGATGGACCAAGTCTTCAAGGATGTTAGCAGCGAGGCGGAAGAGCAACAAAAGGCTCGCATCATGCGCGATATTGTGGAAGGCAAGCAAAACGAAACTGTAACTGCGATTCCCTAGGTGGGATGATAATAACAGCTTCGTATCGACCAGATCAGAAGCCCATTATGTAATTAACAAATTCAATAATGTAGATGAAGTTTTCCAACAACTTTGCACGCAAGCGCGTAATCATAAATCTCATGTCATCGCTACTACTTCGTTTAGGCTCTATTAAGCCTCACCAATTCGTTGTTGTAACCTAGAAAGCGGTACACGTCCCGTGACTTCATGTTCGTGTCCAAGGCCTAGGCTTTCGTCGGACATGTTATGTGTACGTATGGTACCATCAATTGACCCAGGAAGCATTCGATACTTAGTCTCATGGTACACAACAGGTGGCTTCTCGCGGCTTTGCCCCCGCGAAGCGTATGCGGTGCGACATGCGGTGTGCAACGTGCACGTAAGGCGTACATACGGAATTATTGTTTGCTACCCTAGGGACGCAATCTTTCGTCCTCATATCTTGTTTGAGTGCGTACTGTGGAACCCTGATGACGTTGACATCGTAGGGAATGGGAAATTGTGACCTGGTTGTTCTTTGGTTGCCCAAAGGGCATGGCGAGATCCGTCGGGTGCAGGAGATAAAGACGAGTTAGGCATCTTGATAAGCGTTAGAAGTGCGTACTAGAATTTGGCACTGAATGTGCATATATTCTATAGAGTTTGGTATGCGGAAATACAGTAATTTTAAGCTTCTCTGAGGATCGATATTGCCTAGTACGAGAAGGTGAGATTAGGGTTACGAGTCAACGAAACGGTTGTCACGAGCTTTGTGCGTGTAGCCTAGAGCCATCGTCGTTGCACATACAACGACTATTGGATGAAAGGCCCCTACCTCTGATCGGACCTACCGACGCTTCAAGATAGGTTCGATGAACGGGCTTGAATTTCAAAGAAGAACTCTTCTCTTGAAACCTAGGGTATCGTGCAGCACGACCAAAGGCCCACAATCGATAGAAAGATCTGGTGAATATGGCTATGCGCCGCGATTATATCTTCAAATACAATGCGTTCGCTCTCTTCATACGAATTCTCCCTGCTGTATCTTGAGCTTCAAAACTCTCTGTGACGTAGGAGATCTTCTTCGGTAGAGCTCCGCGGGGCAAGAGCAACGCTACCCTGCCGGGCCTGGCCCAAACAAGAAGCGCGACGTTACCTTCTCTTACTTTTCAGTCCCCTTACCACCTTCAATATTAGTTCCGTCCTCATTCTATCATCATAGTCCGAGGTCCTTTATGCCAGATTCGAGGCTACCAACGATCCTCACGGTTCTTGCGAGACATCGTGGCTTCCCACCGGCAAACTTCTGCAGCCGAGCGGTGAGGGTCTCCCAGTTTCCGCCCCGCACGACTCTCCCCAGTACAGTATCGTGACCCGGCTGGCTCCAGGGCCATGACAATTCTGCAGAGCAGCGTACAGGTTGTCCAAGCACAGCTTCCAGCGCAAGGTGCGCATAACACACGGCCTCGTTCGCATCGCCCGGTATGCCTATGTCATCGAGCGGCTTCGTTATTACTCTTTCGGGAAGCTCCGCTTCGAGGAAATCTATGATGTTCGCGTTGCGCGCACTCGGGCCACCGATGAAGAGTTCGTCCACGTTCTGACCGGCAGGAAAGCAGAGTGCGAGGAGTCTGCGATACTGCCTCAGAATGTTCTCAGCTGTTATACGTGTAACAGTGGCGATGATATCCGCTTCGGAGAGTTTCAAGAAGACGCACTCGTCGATGAGTCGTTGTGCTTCGTGATCGCCGAACATTTCCCGGGCTACGCTGAGCGAAGGCAACATGCGTGAGTAGTCGTATGTCTTGAGGAATTGTATCACAACGCCCTCGTGAGGCTTCCCTGGTGCCGCAAATCTCCCATTATTGTCTTCGTTCCGATCGTTTGAGGTGCAATATTTTATGGCATAGTCGATGAGTAGACTTCCGGGCCCGCAGTCGCGACAACATGTTCCTCGAGCACTCTCTACCGACATGGGAGGGATAAAGCTGTAGTTCGCAAGCTCGCCGATATTCAGACATGCGCGAAATTTGGAGGGGTGTCTTAAGAAGAGGCTGTCAACGTAGAGGACAGGGGACACGTGAGGCGTCACGAAGCCGGCTTCGTTGACTGCGAGATCGAAGACGGTATTGAGGCCAGTTTCAGCGCTGACAATGGCGTTCCATCCCAGTGGATGTGTGTTCAGATCGTTGGTTTCGGGCATGCCAGGTCGTCTTAAACCCGACATGTGTGTGCCGACTAGGTCTATGGACGCTAGTGGTATGTCGTGCTTCTCGCAGAAGCTCATAATGCCCTTGGAAAACAGGTAACCAAGTAGCGTGTTGAGGCGGGTCACTGGCGAGTAGTTGCGCCCTACTTCATGAAGGGAGGTGAGGATATGGTTCCGAATAGGAGGCGATGTAGCTACGGAGCCGCTCTGTCATTCATCAGCATTTACAGAACTTCGATATCGATGGCACCAACTTGGATGAGCTTTAGGCGCAGCGCAGCATCAGGAGAGGCTTGACGGTACCGAACCAGCGCGAAGTCAAGCTGGTTCAGCCCGCTTCCGCAACAGGCACCCAGTACCTGTAGGTCCAATGCACCTTGAGAGTTCTTCATTGTCTCTCTCGTATTCATGTATAGACCGTCATAGTCTGCTGCTGAATCGCTGCGGTGCATGCTAGGCTTGATTGCTATTCGATCGAGAAACGCACTTGGGAGCCCTAGGTCTGGAGGCGATAATCATACAAGTCGTGGAGGTGGTACTTGTCCAGTGGTGTATAACTGAGCCGTCGGCAGAGGCCTTTCGGGTCATTGCCCCATAGGGCATGTTGCATAGGAAGATGCATGCTGAAGGCAAACTGTGGGGTGGGGGGTAATGGCTAAGAACGCCATGCAAGACTCAACGAACCCTGTGAGGTCTGGCTGTACTGAGGGTCACGTGTCTGGCTCTGCACTTCGTTACGATTTACGCGAAATGGGATTCGCCCGGAACGAGATCCCGGTCGCAAGAATGACGTAGCTGCCCGACAGCCATTCTCCACGGAATCTCATCAGCACGTCCCCAATTGGGAAATACACAGAAGACTGCGTAAGGAGAACACATTGGTCGTACTCTCTGCCAGCGGTTGGCCACGGATTGAGTTTGTTTAGGTACGATGCGTTGGACAAGAACGTACCCACTGCGGTCATGGCACTCAGGAAATCCTCAAAGTTAGGCAACGAACAGATGTTCTGCCGTACGTTGGTACTTCTCTCTAACTTGGATGCAGGGATAGTGAGAATGATGCTGAAAAAGTTATTGATTAGGTAATGCGCGCCTCACTGATGGCTCTGATGGTCACGTTCACATTAACAGCGAGCTTCTTGTATGTGTCCAAATTCGTTCAGATACAGACGAAATCTAATACATACAGTGTTGCGCAAAGAATCTTCGGTCAGACCTTAGCAAGTGTCTTGGCATACAACAGATAATCACTCCATCGAAGCCATCACGAGCGGAAGAACAAGATATGTTCATGACTTTGGATTGGAACGACTGCATCATACAGGGTTCTCATCCTACGTAGTTAACAGCCTTCCATTTCCACAGCCACTGGCCACGGCTACATGCGTACAGCTCAGGCCACTCTCGGTCCATTTTACCGAGGACCGCAGCAGACCTTGATATCACGTTGTCTCGAAAAGACTCAAGGTATCCGCATTGAGAATGCACCTGAGAACTACATATCGCACGGACTAAGCCCTTGGGTCAAATGAGATGCGCAATTGTGGATCAACCGGACAGAAGCGTAGGTGGACATCCCTTACTTCCTGCAACATACACCAGCCCTTCGATTCGGAGTAAGCTCTAATCCTGTTATTACACATGATACACTCAGAATGATTTCTCGAACACTTGTTGCTCAACATGTGGAATATCTTGAAGCACGATTTCAGTTTACTACTGAAATTTTCAGAGTGGCCAGCATCCTTGGTGTCGCAAAAGGGAATGAGATGACCGCATTGAGCTAACAGGATAGTCGGATGAGACGATATAGCAGGATACATGGGGCTGGTCACGGTGCTCCACGGCTACTTCCATTCATACATGATTATCCATGTGTATGGTGTAAAGCATAGTGGTACTGACTACCAGATGCTGGAGTGCCTCATTCCTTATACTAGGCGTCGTGCATGGTCTCCAGCACCTTCTACAAGGTCGCCTCTTGGCGGACTTATAATCCTACCGGCAAGGGAGGGCTTTGCTCAGTATAAGCAACTGCCCTAATCGCCTTTTCCGTGCGTGAAGGGTCAATACCGACTCAAGTTCTTGCTCCATGGCACTAAGCCGGAGAGGTGGAGGGATTAGGAACACCCCATTCAGTTTTTAGCGCGTTGATGATCCAGGTTGTCGGCCACACGTGGTTTTTCTCGAAGTTATTCAGGAGCTGCACTACCTGGTCCTTTTCTCTCGAGTCGCATACGAGAGGTCCCCAGATGAAAATGGTGTGGCAGACGGTAATTGCCAGAGGGACAGTTTCTGGTGAGCTATTACAGGCCCCGCAAATGGCGCGTGCATGCGATAGAATTTGATGCTATTTGAATGAGTAAATGGCTGTGCTGCTTGATAACTTGGGTCCTTACATCTGTTTCAGAAAGGCTCCCAACATTGCGGATTGCGAACTTCGGGCCTGGCTTGTAACGCAACAGCATGATGCAGGCAAAGTGGTAAAAGCCAAACGACACCGCTGATGAGTTTGTGAGCATTGGCGCGAGAAAGAAAGGTTACAGAACTTACTATGCCAGTCGGCTGTGAACAGAATCTCGGGAAATGAGCCTTGATCACCGGCTGGACCTTCAAAAATCGCATTGAAACCGTCGGGTCTGTCGCGCATCCAAGTCTGGACAAGCTCCCACAGCTCCTTCCATCGTCGCATCTTGTAAGCCTTCTCGTTCTGTGGCTCCTTGCCGTCGAAGCAGAAATTCACAACACATGCCAGATTCCATGTCATTTGATTTGCCCAAGCTGTCTCCAATCTCAATCGTGCCAGCGGGTGTGCATCTCGTAGTGAGCTTGGAGTTGGGTGCAGTTGCAATGAAAAGTCGATATCAGGCGGCTGCTGGTTGATAGTGGCATTATAGAGGCACTGACGTACGTAAACCCAAAAGGCGGCTTCGCGCAATGTGGGCGCTGATGGATCTACGTAGTGGTTTCCTTGAGAGGACCGAATGATGGCCGAGCAGCCTGCGAGGTGCTGTTCATCATCAGAACCAGTGCCAGACGGGACTAGAAATACATATTAGGAAGGAGAAGCACAAAGGACATGGCAGTACGTACCGTTTAGCTGCTCATAAAAACGCAATATGACAATGGCACACAAGAGCGTCTCGTCGTGGCTAGCAGCTTGCTCGTTCAATCGTTCGATGAGCAGAGCAATGCAGCGTTGATAGGCCATCTCCGCTGTCGCGTCCTTCCTGCAGTGGCGAGCCGCAAAGGACATGACAGCGTGGCAAAGCACTGGGCATTGTTTGACTTTTTCCGGCACGCCCAGCGTAAACTGACGGGTGGCGTCGGTGCAGTCTAACCAGCGACCAAGATGTTCAGTATAGTGATGCACCAGCAAGGCCTCTTCGTGTGTCAGAGAAATAGGCTGCGGCGAGTAGTTTCTCGTCCCTTCCGGTATGCCCCTATGGTCATACGAGTGCGCATTCGCCTGCTGCATAGCCTGACTGGTATGCATCGGCAGGGAGCCCTCTGACATGCCGTCCGGGTCAGGCGACTGCAGCAGACTCGCCACCGATACGCCACCCGTTGTACTCTTGGATCTAGGAACAAAGTACGGCGAGCGTGGCGACAATTGAGCCAACGGTGAGGAAACGCTGGTAGATAGACCTTCGGATGCTCCATCGGCCCGACTATTTTTCCGGCGTCTCGGTGAAGTGTTCCGGCTGAAGCGTTCCTCGCTGAAACTGTTTGCACGGACGGCTTCGTCACTTGTACCGATGCTATCGACTCCATCGACACCGTCAACTTCCATCGTGTCCTCCTTGGTCTCGATTTCGTCGTCGGTGCCGCCGGCAGCAGATCGACTTGACGAGGGTGCGTCAGGCCGGTAATCCTTGAACTTGGTATGTGGCTCTTCCCACTGGCAAGGGCGGTTCTTCTTCCCGCAGGCTTTGCATACTGGGCGGGTTTCGTCGCCTGTTTGCAATATCAGCATGGGAAAGAACGCTTGAGAACAGGAAACTTACATTTGACGCGGCGCGCTCGACATGTAAGGCTTGTGCAGATCAGCGGACTTTGTCGCCGCAACTTCAAGGATCCACTTACCAGCCGTTCCTAGAGCGGAATTTACTGTATAAAGTCAGTAATATGTTTCACATGTAGGCTGGGTACTGGAGTTTACCCCATGTATAGGAATTCGAATCCAATGTTCGAATCGAAGTGTACCTGTCGCCGTATTAGCTAACGCTCTGGCTTGTGCTCTTCGCCTCGGGCTCGATCCGTGGACGATAGCGCTCGTCACGAATTGACAGAATACCTAACATGGGCAGTGCGTACCACAACTACGTAATCCTATCGTCTCGTGGACCCTTATCGACAACTTCTTGGGTTTGCGCGTGGACTTTACCGAAGTAGTGACATCTGTAGGATCCTCTCGGCAATCTTCGACAGAAACCAAGAGCGCTCAAGTAGGGCACGGGGAAGCGAGGCAGGTGCGCGCTCGATACGCTACGGATTGAAAGGCCAACCACCTCTCTAATGTAATCTTGATAACATCAGTCGCCTGCAGGACCAAATGTCTTATTCTCTGACGCGGTGAAAAAGGAGATGAGCCTATAACTCACCTGTGGAAAACGGTCGATGCCCGGTATGTCGGTGGTGCTGGCTAGATCGAGGTGCAACGTCACTCTTTTCCTATAAACTAGGCTGTGTGTTGAACATATGGCATTCATACAAAGCCCATGCTCATCTCGATCAATGCTGTTAGGTGCGGCTGATCCTCAATACTGCCCTCAATCCGCTCGATGTTGGTGAAAGTTGGTTGCGGGACAGGATCCCGCAGCCAGTCAGAACCAACTAAAGAGGGACGCTCGGATCCCAAACTCTCTCCAGGTGCTTAGGTAAGTGGCTGTCGGGTGCTGGCGATTTGCCATGCACAAGCTATCTTGAGTGCCTGCTAAAATGCTAAGAAAAGGCGCATTTTCCCAAGGGCCTCGAGGTCTAGCCCACTTCCACCAATCCGTCGGTCAATTGTTTTGCCAAAAGGCCGCCGAAATGCTTCTAATCCAAAAAGACTGATTCGTATCGAGGTGCCAGCATACTATAAAATGATCTTGAAGATAGCATCAACACAAGTGGACCGTCTATTGTACGCAATTAAAGTACTTCAGTTGTGTTCAGAAATGTCCAATAGGCAGGGACAGATAGTCTTGGCATTGGAGATGTTGACCTACTTCTCTCGATTTCTTCGCCAAGAGTGGCTTAGATCAGCGTAGCTCGGATCTCGTCTCGACTTTAGGAACTAAAATTCCGCACCCTCACCAGTCGACCGTTCTTAACGCGATTGCTGTTCTGTCGTCAACACAGGCGTTTGTGAACACTCTACCACGCGAACCCATCCTAGCCGAGACTACCCATACCTCCAGCCCGCTGGCCTCTCTAGCCCCACCTACGAACACCGACAGTCGCATGCCGTTGTAGCCACGAAAATCCAGAGAGAAAACAATTAGATCTGCATAGTCGAGGTCAGCTAGAACCACTTCCGAACGCAGTGAGAGCATATGACCTCACAGCAGCATTCTCGAGCGTAGACCTTGCAGGTTATGAACTAGGTACAAATGCCTGTGCTGAGCCTCTGTCGGAATCGTGGGGATATTTGCTGGTAGGAACGCAGGATTGTGAAGCATTTGGAGCTGCATCCCGAGATATGTGGACTTCAACTCGTGTTCAGGCATCTCTGAGCCAAAACAAAAGAGCCAAGAAGGCACGATACTCAAGTGGGTATCATTTCCATACGAGCCGGAACTGGAACTTCCGCTGTCGCAACGCAGCCTCGTCAGCTTGGATACTACTGATCTTGTACCGTGTTGTATCTCGCCGAGGTCTTTCCACGCAAACGCACTATTCGCGGGTCTCGATACCGCGATCCCTATATGTGCCTGTTGTCGCCTACGGTCCAACGGTCCTCACGAAAAGCTTCAGATTTTGAGGTCGGAATTTCTGTCGCGGCTCATCAGAAGGCTATCTACATGCACAACAATACGATCAGCCTACATGTGAACAGTGGGTCATCTCGGTTACACGAAGGCGTGGACTATGGTCCGCATGTGATACCAAAGTCGACTTGCAGCACGCCCATTTAATCTGTACCACGATCTTTGTTTTCAGGGCATGCTTCGTAATGTAACGGCATTAGCATACAACGTAACAGGTATAGCTTGCGAACAACACACTGGTAGGCTTCGTTGTCTGCTCCCTTCGAGTATAGGATTTTTTACGAACAGACCATGATCTATGACGTGGCTTATGATCGGCGGGAGTTTCACTCCAGCAATTTCGTACGGGTACGTTTGGCCAAGACGAGCTCGAGGAGGCATGCCCAAGATCTCTACGGAAAGATGTTCCAATGAGGGCCGAGGTCAAGTACGAAAGAAAAAAAAATCAGAAAAGATATGCGTTACTGGCAAACACAATACATTGAAACAGGCATATAATACTAGAGTTTTGGAGCGTGTTGCACGTCTACGTAGGGCTTCATGCAGCACATCGATCACGGCAATCGACCATAGGCGGGTGCGGTGGGATCGGATTGTCTCCGCAAGATCGGTTTTTAGCGAAACCGCATGGACCACAATGGCATTTCTGAGCCACCAACTGGGCAACCTTACATGATCGGTAGATACGCGAACGTTATACCTCTAAGGGTCTCAGAACGTCTAGCAAGGGACTGACTAAGGCAAATAAATCGGAGCGAGATTGGTCCAGCGAAAGCGCGCTCCGCGGCCTAGTCGGTCCTACCACTGCCTCGCGCTAAGTATTGCCCTGTGGCTTGCCAGTGGGGATGACCTCCCGGGCCTCTTGTCACAAGGATCCAGAGCGGCGGAACAGCTCAAGTAGGTATGGCTGATCATAGCCTAAAGGTAAATCCAACGTCGGTCCATCAAGACCATAGAAGGGACAGCTGCTCAGGGGCAAACGGACTCAAGTAAACAAGACGTGGACATTATTACACCCGATGATCCATCAATACAGGCTTGCAGAGCTCAGTGTGCCCTTGGACGCCTTGGCCGCGTTTTTCCGCGTTGGTATGTATGCACGTCCGATTTGTGTAGGCACAAACAACAGTAATATAAGCACGAAAACATGCTCGCATTGCATTCTTGATCCGCAATCGTACATCAGAGTAGGTTCTTCGCGAACAAAGTACTATCTGCAGCGGTGTCATGGTTCAGACGTCCAAGGATCAGCCAGTGTGCATGTGATGATTCGATCGCCAATAAAAGCCAAACCCCGAAGTTTAATACCGTCGGCATCTGCCTGGCTTTCATGCCTGCCTCGCAGCGCTGTGGGACTGTTATATGGCATGATCCAACATCAAAAAAGCACCGTACATGCAGGTTAACCTCTGATTGTAAAAAAGTTGTAATTCCTTGACGGGCACAATTGTGCATCGTTTGGATGGCGGCAAAGTGGAAAGGACCGTACCATCAATTATACCCAGCCCTTTATACATACACTCGGCCAATTCCTCTCTTAGTGGTTCTATTTTACTTTGACTTTTTGACTCTTGTCCTACGTCTCGAGCAAGTACATGCTTGCGGGCGCAGTGTTAGGTTGTGCGTTCGTACACCGACTCACGGATACTGGTGATTGTAAGAAACACGCTCCTGCCCTTGGCGGACTCTCACCTCCTCCATCCTCAGTCACGCCCCGTTTGCATTGATCCGCTCCAGTCCGTGCTTGCCGTTTATCTTCGTTCATACCTTCCTCCCTCTTCCTCTGTCCAGCTCCACCTTTTCTCAACTCACACAAAGCAACCACAACCCAACCACCAGCATGGCTGTACTCCAGCTCTTCAAGATGCTTGCGCCCTCTCTCGTTGGCCTAGTCGCAATGACCACCGCTTCACCTATCGCTATCCCTACTAGCAATGATGTCTCGGTAGCTGCCAATTCCTGTTATTCCTGCATGGTCACCTTCAGTAGGATCTGCCAGCTCTCCAAGCTCAGCACTTCCCAATGTTCATCGCTGTGGTGCTATTCTGAAGTAAGTCTTCTGTCGGAAGCTGCACTAGATGGAAGTGCGACGTCTAAAAACCACGCAGCATTGTCGCCACTGCCTCAGTGGTCTTAGCTGTCCAAAGGAACAGGCCGTTGGCGTTAACCTCGATGCCGATTTCCCAATCGCAACTCTCACTGATGTCGCGGTCACTGTCCCTAGCGATGTCTCAATCGCTATTTCCGCCGATATCTTGGGTGATATTCCCAGCGATGTTTCGACCGAAGTCAATTGCTATCGTTGTGTATACATCAACTTGTTTTGCAAGCAAACTGGTCTTAGTGAGGACCAATGCCTCGAATTGCGATGCAAGGATCCCGAGGTAAGTTCATTTTCCTGACGCTCTACTGCCTAGCAATGCGCAAAGATCGTGGCACCTGTCGGTGCGCGTAGCTTTTAGGTGAACCCGAAGTGTACCAAAACCTAGACTGACAACGTCATAGTGTTACCGATGTCGTCAGAGTTGCCGCGAGACTCAGGGAGTTGATAGTTCTGATTCCGCTACTGTCAACAGTGTCGTAGCCGAGAGCTCTCTGACTTCTGTAGCTCAAGCCACCAAGCGCAAGGAAGTAACGCATTGCTTCTGGGTCTGCATACATACATACTGCAAGCGTCAGTGCATTGGCGGAAATACCGTTACTGCTCTCAAGGCTCGCGGCGCACTCGTCATCGACGAGGCCGACATGAAGACCGACAGCACCATCTCCGTCACTTCGAACCACGCGCAACTGCAGAAGCCTTTCCTCTACCATTGCGATTGGGCCTCTGGTGTTTGCTGGACGGATCCTATTTTTCAAGCGGTAGCTGGTACCAATATCAGCATCGAGGAGATTCCGGATATTTCCACCAAGGTTTGTGGCGAGGTCTGCAGCACGGACGAGTCGCTCTGCGGGCTGATCTGTGATGTCGATGAGCATGGCGACGTTGAGCATGGCGACGTCGAGAAGAACGATGTCGCACATGGTAAGTTCAAGTGCCACTGGGAATGTTTGTATGGCCAGTGCTGGGCCGTCTGCCCTCCGACCATGGCTGCCGGCTCCGCCGACACCAATGCCGATGTAGTAGCAGCCTCTCTCAGGTGCCGCTGGGAGTGCTATTTTGGTCAGTGCTATACATGCTGCATTCCTTCCGCCAAAGGAGACGCAACCGAGAAGCGTGGCACATCACCTCCACCTTGTCATGAACGCTGTGACGATGACAAGTGCTGGATCGTCTGTCCCCGTCCACCAATCGAGTAGAATGGCTTTTGTGGTAAGCTTTCCAACGCATAATGATTCTACAGTGTCTAACTGACTTGTGATAGTATGATGATTCTGCGAGGTGCTCCAGGCATAACTCTTAGCAAAACAGAAGTCATGAAGGTTCAATATTGTAGACACGTGGGATGAAGTGTCTGGGAAGTCTGGGAGCCTTTTACCAGTGATATGGGGGTATAGACTAGACCTTTCTCATAATAGTAATGAAACCCAGGTATTCACTTTCTGGACTCGACTCCAACATGTCATGGTGGTCTGCAGTGTGTTCATTTATCGCTTTTTGACGTCGTTGGTGTGATGCGCAACTTGATCATGCCAATTCTCTGATGGTTATCCAAGTCATTTGCCCACCCTCTTTCCTGTATAATACACATGATGCTACAATATGGATATACCTCTGCCCATAAGCTATTCTGCGCTCCATTCTTTCTCGTGACACCGTCTCTCGCCCTTTCATGTTTACATCCCCCGTGCCTTCAAGAATTCGGCAATCTCACTGACGTGATGGCCCTTGACAACAACATGTTGCGTCACACTGTTGATCTTGACCTCCTCGTTCTTCTTGTTGAGAAAGACCCTCAGCTCATCCCTCAGCGCCGATACATCTCCGGTAATTTTTCGTATCGTCGTCAGATGCAAGTTGCCTCCTCGCTTGTAATCGGTGTAGATGGGCAGATTCTTATTCGCTGACCTCGAGACGACGTATTTCGGTGGTGGCAAAGACAGTTTAGGTGCGCGTGATGTCTTTGTCTTCTTAGCCGCCTCCTTCTTGAGTGTTGATGTAGTGTCCGCGACGTTTGAGGGCGCGCTCGAAGGCGCGGGCGCGACGTCATCAGCCTTTGCGGGCTTAGCTTGCGACGACGTGTTTGTTGGCTTGTTGTCGGCTCGTGGGTGCTTGGAAGGTAGTGTGGGCTTCTGTTCTGGTGGCTGCGCACTGTCGCCTTCGGTGAGGGACTCTGCTGCTGCAAGGTCGGCGGCTCGCTGGGCTTCTTGGGGCGTTGAGGGGTGTTCGGAAGAGGCGTTTGGTGGGAGGGAGGGTTGAGCGATGGGCTTGGAGTTTGCTGGAGGCTCTATTGAATATCAATCAACATGGCCGAGGTCAAAAGAGGGCGAGTGGCTTACGCTCAGCCTGCCATCTTGTCGCCGTAGAGAAGCGGAAGTGCTGTCGGCATGCGACTGCTCTTGGGGCGGTCAATGGCCTCAGTAGTGGCACTAGAGACTGGAATCGAGGCATTGTGTTTCCGACGAGACGAATCGACGTATACGAACAGCTACAAACAAGGGAACACAAGTGCTTGGAGGATTGTGACGTGCAGGCTGCTGCCATGGGTTGCGGCTCAACACCAGAAGTTTAGCGTACAGGGTTCCTCGCTTGCGCACAGTCGCGGGTTTTTTGCACCCCGCCACGGCCGACATAACGAATTTCGCGCCTCGTCCGCTCCACCCACCTCACCCACCACGTTGCACCGACACACCTGCGACAACCACCCAACATGGCGGACTCAGCGGCAAACGGCGCCAACGTGGCCGAACAATACTCGCTCCTCCCCAAGCTTATGCCCAACCTCGACCGTCATCTCGTCTACCCGCTCCTCAACTTCTCTAGCGATGAAGAAGCCGAACAGACCGTCGAGCAGAAGAAGCTCCTGCTCGAACTCCTCAAGCCCACCAACATGACGGACTTTGTCGGACAACTGCACCAGGAAGTCCACGGCCTCGACGACATGTCGGATGAGTTCAAGACCAAGCGCGAGGAAGTCCTGAAGAAGCGCGACCAGCTCGAGGAGGCGACGAGCAAGATCAGCGGCCTGCTCGACGACGAGAACGTCGTCACAAACCTGAGGAGTGACAAGCAGCAAAACTTGGCATACCTGAAAGAGAGCCATGGTGTTGAGATGGACATGGTCAACCAGTTGTTGGAGTTTGGTCAGTTCCAGTACTCGTGTGGTGTATACCCGCATGCCGCTGAGCTGCTCTACCGATTCAGGGTCTTGGTACGTTTTGCGAGACGTGGGCTTGTATTTGCATGGCTTACTAACTCGACTGTGACTACAGACCACAGACGGCGACAAGGAGCGCGAAGCCACCTGGGGAAAGCTCGCCTGCGAGATCCTCTCTGTAAACTGGGACTCGGCCATGGAGGAGATTAACAAACTCAAGGAGATTATCGACACACGCCTCTTCAACAACCCTCTCGCACAGCTCCAGCACCGCACCTGGTTGATCCACTGGTCGCTCTTCCCCCTCTTCAACCACGAAGCCTCGCGCGAAACCCTCACCGACATGTTCTTCTCCCCCGCATACATCAACACCATCCAGACAAACTGCCCGTGGATCCTGCGCTACCTCTCTGCTGCCGTCATCACCGGCCGCAACCGTGGCAGGAACTCGAACCAGTACCAGAAGCAGCTCAAGGATTTGATCAGAATTGTACGACAAGAGGGCTATGAATACAGTGACCCCGTCACCGACTTCATCAAGGCGCTTTACATTGACTTTGACTTTGAGGAGGCGCAGAAGAAGCTCAGCGAGACTGAGGAGATTCTGAAGAACGATTTCTTCTTATTGGGTGCGGCGGAACAGTTTGTGGATGCGGCGAGACATCTCATCTCGGAGAGTTACTGCAAGATCCACCAGAGGATCGACATCAAGTGAGTAATTGCTAATTTCTGTGCACCTGAAGTTGCAAACTAACGCACGATCAGGGATCTTTCAACCCGTCTTGGTCTTTCACAAGACGAGGGTGAGAAGTGGATCGTCAACCTCATCCGGGACACTCGCGTAGACGCAAAGATTGATTACCAGGCTGGCACAGTCGTCATGAACCACCCACCACAGTCTGTCTACCAACAAGTCATCGAGAGGACAAAGGGAGGCTTCTTCAGGACACAGGTCCTGAGTGCTGCCGTTGCGAAATGAGCGTGCCACATGTTATAAGGAGTGCATTCGTTCGTTTCACAACGAGAGGGAGAGTTAACAGCTTCTGGGGAGGTTACCATTGGGGGAGATGATGACGATCATGAAAGGGATGAAGGAATGATCGAAAAGTCTGGTTTCGGCATTTGGGGTTTCACGAAATGGGCGTGGGAAAGACTCACGCACTGCATGCATGGGTATGGGCGTCCTGCTACGGCTCTTGTAGAGCCATCTGTGTTCCTGGGCAACAGCACATGAAGCGTTGTATCAGTAGTGGACAACAAGTAGTATCCAAGAATTGACATCGACGATGAAACAACACTGCAGCTATATTCTCCTGCTCGCACTATATCATACACTCTCAGTCTACTCAATAGACTTCCTGCTCAACTCTTCACATCTTCTTCAATCCACGCTTCAAAACTCAGGCATAGTATCTAGGCTCGTTGAAGACATGATACCTATGCCCCCTGACACCCTGTCCCTTGAACAGATCCGGGAACCTCAAGCCAGCAGGGACCTGCGATTCATGCACAAGCTCATCTCCGTTCTCCGGCTCGCCAACGACGAACTTGCCAACCTGCATCAATATGATTAGTACCCAATGTTGAGCGGGATACAAGAGCATGGAGAGTGAATGACTTACCTGTAACTCGGTATCCGTAATGGTGTGTCTAGAAACACGCGCATACCCACTCCTCCTCAAGCCTTTGAAGAGAATGTACTCGCACCACCTATCCCAGTCCGACGCATCAATGTCCTTCATACCGCTCTTCTCGCCCACATAAGTGTTGTAGTTGCCCTCGCCCGGTTTAATGACCAGGTACGAGAGGAGGATGGCAGGACGAGGCGTGGCTTTCATGCGTTCAGCTAGGTATTCTGACTGTAAGCGGCGATCCTCGGGGTCCTCTTCCTGGCCCGAATGGAAGACGAAGATGTCGATCATCTCGCCGTAGGCGTCGATTGTCGCTTCGATGGCGGGGGCGAGTTCGCCGACGGGCGACGGAAGGAGGTGGTGTGTCGAGTTTACAATGGGGAACTTGGAGAGAAGCGCTGAGCCCCATGTGTGCTTGTTCGGGCCGGGACCGAAGTCGACGTACATGCCTAGGTCCTCGGCGAGGAATTGCGTTGTATCGCGATTGCCCATGATGATGCGTTGGAGATCACTTTCTAGGAGACCGATGACGTCGACTTCCATTTCCTTGATCAAGTCACGCATGCGGTACTCGGAAGACCACATGTCGTTGTCGAGAGAGAAGTGGATAGTCCAAATACCGGCTGTAATGGACTTGGTTTCTGGGTGGTAGGGCGTGTAGTCATATGATGGGAAGCGTAGGTAGGCCGTGGCAATGGCAATCAACTCCAGAGCACCAAGGACATACAGATAGTAGGACCGTTGTCTACCAGCGGCCGCGGTGATGACGGCTTTGCCCTTGTAGCTTTTGAGTGCAGGCGGTTGAGCTGAGACGCTGAAGACACCAGCACCGATTTGAAGCATCATGGCTGTCATGACCCAGTCTGTATGTTCGCGAACAAGGGGACCACCAGGGACGAAGGCATATGCTACTACCCAGACATGGAAGAGAACCATGAAGTTATAGACCAAGAATCCAAGACCGAAAGTTCGGCCTGGTGAGTGGCGCGCCGCGTGAGCAATGAGGATAGGTGCTGCTGCCATGGTGTACATAGCAAGAACGAGAGCTCCATAGAAACCAGACCAGTGGCTAGTGGTAGTCAGTACGGCAGCACCGATCGAGCCTATGCCGTAGAAGGCCCATGATCTTGAAAAGTTTGGCGCGAATAATCCGACTGTAAGACCCAATCCCATGGCGAACAAAACCAAGGTGCCATGGGGAACTGCCAGGGGACCCCGAACGGGGTAGCCTTCCCATACCCAGGAGATCATCGTGCTCGAATCGGAAAGCAGCGAGTGCATAGCGAACATGACACCCGCCAAACCAAAGCTCGCAAAAACAGATGACCCTTTGGTAGGACCCTGAGCTGGCACATCAGCACCAGAGCTGGCGGTGGATCTGGTCGATATAAGCATCGAGATGAAAGCAACTACGAGACCAGTCTTGTTCCACCCGCCATTTGCCTCGTGCATGATTGGCCAGATCGGGTTGTTCGTCCAAAAGGCAAACTTCGCGATGCTAGAGGCTATCAAACCAATGGCAAAGGCAGAAATGCGTGCTTCGAGGCGATGTGGTTGGGACCGTTCAGCGAAGAAGGTAGCAGACCATGCGAGGCATGACATTGAGAGTCCGAAACCAACAGCAAAGAGTCGATTGACAGGCGTCTCTGCGAGAAACGCGAGAAGTCCAGAGAGGGAGAGCAAATGAAAAAACCAGACGTAGCGAGTGGCAAGGTAGCGGAGGGGCTTGATGCCAAGGAAGAAGGGGGAGATGGTACACATGACCAAGGCTTCGTAGCCAGAGATGCCCATGTGCCAAAGAGGGAAGTCTGTAGATGATCAACAAGGGTACTACGATCGTGAAGGGGGAGTTGGACATACACCAGACGCAGACGCCGAGTGAAGTCAACATGGACCAGAAGACAAACTAGAAACCAGTCAGTCGCGTCTACTAGCATTTTGCGACACTGCTTACTCCATTGTATACGTCGGCTGCAGCATAAATGAGTCCAAACCAGGAAAAGGCACCCGAGAACGTTGCGCTCATCTCCTTGTTTTTTCTACACGAGTCAGTGACGTGCCAATTATCGAAAGCGAGTGATGACTTACTCTTGGATGCTGTCTGATGTCGATTTGGAGCCCGCACTACAAGAGACGTATCATCAGAAGGTGATCGTAAGAAGTATAGATTCGTGATGAGTGTCTATCTATATTGGAAGACGAGGAACGTACAGGCGAGAAACACCTCGAACATCCTTAATAACAACCTCCAAGTGTTGGAATTCGATCATCGTGACGGCATCGAAGCCTACATCGAGCAGAACCAGTGCCCATTCGAAGAAAGCATAGATGGTGTAGGCTACAAATGTGTCAGCAAGGATAAGACAGGACAACGGGATGACGTACCTCCGGCAACACGATGCACCTTGTGTTGGATAAAGAAGTATATCAATGGCACAAGAGTTCCAAAAAAGCTGCCAGCGAGGACTTTTCGGTACTTGAGGGCAGTGGGGTTCTTAGGGCTGAGAGCAACACAGCCTAGGGTCCAAGGTAGCGTTGCGACAAGATATGAAATCATAAAGATATCGTGCCAGTCGTGGTCGTCGGTAGAGGTCACATATGTCCATCCTCCGCAAGTCAAGGTCCGAAAGATGCCAACGCCAGCGATGAACTTGGGGAGGGACGAGTTAGGTCGGCGGGTCAAGATGTACCAAAGGCCGACCAATGCAAACCGGGGGCCTAGACAGCTTAGTATGGCTCTCCACAGGCTGTCTTTTGTTCCATACCAGATGTAAGAGCGATGAAGAGCATAAAAACCGAACGCTCTGGGTAGCGGTCGCCAATAGTCGCGGACACGGATGGGAACCATTCATCTGGGTAGCCCTGGGTATGTTATTGGTAAAGCTCGAGCCCAATATGAAGGAGAGAACCAACGTAGAACTCATTCTGTACGATCTTGTGGTAATGTAACCATCTGCGGGTGTTCAGTCGCGTCGTGGGGTAGTAGAGAGTGATGTGCGTACATTCCGACTACGAGGGCTCCGACGAAGGCACCTGCACTTGTTATCAGTACGATGAATTACCCAGATGATACAAGAACATACAATAGGCCATAGCGGTATGCGAATATGATATCCATTTTCCATTGAACTACGTCTTGTGAGCATGCGGAGCTCTCGGGGGTGATATCTCCCGCGCGTACCGTAGCGACAGTGTCACCGTCCTTGTCTTTGACCATTGTACAAGATTCAGATAGCCTCTCAGCGGCCGTCGAGCATTGGGGAGGGAAAAGGAAGCAAAAGAGCGTCGTGAATTGATGATTTGCAGTCCTCCAGCACGCGAGTCTCCTGAAGTTCGTATGGCCAGGGTTCGCGCTTCCGAGGTCCGTAGGCCAAGGCGCTATCCGCGGGAGCAACTTTAGCCTAACTTTTTTCTAGAGCGACGGTCAACTTTTCTGATCTCAACCTTTTACCAGCAGCACCTCACGCGCGCAAACATGGCCGGACCAAGTGACAAGGCGCGTTTCTACCTCGAGCAGTCGGCGACGGAGCTGAACGAGCTTGAGCGCAAGAAAATCTTCACGCGAGTAAGCTACACGCACATTCGCGCAACGCCATCATCTCTAACGGCCTATAGGAAGAGATCAGCTCCATAGCGAAGAAGCGCTCGGATTTTGAACACATTATCAATGCCAGAGGCTCACACCCTGAAGATTACATGCGATACATCGAATTCGAGAAAAATGTCGACGCACTTCGCCGCAAACGAGTAAAGCGACTCGGGGTACGGTACAAGGGCTCTGGTCAACGAACAATCTACCTTCTCTACAACCGGGCAACGCGCAAATTCTCGGGCGACTTGGTACTGTGGATGCAGTATATCGACTTTGCGCGCAAGGATAAGGCATACAAGAGGCTGAACGACATCTTCACCTCTGTCGCTCGACTCCACCCCACCAAGCCTGACGTATGGATCCTCGCGGCGAATTATTTCATGGATACACAGGCGGACATTACGAATGCGCGAAGCTATATGCAGCGAGGGTTGCGCTTCTGCAAGAACTCCGAAGTCATGTGGCTGCAATATGCAAAGCTGGAGACCATTTACGTTGGCAAGATTGCTGGTCGGAGGAAGATTCTCGGTCTAGACATTGATCGCACCAAGAAGCCGGGCACCGATGAGGACGGGGACGAAGACATGATTGCACTCCCGGTAGTGACCGCGGAGGATGTGAACCCCAGCTTGAAGCAGGATGATGGTGTGGATGAGGTGGCTCTGCAGAACTTGGCGTCTGCGCCAGTACTCACTGGTGCCATTCCGCTGGCAGTCTTCGATTCCGCCATGAAGCAGTTCCAGGGCAAAGCCAAACTCGCGGAGAAATTCTTCGACATGTTTGCCGAGTTTAGTCAGCTAGCCTGCATACCACGCATCTTGCAGCACGTGTTAGATTACCTGCAAGATAACTCTCCACATGCTGTAGAGACCGCCATCTGCAGCTTCCACATGCAGCTGTTTGGCTGTGATCCTGCTGATTCAGAGATTGCCCTTGCATTAAGCAAGGCCCTGGACATGATAAGCTCTACCATTCAGCAACATCCCAATGAGACTGTCAAGGTTTCCGAAGTCGCTGTTCGACGGCTGTTATCTCTGCACCGGCTACTTGCGGATAGCGACTCGTCATTGCAGAAGGCATCGCGAGCAGCACTACGCAAGTACGTACGGGCAATGGAAGACGGTGAAGGCGATAAGGCTGCTAGATTGGCCGAATTGTTGCGGCAGCAAGGAAAGAAAGACGATTCGGAGTTGTTGGCTCAGACAGGCATCAAGTACTGGCCTGCAAACGAAGCGCTCCAGAAATTGTCACCGGCGATGGAAACGTGAAGGATCAAGAGACCTTGGTCAGCAGACAATTGTACCGAGCAGTCCCTGCATGAAGTATTCTTCCTATCTCTTATCGGGTCGAAGGCTATAAGCTACACCGCTACGGCCACACTCGCACTATCGTGAGATGTACTACGATTGAACGGTGGAACCACGTCACCTGCGCGTCAAGCTGATCAATGATGCTGTGGCAGGCCGCTTCCCCGCAGACCGCTTCACTCATCACCCCGGCCTCGCCGCGACGTCTTCTTAGCGCTCTGCTGCTTCTTGCTCTTGATGCGGCGCTCGTTATCGGACTTTTGTCTGGCGCGTTATCAGCTTTCGGGCCGTCGCTAGGGTTGTCGGAATGGACGAGAACATACAAATCCCGGACACGCAGCACCTGTGCTGCCGGCGTCTCGGCGGGCACAGCATCTTGTCCGGCCTGGGCAATGGCTTCGTATAAGCGCTTGTAGCAACTTTGAGCATTGTCACTCTGCTTTCGACTGTCGTCGGCCTGGACTATTATAGTATTTGACCTAGCAGCTACGTAGCGGGAACGTCTAATCTCGCTATGCAAAGCTGCAGGGACATGGTGCAGCAGGGCGTGCAGAGGCACCTTTAAAGTAGCTTTCGAATTGACTCTTTGTGCACATTTTTAGTATAGCGCGACGTTGGAAAAAAAATTAGTCGTGTGGCATACTTGTTCACGTTCTGGCCGCCTGGGCCTGATGATCTGCTGAAGCTCAGTTCGCCTATGCTCTTGAGCGGGATCGTCTCTGCATGAAGCTTCGCGAGCCAGGCTCGCGCAGCCTGGAGCTCGTCGCCAGTGGCACTGCTGGCGTTTCGTCGAGACTGAAACGAGACGAGCGAATGGAAAATAAGAGGTCGAGGCAGCATCACCGGACGCGCAAATTGCTTGCGTTGGACTTTGTCAAGATGAAATCATGTTAGCAACCGCATGTGCACAAGCTAGGGTCAGAATGACCATTTTAAGCACAGGAACGGACGCTAGAAGAGCACTAAAACACATCACGTGTGCGAAGCTTCAGCAGAGAAGATGGAGATTCCAGGCTCTCCTCGGAGTCGACACGGCGCCGTGTCCCCAACATCTGCTGCACCACATTCCCTCTTGCACCTTGCCTGACTGCACCAACATCTCTTGCCACTTTTACGGGACCCGCTTCTCGCTTCCGTGCCTGTGGGCTTTCGCGCGTCTGCCATCCCATCCATCTAACGTCGACCATCATATAGCACCTAGCCAGCCCCGCTATCGGCTTCTTCTTCTTCTCCTTCGTCTTCTAGTGCTCAATCTGCTGCAGCTCTCCAGCCCTTGTCGCGACGGTGCGTTCCGTAGATGCTTTGAGTTGACTCCCCTTTTACCTACGCCTTGTCTGCCAGCTTTGCGCTCTGGCTCCGCAGTCTACATGAGACCCAACTCCAGTCCACCGCAAGAAGCTGAGCACGTACGGCACCAGTCGCTGACGCCGGAGAGCCCGCGTCCGCAAAACGTCCCGTCGCCCGCCAACATTCCCATCCTTGTAGAGCACATGGATGCGAACTATGATCATGTCTCACACAGCAACACCGACTCTGCAGCTCCTTCCGCTTCCCATTTCCTCCAGCAAGCGCACAGCTCCGCCGCGAACGCGACCACGTCTACGCCCTACTTCGCCGATCAATCCTCGACGGCCAATTTCCAGAATATAGGCGCACAGGGTGGAGGACATGACGCGCTGGGGGCTTTCTCTCAGTCGACTGGTTTTGGTGGCAGCATGGGTACGCAGCCGCACGATACCTCTTCAATGCAGAATTTCACCTCACAGCATCAGTCGCGCGCTGCTTCGGCTAGTGACGCGCCGCAGGCGTCTGGTCAAGGTCTTCATTCTGCGTACCCATACTTCCATGACAATGCCTATGCTGCACAGCAAGCGCCCACCCAGTCTGCCCAAGGCGCTCACTACCAGACTGAAGCGCATACTGGCTCCAATGTTGACGTACAAGCCCTGTTGGATTCTCTGACACCTGCTGCGAACAATGCGCCCTCGACTCAATATGCTTCTGCACAAATGTCCACCCAGTCGCCGCAGACTCAACATCATGCCTCGTCGTTGCAGTCGACCACCAACCTCCCTGCGAGACCACCTACCCAAGATAAGCCCGCTACACACCCCAACTATAACCCAAACGATGATATCAGATCCTATCATCCACAGAGTCAGCAAGCACCCAATGCCCAGCAGAGAGGACATGCCTCTCTTCAGTCGGTGAATATGCAGAATCACGACGTCTCGACAACCTCCGGCCATGCTCAGCAGCAGCCGGGTGAACGTAGCGAAACGCCTGACGATGAAGACCAGAGGTGGCCGCCCGAGGTGAATAGAAGATACGAGGAATTCCTGGATCAGGAGAGGAAGTTTGTAACAGAGGGGCAATGGGACCAATTTCCCATGGGCTCGCGTCTTTTCATTGGTGAGATGAGACTGTTTTGGCACGAAGGATGCGCCTAACCTTTTCTTAGGAAACCTCCCCACTGAAAAAGTCACCAAGCGCGACATCTTTCATCGTTTCTACCGCCACGGCAGGCTCGCCCAGATATCAATCAAGCAGGCGTACGGTTTTGTCCAGTTCCTGGACTCGGAATCATGTCGCAGAGCCCTGGATGCCGAACAAGGGCAGGCAGTGCGCGGCAGGAAGATGCGTATGTCAAGCCACATCTCTAAGCCACTGTTGGACGATCGACTAACGATAACAGACCTTGAAATCTCCAAGCCTCAGCGGAACACGAAAAAGATAGAACCACCGAATCCGACACCGCGTCGACGCTCGCGTTCCCCAGATTATACTAGGGGTGGGACGGGACAGGCGCCCAGGGATAATCGCTATGTAGGGCATCCAAACTCCATGTCGCCGAGGGATCGACGCTTTCGCGATCGGGATGATTACCGACCCATGCGATCGCCTTCGCCACGGGCTCCGCCTCGGGGCATCCGATCACGAGATAGGAGCCGCGACAGGTTCGATGCGCGATATCGTAGCCGGTCCAGAACACCACCACGCAGGCACAGAAGTCCGTCTCCACGTCGTGACTATACAGAAGACGGATTGGACCTTCGACGTCGCTTACCCCATGAGGTACCTGACATCCAGATTCTCGTGCTCAACGAGGGACTTCCTCGGTAGGTTCAAGTCGAATATCGCCCGCTTGATGAAATGTTGCTAACACTGTTATAGTGACTTTATTCGCTACGTCGAGGATACTTTCCGCTCACAAAACCTACGTAGTAATGTTCTGATATTGAGTGGTCGATTCCCTGAACCAGCTGTAGTTCGAAGACAAATCCTCGAGGGAGTTCTAGCTATTGTAAGGCTCGATACTACTGGCCTGACCAAGGGTAAGGTCAGCGTCCAGATTTTCGACCGACGTGGCGGTGCCAATAATGTCCAGTTCAACGGTATGATTGTCCATACTTTATATGAGTGACTACTGACTCGTGTTCCCAGAATATGCCGATCTTGACCCTACGACGGCTGGTCTTCTCGTCAACAATGCCAAACAAAGCCAGTCGCGCCCGGTCCTGCCGCCATCATCCTCGTACGGTTTCGGTCAGACTCTGCCACCGCACTTCCCTCAGCCGAGCAACCCTTTCCCATCTCTGCCGACCACTCAGCCTAATATTTCCAATCTCATAGCCTCCCTGGACGGTGCTAGCTTGTCGCAGCTGCTCGGTGCAATGTCCGGCAACAACATACCGCAAAACGCGCAACCCGCACCGAACCAAGGCTTGAATGCTGATCTTGCACGCCTCCTTGCTCAGGTGCCCAGTCCTGTTCAAACCCCCAGTTTCAATGGCCCGGCTCAGCCACATCTTGCGCAGCTGAGCAACCAGTTCCCTGCACTTGCTTCTCTCTTCGCAAACCAGAGCCAGGTCGTCGCTCCGCCAGTGCAGACACCTACCCAGGCTGGCTCCGCACCAGACATGTCTGAAATCATGGCCCAGCTTGCTCAATATCAACGCTGAACCCCATCCCCGTACAGCCAGAATCCTAGATATCAAGCACGACTGTCTCGAAGGTTACCACCAGATAAACCCGACATTACTACAATAACCTATATCATGTATGCCACTCCATCCGTACATGTATCGACATGTTGTATATCCCAACCAACCAAACTCGACTGCGCCATGCACCTAAGTCTCCCTGAAAAAATAGCCTTGTACCTCCCACGAACCAGCTCATCGAAAACACAGTAAACCGGTGGACCCAATGCTCTTCACCTGGCCCCGAATGGTGAATCCCGAAGGCCCTCGCACTCTCATTCCGCGCAGCAACATTATGGAATACCCATGCGACAATTTCCTGGCGACTCCACCATGACCCACGCGACTTATACACTTCCTGGCGACGACTTAGCTCCTGGACCAACATGCGCTGTAAACTCTGGATGAGGCCCTACCTCTATTGTCCCCCTCCATCTGTGGTTTTGCTCCACTCACGTTCATATTTTCTGGCCTGTAACGGCCAGGTCCCTGTATCTTCTACGAATTTCCTTGGTTCCAGTGTATAGTGGCTTCCTGTTTTTATCTGATCTGACTTAGCGTTCTGCGAGGTGTTAATGGGCGCACAAAATCATGCCACGCATTTGTACTTGGGGTTTCTTTCAAGTTCTTAGAGGCAGATTGGCGCTTTGCAACGCTTTCGCATTCTTGTATATATTAACACGAGCAATGCCCAAGGGGTGGGTTTAACGAGGTGAGTGTAGCGTCTATTATAGCATAGACGAGAATATCTCCAGATACTAAGATTAAGCTGCACAACTCAAACCAAGCCTAAATCACGCATCTGTTATAACAGTCATTAGTCAACCAAGTCGAGTTAGCGCAGACACGAGGTGTGATGACATCGTGTTCCGTCCGTGGCACCGCGGACAGGGATCATTCGGACCCAGTTTTTTCTTGAACATGCGAATGAGAAACGTCACCATCAGAAGCAGCCGTCAGCCAACATTTATTCCACGGCTCTATCGCTCAATTGCCAGCGCGCACATGCTATCCTCATGATAATGAAATCACGGCCGATGTTTTCTACGTTTACTATACCGGTGCGATCGCACAGTGTCTTCGCAAACCTTCAATGCCACCGCAGCATCCACATCCGGGCCACGACGCCGGCACTGAGCTGTCAGATATGGCATGATGGGTCCCGGAATACGATAAGAAGGGGAACGCAGGCATATTGGTGGGAGGAACAAACGAGGCGACATGCCTCATCCGCAGCAACGCCGGCGAAGAAGACAGGATACAGCGGAACCATGCCACCACCTCCTGTCAAAACAACCAAAACGAACGTACCTACAAAGCCAACTTCCTCGCCTTCTACAAGAAAACCTCAATCACCCCCCCTCGTTCCCGCGCAGATATCCACCTCGAAGGCCACAACCGTCCCGACCCTGCGAGCGAAGGAGAAGCTAAACCCACCACTTTTCACCTACGCCCCCGAGATATCTGTTCCTGCACGAAACCCAGACGTAAACGTTGTCAAATGGTTATATCGCGCCGGTCGCGCATACCTTACCTTTTACAAAACGGGCATCTCACACGTCCGGCAAACATTGAAACTCGCCAAGACACTGCGCGAAAAGGCTGCTCAAATACCCAACAAAAGCACGAGCGAGGTTCTGACAAGAGCGGAATGGCAGATTGTGCGAAGAAGCAGGTCAGACGCGTTGAGGTTACCGGTATTCGGCCTCTTGGTCTTGTTACTTGGAGAGTGGTTACCACTTGTTGTCATGTACATTACGCCCGTAATTCCAGAGGCGTGCAGGATACCGCAGCAAGTTCAGCGTTCATTACGGAAACTCGAGGATAAGCGGCAAGATCGGTTGAGAAGGATCGCCCTAGATGCCATGCGATTGATGAGTAGGGACCGTCCACCCATTGGCACTGCGACTTCAGCCGCGCCATCCATTTCCCTACCAAAGAGTGGACAGATCATGCCAGTGACCACGAAGAAATGGAACGAGATGACGCTCTTTGAACTGTCACTTACCGCCGCACAACTCGATTGCTACCCTGCGATATTTGACTGGCTGCCTTTGACGGCACCCAAGTTTCTCTTACAACGCAATGTTAGGAAGAAGTTGGAGTACTTGAAAATTGACGATAAGTTGATTGAGAGAGATGGTGGATGGGCAGCTCTTGGCAAGGAGGAGCTCCAAAGGGCTTGTGTGGACAGAGGTCTACCAGTGTTGGGGAAGAGAGAGGATGAGCTCAGGAAGGCGTTGGCGAAGCTCGAGGGGTGATATGGCGTACAATAGCCGTAGAGGTTGTGCGTATGATTACAAGCTTCGATGAAGACGTTTTAGACGATGCTCAAGGGCTAAGATAGACATGTAAACATATTTGTTTTGTCTGCGATATAGATTCAAAGCTACCCAAATATGATACCTCTTACGATGATATGAGTAGCAATACGCGTGCTTTCCTGACGCACATAAGGATTAATTGAGATGACAGCGCACGCGAGAGCTTCTTTACTGGCGTGTAAAACTAATTTAATTCACCCTCGGAGAGCATTTGTGCACGTAGTTGGAAAAGATTGCCCAAGTTCGACACTCACCCGCGTAGCGTTGAGGGAGGTTACTATATTCGGCAAGTTGAGCAAAATTGTCGATTACGGCACTTATGGAGGGGCAGAAAGGAAAGAGCTATCATCGAGGCAAACGAGGGGCATGGCGGGGTGTTTGCAGTGGGATGTAGAATGGAGGGGTGGAGGGGCAAACATTTTTCACTTCGAAAAGATGAGAGTGAGGGGCACGACACGGTTGACTTGCTTTCCCCAACACATCTTCCGGGATTATCCTATTAATCGAACAATGTTGTATGGAATGACGGATGAGTAGTTGCTACATGTGAGGACTGAGTAACTCTGTCGATTAGGAATTCCGGCTCGTTTGGTATATGAGCTGCCGCTCCTCACTGGATCTTGACAGTGAATTCTGGCGCTACCCGGGCAGGCACCCTCCGTTCTCATGCACATGGATTTCGGGCTTGTAAAGGTATGGTACATCTTTTGGAGCTCGTGAGACCTTCCTTTGCGAAAGATAGGGTGATTCGCCTTGAAGGTCTACCGAAGGGAACTTAGTCGGCCTGGATATTGCGTAATAGCTGCCGCGAGGACCTTTGCCAATAGCGATTCCAGTCTTCATCGGAACTCAGCTGAGATATATAGGTTCTTGAATCCTGCTTTCACACTAGCTCTTTCTGCTTCAGAGGTATTTGATTCAAAGCAAAGAAAAGACGTTAAACATAGAACGGCTGTGCTTCACACCACTGATGACTTCCTCGAACCATAGCACCCTCGGCATTAATACTCTCTGTTTTATGTATGACAGCAAAAGAAAAAGTAAGGGGTTCGAACAAGGAACAGGATACAATCACTTGGAAGAATACTGCAGTTTTAATACCTCGGAACGTAGAGTGATCGCGATCATCGACACATGCATAATGCGGGTTGTTTAAGTTACCAAAGTCAGGAGTCTTCCGTTCGAATCTACGAGGAAGACTCCTAGATCGCCTTCCGAGTATCGAAACAAAAACATTGTAGTTGAAGAAAGCAGAGATTGTGGTTGCCGCTGAGATGCCGTTAGTATCATATGACCAATAGGCGGTGTTGGAGACGTGATTACGCTTCGTGCCTCGGCATCTTCCCCAGATGTTCTCTGCAGCAGCTCCACACAAGACGGAGTGCTGCGCGGAGGCGGCTAGCTCATCTTGTAGACCGAGGCCAAACGTCTAGAGACCCGCATAATGTAGTGAAGGGCTGGTTGCCGGTTCTCCTTTCATCCTAAAGTCCCCTAAATCTCTTCTTGCTGTGCATCAGATCGCTCCTTCCTCGTCGGCCTGTCGCATCCCTTTACTCCTACCATTAACATGCCTCACGCCACGCTCACACGCGAGTCGGTCGCTTCGCACAACACACCCGAAGACCTCTGGTGCATCATCGACCACAAAGTCTACGACCTCAGCGATTTCGTCGATGCCCACCCTGGCGGCTCCGTCGTGCTCGAACAAGTAGCTGGCCAAGATGCGACGACGGCATTCTACAACCTACACCGACAGGAGGTCTTGGAGAAGTACCAGGAGCTATGCATCGGCACGATCGAGGGTGAGAAGTCAGAAGTAATTGTCGGAAAGCCTGGCGATCTGAGCCCAGTACCATACGCAGAGCCGTTGTGGTTGCGACCACAATTCAAGAGCCCGTACTTCAAGGAGAGTCACCGGGCACTGCAGAAGGAGGTGCGCAAGTTCGTCGACACACACGTCACCCCTGAGGCACAACAAAAGGAGAAGGATGGTACATACATTAGCCAGGAGTTGATCAATAAGATGGCCGAGAACGACATGCTAGCCATGCGCCTTGGGCCTGGAAAGCATCTTCACGGCAAGAACCTGATGGGTGTGGTCAAGGGCGAGGAGTTTGACTACCTCCATGATCTTATCCAGGCACAGGAAGGTGTGCGCGCAAACGCTCGTGGATTTCAGGACGGCAACATGGCAGGTATGACCATCAGCTTGACAGCCGTCTTGCAGTGGATGCCCGAATCTGAGCTGAAGACGCGAGTGGTCAACGAGGTGTTGACTGGTAAGAAGAAGATGTGCCTAGCCATTACCGAGGCTTTTGCTGGATCGGATGTCGCTGGAATCAGAACTACTGCGACATTGACACCAGACGGCAAGCATTACATTGTACGAGGCACAAAGAAGTGGATCACCAACGGAATGTTCTGCGACTACTTCGTCACAGGCTGCAAGACGGACAAGGGCTTCTCTGTCCTGCTAATTGAACGCGACGAGGCCGTTGAGACCAAGTTGATCAAGACAAGCTACTCCACAACCGCAGGCACTGCATACGTGGAGTTCAACGATGCAAAAGTACCGGTAGATCACCTTCTAGGTGAAGAGCACAAGGGCTTTGTTGTCATCATGAGCAACTTCAAGTAAGTGTCCCTGTACGAACTGCATGTGAAACCTTCACTGATTTGTTATACCCATGTTTAGCCACGAGCGCTTTATGATGGCCTGCGCCGTTATCCGACAATCGCGAACTGTTGTGGAGGAGTGCCTGAAGTGGTGCAATCAGCGAATTGTCTTTGGCAAGAAGCTCATAGAACAACCCGCCATCCGTCAGAAGTGAGTATTGCATCTAAAGATAGTTTCCTTGTTCTACAGGTGCATCCGTCGGATGTGACCTCACCACATTACCTTGCTCGTACTGACACTATCCCAGGCTTGCGAAGATGATCTCACACGTCGAAGCCAATCAAGCGTGGCTAGAATCTATCGCCTACCAAATGACGCACATGTCCTACGCTCAACAATCGAAGCTGCTCGGTGGACCTATCGGTTTGCTCAAGTCGTTTGCCACTCGTTCCGCACACGAGATCGCAGATGAAGCCGTCAACATCTTCGGAGGTCGCGGACTTACTCAAGGTGGAATGGGCCGGGTGATTGAGCAGTTCCATCGCACATATAAGTTCGATGCTATTCTTGGAGGTACCGAAGAGATTTTGGGTGACTTGGGTGTGAGACAGGCAATGAAGGACTTCCCGAAGAGCATGTTGTAGACTCGAGTTGGAAGCGGTGTATGATAGGAGCGTATCAATATCTAGTTAACAAAGGCCATCAGTTCAAACTCAAAAGCCATTCAGAACATTGTGAAACGCTTCTAGAAGCAATGGCAACGTGTCAGGACGGACATAAAGTGTGTGCGGGGAAAGCCCATGTTTGGACGGTGTTTGACCATGCAGGCGTACAAATCGAGTACCAAGGTTCGATTGCACACGGACCCAAGCGGTTGTCGCACAGACGATATGATGGGCATATGATAGCGTGACTCCAGACGATCAACGGCACGTCTTGCATCGACTTGCAGCATTAGACCGTGTGCATATCTCGCAATGAAGTATGTCCAGTCGACAGCGGCAAGCCAATGCTCAACACCAAGGATGACCATTGCAGCGTTTCATGACGATAGTCGTACAGCCTCACACGGCGCATAGCCGTCATGCACGCGCCACGAATCGCAAACACTGGCGCAGGCCGAGCGATGCGCCTCATCCGACACAACAGAATGCCAGACACTGTCGTCCACGTGTTAGACGCCTCAATGCGGCAACAAGCGAGTTGCTGGTATGCAGGCTGCATGAGACACGATCTAGATTGCATATCACAAGTACCAGACAGGAGTGGGTGAGGCATGTCGCCGATACGTGTCACATGCAAAAGGCAAGTCGCGCGAGGGATGATGTGGAAGTATATGCACGACCGTCTTGGGCACGTGAGAAGACTTGGATGTTGCAAAGGCAAGGTCGGCGATGAATGCGGCGTTTTGGAGAATCAAAGGTTGACAATTGTGCTGATGCAAGGCATATGGAATACCATGGAAGATGCTCGGCTAGTGGCAGCCGCCCTGCATCGGGGAGGCAAAGGACGCGCTGCGAACGCATGTCGGCTCGAGTCGTGTGCAGCGCAGCGCAGCGCAGTGCCATCGGTCGGACCAAGGCACCAGTGATAGCATGGGGGCTTTACTTAAGAAGCGGTCTGCGTCACCTTTACCTACTTGATCCTCATCTGTCACTACTACCTACTACCTATTACTTACCACCTACCACCTACTGCTGTTGAACCTTCCCGGAGGCAATTCACTCTTAGTCATACCACTCGCCCTACTCTCTCCTGCTTATATAGTCCTGGGTTTTCCGCCTTCCTTGCTCTCTACTTGCTCTCTACTTGCTCTCTACTTGCTCAACTATCTCCGTCATCTAGCCGGTCAATTCGCCGCGCCGCAGCGTCATCACCACTCGCCGACCACGCCATCATCATCATCACCAGCCTCACACGCTCTCTCCGCACTACACCCATCCACAGCTCTTTCCGCAACCGCCACTATGCGCCGCTCGTCAAGCATCAGCAGCATCAGCTCATCCAGCTCTGAGTCGGAGGAGACGATGCAGATCTTCGTCAAGACTGTCTCCGGCAGCAACAGTGAGTCGTTCCCGCCATGGTTCCGAGGCTCGGAACCGGCTGCATCATCAAGTCACAAGAAATAGCTAACACTGTTTACCAGCAATCCCCCTTACAATCCCTTCGAATACATCTATAAGCACTCTCCGCTCTCTCCTCGCCCTCCGAACCAACCTCTCCACACCCTCCGATCTGCGCATAGTCCACGCCGGCAAGCATCTCGCCTCATCCGACACCACCTTGGCTGATTACGCCATCGGCCCCAACTCGACTCTCCACCTCGCACTCCCACTCCGCGGCGGCATGCCCCCGAAGAAGATCCGCTGTTCCTTCAAGGACTGCAAAGACCGCGCGCAACCCATTGTCGGCGACTGCGGCTTCTGCCAGGGTAGGCACTGCAGTCGTCATCGCATGCTCGAGGATCACAAGTGTGAGGGCCTGGAGAACTGCAAGAAGGAGAGCCATGACCGAAATGCGGATAAGCTGAACAGCGAGCGCACCGTTGCCATCAAGGGTGTTTAGATGAAGGGTGGGATATGCATGGCGCATGCCCAGAGATGATATCACCTTGAGCGATTTGGCGATGAGCCATCTGCAGCTCTGCTTTCCATGCGCTGGAGCAATGGCGCTGGGAGCTTCTTTCTTGACTCTTGCTGCTTGTGATTTTGAAGACGGGAAAGTAATTTTTTCCCCCGGAGCATGGCGTTATGAGGACAGCGTCTAGCGAATTTGTATTTGTAGCTAGAGGAATGGCAGCCATCCATATTCGACGATGCGCCTTCTCTTGCCGTGATGCGATATTCTGTCATGTGCCACAGACTATGCAGTTCACATCTTCGAGCCTGATTTAAGAATCGACAAGCAGATAACCACAAGAGAAGCCTTGTCTTTCTCTTGGTTTGGATTAGATCACATCACGGCTGTGTACCACACGGTGAAATGCTTGCCTGCATCTACAATCACCTGCAAAGCTAGAAACGATATGGCGGATAAAATTCTTCCCAGTCGTGACAAAACAAGCCAGTAGGATAGAAAGATGACAAATAGCGAAATCGGAAAAGACAAAAAAAAAGGTTCAATGGTACGATTGCTTGGCAGAATAGCAACTACATACCTATCTAAGCAGCCATGACAGTTTGATTTCTCCTCGGAGCATAATCTTGGTACTACCATATAGCATGGCTTGTTGTTGGTGTCTTGTCTGTGTATGTTTTGTTGTTGGTCCGAGATGTCTCGGGTCCCCTCAACGACTTCTTCTCTTGCTTGCAAATACTGTGACGCGCGTACGAGTACTGCCGCGCCGAAAGTATGGCGGGGTCTGTATTGTCAATATCCAACGAAAATCAGGATACAACGTGTGAAGCGAGAATGGAACTATTGAAAATAGGCAGTTGGGATTCGACTCTTTCATGGATATTGGTTGGTACGCTGAAGGGAGAGTAGTATTGCAGTGTGAACTTTCCCGGATGCGCCCGGGTGGAGGCGCAGGTGCTTCCCGGGTCTGATGGGAAACATTCGATGATGGGGAGAAAAAGATCAAGACGAATGAACTTGAGAGAGGATTGGAATAGTTGCGTAGGCCAGGAAAGAAAAGATACTAGTGTCAGGTTTCGCAATATGTAACTGCTGTTTCAACAAGGTTGTTTTGTCTAAAATTGTGTCGAAAAGACCTCACTGCAGAACTTGTTTGCCTCTGTTGACATCTGGAATACGAGAAGAGCGGAAGTAAACCATTATTACACCAAGCGCCGAGCGTTGTTTAAGTGTTGATTGGGTATCGCCTAAGCGCTGTCTAGCAGGTGTTTGGGTGTTATCCAGACGCCGTGCCAAGTATGTCATGGAAAATGGGTTCTGTCGCTGACAGAGTAAAGAGATCATGCTTACTCCTGGAACGTTTGATTGCGACAAGACCGCACCTACCTATAGTGAGCCCAAATTTATATTTGTTGAACTCACGGTACCCTGGGAGGCCGCGCTCCGACACTCTGATGGTGAACGTGCGAGACGCTCCTTGCTTGTTGCCCGTTGCCTTGCAGTGCCTTGGGTACCGAAACATATGGGAAAAGCACAGCGACGCCCAACAGGAGGCCTGCGCGTGCACGTCTGCGCAGTCATGATTGACTGAACGGACATCTCTTTGTGAGTCACGAATTCTTGTCGCATATGAAACCCCTTTTCGTATGCGACTCGAAACCCAGCGCCACAGGCTGGGCTGGGCTTTCCGCTCCGCCTGAGGCCAACACATACAAAGTGCAGGTTCGACTCGAAATGATCTCTGACATGGAATGCGGCGGCTGTCGGTCTTGGTTGCCGTCTTGTCGTTTCCAAGTCGGAGCGGTTGCCGGAGCTCTAACAACGTGGCGAGTCGGCCCTGCCCAGTTGCGCCCAGCAGACGACAAGAAGGATCTGAGACGGGTATCGCAGTGCTTCGCCATAATATCATCTCTTTTGTTTCAACGTCTTCCGCTCTCCGCCCCGCCCTGGCGGCTGTCGCTTCGAATCCGTGACTTCATGGGTGCGGGATCGCGTCTCGGAGTTGCACCTCTAAGTGGCCTGATGTTGACACACGGAAACTGCACGCCTCCACAAGGGTTCGTTCTTTGTGGCGTTCCGCTCGTATTTGCTTGTTTCTTCCACAGCGCTATCAGTGACTGTGAAAACAGAGTTTCAGGGGCTCTGTTCTGTGTGGTTCGGAGGTTCGGAGTGGATGGAAATGTTTCTTGGGTGAGTTTTCTTCCCCAGGGCAATACTTGGCATCGTCGTGAGCGCCAGCGGGACTACCGAGATGATAACTGATGAGCCCTCAACTCACCACGAGATGAACTAACACACATCAGGTGGACTAGTTTCTGCGATGATACAACACAACTTCCAAAATCTTAACAACTTGGCTCGCGCTGACTTACTACTATTCAACAAGACTGCGGATGGGCGCGCTCCCGCAAATCACGATGGAGAAGCAAACTGACCATGTTCGGATGTCGCTGACGATACCAGGCGATTGATGCCATTAATCGCACCCTATAGAAATCTCCGAGTATCTAACCGTGGAACTGCGATCGAAGCCCAAACGCCGCACCCGCTGTCACAGCTGCTCATCGGACGATACACGGAGGCCTTAACCGGCCAATCCAGAAGGTCATCCTTCGAAGGCTAAATCACGACATGGTTCCGCTGTGCGGACTGACTGCGGCAGCATGTATGTGGCATCGCAAAGTAGCATGCATGACGATATCCACTGCTCAACGTCCGGCGCCGGAATAACTTCGTTACAATCGTTAGAACGTTGGACAAGTCCCCGGTTTTCAAAGGGTCCTCCTCCCCATGGGACTATTGTGGAACACTTGTGACGTAGCTGATGGAGTCCGCGGGACCCCAGCGTGTGCCTCGCCGCCATCATCACAGGAAACTGACTAGCCGTCACAACGGAGGAATGAAGCCGCCAGCTGACCGCTACCGTGGCAAGCCTCAGCTCTGATGGTTAGTCACTCAGACGACTACGAAGACTCAGGCAAGATAACGTTCTCTTTTGTGTTTGGTATCTGTGTAAAGTGTAGTGCAGTTCTGCGCGGGATGCTTCTTTGTTTCTTCTCGGCTCTTGACACTTCCCGACAGGGGAGATCGGCACGGACCTAGGAAGATATCGGGCTTGGACTTGTTTCCAGATCAGATTAGAAATAGCGTCTGGTGCTCGTCTCGACGCTCGATCGGGTTGATACTGTGCGAGGGCTTCCTGAACGCGTAATTGCCCGGCCGACAATGAGCCTTGGCAGAGCAAACTCTCTGAAGGTAGCGTCGCTGATCTCCAGCCCTAACTCCCCTCCACCATCTTACCCCAACACACTCCATGCTCGTTCAGAATGTTCGAGTCCACTTTCCGCGCGTCGTCCGTCAACAAAAAAATCGCATCTTAGCTGGCGGCCAAGCACTGACATAGGTGTGCGTCGCTAGACGGGTCATTGCAATGCAGGGTGATGAATCTCCTGCAGCCACAACCGCACTCTCCGATACAATTCGCAACATGATACGTTTCCTTGGGAGCGTATCTTCGCTGCGGCGGGAAGAACAAAGCATCAACGCCAACGTGGGTGTTGATGCTTGGCGGAGCGCCCTAGCCGTCGATCTCTGGGCATACGAAGCGGCTGTGGCTGTGTTGAAACTGAAGATAACGAAGCAACGAACCGCACCGGCCCGCTGATCTTGTTACGCCGCCAAATTTAGCGTGACTTCTCTGTCATGTACTCAAGATATTGCGGGTGACACTCGACCCTCCTCCACAGTCGCTTCGCATGTGTAGTGTCGAAACCCTCGATGGGCTTGCGCGTCTTCATCCAGATTATCGGCCGTCGCATCCGCTCTGATCCAGAGACTGCCCAGACTTGTATAAGTCTCAGCAGTAGTACTGCGAGAGTACTCATCATTGACCCTTGCAATATAACTGAGCCGGCCAAGGCGGAATGTGTACATCACTACTCGAGCACATTCTTGGCACACCGACCCAATCGAGCCTCATCACTCATCATATCTCCCGCTGACACTCTGCCAAGCGTCGAGGGCCCGCTCCGCTATTTTATACAACCTTGTTAGACGCATCAACCCCTATCATCGTCTACCGAATGTCTATGCTTACCGGCAACTTCGTTTTGGTGGAACAAGCCAAGACTGCACAGCCTATGAGCAATATCGATATCCACACACGCGATCGTGGGATAGGAGATGCGTGGCCCATGTACCATGGTAGTCTTGCCCAGTGCGGTCCAGTACCATCCATTGTTACGCACGTTGAACAAAAAGAGGTGGCAACGTCCAAGTATGTAACAGGTGAGGTCACTAGCAGTCGAAGGGAATCTTTCTGGGAGGCGACATGGTTGGCATGTTTTCACGACAACGAGTGAGCGTGGGGAAGTCCAAACGCAAGATGCGCCGGAGATTCTACCACCGCCGATCGCTGTTCCACCGGATTAACGCGCCGCACTAACCTTTGGGCCGCAGGACGTCTGAAGTCTCTAACGGAGTAATGAAGTATACCCTGCTACCGGCGAGTTCAGAAGCCCGTATTGCCTTGGCTCCTCTTGGTCTTGCACCCATGCGTTGCTTGTGCCCTGCGGCATCCATTCCCCATTACACGGCCGGTTTGACTACCACGTCACTATGGGAGAAGGTAGCCACAATCTACATGGGGGTTACGCGCGTGCTTAGCAAGAGTGGAGCCGTAAAAGAACCCTCTATCAACCCAAGCCTTAGGCTTGTTCCCCAGTTCCGTGACTGTTTGCACATGAGTACCGTACTTATACCCCCATCCCCGCCGCTTTGACAGTTGTTCGATTCCGTACCATACCATCACCAGTGCGTCCCTTTGAGCGCACCCCCTCCAACACGTGCTATCTGTGTTGAGCATCTTATCACGCCATACGTCAAACACTTTCCCAGATAACTGATTGCTCCTGCCCCCTTCACCTTACGGTACCCACATACAGCAACCACTGCCACCATGCCGCCTACACGTTCTACCTACAAAGAGAGTCGGAAGTACAGCGAAGGAACGCTGCCACTCTCCGAAGCACCAACCGCAACCAATTCCATGCGGGACGAATCACCACACTCCAGTCTCGACACCCTTGACGAGCCTAACTGGCCGCAATCATGGCGTGCCTACGCATGCTTGCTGGGCTGCTTCTTCCTCATGTTCAACTCGTGGGGACTCGTCAACGCCTACGGCACCTGGTCTTCGTACTACGTTGGCCACTCACTTCGAGGTGTTGATCAACTCGAACTGAATCTGATCGGTTCGACACAGTCTTTCATTGTGCTTCTGCTCTCGAATGTCGTTGGACGACTCTTGGATGCAGGACACTCTCGCAAAGTGATCGGCTGTGGCACTTTCCTTGTACCCTTTGGTCTTTTCATGCTCTCTGTTGCACATCCCAGCGACGTTGAGGCTCTTGGAAGCTTCGGCCCAATCTGGGCAACTCAGGGCCTCGTAGTGGGTCTGGGTATGGGTACCTTCTTCGTTTCCAGCTCTCAAGGTGAGAAATGATCATCACTCCATACTGATTCCTGCTAACTCCATTATAGTTGCTTCAACTTGGTTTCCAAAGCGCAGGGGTCTTGCTGTAGGCTATGTCGCTTGCGGTGCCAGTGTAGCAGGCGTGATCTACCCCAGCATGCTCCGCTATCTGATCCAATCGGTTGGCTTCAACAACGCTGTGCGCTATGTTGCGACTCTCACCTCGGTGACGTGCATCTACTCCTTCATCTTCTGCACACCAGACCCTGCCCACGAGCACCATGAGCCAAAGAGCTGGGGCAAGCTCAGGACTTGGTTCGATACTGAAGCCTTCAAGAACAAGGCCTGGTGCTGGTTCACAGCTGCCGTTGCGTTCATGTTCTTTGGCTTCTACCCGGTCTTCTTCAACCTTGAAGAGGTCAGTACTCCTGTCCTGCCAACCATACCAGTAACTAATATTGTCTAGTGGGCATCAGTGCGTGGCTTTGGCACTCGCGATCGGACTGGCTCAGCAGCGAGCCCGGGTGAAACGAACGACAAACCACTCCAAACCTTCTGGCTCCTAGTCATCATGAACGGAGCCTCAACTGTCGGACGGATGCTCCTTGCGCACTTCTCGGACAAGGTCGGGGCCCTCAACATGCATATCGGCTCTCAGTTCACCGCGTCAATGCTCACACTGATCCTCTGGACATTGGCTGGATCAGAGGCTGATGCAATCGCTTTCTGCGTAGTGTTCGGTATCTTCTCTGGTATGGTCATTGGTCTCCCTCCCGCGTCCATTGGCAACATTCTTCAATGCTCCTACACCGCGCCAGGCACGAGACACTTCGCAAAGAAGAAGCTTGGCCACTGGACTGGTATGATGTACACATTCGCTGCCATCCCTGCCCTCACAGGCCCTGTCATTGCCGGCCATCTCATTACACAGTACAACACCTACATCACTGTTCAGATGTGGTCCGGTGCTAACCTGATGCTCTCGTGTATCTGCATGGGCGTCTCGCGATGGTACCTGCCGTGCGATAACGGCGAGCATGCGAAGGAGGCAATCGTGCGCAGGCTGAGCAAGGCCGAGACATCCGAGAAGCGTAGGGCCAGTGAACCCAACTCGTCACCTGACCCACTATCACAAGCCCCCACTCGGGTGCCCTCACCGCGTGCGTCTTCTGACGACATCAGCGACGCCGGCCGGATGGTTTAAGAGCGTCTCATTCATGGAACGGTTCTTTTTTCTCTTTTCCTTGATTGTACTTTTTGCGAGGCGTCTGGTGCATCCCTTTACGAAGTCATGACTGCTTGCACGAAGTTTCTTGTTAGCACGTAGAGGTTCATGATTTCTTGCTTTGGGCTCCTCCTATATCCAGCTGTGTTTTCGGTAGCCTATTCTACTTAGGTTTTCTTTATGGAGGACATCGAGGGTTCCCAATGACCGAAACTTTCCGTCTCGGATTACTTTTCCAGACAAACGTAGGCGCAGGGCGCTCCCTGCCGATCATGGGTTGAGCATCAGTTTACGGTTTATAACACTAAGAGTCAAAAAACTTTGATGATACTTCTACTTCAATTCCTCACTTGCAAATGTGAAGTGACTGTATGAGCGTGATGCTCCCGCGATGAAAGTCGTATCCGCGACTTCCGCGCAACATTCTGCAGCTCGCTCGATCACCCTCACATACCACTTCATACCGCGGCATCCAGGCTCTCGGGCTGCAAGTGCCCCACGGACAAGAATAATTTATATATTATGCGCACATATCACGAGTCCATGACCAAGTTCCGTCACAATGGTTCAAATTGATCACTGTTCTGGCTCGGCACGGCAGTTTGGGCTTCCACAACGCACGTCCCGCAGATCTTAGATTTGTAGTATGAAGATCGTAATTTTCGGTTTCATCGATATGCAGAAGCTTTGTTTTGCGTTCTGGGTAACCGATGCTAGAGTGGTTCGGTAGAAAAGAAGGCCGGCATGCGTCAATGTCCGAGTGTCCGAGTTATTTGGTGTCGGGTTGAGGACGCCGTTTGTCAACGGGCATCTTCGCAGTAAAACGGCTTGGCTGCTGTCTTCTATCGAAGACATGTACGTGTCATATCATCGTCGTCAATTTTCTTTGTCTCGTGTTTACGATTCCGTCTACCTAGTCAAAATCTTCTACCACTTCCGATGTACGAATGCACCTAGCACCAAGCACTTCGATCTTTCTTAATCACATATGCCTGGCATTCACTGCGATAGCTATAATTTCTTAATCAGCAAGTTCAAAAATCTATGCGCATGATTTTCTGACTAGGCAGTGTTGTGTTTGGGCAACGATGTGCGATCTTCGTTGTTTCCGTGGTACCGAACGTTGATACCGTAGGCGCGGTGACACATAATTGACCACTGATCATCTTTGTTTGAGAAGCGCAGGTTCCATGGTAGAAAAGCTTTTGGAATAGTGTAAAGCTACATACTTTCCGATTTGTAAAGATGCATGCGGTATGCTTACGCTCAAAAGCCTGGAGACAGTATATTGGTAATTGCGCATCCATCTTGCCTCCTTCTCACTGTGGCAGTACCCGCTACGACTCTGATTGTATAGCACAGGCTTTCCGTCTCAAACTCAATCCGAGCCTGATAGTCCTCGTTGGGCTAAGCAATAAAAACAGTCAAGCCAGCTTAGAATGCCAGCATCGAATTTCAAGGCAGATGCTTCGCTGCGGCAATGTTGTGGGGATGCCGGCAGTACCTTGCGCGCATATACATATCCATAGCTATATTGTTCCACCAATTGCGGTTTGTCTTATGTGTGCTAACGCAATAGATAAATCCCAGGCAAGAGGCTCGAAAAGCAGCCTCAACATCTTGTATATATTAAGAGGTCACCCCTGCATTATTACAACAGTCAGACCCCCTCCAGTGCAAGATCTGATCCAAAAGCCTGGGCCGAGATTCCAGTTACTTGGCATTTGGAGCCGATGCATACGATTATATGGTTCATGATTTCGATGCTGAGCGGTGTGATCATCTGTGCGTTGCAGTGGTTTTGCTACTAGGTGATGCAGTACTCTCCGCGGACCCGTGCAACGGTGCAGCGGGTGTAAAGAGAAGAAAAGTAACCGGAAGATGCGGAATCGGTCAAGTCCAGGGCAGGATGAGGGAGCTTTTGCTGTGGGACACAAGAAGCGCGTCGTGGCGAGCGATGTAACGGGGTAGGTTGGGGGAGTTACATGCTTAGGTGGTCGTGGCGGTTTCAGCGGAAGTCACCATAATAATCTCAACTAATGCGTCTGAAGATAGATGAGAGTCACGTTAGATCTCTGGGGTAAGTCTAGTATGCTGTTGATCAACATCACGATGCCAGATGCCACTTTGGTGTGGTTATCCACTTGGCATTTTGGCAGAATGAAAAGCGAACCAGTCTTCTAGGTATCGCAAAGGCCCTAGCAACACTTCCAAGGCTCCCTAAAAAGGCGGTTATGATGAAACAGGGTAACTTGCGCACTTTTTGACGTCTCCACAAGTCCACATGCATACTCAGCCACCACCGTAACGCCCAAACCAGAAACGACATGCCCACCATCATAAGGGAGCAATAAGCAAGCCGTAGCCCAAACAAGCGATACAAAAATCCCTCGTTCCGTCCTGACTTTCCTTCCTAGCCTTAGTACCCACACTAATAGCGGCTGTGGCTCATCTACATAGCGGGAAGCCAAGCAATCCGCTCGTCTTGTCGCGGCACCTTCTGTGGTGCGCGCGGGGCCAGGGTTCTTATGGTACGTAGATTAACTAGTGTCGGTGGGAGATTTATGTCCGGTGGGCGTTGTACGTGCGTAAGTGGGTGGTACCACACGTATTAGCGCATGTAAGTGGTAGGTGGCGTCTGATATGTGCCGCTTGGGGAGCAGGTACATGATGTCGATGTACATCGTTCCAAGTAGCGCGGCAAGCTTGGTAGCATTGCGCCATGTCGATCTCTATAGTGAGAACAGGTGTACAGTCTAGATCGGATTCGCATTTGGGCTCGACCACGGTCATATGACTAGGAAACATCTGGGTGCCACATATGCAGTAAGATATCGACATCATGGCTTGGCTATGCAGAGTTTGTGGCTCAACAATTGTTCCGACCAAGACTTCAATTTGTTTATGTAGGTGCTATGGTCGGCCACGCAAGCGGACAGTGACGACAATTTGAGGGCATGCATTAGAAACAAAGGCAGACCGGTAACAGCGGCCCGTCTCCGGAAGACATCGCGATGGCCGTAGAATGAAACCAAATACATCATCGGTGACAAGAACGCTAGACGTGCCCAGAACTCCAACCATGAAAAGTGTAAGTACGAGATGCCCACTGACGCGTCGATATCTGAAACCGCCGATAAGGGACATCGCCAGACTCCGTGCAACCACTGAATGACAACCACAAGACGCCTGTCGCTTAACATAGCCTCAGAACATTCCGATGCGTTATTGCGCCACCTTCGACATACTCGGCGTTTGTACGCCAGGTTGTGCAGTGTGCCCTGCGATCTCCATGACGCTGGTTGAGCTCTCGCTGTTACCTTGCACAGTCATGCCTAGCGCTCGTCGTGCGTACTCCTTTTGACCATTCGCCACATGGTCGACGAGGGAGTGCGTGGTACCGTTACCATTGGTCGAGCCGTGTTCCACGGTGGCAGCTGGAGGCTGTAACCATTGCACACTGGTACATCGGTTCACAAGTCGTACGGTGGTCTCGTCAACGGGTGCGAAATGGTTACCACTTGTGACGAGAAGATGAAGGAGTCGCAGTAGTTCATCACGCTTGTAGTGCGGTGGCTTGCCGATTTGGCTGTGCATGAGTATTGGATGTAGAACTCGGAGATAGGTATGTCGTAATGCGTTTGCAGCGGCCGAATCATGGGGTAAATCTATAAGGTTTCGTAGGATGACGTCGACTAGGACATGAAGATCGTTGGTGTAAAAGTATTCGGCCGTAGAAGGATTACCGAAGAGAAGGTAAAGCACTTTGAGGATTAAAAGCTGAAGGGAGGTCTCCGACTCGCGGTTCAGAAGAAGAATCAAGTTGCATCCGAAAGTCTTGTAGGTCATGCCATGGGTCGAGATAGCTTTGATAACCCGGTTCGTTATGCCAGGCCGTCCATCGCTATGACGGCTAGTCGACGCTACAAGGTACTGCTCGTTCAAAACCAACTGTTTTCAAGTCAGCTTGATAATTGGTAGCATATATGAGTAGACATACCAAAACGCGTATTACGGGATAGTGATATGAATCGTCGGCATCGTCGGAAGCACCTTCTATGATCTCCAGCAAGTAGATGATAAAGGCGTCGTTCACCGCAGCTACACAGCAAGCGTCAGTAGTGGCTTCAGGAAACAGAAAGAAAAATGTGTTTTTATCATACCAAAGTCGTCCCATGTCAATCGCTGAACTCGTGAAGATTCATAAAGCAGTTGGAGGAGTAGTTGATGCAAAGCAGTATCTTCTTGTACACTCGACGTCTGTACCAATTCGACAAGTCTGGCAAAGGTGCCCTCCGAGTGCATCATCTCAAAGACATCATCGTCTTTGCTATTGCGACCATCGTATAGGAGAAACGCGGTCACTATATGAAGGGTAGGGTTATCATCTTCCTATCGTGTTCATCAGCCTCACGCTCAGCCAGCGACTATGTGCACCAGGCATCGCCCAACGTACCTGCAAGAGGCAATATATTATCTGTCGCCGTACATATTCCTTATTCGAAGCGAAGAGTTCGCCCTCGAGCATGCGAAAAATGCATTTCGCAACGCTGAAGTCGGTTTGGAGGTATTCGGCTGTTCGTGGTCAACGTTGGTCACGGCAGAGGTCGAAGATGCGTACATCTATAATTCGTAGTAACATTAAGGAAGGATCGTAGGGAGTTATCGATTATCTCGTGCTGGTGACAGCGTGTCGAGACTATATCGTCGAGTTCTGTGTAGCGTGTTAGTCGAGGCTGTTGGTGGGGGTTCCGAAGACTCTCTCACCATCCCAGAACTGTTGCTCATTCTCGAGATCATACGAGACCTCAAATGCCATATCGTAGTCGCGGGTCTCTTACAACAATCATCCTCTCCAGCGACGAGGGCTGCGGAGGGCTGTGCAGAGAGGCGCAAACTGTTCGTTGTCGGAGCGTTGATGCGAACAACTGACCATCGAGACGCCGGAGATTCACCGGCGTTAGCTAGTGCGTCACCGATACTGCTTTGGGTATAGGGTAGTCTATTGTTACACACGCACTGGCAGCTGCATTCAAAGATGTGAACGCGATGAAGTACCTCTTTACAGTCCAGGTTTAATGGTAGTGCCTTCGTTTTCTCTGTTCAATATCTGGAAATGAACATATGCCCCGGAGACCCACCGACAACCACCAAACGCGGTGACACGTCAGACGCTCCAGCGAAACACCCAAAAGCTATCACAATCACTACCCACCAGAGCACAGATTCAATGACAAGCGCGAGAGCCGCTCAACCATGATTCACATGGTGCATTACTGAGAGCAATGGAATACCAACAAAGTAAAAGTCTACGAGCATCTCTAGATTGAATGAATGTGTTGATGTTTAGCTCAGAAACATGAGCTCCTCGGCATTGATGAGATGTCAAATCCACGCCCTTCATACCCCTCTCTACATGTCACCACGCCCTTCTCGCAGTCTTCAACAGCTTTTTCGAAGATACTCTTTCAGGCAATATGGCTTACAAAAACATGACATGTGTGACACCACCTAGGTAGCGCCGTGCTCCTTGACGTCCTTTGCTCCATCATACCGTGCGCCCTTCATAGTACAGCCATCGATGCACATGCAAAATTTCTCAACAAGACAACGCACAGTGGGACAGCGACACAAAGGCAACAATCCAAGCTGAAAACCAGTACTAGAAACCATATTGATGGACGACGTTTGATATTTCCATGCGGATCGATCAACGCAACTAGCTTCCAGCGCCCCCAATGCAGTGTTACGCTGACACAAGCTCACCACTTTGATATCTAATAATACAGTGTGTGGTCCACCTCCATGAACATCCGTGTTGTCCAACTATTCAGATCTTTGTCATATATACATCGCCTGTAGCATGTTGTCCATCCTTCATATTTATTCTTCACCAACAACCTCTCGTTCCCGACAAACGACACAGCCCCGACCAACTGCACTCTTAATAACATGTGCGTGCGCTACCTTTGCGCCTACACTTCTTGTCCACCTTCCGCCGCTTTCTTGAGCATCAGTGGCCAGTTGCTGTTGTAGGCCAGCTGCGACACTGGCGCTGGCACTTGTCTTCGGTAATAGGCAAGTAAGATGGAAGACGTGGCCACATGCAAAGCCCACAAGCGTGTCGCGAGACAGGGGCATAGGCCCATCCTCGATGGTGACGGTCTCTTCTTCGGCGGTGGGGAGCATAAAGGGACGGTGGCACCCTACACAATGACCGGGTGGTGCTTCGCCCTGAGGCACTTCTGCAGGAGCGGGATCGAGGTTCGGTGCGGTGGTTGTTGAGGACACCGCTGTGGGCTTCTTATCAGCTTTAGCTGTAGCTTTTGCTGCGGTTGCCGGATCAATGCCTTTGGACTCAATGTCAATCTGCCCTTTTGCATGGCGATGCTTTTCGTGACCGTCGCCGTCACATGGTGTGACTTCGAACTTGACACCCCGCTTTTGGCCTGCACGTAAAGTGTCCATACCAGTTGCTACCTCGCCCCGAAGAACTCTCGCAACACCTTCCGAGATGGAGTGTTGGATTTCATACTCCCGTACCATACGACCAATACCGTCCCTCAGACCTTCGATTTCAAGTCCTTCAGGAATACGACGGACGAGTTTGATAGGGTCTATTGCTGTGCCGACTTCCTCGAGCAGGCCGCGGATGAAGTGAGGCTTGTCCATGGAATACTCCAACAGATCATTCCAGAGGTCAGGATCATCTTGCTCCTTGGCGAATGAAATAGCAAAGCTGACGTCTGAGAGTTTCTCAATGATCAGGTACAGAGCACGCTTGGTTTGACCAGTCTTGGAGAGGATATGTCTATGGTAGGTTAGTGAATCAGGTATGACTAGGACTGCGTAGACAGTCGTGACTTACACAAGTTCTGGGATGTACTCTCTCCTCTCACACTCCGCGGTGGCTTTGCTCAAATCATAACTTTGCGACTTGCGCAAGTACTCCATCAACAGCGGTCGATCGTACTCGGCAAACAACTCCACCATGAGATCCGCAAATTCTTCTGCAACGATCTTACCATCAGCCGCCAAGCGGTCCTCGGCTACCCGCTCTTTAGCCGTCTTTGCTGTCCGTTCATGCATTTCCGGCTTCCAGAGCTTCCGTAGATAGAAGTACAAAAATGGTCTAAATACTGGGCCTTTCGATTGGAGTTGGCTTTCGACGTCACTCGCAGGAATGGTGCCACGGCAACCCTCCTCTACGAGGACGTTGATGGCTTCTGCTGAGGCTTCTTCCAACTCCTCCAACTTCGCTGATGCCGATTTCATCTGCTCTTTCGAAACACCCATCATGATGAAGCCAGGTATATCGTCCCGTACAGCTTCCACTAGGTGGAAGTCCCGTATGAGAGTCATGGCCGCATCGGCATTCTGCAAGCGGATGTAACAACGCAGCGCTTCTCTTTGTCTACCACTGGCAAGGAATAGTTTCGCAAGACCATCTTGTAGTATCCGCCAGTCTCGACCTTGTACGTCGCCCTCGATAGACTCCTCAGTGACGTCGCCAGCAGAGAGTTTGCTTTTAATAGCCTCAATGACGCTGTTGATATCGAACAGGTCCGGATCCCAGTCCTCAAGCAGGTGTTTGAAGCGTATACGATCATGTATGATGTAGTGACCGAGAATTACTTCATATACCATGGAAGGCAATGGCGGTTGCATTGGCTTCTTGGGAACGTAGGGAGAGATCTCGTTGAAGTGATTCGTTTGTGCAAACTTCCACACCCAATGTTCCCATCTTGTGGAGGTGCCTAGTACGCGGCCAGCGACCTTACCTGCTTGCTTCCAGTCACCCGAGCCAACAAGCTGTTGTACCCATAGATCCCCGATGCGACGCTTCTCTTTCTCTACCGCCGAGTTTTGGTTTGCTTTCGTAGCAGACAGGGTTGTCTGGGATGCGCTGTCATCCGCAAAGAACTCATGTAGGCTTCCCTGTTGCTTTATTGGCGTACTGGGATCTGAGCTATCCGACAGTGACTGAGAGACAGATGCGATGATCTCCGGGTGGTCCTCCAGAAGCTCCCATGCATCCTTGTAGTTCTCGTGCTCGAGTTCCCACTGGAAGTGATCAGAGAGCTCTCGCTTGATAGCCAGCACGCAGTCGTAGGGGCTCTGTATAAAGACTTTCAGGCCTGCCGTTGCAGCGTTCGGATGTACTTGTTGCTGACGCTTGCCGGATATTGAGCCAGCAGCATTGCCTGCGCTTGCTGACGACATGGAAGGCGCCCTCGACGGCGGCTTATCAGAACCGATGGGGAGGTTCATCACGCTTGCCCCAGAACTGAATATGCGTGCAGTGGCAGCACCCATATCCCATATTCCACCCCCGATAGCTTCGAGTGCGCTCCTTTGTGCGGGAGTCATTGTCTTTGGATGTGGTACGTACAGGGTTCCCAGGTGGTAGTCCGCAGCCGAGAGGCTTTCGTATCGACTGACAGTTAGAGAGTCCACTTCGACCTCATCGGAGGTCGCAGCATCGATGAGTTTGAGCTCTGGTGAGAGACCGTTTGTGCGACGGTGCCTTCCTCCTCGGGGAGTCGTGTCCGGTCCAGAGACAGGGTTATCATCATCGTCGCGTGTCCGGTATGCAAGAACAAGAAGCAAAGAAGGGGTATAGAGCGAAATGCCAGAAACAATACAGTCGTCGAAACGAAGGAAATGAACCACCTCGGCGCTTCCAACCGATCTCTCACCAATATCGCGACCAATGCCAGCCCCACCAGGCTGTACATGGACGACCCATGCGGCATCGCCCCATCCTATGATGAGCTTTTCGAACTTGTCCTGCTTCTTTATATCTTTGAACGCCTGGGGTGAGCGATTGTGTGGTAGTGTGCCTTCGGTTTTATCCGCAAGGTGGTGGCCATTCATGCTCATTATAGCATCATCGTCAGATTCAAGTGATCGGTCGTCTATCCATTCGATCCGCGCTTTCCATACACCGGCCATTTCCTGCCATATTCGACGGTTCGGCTTTTCGATGAAGCCGATTCTTTTCCATGCGTTGTCGGAGTCAGCACTATCAAGATGGAGATCGGTCCGCATGATACGGATGCCGTGTTCGTTCGACCAGGCTACAAACTTGCCCGAGAGTGACCATTTGATGGCAGTTATAGTACCTTCTCCCGAGTGCAGAATGGTGTCTTTTCCACTGTGCCCACCCAGACCTATCGCTCCAAGCCATCCCTGGGCTGTCTGTGATGCTGAGCTGGTGTTGGCGTTGGAACGTACACCTGTTGGACCTCCGACCGTGTGAATGAGCTCACCAGCTAATCCTCCAGATAAGTATGAGCGATCGTTCTTGTAATCAGGCGAAAGTGCAACCGCTTGTACAGGGCGACCGAAATTCCGCAGTGTGACGTCTTTGGGATCGATCAGGGAGGACACACATACGTGCCCATCGATGGAGGAAGAGGCTATGTATATCTGATTTGAGGGTGTTGATGGCACCTGAGCTTGCCGTGGTGCGCGAGGAGACGATGCATTGCCCGCTGGCGAGTCTGTTCGTCTAGAAGATGCATTTGTGTTGTCTACTGACCTGAGATCCGAGGCCGTGGGTACGAAGGGCTGCGAAGCCAATAGAGGCGATAGCGATAGCGCTGTCACTGAAGCAGCAGGATGCGCGTTGTAGGTCCGGAGGATTTGAAATGAAGGTATGCTCAATGCATGGATATTGCCATTGTGGGTGCCTACAATCTAGGTACAATCTTAGCATTCACTCGACAGCTTGCAGTACTCATGCGCATAATGCATGGAGCTATGACCGTACCATCTTGTCTCCCGCAACCATGAAGGTAGCTGTCGCGTCGCCATTCCGATAGACAGGTCCCAAGTCTCTTGTCAGACGGCTGTACTTGAGCTTCGGCTCTTCCTCGACATCATCCTCATCCTCATCTGAGTCGTGCTCGACGCTCTCTTTCCCTTCACTAGTTACCTTGTCGACGTGTTTGGGGTCGCGCGTAGGCGTACGCGGTTCGTCTGGGGTGTTTTCCGCAGCCATGCTGGCGGCATGAGCTGCGGCGGGCGTGGTAGAGGCCTGGGGAAGCTCCGGCGCGTGGAGGTGTGAGTGATGGAGGAGTCGATGCCCTGTCGATCTAGGCCTATGATGCTGGCCAAGCCATTCCCGCGGACTTGCAAGGGTCTAGCTCTCCGCAAATGCTCCACCACTCTCAAGATTGATCGCCTCCACTAGTTGCTCTCTTGTTGGAAACTATGTTCGAGATACATTGCCGCTGGCGATGACGGTTTACCAACACTACGCATTCAATGGCTTGGCACGGTGTCTTGCTGCGCGCCTTCCGCTGAACACCCTACCCACGCTTCCGTTGTTGCGCACCCCCGCAAACCGACTATTCTCGACGACAAGCAGATATGCGAAAAAGATAGACTTGACACAGAAGCAAGAGGAACTAGTCTCAAACGAGGAACCGGTGAAGGAGACGCAGCAACATGCAAACCGAAAAGGCACCAGGAAGAGTGCTGGCAAGACGTCGTTGCGGAGTATCGCCGTCGAGGCACAGAGATCGCGAGCTTTCGTAAAGTCAAGAGGAAGGACACGCTTCATAGACCCAGACGCTGAAACCAAGACGGTAACCGCGTACTGTGCGGCCGAAACATACGACATTGCTGTTGCCGCTCGACTAGTCAAAGCCCAAGGCTACGATCTCGATCCTTTCCAGACCGGCTTGTACCCGCAGGTCATACATGTCCAGACTTCGGACCGACCATCAGAGGTCAAAGATTTCCAGCAAGGCGATATCTTCATCTTCCCATCTGGCACAGTGGTGACATGGAATGTCCGGGAAAGAGAGGCGCTGAAGCTGGTCAATCAAGTGCTACCAGCAGCAGCTGAAGGCTCACACCTAGACTTGCTTGAAACGGAAGATCTGGACTATCTCGAAGACTCCAGCAGAGAAACCAGCGAGGTAGTCGGCGACACCATCGTTCTCGGCACAAAAGCAGAGCCAGTATCCGACAACCCACCATCATCTCAACCCGACGAATCTCTCAACTCGACTGACCAACGCCACGAAGTAGATACTGTTCTAGCCAAGATAGCCTTCTCTTCTGGTCTCGCCCGTAGCACCAAACTCGCCGTTCTAGAAACCCTCCTATCAGCCTATCAACACTCAACGCGCGATATCCCTGCCATGCTAGCCTCCTCCAAAACCATCTCCCCCCGGCGCAGTGCCCCCTTTACACGTTCTTTCATCCTACGCAAAACCGGTGAACTACTCTCCCTTCGCGCTCAGCTAAATCTCTACTCGGAGCTCACCGACAGCATGCCTGACATCTTCTGGGATTCGCGGCACGAGCTGGGTTTAGGCGAGTACTACGACCAAGTTGGGCGCGCCCTGGATGTTGGGGTACGAATTAAGGTGCTCAACGAGAAGATTGGATTTGCGCAGGAAATTGCTAGTGTGCTAAGGGAGCAGCTGAGCGAGAAACATGGGCTGAGACTTGAGTGGGCAATTATTGCACTCATTGCTGTAGAAGTTGTGCTTGAGTTTTATCGGCATTGGGATGAGCGTAGGGGCAAGGACGATCCGGAAAGTACCGAGGCGTTGCTGAGGAGTCATTTGGAGAGGTTAGCCGAAAGGAAGGAGGCGGAGCCTCGAACTGCATAGGCTTTTGAAGAAAAGAACGAGAGCATCTTATGATAGCATTTTAGCGCAACGATACCCCACTCTGGAATTACGAACACCTTGTACACACTTGATGCAAAAGGTACAAACGAAAAATCTTGATTCTACAGACCATGTCCGCCCAGCATAGAGGCACAGATATTTACAAAGTTTTCCACAACCCTAACCATGCTAGTACTCCGTCTATTGGTCGTCAAGGACGTGTAGATACTTCTTCTCTTCCCTCTTCTCCTTCTCGCTCATGGGTGGTAAATCATAGTAACTTGAGCTTCGGTAACCCTTGAGGTATTCAAAGGTCAAGCTCTTCAACTCAACGGGGTCAATATCCAGATCCTTGAAAGTCTTTGCATCCTTGTCAATGATCTGGTCAATGAACTCTCGCTCAACCTCATCAGCCGAATGGATGGGCCACCAGAGAAGCTTGTTGGCGTAGTGCGCAATGGGCTTCATGAGGCGCTTAGGAATGTTGACGTGGCGGCGCGGCTTCATCGCTTCCCTCTCAACGAGCTCGTTGATCTCGGCCATGGAGTACTCCGTTGGGCCGTAGAGTTCGTAAGTCTCAGCGGCGGTGGTGTCGTCGTGGAGCATGCGCTCAAGAGCCATGCCGACGTCGATAACATGGACGGGGCGGATGCGCTCTTCTAGGTGGTTCGAGGTGATGACGTTTGAGGGGGAAGCGAGACGGTGGAGAAGACGGTCCTCGAAACCAAACATGGGCGCAGGTCGAACAATGGTGGTCTCTGGGTAGATGGAACGTGCTACTTGCTCTCCCCGGGCCTTGGTGCGGTAGAACTCGGACGGAGAGTCCAAGCTTGCGCTGTGGGATGAGACTTGAACGAACCGGTCGATGTCGTACTTGGCGACGGCATCCACGATGCGCTCTGTACCGTGGACATGTACATCCTCCAGATCAAAGTTCTTGGTGGGGTAGTCGCGACCAATGAGGTTGTAGACAATGTCAGAGTGTCGCACACTCTCCTCAATCGACGCGGTGTTTCGGAGGTCCATCTCGATGAAGACGACTCTGCCCAAGTCTCCAGCGACCTTCAGGTGACGCTTTGCCATTTCCTCACGGAAGGGGACTACCACCGTACATCCTGAACGGGCTGTTCGTGCTGTTAGCGTAATATGCCTCCGCTTTGGAATCATTTCCACACACCCAGTCTGTTCACAACGTATCGTCCCAGGAATCCAGTGGCTCCGAAAACCGTCGCGGTATATCCTGCATGTGTGTGAGTGTTGATCTAGCACGCGGATACGGGTCGCAGCGTACCTCCGAGCGAGGATCGTCCACCGGAGACAGTCAAAATAGGCTTTCCAGTCCTGTGCCGTTGTCAGCATGTTTTGGCGTCATGGGGAGTAGTTTGGCGAACCTAGTTATCCTGACGTCCGAGTTGAGTTGTTGTCGGCAGACCGAGGTGGAGAAGTTGGCGACACGCTTCAAGGGCATTTGCGCCGACAGCGCCACTGGCGACCGAGCGCAGCGGAGTGGCAGCATAGTTGCGGCGTTCAATGGCTGCTGGTATGTCGAAGGGAGCTTCTTGTGAGGCAGCTGGGATGTCTGGACGTTGGTGGTTGATGGCCTTGGCGCTATGCGCTAATCGTAGCTTCCGCCGCAACGCCATCCATCAGAGCAACACAGGCCCGCCCTCCACCAACAACAGCCCAACTCCCGTGATCTACTTCTCCGACACCGAACTCGATATACACCTTCTCTCATACCATCAAAGCCCTGCAAGCAGCAATCATGGCCATGGATACAGACACGATTCCGAACCTTCTGGGCGATGCGCGGGACGAGGCACCGGAGGAACTCCAGGAATACTTCATCGCCTTTGAGGACTTCTGGGAGCGAAAGCTATGGCACGAGCTTACCGATAAGCTCATCGAGTTCTTCGACCACCCAGAGAGCGCCAAGCAGCGGATACCCTTCTTCGAGACCTTCATCAAGAGCTTCGCAAACAAGATCAACCAGCTGAAGCTCGTTACCTTGGGGCTCAACACAGCCTCACAGTACAAGGGTAGGATGAGCCATGTGGGATAGACAGGCACAAGAGCTGACTCTTACAGACGACAAGGAACGCCTTGCTTTTGTCAACGATCTCGCAAAGAGTGTCAACAAGCCCGCCTCACAAGATGCCTACGTATACGCCACAGTCGCTGCCGCCAGCATACAGCTACGGTTAAATGATGAGGAGGGAGCCAAGAAGAAGCTAGACGAGTGTGAGCAGATACTGGATACCTTCGACTCGGTGGAGACGGTTGTGCACGCCTCGTTCTACCGGGCAAGCGCAGAGTACTACAAGTCCAAGCACGAATTCGCCGCATACTACAAGAACGCCCTGCTGTTCCTGGCCTGTGTCGACCTTAACGACCTAGAACTCCGGGAACGCCAGTCTCGCGCCTACGACCTCAGCATTGCCGCGCTCGTCTCAGACTCCATCTACAACTTTGGAGAGCTGTTACTACACCCCATCCTCGACTCGCTCGTCAACACCCCACACGCATGGCTTCGCGATCTCCTCTTCGCCTTCAACCGTGGCGACCTGATGGCGTACGACGTCCTCTCGAACAACATTACCAAGGCCCCGCTTCTCAAGGAGCACCAGACCTTCCTCTATCAGAAGATCTCGCTATCCGCTCTCACAGAGACCGTCTTCCGCCGCCCACCCCACGACCGCGCCATGACCTTCTCCGAGATCTCCCAGGAGACCAAGGTACAACCGAACGAGATCGAGCACCTGATCATGAAGGCGCTGAGCTTGGGACTGCTCAAGGGTCAAATCGACCAGGTTGCCGAGATTGCGCGCATCAACTGGGTGCAGCCCAAGGTTCTGGACATGAAGCAGATTGAGGGTATGAGGACACGGTTGAAGGAGTGGGATGCCAGTGTTAACCAGCTGGGTAACTGGATCGAGGGTGTAGGCAAGGACGTCTGGGCTGCTTGAACGAGCACCACCTTGCATTAGGCCGTTGGTATACGCCTTTTAGACGACGTCGTCTCCACTCTCAACAGGTGGCATGCATTAGCTGTAAGCAAGACGCTCGCATTCAATGTAATCATAGATAGTGACCGTAGACGGTCAACGAATGAAAAGACTCATGACATCATTGCACAACTCCATTGCTTGTACATGACAGCCTCTTCAACCCCTCTCTGGCCTCGACTCCCAAAACCCAGTCGAAACCACCACAGCTCCCGCAAGCCACGCAGGGAACCAAACCAACCAAACAACAACCTGCGTCCACATGCCCCAAACATGCCATCCAATCGCGCTCTGCACAAGTACATCCATCATATTTGCTCCCAGCAACTTGGTCGCAGTCTGCACAACTAGAACTGGGTTCATCATGGCCAGCACCAGCAACTGCAGCCCCGTAACCCCGCTCTTACTACTCCTGCGTACAAAACTCAACGGCACGCACAGGACGCCGACCAAGACACTCAGACTAAAGTTGAGCGTCGCCAGCGCTGCAAGAAACATGCCTAGAAGTAGCAAGGAGAAACATTGGAGCAGACAGAGGGCTTGTGGTGTTAACACGTCGGGGGCAGACCACCAGAAGAGGAAGGTTATGGTGATTGGGGCGAGCGTGGTTAGATTGCTGGTTGTAAGGAAGAGATTGGGGAGGTGGTCGGCATCCCAGTTGTTGAACAGGTATAGGGGGACGAGGCCTGAGGCGTGGGCCGCGAGGACAAGAACGAGGGGCAGAAGGAGGTGGCGTTCTGTTACTGTGGTGCTGGCGGTGGGGACGATAGCTAGGGAGCCGTCTTGTTCAACGAGCTTAGTTGCCGGTTCTTCGGGGTTAGATTTTTCTTTGCTTTCTGGTTCCTTGGTCTCCGGTTTCGCGTCCTTGTTGTTGAGCTCGTCTTTGGTAGTGTCCTTCTCGGCTGCCTTGGTGTCTGCTGGCAAGGACTTCTCCAAAGACGCCTTTTTGGGCTTTGTGGCGGCGGGATTGGCAATGGGCTTTGTAATACGTCCGCTTTTCACCCACAATGCCATTGCCGCAATGCTGAAGTTGATGGCGATCAACATTGCTGAGGGAAGATATGTGCCAATGCTGACGAAACGCTTATCTTGCAACAAGAGATAGAAGAAGAAACTCTGGTGCAGGTGTTCGAGGAGGTTGTTCAAACTCCGGAAAAGCGATTCGACCGTCTTTCCAAGCGACATTTCGTCATGCCAGCCGTCTCCGACTGTCACCAACGTAACAGCGTCAACGTGATATGGAATGAACGACGAATGAGGTCCAGTTGCATGGCCGATACCTTGCGAGAGCATACCTCGAAGCATAGTCTGGAGTCGTTCCTTGTATGAGTCCTTGTGCTCCCACATGCGCTGAATCACGCAGCCAATACCCATCTGACCGGAGGCGATTTGCACTGCGGTGTTGAACAGGTCCAAGTTGGGAAGCTGACCGTTTATGCCATCATACACAACGTGGAGTTTATCGTATCGGTGACCCCAAGGACCAGCAGGATAGTCTACCGCAACAGCACCCTGCAATGCCCCGCTCTTGATCTTCAAGCTCTCAACGTAACGCGTGTCGTGTGCCTCGTGGTACGCATCGACCCAAGCTTGCGATCCGATTGTACTATCGCCAGGGATGAGGAGAATAATGTCTTTACTCCAAAGACTCCAGCGCTTGAAGTAGCGCGCCAATGTGAGAACCAATGCGACACCAGAGTTGTTGACCTCGTCTGCCATGTTCTTCCATGCTCCGATCAACACAATGGCTTCTGTAGCGTCTGCGCGGGGACCCTGGAGGATAGCGTAGACATTTTCGTTCGCGATTGTTCGATTCGAGACGGTGTAGTTGTAGTGCTGGGTTGCGACTTTGAGGTTCTGTTCACGGAAGATAGCTTCGAGTCGCTGAGATCGTCTATGCTATGTTCAGTTTCTATTTTGGAAAGTTGAGGATGCATGCATACTCTGCGACAGGCTTGTCTATTAGTCCGTGAACCTCATGACGATAGGCTCGAAAGACATTGTGCTCGCTGCCGGTAAAGTACGTATGCACTTGTCCAGGAAGGAGCGCATTCTCAGAAACGTATGTCCTTCGCGAGTAATCGTTCAACGGAAGTACCAGCAGCCATCCTATGCCGATGATTATACAGAGAGCGGAAAGATAAGGTGGTAGCTTGAGTAGGCGTTTATCTTGCCGGAGCGCCAGTATCGAGGCTTCACATGTTAGCTATTCGTCCGCCGCACACACACACAGAGCCGAACTCACACAGAAGAGCCATGTTGACGTCTCAATCGCCCGTCATGTAGGAGAACAGAAAGCGAAAAACGGGTCGTGTCCTTGCCCTCTGCCCAGCATCCCACATAATCCGTCTGGGAAGGTGCTAAGTCGTCTCCAGCGGGAGGATCGTCACTAGCGCCTTGTCGACCCTGGACCCTAGTCCCATTGTAATCTTCCTGTCTGTTCGTCGGAGCACAACACAACGCGTCTGCATAGCAACTATCCTAAACACCCGGTGTGCTCGCGACGACGATGCCTATAACCTCGATTCCCCAGATCAGCCCTGCGCGGATACGGTCCTATATCCTGCGCCTCCCGTTTTGCACAAAAGTACTAGTTGCGGCGATTGTAGGACTATGGGTTGCGACGATTCCGTTCCCGTGGATTAGGGATTTCGGGGCCTTGGAGCCGGCCAAGATGGATTTGACGCAGAGTATGTTTGTTCTGCTATTGTCAGAGGGATATGGTCGGCTACAGTGCTTGTGTTGTTGTCATGTATTGCGGCGCAGGCGTAAGACGACTGAGGAGGAGAGCGCGGAAGTCACGGAGCTGGTATCGAAGAGAAGGAAAACAGCGGAAAACATGTTTCGCATGGGATTCGTCTGGTCTAGTATAAGAATAATGCTAATACAATATCCTTGTAGTGCATCGACTGAACTTGTTCCCCGTCCTACATTGGAATTTCATCCACATGATCTTCAACCTCTTCGCCGTAACACCACTTATCGAGCGCTTCGAGTCCGAATACGGAACACTGGTCACGTTGGCGCTTTTCACTGGGCGTAAGACATAGTCTGGGTTACATGCATGAATATTAAGCTGACCATATGGCAGCTTTCGGAACGATACCGGGAGGTGTATACACCTTGTTGGAGAAATTTGTGCTGAGGAGTAATACCTCGGTCATGGGCGCGAGGTATGCCAGTTTGGGGTTACCGGTGCATAGGGAGATACTAACATGAACAGTGTATGGGTGTTCCTCCTTCTATCGGCCGAAGTGATGAAGACACACAAGACGAACCCATACTTCAGGTACCATCGCGCTACTCCTCTTGTCCAACCCAACAACTGATTGTTCGCAGCGTCGGACCATACAAGATCCCCACCTGGACCACGCCCCTCATTCTCATCGTTCTGACCAGCATCCTCGTCCCGCACGTCAGTCTAGTAGGCCACCTCTGCGGCGCAGGACTCGGTTACCTGTGGGCTTCTGGATACATCAAGTTCCTCGTACCGCACGAGAAGATTTTGAGATGGGTCGAGACTAAGCTGAACTTGCTTGGAAGGTTACCGCACTACGTTAGTGTTGACCAGAAGACATACGGCCGATACGGTGTACTGCCAACAACGAGCGTGCCGCTGAGCAATAGGACTCCTGACGGTGGGCAACGACTTGGGCCGTAGTCAAGTCAAAAGAAGGATTTAAGGCTTTCGATTTGCTACCGGCGTTTTTGCATTGTTCGGAGTCTACGTCACTACGTGGCGTCGAGGTGTATTGCAGTGGTTGTAATACGGACGATTGGTCTTTCTGTACAGATATGTAGACTTAACGTGATACGGCATAATTCTAATGTTCTTCAAGGCATTCTATCTAATCGTTCCCGACCATGGTTCGCCGGCTTCCGCCTTGGTTTCCAGCCATCGACACTAGTCTTGCAAACCCCTCGTGCCCCTCATCCATCTAACAAACTCTTCTCCCATGCCCCACCTACCAGATCGTCGGCTTTTATCAAACATGGAACGCCGGTCTTTGATGATCTGTTGTCTATAGATTATTTGTTGCTTGAAAACTTTTCATCGAATCAGCTTTATCAACTCTCTCATGTTGATATAGTAACGTCTCCTTGGTGTAGTTGGTTATCACGTGGGTCTCATATCGTCATGTATGACTGCTAGAACCTAGCAGATATCCCAAGGCCGCCAGTTCGAGTCTGGCAGGGGACAACTAAATTTTTGCGCTTGCGCAAGTCATGGAGAAGTTTGCTTTTTTGCATGTCCGCTGTATCGCACACTGAAGTCGCTGGACATCACGAGTCTCAAATTTCCAGTTTCAGAGCTTAAGAAGGGTACAATAATATATGGCGCAGTAGTACACAAGATTCATGTCTTTTTGTACACAATTGGAATTCCGACATATGTGGTTGATCTTCTGTATTACTACTGCGCAGTGGCATTCATGTTTTTATTGATCAGTTCGACCTTCTCATATCTAGCACACTTCATTGCAAATTGACACTACCATAAACGGCAACTTCAAAAAAGCGCGTAGATTGTAGCACTATCAGAGGGGCAAAAAGATGAGGGGCAAGAGGCGCGAGGGGCGCGGTGGGGTGGTCGTGGAGGGGCAAACTTGGGTTATGTTGAGAGAGGGGCATGCGGGACATCTCATGGGGTTCCTCACGACTGAACTAGCACAATGTTAGCAAATGAGATGTATGTATGTTGGTAAATGTTTCATGGTCAAGTGATTGTATCTACTGTCTCACACAATGGCTTCGATCCATCTACTAAAGAGAGCGTTTTCATAACCGCTGCTTCAAATGAAGATCAGCAAATCTCGATTTCTTGGGTATGGGGATGGTTTGCTTCAGTCAACGCGATCACCTCCTCTATAAGAGCAGGTAACTCAGACAGCACCTCACCATCTGATCCGTAAACCGTGGCGACAAGCTCGTGGTACCGCCCTCGGCTCCATACATCATCCAGACTTCATCTTCAACAAGCGGTTGCAATGCTCCACGAAGGCGACCTCGTACATGTAATGTCCTGTCTATACAACCTGTCGTAATCCGTGAAAACAATGCATGGTTAATCGGCTCTGCAAACGCTGTCCATGGAAAGGGGGGATATCTTGGCCTTTGCCTTTGCCGCCAGTCTATAACCCATGATGGAATTTTGGAATCTCCTCCCCTCTGAATATTAAAGCATAACGAAATGTAGTCAAGCTTCCGCTTCGATCCTGTATTTTTCTGCCTATATTTACGAGGACGTCCTCCACGCTATTGTCCTTTGAGTAATTGAATTGAATCCCATAATTGATACTACTCAGCCCGAGATTGGCGTGAATTATATCCCTCGAATCGGTCGCTGCGAACACATGTACGTCTGCGAGATACGCCAACAGATTTGGTGTTTTCGGATGGCATATTCTTCCGGGTTTGCCTTGTAGCAACCGTTGAGCTCTGAATTGTTCCAGGAAATAGTGTGGTTCGTCCTTTTTCATTACACACAGAAAGCAGTTATCGTAGGTGCAATCTTTGCTATCTTGCCTAAAGGTGTGCATGTGAAATTGAAATATTATGCTCATGATAGGGAAGATGGTCAGTAGCACTCCTTTCCAGTGCAGGTATTCGAAAAGGGTTGTTATACTTTGGTTCCTCCATCTCGAAGTGCTTGATACATCCGGAGTAGCACCGAATTGCTCAGGAGAACTGAAGTATGTTGATATATGTGCTGCTGATATCGGCGAGGCCGAGCCAGGCTGAACCGTGGCCTTATCTCAACATAAGGGCATTCAGACGCGCAAACGCGAGCATAAAACAATTTGCATAGCGCAATATTTCCTTAGACGAATGGAATGAAATCGCCAATGAAAGCCACCTACCCAGTCACTGCCAACTAAGAGATCATACGATGGCTAGCGTCCCTGTTCATGCATCTAGGCGCCAACACTCTGCTCAGCTTCTTCACCAATTAAATCAGTCGCAAGAAGATTGACCCTCAGCGATTGTAATCTTAGAAGGAAATCTCGCCGTATCAAGATAAGTTCAATATCGCAGTGAGCATTTCCGATGGCTCTATCGGAAAGGAAACTCTGCACAAAGGTTACTACAAAAATGCGCACAACTACATCAATACACGTATGCGCTTCCAGCTGATCTTGGCGTATTTGAACCACTTCCCATTGTGCTCGAGCCGGGAATTAAGCCACCTCTTCGCCTATCAGCCCCAAGGATCCTTTCGAGCTCTTCTGCCTGCTTGAGCACATCCTGGAAATAACCACCGTCAATGCTCCTCTCATCCATGACATGGTTGTCCTGCAGGACATTGAGGCAGAAGAATACCATGTTTCCCAATAGAATATTGCTCTTCATATCAACTTGCGATGCGACGTCATGGGCACTAACCTCTTCGCCATCGTTAATGTACAATTTCGTTTTGTGGGTCGTAGTGTCGAAATCAATGTAAGAAAACGGAGCTTTAAGCGCTATCTCAGCAAGAACGAGTCCGATGCGGAAGATTTGTATATGTTTGGAAAGATCGCGGCTGTCTCGCCTCTGGCGGTTGACTTTATAGCATTGCTCCAGAGTGCGTGTCGTCGACGACTGACCAGGCGCTGCGGCTAGCATGCTAGCCCAATTTCCATCCTTGGTCCTGCGCCAACGTATGTTCGAACAGTCGAGGAAAGACAGCCACTGGCTTCCTATCAGCCGAAAACAGCCTTGTGCGATGCCAGTTGCTATCGCGTTTTGGTCTTGCGAGTACAGCTTTTGTGAGCTAAGGTAGACGTTCTGGTCGCGGATGGCAGTGGATAAGGGTTCCTTGTATTCCAGGGCAGAGAGAAGATTTGTCGGCGGATTCTGAACAATGAAGCCTGCCGATGTCGACAACGATGGTACCATGTAGCAATTATCCTGTTTCTTTTTCGCAAGAGTTGACACGGCAGTAGCGAGGTTCTTTGGGACCATGGATGGATCGTGGACGGCCCTGATAGTAACGGGCTGGACAAGGACTTCGTAGCTCGTCCCATTCATACTGAGTAGGAACGCAAAGTCGCGCTTGTGGACTCGAGGAACTGATATACCAATGTGTATTCCATTCTGTTGGCTCGGTGCACTACATCGATGTAGCCGCTCAGCGTCTTTCTGGGCACGAACAGCATCTAGAACCCTGCTCTGGATCGTTTCCGTCCTTCCATCGCCTACTTTGATTATCACGCGTCTTCCAGGGAGTCGTTTTATCTCTGAGAAAATGTCCGCGTGTTCCTTTTCGAGGAAGAAGTCGGAAAAGCGTTCAAGCATGGTAAGCTTCTGGTGCAGTCGTTTAAGGCGCATCTCGAGGTCATCCGCTTTCCCCAAAACGCTCAAGACAAATCTGCGCGACCAAGTATTATTGCTTTGTATCTTCCGGAGGCATTCTTTGACTCGCTCCTCGTTGCTAATATTGTGTTTTTCCCCATAGTAGGCTCGTTTAGACTGAACTTTGAGAGGAAGGCCTCTAACTCGGCTAATATCGCTCTTGATACTTCTGGTAATTATGTTGATGGCACCGATTGTGGCTGTTATGCGCTCATGGCCCTCTTTTCCAAACAGGATTCTGGTGTGGATATCGGGTCGATGAATTTGGATGTCGTACTTGTATTGCCAGCTGTCAAGAGAAAGTTTTGCAAACTCGAGGCCCTCTTTGATGTCGAGAAGTCGCTCGGATAACAGCCTCCATTGTTTGATTTGTAGTGCAAATGTATGCAGAGCTTGTCCTGCTGTGTAGAGACCAGAAATTACACCTAGGACTTCGGCCATGTCTTGTCCAGGACGGGCGCTGGGTTATCTATCTTGAAAGTGTAGTTGAGACGTATTTTCGATGACGCAAAGTAACATCAAACACGCCTGCGACGTAATCGATAAAATGGTTGAGCTATGCGCGACTCAATCGCATCACCGATGTAGCTGCAGACGGCAGAGGTTGTACTGCGCGATGTCGTATGAAATGTAGTGTGTTGAGTACCAGCTTGTTGAATGGAGGCGGAGCGATGGTTCGAAAGAGAGCAACTAGGTTGAAGCGATCTCGACATTTGATAGATGGCCTCATGACCCATGAACTATTGCGGCTGAACTAATGCGAACATCAGCTCGTCAACATTGGTGTGGGGTATCGCGGTCACATTGGTTGTAAGCGCAGCCGCATCACCGTTTGGTGGTACTCAGCCCCCAATGGCCCCCAAAGACGTCAGAATCGGGCTGCCTGTTCGGGCATTTGGGTCGCACTGGTTAAATCAGCGTGACTTTCCGTTGTCTCTTCGAATCTGTTGAGTTCTCGACCCCACTGACAAATTCTCTCGACATTGGGGGCAGTGCAAGAAGTGGCATCTGATGCATACTGGCAGCCACTGCAGTATCTTGTTATCTACACAGGCGCATGTCGACTGGTGCAAAAGAACACGTTCTTGACCAAGCCGATTGCTTCATCCGACACCACCTTACACTATGGCAACATCTCCAGTCGACGAACATGATCGACATCCAAGCCACCTTCGGTCTCGTTCAGGAAGCTATGTCGACCACATAGAAGAGAAGACGAAATGGGACCGGAGGAGTCGCGAACGAGAGATGAAACGCTACCATGACAGCCGGCATGGTACAGTCTCAACTTTAGGGTCTTTGAATCAAACCACGTCTGATCGGCTCGGCGTTCCTGTCTTCGAAATAACAAGAAGGATGCGATCGAGTTCAGATGCTGGCAGAAGGGCCAGAGGATTAGAACGGGGATACAACACACAGGAGGTGCGACCTAGCATCATACCAATAGACAATTACAACCTGACCAGCGAGCCAATCTTGCCTAGTCAGTTACCTGTAAAATACGAATGGAACCCGCAACACCAGGAGAAGCCAAGCATCAAGGTGGAAATCCACCAAGATAGTCCTCCCTCGTCGATGAGTAGCACGAATTTTACGCCAAAGAGGAGTCCAAGCGCTAGCCCAAGATCGCCTACCGCACAACCTCAGCTTCGGTATCAGTATGCGACAATACAGAATAAGCTCGACCAGATCAGCAGCACATGTGCGCCCTATATCGATGTCGAGGCAGCGGAGCCTCAAGACCTCACTTTTGAGAAGATCGTTGAACAGACTAAAGGCTTTGCTTTCGACTTGCAAGTGTGGGCTCATCTTGCGAACATTGAGGGTATGGCGAGGGTCGACTCACGGAAGAGAGAGGTCGTGGACGCTGCATCGCTAAGCCTAGATCGCCTGCTGGATCAGATAACGACCCTGAACGACGCTTGTTCTAGGGCCAAGCCGAGGGATCTAAAGTTCAGAGCGCTTCCTGAGGTCGACGACAACAGCTTGTTCGAAGATGGAGATGACGACAGGTATGTGCCAGTGGGACGTCGAACATGATAGTGCTGACGGATGGTCCCAGCCGTGAACCAGACCCCACAGAGACCCTGAGCTTCATCATCCATTCCAGCCTACACAGCATCGAACTGCAAATCCAAAACCTAAAGCGGCTGAGCCGGACGTTGCAAGAGGCTACACCAGATGCAAGAGATGAGGTCATAGCGGTCGCGACGCTCGTCGCGGAGACCGTGAAATACTTTGGATCGCAGGACGCGTTGAGTCGCCATTCGATAAACGAGAAGATTCCCGGGAGGAAGGGGTTGGAAGAAGCACGGTATGCGAACTCACGCTAGGTGCATGCCACTTGGAAGGTTGGTGATTCATTTCGACGACTAGATAACATATGGGCAAAGTATGAATACATAGTTGACGTGTGCTTCATGGCGATGGCGTTTCCATAACATTGTGCGAGGAATGAGGCGTGAGGAGCGAGGGATTACTTGGGCTGCCGCCGCTCGCGTATTAGCCTATAAATTAGAAGCTTGGAAGGCAGGACTCGGCGCAATTACTGCAGCCACTGTTATTCTATTTTACGAACATGCGAAATGCCATTCCGATTGTGCGAATGAAAGATTCAATCCACAGAGAACTGTTGAATTATGGACTGAACGCTCATCACCAAGAACCTCTATTAAACTTTCCGCGACAATGTCTGGTGGGCCGCGAGTACAGAGATTAAAAGAAAGAGGTTGGTCAGCGCGCTAACTTAACGCTACACCATCGCTGTTCCGCTCTCACTCAGGCATTCGTCATGTCAGTAGCTGATGAGACATTGGCAGTAGCATCATACACGCGATTACAGCCCCTTTCAGTATCAGCAATCGTTTTCAAAGATCATGCAGATCGCGTGGTGCCTTCCATTAGGGCTTCAGAGCAAGACTGTCATCCACGGTGCGTCGCGCGTGTTTGGTACCGACCTCGCTATATAGTCAGAATCGCAACACCATAACTTTCGGAATGTTGAACAAGGGTTCGTGGGAAGATATGTATTGCCTACACGAGCTTCAAGTAAGAGCATAAGGCCCTTGCTTTTCTGGAAGTTGAAAAGAGAAAAGAGTATTTACAGTGCAGCACAAAGAAAGACTGCAGGAAACTAGTAACATGCCAGATCCAAGAAAGGACTGTGCATCACCTCACTCGAGCGAGACTTAGAGTGTTTCTATCGAAAGCCCCGCGTACTGTTCAAGTGCTTACGAGCACTTGGTAACACTGGGCACGTTGGAGCACTTGTCATATGTCTTTCCACCAGTCACATCGACACCGGTCCAAGTCCAACCAGTGCAAGAGCCCTTGCCACAAGTGACAACTACATCGTAGCCACTGCTGGAGACATCACCAGTAACGTTGTCGAGCGTCAAGCCGGTGATCGGGACACCGGTGTCCGCGTCACCGTGAAGGTCACCGCCATCGTAGTTCTGTTCGATAAGAACGCCATATCTGAAATGTGTTAGTATCAGGTGATGAGTAAGAATCAGAGGCAACGTACTTGGAAATCTCAGACAAGGTAATGTCCTCATATGTAACCTTGTTGATCTTGCCGGTTGTGCCAGCACGAGCCTTGACACGGACGCCGTTGACAGACTTGGTGACCTCTGAGTTGGAGAAGGTAACTGTATCGACCGTGTTGTCGTCACGACCACCGACCGAGCCGATGGATAGACCGTGTCCACCAGAGCAGAGGCCGTTCTTGAAGGTGATTTCCTAGCCGGGTTGTCAGCAGGTGTGGACACTCAAATTCTATGCCAATACTTACGGTGCCAGAGTTGACGGCTACACAATCATCCTGGTTGTAAACCTTAGCGCCATCGATGATGACGTTGCTGCTGGAGCCAATGTCAAAACCATCTGTGTTGTGGCCTTGCTCATCCTGCAGAGGTGAAGACATAAAGTCAGTGTATGTCTCATGTGCATTTCGTACTGTCACAACTTACCTTATCGCCATCGGAGGCATCAATGGTCATGTCTGTAATGGTAAGGCCATCGCAGCCGTTAATACTGACGACCTGGACAGGAGGGTTCTTGATGGTAATGTCGGTGATGGAGGAGTCGGTGAGTTTGTGCGCAGAGAAGAACTTGGGCTTAGTCTTTCCACCGTTACCACCCTCACCATCCCACCAACGAGCACCATCACCGTTGAGAACAGATCCCTTAGCGCCCTTGACAGTGATCTTTTTTCCGCCAATGTTCAGAAGGGGACCCTTCCACTCCGAGTAACCCCAAGTGGTGGTACCCTCAAAGATGACAGTGGTGTCGTCAGCCAGGCTAGAGAGGTCCAACGTAGTGCCCGAAGGAACGGCAACGTTGGAGAGGACCATGGTAGCGCATGATGTCTGTGACTTGGAAGCCTCAGCGGCTCCGTTGGAGCCCGAGAAGGTGCAGCTTGAGGCACGTTTAACGACCTCGGGCTTGGGTGCAGGAGTGATGGCCGGGGCTGGAGCTGCAACAGCAGACGCCGCCAGCGACGTGAAGAAGATACCAAGAGTTAAGGCAACCATTGTGATAGATGCTTGATGCTGAAGAAAAGCTTGAAAGAATGAATGAAGTGCTTGGTTGCTTGGCCTACATGCTTGGTACGCCACAGTTATATACGTTTCTAGCAATGATACACTCGCAGCTCAATGACTTGACCATCAGTTGTCTACGTGATCATAATTTCCCGAGTCAAGTTTCTCCATAGAGAAAGATGAAGGGTTGTTTCGAAGTCCTCCAATAAGTGGAGAGTGTCGAGACGAGATGAGAGGGACATAGTCGCTCGAAGCAACGCTTGTACAATGCGTGGGTGTCGCCAGGGGACTGTTGTTTCGAAAAATCCTCCAATGGGTGGACCCGCCGGAAATCCACTTTTCTAGACTTGTCGTTCGAAAGGCACCCTCGCAAACATGTCAATGCATGGTCAGAACCGCGTGATTAGCATCGGGAAAGACGGAAACTAAAATGCTTGACTCCGTTGCAGCCCACCTCAGCGGAGTAACATGGGAAAAGTATCTTCCGTGGTCGAGGTAGCGCTCCGGAAACGGCTAGTTCGTCCATGGGACATTAATTGGGAATCTGCGTTGTTCCCAGGATGCTCGCAGCCGTTCTTTCCGACATCTGCGGCTTTGTATCCAAGGCCAGCAAAGGACATAAATTGCGTACTGTATTTCCATGACGCGCATTGACTTGGTCCTTCCTGTCGTGGCAAGCCTTCCGCTGGCATAAGCTTCCTTCACAAGCATCTCGGCATATCGGACGAATGATGTCCCACTCGCCTCCGCAAACGCCACATCTGGGGTCACGTACCTTGCATGTTTACCCCGCGGCTTCGCTTGTAGCATTTCTTCCATGGCAAACATTATACCGTCAATGATATCGTTCCGTGATGCGCAGGTCCGGAGGACGATCTTTGACCGCGGCTGAAGTCTACGGGCTAGCTGCATGCGAGCCCGAGGGCAGGGTCATGAAGCAAAAGTCGCGTCGCGTCCAGCATTGGACTTTTTATCGTCACTCAGAAAGTCAAGATGAGGTTCTTTCATCTGTTTGCTGTCGCGATCTCGCTGTTCTTTGGTGTATTAGCTACCGACAATGGCCTCCAAACGGACGTGGAGTGGGATAATGGGTCGCTCATGGTCAATGGCGAGCGCGTAATGATTATGAGTGGAGAGTTCCGTACGTTGGCGATATGGAATAACCAGATCATGCTTGAAAGACATGCTAATTCTTGCATTTGCGCCTCCCAGACTACGCTCGCCTCCCAGTTCCTGAGCTATGGCTCGACGTCTTCCAGAAGTTCAAGGCAAATGGCATGAACGCAGTCTCAATTTACTTCTTCTGGTCGTACCATTCAGCATCGAAGGGCGTATACGACTTCACCACACCTGGCAAGGATATCCAGCGCTTATTCGATATGGCCAAAGAAGCCGGCCTTTACGTGATTGCGCGACCAGGCCCGTACTGCAATGCCGAGACCAACGGTGGTGGCTTCGCACTCTGGACGAGTGATGGAAGTGGTGGCAAGTACAGAACTTCAGATGAGACCTATCGGCAGGCATGGTCCGAATGGATCGCGGAAGTTGGTGAGATCATTGCGAAAAATCAGATCACCAACGGCGGACCAGTCATCCTAGCACAAGTTGAGAACGAACTCCAACAAACTCGTTATGAAGCCGACAACACATTGGTCATCTACATGGAACAGCTCAAGACCGCCTTCAAAGATGCAGGCATCATCGTACCTTTGTCGCACAACGAGAAGGGCTTTAGATCGAAGAGTTGGTCTACTGACTATAACAATGTCGGTGGTGCGATCAACGTTTATGGTTTGGACAGCTATCCCGGTGGCATGAGCTGCACGAACCTTGACACCGGGTTCAACCTACCGAGGACGTACTACCAGTGGTTCCAAGAGGTCTCCCCTACACAACCTGAATACCTGCCCGAATTTGAGGTAAGTCGTAACTGTACAAAACGCATGTGAGACATACACTGACTTCGTATCTTTACCTCTGCAGGGAGGATGGTTTCAACCATGGGGCGGCTACTTCTTCGATCAGTGCTTGGCTGAACAGAGCCCTGAATTTGCGGATGTCTTCTACAAGGGACTAATCGGACAGCGAGCTAGTCTTTTGAACTTGTATATGGTAAGTAACGTCTCTGTACGAACTGCATGCGAGACACACACTGACTTTGTATATCGTCATTTTAGGCATACGGAGGCACAAACTGGGGTCACTCTGCAGCGCCCGTAGTTTACACTTCATACGACTACGACGCACCACTACGCGAGACTCGAGAGGTCCGCGACAAGTTCAAACAGTACAAGCTTCTTGCCCTCTTTACCCGTGTAAGCAAAGGCCTTCACAACACCTTCATGGAAAACAACGGCACCGCAAACGCAGTCGACAATTCAGCTATCTGGACCTGGCAGCTTAAAAGCCGCGATACAGAGAGTAGGTTTTACCTCGCAGAGAACAACAACACGCGTACCCGCGCTGTGACTGATTTCTCAATGACTGTCAAGACATCCGAAGGCGATGTCAAGATCCCAAGTTTGCAGCTTGCGGGTCGCCAAAGTCGATGGGTAGTAACAGATTACGCCGTGGGGGACAAGACGCTGCTTTACTCGTCCGCTGAGATTGCAACCTATGGCCTATTCGATCGACCTGTCATCGTCTTCTACACACGAGAAGGGCAAATAGGAGAGTTTGCGTTCAAGTCACAGAGCAACCTGACCTTCAAGGCGTATGGCGCGGAGTCGAACATTGCAAGTACGCCGGCGAACAGCACATACTCAAGCTTCTCCTACAAACAAAGCAAGGGTATGACCGTGGTAGAGTTTTCGAATGGGGTTCTCGCTTATCTGCTCGATATACCAACCGCGTACACCTTCTTTGCGTCGCCGACAACCGACGATCCGAACGTCACTCCGGACCACCAGATCTTCGTGCTCGGACCATATCTAGTTCGTTCAGCCAGTGTGTCCGGCGGCACAGTTGCTGTCATTGGTGACAATGCAAATGCCACGACTATCGAGATATACGCCGGCTCTGATGCGAATACGATATCTTGGAATGGCAAAGAGCTCGCTACAACGAAGACATCCTACGGTTCACTTACTGCCTCAATTGACGGTGTCACAGAACGCAAGGTCACTCTTCCAGAGCTTTCAAACTTCAAGGCAGCTGAATCTTCACCCGAGATACAACCCTCGTACGACGACAGCAACTGGGTTGTCGCAAACAAGAACACCACTCTCAGCCCGGTGAAGCCACTCACACTGCCCGTACTCTTCAGCAGTGACTACAAGTACTACACAGGTGCCAAGATTTATCGTGGGTATTTCTCAGGCAAGACCGCGACTTCACTCAACATCACTGTACAGGGTGGAGTGGCGGCGGGATGGAATGCATGGCTTAATGGGCAGGCGATTGGTTACCATCCCGGCAACGCGTCGCAAACTTCCACAACCGCATTGCTGTCTTTTAAGAACATAACATTAAAGGATGAAGGCAATGTCTTGACGGTAGCAACGGACTACACAGGTCACGATCAGACGTCCACAGGCCCAGCTGGTGCAGAAAACCCTCGCGGTATACTTGGTGCCCAGCTCCTCAGTGGCAACAACACCAAGCTATCCTTCGACCAATGGAAGATCCAAGGTAACGCAGGCGGAGAGCGGAACATAGATCCAACCAGAGGACCTATGAATGAAGGCGGCATCTACGGTGAACGCCTCGGGTGGCACCTCCCCGGCTTCGACACTTCCTCTTGGGAAGATGCCAGTCCCACAACCGACGGTGTCCAAGGCGCCAGCATCCGCTGGTTCACAACCACCTTCTCCCTCTCGATCGATTCCGATCTCGATGTCCCCATTGGCATCGAAGTCGGTGCGCCAAAAGGCACCATCGCCCGCATGCTCCTCTTCGTCAACGGATACCAGTACGGCAAGTACGTTCCTCACATTGGCCCACAAACTCGCTTCCCAGTTCCCCCTGGTATTCTCAATATGAGGGGCGAGAACGTGTTGAGTGTGGCGATGTGGGCGCAGACTGAGGCTGGTGCGAAGCTGGATACGCTGAAGTTGGTTGAGTACGCCAGGTATGAGAGTGGATTTGCGTTTGCGAAGATTGATGGAAAGGCGTTACAATCGGAGTGGGTGGATAGGAGTCAGTATGCGTGAACGGCTGGTATACTATAAGAAAGACAATGATTGTCACGTGATTACCTTCAGAGCACTTAGGTTTACCATCCTTACTAGTGAGCTCCTCAGTTATTACAATAGAAATCAGAATACACCCATATATCCCACATTGATTCGGGACTGGTTGGGTTAGTGCTGCTTCATATTCTCCTACTACTTGATGAGATGCGGTATTACGACCAGGTACGCTTACTGTTGCTTTTCTTCAAAGCAACCGTTCATTTTCGGTTTACACCTTTGGTCTGACTAGTCGATAAAAGTGAATGGATATACCCAAGTCTTCCACAACCCTGCAGCCCCCAGTACTATTAATGTAGATATTGCCTCTAACAATATGCAAGCTAGAAGTCTATATTGATACTAAATGTTTCATCCTACACTGGTTTAGATTTTGTCGTTGTATGCGGTGGCTGCGTACAGTTGAACAAAGGGCAAGAGACAAGACGGACTGCTTGAGTACGCGAAGCTCTATTAGTCGCTTTGTTCAACAAAATATCTGCAGCAAATATAGTGCAACCACTTAACAAGGACAGGCTCGGAAGTGTACATCATACACATGTTTTCCATCTTCTACTTTTGGCGCTACTTGGACGATATTTCCTCCCATTACTCACACAATAGTGAACGTAAGTATGCTAAGATACAAATAATTGACTTGATCGGCTGGTTCTACTCAGTACTCCCATCCGTCATCCCCGCTGTCTTCAAAGTCTAGCACCATGTCTACCCAATTTCCTCCACCGTACTGACATTTGCTCGGACCAACCTTGTTGAATCCTGCCCTCTCGTAGAACTGTATATATCGGTCTCTGCAGATGAGGGCTATCCTAGATGCTACACCTGAATCCTTTATCCTTTGTACATAACTTTGCAGTAATATTGAGCCGAGTCCTTTGCGCGCAAAGTTTGGATGCACACAAAGCGAGTGCAGGCATATGGTCTGCCCGTCTTCATTATGCCCTACGTTTGGCGTGAGCTGGTAGTTGGTCTTCCAGTCCTTGGGATAGTCCATAGCGTCATCAGTGACAAGAGGTGAGTTTGCTTTGGTGGAGATGATGTGACCAATTATCACACGCTTGCGGTCGGTGTCGGTCGAGTCTATTGACGGGAATGAATGCAACTTGATGGTTTCACCTAATGGTCCTGATGTGGTGGGGTAGGCGGAAGAGAAGAGGCCGCTGCAGAGTTCACCACAGGTTCGCAGACGGTACTCGAGCTGTAGTTGGTTAGCGTCAACGTTAAGGACTTTGTATACCAGGATTGTGCTAGTAAGTTTAGGGTCTATCCTATTGAGTTTAGAGAAGGAAGGGACGCAGCACGAGAGCGAGCGAAATAGGAAAGAGCAACCAGCTAGCGCACGACAGACTCGATTGATCCCGATGATGGATGCAAGAGGTAGATTGATGTTTGGTGTAACATTGGATCGAAACAAGGCAGAAGACAGTAGGCAGACTTGAGAATTTGAGTAACATGGTGATGGAGAAGAGCGCATGGCGCGAGGCCTGACGGAGCCCAACGGCGGTACTGAGTAAGAGATACAGGCATTGACCATGATGTTTGAGAGACAAGACGGATAGAAGATTTGTTGTTCTCACCTTCTCCCGCGACGCGGCTTCAACCGGATCAAAGGCCGCATGCTCAAGCCAATCGCAGTCATCAAGGTCGTCGATGTTCAGCAACGAAGTGTATGGACGAACTCCCATTTGCTTGAGTCTCCCCTCCTGAGCAATATTGGAACTACGATGGGGCACCAGACTAGATTGCTCTACGGATTCGGGACTAGAGACGGTCTCAGGCTCCCTTGATAGTTCGGGCATGGCATCCGGCGACTTCTTGTCTGGGAATAAGTCTCGTGGCATCCTGGCGGTCGATGACGGCAGGAAGGGGGGTCGATACAACTGTAGGAAGCCGAGGTGCAGTGGTGAGTTTGTGGGTTCGTGGTTCCTGCAAGACTCACGAGACTCTGCGGCATCAGCCCCGCCTTTACTAGCGGTTCGCTTCGCGTTGCCGTTGCAGATCGTTCCGGGTTAGCTTGGTGGACGGTAGCTGAGCCGAGAGAGCAGGCGGGGGATGTCTTGGGGGTTATTGTTTGTGGTCGTATATTATCTGCTGGTTCTAGACTTGACCATGTTTCTCAAAGGAGAAGCTACTCATGTTAGCGGGGTTTGCTCAGTCGCGGTCTCGTCCATGCCCTGACTAGCAACGGGGTGGCAATAGATTTACGAATGACGTGCAGTAGGATGATGTGGGTGGGGAATTGCAACACAAATGGCATCGAGCTACAGCTTACAGGATCCTGTGCAGGGTCTAGCTGTAGGGTGCAGCGGCCAGACGACTCTTCTGCATGCGTTGGGCAGACGTCGAAGCATGCCAGACACGGTGCTATCCAGGTAGCCGTCTGTCGGCTGCCCCGCCTAGACGGCCAACGTCGTGGTTCCATATGTTGGCGGGCTACTGAGTAGTAGTACTACTCCTTCGACTGCGCGCCTACGCTTGCGCCCCAGCCCGACGTCGCTGCTATGTTACGAGCGATGGCCTTGGTGCCCTAGGCGAAACTCTCACAACATTCAGCCTGTGCTCTCTGATCGCTGATTCATCCGGCGCTGGGTTCGCGGCTCCACTACGTTCCATTCCCTTCCAGCCCAGCAGGCGGCGACTCTCTCACTACGACGACCCTCCGGCCCGTTCCCAAGGTTGCGACAACACCACCGCCGCGGCCCAGTGCCTCCTTCCCTATAAGCACCCGCGCACCGAGACATCACACAGTCGTCGCCCACCCGACCCAACCCAACCTCAACCACCCATCGTGTCACATTCTTTGGCCTCGTCTAGACTTAGCCGCATACGCCCAAGACCCGCTCCGAACCACCATGTGAGTTTATACCGGAACCCTTGTTGTGCCACCACGCTCAAGCAGACTGCTAATCCTCTGCTTCCAGGCCTCGCGTCACCATATCCATCACCGCGCCCGGCACCCAGGCCGATACCGACCTGCTGACACTCGAACTGCCCCCCGGCAGCACCGTCAAAGACCTCAAGGGCTTCATCGAGGCCGACACCAACCTCCCCGCGGCGTCACAGAGCCTCTACCTGAACGGCCAGCCGGTAGCCATAGACACACAGACACTAGAGGACGCCGGAATACGCGATGGCGAGATGCTGGCCGTTGTGATGCGCGCCGCACCTCGGCAGAACAGGAACGTCCAACAGCCGGGCAGGCCAGCCCAACCTGATCCAGAGGGTGTGCGACAGCTCGTCCTCAACGACCCCCAGCAGATGAACAAGCTGCGCCAGGGCGACCCGGAGCTCGCCGCCGCCGTCAACGACCCCACCCGCTGGAGAGATACATATGCCATGAGGCAACGACAAGCTGAGGAGTCGGAACGCGAGCGTCAGAACCAAATTGCCCTGCTCAACGAGGACCCCTTCAACGTCGAGGCGCAACGAAAGATAGAAGACATCATTCGCCAGGACCGTGTAGTCGAGAACCTGCAAAAGGCATACGACGAGAACCCCGAAGGTATGGGCACATCATTTTTGGACGGCAGACATGTCCAAGTCTTGTCAAATACCGACGCTAATCTCTCGCAGTCTTCACGCGCGTGCACATGCTCTACGTCAACACCGAGGTCAACGGCGTGCCCGTCAAGGCCTTTGTCGACTCTGGTGCCCAGGCCACCATCATGTCCCCCGACTGCGCCGAGCGATGTGGTATTATGCGACTGATGGACGTCCGGTACGCTGGTATGGCACGTGGTGTCGGTACAGCGCGCATCCTGGGTCGTGTACATCACGCAGAGATCAAGATTGGAGGTGCAGTCATGCCTTGCGCTTTTACTGTCATGGAAGGCAAAGACGTCGATCTACTGTTCGGCCTGGACATGCTCAAGCGCTACCGCGCCAAGATCGATCTCGAGAAGAATGCCCTGTGCTTTGAAGGTCAGGAAGTCCCCTTCTTGCACGAGTCGGAAATCCCCAGGAGCTTCGAGGAGGCGGAGATGAATGAGCCGACTGTCTCCGGTCCTAACGGAGAGGAGATTGGCGCAAAGACGGGTGCTGTAAGACCCAAAGGTAGCGCTGCAGCTGGTCCCTCAAATGCAGGTCCCTCATCCTCATCGTCTCAACCAGCGCAGCCGCAAGCTCAACCAGCAGCGTCCAAGGCACCCGTACCGTCTGCACCTAGCAGCAACTTCCCTCAAGAGCACATTCAGCAACTCACCGGCATGTTCGGCTGCTCAGAACAAGAAGCTATACAAGCCCTGGAGATGTTTGGAGGAAATGTCGAACATGCTGCGAGTTTTCTCATTGGTGGATAGTGGATATGAAGACAAAACGATATCCTCAGTATCACGACACGGCGCTTCCCTATCTTTGCTCAAGACTTGCTCAACAAGGCTTCCACCATTTGGAAAGATGTGGGTAGTCCAAAGGGGTCTTTAGATGACGAGGAGATGAGTTGATGAGCTCATGACATGGCATTAAATAGCATGCATGTATTACTATTGAATATGAATAGAAGCCGAAGAGCCTTATATGCATTAATGTAGCTTTACGAAAATCGGACAGGTCGAATGATGACGGGCTTTCAACGCCCTTCCCGCGCTTCTTATCGTGAAAGTATGCTTCTGTCTTCCCCCTATTTACTCGCATAAATCACCTAATCTTGTACAAGCACGGCTTCAATACCGCTCCCTCTTTCTCATCGCCCTCGTTGTTTGTCTCTCCCGCACCAAATCTCTTTCCTTTGAGCCCAAACTTCATACCCCCGCCTCTCTGCGCTACAGCTCCTGCTTTCTGGTCTTCCCTCGCGTTCTTGCCCTTGCTCGGGTGCGCCGCCTTGACAAACTGCATCTTGACAAACATCTTGTTGCTGAGATCAATCGCATCGCCTGGTCTCTCTGGCAGAGCATCAAGCACGAACCCGCGCTTTCGCAGAACCTCGATGAATGCAGAAACATCTGTTCCCTCCTTGCCCTCTTGACCATCTACATTGACCGCAAGCTCAGCCTCGTCTTCCGAATCAACAGGTCCCTCTTCCGGTGGCTTATCCGCTTTGGCCTTCTTAGCCTTGGGAGGCTTCTTGTCCATGGTCTTCTTGAGGGAGCCAATAGAGTTTATGGGTATACCGCCTTTCTTCTTGTCTACGCGTCCGAATCTAGATTTGATTTCAGAGACCCAGAGTTCACCTTTCCAGCGGAGGATGCGGTATGCTTCGTCGATGAAGTCGAGCCAGTTGGTTCCCATGAGGGCGAGGCAGAAGATGGCTACGTCGACGCTGTTTTCAGGAATGGGGAGGGCGGAAATGTCGGCTATGGTTACGAGATCGGCAGAGGGACCCGTGGGTTTGGATAAGTCAAAAGAGTGGAATGTGAGGTTTAGAGATTTGAGATGGGGTTGTAGGCGGTACGACAACGAAGCTGTTCCGCAGCCTAGATCGGCGATTGTGCTATGGCCTTTGAAGTCTCTGGGTAGCGGTTTCGCGTCGCCTCGGGGAGGTGCTATGGCTGTAGTCTCTTCTTCCTCGAAGCCTGGGCCTCTGCGGACTCCATTCTTCGCTGGTCCTCTCCTGTCTTTCCGGGCGTCCTTGTTCCGCAGCTTGCCTCTGACTAATATGCTGTTCACGTATCCGTCTACAGGGTTCGATGGCCATACTTCGACCTGCTGCGCGAATCCGCGGTGGTAGTCTTCGAACATTGATGGGTCTTCCTTGAAAAGAGATGCGCTGTCGGCAGAGGGCTTCGTGTAAAGCGCTTCGTTCAGGTGACGGAATCGCGCACTGGCTAGCTTACTGCGCATAGATCGCTGTAGAGGTGTGAGGCCTTTGGGTTCAGGAAGGAGGTTCTCTAAAACTGGAGTCGCGGAGGTCGAGTTCGCGTCGGCTGCATTCGCGGCGAGTAGTTTGTCGGCTTTGGATTCCTTCCTGCGCTTCTTCTTCTCGCGTTTTGACTCGTTATCGGCCGTTGTAGGCTTCTCTTCAGTAGGCTTCGCAGCATCTGCCTTGACCTTTGAAGGCTCGGCTACCGTCGTAGCCTCTGCTTCGATTCCCTTTTCACCATCTCCATTCGCTTCCTTGTCCTTGTTACCTCCAGCCTTTCCTCGCTTCCTCTTCTTCCCGCGCTTCTCTTGCGCTGTCTCATCTGTCGCTTCTGCGCCATCCGCCTCTGACTTCTTGGCCTTCTCCACCTGTGCGCCTTTTCCGTTGGCTATGCTGTCCCACTGCTCTGTCAGGTTGTCCACATTCACCTGCTGCTCCTCGCGCTTCTCTTTCCTCTTCTGCGCTTTCTTCCCGGGTTTGGTCGAATCTTTTGGTTTCGGTGTCTCGACCTGGGTCTTCACCTGCGCGGCAACGTTCCATCCGGGAACTGCGAACATTGTGACCAGCGATAGAAGGCGAGTAAGATGTGAAGATGTTGAGTGCGAAAGTTGCGCAGGAAGGTTCCTAGGACGGCTCGAAATTTTGGGCGGCGGAAGGTTTTACCGAAATGTGGGGCTTTAGCGCGGAGTTCATCGACTCCACCTTGCTGGAACTTACTTATCGCAATTTCTTGGCATAGCATGAACGTACTAACGATGTAGGCTCTTCCTCGGACGCGATCCTAACATCAACTGTAAGATAGCCTACTCAAGTGCTCAGCAGTATTACGTGACAGGTACCAGTTGGAGACAACATCTAGTCCACAAGCCAATTCATCTACCTCTTCCTTGCTTGCTTAACATCTACACCATAGCCGCCCAAATCCCTAGCGTCGACGAGACAAGCATCAGTAGCTATCATGTAATGGTTCACACTCACAGGTCAAGTTTGTGCAATGTCTCGAACGATTACACTGTACAAGCATGATACTGTCTCACTTTTCCATCGACGTCATTTGCACCACACTTGAACGTCTACGCTGTTGGCAAACTATGTTAGCATCATATCCTAAACGAGTCTCATACGTAACCCCTTTTTGGTCTTTTCCAAGGTACAGAATTTGCAGATCCTACCGAACACCAAAAGCAAGTCACTGTTACCACTGTAACCATGTCTACGCTGGGCGATATGCAAAAGCAGCTATCCCAGATCATGGAGGAGGCGAAAAGGCAAGGCTACAAGGTCGAGGAAGCCATCCCGGAGAATATGCAGAATCTTTTCTTGGGGATGAGCGAGCTCAATGCAGCGCGCGAATACATCCATGAGATTCAAGCTCGTGAGCAGGACCTTCAAGCCGATAACAACGTCCTGCGAGCCAAACTCAAGGAAAAGGAAGCCGAAATTAACGACCAGCCAGCAGAACTCAAGGCCCTCAAGATCGATCTCCAACAAGCGCGTCGTCAAATCGACTATTACCGTGATCTGTCCGAGGATTCCCGACGGCGTGCACAACGCTACCAGCGCGATCTTTCTCTCGCTGTCAGGGACCAAGTTGCCTTCAATGAAGTTACCGCGAAAACAGAGCGTCTACAGAACGAGCTTGGCCAGCACCAGTCGACGATTCAGCAACTACAGACAGAAAACGAACGCGCAGCCAAAACTTTCGCTCAACTTCGAGCGCAAGACGCACGGCTCATGGCAGTCAACGAAGCTCAAGTCGCTGCCATTTCGTCACACGCTTCTCAAATCGAGAACGAAAACGAACAATTTAACGAAACACTCACCGCGCTCATTGATAATCTAGAATCTGAGATTTCATCCGCCACCGCCTTAGTCAATGATAAAGCCGCCCTACTACGCCATACAGAGATACTGCACAACGCTATCTTCAGTGAGGTAGCACCTTTAAATCGGTTATTCTCTCGTGCTTTCAAGATGCTGCAAATGTATCAAACCCTTTTCCAATCGCTCTCCAATCCATACGCCTCTGGCATAGCTAGCTTACCCCTTGGGCTGGATCCGCTCATGGAAGGTGCCATGCAGGACTTGTACGTTTACAACGAGGTGCACAATACCATGTGCCAAGGTTCGGGGCTTGCTGGAGAGCAAGTTCGTACACATCTTAACGGTATTTCGAAGAGCGCAAGCAACATGCTAGAGAGCCTACATTCTATCAGAGGGGATGTTGCACACTTTTTAGCGCGTCTGCAAAAAGAACCAGGCACATGGGCGGCTATGAAGGCAAGGTTCGGCATATCTGGTAAGAAGAAGGTCATATGAAAGAAGCTTTCTGTTAGCTGAGGCGGTAGCAACACTTGCTTAGCGTTGTTCTCTAGGTACTTAGTTCTTCCGTAGCCTTTTCATGTGTTGTATGTTCATGTACCATCATACACACAGTTGCAAAGAAGTTGAGTATCTCTCCTCATAGTCCGCTTCACTCTATATATTGCCCCCAAACACTTCCTCACAGTTTGAGTCGTATTTGTAAATGTTATGTACCTACAGCGCAAAGACACGTCCCTACGGTTCCTTAAAATTCCAGTGCTGTCACAAGGTCGACGTAACATATAGATACTAGAAAACCCTAGATACTCCTAGCGAAGCCTGAAGTAACAAGTCGCCTGCGATTCTACTGTAGTAGTACCCGCCTGCTAGTACATGGATGGTAGGTAGTGGCTGGCTCTCTGTGGGGAAACAATGCGAAGGAAACTCACGCCTGTGAATACATACCGCTCGTTGAATGATTTTTACATGCGTCACACAAAAGGGCTGTGCGAGTGTATTTAGTATTCTTCCATATTACCTACTCCATGACAATCGTCACTATTGACATGGTATCTTCAAATACACAGAGTGGTATGACAGCTAACTGTAAAAGCGCATTATCGCGCGCTGTGAGAAAGTTGAAGGCTGCTGAAGACACAGCTCTGGCTCATCACTCGGGCAGCTCACATGCCGCGAACGTGGCAGATGACACTGCAGATGAGCATCAACCGGACGACAACGAGAACGAGCAAGATCATGAGGACGTAATGGCGATAAGTACACAAAAGGACACACACAATCGTACTCGTCCCGCCATGGTCTTCACAGATAAAGAAGCAAAGCAGCGTCATTCAGACGAGCAAGTCAGCTTTATCATTCTAACGCGCGACAACAACAAGCCGGATGCGTATGGAGCATCGTCAGAAACATACGGTCCACTTCCATGGCCAGGTGTTGCTAAAGCATACAACGAGAAGTACGGGCTGCGCGTCGGTCCAGCGGCGATGGAGAAGCGCGCACGGCAACATCGAAGCAGTTGGATAGCAAAGCATCCAACTTATCCGATTAACATAATGTATGCAGAGAAGCCCAAGGCGCCGCAAGTTCGGCGCTCGGAAGTTCTGGCTGCAAAGCCCCAAGGCTATTGCGTGCAAAGCAGCACCGGAAAGGAGCAGGTTCGTTGTACAGGCGGATTTGTTGGCGCTGACCAGTTGCAGACGCAAGCCGAATCGTTCCAAGCTCACGTCTCTAATGATCGTATTGGCGGGTGGGTGCCGCCAGATGTCATTCGCAATCGGGCGGACCTGAACAAGTACCTAGATCAACTAAGGTCAGCACAAATCGAAAGGTTTGTAATGGAAATTCTTGATGCGCAGGACTTATCACTTGGTGTTATTTTGGCTGACCGTGGAGACCTTCTCCAGAGTTCGTCTGTGTTCCAACGATCGATGAACGGCAACAGTGATGTACTGGTGCAGCTTCGCTGCTCGTCCATTGCCGTCGTCCAATCGTACTTAGACTGCACCTCAGTTGGAGGGCTGACCGAACTGCCAGCGCATCTCCTTCGCGACGGCAGCTCACTTATGAGATTGTACTGCTTCGCCACGCAACTCGAAGATGACTGGGTTCGTGAGCGGATATTGGCTCTGTGGCGTGGTTTTGCAGAGTCCAATGCAGAAGTGAATCTAGGGCTCCAAGATCTCAACCTGCTCTTTGAAAGCACTCGCATTGGGGACCCAGCGCGTAATTTCTGGGCCGCTACCGTTCACACTGCGGGGTTGTCGGTTCAGCTCGTTGAGATGTTTGAGTGCAATGCGGAATTGATCGCCGAGATCCAGGACGTGGTGGCAAGAGCTTCTGTGTGAATTGTGCGTGACCATGGAGCACGGCTGGTCGCCACAGCGGGGATACAAGGCTCAACAGGACAAGAGGACTGAAAATGGTCGTCTCATGGGTGTCCAGGTGTTCGATGTAGCTTGACGCCACGAAAAAATCTGAGTATTCACCATCTATTAGTCCATCCCATTTCGACGTAGTTTCGTTAGAAGCGTAATGCTCCGTGGTCCACCTGTGGTCTCTATGCGGGTCCAAGCGACCAGTAACCTTCTGAGACAGAGCGAAGTAATGGTTACGGAAAAGTCGCGAACAATTCCGGGATGCAAGAGTGGTTGATGCAGCCAATCCTTTGGAGGCCCGAATCCAGCCCAGTGTGTTGGTGTGAAGCATCAAATAGGATTTCCTTTTGCTGAATACCTTTAGAGTTTGACTCCGGGAGCCATGCTCGAATGAGGGTACATCCGGAACAAGGTCCAAAGATACCGTAAGGCTTCGAAGACGTGTGTCAAGCTCGAAGGATCTCAGTGCAAGCATTTAGCGCGCAACCGAACCGGACCGGGCTACCGATGGCCGGAACAGTAACAGGTCAACAACACCTTGGCAGGATCAATAAGAACGTATTCCACACCGCACATCGAAATTCAGCCAAGCAGTCACGATTCATCTTAAGGTGAACTATGAAGGCGTCGTGGAACCGTTAGTTTAAAGGTGTTGACTTGACCGAAACTGGCACGGAGGCAGACTCTCCGTGGCGCTTGTCCACCCTTGGTGATAACCTCGGGAAGGCCGCAGTAGTGGCGTCGCTTAGGGCTGGGCATATGAGGGATGGGAATTCCTCCGTTGCACCACGACATCCTCACCCCATCATTCGTCCATAACATGCTAACGTGAAATACTGAGCTCTGATCGAATTGGTTCTACCTTTGGCCTCTGACATGCGGCGAGGCGCTTAGAGCCGACAATCATGCAGGATCAGACGTCAGCGACTTCTCAGCAAACGCCTTAGGTTATGCTGAACCATGCGCTCGCGCCAATCCTTCGAGCTCATTCGCGGATAAAACCGTTACTATCAATATGGGCCCTGCTTTCACCTGAGGCGGCCTCACACACCAGCGCTCGTTCCTTCATACAGCGTGACCATGCTGATAGCCTTGTGCTGAGATCGTCCAGCGCCTCTGTTGATACCGGCAATCTACATTCCCGCATGTATCCGATGTTGTCTGCTGATATTAAGGATTACCCTTCTAGTTCCTAGGCCAGAAGCATGCTCGGGAACAGGCGATCGACCCCCAATGCTGATATGCACCCATTGGAGCAGCCTTGCCGAGGGCAGTTAAGTGGGATACCCTTGATGAACCAGGATATGTACCAGGTTTCGGGGCCCCATGAGATTCCCCGCGTTTTACGGCGTCGCTATCAGGAATGTGGCCGGTGTGCTGAAGGCGGCTTTGACTAGTGGCAGCTGCCGCAGGGCGGTCAGAACACTTGACTGCTGTCCACCATTCCGAGAGATTTGAGACCCTCCGTGCCATGCTCTCCAAGTTTGTGGCATCTGCACGTAAACGGGACGGTTGAGGCTTGTTCGAGATGCTGGAGCCGCTTCCTAATCAGGCCCACGGACCAGAGCTCTCCGTGGCCGTTTAGCTCGGAAACATGTTTCCAGAACTGCGACACCGACAGCACGCTGCTGGGATGCAGCATTAGCCGGACATTGCGGGCCATATCCCGGCATTCTGGCCATTGAATGTCTACCCTTGTGTATTTCCGATTTTGTTTAATAGCCCAGCTGTATCCCGATTGTATTCTGCACAGCTCATCTGGAGTATCTCCACCGCAGCAATGTCGGACATCAAGGAGTCTCATGTCACTACAACCTCAGAGAATGGCGTAAGGACCATCTTCACATCATGAAACGTCGACTTTGCTTACACCGTATCAGGACCACAAAGGTGCCGTGGCTGAGATCGCCATCATCTCTGGCTCTGAAGCTATAGCAGAGGCTAAGTTGAAGGAGCCTGTACAACGCTTCTCTAGCTCTGCTATGCTACTCTACGTCTGTGCATTTGTTGGCTTCTTTTGCTCGACATGCAATGGTTTCGACGGATCCATGTTCAACTCCCTTCTCACCAACAACACGTTCAAGGAATATTACAATGTCGAAAGTACGGGTGCCTGGGCTGGTATCGTCACTTCCATGTACCAGATTGGTGGTGTTGTCGCCCTTCCCTTCATTGGCCCTGCCTGTGATACCTGGGGCCGCAGGATCGGTATGATGATTGGAGGAGTCCTTGGCTGCACCGGTGTAATCATTCAGTCAACTGCTCCTGCATCCAACCCTGTTGGTCAATGTAAGTAACTCTCATTTGAAGCGCGTTCTTTGAATGTAAGCTAACTTCACACTCATCAATTAGTCATGGGTGGTCGCTTCTTGCTTGGCTTCGCGGTTCCCATCATGACAACAGCTGGACCTCTCCATGTCATCGAAACTGCGCATCCAGCTCACCGAGGTGTCATTACCGGTCTCTACAACACGTTCTGGTTCGTTGGATCGCTCCTCGCAGCCGGTGTCACACGTGGATCAGCCAATCTCTCAGGCAACCAATCCTGGAGGATTCCCGTCTGGCTTCAAATGCTTTTCCCGGCCCTGCTCGTTGTACTCCCCCTTCTCCTACCCGAGAGTCCTCGTTGGTAAGCATCATGCTTGTTTCTTTGCATGCGATAGGTGTGAACGTAAATTGACTTGTATGTAGGCTTTACACTCGCGGTAAACATTCTCAAGCCAAGAAAACTCTCGCCAAATACCACGGTTGCGGTAACGAGGATAGTATCTGGGTCTCTATGCAGATTCGCGAGTACGAGGAATACCTCAACATGGATGGAGGTGATAAACGCTGGTGGGACTACGGCTCTCTCTTCAAGACACGTCCAGCGCGCTACCGTCTCGCATGCAACTGTATCGTTGCTATCTTTGGTCAGTGGGCAGGTAACGGGTAAGTCGATCTTCCAGATGCGGTGTAAGAAGAAACGAGACTGATCATGGACTTGCGTCAAACAGTGCTGTCGACTATTTCATCTCCGGTGTTCTCGAATCTGCGGGCGTCACGGACGAGATCAAAAAGATGAACATTAACCTGGGCAAGAGCTGTATGCAGCTTGCTTTCGTGAGTAAACCTGATCGGGGGTTACAAATTTGAGTACTGACGATTGTTACGTAGGCTGTCGTTGGTGCTCTTTGTGTCGACAAACTGGGTCGTCGTCCTATGCTAATCGGCACTTTCTCAACTGTGACCGTTATTTGGGCCGGAGCTATCGGCGCTGTTTCTTACCAGAACAAGACCCAGAGCATTCCTGCCGGCAATGCCTTTGTCGCATTGGTCTTCCTCTTCAACGCTGTCTTTGCCTTCGGTATCACTCCGCTCCAGGCTCTATACCCCGTTGAGGTGCTCTCATTCGAGATGCGTGCTAAGGGCATGGCCTTTTCCAACTTGGCACTCACAACGGCTATGTTGATCAACCAGTTCGCATACCCTATTGCTCTGGAGAAGATTGGCTGGAAGTTGTACATCGTCTTCGCTTGCTGGTGCCCGGTCCAGGCTTTCGTTGTCTGGCTCTTCATCCCCGAGACCAAGAATCGCACCCTTGAAGAGATTGACGATATCTTCAATGCACCCAACCCGAGGAACGCCTCGCTCATCAAGAAGAAGCTCGCCACCGACGCACAAGGAAACGTCCTTGAAGTCGAGAAGATTTAATTCGCTCGTCGTTCGTTTTACCAACGAACAATTTACATGCCACGATTTTGTGCAATACTGCATATCCTATACTTTAGTGGTAGTTAAACCTCCGATACCCTTCTCTCAAATTGATCCATCTACCACTGTCTGTGGACGAGCTCTTTTCGTGATCCTCATGCGCATCGAAACACTCTGTTTTTCTTCTCTAGTTCTGTTCTTGTCCCACGGTTTTACAGCTCATTCATGACATTGGACTGAGCTTGAAATTCAACACCCAAACATAGATTTACAGCCAAACGCCACGCTATGAACGACTCTAACGAGTTCACCTGCTAGGATCCTGCAGTCTCTTTGTAGAGTAATGCACATGGCTGTACATCGCCCCCGCGAATCTACTCGCTTCATCCGTGCCCGCCCTTTTCTCCTCTTCACTGGCTATCCGTGCCCTCCATATTGCGCCCTTTGCCTCGTGCAGACGGCTTTCCATCTCCAATACCATTTTTTCTGCTTCTAGTATTACCCGCGTCGAGCCATCATTCTTCAGGTCGCTAACATCGCCGGTGCTGGAGTACGGTTTGTTGACCAGACTGCTTGCTGAGGCAATTCCGTCAGAGAGATGGACCGGTTCTTGTGTGGTCGAAGCGTAGAGAATATCGATGACATGAGTGGCCGGATGAACGGAGCGGGATGTGTAACAAGCATCCGGGTCTGAAGTGTGATGGTGATACCGTGCGCAAAACTCTTCTCGCGTCGCAACTGCGTCGAGGTACTTTTTCTCTGTGTGGAGGAAGATCTGTTGCACTTCTTCTAACATCGTGGTAAGCTATCCGGCATCTTCCACCTTGTCTCCTAATGCAAATGTCATATCCGCCACAAACCTCCACACATGCGAACCTACGGACAGCTTCGCTAAATGCGACATGAAGTCGTTATCAAAATCCTCTGCTGCAATACCAACCAACTGATTGTCCACGGGCGGTAGTCGACTCCCAACAAAAACCTGTCGACCACCAACGTTAACGGATCCTTTGGTAGTAGTACCCATGACCGCAAAGATTTCCTTATACCTAGTTTGCTCAGTAAACAAGTAGTGTAGTCGATCAACCACCATATCAACGATCCAATACACTTCCATCCACTGAGCGAAAAGCAAAAGGTCAAGGAGTGTATCTACACTCCAAACAATCTTCTCCGCATTTATCGCGCCATATCGATCATACACTCCCGGAACCTGCTTATTTGCTTTGCGCAGATAGTGCGTGGGTAGTTCGTTTGCACGTTCAGGCGACACGAGCTGGATGAAGCTGTCTACCGTTTGTCTACCGATGTGGTCTGGTACGTTGATGACACTGTCTTCGCGATCTTCTACTACTTTTCGGACGTAGAATGGCGAGATGGACTTTAGATTGTCTGCGTCGACGTACTGCGAATCTTCCTTTGCGACGCTTTCTTCGTGTGGATCGGCGAAGCTGAATGTGACTGTTTTGGCGGTACGGTGCCGTAGATGGAACTTCGCGCGAGTAACAGGGGGTATATAGTTGTCATGGATATGGCGGGGGTTAAATGAGCCTGGAATGAGAGTAGAGATGCTGGATTGAGAAGCTTGCTCGCGAAGAGTTGGTGGACTGGAGTGCAGGGGCGTAGGAAGGGTATCGGCCGGCTTTGTAATGGTCTGGGCTTGGGGAAGATAAGTGGGATTTCCATCTCCCACGTTAGGAGTCCCAAAGTTTGGCTGATATTGGGAATCTTGCTCTTTCATATCGACCTCATCGACATTTTCTGCTGACTCAGTCAATTCCGTATCTTCAGATTCCTCTCCTGTCTCAGCTTCGGCTTTGGGAACAGGGTACACGCATACCCCAGCATACTCCGGATTGTTCTTCAGAAATGTCTTCCTCACGGTTCCACATCGCTTACTCAATGTATTATAGGCTAATGGCTTCTTTAGCTCGTCCTCAAACCGCTTGTTGAACTCTCCCGCTAGCACATGCCAATCTTTCGGCCCAATCGCTCCTGGAACCAGATTGCCGCGGCTGTGCAGGATCCAAAGGTCTTGTTCGGAGATTTGTTGAGGACGTGTCAGTCAGGGGCGTGTTCTCAGAGGAGAAGCACTAGTAGTTCTCGCAGTATTTGCATTGCTGGTGGTGCTTGAAGGTAGTTCTCGTAGTTTTCGTGGCTCCTTGGTAGCTATTACTCGCACAGTTCTAGGACGCTTTGGTGCTGATGGGGCGGCGTTGGCCACAAAATCTGTGTCACTCTTCATGTGCGTAGCATTGCGCTTTGGTACCATGTCCACCCTAAAGTCTTAGTTGTTTGTCTTTGGAGCTGAGTTTGGTGACGGATGTGGTTTGAGGCTAATCTGAGTAGGTTGTGAGTGTCAAAAGAGTCCTTTGCCTTTGAGGAAGTGTACGCGTTATAATTCTCGGGCAGGGAGAGTGAAGCTGTGCCAGTCAGAAGTGTAGAGAAGTTGGGTGAATCTACCAGGCAGCAATCGCGATACTAGGTCTGTGCAATTGACTTTGACTAGAGCGAGTGAAAGACCTTGCCTGGGGATTAACGACGAAAGTGCATAGTAACCCAGGTTGTATCGAAGCGAGACAAGCAGACACAACATTTAGTCACGTTTCCCGGACACAAGCCATCACGGGAGGGTTACAAGAAGATACCGAAAGTCATCTCTCACCTTCAGCGTACAATACTATACTTTCGACGGCATCTCATCCTCTTGACCTTCAGCTTCGAGATGTCTCACAACAACTTTCTCGTTGACATGGCTTTCCTGCGCATGCTGTCCTGGTACCACTGTCCTTCCGCCTTTGCTTGTAAGCACACCGCCAGTGATGCCACCTTTCGCGAAAAGTAGGGGAAGATCTTCCAACTGTATATGAGAATTAGTAACGGCGCGTCTCCTAAGCCGGTTCAAGTGCGACTCACCATGACACCCTTGGTCTCTGGATAGAAGCAGTATACCATTGGGATGAATGCGGCATTCAGCACAGCGAAAATGATGAACGTCCTCCACCCAATGTTATTGAAGCTGATCGGCGTGATCTTCACAACCACGAAGACAAACATCCAATTCCAGCCCGATGCGATAGCCTGCATCGAGGTTCTTGTACGTGTAGTACTAATCTCAGAGGGGTAGAACCATGGGACGGGTAGCCAACCAACGCCATAGACGAGTTGGAAGATGAAAATGAAGGCTGTGGCACCGTATCCACCAGAGGTGGTACCCAGAGAGAGGAGGATAGAGACCATGACGAAGCAGATGCAGAGACCTGCTGTACAAGCAAGAAGGAGTGTACGCCGACCAAAACGGTCCATGAGCAGTACAGGAATAGCCGAGCCAACCAAGTATGTACTGCAATCTGTTAGGGTTTGCTATAGCCATGAAAGAGGTATGATACACACCATTGAGCAGCGCCACCTAGGATGAGAGAAAGGTTGCGATTCAATCCCATACTGTCCTGGAGAATTGTCGGCAAATAGTAATTAATCATGTTCGAACCAGTAAACTGTTGTCCAAGCTGAATGGAGATGATGATGATCAATCTACGCAGGTTCTGTACCTCACCCCATTGAAACAGCTCCCTGAACCTAAAGGGTCCGTCTTTCTGCTCTTCCTCAAGCCCAAATCTGATGTCCAGGATACTCGAATTGACAAGAGCATCATTTAGTGGTCTATCCTCAATTGCGGCAGTGACAGCACGGGCTTCTTCGTAGCGGTCATGAGCGACTAACCAGCGAGGTGTCTCTGGCAGCCCTATGATTTGCAGGACGAGGAAGATGGCGAAAACAGCTTGAAATGCGAGTGGGAATCTCCATTGGAAATCACTGTTCGAGTACGATGTGCCATAGTCCATCCTAGGGACTGGTCAGTATTGTCGTTTCTTTCGCATGACGGGAGGCTTACCAGTACGCGATGACCACCCCTAAAATTGTAACTGTACCCTGGAGCGTTAGCAACGCCCCACGGTAGCTGGCTGGTGCACATTCTGTCAAGTAGACTGGTGCAGTCGAACTGTTCATTCCGTTCCCGATTCCGGTGATGATACGTCCAGCAATGAGTTGCGCAATGTTATAAGAGCTTCCCAAGATCACAGCTCCGATGACCATAATGCTTCCGCCAGCCATCAACATTGTGCGGCGGCCGAAACGTTCACCGACAAAGTAGCAGATGATGGAACCGACAACACACCCAATGTCGTAGAGAGCTGTGATATTGCCTTGCATATCGGGGTCAGGATCGTTGAAGAATCGTCCGAAGGGGTTGTCCGAAACACCTATGATGCCTGACATTACGCCTGCGTGTTGTTAATGTTGTAGGGGTGGTTTGACATGGAGTTGAAGAAATATTTTGCCGTCACCAACCTTGATCAAACCCCAATAGTAAGAAAGCCTGGCATGCCGCCGCCGTGACGGCGAAGACTAGCTTCTTGCTACGAAAGCCATGTTTCCAAAGAGCCATTGTCAATCAGACTGGTTTAATCTGTTCTCTTGCGTTTTCTCGTCAACAAAGATAACAGAACTTCGAAAGCTAGATAGCTTTTGGGCGCGTCGTAGCCATATATGCGATCGGCACCCCATATACAGTTCACATGGGCTGATTGGGCTCGGTGCAAGATTGAGACGACGTTTTCATTCATTGCAATGCCCGTGCAAAACGTACTTGAGTATCATACTAAAGATCTGGGGCCCTAGCAAGTGGCATCGGTTGAATGAACCCCGAATTTGCGGAGATGGTCACTCTTGTGTGTGGGGAAAGATGGCGAAGATGACGACGAAAGCCTGTCGGGTCAAAAATGGGTACGTGCGACAAGTCTGGCGATCGGGAAACCTTGCAGTATAGTGTGCCGGGGGGGGCCACACAGGATGAATACCCAATATCAGAATGAAAACTGGAAGTACTATCGATCGATAAAATCTCAACGGGATAGTGACGCTGTCCAAGTTAGGGGTGTGGTTTCGATGGGGAAACTCCGGGAGTTACCCGGGTGTTCCGAACGGCCACTTCGGCATCCACAACTTCTACGTATTCAGCATAAAGTTATAAAAACTAGGTCTGCTTCACATTCGGGGCGTAAGTATTAAGAAGTGTGAGTAACAAAGTGTACAGTCATCAACGACGCGACCTGCGAACTTAGGTAGAGAGTAGTTTGCGAACTTGAGAACAAACCGTAGAAACGATATTGTCACGAGGATAGATGATTGTATGATTCTTTGTGTTGATTGATATTGGATACAAAAGCCAGTATAGTCCGTACGATACAAGCAACGAGCGGAAAACGTTCCAGTCACTGCAAATCACTTCCCTAGATGACAATTTCAACCAATCAAGTCTACAACGAAAGCATCTACGACTCCCAGAAGTCACCAGACAACCACCTGTTAAGCATCTCTAGCGAAGCCTCAGGCTGGTCGTAGGGGACCATGTGGCCACCAGCATGGAGCTTCAGGAAGGTGAAGTTACCGCTGGACTTGACCTGGCCAACGGTCTTGCCGTCACCGTCGATCTTGAAGTCCTCCATCTGAGCCTTCTTGAAGCCCTTGGCACCAGGCCACTCAAGCGCCTCAGTCCAGGCCTTGTTGCCGAGCCAGTTGCAGATGTAGTCGGCATCACCAGCGTAGACGAGGACAGGGATCTTCTCAAGGATACCAGGAACGACACGGTGGAAGGGCTTCATCCAGTCACCCTGGAGAAGGAAGTTGCGGTTGATGTCGAAGTTGCAAGACTCGTAGTTGGAGACCTCAGCGCCGACGGCCTTCATGACCTCCTTCTTGTTAAGGTAGCCCTGTATCCAGTCAAGCTCATCGTAGCAGAGAGAGTTGCTACCGCAAGGCTTGCGGATATCATAGACGTTCTGGCCAGTGCGCTGGTAAGGACCGATCATGGCGTTGTTGCAGTAGATTGATGCAGGCACGCAAGACCAGACGGACTCGGAGTTGTAGCAGTTCTCAATAAGGCTAGCACAGCGGGGGTAGGCGTTGTCCATGGACTGGCACTGAGACTCGTCAAGGACAGCAGGCCAGCCACCCTCACCGCAGGCCATGGGACGGTAGTACTCGTACTGAGTAAGACCATCGGTCAGACCGTTACCGATGAGGACGGACTGGAGGTTGATGTTGCGGTTCTTGTGGGACAAGATCTCGGAGGCGAAGACAGGGATGTAGTGACCGGCGTATGACTCTCCGGAGATGTGGAAGCTCTGGTGCGAGTACTCGGGGAATTGCTTGAAGAAGAGGGTGAGCAGGGCGTAGATGTCCTTGCCGGCAGCGACAGTGTTGCTGACTGAGCCGCTCGAGTATGAGTATCCGACGTTGACGGGCTGGTCGAGGAAGATGACGGAGGCGTTGGCGTTCCACGAGTAGGGGTTGTGCTTGACCTTCTGGTCCTTGGTGATGGAAGCAGGGCCAAGCTCCATGAACAGACCTGTCAGCGAAGAGCAGCCAGGTCCGCCATTGAGCCAGAGCACTACGGGGTCGTTCTTGGGGTCGTTTCGCGACTCAAAGAACCCTGGGATGTATTAGATACAGAGGCGTGTATGATGGCCATGCGGGTACTCACAGTAGAAGAGGTGCTTGTCCTCCTCGTCGTCGTCAAGGTATCCAGAGTACTGCTTGACCTTGTCGACGCCGAGAACGCTGGGGTCGACCTTCTTGGCCCTCAAGCTGTACTGCTCGAGCTTGCCGTCGATCTCGCGCTCCTTCTCGCCGTTCTCGTTCTCGACCCAGACGCTCTGGATGTCGGCGCCCTTGATGATGTGGTCCCACTCGCTGTCCTGCTTGCGCGTGTGCGGCTTGGGCTGAGAGAAGAAAGCGGCCTTCTCAAAGCTCTCGGGGAACATCATGGCGACTTCGTCCCAGACGGCACGAGCCTCACCGGTGAGCGACTTGAGGCTCTCCTCAAGGTTTTGGAGCGGCTTGCTCCATGAAGACTCCTTGAGCTCGCTGAACGAGTCGGGGAACTTCAGGATCTGCTGCTGCTGGGGTGCAACGGCAGCCGAAGCTGCTCCAACGAGGAGCGCCGATGCGGCTACCTTCATGATGATGGTGGTGCTAAGCTTCCGGAGCTGTAGCGGAAGATGAGTAGATGAAGAAGAGTACTCCTACAACTGAATGAAGAAGCACACGATGATGGATGGGGAAGAGGAGAGATGGATGGAGCAAGAGGGATGGGATGGGTGGAGTTAAGTCAAGGTATGGGTAGCTCTTGCGGAGAAGGCGCGGCTTGTCCAGGCAACGGAGCATGACGCATCCCAACAGCTTATCAGAGTGGCTGGACAGTCCGAGCTCCAGCATCACATGGGCTTAGCGTTTCACGATAGCGTTGATCGGCGCGTCTGGCAGGACACCAGACAGCCATGGACAAGTGTCATAGACATCATTACGCTTGCAGCCTCATCTTATGCCGACCGTCTTGGAAGCCGTGGCGAGGTCCTGCTTCCGAGCTGTCTGGGGACGTCGGGAAGCTAGAGCTGGACCTGCATGATCCGGTTTGGGCCTAGCGCACTTTTAGAATCATAGTGCCCGGGTGAACCTGCGCATGTCATCGCGCAGACCCCACCAAAATGTCATGCAACTTTTACAACTTGCGCCTAACATATACACTCCAACCACATCTATATTCACAGTACCCCCCATAATCAGCCACAATGCCTGTCGGAATCAACCAGCCGTCTAATCAAATCAAGCTCACCAATGTGTCGCTCGTGCGCATGAAGAAGGGTGCGCAAACCCCACCAGCACCCATATCTTCCACAAACTAACCACCTGCAGGCAAGAAGCGCTTCGAAATCGCATGCTACAAGAACAAAGTCCTCGAGTGGCGCAACAAGATCGAAAAGGATCTATCCAACGTTCTGCAAATCGAAAACGTCTTTCTCAACGTATCAAAGGGCCAAGTCGCACCCAAAGCCGATCTTGAGAAGGCCTTCCCCAAGAAGTCGCTCGAAGACATCATCACCGACATATTAGACCACGGAGAACTACAAGTAGGCGAGAAGGAGCGTAATGCCGAGTTGGAGAGAACCAAGAATGAGGTCATCGATATCGTGGCGGGGAAACTTGTGGATCCAAAGACAAAGCGCGTCTACACCACGGGCATGATCGAGAAGGCGCTGGATCAGTTAAGCTCGGCAGCGGCGACGCAACAAGGAGATAAGAGTGAGAACAAGGAGGATGGCGAGGACAAAGGCAAGGCCAAGGAAATGCCCAAGTGGTCGGGCATCGTTACGAACAAGTCGGCCAAGTCTCAGGCACTGTTCGCTATGAAGGCGCTTATTGCCCACCAGCCGATACCTGTCGCCCGTATGCAGATGAAGCTGCGCGTTACCTGCCCGACATCTGTCCTCAAGCAAGCCATAAAGACCGCACCCAAGGCGCAAGCAGGCACGGAAGAGAAGGGAACTACCGGCACTGTCAAGGATGCGATACTGGGCTTCATGGAGAACATTGAGAGTCAAGACACCATAGGCGCCGAGTGGGAGGCAGTCGGTCTCGTCGAGCCTGGAGCCTTCAAGGGCTTGAACGAGCTCATCGAGGGCCAGACAAAAGGAAGGGGCAATGTCGAGGTTCTCGAGATGGCTGTTGGTGCCGACGACTGAGTGGTGACACGTCTTGTCAGCGCGCATCGTGCAGGATGCTCGCCCTCACATGCAGCGTCGTTAGAACAGAGATCACCGTCCACAAGGCGAATCCCTGTGCCTTTTGAGGATGAAGCAGTTGCTTTTATGGACGGCAAGGAAAAAAGACAAGCATGATCTTCACGCACGTCTCCTCAATCCCACCGCTTCTGGACCAGTTCCACCAGGCTCGCCCTGAAGCACTGCATGCTGCCATGAGCTAGGGTGTTGGCGCCTTGGAGAAATGCAGATATATAACTACACATTGCTCTAGGAACAAATTGCGCTAGACACGCATGGTAGAGTGAGCGTATAATCAGCTGCCTATAGTTTCAAAGTACAGCAATCCAATCCTGTCCACAACCCTATGCATATCATCAGCCTCACATGACACACCACGACTTCTCTCTTTATTCATTCTGGCGTATTTGCTACTCCAAATCCTCCACCAATGCAGTGCTACCCGCAACGGTTCCGATGCATTACCACAGAGCCACTCGTTGCGGGACAGCTGTTCCCGACCTGCATGACCTTGCATCTTCCCGCATGTGAGTAGCGTGGGGCAGTCAAGCTTGGGGTTTGAGTGACTTGAGTATCGAGCTGGGGTTCTGTGGAATTCCTGTGTGACAGCGGGGAGTGATACTAGTTACGGATTGGTTATTCGCAATAATCAGATAGGATAGCCTTTGTGAATGTGCAAAAGAGTCTTCATTTGATGGCAGTAGTTTACATTTCATGTATGCTGAGCGTAAATTGTGAGATGAGGTCGTTAAGTCGTGCTTTTTCGTTATCGTCTGCGTCCGTTGTCGTTGTGCGTTTCGTGTGCAAGAGTCGTAAGTCGTAATCGTTACCATGCGGATGCCGTACCTGGATCATGCAATGAAACAAGAGAAGAAGAAAAAAACACCCCGCCAGAAAAGAACGTTTGACGGAACAACAACCACAAAGACAGTAATCAAAAGGAAAAAGTATGCAGCGCTGCCTTATCGCTGGAGCCATCTCGTCTTATCCCAGTCATACATTCAGCTCGCTGAACGCGTCCTCTATAGCAACGCCTTGACTAACTCACCGGCTCAATCCCACCATCGCCGATTAGGCACACGCCCGTTGTCACTCAAGATCCCAAGGACATCAGCACTACTTGTCTGTACGCCCCAAACCCGCTCAATGGGATCCGCAATCGCCATCCAGTCCAGACCCCTCACGTCGTACATATCCAGTACTACGCGAACCAGCCACGGTGAGTACATTGGGAAGCTGGTGTCTTGGTAAAGAAATGGGGAAGTTGGTTCTATAACAGCATCGTTGTCATGACTGGTCTGTTGCGCGAATGTTAAGGGGTGAGGACGTGGACGACGACGTCGCGATGAATGCGACGATGGTGGTGGGTTTGTGAAGAACTCTGTCTCGCTTCCAGCCGAACTTGGAGAGCCTGTCGCGGAGGAAGCGGCACTGGATGTGTCGGAGAGGATAGAATCATCGCTCATCTTAGTATTTAGGGGGAGTAGCATTCGGACGGAGCGCATTGCTCCCTGTGCCGCAGCTTTGATGGCATCATAGCTTGAAAGTGTGATGAGCGAGCCAGTCGACTTTGACAGTGGTGATTCTTCAATAGGAGTAATGCTGATACGCGATGATGGTGAGTCGAACGACAGTGATCGTATGCGCACCTTTGGCGAAGGAGTACGTGGTGGTGCTATGAGTGTGGCCATGATGGGGCGCTGACTGCGGCCAGATGGAAAAAAAATCCAGACGAAAGGAGAAAACGCAGAGAAGAGGCCTCGCGCCGGCCTAACGAGTGTCCACACTATCAATAAGGGTTATATCCACAATAGTCACCTCGGACATGCGGCCGTTTCGCTAGCCTTGCATATCGAATATGCAATCATGCCACGACTTCGGCGCCATACGAGGAAGTCACATGTCTTTCGAGTCCTATCCTCTGGAAGAGGCGTCGTAGACTGCGGGGAACATGGGAGTACCGACGAACAGGAGACAATGATACTGCAGATGCCGATGATCGGGAGAGGTCGATATGTTGCAGGATGCGTGGGACAACGCACTCCACACTTGGCGCTTGATCTATCAACCAGATAGGCCACAAAGGACCGACACAGTTAGTTAGGAACGGTTGGAACTCAGGAGGACGTTTTTGCGCGCGACATCCGCCACCGGTCGCAGCTGTGATTAGGATGGTGGTCCATGGCTGTTGGCGTATACGCTCGCGGGATCAAACACAACCAACTTAGACGCCGTTAGCGGACCGTGCCGATGTCTCTACTCACTAAAATCAAGAACCAGTAGTCGGGAAATCATAGTGTGCCGCAAGGTCATGACAAGCGTGGTTGTTGTGTGACATGGTGAGCGAAGTATGGCCGCATACGCGACGTTAGTCCTTCATCACCAATTACTAGGCTTATCTAGGCACGACACAGCTTTGTCCCCGAGATGGCCAATACGGCCCGTTAGGCTGTCGAAAGCGAACACACGTCATATTGGAACAAGTCGAAATTTGAATGTGTGATTTTGGTACAGGCTGTATTCGGCCAACCCTAACCGTGCCGCATCACCTCACCCCATATCGTGCATTGCCGCATGAAGTGTAAGCGTGAAAGCCAATGAAAGCCGTTTGATAAACACCGTAAGTGCACCACCCATTTCGTAAAGGCATGTTCCAGCCCCAGCTGCCCAGCGCAAGCGAAAACCTTTAACCCTTCTTCTTGGAGACACCGACGGTTCGGCCGCGGCGACCGGTGGTCTTTGAGTGCTGACCGCGGACACGGAGGCCCCAGTAGTGACGGAGACCACGGTGAGCGCGGATCTTCTTCAAGCGCTCGAGATCGTCACGGAGCTTGGAGGCGACACCGTTGGCGAGGACCTGGCTGTTCTTGCCATCGACGATATCGCGCTGCCTGTTGAGGAACCAGGAAGGAATCTTGTCTGTGGAATGTCAGTGTTCGATCCCTGCTATAGAAACGGCCGTTGCATACACTGGAGAGGGTTCTGGATGATGGTAACGATACGCTCAAGCTCTTCGGAGGTGAGGTCACCGGCGCGCTTGTCGAGATCGACATCGGCCTTCTTGCAGACCAAGTTGGAGTAGCGGCGACCGACACCAGTGATCTTGGTCAAGGCGTACATGACCTTCTGCTTTCCATCGACGTTTGTGTTCAACAAACGGATGATGTATTGGAAGCTGGTAAAGTCAGCACTGCTTTCATCACACGAGTGTGCCTCCAGTCCTTCATCGCCTCGGTGCGTAGGCCTCCGCAATCGAAAGCCATCGACTACCACAATTGGCCACTCCAGTCCGTACAGCATGCCGGAATCCTCTCCTTGCAGATAGTTCCCCATCATCTTTCTCACAATGCTTGTTGTGTATATTCATCTATCCTCTCCCTCTCGCTGCTCTCGGAATGCTGCTAGACTGGAATGGCGGATCGCGATATTGTGACTTGGATTGGACCAGGCGTATCGAGGCGAAGGAGGTAGCGAACTGAACAGAAATTCGCAGGCTATTGTCTGTACGTACTTAGACTTCTCTCCGGAGACGAGCGCTGTAAGATTGTCAGCATGTCTCTACTTCGAGTGTCTCGACATCGATTGTTGCGACCCCACTTCACGCGCTGGGTGAGGCACACTCGGCGCAAATGATACCGGGGTTGCAACAAGCGATATACATGGACGGTATATGGGTATACTCACACATGATGGCGGCTTGTCGTACGTCGTCGATGTGGTGTTGTCGATGCTCTGGCGGAAATCAAAACGTTCGAAATTCGACCGTAAGCGAGTGCTGGCCAAGACAAGCGGCACGTGCCACAACACTAACCACTTCCGTCATCCCCACCAAACTCCTGCGCTCTGGATGCTCATCGATAGCTCCTGTTCTTTGCATTCATCCATTGTTGCTACTCTGCGCAACCGTTTTCGCAATTTGTCGGCTGCATCACTCGCGCATGACGAATTCCTTCACCGCTGTTGTCGCCGTATTTGCTCGTCCCATCTACCCTGCAAGGAGGATTTGGGGGCTGTGTGCACGAGCAGGAGACATGCTGCCTGGCAATGCAAACCTTCACTATCGACGCATTCGAACATATGACGGCACGTGAGGAAAAAGAACGTCATCGCATTGCAGTGGTAGTAAGAGTGCCATGTTACGACTGCAGTTGCTGCCTGCATTTCCAGGCTGATATGTTCAGCCACACCGTCACTATAATGCTACAGTACGTGTAACAATTTACATTTCACAGTAGACTGCTTAGCGTTGTCCTAACATCTCGTGTTTCGCGCGATGCGCATTCAAGTCGTACTTTGCTTATCCTAAAGCCTGCGTTCGATGCCGTCTTCATACGCTGGTCAGCCCAGATATCTCCTTAATGCGCTCAAACCAAAATTATTGCCTGTCATGCAACCTCTACATCTCATTTTTTTCAATTCATTCAATGCAGTCGCTATGTCACGATGTCATGATTCCAGCCACATCTCTGTCAGCCTCCACGGATCCGTGAGAGGCGAAGCTTCTCCAATATGGCTGCGCCACACTTTGACCTCAACAGTTTTCCTACGCCGTGCAACCATTTGCTAGAATTCATGATGCCTGAAAGTAGGCGTAAATTAGCAGTCGCTGTAGCTGCCTCGCATCCACATATACGCATGACTTTTAAAGGTTCCCACCACCTGTGTACAGAAAGAATATTCGATAGCCCCACCCCAACCTATTCAATACCAATCAGCCTTTATCTATACAACTCCAAGGCATACTCATCACCCTAAACGAACCCTTCTATCTACCGTCCGATTACTGTTTTCTCTGACCGGATCATCTCATGCATCAAGCGAAGCATTGTCCTGGGCAATACAGTCGCGGAACTCGGTTCATCGCTTAGCCACGGCCAAGAATCGAGAACTGCCTCTCAAAGATGGACTCTCAGGCCCCCTCCATCATCCCAGGTGGGCCTTCCAACAATGTTGGGCTTACTACGGCAACCATTCCTATGGTCGAGCTTGCCAGACATGACACCGCGTCGTCTACTGGAAGTGCAACTCGATTGTCTGAAGGCCATTGGGCACTGAACCTCAGTGGCAACTGCTCGAGCTGCCACCATCACCACAAATCTGTGCAGGTGCGTGTTCGTGTATCGGGCGACTCTACTGAGGTCGGCGACGTCCGTTGTGACAAGTGCAAAAAGTTGTGGATAGCCTTCGGAAAAGGAAATGTCAGGCGATTGTCTCTTCTTTCTACGAAAAGCATAGACCCGGAGTCACTTGAAGCTGAGACTGAGTTCCACGGCGCCCTGGTCCGTATCATTAAGGCTGCGAATTCCATCGCGACATTGTCTCCTACTCTTACGGCCATCCCAGAAGCCGCATCGGCCGGTCCATCACGAGAGACTTCTGTACGCTCGACTACTCGTAGTTACATTCGGCAGCGCTCAAGAGCCATAGGCAGCGACTCGAGGCCAGTATTTGCCGACTCCAGCAGTAAAGCTAGAGCGCCAGGTCTCAGCCGGTTGACCAGCCAGAAGCATACGAAAACTGGCCAGCTTCAGGCGTCCAAGGGTTGGCACACCTTCCTTCGTCTCAGACACAAATTTGTAGCAAAATTTCGCACGTCGCGATCCATTCCTTACGAGCCGCGGATTCAAAGCGAGGATTGTTCCGACGAAAGCCATCATAGCCAGATTCAGTTGCCTTTACCAAGAGTTGTAGCGCCTAGTATAGCACCTTTATCATCTCCAGAGGACCGCACAGAATACCGCGTTGAGATCGATGACGAGCCTAACCAGGATGCTCTCGATGTCTGTACCTCGTCAACTACCGCCGCGGGTGCGCTAGCTTCGCTTGAAGCTCTCGACGTCCAGGCCATCCAGAATTTACACCCAGACAGGCGTTTCGAATGGGGCCGCAGTCAATTGGCAGAATTTAGAGCTCGCTACGCTGGGTCTACCGTCCCGGCCGCTATCCCTGTCATGGTCAACAATGGAACTCAATCGAGCTCTTCCGAAGACTTGCTGTTACTTAACCGACCGTTTGTCAGACGCCACTCCGCCTTAGCCTACGTCGGAAACACCTTCGGCACTAGTGAGTACTGGGATGCCTTCCGGGGCAGTACTCTTAACCTTAATGGTCGCCCACTTAGCATGAGTGAAACGAACTTTTCAGACGCTGACACCGCTGTTGAACGAACGAGCATCGCCCCTATGCCACATCAATTATTCATTGAGAGCTTGCAACGCGAGCGCCGTGGATCAGGATCTTCGCGTCCTCTCTCAATGCACGGTATTGTGAACGACTGGCAGCAAGTACATCGGAACAGAGCGGAGGCTCGTCTATCGACTGACTCGGCTGCGACTGGAAATGCTGTCAGGAACATCACTACGACAAGGGGGCGTGCAAATAACCGTCTCTCCCGCAGTTCGATGAATCGAGTGCCCTCCGTTTATGGTATAGAACCACAAACTTCGCGAGTCCAACTCCGAGTGGACGAAGAAACTGAGAATCCAGAGGCACCAGCACGTGTAGGTTCATCTCCTTCATCGCCACCGATGTCTGGAACCGATATCAGTCCACAGGGTTGAACGCTCAATACAATCAAGGATCTCCTAATGCTTCTAAACAGTGTGAACTTGAAACACCTGTTTCGCGATGTCTTTCCAACTGTCAAGTTCCTTTTCGTACACCATACTATCTTGGTTCACGATGATCTCTTTGGTGGCACCATCATCACGTTGCGCGTTTCCGATCTTTCGCTCTCTACTACTACGAGTCAAATGGCCTGGGACGCACTCTTTCAACCACGATTACGGTTTACGATATGTTCATTCGCTTTAGTTTTCATAAGTACAGATAGAAACATATGGTTTAGTCTTCTCACAGCCAATAACCGTTCCTTAAAGCAGTCTCCTAATCCAGACCTTCTTTTTCGCTATAACTTCATCTATTTGTGTTCCGCATTGGCCAGGTTTGGTGAATCGGAGGAGAACTATCCCAAGACCTAGGACTGAGTGAAAAAACTATGCCAAAGATATGATCGCCTGTAGATTGCAAATCATTTAACCACCCGGCTGCATTTGTATCCGAACTTGAGTACCTCCTTCAGCTTTTCGCCCAAACAGAATCGACTAGTCTCCGCCCAACTCAACCTCAAACCAACTGACACCATGTCGCGACCAAGAGATGCCCAGACCTTCCTCTCTTCTCTCGAACCTCTCGAATGCATCATTTGTACCCTGGCATTCGACCCCAGCCATCCTCCCGTCATGCTCGAATGCCGGCACGTATTTGGCGAAAATTGCTTGAAGGAGTGGGTAGAGCGCGACAACAACTCGTGTCCTACATGCCGCAGGTCACTTTTCGGAGAAGAGGATACTGTTTCATCCACCCAAGAAGTCCAACAGTCACCAGTCGGAGCACTGACAGGGGTTATGCGCGTAATGTCGCAGAACTCCGGTTGGAGCAGACGACTCCGCGTGGCTCAGCGTATGGACTGGCTAGTTTCCAGGTCGGAACGTATTATTTCTACTTTACGGCAGCTACCCGGACAGGCGAGGGTCATATCAGATCTCCTTCGACTGAACCGTGCAGCTCAGCGCTCCCATGTTGCTCAACCTCGAAATCGTTTGCAGCGTAACCTACAACTCTACCCACAAGTTCAAGAGGACCGTAGAGTTGCTCAGGCACTTCAAGCTGTAGAAGACAGAGAAAACACGCGTCAGACCGCTCACCATACAACTAATCGCGATAACGGTACACGTCTGGCCGATAGAAAAGTTTGGAATCGGTACCATGGCCGTGTACAAGCCCAGCGAGACCACGACCGAACGGCTAATCTCAGCGGTCGACAGAATCCCACACCTTTCCGGGTACGTCACGGTCACCGAGGAAGCCAGGTGCAAACACATGTCAATCGCCCCTCAAATTATCGTTCTCCTTCACCACCAGGTATGACGTATTATGGATACGACTTCACATGGGAGACAAATGGCCTCTTTGATGTAGCGTTCGAGCCCAGTTGTGGGATACATGGTAGACATGAGGTTTACGAATCTCCATTTGATGTGTACCGTGCTGGGCGGTTTCGGAGCGCGGCGCTGTATGGCTTGTATGATGCTTATGATTTGTACTCGGATCGTTAAAGGGAGGGCAGGAGGATTGTCATAGTGCGTGATGGACTGAGTAGGAGATGATACGTTAAACCCAAGGAGGAGTCGGTAGAGTAAGGATGAAGAGGAGAATGATTTCTTCGCAACAAGTGGAATCTTACTGAAAAGTAATAGAGTTGAAGTTTTCTCCCAAGCCCATACTCTACAGCTGCAGTGACTTTGATTGCAGTAGCATATGGTACGTTTATGTGAAATATGACGCAAGGCCGTTTTTGCACGAGTATAGTAGTGTCGAGACTGTGGTCACAAACATACTGAAGTCGACGTCGCTTTCGTTGAACAAAAATATCTAACTTAATCTATGGTGTACATTGCCTCTACGCAAGCTCTCAAAGAAGCCGGTACCATCCATTAGTGCTTCTTACCAATCATCAATCATATCATTAAACTCCTCACTCTCCACATCCATGACTTTCCTCGCAGCCTCACTTCCACTAACTGGTAACATTTCCAGTCCATCTTCTTCGTCATCCTTCTTCTTGAATTCCTTCGGCACCTCTTCAGGGTCCAACAGACCGACCTGGAATAATACAGAAGCTTGGTCCCAATAGACCCTCTCAGACCACACCTTCCCCGCTCTGAACCCAACGATGCTCACCACTACTATCTCAACTTTCTGGTTCGTGGGTTCAACGCCGGGAAGGATCCACGGCATCTGGCAGGTATGCTTGAATTGGATATAGAGTTCATCTACAATCTGGTCGACGCCGATTGTGCGCGAGATAAGCCGCATGTGTAGCGACGGTGGAGAGGTTTTGAGGAAGTAGTCGCGATAGAAGCGCTTTAGGTCCGGAAGTCCGCTTCCACCGGTCATGGTTGGTGTGAAGTTGATGTAGGGTGTGGGTTTCTTGGTGTAGGTTTCTAGGAGTTTATCGAGGGATTTGCCGCGGTATTTTTCTGTTTGGTGTCAACTCTTTAATGAATAAAAGTGATGGGGTGGTTGTGCGTACGCTCTTCGTTTTCCTCCAAAACCCGCTCCAAATCCACCTCGGCGCTGAAACCCTTACGAACCGTACTCAAGCTTCTACTCCAAGCGAGTGCATCGGCGACGGCGTCGTACTGATCCAGATCATGTTCAGCGAACCCGGCATCTACGCCTTCATACGTAAAGCAAGGGTACAGGATTTTGTCTTGTAAACCCCCTGCACCAATGCCGTGTGTAACGCGCTTCTGCACCGTTTTCCGTTTGCCTTGTATACCTAGGACTTCGGGGCGACGCGTCACGCCGATGGTGGTATCGTTGTCGGATGTACCTTCAGCAAGATGTACGAGCACGCGGAAGGAGGACGTAAAGCGATGTCGCGTATCAGGAATGGAGGTTGGGTAGTAAGCGATAAGGGAGCAGAGTTTCGAGGTCGCAGTCTTGGGTTCTGAGAAAACATCTAGACATACGGCTGCAGCGTCACCGAAGGCTATATGCACATAGTCAGTACGTCTCTTGGAAAGTATTGGCGCACACGACATGCGCCGGGCTACGAAAGGGTTGTTTACCTACGATCGCGTACCGCTCGCCAATGCCCATCTTGTCGCCCAACTTGTGCAGCGTTTGCACATATTGCTTCCCGCCTTTTCCGAAGGGTATGTATTCAACAATGAAGCCCTCATCGCGCCATGCCTTCATCGTCTCCATATCGAACTCGGTATCTTCGGCGGTGATGTACAGCACAGGAGTGCTGCTCCTGAACGACAACCAGCCATTGCGGTCGGCAAGGAATTGTTGCGCCATAGTGTTGTTCAGAGTTGTAATCGCAACGGCATGCGCACTCACGCGATGGTTATGGTAGCTCCACTATTGGCAAGCGTAGCTATCCCGGTTCCGTGTTGGTTCCGACCGATGATGGATGAGATGCTATCGACGGCGTTTCGCGATGCGCAATGTCAGGGTGACCATGGATGTAGCGGCGCATTGTCGGTGTGGCCTCACAAGAATCCTGTTGGAAGCTGGTTGCATGAGGGGCTTCAGTGGAGTCGTGTCGGCGTGTCCTCCAATTCGTGTATGACGTAGGGCCTGTAAGCCTCCAAATCTCCTTCGGGTTTAGCCAGGAGAGGAAGTCTCGGCAACACCATGGTTCCTGATCTCGTTGTTCATCGTCCTAAAGTGTTAATCCTGGTTCACGCCACAGATGGCCATGGCATATCTAAATCCCATGGACATGCAGTCAACAACGAACATGCGGTATGCAATGCGCCAGAGGATTTGTGACATAGGCTACAGCAGCCAATGAACCAATTGCCCTGCCCTGGTGCCTAATATGTAACAAGGATAAACGAGACAGTCAACAAGCATCGTCACACCCTTCAGTTTCTTCCTCTCTCCCTTCATTGTTTGTGACTACGACATGTCTGACTACGAAATGAAGCGTATGGCGACCTGGGAACCACATGGCTCAGACCTCACAGTAGCGAAGCGACCGCGCAGGTATGATACCATTCGGTTTGATCCATCTTGTCTTGCTAAGGCTTTGTAGTGTGTTAAACCGAGACAATGACTATCGATTCTGGGGCCTAAACGACGAAGATAGCGCTCGGGTCGTTGGTCTCTACAATGAAGGAAGATTGCTCATGGCGGAGTACAACAGGCTCCAGAAAAACACCGAAACGAGGCAGAAGCTGCTCAAAGATGCAAGTGAGACTGACGACTGGGATTATGTGTACCAGTATGACGTGGATTTCGAGTATGATTCTGATGGTAGTGCGGCTGAAGTAGAACAGCTCAGACTTGCAAAACTCGAACATGTGATGGACATGGATGACGAGCTCCGTAATCTGATGAGAGAGTTAGAAGCCGCCGAGAGTCGCGTTGATAACGTCGCTACGGCGTGCGCAGATCTACAGCTACGTCCGTCGTTTACGGCAATTATCCTTGCGAAACTTCCTCGCGAGCTTCGAGACCTGGTTTACGACTATCTCTGGACGGAAGATCACGTCGAGAGCATGGACAGAGCTTGCTCGTTTGCCCCTGCCTGGTATTTCTCGGATGAAGCTGCCATAAATGCACCGGATCTGCCTGTACCGCGTTTCGCAAACGCCACTTTCGTGGGTGTGGACTTCGCATCCGAAGCTGCGGCTAGGTACTTCAGAGTTCTGTCAGGTACAGAGCTGGATTATCGCTATGTACGTGCCCATATTGAACGCGACCATCTTGGTCCCATGGCTTTTGCGGTCAAGGATGACATCCGGCGTCTTGTTATCACGATCGATGAGAGCGGTGGGACTATCTATACAGGCAGAAGAATAGCCTGTAGAGCTCTGAACGATAGTATGAATAGCCTGCTCATGCTGAGAGACCATCAAAATCTCAGCGTGAGAATCTACCTGGAATCGGATATGCAATGGAGCTTGGCATTCTATCAGGCTCTCGAAGTCATCAAGCCTGTGTTCTTGACATTCCGCGAAGCCAACATCGACATCAAGGTTCTGGGCTATGACTTCTTCAGCACCACCGAAGACGATGATACAGACATCTTCTCTGAACAACTCAACTATTACCTCACGGCCCGTACGCCGAAAGAGTGGCTCGACATGAAAGCCAAGGAGATCAAAGAGATACCAAGGGGACCGCTTCGGCAGCGATGCAAACGGGTAAGAAATTGACACCACGTAATGAGACAAAGCTGAAACTAGTTTTAGACGCTGAGAATTATGCGAAAGAACCTTGAGTTCTTTGTGCTGGACAATCGCAAGGCCGCTGCGTCTGCTACAAAGAGTTTGTGACTATGATATGGTGCTACCACTTTGGCAGACGGAAGCTCTTACCATCAAGTTCTGACTTCAGGCGTGCCAGTAGTGTACTTTTGGCATTACACATCATGTATTCTCTCGAAGCGTAGATACCGGCATATCCAGGACGAATACATAATATTATCGATCATCAGAACGCCAAATTAATACCATCTAAGTCGAAATCACAGCTTCGCTCTGGGGGCTTCCCCGTCATGATTCCATCCTGGCATATCTGCAAGATCTTTCGCACGCGCCGCCCTTCGCGACTTCAGCGCATCGCCGGTACCGGGACGCCATCTCCACGCATGCGCTAGGTCGTCTGCTAATGTGCCCTCTAGTAGCTCGACCACATGCTTACCGATGTTAGGTAGAAGTTTGAAGGTGTGACTAGACATGGTGTTAGTAAAATGTGAAGACGTACAGTACATTAGGATCAAGACCTACCCACTGTCACCCGTGGCCAAAACAAAGTTCTTCCACTCAGGATGTTCGCACATCAATAGCGCCGCATCTGCCGTATCAGTACACCAACACAGATGCCTGTTGAACAGTTCCTTTTCTGTGAACTTGGGCAGGAACGTCGCGATGGCCTTGCGGATACTGACTTCCGAGGCATCCGGATAGGTATCTGTGGGGTGCTTTGCAGCAGATCGAGGCACAGAAATGCGCTTTGGAGCCGATGCGCCGAAAGGTTGATGCTGCTTGAAGCGCGTAAAACCTGGAAACTCGTCACAGACTTTGATGACGCCGTATTCGTCAGGCTCGAAGAAGAAGCCCACGTCGCCATTATAGACTACAGGAACATTTTTGTATTCCGCTGCCTCGCTCGGGGACAGTTGGATATGAGCGTATACCCATGCCTGGTAAATGTTAGATGTGAATATCGAACAATTGAGTTGCGGCAACATACTTTCGACACACATTGGTCTTGTAGATCGACCAATACAGGACTCCACGCACCAGCCGCCAACACAACCTTGTCAGCATAATATCTCGTCCCGTCAACTGTCTCAACACCAACACAAACCCCATCGGCAAGAAGAGGCTGCTTGAATGATCCTGCTCCGCCAAAGCCAAACTTGACGCCTTGATCGCGCAGAAATCTACCGATAGCGTTGATGGCTTTTGCCGCAGCGAGCCATCCGCCGTCTTCGCTGAAGACGGCTTTCCATCCTTTGATCTGATCGCGATTGAGAAGCGGCATCTTCTCAAGAATCTTGTCCTCGGAATCTAACCATTCTGTCGTCGCCTCCAGGCCAGCGTTCGCATCAAGAAGGGCTTGGTAGGCTTGTTTGAGATCTGCAAGGCCTTTCTCGCCATGTGCGCAGTCGAGCTGTAGACCTTGTTAGCCTTGAACATGTATTTGCCTCATTATCATTGCTTTACTTACCCGCCCGGTTTTATGAAAGTACTCCTTGAACAGATCGTCTTCTGTCCACATTTGTCTCGCCTCTAAGCTCAACTGCAAATCCACCTTGTTTCGCAAACGGATACCCATGATCTTGTTCAAGTCATTGCCAGCTGATTGCGCTGATGGAATTGGATAAGTGTCCAGAACCGTGATATTCGACGGTGTGTATCCCGAGCGTACGAGATGAAGGGCCGTTGAAGACCCAATGGTGCCGCCACCACCCACGACGATGACAGAAATATTAGCTCTGTTAGGTGCCATTTTGGAGCAACAATATCTGTTACGCTTGAGACAGCTCGCGTGTTGGAGTATTAAAGAGCGATGCCGGAAGTCGTTATCAGTATCGACCCACGATGCAATCCCGCCGGTTAAGTATCGCTCAAGGCTGCACGCGCCACCAGCGGAACAATACGATGGCGATTCATTCTCCACACGTCAGATGCGAGCTCGGGAGGTTTCAATTGAGTAATTGAGGCCTGCCGTCCCAAGTATCGTCGGCCTCCTCGCTTGGTGATCCCAACTGTTAATTTATCCAAACAGGGTTAGGTTGGCAGACGTCAGCGGTGCGTAAAGCCAGGGCTATCTCCGTTCTCGCCCGGCTTGCGCATCAAATGAGACTCTTCCTTCATGCTCCATGTCGCGATAACGCGAACTGGTCTATGCGGCTGCACTGCGATATCAACAGACCTCAGCTCATACGAACGCAGCACTCGACCCGCGGAGCACTCTGCGCCTGACTCGTGTGCTGTAATCCAAGGTAGCAACTCGGAACCGAAGCCTTGCAAAGCCCTACATTCCATGTCTAGCGCAAGCTTACCATTCCTTAACTATGCTAGTCAAAACCTCCACTTTCCCGACTGTTCGCACTTCCGCATTCAGTCTAGTCTATACGCTCATCCAGACTGTCTTTTCCCTCGGAAACCCGTCTATCAGCGAAGCCATCGACTCCACAAGTCACTATCAGCTGGGTCCATCGGCGGGAACGACTCGCTTTACCCCAGGTTGGGGTAAGTTAGGCCCGAAATCCACAGATAAGCCGGGATCCTGGATGCGTGGATGGACGGCAGGTGGGAGATATGTGTGGGATGCTATGTGGTGTATATAAAGGTCGCGTGCTATGCTTTTGATCGCACTCCAGCTCGGAGCTCAATTCATACTTGTCTCGATCCCTTTCCGATCTTCCCTATAGGAGTCTTCCAAGATGTCCAAGTTCGACGCTGCCCCTCCCAATACACATGCTGGTGGCGATGACGATGCCCTTCGCACGAAGGGTAACGACCCGCTCAACGCCCCTCCGACATACGAAATGGCCGATGAAAGGGTCAACATGGAAGAGTATGCCAGGACAGTGCCAAAATGGAAGAGAATCTGGCAACACAGCTTGACGCAGATGCTGTTACTCAGCGTGCAGGCTTTCTGTGGTCCTGCCATGGCCGATGCTATCGCCGGTAAGCCCCTTGTCAACGTACCAACTCGTAGTAACCCGAGCTAACACGACTTTAGGTCTCGGTGGTGGTGGTCTCGCCACTCCCCAAACCTCGAACATCGCAACCGCTGTCAACTACACTATGCTGGCTGTCTGCTGTGCTCTCGGAGGACCTATAGTTAACAAGCTTGGAACGAAGTGGGCATTAGTCATTGGGGCTTGCTCATTCCCAATCCGAGGCTCTTCTTACTATTGCAACTCCAAGTTCGGAAACCAGTGGTACTTGATTTTGGGCGGCTTCTTCACTGGTATCGGCACCGGTACTTGGTATGTCGCTGAGTCGGGTACCATTATGTCTCTTGCACCATCTGGATCTCGTGGAAAGTACTTGGCGCTTTGGATCGTTGCTCGGAACTTGGGACAGCGTAAGTGACCCTGTATGAACTGCATGTGAGACATACACTGACTTCGTACACCTACATTTAGTGGTCGGCGGTGCTATCAAGTGAGTTTCCCTACTTCAAGATATAAACAGCAATAGCTAATATCTGTGCTATAGTCTGTCGAAGAACCACGAGAAGGGCGTAGTCGGAGGTGTAACACCCGATACCTATGTCGCCTTCCTAATTATCGAATGTATGGCCTTGCCATTCGCCTTCCTCATCTCACCTCTTGAACGAGTCGTACGCTCGGATGGAACGCGTATCCTGGTATCGGAGAAGATCGGCACCAAGATGGAGTTCAAGCAAATCAAGATCACCATGACCTCGAAATTGATCCTACTATCTGCTTTCTGGGCCATATGGTCTTTCTTCTACAGGTTCGTCAATATCGCCCAATACTGGCATGAACACCTACTAACAAGGCACCAGTGGTACATGGTCTACTTACCTTGGTACCTACTTCAGCGTCCGCGCCCGCGCTCTCTCCTCTCTCATCTCGCCTTTCTTTTGCATTGTTGGATGCTTCGGTTTGGGCTTCATACTTGATCTCAAGGGCGTCAGTCAACGACGTCGCGCTCAGATCGGTCTCTTCACAGTTGTGCTCCTCAATCTTGGCGTCTACATCTGGTCAATTGTTATGCAAGCTCGTTTCAATAGCAACAACCCAGGCAAGATCGACTGGGACGACTCGTTGTATGCGCGTTCATTCCTGCCATACTTCTTCGTCCAGACTACGGGTCCTCTGTCGCAGTCGTACATGTACTGGTTACTCTCTTCTTTCGCAACAGACGCTCAAGGTATGTCTCCTTACTCAACAGCCCTTATAGGTCAGACGCTGACAAGATATAGCCAACGTACGTAACGGTGCAGCTTTCCGCTGTCTTGAAGCAATCGGACAGGCCATCTCCTACGGCATGAACACGCAGATCAAGACGTCCCCCCTGATCGGCTTCTGTGTTACTTTCGGCTTGATGGCTCTGGCTCTGGGTCCGATGCTCGTACTGGTGAACTCGACGCCAGATCGTATCCCTGCGGATGTGATTGCGGAAGAGCAGTGCCGCGAAGAGAAGAAGATTGGAAATGTTGAGGTCGAGACCAAGGTATGAGGCTTACCTAGTGAAGCTTGGTTTGATGGGTGTTGGAACAGGACTTTCCACGTGAACGTGACATAGACGCAAATGAAACGCCTAATCTGAAAATAACTCTGCCAATTTGGAATCCTACAGTTGTCTGGCTCGCAACTCAGGGTCCGCCGTTGCCGATGGGGTGTAAGACAAAGAAACGCGCAAACGCACCGTGAGCCATTGATGTCTAGCCACCTCGTCATCGCTAGCAGGGTGTTACATGAACACTATCTCCCCTTTTACCCATTCCATTGACGGGCATCGACATGCTGCAACAGGAATCTAGCTTTTTTCCCAGGTCACTTTGTGCACAAATTATGCACCCGGGTTCAGCAGTCCAGTAAGATTAGCATCAAGTCGAGAGACTTGTCTCTCTGGTGCTAGCGTACCACCGTATCTCTTTCTGGTATATCTCTTCTTACAGACTGACCCCGCGGCAAGGGCCGGATACCAATATAAGCAAACGCCGAGACTTGTATGTCAAAGCTTGACGTAGCTGATGAGCTCAGCACTAGCCAAATGAGGAAGTCGCACGATCTCAGATCAAGGTCACACAAGTAGTTTGAGAAAGACGCGCAGACTCACGGATGCTGATTTGATGATGTAAGTAAGAAACCTGGGCTGTGCGTGCTGACTTGGCGGGATACTCTACCGGCCAGTACTTTTGCGATGCAGGCAATGACTAGATGAAGAGTAGACAAACGAGTGGTATATGAAGGTGCGTCTGCACTGAAATCTGTGTTTCGTTTTAGTGATACTACAGCAGTTAACACTACCTCCAAGTCAACAACATGGGTTCCGCAACAGAAAATGGGGAGGAATACCCTCAAGGTCAACTCATGGTGCATGCCATTGAAGAAAAGGCACGATGGACACCGAACAACATATACATGCGATACGCATTGGAAGACTGGGAGCAGAACGGTTACCAAACCATTACGTGGAAGCAGTATGCCAACGCCATCGATAAGATGGCTTTCTGGTTTGACGAGCAGCTCGGCAAGGCGGTGGATCGCGATACGGTTGCTTACTTTGGGCCGAACGATCCCCGATATGCCATCTTGGTGCCGGCCATCATTAAGAACGGGCGGAAGGTCAGTGTTGAGTTGTTGGATGTAACCTCCTAGCTGACAGTTTCCTCAGTTGTTGATTCCGGATGGCCGAGTGAACAACGAGGGGCTTGCGGACTTGATTGCATCGACCAAGTGCAAAGTGTGGCTCTATGCGGAAGACGATGCTACAGGACCATTGATTGGACCGGAATCAAACTTGAGGATATGCGCGTTGCCGTCGCTGGAGTGGATGCTTGATGGCAAAGGGCAAGAGCGGTACACATACGAGAAAAGCTTCGAAGAGGCCAAGTGGGATGAGATAGTCATCATCCATACATCCGGAACTACGGGTAAGTTGAACAGAGGCCTTTCTATGAAGCAAGCTCATCTTTTCTAGGCAATCCCAAGCCCATTTTCCATACCAATGGCATGTGGAGCGCGCTGAAAAATGTGCCCATACTTAGCCGAAGACACTGGCCTCGAGGCATTGCATATGAAAGCTGGATAGGAAAGACAGCCCTCAATCCATGTCCGCCGCAATGGGTAGCCGGCCTACATGCGATGATTATGGCACCAGCATTCCTCGACGCTCCATGTGTGATGATGCCTAGAGGCGAAGTCACCCTAACACCCGCTCTGTTCAAGAAGATCACGTCGATGAACAAGATCGATGGCGTGAAGTGTCCGCCCTTTACTATTGCTGGCCTCTATGAGGACCTAGCAGCTAGGGAGATCTTGAAGTCGCTGGAGTTTGTTGTATACGTTGGCGCACCCTTGAACCGAGCGATTGGTGACGACCTCTACCAGCATACGCGGCTAAGTCCAGTCATTGGCTCTACGGAGACTGGAGATCAGATCGACATACGGCCAGCGGACAGAAAGCTTTGGTATACTCACGACTTCGTTCCGGAAAATGGTCACAAAATGGTGCCTCTCGACATGGAAAATTCGGATGATCTCCATGAGCTCATTCTGCAGAATGCCGAAGATGGACGTACCAATCCTTTCCAGCTCGCCTTCTGGAACTCAGGGCATCGGTCCTTGAAGCGTATCGAAACTAAAGAGCTCTACAGACCTATCAAAGATTCTGATGGTCGCACACGATGGGCATTTACCGCCCGCAAAGACGACCTGACGAAGTTGAGCTGGCTCGCAAAGTTTCATGCGCAGGACATTGAGAGCCGAATTTTGCAACATCCGAAGGTGCAAAATGTGGTAGTAGGTGGAGAAGCTCGGCCTGCACCGTACGTTATTGTCCAAGTAAAGGAGGGAGTGTTGGACGAGAAGAGCGGGGCACAGATGCTTGACGAGCTGTATGATAGCGTAATTGCCGGCGCCAACAAGAACGACATCGATGAAATCAGAATCCCAAGGGAAACGGTTATGACGGCGAAGAAAGAGAAGCCGCTTAAGGTCAGCTTCAAGCAATTGGTGCAGAGGAAAGCTGTCGAACAGGACTACCTAGAGGAAATTGAGCATGCATATCTGCTGTTGGAGAGAGCCACCAAGGTGTAGCCTCATCTGAATGCAACTTTGCGAAGTCCTGCAGACTCTTATTTGTTGCTTGTCGTTTGGTGTGGGTGTGTGTCCTATGTCGAGTCAGCCAAACCTAGGAAAGCGCGACCACTGCATCGGCAAAACGCGCTAGCTGTGAACCTCGGCATATTGAGGTAATGATGTCGGTCGTTGCGGTTGACTTACTCCGCATTTAAAGAAGGCCTGCCATAAACACTGAGCTCTCTTCTCAGGTGATGATTTACAGCCCTTGATCTACTCTGAAGTCACAAGCAATCTTTCCAAGCACAATGTCCTACTCTAAACGCGTCGATCAGATTGCAGGCCATCTCAACTACCCTAAGGGTATGTTGGCTGGCCAAACTGCCATTATCACAGGTTCTGGACAGGGAATTGGCGCAGAGGCCGCGAAGCTGTTTGCCAAAGAGGGTGCGAAAGTCGTAGTTGCAGACGTGGATGCTAGTAAGTCGAAGCAGATGTGGCATCCAAACATGGACTAATAGCTCGCAGAGAAAGCGGAATCTGTAGCCTCGGAAATTAACCAATCTGGTGGCAGCGCCATCGCCGTAGCAGGCGACGTGCTTGACGACGCCTACGTGAAGAATCTCATCTCCAAAGCCGCTGAGTTTGGAGGCGGCAAGATTCACATTATCGTGAACAATGCCGGCTACACCTGGGATGGTGTCATCCACAAGATGACGGACAAGCAATGGCACACTATTGTCGACCTACACGCGACAGCGCCATTCAAGATTGTGAGGGCTGCAGCACCGTACTTTAGGGTTAAGGATGGCGAGCCAAGGAACATTATCAACATCTCGAGCACGAGTGGCGTGAATGGCAACGCTGGACAAATCAACTATGCGCTGGCCAAGGCAGGAGTTACTGGTATGACCAAGACGATTGCGAAAGAGTATGTGTCTGTCTCTCACTCTACCATGTTCCTTCTAACACAGCTTCAGATGGGGCCCTCAATTCGGCGTGCGTGCAAACACGGTAGCTTTCGGACACATCCAGACACGCTTGACAGCAGCAAAGGAGGCTGGCGCTTTCATCACCACACCCGACGGCGAGAAGGTAGCGCTAGGTATACCGCAGGCGCAAAAGGCGGGCGCCGGGCAGGGCCAGGAACACATGGATATTCCGCTGAGGAGACCTGGTACGGCGACCGAGGCAGCGAGTGCCGTGTTGGCGGTTGCGAGTCCGCTGTTCAGTTATGTGAACGGAGAGACGATCAAGGTGACTGGCGGACGGAATATGTAGAGAATGCACAAGCGTTGTGTGACATTTGACAAACGTGCTTCGAAGCTCAAACACTTGCTGTGGTGATGAAAGTCGCAAGGGTAGTGTGCATTGTTTCAACTACCAAGCATCTTGGACAGGGTCTCGGCGCGCATGTTCCGCTCCGGTATCCCCAGATGCATCTGCGACCAGTCTGCCGCAACATCCAGACAAGACGTAGCCCCTCGTCCACGTCCTTGTTGCGTGTACTGCTACATTTGCCGTCACTCCTTATACCCTTCCACCATGTACATGCGCAATCGATAACCCATTGCACCAATTACCCTCTTAAGCATCCGCCTACTCATCATTCGCTTCTTGCGGACCATTCACCGCGGGCGAGCATCCCCTACCACGACTTCGCGCAACACGTGTACGACGACACCCTCTCCCTGCCACTAGCTCGCCATGAGCGACGAGAAGCATGGCTACGTCCGCGAGCCATCCCCGCCACCCATCCCCACATACGACGAGGCAACTTCCTCGCGCAATGCCCCTGCGCGCCTTGGACCTAACGAGACCAGTGACGATGCCGAGCGGCAAGGCCTCCTGAGCCCGGACGTTCGTGTACAATCGGATCCGCGCAGGCGCAACGGATACTACCAGGCACCATCAGTACAGTCGGTGGATGAGGATGGCGACTCGGATCTCGGGAGTCCGGTGCGGGAGAGCCAGGACGAGGATCTGCGCCAGACAATGGAGGAGATGGACATTCTGGACCCAGAGGCTGTCGAAGAGGGACGGTCGAGGCGGAATAGGTCAAGAGGGAGGTTCTCAAAACGCTTCTACAGCATCAGACATTCACTCTCGAGTTGGAACCTGCCCCGGATACCCTGGCCGAGCTGGCGTCCCAACTTCAGCGCTGTAACGGACCATATCCCTACGATACCGGAAGAATATAAGCCAGGATGGTCCATCATGGCGCGATTGTTCGGTCTCATCCTCATCATAATTCTGGTATACTTTCTCGTCGTCAGCGAGGTGGTGCCCATGGGTGGTGGGTTCGGCACGCCATTTAACCCCGAGTCGGTACGATCGACGGCTATGGAGAGCGTCGAGAGCTGGAGAATTGAGAAGAATCTCGAGTACATCACGAGCTACGACCATATCGGGGGCACTGAGGGAAGTTACGTGCTGGGGCAGTGGATTGAAGGCAAATTCAAAGATGCGCATATGGATACATATACCCACGATGAGTATGTTGGGCATTCGAGCCATTATTGGGGGCTACGCTAACTGGAGCAGATACTACGTATACATGAACTATGCGAAGAAGGGCGGCCGGAAAGTCGCCATCGTCGATCCACCAGAGAAGAAATGGGAAGCCAAACTCGAAGAGCCGTCCGTCTTCAATCCCGCCAAAGCGCAAACGCCCGCCTACCACGGTCTATCTGCGAGTGGGAACGCTACTGGGCCCTTGATATACGTCAACTATTGCGATAAGAAAGACTTCAAGCGGTTATGGGATAGCGAGGTGGACGTACAAGGTGCAATCGTGCTTTGCCGATACTACGGGACACAACCAGACCTAGCCATGAAGATCAAATACGCGCAAGATGCCGGAGTTGCGGGTGTCTTGGTATACTCGGACCCAGCAGATGACGGCTTCAAAAAGGGCAACCCATGGCCAGACGGCAAATGGCGACCTGGAGACAGTGTCCAGCGAGGATCGGTCGCACAGACAAACATGATCATGGGAGACGTTCTTACGCCGGGACTGCCGAGCGTGAAGAAAGTGGAACGCATGCCCCGAGACAAGAACTCAGCATTACCCAAGATCCCAAGTCTACCACTCTCCTGGAAGGATGCGCAGAAGCTGCTCAAGTCGTTAAAAGGCTCAGGCGAGCAGCTGCCAGATGAATGGGTCGGTGGCGTGCCGGATGTTGGCGGCAAATGGTTTTCTGGTCATCCAAAGACTTCCCCAAAGGTGTTCCTACAGAATGACCAGGATGAAGTCGAACAACAGCGCATTACCAACGTTTTCGGATCCCTCAAGGGTAGCGAAGACCCGGCTAGCAAGATTGTAATCGGAAACCACCGCGACTCCTGGTGCTTCGGTGCAGCAGACCCCGGCTCTGGCACGGCTGTTATGCTCGAAGTCGTACGTGTACTAGGCGAGCTGCGCTCTCAAGGATGGCGACCACTCCGGACCATTGAGTTTGCCTCGTGGGATGCTGGTGAGTATAACAGGATTGGTTCCACCGAGCATGTCGAAGCGAACGTACAAGCCCTCCGTGATAGCGCCATTGCTTACCTAAACGTCGACGTGGGTGTGACAGGCGACAAGCTTTGGGCCAACGGTTCCCCCATTTTCCAACACGCCTGGATACGCGTGCTCGACCGACTTTCCGATCCCCACGAGAACAAGACTCTGAAGGACCTCTGGGAGACCTCAGATTCCAAGATTGGTAACCTAGGGGCAGGAAGTGATTACGTAGCCTTCCAATCCATTGTCGGTACCTCCTCACTCGACTTTGGCTTTACCACCAAAGAAGGCCAATCAAACCCCATCGCGCGCAGCTGCTACGAGACCCTCTCCTGGATGCGCAAATACATCGACCCTTCCTTTTCCTATCATGCTCTGCTCGCCCAACTCTGGGTTCTCCTCATCCTCGAGCTCGCCCAAGAGCCCATCATTCCCATGAAGATCGACGACTACGCTCGCTCCCTGCAAGAAGAGGGCCAGAAGTTGTTGGACTGGACCGAGAAAGTGAGCGGTGGTGGAGAGTACGACATTGAGATTTTCCAGCCTCTGGTCGACAGCCTGAGTATGTTCAAGAAGAAGGCAGAAGCATTTGGGCGGTGGGAACAAACTTGGTACAACCAGGTCTATGCGACTGGTGGCTTCGAGAGCAGTGGTGTCACCATTCAAAGAGTCGGACATAACGGGAGGATTGCGGGTTTTGAGACCGACTTGCTTGACCTTGCAAGGGGCAAGGATGACAAAGGGCCGCATGGTGTAAGTTTCGCTCCTTCTTCAGCACATTCGATTGTCGTCAACTAACACACGCATAGCTTCCCAACCGCGACCAATACAAGCACGTCATCTTCGCCCCCGACCTCAACAACGGTCTTGAAGCTAGTGTCTTCCCCTTCGCACGCGAAGCAATCGAGAAGAAAGACTGGGATGCCGCTGCCAAAGCTATCAAAAAGACTGCCGATATACTGAACCGCGCGAGCGATAGACTTGGCTAAGACGTGTATATGTGTGTGCATAGCAAAGTTGCATTTTAATGGTGTTTGGGGCGTAGCGGAAGAATGGCAACATTGCATCTCTGGGTTTGGGAAGGATCTCATATGTAGCGCCAGGCTTCGGCTTCACTATGTGGGTATTATATTGATGTCAGTTTTTGGTGAACATCACCATCGTCAGTCGATTAGCAAGTTTGGCCGTCTCGTCTTGCGCCTTTTGGCTTCACTTCTAGCATCACCTTCGCCGTCTGTTAATTTTCAAAGTACACCATATCCACTATATGACCGCTCTCTTGGTGGTCATTTTCAAAAACTTACAACTCGAAGCATTCATGGCGCTTCTTATCTGAGTCAGCACAGGAGTGATAATATGAGTTTCCAGTTTTCCAGTCGAGTTTCAAAGAGTGCCCTTCACATGTGAGTTACTGGAGCTGAGACGACAAGAAGTCGTGTCATAATAACAAATAATGAGAAGGTGTGATCTCTCGAAAACCGGTACGGCGGACTGAATGAAGATTTCCTGTTGCTCTTCGTACTAATGCGATGCGAGACCGGATACGAAGTCTAGCATGTCTCCTGCTGCTGCTGTAGTGTGTTTCTCAAATCCAAAATGACGGCAACTTCTACCATCGGTGGTCGTTTGACCAAAATCGCAATCGTTCCCTTGTAAGACCAATTACTCATATCTGCCTAGATTCAAACTAGAGTCCCAAAACAGTCTATATTTCAATTCATGGTTCTCTTGGGGAACTGCTCCTCAGTTACTGTACAGTGGGCCTGGTTAGAGCTGATAAGGTGTACCGACTTAGAACAGACGATGTCGCAGGGTGTAGTGACTTGTACTGTTCCACTTTTGCTCAAAACTTGAGATCAAGGCGACATACTGGACCAGTATTGGACCTAGCAAACTCATGGTGCAGGCCTGCGGATTCGAGTTTAAAGTCTTCGCCGCTTCGCTACCTCTTCCTCATCGTAACTGCACTACGAAAAGTGCCTCTCTATCAAAAGCTGTACATCATCTGTCCATGGCGTGCTCTTTCGCTTCCTGCCAAAAACAAAGAATTTGGGTTTCATGCTCTGAGATTGAAGCTGCCAAAGCTCCGAAAAAACTCTGCTGAGGGGCTTCGTGACCAAGCGGTGGGAGAAGGATCTCAAATGCTATGGCACAACGGACGATGTGTTTCTAAGCTGCCAACCCAAAACACGAACGAAGATGACGTCTCTCGATGCTGCCACAACTTTATCTATCAACAAAATTCTCTAAAAGGATGTATCAGTACGATCATGTTGTCCCCTCGTGCTCGGGCACCTGAAGAATCGCTTCTACCAGGACATGTTGGCGGCTGGACTTGGCCTTCTACAACCAAAAAATGACCATGACTGGAGATATGGCTGTTCTGCACTCTGGGCACCGCTTTCCATCCGACGAACAGGAAAACAATAGCTATGTTGTGGGCTATCAAAATCTCGAGACCAGTGATGAATGGTGTAATTTGAACAAAATGCGCTGTCGACTCGCAAGTCATAGGCTTTAGTGCCAGGAACCATCTTGTCGATCGATGATCGAGTAGCGTTCAACGTTCGACGGCGCATATTGTACTCCCGGCTAATGGTCTGCGACAGCGGTTTTGTGGTTAAGGTGCACGCCTACCGGCGCAATCTCTCGCTGCTTTAATGTACCGATCTCAAAAGTGTTAGCAGCCCGGTAACATGGTAGCTGGGTAAACATACGAGTAAGGCCATTGCAAATATCCACGTTGTGACTGTATGGAGCGAAGCCCATGTCCTAGTTGAGCACCGCCGCGGCTGCGACCGAAAAGCGTGGAGTCAGACAAGCACTAAAGACACTAGTCAAAATTGACTAGTTCTCACGCATCCTCCAGCGAAACCTCGGCCACTCCGACAAGCTCCTCTCACTATGCGTGAATAAGTGACTTCATGAATTGGCTCACCGCTCAGCAGCTCTATTGTCGCTTGCTTCTGAGTTCAAGTGCTTGTTTGCAGGCACCACACCAGCCAGCACCCCCGCATAAGACGCCACTCGACTTCCAGACCGGACAAAAAGAGATCTCCGGCCTGTAACCCAAAAGCACGCAACAACATCTCATCAAGTACCGGCCTAGCATGCCGCTAAGTGATGCGTTGCACAACACGTTGCTCGCCTCGAGCACAAAGTAACCCGGTGAAGATGAAAATGCTCTGAATTCGATACAGCCAACAAGCCCGAAACACTTCATCGCGTTAGCGCTCAGCCTTAGCACCCCTGAGCAAATCAGCCCATGCGGCTACCATTGCCGCTTGGAATAATCGACTATTTTTACTCGCACGGCAGCGAAGCCGGCTGACTAGACAAACAACATGCCTATGATGCCCAGTCTCGTGGCTTGCGTTGCTGACTTCGGAAAGGTTGTAGTGCTGCTGTATCTGCTTGGTGGAAAAGCCACCAGCTGAAGATTTGGCACGATGTAGACGCTTGTAAGGCTAAAATGGCTCGACGTAGGAAACTTTGCTCGCTTCTTTGCTTGGAGAAGGGGATGACAGTGTGATGAGACGGTGTGTATAAGGAGACTATTGCGCCGCGACGGTGTTGCGGTATATCGGCATCTCCAGAGCGCTACAAACACACTCACACTCGTTCTACCATACCCTCATTTCAAATCAACGACATACTACTTTGGTACACTATAGTGTTTTCAATTCAAGCATCTTCCGCTTATCTTCATCATAACCTATCGTGTCGGCCAACCTCACATCAGCCAACGCCAACCATCTTCCTTCAATCACAATGTCAAAAATCGGTGGTCTTTCCACTAGTATAATCGCTGTCATCGCCGTTGGTGGCGTAGCAGGTCTTCTAGCCCTCATCGTCGTTACTGCTGTCATCCTGGATATACCAAAGCGTATGAAGCAGAAGAAGAACGCAGGCATCATGGCAGCGGAAGAGATGGAGAAGAAGAGTATGGAAGTCAACGAAAAGCCCATGAATATAAACGATATGGAAAAGGGTGCTCTCAAAGTCTCGACAACCGCAACATCGATGAGGTCTCCCAGCCAATACTCAAGCACACAAGTTGATCGACCAGCGTCGCCAGAGTGTCAATGCGCACATCCTTCGATAGTAATACACCCTTCACCGGTATATTCAAGTACTTCGACGTTATCATGAGCAACCAGCTATATGTCCTACGATACCTCTTGGGAATATCGGTCCGCTTTTGCACCATCTGAGTAGACCGGGCTATGAGACAATCGGTACATCTTCCTTCGGCGTTAGCATCTGGAGTTATCTCGTTAGCCTTCGGGCACATCTTGTTGGGATGGGATCAAGGCGTTGTGTTCGGAAGTATGATACCTTTCCTCTACATGGTGTTCGGAGTTAACAGCTATTACCGCTGTGTAACGCAAGGCTGCGTTTGAGCTTCGCGCTTCGGCTTAACGTTTGTTCCGTCCGGTTCCCGGCTCTTACACTACATCATCGCTATGCCAGATACGGTAGGGATAGATTACAGCTGTGTAAAATCAGTCAGCGTCAGCGCTTACAGTAGTAATGAAGACTTTGATACCCTTCGCCTAGAGTAGAGCATACGACGACCAGCGTGAAATGTGGTAGGTAATAAGCACTAAGCAAACGAGGCCACCGTCATCCTCTGCGATTTGTAACTGACCAGGAGAGTACACGCTTTATCGAGGCAGCCGTCGTGGTCATGCCGAAACATGCAGGTAAGATTGCCCAGTACTACCGCTTACTCTTCTACAACACGATCCGCAGAGATACTAAATTTGTATAAATACTGAGACTGTTACTTTCACATCAAAGCCAGCATCTGACAGGAACACCGAAACTTAATCCTTCAACGCCTCATACAATCGTATTGTTCTTACGAGTACTACACTTCCACCATCTCCCACCTCCGCTAGGTTCAGAACACTGTTCAAGATGGCAGACTTCAAGCCCTACAGCGAGCAGCCCGAGCTCCACACCAAAGCACCTTATCGCGCCGCTATGCTCACCCAGCCTGCAAATCTCAGGCAAGCGCTCAAAGACGCTCAGGCTGATGCGAGTAAGAGTCTCATGGGTATCGCACAAGGCATCCCAAGTACCTTCATGACCAAGTTGATCGCATCCTCGAAGCCGGATTTCATCTGGATGGATGTCGAACATGGAATGTACAACCGGTTAACATTACATGAGTAAGTTTTCTCCAGAAGCCGGTCAACGACGGGAAGGGGTTGAGGTGCTGAAAATACACGAGAGCATTGCGCTAACTGATGTGGTGAAGTTGCATCCACGCCGCGCAGCATCACTCGGAGGGCAAATCAATGGTCATCTGCCGTGTGCCCAAGCATGATGAACTCAGTCTCACAACAGCACTCGATGCAGGGTGCGCCGGAATCGTCATCCCGCATGTTGAGAGTGCCCAAGAAGTCAAGGACTTCATGAAGGAGATGTACTTTGGCGGTTTGTTTCTCTCTTCTCTTGAATTTGACCATACTGATGCGCTTTTCTAGGCGGCAAAGGCCACCGTTCATTCAGCCCATGGACCTTCACCCCTGGAATGACAACATCTCTCTACCCCAACGACCCCTATAACGTTCAGACAGCCAACAACCACGTCTGCCTCATTCCGCAAATCGAATCTATCAAGGGTGTTGAGAACGCCGAGGAGATTGCTGCCGTAGAAGGTATCTCTGGTCTTATGTTCGGTCCTGGAGATTACATGATTGAAGCTGGTATGGATATCGATGGGTTCTTGAAGGGAAACCCTGATCCTAGATTCTTTGAGGCGATGGGGAAGTTTAGTGCTGCAGCTGCGAAGCATGATCTTCCTGTTTTTGGGTAAGTCTATCATCCTTTTCGACCCTGAACAAGGTAGCTAATAGATGACTAGTGGTGTTCTGGGACTAGACCAGGTACCGATGGCTATTCAGACAGGTATGCGAGCAATTGCTGTGCAGTTTGATGTTTGGGGTACTACGCGACTCTTTGCGAACTCTTTGGCAGAGGGCTGGAAACATGCAAAGAGCTTCGAGGGAAACCCGAAGCCGAGTATGGCGAACGGGCAGGCAAAGCCGGCTGAATAGGTTCGGTCGATGAGTAGAGAAGCCCGTGTTTTCTTGTGTTGTGAGGTAATAGATCCATGTACCCAGGGAGGTACCCGCACAGTTTTAACGAATAACAATACACGAATCATCGTATGCATTTAGAAGGCAGCTATGTAACTTTTGCGAATTGTTGCATTGCCGCTGTCGCCACTGTCGATGGATCTCGGACGACGCGAGAGTAATGACTGGTATAGCGTAGGGATAGATCCGATTTTCCGTAGCACAAGGCGGAAATCCTGAAAGTGATCATTGTCGCATCCCCCAAAAGAGGATATTGATCTTCCTGCCACATTAGGCGTCCGGTTGGAAGCCACTCTGACGAGGCTGTGCGTACTTGGCACTCTGTGAGTTTGCCAATCAGCCCTACCGTTGAGCGGGGCGGTTCCTGGAGCACATGAGCTATACCTGGAGGAGTTAGCCGGGTGCTACGCGATCATGAGGAAGATGGACATGGCCTTGGAATACCATCACTAGGTTGTGATATAAGTAGAAAAATTCGCTCACCTCGCATGTATCGGTAGTGCCTATTGATATCCCATTTAACACAGAGTCTGTCTGCACACGTTAGTGCAGAGTTTGTATCTCAAGATCTCACATGCCATCATGTCCTTCCCAACTTCAATAGATTTTTCAGATTGCGAAAAAGATTCATCTGGCAATTACGTTTGCGGCACGTCTAATCCGACTAGTCCATTTGGTTAGTACATGTTGCTGCACTATCTCGCAGCCAAACATCTAACCTCAACAATAGGGACTTCCACTCCGGAAGACACCTTTAGTGAGCCCTTTCCTGGTTGAATCACAACTGTAAAACCCAACTGACTATTAGTCTAGATAATAGTGTAGACAAGGCTGTAGATGCGCAGCAGAGAACAATCGGCATAGGTGTGGGAGTTGGAGTAGGGTTGTTCCTCCTCTTTGCTGGCCTGGCTATTTGGGCATTTCGACGACACAGCAAGAAACGAACTCGACAGATAAACCAACAGGCACAGACACAGGCCGATGTGTTGCAGCCGAAGATGCAACAGAAGAATCCGCCGCAGTCGTGGATGAGGCAGGGCGAAGAAGTGGACGGGCTGGCATACATGACTGAGGTCGAGGCTCAAAACAAACCGTACCAGTCCCAGGAGATGAATGCGCATCCATACGGTAGTCAGTTCCAAGATGGTCCGATAGTAGAAGCGCAAGGAACGCATGATGCTCAGGAAATGCCGTTGAGTTACAGGCAGTGCCCGCCACAGGAAATGTCAGGGAATGCCCAGGATGGAGGTGTTGATAGGCGCTGAATAAGTTTTTGTCTTAATGCTGAAAGTTTACCCATGTTGCCGTACTGATACAGCAATGCGATATCAAGGCTGATAGAAACATGCTTCGGGCGGAGCGGCCAGTTCCAAGGAATACTGTGGTGGCAGAAGTTGTGGATGGTTCCAGCCGGTCGCGTTTGTGACCTCCAAGTCGCGTCGAAGATGGTCCGTGCGTCACCAGCCATCGCCCAACCACCACATTTCCAGCCTTCGAGAAATTACGCAATACGACGGCAGCTACTATGGATCTAATAAACGGGTACCTACAACGCAGTTCCCACATTGTTCTCTGCCAGCGCATACCAACACCGAACCCGTGCTCACCACGTGTACACGACTATTAACGGCGCTGGACAGTCAATAAACCTCCTTGATACTCTCGAGACTATGCTTTTCAACGCTCAGACTCTGGCTTTGGCCGCTCTGTTTTCGACATTGGTTACTGGACGGCCTTTCGACTCATCAAAACCGCGCAATGTCGTCCCACGCGACAAGACCTATTCGGTTGTCAACGTTGGCGGAGATTCATCAACACCAGTACCTGCAACAGCCACTTCGGTGATCGAGACGACGAAGACTGTCGAAGTCGTCGGACCGGGAGAGACAGTGACCGAAGAAGTCACTGCGACTGTAGTCAAGCCTCAGCCGGCGCCAGTATCGACAACTAGCTGCAGCTCGAGCAGCGCATCAAAGTCCTCGTCTTCGTCGACGCCAACATCATCCTCGTCAACACCCGCACCAACAACGACTTCGACTTCGTCACGAGTCGAATCTTTGTCAACTCCCAGCCCGTCGGTACCTTCATCAACATCGATCGCAACACCAACCATCTCGAGCTTGGCTTCAAGTAGCATCCAGACGCCAATCGAGACACCAAAGCCAATCTTCGTCACAGTCACGGTATCGAAAGACGACGGCCCTACCGAGTACTACGATGATGGCATGTGGCACACGTATTACCGTGTGAAGACTTTCGAGGCCGTTGCAGCTGTTACCGCGGCTCCATAGCTGGCTGTATGAGCTTGTCCTCTCGCACCTTTCCAGAAGGCATGATCGTGAGGTATCTCAAACGGAGCCTTCCTTCTCTTCTTTCGCATGGGTGGTAGACTGGTTCGATTCGCCTGTTCTTTTGTTTCACTGTGTTTTACGACATATACGAGTAATGGTTGGAAGCCTGCATATGGCAGCGACGATTGAAAGTAGGATGATTAGACGCGTCTTCGGGACGAATAGATATGTACAACTAGATTAGATAATAGATTCATGAACAAGCCCAAGTTTTGAGATGGAAGCGTGATGGCTGACCATTGATGACGCAGCTCGAAGGAGAAGCTCCCATCCCTGCGTGCTTGGCGAACGGTTACGCCCAAGGCGGCGGCGCCTATGCACCACGACCAGCTCTCCACAACCCCGGACGATCCGCTTCTCTCGCACACAATGGCGTCGCCGCCCCCCGTAGAAGATCAAGCTCGTCTGCTTGAAGATGCCCTCGCCGTGGTGCGCCAGCAGACGATGCTCATGCGGCGGTGTCTCGAGACGCCGGGCAAGTTGATGGATGCGCTCAAGTGCAGGTACGCGCATGGCATGATATAAGAGCAGTTCTGGCTACGCGCTGTAGTGCTAATGACTCCAATGCACAGTTCTACACTCGTTTCCGAACTGCGGACTAGCAGCCTCGGCCCGAAGCAGTACTATGAGCTCTATATGGCCGTCTTCGATGCCCTCCGCCATCTGGCCGTCTACCTCCGCGAGAACCACCCTGTAAACCACCTCGCCGACCTATACGAACTCGTCCAGTATGCCGGAAACATTATTCCTCGCCTGTACCTCATGGTCACCGTCGGCACTGTCTACATGGCCATTGAGGATGCGCCCGTCAAGGAGATCATGAAGGACATGATGGAGATGAGTCGCGGAGTCCAACACCCTATTCGCGGTCTGTTTCTGCGGTACTATCTGGCGGGTCAGGCACGCGACTGCCTACCATCCGGTGACAGCGAGGGCCCTGAGGGCAATCTCCAGGACTCCATCAGCTTCATCCTGACCAACTTCGTGGAGATGAACAAGTTGTGGGTGCGACTGCAACATCAGGGACATTCTAGGGAGCGCGAGCAGCGGACCAAGGAGCGACAGGAACTGCAACTTCTCGTGGGAAGCAACTTGGTCAGGCTCAGCCAGCTGGTCGACTTGGAGAACTACAAGAAGATCCTGAACCCTCTGTTAGAACAGATTGTGCAATGTCGAGATGTTCTGGCGCAGGAATACCTACTAGAGGGTATGTATTGATTGCCGACATCTGGAAACCCCTAACACGTAGCAGTTGTGACCCAGGTATTCCCCGACGAATTCCACCTACACACTCTCGACCAGTTCCTCTCCGCCGTTGCACGCTTGAACCCACATGTAAACGTCAAAGCCATCGTCGTGGGCCTCATGGACCGGTTATCGTCATACGCGCAAAGAGAAGCCGAATCCGAAAGCCCAGAACAGCGCAAGAAGACGGAAGAGGAGTCGATAGCACAGCTTATGGAACAAATGCGCATAGCAAAGGAAAAGAAGGCAGCCGAACCAGAGCCAGCGCCAGCGCAGCACAACGGAGACGCAGCAGAGACCTCGGACGCGCAACCAGACACAGAAGAAGCTTCCGAGGAACCCTCAAAACCAGCGGATGCCTCTACTGAGAATGAAGAGAACCAAGCGACTGAAACCGACGGTGACATTGAAAAGAGACGCGGCATACCGAACAACGTCAAGCTGTTCGAGATCTTCCACGAGCAGGTACAGACGTTGGTCAAGATGCAGCGGTTGCCAATACAGGACACAATCGGATTACTGGTGTCTCTGGCAAACCTTGCCTTGTATGTTCTGCGAACACTTCCGACAAGAACTGTGCTAACATGAATAGGAACATCTACCCTGAGCGATTGGACTACATCGACCAAGTCCTGACCTTCGCAAACCAAAAGGTCGCCGAGTACCAAAACAGTGCCGATCTACACTCTCAAGCCACCCAAAGCCAGATCCTCAGTCTCCTGCTTTCGCCAATCAAGACATACATCTCTCTCTTCACCGCGCTCGCATTACCGAACTTCATCCCTCTTCTACACTCACAACCATATCCGACTCGGAGAGCTGTGGCCGGCGAAGTTGCAAGGAGTCTGATGCGAAATCAAACCTATATTACATCTGTAGAGAACCTCGAAAGTGTGCTGGAGATCCTAAAGGTCCTCATTCGCGAAGGCATACAGCAAGCGCAAGGATACCCAGGTGGACCAATCCAAAGACGGGCACAAGAGACAGAGGAAACAATAGAGGAGCAAGGATGGCTCGCACGGATAGTACATCTCATCCGCGGCAAGGACAACGATATCCAGTTTAAGGTGAGTGGAATCGACAGTCAAATATATATATATATGCTAATAATGTTTGCAGCTCCTCCAAGCCGCACGGAAGTCCTTCGCCGAAGGAAATGAGCGCGTCAAGTACACATCTCCCGCGATTATCACAGCATCTCTCAAGCTCGCGCGACAATACAAGAAGCGCGAACACTTCGAAGACAACTGGCAATCGCAATCATCCGCTCTTTACAAGTTCATGCACAACACCCTATCGACGCTTTACACCCGCGTCACGGGCTCCGCAGACCTCTCCCTCCGTCTCTTCATCGCATGTGGTCAAGTCGCAGACCAGAATGGTTTCGAAGAGGTCGCGTACGAATTCTTCGCGCAGGCGTTCACGATATACGAGGAAGCGATCAGCGACTCAAGAGCGCAATTCCAGGCCGTATGCGTCATTGCAAATGGCCTGCATACGACGAGGAATTTCGGCAAGGAGAACTACGATACTCTGATTACGAAGTGCGCGTTACACGGAAGCAAGCTGCTCAAGAAACCAGATCAGTGTCGTGCAGTGTACCTTGCAAGTCACCTGTGGTGGGCGACTGAGATCAGGGCGCTGGGCGAGGAGGACCCAAAGACGGTGAGCGAATTCAATCCCACTTTGGATAAGGCCAATACTAACAGCTATAGCTTTACCGTGATGGCAAGCGCGTGCTCGAGTGCTTACAGCGTGCTCTCCGTGTCGCTGATGCATGCATGGACGCTGCAGTCTCTGTCGAGCTCTTTGTTGAAATATTAAACAGATACGTGTACTACTTCGACCAAGAGAACGATGCTGTAAGTGGTGGTTTCCCGCCTTCCATGAATGTCCCTAATAGTAATCAGGTTACGACGAAATACCTCAACGGTCTTATTGAGCTTATTCACTCAAACCTACAATCCAACGAGAATGCTTCTTCGCTAGAGAACCCAAGGAAACACTTCCAGCGCACCCTGGATTACATAGCGAGTCGAGAGTACGAAGGCGTGGTCACGGCACCGAAGTAATGTTGGTAGAAAAGGAGATGTGGCGCCTGTTTTGAGTTGGAACTCCTTGTACGACTAGATGGACAAGGATATTGCACGCTCGTATACCAAATACATAGCATGAGGAAATCGAGAATGTTAATGAAATCGAATATGTGATGGTGCAGGACGCGTGTGCCGAATGTTTTTACGACCGCTTCCGAGGAGAATGATGATGATCAGCATCATCGGATCATGTATAGTACCCGCCGTTTGTCTAGGAGGTATATACTACTAAGATTCAAAAGCCAAGACAAGCACTGTTATGAGTTTGAAGTTTTGTAATGGACCTTTCTGACTAAAAAGACAATTAATACTGTTTATGGGCCTATGGAACGCTCGACGTGCGAACAAACCGCCTCATCTCCTGCCTGGCAAAGAGAAATCTTCTATAATCCGTACTTCCCTGTTTATATATCTAAGACAGAGAGAGCCCGCTCAATAGTACCCTGTGGGTGGTATTTTGGAAATTCGGACACAACATGCTTATGGCTTTTTTTGCTGCCCGCTCGCATTCTGCCCCTCAAAGCTTAAACGAGAAAACCATGTGCAGAGACTTTCTATTTCTGAGAAGAAGCTACAGTTCATGCATGGAGTTTTTTCCCTCTCTTTTGTTCATTTCAGTCAGTAATGTTTGTACTGAACGTAGACTTGCAAAAAGAGCGGATGTTGGTTTGTCATGTGGACTCGAAACCGCATTTACTTCACACGATGTGGTCAAATTATGTATGAAAGGACGCCCGAAAATGAAGAGTTGCCTGAGTCTACCATAATTACACCGGAGACGATGGGTAAAGACAGTAGTGGGTCAATATGATGCTACATGGCGTAACGGGAGAAAGTAGAAAATCCACTCAACCTTTCGCTCCTCTTCATTCCTCCACCAAATCACCATTTTATTTCTCAAAAACAACCGTCAATGAAGCCGATGGACTTGTTTTTGGGTTGGACTTGGTAAATAGCGATATCAGGTAATCATGTCTTTTCCCAGACTCTCAGTTTGGCAATAATCATATCAAAGGAGCAAGGGATCACTTGTGTGGTAAAACAGAAGTGGAGATTAAAATTTTTGAGGAGCTCTTTCGAAACGATCTCATACCCTAGATCAGCTTCCTGTGCAAGGAAGTTCTTTCACCATTTGAACACTCGAAATACATGGCTACTTTACAGGCCTAAGCCATAGTCATATCAGGCAGCACTCCCTTGTAGAAAGAAGTACGTCCTTCAAAATCGAAATCCAATCCCACACATCCAAGCTCCACCAGCTTCTTATTGAAGTTCTGGTACGTGTACTCGATGAACATATCGATGCCTATATCACACTTAGCACAGGCTATCTAATTCCGAGCTTCAGCTCAAAAGACAGACGACTTACCACACCCTGCACCACCCGCGGTCCAAATCTCCGCACCATCAAACCACCCCTCATCAACAACCCACCTACGGTCCATCCACTCGGTTCCCGGAAACATCTTGCTAGCCATTCCCAACATGACCCTATTCGTAGTAGCCTTCTTTCCTTCCAATACCCCACTCCTCGCCAACCACATAGCCCCCGTACACGTCGTAAGAATGACTTTAGTCTGCTTACTTGCCTCCTTCAAAAATACCAGACTCTCTTCTTTGACCGTGGCCGGGTTCGGGCCACCAAGGAGCAGGATATCGAGATTGCGTGGAGCCGTTGCGTAGGTGTGTGTAGGACGCACGTACATGTCTGGGGTGACGTGGGCAGGATCCATAGAGGAGGATATGTAGAAAAAGTCCATGGGGGTAGCGTAAGGTGCCATGGACGCGAGCTGGGGGTTCATTTCTATGACCAAGTTGATCGTTTGGGGGGTTAGGTTGCCGAGGAGGTCGAGGCCTGCAAGATCAGTCATCTGAGTTCTCTCGTAGAGAACGCCGACGCGAAGAGGAGTCTTTGGGGAGGACATTGTGGTAGTCTTGGGAAGTTCGAGTTGGAATCGAAGGTTGTGGTACTGGTTGGTGGTTTGGCATGCTCATCACTGTCTTTAGGTACTTTATACACTTTGATTGTGCCCGCCGGATGTATCGATACATCCCGCTCCGTCTAGAATGCTGTATATATGTATACATTTCTGTGATTGTTTGACCTTATTGTATAACTTCGGATGGTTTTCACTGCTGGTGACCAATGGTGGTTTCAAGAATGTTGTTGCCTGAAATATTAGGTGGATATGGCAAAGCGGAGCGGATATAAGGAATGCGCCGTGCCGCTTAGGCAGCCGGCAATGGAATTTCAATTGAATAACACTAAACGCCTAAGATAGTTGTGTAGGAAATTCTCAGAATTGAGTTGTAAGTATATACAATAGGGAAACGTTCAATGTAGAACGGTGTATGGACCACTTTGCGCGTAGCGTACCATTGGTACAACATGCTAGAGACGCCAGTCAAATGTCGATATACAACGGATGACCATTAGAGATTAAGGAAAGTCATGAGTTCGTAGGCATTGCTCAATCAGTACCTGTGCGGCGCTTCTGAGCTAAAACGACGGAATTCCTCCCTCGCCAGTTCTTTTTCGCGTGCATCGGAACTCGTCGAGCTATTGTCAGAACTGTGTTTTGAGCTTGTCTGCCGTGTTATCGTACAGGAAACAGGAGTCTTAGGCTCCTCGGATCCTGCGACTGAGCTGGCACGTGTTCGCTGCAGCGATGCGTCTCTGATGCGAGTGGAATCGCTGCTCATGTGGTTCAGCAGGGAAATGATTTCCAAACTGGGACTTCTTGTTGGACCAGACCGGTGAGAGGGTCTAGGTAATGACGACTCCGCAGGCCTCTGGATAGGGATTTCAGGTATCTTCTCTGTAGCAGGAGTTCTCCGACCATGAGAATTAGCGCTGCTCGCCCGGCTGCGAATGACCTCTTTCTGTGGGAAGGTAACGCGCTTGCGGGCACTTCGAGACGGCGAACGGCCTTCGCTTTTGGAGGGAAGAGTGGGCGTGTAGGCCTGTACAGGCGATTTGCGGTGAGATCTTGGTGGAGGTGTCAAAAGGTTGGGTGTGCGTCTTTCACTGTTCATCTCCAACTTGGCCAAGGCGTCGGTAACCGCATCACCTATATCGAACTCATTCAACTGGTGATGTTCAAGCTCATAGGTCTCTCGTTGTGGTGTGGCGCGGCGCGAGGGCGGGTTTGTATGCTCCAGAACGGAGCTTGCATTCGGCGGCGGGGTAGAAGCTGGTAGTGGCCATTCAGCAGGGAGCTCAGGAACCGGAGGCACGTTGTCCTCGGCGCGCGGAGCCTTGTCGTTTAGTGTTGTTCTAGATGAGGTCGCGAAAGAAATGGTAGTACGCCGACTTCTCGTGGAATCGCTTGAGAGACGCTTGACCTTCCAGCTGCCTGTCTTGTCATCCACTTCTAGTGTTGAGTGAGGGTATTGTAGCGAATCGGCCAGTGTCTGTGTATCCTCAAACACAGACGACTGATATCTGTGCAGTGTCTGATTTGAGTCGTTCTGATGCATCATTGAGATAGGAAGAACGGGCGCGGGTATGGGCAGATTCTTCTCGTTCTCATCGTGCAAATCGACGTGACTTCTCGAGTAATCACCTGACTTCCTTGCTCCGTTTGGCACATAGAAGCGTAAGTCGACACGGACAACGGCAAACATGATGACCACAAAGATCTCAGTGACGAAATTGAAGCAATAGAAGCTTCCCTTCGTCAGGTACCACGGCAAGTCGATAGCATGGCGCTGGACATCGACCAATGGAGTTGGAGGAATCCAGGCCAAAACGCAACGGAATATCTGTCCAATCGAGAGGATGGACACGGAGATGAGCAGGATGATGATGTTGTATCTCAGTCGACCAGCACCAAACTTCTCGACTTCTGTTCGTGGGACGAGGAGGGAGATGCCGACGAGAACGACCGGTGCAAAGCAGAATATGGTGAGGTACGTCTGCGCGATGACGAACAAAACGTGAAAAGCATCGAGCTTGCTTTGGTCGCGCGTGAAGAACCCCCAGATCTGGCTTACGACGAGCATGAGCAGTGAAGCAATCAGCAAGACAAGCCCGCCTCTATGGAAGATGCGGTACGGTGTTGACCATCCTAGACGTGCGTGCTGGGCGCGTACAATGCGCTGGACGAAAAACCAGTTCACACCGTACAAGATGATGGTGCCGATGTAGACGAAGATGTTCGCTGCGATAGCAAGTCCGACGTTCCTAGGATAATTGGACCATGCTATCCGTAGGGACATGGTAATGATCCGAATCTTGCAGAGACCTGCGACATGTTAGTCGTGACCATGCCAATCGAAGGATATGGAGAGAGCATACCGAGTATAGCGCCATTGAATATGAATTTGTGCCCGCGATGCTTGTTCCCCTTGAAGATCTTGATGTGGATGACACCAAAGATGAGGTAGAGGATAAGAAAAATGACCGCAAGTGGCACGTCAGGCACAATCGTTGGTGTTCCACCCAAGCCGGCATTCAAAGGCGCGTACGGAGGACCTCGTCCGGGTTGCCCAGATGCTCCAGACTGGGCATGATTAGTTGTGCGTATCAGGTGGCTGGAGTTGACATCACTTACTGGAGGACCCTGGGGTCCTTGCTGCGAAGACATCTTTGCCTGTCTGATGTTCGACGTGTGAAACGTTTGCTGCAGAGGAGGTTGGAGAGAACCAAAAAGCGCTGCCTTGGAGGCGGGAAAGAGGTGATGTATATCAGGTTCCCTACGACCACGCGACTGCTGCAGTCTAGACGGTAGTATGCATCGCTTAGGGCAGAACACTGGTAGCCCCAGATAAGCAAACTAGATGACGAGTATGCTGTAAATATCTCATAGTTGCTTCCAATTGGACGGACAGTAGTTCCATATGGTGTGAGCGGCCTATCCTCAGCCGTGCTTGGATGTTGCAGCACAACGCCTTCACTAAATTGGGGTTCCGGCTTCTTCGGTGAGTGGATACTTACCGTACCCGTGGTACGCAAGCGATCTTTCTGCTGATCCAACGCCCCGCTGTTCTCAACGCATAGTATGCTTTTTCTCGTCGGATCTCCTATCTACGTTGTCCTGGTGTTGCTGCATCTCGCAACATGTAGGGCGTCCTTCTCTTGAGCAAGTGCACTGCCTGAGTACGATCGAATTCTGCTGTGCCTCAATAAGGCACTGCTATGTTGACGTTATCGACGGCTGATGGTAGTACCGGGTCTCCTCAGTGATGCCGGAGATCCGCAAAAGTCCCTTCGTGAGTGGATGATCGGCGAAAACGTCAAACGAGCTCCGACCAGATGAACCCAAAATGGGATCTCGTCTGGGGCACGGTGGTGAATGATGCGTGCATCGGGCGTTATACAGAACAAAAGACCGATGCTGCTTTTGTCCTGAAATAGAAGTGGCATGTGAAAAGCTAAAGGTGTTGGAGAGATGTGGTTTCACACCTGCATAAAGGAGCGAACTGGGTCATTTCGTCCGATTTCAAGCCAGGGGAAAGGAGTAGTAGTTAGTTGACATGGGGGAAATGGATATCGGGAGGTGTCGTGTGGCTGGTGGCAGCTACCCCGGATTTTCGGCGCGGTGAAACTTCTCGGGATGATGACGGAACTCGATTTTGCGTGTCATGCCCAACAATAACGCATACCACATCCAATATCGGCCAATGCTTCCTTTGAACCCTGTCATAGTTTCCGCAATCTCGTAGTCTTTAATAATGCCACCGAAATCCAAACAGCGCGCAGTCAAGCCCGCCAACTCCACCTCCAAGAAAGCCATCCCGCAGCCTTTCAGCGCCGCCCCAGCCGAACTCGAGACGCTCCTCTCCACCTTCGACCGCTCGCTCGTATATATATCACATGTCGACGTGCACCCAGCATGGTTCAAACGGCGTATATTCGCCGTCCCCGTACTCCTAAACACGACGATCCTTGCGCTTGTACTATGGCGCCTATACGCAATCGGACCCCACTACTGGGCCATCATCCTCTCCGTCCTCGGAAACCACAATGACACAACCATATACTGGGCTACCACACCATGGGCATCCCTGATATGGAGGGTAGGAAAACGCATGGTCATGTTCATGCTGGACTTCCTGCTGTTTCGCTTCGTGGCACCCTGGCCCTACACCTTCTTCGTAGAGCAGCCAGGCAACCCAGTGAGCTGGCGGTGGAACGTGGGCTTCAGAGACGACGAGGTATACGTGAGAGTGAGCAGGGGGTGGGGAGCCAAAGACTTGCTCGGAGAAGCCGAAGGTGGGAGTGGCCGGGCTGGGGCAGACAACCCCTTCTTCAAAACGAGAGTTTTACCTGCGGTCGACAAGACGAGATTGAGAGAAAAGACGGGATACCTGTTGATGGATGGCGATTTCGATCTGGATTTCTTCGGTATGGTCGCTGCGACGCAACTACTTGATCGCAAGGATATTGCCCTTGACCACCTTCGCAAAAGCGTCTTCGTGTACGTCGGTGACCCCGAGGCAGACAATGGACAGTGGGCCGTCTGGGAATGTGCAAAGCTTGACGAGGGCTCGGAAACGGAAGCGAGGGACAAGGTCATACAGTTCAAAGAAAGACTTACGGCTATGGGCAAGGAGAGCTTGTTCTTCAGATGGGTTGAGCTCATCCAGTACGAAAGTAATGCGCCCGGTGGCTTCACACAAGAGCGACAGATCGCAGCTGCCGAGAAGGTCAAAAAGATGTTTGAAGACCACGGTGTGGATTTCGAGGTGTTTGAAAAGGAGATTGGGGGTATGAATGGCATGGCTGGTGTATAGCCTGAATCTATCGTCGAGTTTCAAGGTGGAGAAAAGAAGCATGGTTTGGAGGCGAGCATCATGTCGATAAGATACCCAAGTGTTTTACATTTTATATTTACACATCGCTCGTAAAGTCGTAACTGATGAGCGCGAACACACAACTAGAATGCGCCTTGAGTTCTCCCTCAGCTTCATCCCCTGCTCCTAAGCATCTTTCCTAACGAGCCACCTAAGGTCTTCGCCTCTTTGCTTCTCGATCTGGGCGTCGGACTAGCATGTCTAGACTCCCGAGTCTTAGTCTCTGTGGGTGAGGTTTCCCTGCGCCTCCGCACGGCAGTCCCCTTGGCCTCTGCGCTGCTGGAGGAGTTGAGCGTATCGCTACGCTTCCTGAGACGACGTGTTGGACTTGAGGAGGACGTCTGCGGGTGTGAACGTGATTGTGATTGGAAGGTGGTGTGAGGAGAGTCGGAGGCAGATGTCGCTCTACGTCTGCGCGTCTCCTCGATGTGTTTGGACTCCGGCGTCCGAGCCACTGCAGGGCTAGGTGTGCGTGTCCGCTCTCGTTGTTCTCGTAGCTGTTGTGTCCTTTCCTTCTCCGCCACTACACTTCTTCTCTCCATATCCTCTAATTCGTCAATGGATACCTGCACCACCTTCTTCACTTCATTTTCTTCTGGGCGTCTTCTCACTGGCACATCGTTTCTCGACGCGGCATACGCATCGAGGAGTTTCTCCACTTCCTTTCGGTTGGCATCTGTGCTTGCTAAACGGACGACTTCTAGGACGAGGAGGAAAGCGAGAGTGTAGCCGACGAAGAAGCCAGTTCTGGTCCAGAACTCGGGATTTATGAGGAATGAGAAGAGTTTGATAGTTGCGACGAACATCTTGACCAGTTTGAGGGTCGTTGCTGCGTCGACTGTTTGATTGACTCAAAAATCCTAGTGTTGTGTGTTTAGGGGCCAGCCGGATAGTGAAGTCGATAGACGTAAGGAGAGCGACGGACGGCAGACAGAAATGTGCAATAGTAATCCTCTTCGACCCCAATTACGGCGTAAATATGGCGTCGTCGTCAACAAGAAGAGAACGAAAGTGTTGTGCGGCCCGCGCTCGAAGGATAAGAATAGTGTTACACCGCGCCGTCCACAAGTTGTCAGACTTGCTTCACATTGCTTTTACCGTATTTCACGCAGCAGCGAGCCCCTCAACCTTATAACCATCCTGTCAAGCCCCCCGCAAGCGGCTACACACTGAGACACCTTGAACCCAAAAGGTACGCGTCCGAAGTCCGCCCCTAACCCTGCGAACGACGCCCCAAGACCGGGAAACTATCAATGGTTGGATTTGGGGGAGGAATGGGCGGGCGGCGCTTGAAACCAATCAGCAGGTTTCAGATGGCTTGTTGCAAGGATGTCTCGGGTAGCAGGTGTTTGAAGTCCACGACACCATGCCAGATGCAGAAGTAAGCTTGTCTGGAAGCGAGGAGCGCGCGCCAATAGACTGGGGTTGCGGCGCGATGGTGTGTCGATAAGGGACCGAAGGCTGGTGTCTGTCGCTCGTCATCAAACTTTGGCTGAGCAATCTGCACATGGCGGCTTGTATAGGTTTGAAGTTGAAAGACGGGCAAGGTCTAGAAAGAAGCGCACGACATCACGTGCTTCAGAGCAGCGCCGTCGCAGGAGCGCTAGTCTTTGCACCAACCCTCATACATCTAACAACGGCATAAAGGGTGCGCTATCAACATTCACGTATTGTACAGCAAGCACCATAGCATATCGCAAACTCTCCGTTGTAGTGATCCTCGATAGTATGTTGCCTCGCGACTATCCCGCATTTACTCTTCGTTGTTCTCTCACTTGCAAACACTCTGGCGGAACATTCAAAAGCTATTACAACCATCCCGCCCACCAAGATATAAGTTCGATAACAAGTGCAAAAGAGAGGCGAACAGCAGTCTGGGCTAAAAGCGCTTGTACCTCTTCGTTGTACGGTCTCGCCCATGGTTAATCGATCGTTGTTCACAAGATCACACACTTCTCGACAGCGTCAGTAGGTAGATGAGCAGATTCCTGTGGCACTCACCTTTTTTCTCCTGAGTTTCTCAATCTCCTCTTTCTGTTTCTTCACCTCGTCGTTGAGATCATTAATATCTCCTTGTAGCTTAGCTCTTAGGGCAGCATTGTCGGCAGCAGTTCTTCGAACTTCTTCTTCCAGCTCCTCTATTCGATTCTGACCTGTGAAGACCATAGCCGTTATATCTGCGGTGAGTTGAACCCCCACTGACGTGTTCGCAAGGTCATAGCCCTGCGCGAGCTCTGTTTGTAGCTGCAGTGGGCGGGCTTGATTCGAAAGCAGCGTCCTAATGATAGTGAGAGCAGACTCTTGTGTATTGTCATGCTTCATGACTCTAGCGCCACCTTGAACCATAGAACCCCAGAACTCCGGTGATCCGATCCTTTCCTGAACACGTTGGTGGGCAGCAGCTTGATCGACCACGTCACTCCACATGGTTGTGGCAATCACAATGTTAGGGAACGCACTCATTCCACAGATCTTCTCGAAGAGTCTGGTTCGCTTGCGCTCGGTGCCATACACGCGTGTGCCAGTAATAGGCTGAAGCAGAACCACGCCCTGTAACAGCTGATCAGCGCCGAACAAGTTCCCTAGATGATCTCCTATAAGCGTGAGTATATCCGTGTCGGTACGGTGCGTGTCATCCCAGCCTGGCGTGTCGATGAGATTGACCCATGCATTGTCGACTAGAGCGGACGACGTTTGCACAACCTGCGTGACTGAATGCTGGTCAGCTAACAAGTGGCAAAACGATTGGTAGTGCTTTACCTACATGAGTCGATACCATATCCTACTCCATGATCACTCTTGCCGGATGCGGTATTGATGAATGTCGATTTACCAGCTCCAGTCACCCCAATGACGGCAATGATAGGAGGATTGCTCATGATTGTAGGTTCAGGAGACGCTTTTTGGTAGCTTGAGATGGAGCGTTCGATAAACGTTTCAATGGCCGCAGAGGTATTTACAATGGTATCAGACGGCTTCAATGCAGTCGTATGAGTTGTTCATATGATGGTCTGGATAGCGCGCAACACTCTAAGTACAGCGGATTGCCCAAGAATTGCGAGGTGAATCCGCATCCGGCACATTTGGGCATACACGCATGAGCCTTCCACATCCTGCCATCCTATCGAAGAACCTCAAGGCGTTTCATAATACCTAAAAAAGTGCGGGGTTGGGCACTGTTCTCTGTTGTTCGTTATTCATTGGTGTAACGGGGCATCAGCCTCGTAGCCCACGCCCTGGATATCACCGGTTGCAAGAAACAAGCTAGTAGGAACTGACGCTATTGGCGAGGACACTCTTATCAGTTCGTATCCTTCACTGCATTGTCCGGTGAGAAGCTTGTTAGACTTTCTGGTCAAGACCTTATCTCTGCAAGAAGACGCTATGTGGGTAAGTGAAGCAGCCTGACCGACAGCGTCTATGAAGTAATAGCTTTGAACTGTAACAGGGGCTCAATATCCAAGCATTGTGTGTCCACGCTTCTCAAAGCTTCAGAGTCGCTTCTTACCTATAAACCTCCATCCATCGTTAACATGTCGGCGGATCCAAAGCAACTCAGCAAAGTTACCATGGTAGGTCCATCAGGGTTCGAGCGCGAACCCCAGAAAAACATCTTGTCTGAGATGCCGCTGGACAGTGGTGCCAATCTAGAATCTCAGTAGGAGCTCCTGGTCTACGAACATGATCCATGTTGACAGCAACAGAAGACAATCCGTTACTTCAAGAGAGAAGGTCGGCGTCCTTGTGCTAGGCCCCACAGGAGCTGGAAAGTCGTCGTTCATTTCCACAGTCACAGACTCGCCTGTGATCATCGGCCACAACATAACTTCCGGTAAGACCTCATTCCCACTCCTATAGTCAAATCTCCAACCCCAGCTAGAAACCAAAAGTTGCCGTGCATGGGAATGGAAAGTTAGCCTAAACCAGTCTGTCGATGCCATCGACACGCCAGGTTTCGACGACACAATCAGACCAGGGTTGGAGATACTTTCTGAGATCGCCGAGTTTCTCCACCAAGGCAAGCACCACATCGCAGGTATAATATATCTTCACCCCATACAGGAACGTCGTCTGACTGGAACGTCGCGCCTGAACCTCAACTTGCTGCAATCTATCTGTGGAGAACATTTCTACTCCCACGTGACGATTGTATCGACGATGTGGAATACGCTGCCAGACGGTTCTCCAACGATCGATGCCCAACGGCGAGAGCTGGCTTTCAGAGAAGGCGATAATCCTATTGTTTGGAGAGATATGCTGGACAAAGGCTCTAATTACGCGCGGTATACTGGGGCAACCGACTCGACTAGAGCGATTATCATGTCTCTGCTGAGCAAACATCGTGCTCCACCTTTGATGTTGGAGCTAGAGCTCAGGGACCCTGCACGTACACCCGAAGGCACGAGTGCGGGCTTGGTCCTCATGGCTGAAGTGAAAGCACGCGAAGAAAGGCTGCAGCGAGAGTTGCAGGAGGAAGAAGAAGAAGCCCAAAAACTGCGGGCCAAGCTGGAAGAGAGTAAGCGATCAGCAGCTCAAGACCGAGGCGTGGGTATTGAGGTTTCCCAAGGAGATAAGCAAGGACCGCGCGGCATCGTAAGGAAAATCTTCGGGTGATGGCGTTGACGTAATTTCTTTTTTTTTACGCTAACCCATGTCGAAGCAGGAGGCGGAGTATGTTATATTTTCATTTGTTCTGTAGTCAATAGAGGATCTGTCGATAAGCCAACCAGATCCCTGCTGCTCACCTTTACATCCAACACGCTACCATAGTAATACAATCGTGGCGTATGCAACTCCTGTTCCCAAACCTCATCCTTAATAAACAAAACGCCTCGCTGAAGGAATGCAACATAAGAAAGTAATGAATGACAATGACTTAAGCAACTCTTTGTGCTCATCGGCCCCCTGGCAGTATCTCATCTTCAAACATGCTATGATCCCACCCTTTGTCCTCCATGAGCTTAGCCGCTTCTTCACTAATCCAGCGGTTTTCTCTTATGGTATCTGTACTTCTTATGGTATGGCTGGCGCTCTGGTTGACAACATGCGTTCCTTCAAAACCAAAGAAACATGCCCACATTGTGGCGCCAATCCATGAGAAGAAGGAAGAAATCGGTACCCACCAGCCTTGGATGAGGGTCCGGTAGACGAGCGTTGGTATAACAAAGGGGTACTTGGGAGCGTTCGTATTGACGCTAAACGGGTAGGGCGACGAGTGAGCGTACATGGGTTGGCAGTATATTTCACTGTGAAGTAAGTCAGCAAGCATTCTTCGATGCGAAAAAGCAGATCATCTAATACATACCAAGCGATCTCTTCACTTATCCACCAAGTGAAAAGAACTATCAAGAAAATGCTCAAGCCTGTAAGCCCGCCCCATACTTTCCAAGGACTGCTTGATACTCGCCGCAGGGTCTTCAGTCGTTGTTCCCAAAACAGACTCTTCGACCACTTCCACATTGAGAAGTTCTGGACATGGCCATCTGTCGCACAAGGGCATGCGCGGCTAACTACTTTAAGCTTCTCGCCATTATCCCCTTCCTCAACATGCTCTACTCGGTCCTCGACACGCTTCATGCCACGACTTGCATCGCGAATGCTGGTCCGCGCCGCACGGAGGCGGTCGTTCATGCGGTGAAGATGTAGCAGTTCTTGTTGTCGCTGGCGTTCTGCTTCATTGCGGGGAGTTTCAGTCGGTAATTGGAGGCCTTGGAGTGTGTCTTCTTCCATTGGGCTTTCGGCTGAAGGAGTGATAAGGTCTTCGAGCGAGTTGATGGTTGAGTCGCCGTAGTCTACCGACCGTCGTCTGCCTTTAGATTTCGCTTCGTCAACAAGAGACTGTAAGGCAGATTTGGGAAGTTGTGGGCGAACGGGCTCTATAGTGACTGCCTCAGATGGCTCTTCTGTCCTGGGGGCTGGGCCTTTCTCGGGTGAACGTGAACGTGAACGTGACCTCGACGTCACGGCAGGCCTTTGTACAGTACGTGGGCCTGGTGTGTCGACCCAAGCACCAGTTACCACTGGAGTCTTCGGATTCAGGACAGGTCGCTCTTTGGGCATTGGCGTAGCGTCTACATTATGGGCATCTCCTGGAGCTTTTGACGTTGGCTCTGACGGTCGTTCAGCTTCCTTTGGTACGTCTTGCTCCTGCTCTGCGGCCGAGGTTGCAGCTGCCATATTGGGAATCTCGGCAGGAACAGGCGCCTTTTCCACAGAAGCCTGTTGGCTTTCCGATTGCAACGTGTCTGTCGCCACCGTCTGCGATGAACTATTCAGCGGTCCTGGAGGCGCCGATCCTGGTCTCGACGGTGCTACCGGTCTCGGGCTTGGTGTGTTGGAAACTCTCGCTAGCCGTCGCAATAGATCCTGCGAGTCCTCTCTTCGGTTCGGTATGCGTCTCGGAGGAATAGCTTGAGCCGTGGCAACTACTTCGCGATGTGCTGTAGCTATGTTCTCAGCGCTCTTATACATAGCAACCGGCGGATCTTCCTTGCCGATGCCTGTGACCGGCTGCGCCTTCCCAATGGACTGCCATGAATGAGTCCGCGTGCGCAGTCTCCTCTTGGGCGAGGGAGTCGCCTGCGTCGCCTGCTCACTAGTGCTCGTACCATTATCTGCGGTGTCTGCCGTCCGCGTAGAGGATGGGCGTCGACGTGTTGGAGAGGCTTGGCGTATCCGGTCCAGCCGGGCTGTCGCGACGGCTTGCTCCTTGACGCTCTCAATCTCCCTCTGCCGTATGTCGTCTAGCACAGTGCTTCGTGGTATGTAGGGCGTCGATGCGATCATGGAGGCTTCGTTAAGCTCAAAAGTAAGGTCCCACTCTTGGGATTGGTCGTTGCGTGGTGTGCCTTTGTGCGAAAGCGGACTGTCTTCAACAGAGCGGCGCGGCACGTTCGCATCCGCTTCATCAAAGTGATCGTGTATTGTATCATCGGCCGGGGCTGGCGTCTGCTGCTGCTGCTGCTGCCCGTCCTCATATGTGATAGTCCGCATCCAACTCCTGTTGGCACGGCCTTTCCTCCCCCATGTCGCAGGCGCACGTATCGCCGGGTCGCTCCTCGTGCTTCCACTGCTGCTCGGCGGACTTTGGAATTTGACCTGCACATCCGCTCCAGCCGCCGCATTATTCCTCTCGAGGTTGTCCAGAGTCAACCCGACACGTGGATGAGCTCGTGCCTTCCTAAAGGCCTGTGGTCTGCCACCTAGAGCCTGATTCAACCGCCGCTCGTCGCGCGCATTCTGTACCATGCGCTTCTCGAATTCGTCCTCGGCATCGTTTTCGAGCTCACTCAGCGCAGACCCGACGGAAGCTGCGTCCTGCATATCTTCCCGATCATGTCCCTGCTCCTCCATTTTTGCAGTTCCATTGGCGCTGCTGGTGTTGGTGGGCCGTTGGAGGTGGGCGTAGCGTGTATTGAAGACGTTGGCCGACGGTGGGGGAAGTGTGTCGAGGGGCTGGCGCGTTGTCATTTCCGTGCAACGGGTTGGTCCTGATAGTGCATAGTAGTCTGCTCTGCGTTGGATTTGGATGAATGCGGGGCTATTCTATGTTTTGACGTGGTTACAGAGATAGGCGCATTAGCTTGTGCCAGTTGTTGTCATCCGACGCGTCGTGACTTTCACTGGGAACGTGCGCCACAAGATCGCTACAGGGATCCAGCTTCCGAATTGTCCATCTCGAGCATCCATAGCCGACTCGACATGGACAGTCTGGTCATATTCAACTTTCATTTCATCTTCTCCATCACTCCATCGTCGTGATTTGCGTCATTTAACATTACATTTCGTATCATCATGCCAGCCTTATGGCTCCTGGTCGTCTATGGCTTTGAGCCTCCTCCTCACCATTTCTACATCGGTGTTGCCCTGCTCGTCTCTCCATGCCCGCAGTACCTCCTCGCGCATGACCCTTCGCGGCGCTCTTTTGCCTGTGAATAGCTCAAACTGAGCAAAAGCCTGTTCTGGTATAAAGTCCAAGCCGTCCATGTATGTCCACAACTTCTTCGGGCAATCTCGTACTTGCTGCGACAGTGGCGTATTGAGCGTCTTGTAGGCAGTCTCCATTACCACGCCGCCCGTAGGGCTCTGAATCCACTGTCGTGGAAGCGTAAATTGAGCTGCAGGGCCCCCGTCTATTGGATCAGTGGGTATACATGAGATAATTATAGTGGGGTCCCGGAGGTGCTCTGGCCAGGCCTCGTCACGCGATCTCAATATCGTCAGGTTTGGCCGCTTTTGGCGCATCATGGGGGATGCCATGGCATTGTCTACCGAACTCGAGGTAAGGCAAGAGAAATGCGCGACGAGACTCTCAGCTTTCTCATAGGTCCTGTTGAAGATCACAATATTCATTACCCCAAGTTGCAACAGGGCATAAACAGCTGCCCTCGCCATACCGCCAGCTCCGATGATGAGTCCGCAAGTTGACGGACGCACTGCGTTCGCTGGAGAGAGACCTCGCCGCACGCAGGATCGAATCCCAATCCATTCTGTGTTGTCTCCATAGAGAGCTTGAACCGAACCAGACTGATTGCGCTCATGGAAGAGCTCGAGGTCGCTTGGCATGCTCCCATCTTTATTTCTTCGACGCACGGGTATTACAGTATTAACTGCCCCAATAGCCCGGGCATGTTGGCTCAGCGAGTCTACCAGCGCCATCACCTCCATCTTGAAGGGCTGTATGACAATAGAGCCACCAAAGTTCGGCTTGCGTACTAGCTCTTGAAGTTTGTTCACTGACGGGCTCTCGATGCGACTGAAAATGTGAGGCATGCCGCACGCGCTGTACGCTACATTGTGCATCGCTGGTGAGACGCTATATCCCAAGCGCACCCCAATGATATACATCTGCATCGGGTCAAAGGTGAATGAGTTGTAAAGGGCTTGCGTTACTTCCTTAGCAGTGAGCCAGGAGTCGTAAGGGTATTGTGCCGTTGACGTAGTTTGGTTGGCGTTTTCCCTTTTTGAGGCCGCAACAACAGGCGTAAGGTATTTGTTGAAACATATCGAGCGGCGACCAGCTCGTCCTGTGTTATAACAAATCACAGGGACTTGGGCCTCATGCGTTTCCATTCGACTACTGAAGCTGCGAACCGAAACATCGTCATCGATAGAACGAGCTGGTCGAGTGAGTCGTACGACCGAGCAACCCAAATGTACAGCCTTTTCGTACTGTGTTACCCAGAAAGGATTGTCCCATGGTTTGTCGGCATGCAGATGTCCGATGATCTTGGTGGTGCCACGAGTGTTCATCACGTCGGCGAGCGCGGCAGGGTCTAGTGACAAGTCGATAGATGCGTATTCGGGTACCAGCCGTAACCCGTGATGTACGTGTTCCAGGTAGATAGCTCTGCTGCCATCAGAGGTGGAAGTAGGTAGTACATGATATATAATAGGGACTACTGTGCTTCTTCGAACTTTCGATATACAAGCGCTAACGTCATCCATGAGATTGGTTATAGGACGTTGTTGACTCAAATCAAGGATGATCTCGAAGGCGTCCGCCCCAACTTCCAGGCTTTGAACATCGGCGTCTTCAGCCAATATGTCTTCGAGAGATACTTGAACTGCACAAGTATGTTTGCGAAGCTCGGTCGCAACGTCAGACAGCGGGTACCCGGGTTCTAACGGTGGAATGGATGCTCCGACTGACCCATCCGGAAGCTCGGGGGTTGTTATAAGTGATAAGTACTTGAGGAAGGTTCTCTGCGCCCTCTTCAATGTGAGAAACGCCGGAGGCACCGGCTGATCATTGGACGCGTTAACATTTGAGGATTTGACCTCAGAGATGTTGTAGAATTCGTAATTAGAACAGCGCCGAAGCATGGGTGCGGTAAAGGCGAGCATGTCGTTGAGTCTCTGCATGTCAGGTCCTCCCAAGTAACTATGCAGACTGGGAAGGTCGCGCAGCACGTGTACTACCGGATGCGTTCGAGCAAAGTCTTGTAGTAAAACTTGTCCATTTCTCTCCAGAGAAACGCCATTACATATCAGTATCGCACCGTGATTATACTCAAGGAGGAGAGATTTTAACAGCTCTTCCTGTCGCAGATTGTAGTTGGCCGCACCGAATTGCTTGCGGTATTTGGCAGTGGAAAAGCCCGTTGTTTCTTGGAATACGTCGTCAACGTCGATGACGCGCCTTCGGCAAGCCATCGAGGCAATGACGGCCAAGGTAGACTTGCCAGTCCCTGGCATACCAAGGAGCACAATTGAGGCATCGGTCTTGAATGCACGACGACGATAGCTTGCAGGAGAGACAGGGGTCGGGGTAGCGAGCGAGGTGGAACGGGTACTAGATGCTGTGGAGGCTGTCGCTGGTCAGTATTCGACTGATCAAGGTAGTAGGCTTGTTCCTACTCATATCGTCTTCGCTGATCTTTCGCCTTTGACGGGATCCAGTAGTCCTGGATGTAGTGGCTTGCTCTGGGATTGAGCTGTGGTGCCGGTGGTAGAAGTCACTGGTGGCTCCATCGTCGTCCTCGCCCAAAGTCGCAAAGACGCGCTTCCCCACGGCCAAAGAACCCATAGTCGAGACTTCCATAGGTGCGCAAGTTGTGGTTCCAGTGTTATTTGATTATGATGCTAGAAATTGGTATATTGAGCCTGTATCAAAGCTCCTGCATAGCAAGGGCGGGAGGTGAGGTGCGTAAATTGCGGAGCCGGATGTGTTTGCGACCTCTATGGGTATGCATGGTAAGGTCGTGAAGAAACAAAGATTGTCAATCAGCCTGGAGCGTACGAGAAAAAGCTAGAAGAAGTACGACAATCGTGTTTACGCGACGCCATGTCGCGATGGTGGTTGAGCGCTGACGAATGATGGTTGTGATGAGATGAGCAACCGCACAGTGCAAGTTCCGGATAAGCTTTCTTCCCCTCTTTGGCGCCTTCCCGACTTCGCCTGGACGAACGACAACTTTGCACTCCTTTACAAGCCTCAAAGACCTACGAGAATCCTACCCGCGGGCCAATTGTTGCTTCTAGATGATACATTTCCAGCCCTGCAGCTGCTAAGCTCCGCGGCGCTGGTGAACAGGTCAAACGGTGGGTTTCCGGTGCCTATTACCGATCTTTGCCGTGTTTACTCATTATATCGCAGAAAACAAATACGCGAACCATGCAGAGACGTCATTGGCAATCTTGTCATCCGAGATTAGTTTCGGTACTTGCTCACTTGCCGCCTTCTCGTCTGCATCAGGCTCATGCCTGCCCAAGCCCAGGCAAAGCGTCGTTCCGCACCCCAACCGGAAGAGAAGCCTGCTAAACGAACACGAGTCTCAAGAGCATGTGACCAATGTCGTGTCGCCCGTGAGAAGTGCGATGGAGTACAACCAACCTGCTCGACCTGCTCAGGGACGTCAAGAGAATGCTCGTACACAGCCAACCCCAAAAAAAGAGGGATTCAGCCTGGTTACATTCGCACCCTTGAGTTAGCACTTGCATACCTATTTCAGCAAAACCCCGAAAACGAAACTGCCCTCAATGAGAAACTAGCGCAAGGAGGACCGTCTTCGCTACTGCTGGGTCGTGGCGACTCGAAAGAGGCAAACAAGCTTCACAGGCGATGGCGGAAAGCAAAATTCTACACCGACGTTGACAAGCTGCTATCTGGAGGGGAACCTTCGCGTTATGAACAGACTACGGCAACTTCACCACATACTAGTGATGAGGGTTCTGGCGCAGAAGAGGCTTTTACTGCACATGCTAGCCGTACCCAGGATCACAGTGGCTACTCACAAAATGATGTAGAGTCTCCAAGTCTGGGTCAGCTTGTAGCGGCACCATCTGGACCAGTAGCTGGGGAGAGTGTCTTAACAACGATGCCGCCAGATAGCTGGAAGCTCTTAGAGGTCTATTTCGCCAATATTCAATCCTGGCTTCCAATATGCGAGAAGCATGACGTACTGAAGACTGCCTACGACTACCCTACGCAAGGAATACCCAACGGGTCTGATCGACCTGATTCGGGTCTTTATGCCGAATTGTGGAGTGTTTTGGCGGTGGCCTCGTTATATGGTGCAAGCATGACGCATCATGATCCGTTAAATTCTCCATCAGCAAGGCCTGCCAAGCTGTATGAGAATGTCAAGTCCTTGGTACCTAGCGAACTGGATCGTTTTGATATGGGCCACATCAAGGCACTTCTCAATTTAGTCGTGTTTAGCATGGTACGAGGGCAGACTGGAGAAGCCTGGTTGCTTGCTGGGTGTGCTTCGAGAGTCTTGGAAAGCGTGGACCAGCTAACACTTTTGAGTAATCCTAGGCACAAGCATGTTTATTACGGTTGTTTCTTGCTCGATGGCATGCTAGCGCTCCAACTCGAGCGGCGTCCGCATTTTCGGAGAAGTGATTTCGAACATCTCGGAACAATTGACGAAGACGGCCTGGAAGAGTGGCAGCCATGGTCTGGCTTTCTTGATCCCTCACATGCAGGAAGAAGAGCGCCGTTGCTCTCACTCAGCATTTTCAATGGTCTTGTTGGACTCGTCGACCTACTCATCAGTATCGAGCAACCAGCAACGAGGCATATTTATAAAGACGCTCCCGAGTATCTTGAAAGGTGGAGGGCAATGCTGCCCACAAAAATAGCTGACTTATGGTCCGATAACACCTTCACAATCCTTACTCCACCGGCCGCCCTGCTCTTAGCGACATATCATTGCGCCTCTTTCGCTTGCACTCCGTCCGATGCAAGCTTCCACCGACTATTGGATGTCTTAGACCGATGCTTCGAGCACCCGACTTCTCAGTACCTGCCACCAACAATCCGGTGTCTAATAGACGTTGCGAGTAGGCAGGCTGCGCGACTTGTTTTGCATGATGTAAATCGCATACGGCTACAAAGACTGCGGGAAAGGAACGTGGTTGATTATTCTGCACAAAACGAGACGCAGACGCTGGGGAGCTCAGTCATGCCATTCAGACAGCATACGACCGACATTCAGATGTCATCTGCAGTTTCATTGCAGTCCCTGTTTTCGGACACACATTCTGTAGCTCAACCAGCGGCACCCCCGCACCATACCTTCTTTCCAGGACCTAGTCAATCACAAATCGACCCTCGTTGTCCAGAGCCCACCAGCGATTTGGAAAGCTTCTTCGACGAATTGGCGTCGCTAGACAGCGCAACCAGATCAGATACCCAACCACAGTTTATGCAAAACCTAGGTTTTGGTCCAGAGGCAAGCATGGCTGATTTGTTCAGCGAATACATACCGATGCAGTCATCGACTTTTGTTACACGGGACGACTCCACGCCTGCCAATCTAGATCAATACAACTTCTACGATGCGAGCTGAGCTGGAGCCAAGGCATGGGGATTGGGATTAGGCTACTGCATGTGTTAGTATTTTGCTTTCAACCGCTTATTCTAAGACTCTTACGAAGATGAATCACGTACAGCGACACGCGTGTAACATACAATCTGTGATCCACAGAAAGGGATGCAGGGCCGGGTTTGTCACTTCCAAACTCTGCGCAAGGTGCTCTTCCCCCCGAGGAGCCTTGCTAATACTTCTTCATACCGAAGACGCGTTGATGGCATATAAAGCGCATCACTGGAGGGAAGGACTTCTTTGCGTTTTGGATAATCTCGATTAAGCACTGCATATTATCATACAGTGAGGGCCTAGGTGCGTCGTTGAAGAAGCAGCTATCAAGCAGTAGTGCTGTATAACTTTCAACATTTCGTATCACGAAGAGCGATCTGGGTTTCGTTTTTTTTTGTGGATGGTCAGTAATCAGGATTGTCTTGTGTATCTGTGAGGGAATGGTCCAAAGAGCCATGAAACTCCGTTCTACCCGTTTGGGCAACTTCAGGTCGTCGCCTGTTCGCAGCATTGCATGGGTACATCGGAGTGCGCCCCGAGAAGACTCGGGAGAGAAATGAAAACCTTAGCTTGGAAAATGGACGTGCAGGCTATGTCGCAATTGCTTCGGCCATGACATGATGTTCAAGAAGAGTGGGCGGAGCATTAGCCTACATTAGTATGACGTTAACAAAGCGCACACGCAATGCAAGAGGAAGGGAGCTTGCATGGTGCAATTCAGTCGTGATATTGCGCTGGGCACCAAGTCTAGTTAGAAAGATACTAAGGGTTGCCTTGTCCGAAGTAAGGCTTCTCGACAGCACAGTCCACGATGCCTAGAAAAAGTGGTGCGGAGGTCCGCGCCGTCAGCTTATGCGAGTCAATCTACCAGATCAGGGTCTGAATTATACAAACCTGAATGGGGGTACCTGAATCTAGCGACAGCCTTGTTGGCGTTCGATGTTTAGGGCAAATGGTACAGGGGTGTGTGTAGACGAGTACGGAGTCGCTTAGAAAGAAGCGACGACATTGGTTTGGTGCGTTCCTGTAGCGCTCGTGGCAGTGTTGTCCGCGGTTTTCGGTTAAAATACATGTCTTGGGCTTGGTCAGGATCGCAGGCGAAAAGTTGCCGTAATCTCTTTGTTGTTGTTGTTGTTGTTGTTGTTGATGATACAATCGGGTTAATGTCGGGTTGATTAGAAATGACTTTGTAGTATTTAGACGGAAAATTCAAGCAATGAGCGTGTAAGCACTTTCGTGGATGATGTCATCATTCACCATATTCTATACTCTTAGTGAAAACTTGGGACATAATAGGTGCTTGGCTTTGATGTTGAGTGTTATAGAGGAAGGATAGTTCATCTGTTCACGCATGATGCTTGTTAGAACATGCGACTATTTCGTCTGTACCAGCTCTACATAGGTAGCCTGCTCTATAGCGGCAGGTAAAGAAAACAATATCCAAGACTGTGTCAAAAAGACGCGCAATGCTTCCTCAGCCACATGGCTCACCAGCTCGATCTGCTGCAGTAGTGTTCGATGCACGCATCGTATGTGCCCAAGAAACGGAGTTTAGGTACGCGCCTAAGACCTTCGAGACGAGCTCAATTAGGTGATGGTGTCGTCTGCCAAGATACTAGTGCTGCGTACCCCACACATCGTCGGATCGACCGGCGCAGGTGCTTGTTGTACTTCACTTCAGCACTGTATCCTGGGTTCAGACAAGACGGACCTTGTCAATTGAACTCTGACAGACAGACTACAAGATCTCGCCAGGAAGTCTCAAGCTCTACTGAGAAGCAACGGCCACTATGGATTGCACCATTGATAGAAGACTAGTGAGCAAGAGCTGGATACAAACAAACATTCATGGGCGATTAACAGTCCCAATGTCGGCATGCCATGCCACACGGGATGCATGCGGAGAACGCCAGCCAAGTTGGAACACCATACACTGGTCGCATCTACAGCTTCAGCTGTGTCATAGCTCCACTTGCGCGATAACTTGGCAAACTCTTTCACGTTGTCACTGGGCAACACTGAGAGCTACAAGCTTCGCCCTGGAGGACCGTGCTACGAATGGACGTCTTATTGGTCAACATGGGTTCCGGACAGAACTGGCCGGTGGCGTTGGTTCGAGATGTGCTTGGAAGACCAATGCCAACCCTACTGAGACGAGACCTAGCGGGTCAAATCGTCTGTGGCTATGCGCATGGGTCTCATAGTACTTAGTACCCAACTTCCCCTCTCATGGTGCAGCATCTGGAAATCATCCACCTCATACTACCTTCTTTCGCTCTATCTCAGCATCGATCACATAGTATCGTCAGCTTGAACTCTCAACAACATGCTCAAGCAACTCTCCGTACTCGCTCTTGCGGGATTCGCGCTTGCTCAGAATGAGACCGTACCCGACCTTGCAGCGGCGTTGAACTCCACCGATGAGCTCTCAACCCTTCAGTCGGTCATTCCTGCGAGCGTACTGGAATCGTTGGCTGGTCTCACCAATATCACTATTCTAGCCCCTTCCAACTCTGCGTTCGGAAAAATCGACAACGAGACACTTTCGGGACTTACCTCCAACGAGGGTCTTCTCACTGCTCTTCTACAATACCACGTCCTTAACGGCACATTCCCTTCCACCGCCATCACCAACACCAGTGCTTTCGTCCCTACCGCATTGACGAACCCTTTGTTCACCAATGTCACTGGAGGCCAGGTCGTGGAAGCTGTTACCAGCGGTGACAATGTTGTGTTCTACAGTGGTCTCTTGACCAACTCAACTGTCACGACAGCTGTATGTGATTTGATCCTTTTCGACCCCTTCCGACTGCTAACACTTTCAGGATGTAAACTTCACTGGTGGTGTGATCCACATCATCGACACTGTCCTGGCTATTCCCGAGAATACTGCCGACACACTGTCCGCTGCTGGACTCGCTTCGCTCCGTGGAGCCATTAACGCGACTAACTTGTTCGATACTGTCAACAACACCCCGGACATTACCATCTTCGCCCCCAACAACGAGGCTCTCCAGAACATTGGATCTGCTCTCGGTAACCTCAGCACCGAGGATATCACCAGTGTTATTACCTACCACGTCATCACTGAGGGCGGTATCGGCTACTCATCTACCCTCGAGAATGGTACTACCCTTACTACTGCCAACGGCGAGGACCTTACCATCACCATCGGTGACGGTGGAATCTTTGTGAACAACGCTCGTGTCGTCGCTTCCGACATCCTCATCGCCAATGGTGTCGTCCACGTCATCGACGAAGTTCTGAACCCCGCCAATGCGACCATCGCTGACCCTACCTCCGACGAGGGAGAGCCTGCGTTTGAGGGTGCCTCATCTGTTTCTGATGTCCCATACACCAGTGGCCAGCCTACTCCTACCGCCACCATCAACCAGGAGGCTACCGAGGCTGCTGATCCCACCAACACTGCTGCTACCAGCGCTGGTGAGAACGCTGCCCCCAGGCAAACCGGTGCCATTGGCATGGGTGCGCTTTTTGGCGCTGCTGCCGTTTACTTTTTGTAAGCTTAGACATGCTGCGTAAGGTTATTGCGTAGATGATACTTAGGAGGATGCTATGTGAGGAACGATCGTTATGGAGTAATGTAATATACCTGAGCGATTCATTTGCTCACCTAGTCACGTTATTAAACATGAATTTTAATCTTGCTTTTTGGGACAAACTAAGAAATAGTGCAGATATTTGTGCATGTGACCATCTCGCGACTCTAGTACGGCAGCTTTGTTCTTACTAGTGACCGGATATCAGACAACAGCGTTTGCACTAGATTAGCCGAATGCTCTATCTTCCTAAGATTCATAGGTCGATGTGACAGTTTCTCATCTCCTCAAGGTTAGTAGCTTTGTTTCATCTCGGAAGACTTATCCGGTGGCACACCACCCACACGGCTGTATTTGAGATGATGACGTTGTGCAATACATTGCTGATCGGGGATAATTCTTACCTATGCACAAACGTCCACAACATAACACAATCCAGCCAGATGAACGATGAGTCCATGTCATGAATCCATGTCATGAGTCTTTGCGCGAAACTTTTTTCCGCTGCATTTTAGTTCAGCCGAGACAATTCGTCCACCAGAGCTCACGCACAAGACAAGAAAACCCCCTGTTCACTTCGTGCCTGCTGGATTGGTCTTGTACGGACCGTGCCACAACGTAGCGCTCGAGCCACCGCACCGGCTGCCCCATTAAAACAATTTTGGCATGTTCGGTATCCCTCCGAGCTTAAGAACCACACCGGCCAGGATTCGAACGCTAAATACTCACGACATTTTAGTGCTGCTTTCGACGGCTACTGCATGGGGTAATTTAACTTTTGGCAACAGCTTGAGGAAGCCCTTGAGTTTCGCATATCCTGTCGCCGTACTACTCTCAGATTCTGATCACCGGCGCTATCATATTCGAGATGGCTAGCCCCCTGCGTGTTTGTACCCCCATATTCTACGGACAAAGCAAACGTAGGTGCTTAATATGAAATGTCACCATACGGGTACCTGCCTGAAGCGGTGTCGAACGGACATCAGGAACGGCACAAAACACAGGGGACCCATTGTACCTGGCTATTGCTCAGTTGCGCAAGAGGAGCAATGTTCAATATGATCAGGAGGATTGTCGAGATTTCGAAGGAAGCGGGTATTGATACTTCTATAGCACGGACCCAATAGAAAGGCCTATGCAGAAACGATTCTGGCAATCTACAAACCCCGCACGAGACTGCACCATGACGGTATCACAGAGGCGTTTGCTATCACTGCATATCTTACCAGAAGAAGCGACGGATAACTGAAGTTCAGCCCTCCACAACAGCGGACGCACGCAGTTTCATGGGACAGACCCTGGTACTTCGTTATGCCCGAGCTCTCGATTGGCGAAAGGAATCCGAGATCCGAGATTGGATCGCCGACTAGGGCCGTGGTGGTTCCGAGATCTCATTCGACCCTTCTACAGTTCTTTCAGCCTTCCACATCATGAATACATCAAGTTTTCCCTCGAGGTTAAGACACAACTAAATTCAGCGCTCGCGCAACCTATGTTTTGTGCGATCTGTTGAGGTGCACGCTGCAAGCGGCCATCGCAAGGTTGCACAACCACAGCATAACAACAGCAACCAAAAAAAGATTTCTCGTTCTTGGTCCCACAATCTATCAGTACCCGCCTGACTCCGTTTTCATATCCGCGTGTTCGGTGACGCTAAACCTTTGCCAACCCAACTCAGGATTCGCAATCTCCAGAAACAGCCGAGGGAATGGACCTGTCGGATCTTAGTGTTGTCGCCATGATTCGATCATGGCGTAGATGCATTTTTCTGATTGAACCGCTGGTCTCGTCCACTGGGGATTTGCTATCTCCGCATTCAGCTTAAGAGCAGGGTAGTTCATGATTTCGTGACGGCATTATGCTCGGTTGCTGCCCGTGCGGAACGTTATCTAAATGGGGTGTATGATATATATGAGTGTTTGCAAGGTAGGTTCCCGGAGATGAAATATTGCGGTCCGTCTTAAACGCGTTTGGGTGAAAGCTGCGTTGGCCTTGGGTCGCACTGTTCATGGTTCAACGGATGCGACATCGAATACTGCGCATTCTACACTTACGCTTATTCTTTTGCCTCTTCTTCAGTAGCTGCGGTATCGTCTAGTAAGGGTCCACTCATCATGTTTCGTCTAACTCGGAAAGACAAAAGAGACAAACACTCGGTCGATGTGTAAGTTTACTCAAGCAGTGCCATTTATCCATAACGCATGCAATTGGAGGCAGTGATGCGCAACCATTACGATGTCCAAAATATATTCATGGTAGTGTTTTGTAACGTTGCGAGCGGCTCAGCACTGATATGGCTTTGGATAATCTTGCTGACCATCATTAGATATGAGCCGTCTCGACCAAGATCCGTCAATGGATACACCGATCGAGCCTCCGTCACATCCAAATCAGTACCAGTCCCAAAGGCGGTTATACGACCAGCAAATCCTTCACATAGTGTTGGTTGTTCATTCCAGAGCACACATCAAGATGTAGCATATGATGCTTGGGCTGTGCCGCGCATAACCAAACCCCCATGGGAGCTCGAGCGAGCCAAACGGAACTCGAAACAAAGACGCTCAAGGCCTGTATATAAAATCGCGGCGCACGTCTTCAAGAAGCTCCCTAGAGAGGTATACGACAGCATCGTTGCGCAACTTGAGCAGATTTACCAAGACCGCAATCAAGCTTGTTCATCATGCTATCTGCGAGATCTTCACAGCCTCTCCTTGACGAGTCGTGCATGGGAAAAGGCTGCAATAGCAGCTATGTACCATAGAGTCCTAGTGCTTGCCAATGAAGAGCATGGTGGGCTCCCGAAGCTCAAGACCAAAGGCACAAGCAGACTGAAATTACTACGGAGGACACTTCGCGCCAACTTTGAATTAGCCCGACGTGTACGGGAACTACACATGTCTGACTTCCAGTCCCTTTATCAAAACGCAACCATTGAACGAGAAGAGATTACGAATCTGGTAGCTTCCTTGGTCATGGCCTGCCCACGCTTAGAACGCCTGGTAGGATTTCACGTCCACTCCTCAGAGACATTCGATCGGCTGTCACACGCACTGTCAACAAGGCCAAATTTCAAGGAGCGAGTGATGATGTTGGCGGATACAGATATAGATGTTGGCGTAGACGATGATGACGAGAGACTAGGAGGAACCTATATCGCTGAATGCGACGCAATCGAACGCTTCCTCGAACTCAGCTCTACCCACTCCGCGTTATCTACTCTGGTACTGCATCAAGAGCAGGGCCGGTCTTCGACGAACCTCAATTTTCGCGCTATCGTTGGGACTTTCAGAAACTGTCCACGTATACGTCATCTTGCGGTATCCGGACTGGCAGCCCATTCGTTTACTAACATGGCTTTGAATGCTATTCCTACTAATCTAGAGTCACTGCGCCTTGAGAACCTCTCTGGTATAACAGATAAGGGTCTTCAACGCTTCGCTACTTCTCAGCAAGCAATCTCCATTCGAAAGTTGGCATTCATAGACATGGAGATTGGAAGCATCCTCACCATAACAGACATCTTATCTCCGCACTTTATCAGTCTACGAAAATTCTCACTCGTCCAGACCAGAGCGCCCACCTTACCGTGTCGAAGCCCGGAGCCTAGTTTCCGATCGCCATCGCTTCAATACATCCACTGGGAGTTATGTTCCAAAGCTTCTCCACTTCCTCCGTTTGTTTCGCCTTCGTCCGTAGAACTCTCAGAATCACAACCATTTCCGTTCACGAACCTCGAACCAATCGCTTGCCTCGCCACATCTCTGCTTGCAGCAGGTATCCAGGTCAACGCCTTCCCATCGCTGCGTCGTATTCGCATACCCCACGACCCCCAAGGTATCATCCAATCGCTCTGTAAACCTCTCGCAACAGCACTTCTTCCGACAGATACGTCCAAGTTTGCGACCGCGTCACGCATCTCTACCTCGGACGGATATTCCATCATGTTAGAGAAGCCTGCCGCGTTGTCACCCAAAGTACACGGCTCCTCTACCCGCAGAGTGACATCGACATCACGTGTAGATTATGTAGCCGGCTCTCCAATTTTCGAACTGAGTTCTACAGAAGTCGTCCTCACGCCGATGCGATCGCGTCTCGTAGCACAGTCGCGCATCCTTGCTGCCAGGAAAAATGCAGCCATGGTTGTTCGCGTCTTTGACCCTGAGGGTGAGATCAGAGTGAACAAGGTTATCGGAGGCCATATCGGCCGTGGAGACAGTAAGATCACTTATGACTTGAAGGCTGATATTGAGATGGTTGGGCGGAGTGAATGGATCATGGGGATAGACTTGGTTGGTGGTGCTGGGAACGAGGGCACGGCTCTATCTGAGCGTAATCGAGGAAGCTGTGGACATGTTGCTAATGGAGAAATTGGGCGGAATGCTGCGAGGGTTGAGGATCTTTTCTAAGGTATCTGTTCTTCCGGCGGATCCTCTTCCTTGTTCTCGATCACTGGCAGGTATGCTGAAAGCTTCGTATTAACGGCTTTCTATATGTGACATGGTACGATAGCCATTTTTACTAGGCTTAGCACAAGTAATGTCTAATGCAGAGTCAGCCCATACATTCCATGTACACCGCGTCGCCGACCTGCAGACACCACCTAGATGTACCCGACACATCGCGATCAAATCTTTGCATTAACTAATGTACATTTGTATGGTAGGGATGCCGGGAAAAGCGGCAGAAGTGTGCTTCATGAAAATTCGGTCCGAATTAAGATAGATGCAAAGTTAGTGATGGTTGCAGAGCACTTACATTGACTGGGAGCCCAATCGAGATCGTGCCTATCGTTGCGCGAACATCCTGTTTATGACAACCATGATAGAGTGGACCCGGCATATGATGCGGAGCTGATATCGCGAGATTGGATTTGATTTGCGCATGCTGGTCATAAGCACGCATATGTGATGGAGAATTTATCTTTGTGTCTCCCTGCAACCGAGATTTATACGTAAGTATGAATTTGTCCATCGGCTCATCTACCGGGTGACACCATAGGTATCGTTTGATCTCCGCTTTTCACGTAGCTGCATGCACGTCAGCCTGAATAGGTATTTCCCACGACGGCAATGCTGGAAGATCCTCGGTGCGGCAGCGCCGTATGCTCATTGGCAGGCGATGTTATCAAACTTTGGTTGTGGCTCAAGCATCTAGCATTTAAGCATTTCATAAGATACGCTAGTCCGGGTGCGGAGAACCGCGTATGGAGATACACAAACTGCTAGCTACACCTTTCCCCGGGTTAACGTTTCATGTGTGCAACCTCATGTAAAAAGGATAAAATCTCGTTGACAAAGAGGCACGTCGGCATAGGTGGCCTATGCTTGGCAGCTTGCTCGACATCCCTTTGTACAACGGGCAGCTTTATCCCCACTAGCGGGATGGTATGTTGCAGTCAAAACCTGTGGAGTGCATCTGAGAGTAACTAAATCCCGAGAGAATGGTTAGTCGAAGCTAGAACATAGTGGGACAATGGTTGCAATGTCAGGATATAGAGGCGGGAAGATACTTGGTCCGGCCATTGCTTCCGCGGAGAGCAAACCTCACAAAAAGGCTAGAGCCGTCGCTCCCTGACTGCTGCATCTGCTCTGCTCAAACAACAACACCCCAGAAGCCCTTACCAATCAAAGGATGGACCTCATCCGAACGCCTACTCGAAAGAGCTATCTGTTTTACCGCGGCAGAAGCCGAAGTCCCCACGCGTGCCCTCTAGATTACCGGGATCAGTAAGGTGCAAAGCTGCAACCAAGATATGTCGTTCTCAGGTATGGAAACTAGTCACCATCTTGGAGACACACACTGACTCAGAGCCAGTACCAGAACCGAGACGGATGCGCTGCAGCCGCGAGCATGATCGATTATCCAGCCAAAAACGTTCACCAACTCGAGTAGATTCTCGATCATGATCACCGTTGGCCATGGTGAAGTTCTTAGCGGGATCGCCTCTGTAAAGAGTCTCAACGGTCCACCGATCGCCGCACCGGTACGATTTATCCGGGTTGGCCTTGGCATCACAATCATTAAAGTGGATACAGTAGAGCTACGAGAGCCACATAGCTGAAGGCTGGTAGTGCAGTTCGGCGCTAGATTGTCTTCCGCGGACTCGAACAACTTTAATATGAATGGCCTCGCGCTGTCTAAAACGTGTTTGTCTTTTCAGCCAAGCTTGCACTTGTTGCTAGTATTGAAGTATGTTACATTTTCGTTGTGTTCTCCCTTCCCACCTCCAATTATTACACCCAGATCCTACCCCAGGATCATGGGTTATGGGGCATGATTATCCAAATACGGTGCTCACGAACAGCCGCCCTGCGAGATGACCTACGCCCAAAACTAAACAATAGACACACCGATCATGACCATGAGACGCGAAAACAAGTCTTGTCAAGAACCCCACGTAGAACCGAACTCCGAAAGTGCAACCCGAACGGCCCGACAGACTACGACAATATTATGCTACCGGCTTTACTGGAATGTGCCCTTCCAGTTGAGGCATAATCTCAAGAATCTTTGGGTCAATGGTCCAGTTGTTTAGGTCGGCAATGGTGCTCTCAAACAGTGGCGTCATGCGGGTGTACCCTGATTCAATGTCCCAGTAATGGCACGCGTCATCTGCGTATAGCCACGTAACACCGATCAAGCCGACGATATGTCTGACTGGATATTCCTGGGGATGTTGATATAGTAGCTGGCGTACTTGAGGCCTGTGGAGCTATTAGTAGGTAGCCAACATCGTGGAAAGAGTTTGGAAACGTACCAAGGAACCAGATCAATAAGCATATCATACGGCGATGTCTCCTGCTTTCCCACTAGTGGCATCAACCATTCCGGACTGGCGTTCATGTTCTCGACACTGGGCCAGATGAGATACTGTAGAGATATTAGTTCAGACTCGACCCCACCCAAAACGATGGACTTACCCGCATCAGTTTGGTCAGAAGCCATGTAGACGCAAGCCTGACAGGGAGAGGAGACGATGGGAGCAGCTTGTTTACTGTTCTGGAACACCACGTCGACACTGGCTGTGCATCCTGCGGATCCAAAAAACCCAGCAGAAGAGTATCCACATCGATCTCCGACCTTCCGAATATCTGTGTCTCACTCCAACCATTCGCGAGTAGATCTCGTTTCGTTCTCCGGTAAAATGCGCAATCGAAACCGAACTTGTTCAGGGCATTTGCCGCAGCCTCAAGGCTGAGTGGGGATGGGTTCGCGGTCACGGAAACATCAATGGCATTGTCGTGTGAATAGGCTAGCGAGGACTGGCTTTGTTCTCTGCTTAGGCTCCATTAGCGGTTGTTTCTGGACTTGGTTCCGGGTCAATCTCACCTTTCTTCTCGAGAGGAACTGCCATAAGACGAGCCCCCCATAGGATGCGTGTGACCAGCAAAAGGCTCGCTGCTATTTGGAGTACCAAACGAGTCGGCGTCTGGGAGTGCTGGTGTTGGACCCAAAGATTCCTGTTCTTCGTTCAGCAGCAACTCAACAGTAGCTGGGAGCAAACCTACCGAAAGCGCTTTCTTGACTTCTTCAGCTGAATGATGTGCAAATCCATTCTTCTCGAGCTCGGACGCCCAATTTGCAGCCGACGCGCGATCCGGTGCCATTGCCAGTAGCGACACGACGGACTTCATATCATCCAACTCCTTGGCTAATCGCCTTACGTGAGCCCGCAGCTGAGTTGTTGTTTTTCCATCTTCTGCCACATCGTAGACGCATGTGAGGTTTTTGGATTGACAAGTGTTGCACTTGGGCCGTACGCCATCGCACTGAAGCACGTGTCAGTGTACTCAACTCAACATCGATGGAGGGCATATGTACCTTGGATTTGCGTTTCCTGCAGCTCTCGCATGCTATGGATGTGATCTTGCCGCGAGGAGTTCGTAACGCGTAGGTGCCAGCAATCGGAGACTGATGCTGTCCTCGAGCGTTCGCAAGGGCGCCCCCAAGCCCCTGTTTGGGTGCCAGCGGAGCTTTGTGATTTGCAGCGGCGGACGCTGCCAGTGGGCGAATTACAAGATTCGCTTGGTTGGTATCGAGGTGGAGGGGCCCTTGGTTTTCGTCCCATTCAGAGGGCTCTTGGCTGATGAATTGTTAGCGAAATCCAAATCGACCTTCTAAAATTGCGATATCAGGTCTTGATGCACCCTGGTGGTAGCGCATTTGGTCTGCACATCTGGTCTGCGCATTTGGTCTGCGCATCTTGTTGCGTAAAACTCGCATCGATACCCAGGTATGCGCGCCGTCGATGGTGCTTTGGACCCCGCGCCCGCAGCCCAAATCTAGCAACCCCGAAACCAGTGCCGAAGGAAATCCTTGGAAGGGAAGCAATGCACGGGTCATCCTGACGCCGCAACGGGCAGGCCTCTCAAATTACCGCCATAGTGAGCAGGAGACTCTGGACGGAAGACCTATTCTCCGTTGCCAGTAGAAGTTGCCGAAACGCACAGCCACGGGCGGACGTACGACGAACTGCAGATCCTTTCCTGGGAGGACAACTTCTTGAGCAATCTCTCGCGATTCCCGTATATTCCTTGGCATCTCCGGATCGTACCGGTACTTCGAAACATGCTCTGCCGTTGTGGTCGATGATGTGGATTGGAACCGTCCGCAGGCCTGGGGGGGAATGCTATCGCTCGTCGTACTGGGGGGCCATCCACCACGCTTCAGGCGCCAGGTAGGTAATTTGAGGACTCGTAATGGGGTGCCAGGCGAGCGCGAGATGGGTCCAGTCCGGTCCAGAGAAGGGATCGATTGCTGTCGTGTGTATGCTCGTGGGGATAGTCTGCTAAGACTGACATACTCACATTTGGATTCCTTGAGCTTGTCCAACAGCCTCCGAGGCACGACGCATCAAGCGGGGATTTGCGCTACCTTGCGGAGGTTCTTCTAAGGTGTCGGGCAAGCTGCCAGTGCCATACCAGTAGTTCAATCCTGAGGTGTATATTAGCGGAGGATCAAGAGCTGGTCATGCTGCCGACGTACCCGGAGACGAATTCGATGATTGTGCCGGCATGAATGCGAGCATATCTCAGGGTGGAGTTATCAACAAAAGGAGCTATGTCGGAGTAAGGTGGTGGAGGGAAGGATTTGCTTCTGCAAAATTCACATGAAAGATCCGCAATGCATATTGGGCATTAACTTTGTATATCCTCTGCTAGAGCACTGAGCCTGAGGTTCATTAGTGCCCGGCGAACTCCTATGCGGAACTGCTGACACCCACGTAGAATTGGGACGAAGTTTCACGACCGTAGCCCATCTAAACACCAGCTTTCGGATGCAGCTTGATCTAGTGCTTTAGCGCACCACACAGCAACGACCGCGGGGAAATCGGGTTAGCGGACGGCACTGTTGGACTAGGCTAGAACGGCTGCTCCTAAGAGATGCTGGCAAAGGCATGCGAAACCGAACGCGGCTATGTGACCCCATGATCCTATGTCATAGTCTTTTTGTTTAGTACAAGTCGCGATCGTGAAAGTATTTTTCTCTGCGCCAGTGGCCTCCAATGCGCCGTATGCACGATCAAAGTTGGTATGTGGAATCGGACCCTTTTTCTTGGTGTAAACATAGGTACGGTTAGATCACGCCTGTCGATCACCACTTTGCATGCTCACTGGTGCAGTGACGTGCGGCAGATCGCCTCAAATCAACTTCTAACGAAGTTCCAGGCCTCCGTGGCTTAGCATGCCGTATGATCTCAATCTAACATAGGCGCTTGCTGGTATTCCGCTAGGTACACGTAGAATCTATGCAGCACGTTCCTCTTGACCCAAGCCGGAGTCGTAATATCTAGTCGGACCGATAGCCACCAAAGCTTGCTGGCTGCGCTGTCGCGTTGAAGCGCCTGGCCAGGATCTGCCGTGAGAAAAATGCAGTATGTTTAGACCATTAAGCATGGTTGGGTGTGACGTAGTTTTTAAGTTTGCCAATGCCCGCTTCATGTGAGACCCTCAGGACGCCCGGGGGTTAAGACCAACATGGCCAAGTAGCGTCCACCAGGGTCAATAGTCACGCAGCTGGGCAGGAACACTCTCCCGCACGCGCATTAGAGTGCAGAGCGCCACCACGAAGCCACGACATGCGTGTGGTGTAGGAATTCATGTCGATGCGCCTATTCTTTCCTGCTCGTATCAGAACCTGATAGATTACGGCTGTATGGCGAAGTAATCGATTCGGCGGGCATCATGCTTCTCCGACTGCGTGCCCACTTAGCATCTACATAAGAAAACAATACCCAAAATCTTCTCTTCACTAAGGTTGGACACTCGAACGCACCATTACCAGACTACATATTGATATAGCGTCCCGGCTGAAACTACCGACACCATCGTCTTTGCCAACCTTTACAGGACGCCGTCTGTCTTGATGCTGTTGTAGTGCCCCTTCCTCAAGCTTGTTCCTGACAGTTTTCCAATTGTCATCAAACAATCATTTGGAGTCGGCCCAAACTTGGCCCAAGAGGGCATTTCTACCCTAGGACGGAACATGAGGCTTTTCGTCTAGCCTTCTGGCCAGAGGACCCGGGTACGTGGAAGTCTTCGCCAACGCTTCTCTAGTACGCTGCTCTAGCCATGTGTGATTGGACTTTCCAATCGAATCTATGACCTAGGCAACGCCATCTCACCGAGCATTCAACCGTACTAGGTGCACCCACGTGTTACACCCCTCGAAGAGCAGAAGCGAGAATGAAACCTATTATCACAATGCTGGCTCAGAATGTCCCCACTACATGCTATGAGCATATATCTGGGTCGTCGTCGCTGTACTGATTGGTCCAAATGCCGTATTCTGCCTGGGCAGATATTCTGCCTCGCTAGAAAAGGAAAACGGACGCGCCTTCCAACTCGGATGTAACCTGCGAAGCAAACCATCACACTGAGATTAGCTCTCTGCGTTCCGTCCGCAACCGTAAGCTATGAAGACGCAAGTAGCCACCCTAGGATCGCAGAGTTCGCGGCTACTTGCGGACCTGCGCTAGACCTTGCGGCTTCCACATCTCAGACGTCTCAGACTATTAAGATCGTGTTGTAATGCTACTCTCTCAGTGACATACCACCCATTGACGCGCTATGAGACCCTGCCGAAGATCATCGACCTTCGTTAATGTTTCAATCTGCCTGAGAACTAGAAGATAGGGCCTAGGCTGCACATCTGTCTCACTAATTACGGTCTCCAAGGATTGTACGCCTCCGATGTTTACCTATTACTATGCAATGTTGACGAAAAGGCTTGGAGACGAAGATTCGTCTTGGCATAAGTTGAAGATCAGGGCAAACTTCGTTGTTAGGTGTGCCATGATATCCCCTAATGTGGCCGGGCTTGGCCGATCAATGACGTGTGATAACGAAGGATGGTTTGTCGACTTAGAACAGACAATTGCGTATGGGCCGTAAAACTATAAGCTTGGCTTGCAAGCGTCGAAGAGGCGTAGAAGACGAATGTGCGGAGGATATAGATCATGGTCCAGACCTGGTTTCTCTCAGTCCCCTGTTGTCGGTTCTCCATCTTGTCCCAACAGTCTGGCACGCTATATCAGGGGCTCTACCGTTTCGTGCTCCCAGCACGTCAGCGGCTGCGGGGACACCTCCGCCATATTCTATTGGTTTGGATGTCCGCCTAGCGTCATCACAGGGTCATCTAACTACCGAAGATCTTCGGTGGCAGACGTAGGTAGTTGGCACAAAGGACCTCGGGAGTGTTTGGAAAACGTGGCTAGCAAAGTCACCAGAAGAAGAGTACCCTTCGGATACGGTCTTACGCGACGCAACCGTTCCGCTGCCTCTTAGGATGAATCGGCCATGCTAGATATCATCTCCTGCATGTTGTACAAGTCTCAACCTTTGCTTTAATGTAGCGCAAAGTTTATCACACCTGAGCTTCTCCATTACGCTACACTGTCGAACATTCAGGTGTATCTCCTCGTCTCGGAGACCAAGTGTACAATGTATTTCTCACGACCACCAAACGTGTGGCCCGTGTTTCGGTGGAACCTACTCCGATTTCATAGTTTGCACATCGGCTACAGAGCCCGTTGTTCACCGCTACAACATAATGTGAACCGTGCTTTCGATACCAATACGCACGAGTTGTAGAAGTGCCTCGTATTCTGCTGCGTTTTTGCCCAGGAGATATATCCCAGCAGCTGCGCTCAGTCGCTCAGTCGGTTGTGCGGCAAGTGTAACATGCATTCGTATAGCTGATGGTGATCATACTTGACATGTTTCCGCGGACATGCGATGATTGACACTCTGCTTACATTACGTTATCTTGCTGGATTGTAACCGGCATGTTACTGTTACATGGATCGGCTCGCGAATCTTGGATGCGGAAGATCTTCGGGCGCGTGAAGCTAGACGGAGGGAGGCGCAAACCACAACGTGCTTAGCCCCTTGCATGCGATCAAAGGCCGAAGACTTCGGTGGGTGTCGATGCGAAGGTGACTGCATCGGCGACATCCCGCCGAAAGTAAACTCAGTTCCAGGCATCCCGTTGGTCTCGAGACGTGACACAACAACCTCGACACGTAACATTTTCTTTTGTGGAGATCTGGTGTGAAGAGTCATGGGATCTGGTTATGGATTCAGCATGAATCGTCACGACCTGACCAAGACAGAGATCGCAGAAAAAAGAATGGGTTGTGGGGCGTGAGCGTTATCCCGGTTGTGCAAGTCTCTTATCAGATGCCGCTTCAGGATGCCTTCATCTGGCAATGGTCTTGAGACCACAAAACAATGTAAATTGAATTCGACCCCTTCATTACATCAGTTGAAGCGGCATGTTAGCTGAGTACCTAGGCACCGTCCTGACCAGCCTCCATATAGTCCCCTGTGCGCGTATACTCCAGTGACTCCATCCTAGCTGCTAAATCTGTATACAGCTCAGCAGAGGACCATACCTAAGTATTCAGAGAGGTACCTGGGTAGGTAGAAGTTTGTCAAGTGACGTCGAAACAGCTCATGAGAGCTCTAGTTTGATACTCAGAACGCCTGGGCGCTGGTTTGAAAGTAGTCAAAGATTCGCAATGGACGGTGTGTAGTATCCATGCCAGGCACCTGGGAGCCCGCGTGTAACATGATCACGTGTACCGCTTAGGTAATACCAAAAGCTCTGACTTCATTTGCACTTTCCCCGCTGTATCGCGAAGCCAACCGCGACAAGTGCACGACGAATTCATCACCCACCAGCGCATTCCTGCTCACCATATCGGTGTGGTCGCGCTTGTCTCTTCTTCTCTGCTATACAGTCAGTGATAGAGACACTCAATCTTCTCATCAACAAGAAGCAAGCTGACGCCCAGAACCCGTTCTTTAAAGCAAAATAGCGTCGCACAGCATCATAACAAGAGCCAATATGGCAATGTCTCGCTCAAGCTCTGCTTCAGAGGGCGAGGTCTCGGATACCCGACACAAGGCAAACACAGTCAACTCGCGCAACGAACCTGCGATTAACGGCTCAAATAGGTCCTTTGGACTGGATGGTGCCTATGATAACTACCGCGCCTTGAGTCGCTCTCCATCGCCATACCGCCGCAAGCGCACGCCATCACGATCTCCGTCGCCATATCGGAGAAGCCGCGCCGCCGACCGATCGCCATCGCCTTACCGACGAAGCCGAGCTGATCAAGCTGGGAATGATTCAAGGGGCTACAAGCGCAAGGCTTCTCCGCCGCGCAGTCGCCCTGACAAGCGATACCATGCTGATCGTAGCAGGCACGGTGACCCTCGACGAGCTCCGGGACCTCACCAGGCAGGTTTTGTGAAGGAACGGGAAGACGTACCAGACCGATCGCATGCGAAGCCTATATCATACGCTGAGGTCGAGAACCCAAATCCGGTCCCAGACTTCCGAGAGCCTCTTCCAACCAACAAGCGACCCCAGAACTCGCGTTATGGTGACCAACAGCGCGAAACGCCTCGCCAGATGCAACAACAAACCGGACAGGCATCGTCTGAAGGCTCCAAGTCTCGAGCAAAACAGACAAGCGTGACAGAAGATGTCAAGATGTAAGTGGATCAGCTGCCAATCAATCCCCCCCGCAAACGCTAACTCCCTTGCAACAGGACGTCCGTTGACGATACTACTGATTACACCCCAGCTCCTGTTGAAGAGAAAGTCCCTACTCAAGAGTCACGCGAAGAGAAGCGTCGCCGTTGGGCTGCTATACGCGCTGCTACTGAGCAACAAAGGCCGAAAGAAAGCCTTCTTCAGCAGGCCGTCCTTACTAACGCGTCAGAAGCGACAACGCCCAACGTTGCTTCTCCAGCAGCCTACGCAGACAGTCCCATCTCACCATTCGCGTCGCCCCGCAATGGCGACCTCGACTCCGTACCCGCCTCACCAGACGTCATGATAATTGATAAGCAGGGTGGGTTCAGTGCTGGTAACAGTCCTGCGGCAGCGAGTCCATCAGCGGCGGATTACGACCCGTTACAGGACATGTTGGACGACCGTGATCGAGCAGCCAAGAAGAATCAGAAGCCTGATGTATCCTCGGATGCGTACTGCGAGACCGACCCGAAAGCCCTTTCTACCCTCCCAGCTGAGAAGGTAGCGCCTGTCAAAAAACAGAAAAAAGAATTCGACATGTTCGCTTCTGACGACGAAGATGAGGAGGAAGACGTTGGAACTGAAGGGGCTGTCGCTGCGAAGGGCACTGTACTCGACGAGAAAATGCTCGACAACTGGGATGACCCTGAAGGATACTACAAGCTGATTAGCAACGAGCTGGTGGATGGTGGACGTTATCGCATGATCAAGGGCCTTGGTCGGGGTGTTTTCGCCAACGTCGCACAAGCTGAGGAGGTCAAGACTGACACCGGAGACGCAAATCCAAGAATTGTCGCCATTAAGATGATTCGCAGGAATGACTTGATGAGAAGGGCCAGTCAGAAAGAAATGGACTTCTTGCGCAAAGTCAACGAGGCAGATCCACAAGACAAGCGTCACATTATCCGTTTGTTAGGTTCGTTCGACCACAAGGGCCATCTATGTATTGTGTTTGAACACATGTCGAAGAACTTGCGAGACTTACTCAAGGAGGAGACCAACGGCCATGGTCTCACGCTTCCGGCTGTCCGCATCTATGCCCGGCAGATGTTCCTCGGTCTCCAACACCTGCAGAATTGTCAGGTCATTCACCTTGATCTGAAGCCAGACAATGTATTAGTCTCTGCCGACAAGAAGACCATCAAGCTTGCCGATTTTGGTACCGCTGTCGATAAACGAGACGTTATCGAGCGCACCGAATACCTAGTCAGTCGATTCTACCGCGCACCCGAGATCATACTTGGTATGGACGTTGGCTATCCTGTCGACATGTGGGCTGTAGGATGCACCGTATATGAGCTCTGGACCGGTAAAATTCTCTTCACTGGACGATCCAACAACCAGATGATCAAGTCCTTCATGGACTGTTTAGGATGGCCGAGCGAGAAACTGCTCAAGAAGGGACTCGTCAACAACATTCTCGATAACTTTGAGCTGGGTCCCCCGCTAAAGTTCATTAGTCGTGAGGTTGACCAGTACAACAAGGTAAGCTTCATTGCTCCTTTTGGAGGTATAGCTAATTTTTCATAGCTCTCTGTTCGCAAGATTGAGCAGCAGAAAAAGATCAATCGCGACATGAAGACCCGAGTCCACGAGGCCGCCCGGAACATATCCAGTGGAGGACCAACCGTGGGCGAGTTGAACGACCTAGCAGATTTGTTGAGCGCAAGCCTACACATGAACGTCGAGAAGCGCATATCGCCAAAGGAAGCTCTTGCACACAAGTTCTTCGCTAATAAGAATCCTGCGCCTAAAACGGCCACAGCTGCAAAGTCTGCTGTCGTCAAGCCGCCAATGATAAAGCGCGGTACCCTAGTCAGCACGCCTGGTGTTCGTCGGTAAGGACTACAAAATGGATTTTGGCGTTGCAGTTGCATTGATTTTCGGCCTTGTTCTGCTTCTTTGCTTTCAGTGTGAAAAGATGGGCCGTCTTCAATTAAATCAACCGGGGTATCGGTATGGGATACGGAGTATGGGCAATTAACATAGAGAGTAATCGGGCATCCATGGGACTGGTCTCTAAAATCAAATATGCAGACTCCAGAAACAGCAGCAGAGGCAACTGGCTTTCGAAGTGAGTAGAATGTATATGCTTTGCTCTGGGATTGCGTGCCAGTCTTACGGCGCTACTCATATACAGCTTTCAGCTATGGCATCTCTCCCGGCTCTTGGGTCGGCAACTACTGGAGTGGATCGGTGGTTTTCCCAAGTCGAAGAGCAGGTGCTGCTACATATGTGGCTTATAGGACTCGCCCATTTTGCCGACTTGATTTTGGACATACTTCCCGTCCATCGTACTGTGCTATATGAGGTGGAACGTCAAAGCACGCCTTTATATATACGATTCTGGGCTTCTGATGGTTCGAAATAAAATCAGCACTATATACGAGTCAGGGCCATTAACTTGCTATACAAACATAATATACTTCAAGCGTCAATATCTCCTCTCAAGAACGCTTTCACTTTATCACCCCAGATGACTTGGCGTTTGTAGACTGTCATACCAGGTACACTCAGGCCCAACCCGTCAATAGCTTCTGCAAGCACCTCTCCACTCCCTTCTTCTCTCAGTTCGCGAATTGGGTATTGATATGTCTAAATCCTTGTCAGCCGACTCACGCGCGACAAGAAACCCCGTCTTCAACCTCCAAAGCCAGCCAAACTTACCTTGAAAGCAAAAACCAGCGCCCCAGTCGTTGGTAAACGATGCAATGTCTGTCTCTCACACCTCACCACCGTCTTGTCCAGATTGATTGCCTCTTCATCTCCCATCTTCTGCTTGATTGCCAAGTCCTCCTCGCTCATATGATTTCCTTCCAAGCAGAACAACTCCCGTTTGTACTGATACTCCAATTACTCCGCTTGACGATCTTGCCCACGGGTAGCTTGGCAAAAAAGCGATCCATGCTTTTTTCTAGTTTGGCAGTGTAGCCAGGCACAGGCGCGTGGATGGCGGCGAGAAGTTGGTTGAGTTTGGAGCGTGTGTTGAAGCCGCTTGGAAAACAGTTTATAAAGGCCGATAGTAAGTACTTGGTCTCAGTTGTAGTAACGGATGATGCTTCGGACGAGGGAGAAGGAGTGAGCAGTAAGAATTCCGTGTCGATGTTGGAACCTAGGATTTCTAGGGCTTCCTCGCCGTTTGTCATGTGTAGTGGAATCAGTGTATCGGTAACGTGGTTTCGCATATGGTGGCCTGATTCAGTAATGCTGTATAGGTTTGGGAAACGACGGGGTAGGTATGTTCCCATGAGCCATTCGTAGAGTTCCAGAACTGCGGGGACGGCATCTGGGTTACATGCGAGTACTTCGTATCGTTCCTTTTCGATGAGATTCGTTCGAATCTGTAGACGTTCACCGTATGTGTTGTCCATTGCTATCAAGTCGGATAAGGAAGCATTTTCCAGAGCTGGTATATTATCGTTGTTAGTACACGTTCAAAGTCTTTGTAGGTGGTAGCAGAGACGGTACCCATTGTCATGTGAAACTTTGGTTTGAAAGGGCGGAGCTTGAGGGGCGGCTCTGTGTCGAGACTGAAGTTTGGAAGGGGAATGATATTGTCATATGCGGCTTCTGAGTAGATGGCTTCGGCTTTTTGCTTGGTCGGTGACGAAAATGGTGAAGGGAAAGACCGCGGATTTGAAGCTTTCGTCAATGCGGTGATATGGGATTTTGGTGAATACGAATGAGGTGCACTGATGGTTCTCGGTAGTCGAAGTCTTTGGAAGAAGATGTAGACGATTATCCCCAGTAGTAGGAGTATCCACGCCAGTGGCTCCTTGATGAGATTCATCTGATCCATGATAAGTTCGATGACTGTTGAAAGTGTCTTCTGCAGGACTTTCTGGCTTTTGTTTATGTTCGATGTCGAAAGCATACGTCAAGCACGTAGGGCGTCGGGTCAACAAGTTCCGCGGCCGTTGTGTCATTCAAGAGGGAAGATAGGCCCATGAACTGGTAGACGCTACAGACGCTACAAAACGCGATGGCCATGCCGTCAGTTGTTAAAACAAGTGGGATTTAGTTGCCTATTAGAGCTAACCCCGCATTGGAGCGGTTACGCTAAGATGGCGTACTAGCAATGGGGCAAGTCACAACAATGCGGTTTTCCAAATCCTTTGAGTTTGGACTAGTCTTGAGGTGAATTGCCATGAAAAATGATCTGCAATTTGGGGCTACTGGAACGTAGACATGCCTTGTAATCATTTCACGACGGTGTCGCAATCTTGAGCAGATTCTTCAATGCTTGCCGTTACAGGATACTTTGTCTCGGTGCTACGTCTGCAGCTGCCTAGAAGGTACAGTCTTGTAGTAGATATTGTTCTCCTGTCTCATCAGCTCCTACAGCTCCTTCTCGGCTCTGTGAGCTGTTCTTGTTCTCCCATTAGAACCGTGGTATATCCGACGCAGCCGTGCCATTCTTGCGTTTATGCTTTGGCGTCCTCGGCTTCTGGGTGACCTACAGGCACCAACTTGCCCACAACAAGGTACTTTTCCTCGAACCTCTCCTCCCATCCCCTCAAGGCATCCATCTGCTCAGCATCCAGGCCTTCCAGAGTGTCCAACGGACCGTCCAAGTCCTTGGTCAGCATGTCCTCATCAAAACTACCGCATGCCAGGCCTCTTGACGCATCGCGGCCAGCGAAGTTTGCATAAGGACCACCAGGACCATAGAAGTTGCGCCCAGATGTAACGTCGAAGACACGGCCACGAACTGCGAGGTAGACAGGCATGTTATTCAAGCCATTGTAGGGGAAGAGCGAAGGCGGGGTGAAGGTGCGGAAGACGGTCGGCGGTGGGGCGCGTGGGAGGGTTTGCGGGGCGGCTGGCTTGAGACGGAGATAGACGAGCAGGCCGAAGAGAGAGAGGAGGATGAGGTTTATTGGGGTGAAGACTGAGGCGCTGAAGCGTTGTCAGTCGGGTGGTTGTCAGGTAGTAGATGTTGTTGCTTACGCGTGGGTTGCCGTAGCTTCCGGGAGAGGTGATGGAAGTGCTGTTGCTGTTAGCTCGACACCATTCACGTGACTGGATTAGAACTAACCATCTGCCATATCGAAGAAAAACGTTGCAGATATGCTAGCAAAGTGACAGTTGACGGCGCTGTCGTGGTGGATGGTAGAGTTTCAATGGCGCGGGGAGCTCAGTGACAGGCGATGATGCAACCCCGAATGCTCAGCACTAACCAAATATCCATGTCAGAATACCGCGGACTTCCGCCATTCTCGACATGCAAAGAACAAATCAAGACTTGTCACCAATACTTCCAACCTGTGAACCCATCTTTAGATTCAGTCATGCTAGAAACGGACTCGGATTGCCAGCTGTGCGTGAAAGGGGTATTGCACATGTTATCACAGCTGGTATGCACGTGAGACGTAGCCACCTTGCGCAACGAGTCTCTCTCTCGCCGGAAAGTCGCCATGTAATCTTAAGATACTTTCACTCCATCTTCACTTCCACTTCACAATTGCAAGCACGCGCCCACCTGCGCGCAAGCACGAGCTTCGCGCTGCTCCACCCGACTTATCCCTGCGCCTCGCCCTTTGAAACAAGGCCCCTCCACTCCCTGAAACGCGCGACAACGATTCATTTCCGCCGCCTTGGGACGCGTTGATTCGTCCACGCCGCACCTTGCGCCTCGGGCCCATCTAAACAATCGTTAGAGAGCAATTCGCTGGTATCGAACCGCTGCGTGAAGACAAAGTCTTGCGGCACCGGTGCGATATCGTGCCGCTGGCGCTTTGGTCGAGGCGCAGTTCCTACTTGGCTGTGTTGTGCTGTGCTGGTCTTCGTAGAGTGAGCTGACACCATTACATCTCGACGTCGACTTGATCGCCCTCCTTCATTTACCAAAATTACGCCCTCGGGTCTGCGGGTGACGAAGGATTCGAGGCCTGAATCTACTCACATACTGTTTCTTTGTTTACTCTGAGCATCCACATCAACTATCCACCACGTCTTCAACACTCGCTTTACGCATAATAACATCCTGTACGTATATTCCTTATCTCATCACTTGGAGCTGGTACTTGCGCTGTCGGCATCGGCCATCGGTAGCAACTCATGTGCTGGCCACCGGATTGGATCCTGGAATCGAGACGAGAATGGTACATGGTCTAGCAAGAGTTGGTATTTTCGCCTCTTTCATACTCGCCAACAGTATCGGAGCCCATCGCAAGCCATATCTGCCCTGCTGTTGATGCACCTGTGGTAGTAGCCACACACACCTCTGATCGACGGACCATGTTTCTTGCCTATCGCCCGCACCGACAACTGCCTCCACCAAACCTAGGACCTTGCCAAGCCTGGGGATGTTGATGGGTTTCAAAAAGCAGTTAACAGTCATGCGATATACTCTGAAGGTTGTTGGGAAAGGGGAGACTCGTCCAAATAAGTAGCTGGGGGCCGCTGAGAATGTCGCATTCCACACTTTGTGATGCTTATGTATACTTGCACCTCTACCGAGTCGGGCTAATATCCGTTTCATGCAGAATCCTTAATAATGTGGAAGCGATTACAGGGTGCCGTCCGGGATAAGGAGAAGCATGCACGAATAGGCAATCCCGTACTTCTTGAAACCACATATGACGAGGATCAACTGAATCGCAACCCCAGAGTGACCGACCTTCAAAATGGCAGTCACCAGAATTATGCGCTCCCTCCGCTCTCGCAGTAAGTACTGGAATCCTCATTTCCTGCGCCACCACTGATTGCTTGGCAGTTTATTGTCTCCCCAAAGCCCTCCCAACTATAGAGCGTCAGAAGTAGCAACAGCCTCGTCTATTTACTCACAGGACACACTCTGCTACAACGACAACAACGACAACCCTACAGCCACATCGCCCTCCGCATACGAAGACATATCGCCTCCTAGCTCTCCGGAACCAGAACAGTATTCCTCCTCTTTTCTCCCCCGAAGATTTCGCTCGATGCGTGACGTATCACCCATGGACGAAGACCGCAAGAAACTCGAAGACAATCCTCGCGCGGGTAGCAACATTCCTGTTCTGCGCAGAGCGCCATCTGTCCTTCGAAATGGCGACGCAGACTCAGGACCAAAGCAGAAGTTTTGGGAAGGCAAGCTTGCGCCAAACTCGAAAGTAAAGTGGGATGAGTATTCAGGCGAGCCCAATAGTGCAGGGAAGGCCGCGTCAGTCGATCCAGTCTCTTATGCGAAAGGTGTGGCGTCGTCAGACAGCAGACCTATGGGGTATCAGGTTTCAGTCAGTGGGCCTGAGAAAAAGAACACAAGTTTCGGAGAGCGCGTTGGCCGCTTCGGGTCGAAGCGTTCACCACCGCCCGTGGAGCCGTGGAGCCGAGCTACGGGACGATCAGAAATCGCACCTCCGCTGAAATACCAGCCTGCAGACAAACCACTACAAATACCACGAAAGACAACCTCTCCAAGCACGGACCAGGAGAGGTCAAACGCACTTGCAGCTGCCATTATTCTGTCTGACACTCAACCTGTAGCAACTGAGATGGCGCTCAAGGATCCGCGCGACAACGATATGCGCTACAACGATGGTATTAAACCGATTGTACCGCTCAAAGTAGGGGAAAATAGTCTGCGAAGTGGTCCTATCTCTCCCACGTCACCTCAAGGCTTGGGAATTACAACTTCGTATCCGAGCCCAATTACTCCAACAAGTCGCACGCAGCTGAACCAGTCCCCGGCCACTGTAACACCAGTAGAACAGACGCTATACCCCACCTTACGGAATACAACCCCGCCTTCAGAGAAAGGCAAGCAAGCGCCCATAAGTCGATTCTCGTGGACAACCTACAACAGTGCGACGACCTACCAACACTCACCACCGCCTTCACCACCGAATGGGAAGCGCGTCGTAACAGAACCCATATCAGCCGCCTCCTCGATTCTAAACCGACGCCGCCCAGTACCACACGCAGACAGCGTCCCCGCGCCCAGTATGACCAAAGTTTATGCCCGTAACCCAACTTCCCCCTACGCCTCATCCACCTTCTCCAATTCCTCGAAAAAGGCGCTCCCCCATCCCCCTAGCGCCCTCAGCGCTATCGACCACATCGCCTACCTGGAATCGCAACAAGAAGACCTGCGCATCCGCCGCAACAATGTGTACCGTTTACTAAAGGACTTGAACAACGCTGCGCCGACTAACCCGCTGGTTACCGACTTCAAGAAAGCTAGGGTGGCGGAAGAGAGGAAGAAGGCGTTTCAAGAGGAGTTGGATGAGATTCGCGCCGAGGAGCATGATGTTGGACTTAAGCTGCACCGCGCGTGGAAAAAGAGGGAGAGGGAGGATCCCAACTCCAATGGCAGTGCCTTGTGGGTGAGGAGAGTTACCAGCTAGAGGAGGGATGTGTTGGTTTATGATATTGATGTTTTCTCTTCTTTTGTTCCGAGCATTTGCATAGGATGGTCGGTACCGCTGTTCCCGGTTACAATTTCTCTGGCTCAAATCATCAGGGCATGTCTAAGCCTGTATGTATTCACTTCTTTTCGAATCAACTACATCTTAGTTATGATATTCTGTACTTTCACAAACTGACACCAGTGGTGACAATCTCGATTTATAGGCTAGTCGACCTCAGGGACGGGCAATCCGTTGACTATCATCATTCCCTCTCTTCCCAACATCTTCATCGCCTTGACCGCTTCGTCGTGTCGTAACTGTTTCGTCTCTTCATCTGTGACAAGTACAAAGTCGTATTTGAGCAATTTTGATCCCTCCTTCACATCATACTCATTTGCCTGCTCTGCTGTTACAGTATCTAAGCTGACGATGAGGGATTCCTTGACACCAAAGACAGCATCAGAAGTCTCGTAGTCGGAACCACGGACATACAACGCCCTATACATTGATCAGCATATATGAACAAAGAAGGAAACAGGAGGACTCACGTTACTAAGTTATCGAATCCCTCCTTCTCGAACATGAAATGCATGTGACTGGGTCTCCAACAATGTCTTCCTAGTTTCTCAAGCAACTTGCCGACAGGCCCGTCGTTGGGAATTGGATACGGCACGGGTACAATGCCCTTGAACCAGAACACACCATCCTTGTCACTCCTAATAACCGCACGCCCATCTGCTTTGTCACCCCTGTTCTCGTATTGCACGTCGTATTTGCCGTGGGAGTCTGTTTCCCATACATCGACCTTGACGTCTGCTACGGGTTCGCCGGTTGTAGTTTTGACGGTGCAAAGGACGAGTAGAGCCTCGCCGTCAGGATCAGCGGATATGGAGGTACCGTTTGAGTCGGAGGGCGCGTCGTGCGTGTGGAAGGGGCCAAGGACTGTGCCTTCAGTTGAAGAAGGCGGCTTGGGGTGGTCGATGGAGTCTACGAGGAGAGAGAGACCGACTATGTCTGAGAGGAGGATGAATTCCTACAACAAGTCAGTATACCTCAATTGCCAGTACTGGGACTAGATGGGAAACATACTTGTCGCACGTCTGTACATATTTGCCCAACTTGCGTGAGGAATTGTATGCCTGCCATCCACTCATCGAAGCTCAGTCGCGTCTCTCGCGCGAAGTCGTGGAGGTGCGAGACCAATCGCTCCATCACGTACTTTAGGCGCGGGTCGGTGCATTGCGAGTTTATTCGATGTACGTTCTCGGTGATGTTCTCAATGGTGAGGTCTTTTAGGACGGGAACCGTGGAGGCATCTGCGCTCTTGGATGATGTCATGATGTCGTGCGACAGGACGGGCTGGTTGTAGTAAGATGGGAGGAGGCGCGAATGGCAAGTTTGAGACGGGAGGTACCAAAAGTCGTAGTAACAACGACAATAAGGCAAGGGCAGTTTTAATATGCTCAGAAAGCAAGATAGAACAACTCTTTTGAAGCTATTCGAAGGAGAGTTTACTTGAAGTCAACCGTAACATTGACGAATGGGAGGACCCCGCGAAGCTTAACGTGAGAGACCCTCATCGGGACCTATCCCAAAATCGTGCCGCTGACCATAGCGCAAAGCTCATAGGTCAAAATAGTTGGGAAGCGCAGGGCTACGGGCGCCGGCAAAGAGTTCAAGAGGTGGAGGTGATGATGTCGGAGGGGCTCTCGGTACCTGGGATGCGGGGCAGCCTCCAGCGCCGGCTTACCAAGAGCTTACAAGCAATTACGCTACTAACAAGAATGCTCTTTTCCAGGGCGGATTGCGACAGGAGGAACTTTGTCTAGATGGTCTGTGAAACACCTCAAATACGAATCATTGTATCTACAAACCTTAGGACAAGCCGGTCCGTTTCTTCATTGTTGACATGCTTTATCGAGGGAACATCGATGATCTTAAAGGCTCGCCCATCTTTGCTCTTATGTGAAGTAGCCAAAAATGACCGCTGCTTGGGTATCATATACATGTCCAATGGTCTAGGCTGCCGCAACACATGTGTATAACAGCCCACCTAAGTTTTGCAATTACAACCTCAGCTTGCATATGACAATGCCTGACAGCTCGAATTACTAGCACAGTAGTGCCTGGGGGGACTTCCGGAAACCGGAAACTCTGGCAATCATGCTCTGTACAACTGCTTTGCAATTAGCCTGAAGATCTTGCGTCACTAAAGCTGCAGGAACAATGCAGTTAATACATGCACATATGGTAATAACGAGTTGGGTCGGTTTCTTCCATATTGCCGTTAAAGCATATCGTAACTGTAATCCTATGCGCCGTGACTGTTCCCGCCCATCATCCCGAACTCCATCTGCATACCGTCAATCCGTAGTAAACCATCATAAAAGGATGACTGGTGAAAGTGAATCGAAGACACCCAAGGAAAGTGAAAGTTGTTGAGCAATCTCATGCGAGATTAGGCGCTGTTCTTGGGGTTCTCCGGTGAAGCTTTCCACTGCCAAACGTTAGCAAGGTTATTCATCGTTGCACAATGATGCCCTAAGCTCAGTAAAGCAACATACCTTCTTGCCGAGCTCTTGCTGTTGCTCCTTGAAAGACAAGTCCTTGTACTCATCACGGTGGGCCTTGACTGTTACCTTTTGTTAACGGGTCTGATCGTCTCATGGCATATCGTTATTGCGCCTCGACTAACGCGTTCGAATGACGCAACAAAACGCGTCAAACGTTGCAGACTTACAGTATGCTTGCATCTTGACCATAGCGTTCCTCGCGTTGCTCTTCTTGCCAACGCGACCACCCTTAGGGGCAGCTTTCTTGACACCCGCGCCATTGGCCGCCTTCGGAGTCGCAGTCTTGGTAGTAGTGGCAGTGGCCATGATGAGTAGGAGATACTGATAGAAGTTGTGTTAGATTTGTCAAATGGGAAGGCCTCTTGGGATAAATGGTGAAGTAGAGGTGTCGTTGCGATGTTGATGAGAGGTGAGTGTGAACTGAAGGTTTATTGACACAAGGCGCGACCCAGGCCGCGCTAAGCTACACTTAGCTTACCACGCACCTGCTTAATAGATTCGATAGCTTGCCCAGATGCTTGCGCGACTTTGAAGATTATGGTCTCACGCGATTGGTGCTTCTTGTCACTTGAAACATGTAGCAATATGCGCCCCCAACACTCTTTCCGGAAGCGAGGTGTAGCGGCATGGAATGCGCGATCATGTCGAAGGGAGGAGACAATCCTATTGCACCAACCATTGAGCTGATGTGAGCAACGTCGTAGTCTTCGGGGACATCTAATGCCGTTTTCAAAGCAGTTAAAACGGTGTTAGGCCACCAAGACCTATCGCTCGCATGACCATGCGGATCCTCGTGCATCTACAACGCATCTTAGTCGGTCGCAAGGAAGGCGCAATGGACCCTTTAGCGCTTGGACACATTGCACTGTGGTGGTTGTACCTCGAAGTTTACCATTCTGCGGGTGGGCTTCTATACCAAAGTCTCGACACCTAGTATTCTGAAACCCTTCTTGAATCACCTGTATCCGACGACATGCACAGAGATCCAGCTCTTGTCCACAGCAGCCCGGCAGTAGTCCGCTGAATGAGGTTCTATTGTAGATTTGTCTTCAGTTATGCTCTCACGAAGAGTCCGCCGTCTTCTCTTCCGCTATGCGACGATGTCGGGCATCCTGAGAGTCAGCCTCCATGCCCCCTGTACTCAACACCGGCCTGTCGATACCTCGAGAGGCAATACTAAACTTCCGACGGTGACCGCTCGGGCGCTCGGTGAGGCTTGGTGCACGAGGTCTCGCTTTTCCGCGGGCGCGTCCACCGATGAAAGGTATCTCATATGCGCCAGCGCGACAGCAGTATAGGAGTAGGTCGTAGACGAGCAGCGCTGCCCATGGGCCGATGGCTACGAGACCAAGAAAGAGCTATTCTATTGTGAGAAGGCTAGATACAGGCGTAGATGCTACATTCTACTCACAAATATGCGCGTGATCCACGTTTCGACCACGGCCAGGTTTGCAGGTAGGATAGAGAGAAATCCCATGGCGGGGCGTAGCGGAGCTGTGCACCGATGGATACGAAGATGGGGATAAGGGTCGCGTGAGAGGTATAGAGGATTTGAAGATACACTGAATAACTTCAATTGAAAACACGATAGTCGCCCGCCAACGACACCAAGTTCCAACGACAAAGATATGTGTGATGTCTAAGTTTGGTGGAGAGATCGGCCGTCATCATCAAGCCGCCGCCGCGAAGTGGACCGAAGTGGGCCGTGGCTGAAGCTCTCCCCAGCTCGGTACCGGCACCACCATCACCGACCCAACACCAACCACTAAATATCAACCACTGAACATTAGATGCAGCTGACATCTCAGCCTTATGTGTGAGGCTGTACAATGGTTGCTCCCTTGATTGGATGGCACTTTGGCGTTAGCTTTGCGAAGCCAATGAGACATGTCCGCCATACTGGCAGCAGCACGCCCACCCCTCCAGGGAAACAGCTCAAAGCTCCATACCCCTCCGTTGTCATACCACTCATCATTCAGTCACACTTCGATCCACTGAGTTGAATCCTGAACCAGCAAGAGTTGGTATTGTTACGTCTCCATTACATTGACCGTTGACCGGCGGCCTCCCAAGGTACGCGTACTTGGCCCTGCGTATGCAGACGGCTGCCTGGCCCTACCCACCTCGAGTCTTGAGCCTTGTCAGACCCCCAGACAGCATTCTTCTATTCAGCGAAGGCGTTCAGACTTTAAACATACCTTTCGAAATCACTCTGCGTTGTCGCACCACTCCTGAGTTGCCCACACCGCAAGCTGAGGTCGACCTCACTGCTCCGCCTTGCCAGCAGTCTCGTTGCTTCATCTGGAGGACTCGAATTAGTCGAAAAGCATTAAAACACATACCAAGGTAGTGCTGGATTCGTAGCCTCTTGCGCATTTTCGTGCCCTTCCGTTCACATTCAACATGGACGGCCTCTCTTTCCTAGACACATACGTCGAGCGAGGTCAGAGTAACGCGACACTGAAGGTAGTCCTTCCCCACGGAGAGGTCCGCGAAATCTCGGATTGCATCTGCCCGTTCAAGTTCTTGGACAAGTGTCCTTTACTGTACCATGCATTCGAGTACGGTTTCCAGAGTCGCCTGCAAGCCAGCCTTGAGGCTCCATCCGAGTATGCTATCATATCGCTCCTCCGTTACTGCTACACCGGTAGCTATCTTCCTCCACAAGCAGAGTATGGACCTATACTACTTCTCCCACACATCGAGACATACAAGATCGCCGACGACTTCGATGTTGCAGAGCTGCAGCTCCTTGCGCATGGCAATATCTCGCTCCAGCTTGAGTTCGCCTGCTCTCTACCTGCTCCTCCACAAGACTTACTCGAGACTATACGTTTCGTGTATCGATACTACGCCAGCCAACAGGCCCGCCGACAACATGCTCTCGTTGACACACTCCTCAACTACTGCATCTCAACTTTCCTGACCCATAAGCTCGGAGAAGAGGTCGAGTTCCTCAAGATCGCCGCCGATCTTCCGGACTTTCGTCAGGACCTCTGTCGCACGAACATGGAGCGCAATTTCGAAGACGAGTGTATGCCTTACTGAAGTCATTGGGAATACTCAGGCTAATTTTAACAGGCGCACTGGATATCATACGGTTATGCCTTGACACCCTTCAAGCTCAGCCTTGCGTTCGCCCGACCGTCCTTGCTTCAAGGGACCTACCACAAGAGATGATCTGCGACGATCCCGCAGATATTCCATGCCAACCGCACTACCCACGTGGCGATCTTCTGACTGCTATAGAGTACGGAACCTATCAAGAGGCGGGTCTGGATAACATGGTCGACTCCGTTACCGCTACCCTTGTGCACCGGCCCAAGGTCGCGCGGCGAGTTACCTTCGCGGAAGCCAAAATCGGTTTGCAGTCCAGTTCAGACTCCAACTGCTCCGACAGCACTTCTATGTTCAAGCCCCCTGGGATAGCTACTAGCTTTCCAGCGCCTGCTTCCTTCAATTGCCTTACCACGCAACCAGCAAACAACGATGACTCCTCCGACGAGGATCAGGGCTTCACGTTAGTCTCTCGACCGAAACCACACACCCTGGCTACGATCGATGAGCCGATGTCCAGTCCTGAGATAGTTCCTACCCCTGTTGTCAACATTCTAGCTGCGAGCGGAACCGACTACTCCAGCGACGACGAGTGGGACATGATCTGAAAGAGTCATCATGATATCTTGTATACAGTATATTCAGGTTCTAACGTTGTATGGCGTCCTTTGTAGGGACTTTTGGGCGACATGGATAAGTCTCTTATGAATGAGTGTATGGATTTTACGTTTGCTTTGGCATTTAGGTGTATCGGTTTGGCTTCAAATTGTGTAGGCAAGGGCGTTATCAGCAACACAACAGAAAACCTCGCATAGGTGCAGCATCACGCTGGTAAGGATTCGACAATATACTCTGCATGAAAAGATGGCAAGCTTGTGCTAGAAAATGGCAGATTCTTTTCTAACGTATTACCTCTTCTCAAAATCTAGATCGTTAAATATAAGTTACGAATTCTATCATTTTACGCATCGTCAGTGGTTCCCTTCACGATCGGAGCACCCCTAGGAAGGTTTCTCAAAGCGTATGAGGCAGGTCCAAGCACATGGTACATAGGTATTAAAGCAAGCAAGCAATTCACTCAAAGAGGTGGCTTGATGCTCATAAACATAGTGATGGGATAACTATGCCCTCTCACGACATGCGTCCTTCTCGGTTCGAAGGATTCAACTGGACCTAACCTCACAGAAAATACGTATTAAATAAAGGGTGGTCATGGATGGGATCTGCTGGTTGGTATTCATAGCGGCCAGTCAGCGAGCAGAGCCGCGGATAGAGTACATGATAATCCATAACCGCACACAATCAGATGAAGGATGTCCACGTGTACTGAAAGGACTTTTGATGTTACAGAAAATTAGGCCGCCTCGTGTAGCTGGGATAACAGTAGGAAAGCTAGCATGAAGGGAATTGCCCCATCATGACAGCCAGTGAACCGGGAAGAAATCGCATCGAAACGACAGGTACATGGAACATCCAAGAAACCAGGAAACAAGAAACAAATAAACAGTCTCGTTGGGTTCATACAGCACACTTGATCCTCCGTTTGTCTTTAGGCTCCGTCATCGCATAATGCATATCCACGGGTAGAATAGTTTTGGAGGTAGATGTTCTAAGAGATGAGTAGTCTTCAAGAGTAAGAACGCCTACCTAATCACTGTCAGCAAGGGCTCTAAACAGAATGCGCAGTGGCTGAAACTTACTTCTGTCGTACGTTTAGTAGCGGCCACGTGGTGGGTAGTCAGCCGCTGCAGCGTCATAAGGCGGACGGCCTCCGGGACTACGGGGACGAGCACCACGTGGGGACGGCGGTCGTCCTCCTTCGTAAGGGCGTCCATGACCGTTCATGTATGGGTCATCGTAACCGCGGGGAGGAGGTCGGGCCCTAGCATCATAAGGATCGTCAGGGTAACGCGCGCGCGGTGGGCCATACTCATCAGGCATGCGACCACGAGGCGGCGAGCGTCCATAACCACCATCACGCCTGTCATAAAACTCGCGGGGAGGTGTGCGTCGGCGATAGTCATCGCGGCGAGGGCTGTAGCCACGAGGGGGTCCGCGACGGTCGTAGTAATCGTCATAGGGCGCAGGTGGGTATCCGCCACCGCGGCGGCCCATGGGAGAGCGGGATCGGTATCTGTCACGGCCCCGGTCATCAGGACCACCAGGGCCTCCGTAAGGAGCGCGCGGCTTGAAAGGTGGAGGTGGGGGAGGATCGGAGACGTCCTGGATACAGGTGACTTCCTGCCCCTTGAACTCACGGCGGTCCAGCTTCTCCACTGCGGTCTTCAGATCAGCGGCCGTCTCATACTCGACAAATCTGTAGTGGGTTAGTACGTGTGACTTGCTGCAGTGTTATCCACATACCCAGTGCCATCGCGCTCGCGACCGACTTCAGAGTAGACGACGTCCAATCCAGACTGGCGGGCAAAGTCTTTGAGGTCCTATATATTCGAAGTTAAGCGAGGCCCAAATCCAGAATGTATAACGGGAAGCAAGCGAGAACAAAGCCATTACTGGTCCAGGAACGGTATGCTGGCGCTAACAGGGAACTGAAGGAATCCAAGGATCGGGGAGTCTGACCTGCCAGCTGGTCTCCACAGGAAGATTTGCAATTCTCATCCGGTATGGTGTGCGCCTAGGACGCGGGGGAACGCGCTCGTGGGGAGTGAAGTTCTCGTTACGGGCGCGCGAGCCGCGAGCGAACTGGACGATGAGGCGCTCGCCCATGAAGTCGGAACCATCTTGAATCAGTTAGGACCAATGTTCGGATTTCTACACGAAAGAAATTACGTACGGAATGCTGCATACATGTTAGCGTACGTTCAATGAATCGGCACGTAGTTGAAGCTTACCAGGGACGACATCACGAGCGTCCATTGCGTCCTTATACTCGATGAAGCCGAATCCGTTCATGAGCTTAATCTCAGTGATCTCGCCAGTGCCGTGCGTCTGGAAGTGGCCCTCAACATCTGCCTTGGTGGCATTGCGAGGGAGGTTGCCCAGGTAAAGGCGCGTAGAGGATACCTCGGTCATAGTGACGGCTGTTGCGGTAGAGCTTTATCCTAAAGATAACCTAGTCTGAAGAGAATCGTGAGCAAATGTCCATGAGCAAGCGGAAAGCCATCGAGGGAGTGCGCATGGTGCCTGCTAAAGACGGGGTGCCTCGGTATCAAAGACGCGACGCCAGGAAGCCAGTGTCCAGCGACGTGCGAAACTACAGGAACCAGGGAGACGCGCAAGGGATTTCCAGTGCATACAATTCAGGCGGCTAGTCGTACCTTGGAGATAGAGTCCGGCGCTGGAAGCAGGGTGGCCGTGAAGAACCTGAGAGCTTGAGGACCAGGAAAGAGCCGGGTAAGCGCAGAAGTCGCGCAATCGTTTCTGGGGCAGAAGATTAGTAGGCCCAGTATCGCGACAACGGATTGCAAATATAGATGAGGGCCGGAATGCTATTGATGTAATAGGCCCCAGCGAAGTTGATGGGTGGACGGTGACGAAGGGTGGAGAAGGAAGTTCGCCCAACGCCTCACTCGCCCTAGCCTTCCAAGCTTCGGGCACGGACATCACGTGCGCGTTGCCTCCATAAGACCGCTCGCCCTCTCAGGGCTACCAGTAAAGTGTGACTGTTCCAAAGGGATGTGATGCTATTTGCTCAATAGGTTTATGTGATCATAGATGAGTTTATCCAGGCGTTAATCGCTTTTTGAACAAGGTGACTGATCAATCCCTCTGTCCGAGCCCTACAAACATCCGAAGGCCACTTGGGCAGCAACAAGTCTTGGGCTGACGGCAATATGTAATATGCATACACGTGATCCTTCCTAATGTACATATCTTCTGATCGCGTGGATCACAGTTTGAGCCATGACCTCTATCCCGGCGTCCGTACTAAGTAAGTACGTACTTTGGTCCCTCGCCGCCCTGAGGTGTTTGCCAGTTGATGTCCTGATCAGGCACTTTGATATCACAAGTCTTGCAGTGGACGCAGCTATATGCTGTCAGCGGTTTCTCCAGCGAGTCGATCGTCAAGACTTACTTTTGGGCGTTGATTTGGAACCTGACACCCAGCTCTTTGCTGTCATCCTCCACGTACTCGTAGACGCCGGCAGGGCAGAACCGGTTCTCGACACCCTTGTACTTGGGCCATTCCTTCTGCGCATGTGCATCGTAGTCTTTGACTTGTAGATGGCAGGGCTGGTCCTCTTCATGGTTTGTGCCACTTCGGCTGACGCTCGTCAATATGTCAAAGCTGATCTTACCATCTGGCTTGGGATACTCAATCTTCGGGCACTCGTCTGCAGTCTTAGTCGCTGCATGATCGGGCTTGCCATGCTTCAACGTCCACGGCGCTTTGCCTCGAAGTACATATGCTTCAAGCCCGGAGTACATGATGCCTCCATAAATTCCTAGTGGAGTATGGAAAGATGGGCGCATGTTGCGCACGGTTTTGAGCTCTGACCAAATCGACGACTTGCGCATCTTGTCCTCATAGTCATACAGGAATACGGTACCGCCGTCGGTATTGGCTTGTAGGGCATCCCACGTTGCCTCAGCAGCCAACATACCTGACCTCATGGCGTTATGCGTACCCTTGATTTTCGGTAGATTGAGCAGCCCCGCGGCATCTCCGAGCAGCGCGCCACCGGGGAAGGCGAGCTTGGGTATAGACTGGAAGCCGCCCTCAATCAGCGTCCTCGCACCATAAGAGATACACTTGCCGCCTTCTAATACATCCTTGTAGTATGGGTGGTGCTTCATCTTCTGGAACTCGCCATAGGGAGCCAACCACGGGTTGGGGTAGTCGAGTCCAACAACCAGACCAATGCTGACCAGATTGTCACCAAAGTGGTACATCCAACCACCGCCATAGGTGTCCTTCGGCAGCGGGTAGCCCATTGAGTGAACCACCAGCCCAGACTTGAATTTTTCAGGCTGTACCTCCCAGACTTCTTTGATGCCAAGTCCATATGTCTGGTGTTGGCTATCACGCCTCAGATCGTACTTCTTGATGATTTGCTTTGACAAACTACCATGGCAACCTTCACCAAGCAATGTGACGCGTGCATGGAATTCCATTCCTCGCTCGAACGAATCTTTGGCTTTGCCTTCCCGCGATATACCGAGGTCGTTGGTAGCTACACCCTGTACGACGCCCTCGTGGTTGTATAGTATCTCGGACGCAGCGAACCCAGGGTAAACCTCTACACCAACCTCCTCGGCACGCTCGCCGAGCCACTTGACCATCTGGTTCAAACTTATTATGTAGTTGCCGTGGTTGTTCATCTGTGGAGGCTTGGGTAGAGGGATCGCACTGTTCTTGGTCATGAAGTACATGTGGTCCTCCTTGGCGGGGGTGATGTCGGCGAAGCGGTTCAGGTTGTCCTCTGATTTCCAGTCGGGCAGCAGCTCGTCAAGCGCAGAGGGTTCTATAACATTTCCAGACACGATGTGGTCGCCCAATTCGCCTGCCTTCTCCAGCACCAAAACCCTAAAATCTTCATTGCCAGCCGCTGTCGCAAGTTGCTTCAGCTTAATGGCTGCAGACAGACCAGCGGGACCTCCACCCACAATAAGCACATCAACCTCGTCAGATTCGCGTTCAATTGACTTTGGATCGAAGGTGTCGTCTACGGCGGCGAGTCGTGTGCGTGGCGTTGTGGAAAAGGCTCTTCTTTGACCAGCAATTCGGACTGCGGGACGGTATAGGCTGGATACATTTCGTCTCGGTAATGATGCGCACGCAAGTGGTCTTGACGATATGCGCGAGGATCGGGAGGTTGCGAGCAACTGCCGCGTTACAGATGCGGGGACTGATCTGGTGGCCATGATGCAGGACGTGTTGGAGAGGCAAACAAATGTATTGAATGCGAAAGTGAGCGATTTGACAGATTTTTGCGCTTCCTACAAGACCGACCGGCGGCGCACTACAGGCCAAAACTGACAGTGCTCAATGATGAGGAATGTGACAGAATTGCAACATCCAAACATGTACGTTCGTCGCGCCAATGCTAAACCTTGATATGACGATGTCTAAAAGTCGCAGCCGAGGCTACAAGGCTAACTGCGGGATTGCAATACCGAGCACGTCATTGGTCAAACCATCTTCATCCTTCTCCCCGCACATGTCAAAGTCATCACACCCGAACATCTTCATCGTGAAAAGGTTTCTCATAGCAGCCCTCTTGTGGTAACAAATTTCCGTGCGATACGACGTGAATTTGATCCTCGGATAGATGTCTCGGCAATGAAACGGTAATCAGTGCACAGCAACAGTAGGGTACTCACGCGATACGAAGTACTGCACAGCAAAAGCGCAGAGCTTGTTGAACTTGAAGAGAATTTGGAATTCTCCCGGGAGCTCAAGGAGCAAACCTTTGCATCTTCGCATATACAACAGTTCGCTTGGAGCGTCCGGTGGGCGCGTCGGCGTGCCTGAAACTGGCAGAGGTTCAGGACCCATGTATGCCTGCGAACCTCGGCCATACACCAAACTTATGCGTTTAGGAAGGCATCTCTCCGCATATATCGCCCCTGCCCCGTCTGCAACATGTTCTCAAACCACACACGTTAGACCTCGAGCCTGGATCTTCGCCATGACGACGACTCTGCTGGCATGGAGCTTGCATCAACTCTCTCTTCCGTAATCGTACTTTCTGCTTCATGCGTTTGATTCGACCGTTTCCAGCCAAGCCACGGACCTGATCCCATGTCAAACTTGATCTACAGCTGTCATGCGAGACGAGACTTTTGTGCCTGTGAGAGAATTGTGGGGGTGACCGATGTTCTTCCTTTTGAGCCTGGTCTTTCCAAGGCATCCTCCAACGGCGCATGTATGATATGCGCGGCAGGCAACAAACGGTCATCCCGACAATCGCGGCCTGATCTATTCTGGACACTGTCTCGTTCAGGCACTCGTGGATCTCATATAAGGCAACGCTCTTATATAAACCAGTCTCCTCAGGCGGATAGGACGGCACGCTCAGCTTCAATCTTCCAAATCATTCCTTTGTGCAGAGCACCATCTGTTTATTTCAATTCTCTAGAGCTGTGCTCACTTTAAGTTTCGACACACCTCGTTTCAATCCTTCTAGATCAACTCCATACCGTCACTATGAAGACTTCTATCTCCCTTCTCACCCTTCTTTCAGCCTCCTTCGTGGCAGCGGCCCCAGCGCCTTTCGTGGGCCAGGGACCTGTAGTCGCTGCTGGTACCGAGAATGTAGTCATTCCTTCTACGAACTTCGGCCGCAGGGAGGAAGATGTTGTACAGAAGTTTGGAGAGAGAGCCCTTAAGCTCCGCGGTGCGCTCTTGGCAGCACGCGGTGGCATGGGCAAGGATAATGCTAATGCAGACGCCGAGGCAGCCAATGCTGAGGGTGCTGCGGCGGCCGGTGGCAACAAGGCCCAGGATCAGGCGGCACAGGATGCTGCCGCTGCTGAAGATGCTGCTCAGGGCAAGGGCAAGGGCAAGGGGAAGAATGCCGATAAGCAAGCCGCCCAAGAAGCTGCTGCAGGTATGAATCACGTTGTCCCGTTCAGAGAACTTACTAAAATTCAACAGCTAAGGAGCAACAAGCTGCCGCCGATGCTCAGGCACAGCAGGATGCTGCTGCCGCTGAGATGATGAACCAAGGTCAAGCGCAGAATGCGACCGAGCAGATGGGAACAGCAGACCAGGCTGCCGCTGATCAGCAGGCAAAACAAGATGCTGCCGCTGCCGAAGGCATGAACCAGGACCAGGCACAGAATGCTCACGACCAACAGTCGGCTGCTGATCAAGCAGCTGTTGACCAGAAGGCTCAACAGGATGCTGCTGGAGGCATGAAGCAAGAGCAAGCACAGAATGCCAATGACCAACAGGCGGCGGACCAAGCGGCTGCTGACCAACAGGCGCAGCAGGATGCCGCTGCCGGTGGTAAAGACCAGGCACAAAATGCGGCACAAGATGGTGCTGCAGCCGACCAAGCTGCGGCCGACCAACAGGTATATTTTAAAACCAATGTTGTGTACCAAGACGACTCACTGACTTTTACGGGCTGCTCAGGATGCTAAGCAAAACAAGAATGGAAAACAGCAACAGGAGGCAATGGATCAAGCTGCAGCTGATCAGCAAGCCGCTCAACAGCAAGAGGGTGCTATGGGAGCTGACCAGGCAAAGCAACAGCAACAACAGCAAGAGTTAGAGCAAGCTGCTGCTGAGCAAGAGGCCGCTCAACAAGAAGCCGACCAGAAGCAGAAGGCAAAGGACCAAGCTCAGATGCAACAAGACGCCGCCAACGGTAAGGGCCAAGCTGCCGCTGACCAAGCTGCTGCCGACCAAGCCGCTCAAGCTGGAAGTAAGTGACACGCTCTCTCATGACCTGTTCATCTGCTAACAGAGCTTTAGATGCTACTGGAGTAGTTGATGCCGGAGCCGCTGCCAACGGTACCGGCAACGCAAACAATGGCAATAACAACAACGGCAAGGGCAAGGGCAAAGGCAAGGGAAAGGGAAAGGGAAAGGGCAAGAACAATGGCAACAACGGTAACAACGGCATCTCACAGCTTCTCCAAGAGGCTGAGGCAGCCCTCCAGGCTGGCGGACAGCAGGGTGGAGCTGGCGGAGCTGGCGGAGCTGGTGGCATCGAGGGTCTTCTTAGCAGCCTTCTCGGCGGTGGTGCTGGAGGTGCCGGTGCTGGAGCTGGAGCTGGAGCTGGTCAGCAAAAGGCTGGTGGAATCGCAGGTCTTGACTTGAGCAAGCTTGGCATTGGACGCCGTGCCTTCCGTGCCTAGACATGAGAGACGATCAGGAGTTCATCGTTGAACGATATAACTTCCCCCGCATCACATACGAGCTTATGAAGACTGCTGCTTCTAGACGAAGTATAAGCCACTTAGATATCCGGTAATATCACATCAGAATGATAATGAGTTTCACCAAATACCTACTCCAACCCCCAACAACACTCACACATACTCGTCCCCCTTCATCCATCCCAACTGCTTCCACATATGCAGCTTATCCCACTCCTTGGTCCACCCTTTGATTTTCCCATCTTCAACCTCGAAAATAGCCGCAGCATGCCAAGCCGCCTTATTCCCACTGGCCTCGATCCCATTATGCGGCTCTCCGCAATGGCTTCCACTGGCACTATACCTCAAGCACACGTGTCCACCTTTTGCAAAGATGACATCGTATGAGTCGATGTGCAGATCAGACACTGCGGCCATGACTTTAGAATGCGATTCAGCGTATTCTTGGGGCGAGTTGACGCCAGGGAAGGTGGTTGGGGCGATGAAGTAGGCGTGATCATGGCAAAGGTGGGCGACAGTTTGAGCGCCTTTGTTTTCGGACGGAGAGTAGGCTAGGCGCATATACTCTTTCACTATGTCGACGTTCTTCTGCGGTGAACTAGTAAGGATTGGGTTTGTAGAGGTACCTTTTGGAAGACTTACCTGCTCCACGTCGGATTGAGTTGTACTCTGCTTGACGGGTGGGTACTTGTTGTCTGACATGATAGTATTGCTTTGGTTGATTTTGTGATGTTGTGGTCTTAACAGAGAGTCTTGAGATTGTTTATAGGTAAGATATGTATAATGACGGCACGTCTTCATCGTGATGTCATCCCTACAAGGACCTAGACGGTCACGGGGACATGATGGTGTTGGGAATAAATTTGAAGAAAAAGGTATTGTAATTGAGGTGAAAGACATATAAAAGACAGTGGAAAATAAGTAATGTTTTATTGTGTGCTCCGCATACCAGGCGATTCACTGATGTAGTTGCCATGCCACAAGACGTGGTCATCATGTCCCGGGTTGAACCCTGAAAAGCAGACCATCTGGCGATTGAATGGCCTTAGCTTTGATCTTTGGTGCATACAAGCCTACAGAGCGAAGCCTATTGCTGATCGCATACGCGCTCGACGCGTTGTCGCGTGGTCATGTGAGGCTCTGAAGACTACATGACGCTAATTGTTATACGCGTGATACGATACGAAGACACTTGGGCAGATACTACGTCCTGTTTAAAAAGACATGTAACGCGTATGTTTGGAGCGTCAGCACTCGGTCCTTCGGCTTTGTCTTCTGTCTTCGAGATCAGTGCTTGTTCAACTACCCACAAACGAGTCGCGTACGATGACGAACCATCACGAGCCGTGGGCAAGAGCTAGATCGAGTGCGTCCATGCAGTTGATAGACATGCGTCCTATAATGGATCAATTGTAGTCCGGACGGCGTCTCAGCCAGTCATACTCTGGTCTCCGTCTGCATCCTCTGCTTGAGCGACCGGCCGACCGAGCTCCTTCAAGGAAGCTTTCAGCCGCGCAATACGCGCTTCCAGGTGCTCAATCTCATCTTCTTGGTCCTCACATGTGCGATCCATGTCCGGCAAGGCCGCCACTGCGCGTCGTGCCTTTTGTATCTTGAGGCGGATGTCGTTCGCTGCGGTCGCAACGTGTTGGATCTCGAGAGGCCCCTCTGCGGCAAGCTGTGCAGGGGTTGGCGTGGCAGCTTGTGGCTGAGCAGGCGTCTCAAGAATGCGCTTAAGGAGCTTGTGGAGGTCAGGGAGGATATCAAACGTCGAGGGCGGAGGGAGAGTCGGGGTGCTCGTGGTAGGAGGAGGAGGCGGCGGCGGCAGAGCTGGCGTTTGAGGAACTGTAGGCGCAACTGAGGCTCGCGCTGAGGCAGGCGCATATGGTGTCGCAGCTCCCGACATGGTTGCGGATTACAGTGAGCTCGAGCTGAAGCTGTCTAGCGTCGAGTTTGTGTTCGAGAACACGCGTTGATGGGATGACGCTCCCTGCTCCTTCCACGGGTAGGGCTGAGGACAAGGCTGCTGATTGGACGGCGATTTCGCGAACGATAATCGCTATATTTATCTGATAGGAGTTTTTCGATGTCAAAGTGATCGCCAAATAGCGTGGTTGCTGGTTGCAATTCGAGATAAGTTCCGGACGTGGGTTGTGGGGGGAATGTGGATCAGTTGCGGAAAGATTGTGACGTGAACCGGCGATGCTTTTTTGAAGTTGACCATTTTAGCCCCGCCAACCCTGCCCCTCCGTCAACAAGTTGCTCTCTACCCTCTTCTCACCAGTCTTTCAAACCTCCCTTCTCGAGTGAATTCTCGAGTTTCTCCAATCCTTATTCCTAGAATCATCTGACCGACTCGTAGCCATGGCCAAGGTCGACCAGAAGACGGTCCTCATCGTTATCGATGGTTGGGGTGTCGCGACTGAGAAGTCGCGCAAAGATGGCGATGCTATCCTCGCTGCCGATACGCCTACTATGGATGAGTTCGCCAAGGACGGCTCCAAAACCGCACAGGGCTACACAGAACTCGAAGCCTCATCTCTCGCCGTTGGTCTTCCAGAGGGCCTGATGGGCAACAGCGAAGTCGGCCACTTGAACATCGGCGCTGGACGCGTTGTATGGCAAGATTCCGTCCGAATTGGACAGACCATTAAGAACGGAAAATTGAAGGACGTAGGAAACATCAAGAAGTCGTTCCAGCGCGCCATCGACGGTAACGGAAGGCTCCACTTCTGCGGTCTGGTTTCCGACGGTGGTGTCCACTCGCACATGGACCATCTAATCGCGCTCCTCCAGGTCGCGAAGGACCAGGGCGTCAAGGAGGCCTACATCCACTTCTTCGGAGACGGCCGAGACACCGACCCCAAGTCCGCGGTCGGATACATGGAGACTTTGCTCAAGGCTACCAAGGAAATCGGCCTCGGCGAGATCGCAACAGTGGTCGGACGATACTACATCATGGACCGTGACAAGAGGTGGGACCGTGTCGAGATTGGTATGAAGGGTCTAGTCACTGGAGAGGGCGAGGAGAGCAGTGACCCAGTCGCAACCATCAAGGAGCGATACGCAAAAGACGAGAACGACGAGTTCCTCAAGCCCATCATTGTGGGAGGAAAGGAGCGAAGAATACAAGGTATAACACTATGCTGAGCACCTGCATGTCTACTTGCTGATTCGTCCAGACAACGACACCGTCTTCTTCTTCAACTACCGTTCCGATCGCGTGCGAGAAATCACTCAGCTGTTGGGCGATGTCGACCGCTCGCCCAAGCCCGACTTCCCGTACCCCCAGAACATTGACCTCACCACCATGACATCGTACAACCCCAAATACACCTTCAACGTTGCGTTTGAGCCCCAGCGCATGACAGATGTTCTTGCCGAGACACTAGGAAAGCAGGGCGTCAAGCAGTGTCACGTTGCCGAGACTGAAAAGTATGCTCATGTCACTTTCTTCTTCAACGGCGGTGTCGAGAAGCAGTTTGAGAACGAGGAGCGCGAGATGGTTCCTTCACCAAAGGTAGCTACCTACGACCTGGAGCCAAAGATGAGCGCCATGGCTGTCGCAGAGAAGCTGTGCGAGCGCATTCAGACCGGAAAATTCGAGTTCCTTATGAACAACTTTGCGCCACCAGACATGGTTGGTCACACTGGTGTTTACAAGGCAGCCATCGAAGCATGCACAGAGACGGACAAGGCTATCAAGAAGGTCTACGACCAGTGCAAAGAGAGTGGATATGTCTTGTTCGTCACTGCCGACCACGGGTAAGTCCTCATGATCTGCGCCGGTTGAGGTAGTGCTGACATTGTACAAGTAACGCCGAAGAGATGCTCACTGAGGAGGGTACCCCTAAGACCTCCCACACAACTAACAAGGTGCCTTTCGTTATGGCCAACGCACCTGAAGGCTGGAGCCTGAAAAAGAGTGACGGCGTGCTTGGTGACGTCGCGCCCACGCTTCTTGCCACTATGGGTCTTCAGCAGCCTGAAGACATGGATGGCCACAGCTTGCTCGTCAAGTCGTAGAGTTTCCAGTTGCGATAGAGACCGGAAAACACAGTCTTTGGATGCATCGTCCTGACGTTCTTTGCTTAGGTTCAGGTATATCTAGACGAGGAGAGCTATGACGTATAGAAACTCACATAGACGGAAACAAATAAAAAGCAACGTAACAGTGCGCATAGCCGCCGCTCTCGGAAGCTTGTCAGTTCAGGTGTCGCTTGCATACGACTAGGTATGAATGTTGCGGTTGATACCAGGGTCTTCGATCCCGGCTGAGCGGCTACCATCCCACTATTCTCACACGGGCAACCTTGGCAACGACAGGGGTAAAGTCACCGGCGGGGAATCGTGTGGACCCCTCCTTACGCACTTCAGGTTACGACAGCCATCTTTTCTATCCTCCCATAGCTTTTCCTGCTATATTCATAGCCTTTGAGATACCACTCCTCTTACCGTGAGCAGACAGACTTGCGTCAATCTCGGTCATCAGCAATACTATCCCATCACGTGCCATCCAGCAGCTCCGCGCACCCACTATCGACGTCGATCAGGAGCCGTCGCAATACTCCCGAGTCTCCACAAACTTTCGCTACTGCTCCAAGATACTCAATCTGTGACACAGGCTGTCATAAGCCCACTTTGTGTTGCGTCGCCCAACTCACCTGTCGGTTCTGTGATCTTCGATACCCAGCCTGAGGCATCGGTACCTGACTGCGCCCTCTCAAGGCCCTCGCAATCGCAACCACCATAAGACACTCCAAACACTTCCGCCCACTTTAGTTCTTCAAAAACCCACTTCAGCATAACAATGGCGACGCGAACTTCGAACGGCGTGTCTGGGGCGCAAGGTACACAGACGGCAGCGCAAGTACAGCCTTGCCGATACAAGACTGGCAAGACTTTGGGTGCAGGCAGCTACTCTGTAGTCAAGGAGTGCGTGCACATTGATACAGGAAGATACTATGCCGCGAAGGTCATCAACAAGCGGCTCATGGCAGGCCGGGAACATATGGTCAGCTTGGTACTGAGCGACTGAAGGACGATAAGGCTGACAAAGTGCTAGGTCAGAAACGAGATCGCTGTGCTTAAGAGAGTATCTATGGGTCATAGGAACATTTTGACGCTCGTCGACTACTTTGAGACTATGAACAACCGTTTGTATTGACCTTCCTTGGGCTAAATCTTTCGCTAACGTGAATTCTAGTTTACCTAGTCACCGACCTCGCGCTTGGAGGCGAGCTCTTCGACCGCATCTGCCGAAAGGGCAACTACTACGAATCCGACGCTGGCGACCTTATCCGTGCCACACTCTCTGCTGTCGCATACCTCCACGACCACGGCATCGTGCATCGAGACTTGAAGCCTGAGAATCTGCTGTTCCGAACACCAGAAGACAATGCCGATCTGCTGATTGCCGACTTTGGACTGTCTCGCATTATGGATGAGGAGCAGTTCCACGTCCTGACCACGACGTGCGGAACACCAGGTTACATGGCACCTGAGATTTTCCGCAAGACTGGACACGGCAAACCGGTGTAAGGCAGACTGCACGATTGTATGATTCGTTGCTGACTTTTTGGCCAGTGACATCTGGGCTATTGGCGTTATCACGTACTTTCTCCTCTGCGGCTACACCCCATTCGACCGCGACTCCAACCTCGAAGAGATGCAGGCCATCTTAGTAGCAGACTACTCTTTCACACCCTTGGAATACTGGAGAGGTGTCTCCCTCACAGCGCGCGAGTTCATCCGCCGATGCTTGACCGTCGACCCTGCAGCGCGCATGACAGCTCATGAAGCGCTGTCCCATCCTTGGATCACGGAACTTGGCAAGAACAACGCTGATGGCGAAGAGGATCTCTTGCCTACCGTCAAGAAAAACTTCAATGCTCGACGTACACTGCACGCGGCTATCGATACAATTCGTGCTATCAACCAGCTAAGAGCAGGAGGTGCTGCTGGTATGATGGACGGCCAGCGATCCGCTGAACCACGGAGAGGTGCCCCTCACGCCAACATTCCTCAACCAGCGGAGGAGCCTGACGACCCCATGGAGATTGATAGCAGAGGAAACGGACACGGACAGACCGAAGAGATGATACAGGAACAAGAGCGGAGAATTAGGGAGACTCAGCAAGGTCTGTGGGGCAAGCGATGATGAGTGTCATCAACTATGTTTCTGTCAATTCTTTTCTTAGCACACGTTTTAGAGCGGATACCTTGGACTGTAGAAAGGGTTTCTTGTGATTACACTCCATGTTAACATTAGCGAAAGGCTAGGACTAGAGTCCTTTGCTCTGCACATTGGTTTCTGAAAGCTCACTATAAGAGATGGTATCCTTCCAACGAAATCCCGCCAACCATGCAGCCTACGGATATCTAACATACATTTCCATGTCAACCATTCATCCTCATTATAATACCGTGCATATCCTGGAAGGCCTGACTAGATCCTTCCTGCCTTTCTCTTGGGAGAAAAGCCGTACGCGAACGGAAGGTGAGTTACCTAAATACTGTACACTAGACCCACATCAGCTTTAACATCATCCCTACATAACATCTCCCAGCCTCGTTCCCAGTCCTCCAACCCCTCACCCCATCTCAACTTCAACATCCTTACGTCCCTGGCCTGTCTCCAGAACACTTGAAACGCTGCATACAAGTTATCAAAATATCCACCTCCAGCTGTCTCAATACCCTTTTCTTGCAGCAAGCTCGCGTTGACAATATTCAAGGACACTCTGTCAGCAAGCCGTTGTGCCGCCTTCTCTGGATCTTGAGGCATAACCTCACCACCGACTGTGACCAGTGTGAAAGGAATAGTTGGCGATAGGGAATACAGAGCGGATCGCCAGTTTGCATTTGCTCCGGGTCGGGCGCCGAAATCGAAGAGTACGATGCGTTCTGTATCTAATTTTCGAATTTCCGTGGCTGTTTCGCTGAAGTCGTCGTAAAGAACTGCGTTATCGTACCATCCAGTCCTCTTGATAACCTCGATAGAAGCACTTGAGCTAACGCCGATAATACGGGTAGGTTGGTGCTCAAGCGGTCGACAGTGCCGGAGGGCATATGCGAAGCAAGATGCCGTCTTGCCACTCGCATTCAACATGACAACTGTAGCACCCATTAATTTCACGTCCTCGGCGCTCCACTCCCCGTTTCCTGTAGGATGGATTCTTCTTCCCTTCCCTTCATCTTCTTCCTGCCATGGAAACACATAACTGCAGAGGTTATGCCCCACAGTAAACGGGCCCAACATCAGTGCTACCCAGCCCAACTCGTCACTCTGCTCGCTCTCATCAGCAACTTGACAAGGCCGACTGCAAACACGATATCGGTTATAAAGCTTCCACAAATGCTGTCTGTGCGCGTCCGTAACAACAACTTGGTTCTCGATGATACTCCCGTCTCGTGCATCCCTAGCTCTTTCTACAGTCACATCCTCCCACTCCGTGCTAGTGGGCAGGTACCCGTATACATTCATTCCTTTCTCAATGCCTTTAACAGTACTTTCTAGGATCTCGGCATAGCCCCATGCTGCAACGCGGCCGAATGCTGAGGTATCGTTGTATGGAGCTGGTGTTGTGGAGGGAAGCGGATACGTGGAGTACCAGCCCATTAAGTGGCCGAGGCGTGCATAGGAGAGGTTGTTTGTTGTTAGACTGACGACTGTAGTGCGGAGACGGAGAGAAGAGGGTGGAAGTGGAGTTGGGGGCTTTGGTGTGAGGGGGACAAGGTGGTGACATGTGTAATTTGTGAGAGAGAGGATGTGGGTGGCCGTCTGAGAGGACGGTGGTGATGCCATGGTGTGGGTAGGGTTGGATGGTAGGCTATCTAAGGTGTGACGACGCTGTTTGGGTTTTATCGACCGAGTCTTGAAGACAAACAATGGTGTATGCTTGCGGATACGCCATTGGTCTCTTCGTGATTATATGTTGATATCCCATCCACATTGAGTGCCCGGCCAAGACTTGGCTTGTCAGAATCCACACTTATCTCCGCTTGAGTCACAGAGATCGTACTTCCAGAGTACCTACAGCGAACATAAACTTGCCCGAATGACGAGGAGTTGTCATTCTTTATCCAATCAACGAGCCACTATGCTTACATACAAGGATGATGCGGGGCTCAGAAGGGCGTTTTGCTCTAACCAATCTAGGATGAAGGATTGGTATGTACTCTCAGGCTGGAGCCTGAATCCTTCTATATGCTATACGAAGTTGTTATCCGTACGTTCATCCTCCTTGCCATTCTCTCGTTTTTCGTCCGTCTTATTCCCATCCACGACCTTGCCACCCGCTTTTCGTCTACTCTCGACTAATGCTTTGATCAAAGCGACTGTAGCTTCCCATCCTTCTCTCAACTTATCCTCACTACTGCTCAAATCGGGTACATGTAGGAATACAACAGGTCTCTCTTCCTTCTTAATGTTGAAGTAATGCGCCAAGCTATTGTAGTATATGAAGCCACATAAGAAATTCCCAGCGTCGGTGCTGATGCGCACGTCCGAACATCCTTGGTCGATCTTAGTGCCGTCAACTGATATATATCCTAGGTTTGCTTTCCAGCGTGCGAGGACATCGGATGTATCAAAGCTAGTCTTTAGTTTGTGCGGGTACTTTGAAGATGGGAAGTGTTTTTCGGCTTCAGCGTCTTCGAATCGCTGGCCGTCTACGTCGGGAATCTTTCCATATCCGTGGCTGTGGGACCCTTGCTCGATGGCAAAGTAGTTTCGTCCAGCTGCTAGACCGATGTGCAGCACAATGTCTGGGGGAGGATAGAGAGGGTTGGCTGGTGGGAGGAGCTTGGGAACGAGACTGACGACATTATTGTATGCTACGCGGATAGGCTCGTAGTGAACGTGGATATTTATCGGAGTTTGGTTCTTGGGTGATTTTGGTATCAGAGCTGGGAGTGTAGAGGCGATATCCCAAGATGAGTTCTTGGGTACTTTCGTTAAAAATGGCTGGATACATGTTAGTCTATCCAATGACTGTATTCCAAGGTGTCCCGAATAGAAGACATGAACTGAATATCAGAGCATTCGAGAATCCATAGCAAGCTAGGGGAAAAAATTAACATACACCGAATCCAGTGACCAAAACGGTTACTGGCTTCTCCCCCTCTTCGCTCGGAGGCTGCGGAGCAGCGTAGGACGACGGCGGCATTGATAACCGGACTTAGCGGATGTTAAAGTTACGAATCGAGATGAACCAGGCAGAAGGGACTACCACGGTGTTAGCACATGCAGCAGAAGTTTCCATGCGGACGCGTCGAGAACGGTACTGCCTGTAATGATGATGCGCAGCTGCGAAAGAACGACTTGATGACGGCATGGTCAGGCTAACAAAAAGTCACGTTTACAGGCTCTCGAACTGCTTCACACCTATGAGAACAGCAAGACTTACAGCTATAGAAAAGTTTCAAGGGAATCGACGATACACGGTCATCACAGTCTGCGTTATCGAAGGCATTGTGGTCAGGTCGTGGAGGTGTTTCGGCACCCAGTTGGGTCTAGCGCATAACATATGAGGTCCCTGGTGACATATGCGCGAAGCCTCAACCGCCCGACTTCGTTCCCGAACGCTCATTTACCCCACATCTTTACATATATACCCCACATGGCAGCGGATTGCCCAATGCCGTCGGATATTTGCTTTATCGGATGAGCTCTTCTTGAGCACGTTCGGTATCGGGTAATGCACTTGTTTATATGATGCTCAGGCCGTCGCGTACTAGCTATGCGGGTACCGCGTTATTTAGGTACTACAGGACTATTGGAGAAGTCCACAGTGAATGACGTTTACGGAGCTGTCGTCCCACGCGTTATCGGAGTGACTTTCGCTCAAAAACAAAGTAAGTGCACAGAGCCGCGACTGGCAAGAGTTTTGTTTTTCTTCCATTGCAAATGCAGTCACGTTGCCGCCGCCATACTAACACCGACCCTTGAAGGACATCTTCCTGAACTCTAAGCCCGTACACTCGGCGCACCAGAATGGCTTCAACGAGCTCGTCTTCGAAACCCTACTCCCTCGCTATAGTAGGCGGTGGAATAGCCGGCCTCAGTCTCGCAATAACCCTCCTCCAATATGATATCCCACTCACGATCTATGAAGCCGCACCACACTTTGGCGAAATTGGGGCTGGGGTCGCATTCGGTCCCAATGCTGGACGCGCAATGGAGTTAATGTCTCCCAAGATATACCAGGCTTTCATGAAATGCAAGACAGGAAATGCAGACAACTCCAAGATGGACTCCTGGTTCACGATTCGTGTGGGAGATGCTAGGAGAGAAGACAAAGACAGATATGTAAGAGAGGGCAAGAAAGTCGGCGATGCACTTTTTGAGGTGCCCATGCATTCGGGCGGTGGCCGCGGTGGTGTATACAGAGCGCACTTCCTGGACGAACTGGTCAAAGACGTACCCGATAGTGTTGCCAAGTTCGACAAGAGGCTCGTGGAGATGAACGAAGCTCAAGATGGCTCTGGGGATATGGTGCTCAAGTTCGCCGATGGTTCGACAGCACAGCACAGCGCTGTGATCGGGTGCGATGGCATAAAATCTTTGACGAGAAAGTGGCTAGTTGGGAGAGACAACCCCGCGTCCAAAGCTGTCTTCTCTGGAAAGTACGCCTATCGAGGGCTGATACCCATGGACAAGGCCGTCGAGATTTTGGGCGATGACGTAGCACGGAACAGCCAGATGTATCTTGGATATCATGGCCACTTGCTTACCTTTCCTATTGAGCATGGGAAGACAATGAACGGTAAGGTCAAACATGGTCTATGGAGGACATTTGCTGACTATCGCAGTGGTTGCATTTAGCTCTCGCGATACTTGGGACGATGAGAAATGGGTCGTGACTACATCGAAAGAGGAGATGGAGGCAGACTTCAAAGAGTGGGGCCCACACGTTCAAAAGATTGTTGGGGCAATGCAGAAGCCAGATATTTGGGCGCTGTTCCAACACCCACCTTGCGATACCTATACTAAAGGCCGCGTTTGCCTACTGGGGGACGCAGCACACGCGACCACACCTCATCAAGGCGCTGGCGCTGGCATGTGTATAGAGGACTCTTACATCCTTGCCAGTCTAATCAAGGACGCGAATAACGCCGATGAGTTGCAGCGAGCCTTTGGCGCCTTCGACCAAGTCAGACGGGAGAGGACGCAGAAGAATGTGAAAACGAGCTACGAAGCCGGCAGGATGTACGATTTCGAGCTGTTCGGCGACGATCTTGATAAGATTGAGGACAGCTATATGCACAGGATGAGATGGATCTGGGATGTTGATCTAAAAGCGCAATTGGAGCAGGCGCAGAAGATTATGAGGTCATGATAGTAAGGGATCGTCTTAGCACCATACCAAGAGTAACATGAGATACCAGCCTTCAATAAATTCTCCTCCCTAATCCATAACATCATCTCTCAGAGAGAAAATCTGCTTCAGCACCTCATCCGTCTTGGCTCCGATCCCGTTGTGGTACATTGTGTTCGTGACGAAGGTCTTGCATCCCTTGATAGTATTTGCCGTCTCCATACTTAGATCAAGGTCAACGTACATATCATCAATGTACACCGCAGCATACGTCGGTACATCATTCTTCCTCAATTGCTCTTTGTCGTACAGTCGCGGCCAGTCTTTCTCTTCCGCCAAAAGCTTGCCAACAGTCTTGAGCTTGGCGAGCTCTGGGTAAACGTCGAACATGAAAGGATAGATCATCTCGCCCGTGAAATAGACTGGTTCGTCGCTGTCCACTCGGGAGAGGGAGAACTCAGGGTGTTTAGGAAGGAGACGCTCTGCAGACCAATTCGAGGCCTCGCCTTGACAGTAGATCGGCTCATGAAGAAGTGCATAGATGACGTTCGTGTCCCAGCTTTGTGCTGCCTCTAGTGCGAGAACGGTGGGTCGTGTCAGATGTCCGAACTGAATCAGATCAGTGTCGGCACGGAGAACAAATTCGTGGACGTCATCGAAGCCTCCATGTTTACCGAAGTAGATTCCAAGTTGCAGGAAGCGACGTGCAGAAAGGTAGCCTTCGCCGCCTTGGACGCGTACGGTGGTATCGCCGAAGCGAGAGAGGAGTTTGACGATGCGTTTGACGCGATCGATGTCTTCAGGGTATTTTGCGTAGTATCCTTCGTTCCTGCTCTTGACACGTGCGTAAAGGCGCTCATAAACTTCATCTGGACCATCTCTTAGTGGTGGCAAGCCGCCGAAGAGAAACGCTTCTTTGACTCCTTCAGGATAGAAGGACAAGTAACTTAAGCAACAGAATCCTCCAAAACTCTGTCCCATGATGCTCCATTTCTTCTTTTCTTCGGGATAGTCCTCCGTCAATGCTTTTCTTACAGCCTCGCAGTCTTTGACAATACTATCAGCTCTAAAGCTCTTCATATAATCTGCCTGCACCTTCTCGTCACCCCTCAACTGTAGGCTCGACTGGCTTATTGCTGTTGAAAGACCAGTTCCACGTTGGTCTAACATGAGCACTTGGTAACCTTTATCGAGAATCGTCTGAGTCCAGGATACCTTTTCGGGGCTGCGGCACTCGAAGCCTGGGCCGCCTTGTAGATATACGAGCCATGGGAGTTGGGTCTTGGTGGATTCAAGATGCGACTTGGAAGTGTAGTCTGCGGGCTTCTCGGCTTTCAGAGCGGAGCGAGCGAAGAGTTGGATTGTTCCTGCAGAAGGATTGGCTGAGGAGGAAGGAAGTGTTAGCACGATATTGTAGCTCTATACAATTCTTGAGCCGGTAGTCTTGCATGAAGCTATCACTTGTAGATAGCCAATGGCTTGCGGAATATGAAATGATTGTAACGTACAATAATCACGGGGTACTTCGAAGAAGTGCTCCGTTATTCTCAACTTGCCTGTTCGTAATCAGTCAGGAAATCTGAATGATCGTGAGAGGTCAGTATGATACCAGGTACTAGGTGACTCCTCTGTCCGAGGATCTTTGCTGCTTGTATCATCTTCGTCATTGTTTGTAGTGTCGGATGTAAGGCGGGGAGTAGTGAATGTATACATCGCTATCGATAAGAAAGCCCACCCCGTAGCGCCTGCTCCGAAGGATTGCTGGTACGGGACAGGCTGCACGCGATAACTTGCACTTGCATTTGCAATATCGCACTTATTTGTTACAATATTCAAGATCTGGAGTCTTCAATCGTGATCAATTTGGACGTTCGCGAAATTGGAAGCAAGGTGCTGTACAATCAACGTCGACGCTGGGAAATTTTCCAACTGAGGGGCAAAACGCGGAGAACTTTCTATCGGCAGCCCGAATAGCTCCCACCCATACAGCATTTTGCAACTGCATTGATTCAAGCTCCAAATTTAGACATGGCCAAAGACAAGAAGAAGGCGGCGGCGGGAGGCAAAGCAGCAGCTAAAGCTGCAAAGGCCGCTAAGCAAGAGAAGAAAGCAGGCAAAAAAGACAAGAAGGTCGCATCGAAGACACAGGAGATCGACTCTGATGCGGAGGATGTCGACCTGGATGACATCTTAGCACAGTACGCGAAAGAGCAGGAACAACACCATGCGATAACGGAAATACCCGCTGAGCCGCCCTCTGCCCGGACTTCGAGCACGCTCATCGCCAATCCAGCAAACGAAAATGAGATCTTCTTGTTCGGAGGCGAGTACTTCAACGGAGCGACCGCGAAGTTTTTCAATGATCTCATGATTTACAACATCAAGCAAGATTCCTGGAAGCAAGTCACAAGTCCGAACTCACCACTGCCTCGATCTGGGCATGCCTGGTGTCGAGCTGCAAACACAAAAGAAATCTATCTATTTGGCGGAGAGTTCAGTTCCCCGAAGCAAGGGACGTTCTATCACTACAACGACTTCTGGAAGCTTGATCCGGTGACTAGAGAATGGACGCGCATGGAGGGGAAGAGCAAGACAGCCGCTCCGCCAGCGCGAAGCGGACATCGCATGGTTGGCTTCAAACAGTACATTATCCTGTTTGGCGGTTTCCAAGACACATCTGCTACGACAAAATATCTCAACGATCTTTGGATATACGACTGCGTCAACTTCTCGTGGCATACACCAAAGCTCCAGGCAGCCCGCGCAGTACCCGACGCGCGATCGAGTTTTAGTCTGCTGCCACATGAGCAAGGTGCAGTCATCTATGGTGGGTACTCTCGTGTCAAAACCCAAGCTGGTGGCAAGCAACAGCAGCAAGGCAAGGGTAAGAAGAGCAGTGGTGGCGGCCCGGCATCACGCATGGTGCTGAAGCCGAAGGTTCACGACGATACCTGGTTCATACGTATCACACCTCCACCTGCTGATCAGCCATCCACAACGCTTCCGACTGTATCGTGGGAGAAGCGAAAGAAACCAGCGAATGCACCGAACCCGGCGCGCGCGGGTGCAACAATGGCCTACCATAAAGGTCGAGGAGTTCTATTCGGTGGTGTGCACGATGTGGAGGAAAGTGAGGAGGGTATTGATTCCGAGTTCTTCAATCAGCTTTTTATCTGGAACGTTGAGCGTAACCGTTACATGCCACTTACTCTACGTCGACCGAAGCTGAATGCGAACAAGAAGGCTGCTCAGCAGGCAAACATCAATCGCCGAGATCGTGGCAAGGCCGCAAAGGAGGAACTTTTAGCTAATCTCAAGGCTCTTGAGATGAAGGCCGGTGTCTCTTCAGATGCTGACTCTGATGACGAAGCTAAGAAAGCTAAAGAGGAAGAGGAAGAGGAAGAAGCGCGTCCCGAGAAGCCGAAGATTTTTGAATTCCCACACCCAAGATTTAACGCCGCACTTACGGTGCAAGCTGATACGCTCTACATATACGGTGGCACGTTCGAGAAAGGCGATCGCGAGTTCACTTTCGATGAACTCTGGTCTGTCAATCTCAATCATCTAGACGGCGTAACTGAGATCTTCAAGCGCGATCTTGAAGACTGGCAAGGCAGCGAAGACGAAGCCGACTCGGACGAAGAAGACGAGGATGATGAGTCTGAAGACGAAGAAGGCGACGAAGACGATAAGTCTGTATCGACAGCCCCAACCAGCGTTTTGGAGTCCCCTGCTGTCGCTCCTATCCATTCCGAAGATCTTGGGCCCCAGGAGGAGATTTCCGCGCTCACCGACACTCTTCCACACCCGCGTCCTTTCGAATCTTTACGTGACTTCTACGCCCGTACTTCAGAGCAGTGGCAAAATATCATTCTGGAAGAGTTGGAGAAGAAGGGCAAGATGGCCGAGAAGAGCCCAAAGGAAATCAAGAAGTTGGGTTTCGAGAGGGCAGAGGAGAAGTGGTGGGATTGCAGGGAGGAAATTCGTGCGCTGGAGGATGAGCAGGAGGCAGCAGGTATTGGTGAAGTTGTTAGTCTGGCGGACAAGGAGGGTGCAGGAGTGGGAAGGAGAAGGTAGTAGACCTGCGGTGAGCTTGCTTAACCTTAGCTGCATACGAGCTGTACATGTACACATTCTGCTTGAGAATAAAGGTTTATTAAAGAAGAACAACAGAGGATGGCAGTTATAACTCAATAAACGACTATATTACCGCTTAATCTACATGATGGCTTCAACAACTTCCGACACCCAATCCAGTTGAACCGCACTAACGCCCCTAGCCCACGCTTTGCCCGTGAACACAAATTCGTTAAACACAATAGCCTCCACTTTCTTTCCAAAAAGCACTGAACTAGGGTGAATTGCTACCGTTTGGTTGCCTATCAACGTTTTGTAGCTGCCATCCGGCATCAACCTCGCTGTATTGGAGATGAAACCACGTAACATGCACGCCAATATAGCTTGACTTCGAGCTTCCGAAGGGGCATTTTCAGACTCCTCGTCGTCGGTCGATAGTAGCTTCTGTTGTGTGCATTGCTGTCGTAGTTGTTTCCTGATGTTCATTACGTTCTCCATAGCACGGTGAGATATATAGTGCTTGTCACACCAGGCTCGGCGATGTGGCTTCTGTTCAGCGGCATATCGTTGAACGGCCATGAGAAGTGTCAAGTGGTCACCTTCTCGACGATACAGCTCGCGTCGAGCTGCTTCTGCTTCTTCTTTGCGCTCTTCAGTCACAAGGTTCAGGAAGACGTTCTCGACGCTAAGTGCAGATATGACATCGACCACGTCGAGTAGGCAGTCACGTTCTGGTTTTGCTGCTTCGACTAGTACTCGTCCTAGTGTAGGTGTGAGCGGGAATTTAGCAATCTTGAGACCAGTGTCGCTGATCTCACCGGTCTCGGTAAGTGCTTGTAGATTCAAGAGCTGCAAGAGCGCTTTCTCCAGGGCTTCTCGCGGTGGCCGATCGAGGAATGGGAAACCGAGTACGTCGTCGACACCTCGTGCTTTCATCGTCAAGATTGCCTGACTAAGGTCGCAACGCAGAATCTCGGGTGTTGTGCGTTCTTCCATAGTATTATAGCCGCTTTCGGTGTAGAGTCGATAGCACTGACCAGGTGCCTCGCGACCAGCTCGACCTTTGCGTTGAATAGCTGCAGACTTGGAGATTGGTTTCACGAGCAGCGATTCGAGGCCCAGGCGATTCCGGAATTGCTTTATCTTCGACTTGCCGCAGTCTACCACAAAGCGAACACCAGGAACAGTAACTGACGTTTCAGCAATGTTGGTCGCAAGGATGACGCGTCGTGTGCGGTAGGGTGCTGGCTGGAAGATACGTTGTTGGGCATGTTGCGGAAGGGCGGCGAAAAGAGGCAGCACAAGAAGCTTGGGAACCTCGTCGTCCATACCTTCAGCGTAGTCATTTATAAGCTTCTCGAGCCCTTCGATAGTATCTTGACCAGTCAGAAACACCAGTATGTCGCCCGGCAAAGGTTCCTTGTAATGTATTTGAAAGACAAGCTTTAGAGCTGCTTCGACCCAATCCTGCGTTGGCTGCGGCAGGTACACCGTTTTGACTGGATATTGGCGTCCCTCCACGTAGCAGGTCGAGACGTTGCCCTTGTTTTCTGTCGCAGTTTTCGCTACCGTCTTCTCGGTGTTCGATACAGGTTGGCTGTCTCCAAAGAACTTGACAAGACTCTCCACGTCTGCTGTAGCACTCATTACTACAACCTTGAGCGGATGCTTCCTTGCTGTGCTACCCTCTTTAGCGGCCACCAGGTTCCTCAAGAATCCAAGAATCAAGTCGACATTAACACTTCGCTCGTGAACCTCGTCTACAACTATCGCGCTGTACTGCAACATATTTGGATCTCTGAGCATCTCTTGAAGCAGCATACCCTCTGTCAGAAACTTGACTTTGGTATGCTTTCCTGCGGCAGTATCGAAACGAACGCTGTACCCCACCTTGGCTGTAGGACCTTTGTCGCCAAGCAAGCTACCCATCTCGTCTGCGACGCGACGTGCTAGGGAGATTGCTGCTACTCTTCGAGGCTGCGTGATCGCTATACATCCGGTACACCAGGACTCGTTGGCCAAAAACTGCGGCACTTGTGTTGATTTTCCAGAACCAGTCTCTCCGGTTAGTACGAGGACATTGTTCCTTTGGAGAGCTGCCCTAATCGCGTCCGCCTGTGGCCAGATTGGAAGCTGCTTGCGGACCTGCCGTAACTCGTCACGCTTTAAGATAACGTGGGATGGCACTCTTAGATCCTGCTGGGGAACTCGAGACTTATCGGGATGCTTGTTCTTCAGCCGCACTTGTTGGTTGGGCTTTTGCTGGGTTTGGGTGGATTGGGCCGCTTCTGATTTCTTGCGCTTGTGCGCCTCCGCTGGCTGCTCAACTGAGGGGTTGACAACGCTTTTCGTTTCTTTGGTGTCGGCAGCTTGGGCTGCCTTCTCCGGAGTAGGCTTAGGAGTCTCATCATCAGAGTTGTCGAACTTAATCAATTGCCCTGCTCCCTTCTTGCCGCTCCAGCCATCCTTTGCCGGCTGAGCTCTCTTTCTTTTCTTTCCCTTTTTCAGTTCCACTGGCTGGTCCTCCATCCGTTCTACTCTAGGTTCGCTGCTCTTTTCCTTAGACATTTTGGTTGTCGCGTTGGATACGCGTTTCGTGTTGCCAGCCAAAAGTTTTCCAATCCTCTAGAGATCTTTATCGATAAGAACGCGTCCTAGGCTGGTTAGTGCGATCGCTTTAGAGCCTGCAGCCTCCTCCACACTCCCCGCATTCTTGGTCCCTCACTGTTCACATCCATCGTCGTATCCATGATGATGTGGAGTAGGGCGCAATGATAGACCGTAACAGTTCCGTACTTTCGGCTTGTGATATCCCGATGCTATGCGCTCTATGGTTGACCCCGCCGATGGCAATGATCAGCTAGACGATGATCAACCGGAATTTAGGCGCCACGGAGGATGCCGTCATAAGCCCTATAAATATGAATGAATAGTACCTGTTGCGAACGAATCACGAAGCCATCATGTTTTCGATGCAACTGGAGACGTGGGTCGGGGCTTTGTTTTTGCTTTCTTTTGCGTCGACAGGCGTGGAGAGCAAGATTGATCGCAAGTCGATTATCCAGCAGTACAATCTCAAGCTTAACCGTTCGCACTCATATAGCCCAGTCCAAGTAGGCAACGGAAACTTTGCATTTGGGGTTGACGTTACCGGACTGCAGACCTTCCTTCCGCACAATACCCTCTCATCATGGGGGTGGCACAACTCCAGTCTGCCTTCAACACCAAATCAGACACTTCCATCGGACTATACCGGCGTTGACTGGTGGACTCACGATCGTCTCGTCAACTATGCGCAACCCAATCCTGAACAGAAGGACATCAGTCAATGGATGATTGCGAATCCACATCGAATCAATCTGGGAAGAGTTGGCTTGTGGTTCGGTGGCATTGCGGGTGGAAATGTCACTGAAGACCTGCTTAGTGACAAAGAGCAGATATTGGAGCTCTGGGAAGGTGCCATCAGGTCGTCCTTCTCTATCAATGGATCAGAAGTTGTGGTGACAACTATTGCCAGTCCAGAGACGGACACTGTGGCTGTAGAGATATCGTCTAGCCTGGTGAGAACAGCAGGGTTGGGTGCTTTCTTCGACTTCCCTTACGCGACCGGGAAGAATAAGTTTGATGCACCATTCGTCGGTTTCTTCAACGCTACTTCAAACCATTCCACGACAGACGAATATAGAAACAAGGGCGCAACGATCACTCACAATTTGGATGCGACGACGTATGTAGCGGATATTGCCTGGGAAGGGTATGCTCGGCTCTCGCGCCTACACAGCGATGAGCACAAGTACATCTTAGCCGCCAGCCAGAACTCCGAAAAGCTTTCGTTCACTGTGACGTATGCTCCTCGCGTGGCCAACATATCTTGCACCCCCGACGCGGTCAAACAGAAGGCTCAAACGTGGTGGGCAGACTACTGGTCGACCGGCGCATTCTTGTCACTTCCTTCAGCTAGCAACTCTTCTGCAAATGAGTTGCAGCGCCGCACAATCCTTTCTCAGTACCTCCTTGCTGTGAACGGGGCCGGCAAAGATCCCGCACAAGAATCCGGCTTGGTGAACAATGGTTGGTACGGCAAGTTTCACATGGAGATGGTATTCTGGCATCTAGCCCATTGGATGTTCTGGGACAAATGGGACCTTTACGATCGCAGTGTCGGCGTTTATAAGCGCTTCCTGCCCAGCAGCTTCGACCGAGCGGAAAAACAAGGATACGAAGGCGCGCGCATCGGCAAGATGAGTGACCCAAGCGGTCGATCTGCGCCAGGCGAGATCAACAGTCTGCTCATCTGGCAACAACCACATCCCATGTACTTTGCCGAGATGGAGTATCGATCTTTCCCGACCGAAAAGACTCTCGAAAAATGGGATGACATCTTGACAGGGGTGGCCGACTTCATGGCCAGCTATGCTTTCTGGAATTCTACAACGAATCGCTACGATCTTGGCCCGCCTTTATACCCAGTCTCTGAAAACACTAAACCTAATGACACTATCAATCCGGCTTTCGAGCTGGCATATTGGCGTTTCGGTCTCGATGTAGCGTCAAAGTGGCGAGCACGACAAAACAAGTCCATCCCAGAGCCTTGGACACACGTACATGATAATCTCGCGCCTTTCCCTACTGAAGAGGATGCATATGTAACATACGAGGGTATACCAGATATGTGGACTACACCAGAGTATACAGAAGACCACCCAGGCCTAATTGGTCTCGTCGGTTGGCTTCCTCCAGACTCTCGCGTCAACACGACGATCTTCAATAACACTATTGCAAAGGTGCACGAGACCTGGAACTTTCCCTTTTCGTACGGCTGGGACTTCCCACTATTGGCCATCACGGAAGCAAGGAGAGGTGATGCAGAACGAGCGGTTAGTCAGTTGCTTGATGTGAACAATGCTTTCGATGAGGTAGGTATGCCGGAGGGTGGGACAAGGGTGCCCACGCCGTATTTCCCGAGTGCGGCGGGCCTGCTGCTTGCTGTTGGGATGATGTGCGGTGGTTGGGATGGGTATGAGGGGCCGGTTTGGCCGTCACATTGGGATGTTGAGTGTGAAGGTTTCACGAGGGGCATGTGAGTACAAATATGACATGGAACAATCGAACAGGCGTTTTTGCTCTCAGCATACGACGTACACTATTGATCTGATCCTAGCAATGTATCAGTTGCGCTCTCTACAAAATCTGTGCAAATCGATTCCTGTGGTGCTTCCATCTCCTCCAAAACGTCCGTGAGAGCGACATCTTGTTCATCTAATATCGAAACACCCAGCTTTAGCAGCTTTTTTGCATGAATGTTGAACTCCCTCCAAGTGACCACTCTTCTCGTGTCAGCATGTCGCATCGTCTCCCGCCAATTAAACGGCCCTGGTTTGGATTGATACCGTCTGTCTATCATCATGTTCTTGACCACGCGAATGATATGTAGCCTCTTTTCTGGTGGTAGTAGTTGCACAGTCTGGACAAGCGCCCTAAGAACTACCACTTGATAACCTAGATTTGTACCGAACCGGGGGAGAACAATTTGAGTAACTGACGTGGGAAGATCGTCGAAAATATCCTGTACGTCGAAGATATGATATACGTTCAAACATGGTGTATGGGAAAAGACTGCGTGTCGAATGTCTCGACAACTGTCGTTGATTTTCACCATCCTTAAGCCAGCTCCGTGCTTCGCCATGAAAGCGAACAGGCCATCAGCCTCTTCGCGCAAGTACTTTGAGAAGCCAACGTCATTAGATTTTAGGCATGCAAAAGCTGAAAGCCCGGGCATGATCCATCGTGAAAGCCAAATCATCAAGGCATCGACGGTTCCATCCGCGACTATTTGGAGTGTATGTAGATTCGGCAGGTTAGGAGGTTCCATCGAGTCCAAGACGCCCGTCTGGCTGTGGATTCCAATGTGGAGATCTGTCAGAGCCGTAAAGTGTTTCAGAAATGGAAGCACTTCTGGCGGTTTCATGAGGCTACCGTACGGGGCAGCGCAATCTACAGCCAGTTTCGTGAGCTGTAATCTGTGAGAGCGTGCGATGGATGCCATTTGAGAGCCATGTAGGTCCACATGGCAACATAGCTCGCTTAGGTTTGTCATGCGGGAAATTAGAGCAGGCAGTGCTTCTTGTAATGCCCCCAAGGCTGATCCAGTAACTTCTTCACGACAATCTCTTTGGATCCAGAATGAGCGAACCAAAGAAGCTTTTGGGGTACCAGAATCGGTCGTTTGGTCCAAGATACGGGCCAGAGCTGCAATGTGATCTGTCGTAAGAACAAAATGAGAACGGCAAGTTCCCGGATGATCACCGTTGCCATTGAGTGCGATGTGGTGATAGGAGAGTGGCTTTAGCATATCCTATACAGTGTCAGACATATGGTTCATGAGACTAGTTTAGCAAATATATTACCCTCCAAGACCTGCAAACATACTGTAATCTCTGTAGATCACGCGTTCTTTCTTTTCTGTATTCATAAGACTGGTCGAAAATGTGTGCGTCGTACGTGACCACATGCTCGAATATGGTGAGCCAAAGCTCGGTAGGTAAAGCGGGCAAGGCGTGAGCCTTAGTGAGAGGCTCATCATGCTGTTCGACGGTATCATCCATGATGTTGTGGGCTCAAAGTGGAGGCCGGAATATTGATTTAGTAACACTTCCTCGAAGGCGGTTGTTCTGCGTTCAGAAGTCCTTCCTCAGGGCGGGTGGTAACGCTAGCACTGATGGGGTTAGGCGTTGAATCTGGTGCTTCGGTGACATATGAAATGACATCTGGATATACTCTCGTCAATCGCAACTTCCCGTTTGAAGTTGTATTCTCCAACACATGGGATGGGATGTGTTCAGTGAATGCATTGACTAATCTCTACATACTTTCCTCCATAGTCATCGTTTCCGTAATAAGCTTCTTGTCACTCAACAGGACATCCTGGAAGTGACTTGATGTCATCAGCCTTCTTGCTCTTTAGCATTCGCTATGTTGCAGAGCAGAATAGACCATGGTGAAGTGAGAGATTCATTTGATTGAAGTCTTCCATGCTCACTCTCCATGATGTTTGCTCAGCTGGTGGTGTCCTCTTGCATGCCATCAACGCCTTTGACACGGAAACTTAGCCCCCTCTCTGCCGACATGTATGGTGACTATGTCGAAAATACTATGCACTATAGGTACAGCATCTTCATCGATGACGCAGTTAAGTAAAGGCAACAGAAATGAACGAATTTTTAACGCGTCTTACGATTTGACGAGGATGAAGACGAGTGGTGAAAGCGTAGTCCTGCGCACTCAAGTAAGCGCAACTGCCGTAGTGAAGTAAAGTGAACCAAAGTATACCCGCATGTCTATGATGTGATCTCTTTATTTTACATTCTTCATGATATAGTACAAAGTCGTTGTTCCGTTCCTCATGACCATCGAATCTTCATTTTCCACTGGTCTAGCTTGGCCTCCCACCACGTCTTTTTGGGCGCCCGCTCAATCTCCTCCATCAACCTTGTGTAGTGCTCCGGCGCAGACGTTGGCTTTAGTACGCCCGGCGATAGGGCATATTTAGTGCTATACCGGTTCTCCAGTAACGAGAACAATGCGTTTACTTGGCCTTGCTCGAGCTTGGGATTCGCAGGTGGTGCCGATGCGGCAGGTGTTGTAGGTGCGGGAGACTGTGGTTTTGCGCCTTCTTCGGGGACGGGAGTTATGGGTTGTAGGCCGAATGGTTTACCATGATGCTCGATTGCGCGTGTGAATGGAAGATTGGGGCGCAAAGCGTCCTTTGGCCAGAGGGCGAGCAGGCGGGTGTATTGTTTTGTGATCTGAAATTTGTTAGCCAACTATGTCTGGGTGCGTTGTTGTAAACTCACAGTATTTGCCATGATGGTGCGTGTAGATTGCGACAGGCGGGTATTCTTCACTTTGTTTCCAGACCAAAAGTCGATGATGCTTCGGTAACCAGGGTCCAGTTGCATCGTCCGTGCATTATTGGATCGTGGCGCAGCGCCTGTGTCGCATGGCCCAAAAGCGACAAAGTCAGGCAAGTTGCATTTGAAACGCCTCCTCCGCTGCACCTGCCGCCTGACACGCTCCACCACCTGCACTTCCCTTCTACAACCGCCGCCTTTCTCTCGTCCACACTCGCTGCCTTGGCTATTCCTACCACCTCTTTCCTAGACGACACAGGATAAATCTACCGTCGCACGCTTCACGTCACACATCCGGTTATCCGCGCAACATGCCTAGCCAGGGCTACGAGAGGGTACGCTGTCCCAGTTCGTCCGGAGCATCATGCGCCTGCGCAACCCCCCTTATATTGCTTTCACAACGGCAACACTAACGCATTGATTCAGGTAGCCGCCCAGGACGAAGAAGAATCACCCCAGAGGTTGCAGTCCGGTCAGCAGTGGCCGCCTGCCTCGCCGCCACCATCATTCCACTCTCGCGCATCATCACCAAACGGCACATCACGACGTCTCTTGTCCGAGGATCCGACACCAAACGAGGAAGACCGCACACTCGCCGATACCTTCGACTCGGATTCCGATGACGACGACGACGATAACGATGGGCGCGATGATCGGCAGCGGCTGATGCGGGGAAACCCAAGGACAGAAGACGAGCCTGTGGCACCGGGCATCCAAAGGAGAGTGACGGAACTGCCAGTATTCAACACACAGGCGCCGAGCAGCGGACGGGTCTACGGTGGAGGAAATGGTGGCGTGTGGGCGAATCTGAGCGCAAAGCCAACCAGAGGGGAGGATGCCGAGGAGAAGCCTCCGGTACGTACTGGGTTATCGACACGGTATACCAAGCACTGCTAACAACCACCAGACATACGAACAAGCTGCCGCAGACGCAACACCACCCTACTGGGAAACCACCATCCTCGCTCCCGGCACTTTTGGCGATGAAGTCTTCGTCGAAGGTCTCCCCGTCGGCTCCCTCTTCAGTTTCCTCTGGAACGCCATAATATCCATGTCCTTCCAACTCGTCGGTTTCCTCCTCACCTACCTGCTCCACACTACCCACGCCGCAAAGAATGGATCCCGCGCTGGTCTCGGTATCACACTCGTACAATTCGGTTTTGGTTTCCGCTCCGCCGTACTTAGTCCGAACAACGGCAGCAATGACAACCCTGGGCAAGGATTCGACGGTGGTGTTCCAAGTGATCCGAATGCGCACGACTTCGACCCCAACAAGGTTGGCAGTGGAAGCACGGGTGGCAGTGACATGACACCCGCGGCGAGTGCCATTACAGGCAGTGACTGGATAGCTTACGGCTTGATGATTGTCGGCTGGTTTATTTTGATCAAAAGTGTGTCGGATTTCATCCGAGCAAGGCGGCACGAACAACTCGTCCTCCAGTCTCCCGACCGGGGGCTGGGCGTGGCTGTTGTCGCCGAGGGCGAGAGCCCAGAGCGCAGTGTATAATTTCTTCAACGAGCCTCAGACTGGCATTCTCTTCTCTCTCTTTTCATAGCGTATTACTTGGTTGCATCTAGGGATGGAGTTCTTTTCGGCTAAAGACAGATCGAAAGATGCGCGTTTCGCTGTTGTAGCAGCACATCACTGCACGATTTTCCTTACTTATTTACCACTTTTGCTATTCAATCCCGATCTATGGGTTTCTTCTACATGAAGTGGATTAACTCGAATCCTCGTGCTTCATAGTGGTACTTACACACCATAGCTCATAGCGATTCCAAAGGAAGGCCCTCGGACTGCACTCCCGTGCCACAGTGTTAATAGCTGCGATATGACCTGACAATCAATTGACAAATTGGGCTTCAACGTAAACAAAGTACCAGTCATGGTATAGAGGTGTTGAATTAATCTATTTGAATATTGTACGTGCACACATTGCGCTGGGTATCTTGGGGGCAAAAATCTCAAAAACGACCATGGTCAAATTGCACAGTCCCCACTCCAACATGATCAAATCATATGCCTAGTGGAATGTTAGCCTAATCTCTCCAAAGGCATGACAGATGTAACCTACCAGAGGGAACCAGCGCGCATGAACCTTGAGAACACGACGAATTTAGCATGCGATCCAAAGGAGTTGCAACTGGTTACATGACAACGCACTTTTCAGTCGCATACACCTCTCCATACTGATCCACGCCTGCCATCAGCTGGTTGTATCGCTGCTTGTTCTTGACCTCTTCCGGAAACCACTTCTTGAGGAAGGCGGCTTGTTCGGTATCCAGATTATCTGTCATGTTGTTTAGAAAACTGTCTCCTATGTGTAGAGGGGAGAGGTGGTGCTTACCTGAATTGGCATCAAAAACAGTCTTCTCGCGGCAGAAAGGACAGTTGTACTGCTTGTTGTTCTGCATGACGATCAAGCACCTGATGCAGAAAGTATGGTTGCAGCTCAGTTTTACCGGCCGCCATTGAATCTCCATGCACATGGGACACGAGTAGTCGTCTATTTGCGGAATGTGCGAGAGGATCTGTGTGTTTACTTCTGCGCAGACGGCTTTGGCGAGGTGTTCGGAGAACTCTGGGTATTCTACTTGACGGGGGAATGTGGATTTTACGCCTAGAGCTGTGCGTTTGTCGAATTCTGGTGTATGTTTAGTACATGGCATATACGTTTGCAAAACAAGTGCAAAAAACTTACTTTTAAGAATCTTGATCATGGCATTGTGGTTGATTTCGCCAAATCGCAAACCTTGGAGAATCTCTCGGTTGATGTGCATGAACGTGTTCAGCGCTTGCAAGTTTTCCTTCTTCTTCAACTGTTCCACCAAACCGGCCTTGGCAATCTTGTTGGAGAATCCAGCCAGTCGTGCCATTGCCTTTTCTGAATCATGCGATTTATGGTCAATTTCTGTTGTGCCAAAAAAGATGCCCTCCTCAACATATATCTGGAAGATCTGGCGCCACGCAGTGAGCATCTTCCTATTGGCTCTTCGATCTGGGTTGGTCAACTTTGCAACTTGTTTCCCCAGTGCTTCAATCTGGACATTCATTCGCTTCTGCTCCCGCTCTTGCAGTTTCTCCAATCCTGTAACTTCACTGGTAAGTCTAGTGAAGAATTCCGTGTCCGAGGTGATGGGAACCTCCACTGTACGGTAACCTGGTCGGTTGTTGCGAGATACATTTTTGGGGGTGGTAGTTATGGAATTGGAGGGATCTACGGAGTCGACGGATTGTAGTGGCGAGTCCGAATCGTCCAAGACGCGCATATCAGACATGCCAGTCTCAACGGCCAGCATCTGAAGTTTGCGTCTGGTCTCATCGTCCAGCTGGGCGCTTAATACCTCTCCACTTGTCTCGTTTACGTAGAAGAGTAGCTTAGGATGGAAAGCTTTCCGCGACGACGAGGCATTGTCCTTGGAACTGTCGGGGTTGAGGATGTATTCGAATGGTCTTTCTTGGTCGTCATCCTCCTGTGTAGAAGCGTTGTAATCCTCGACATGTTTCAACAACTTGGACAACGTAGCAGGGTCAAGGCCCACTTGCTGCAGTTCGTCGGTAAGCCTCTTGATGCACTTCTTGAGCTGCGAGTAAGAGATGGCGGAATCGACCCACTCTGGCGGGAAGCCCTCATCCCGGAGAGTTTGCTTGAATAAATGGCCGAACTTCATGTTTGGGAAAGGGTCGACGAGGAACCGTGGTAAGGCTGGCCGATCAGGGGGCGCAGAGGGCGCACGTGGGGGGCTGAGTGGTTACAACGCTTAGCGGGGTACCTTCCACGCTTGTTCCGCCGCAGTTCCGTGGACCAGACTAACGGAGCCTTCCAGCGATCACCGGGCTTGGAATATGCAGATGCGGCTGTGTAGGTAGCTGATAGAATTTGAAGATGGTGTTTCGACGAGTATTGGACGTGTGGGTGGAGGAGAAGCGATGATGAATGCGAGAATAACGACTGCTCAACAAGGGCGTTTTGCTCCGCAGGTCATGCGCCTATCTGCCTATGAAGGATGCCGCTAAATGGAGACCCCAGAATTCGATGGAGAATAGCCTTACGCGATCATGAAGACATGGGGAACGCCTCTTTTATGAATCAAAACACATGCATGGCTTGTGCCGGCTTTCGGCGTTGTCTAGACTGTGGTGGCTCCAATAGCGCTCCTATTCAATCACTGTCTGCTCAAACTTTTCGCTTTTGCCCTCCGTGACCAATCAACGCCAAGCGCACAGTCATAGGCGATTTGCTTGCGGTGACGCAACATGGCTCTTCGCGACTCACCAAAATAACACGATGTGAACCCGGGGTAGTCTCGGTGCATCGCAGGGCTGTCCGCACGCGCACCGGGAATGCTGTGAAAGCTTCTCTACAAAGCCCCACGCTCGAACTTGCATACACCCACACAACTCAACTGCAGCACCTAGCCACTGCGAGTAGTTCGAGGCCCGAAGAGTTATCGACTAAGTCCAGGCCATAGCGACTAGCTGCATCAGAGCAACCATCAGTATGGGTGCATCACAATCCACTGGTGGCGGGGAGGCGCCGAGCGGTGGAAGCGAAGTCAAGACGAGTTACTACGAACTGCTGGGTGTAGAGCGCAATGCCACACAAGACGAGTATGTTACTCCGGCTTCATAGCAACGCCAATAGTAACGTGTTGTAGGCTTAAGAAGGCATATCGCAAGAAAGCGCTCGAACTACACCCCGACCGAAACTATGGCGACGTCGAACGTACCACTGCCCTCTTCGCCGAAGTCCGATCCGCCTACGAAGTACTCTCAGATGATCAGGAACGCGCGTGGTACGATGCGCACGAGAGAGACATACTGCGGGGTAGTACTGGAGAAGAGTCTGGCGATCACTACCAGGGCGACATGAAGGTGACGACAGCCGACGACATAACGCAGATGATGGGCAAGTTCAGGGGGAACGTAGACTTTTCAGACTCGCCGAATGGCTTCTTTGGCTTCGTACGAGAGACATTCGAACAACTTGCCCGCGAAGAGGAGTATGCGGCAGACTACGATGACCTCGATGTACCGGATTACCCTACCTTTGGTCACAAGGATGACGAGTACGAAGGTGTTGTGCGCGACTTCTACTCAACATGGAATGGCTTCGCCACGGTGAAAAGCTTTGCATGGTTGGACGAATACAATCCGTCTTTACAACCTGACCGTCGTTACCGCCGGGCCGCTGAGAAGGAAAACCAGAAAATTCGCGACGAAGGCAGACGGGCTTTCAACGACGCGGTCAGGACGCTAGTTGCTTTCGTACGCAAGCGAGATCCGCGATACAGTCCCAACACACAGACGGCCGAGGATAAGGCAAAGGCACAGCGAGACGCCAGGAAAGCGCAGGCCGCAAGAGCAAGGGCTGCGCAGATCGCGAAGATGGAGCAAGAGGAGCAAGCAGTGCCACATTGGGCTACCGCACGTCCGGCTGATGAAGTTGAGGAGGAGAGTGAAGAGGAGGTCGAGGAAGATCTCTACGAATGCGTGGCTTGCAACAAGACGTTCAAGAGTGAGCGACAATACGATGCCCATGAGAAGAGCAAGAAGCACCAGAAAGCAATCCAGGCTCTGAAGAAGAAGATGCAGAAGGACAACGCCCATCTGGACTTGGATGAAGATGCTCTCAAGAGCGATGAGATCTTACCGGCTGAGGACGAGCTTGCGAAGGATGGCGATGTCGATGTCTCTAGTGATGAAGGCTCTGATGCATCTGTCCAAAATCTCACGACAAAAACGGACGAGCTTAATCTAGACAATCGCGGTACAAATGAAGATGAGGCACCTTCGGAAACAGTTGCACCCAGTAACACAGTGTCCGCATCATCCGCCGGCTCGGAAGCAAGTTCAGACATAGACGATGAATACGCCTCACGTTCCGAAATCGAGGCTCGACTTGCTGGTATTAGTACAAAACCTTCCGCAGCACCTACCGAAGACCTCGAGTTCAAGCCCGACGATCTTACAGAACCAGAGGTCGCTGCTCCCCCAGAACCCAAGCTTGGCAAGGCTGCGCTAAAACGTTTGAAGAAAGCTGCAAAACAGGCCGAGAGTCAGGAACCAGACGTAAAGAACAAGTGCGCTGGCTGCAATGCTGGCTTTTCCTCCAAGTCACAGCTGCATCAGCACTTGAAGGAGCAACCTACACATGCGGCACTTAAGCCGATTGTGGGCGGTGGGAAGAAGAATAAGAAGAGGTAGTTGATATGATTCCATGAGTTACGATTTGGTTGCTAGACTTTGAATAGACGCACGAATTGCTTTAGCATAGCGCAGGCGTTGGCTAAGAGGCGGCATGGTCAGACATGCATTCTTCCACCCTCAGTGGGTTTGCTCTACGGCGTGCTTGAAATATAACGTATCGTACGTGTCTCCAGCCTAGTAACAATGGTGGTTGTTGACATGTGAAGTATGCGCGGTTCTGTTATTCAACCCGATAGCACCTGCAGTCCCAACGTGTGGGAACTCAGCTCGCTGACGCATCAGGCTAGCGTCGATATAAGCCTATTTCCTTTCAAGATGACGGGAGCCTTCACACCTATTACGGATACGTCAAAATCCAGCCTTTGGAGGTGAGCGTGCGTGAACGAATCTATCATCTACATTTCCGACACCAAGTTCGTCATCCAGATTCGAAACGTGCTTCGAGCAATTCATTACCGTTGATGTAGAGAGGTTGGTGTTTCCACGAGCGGCTACTTTCTCGACGCTTTCTGTGTTTTGGACGCAAAGAGGTGATGTGGGAGTGTAAGGATGAAGTCGCTTGTTCATGTTCCATGACGGCTGGGCCGTTCAATCCACGTTTCCTGGACAACAAGCCGCGATTCAGAAACAGCTTCACAACCAAAGCAGACATGTATGCCACGTTGCTAGGAGAGAGAACGGATCATTGGCGTAGTCTAACAAGGATATATACGACACAAAAGCTCACATATGCAGATGATAAGCTTCCTGCACTTGCCGGACTAGCAGCTGCTTTCCATGTCAGTGGATGTATACCTTTGAGACTATTTGTCAAGCAGATGTTCTTAGAGTAAATTCAATCTGGGACAATACGTCCATGGCATGTGGGTTTCATCGCCCCAACGGGATATAGCTTGGTACAACGGAAGCTTCGAAGCAGTTCGGCAAGCAGGCATCGTGCTCCGTCCAGCGGATGGTATTGCACCTTGTAAGGACAATTCAGACAGGTACGAACGCATCGGGTGGCTGAGTTACTGCGTACTACAGCAAAAGAAGCACTGGAAGCCTGCTGGAATGCGCACCAAGTTTCTTATAGTTTGATAGATCAATACGTAGGGCTTGGGGATACGTTCAGATACCAAACAAACGTTGCATCAGCTCTCCGCTATCAAGCATCCTCGGCAAGCCTTGTTCGGCCACCATCTGCAGTGATACGGCCCCTAGTCTGGAACTTGACGAAGTGATCCAGCACTCTCCTGATCTCTTTATCTTGTACGCCAATGGCAGCTGTAGGGCAGAAGAGCAAACTCTCACCCAGCTTCAATTCGACAATCTGGTGAAAGAGCGTACGATCCCTCATCTTCCCTGTCTCCACCTTACCTTTCTCTTCTTGTCCCCCAATAGCACCCAGATACAGGCCTGCCACATGTTTCTTCAGGACCTCATACCAGGTAGGGCTTGTACAGCGATGCACCATGGTGATACTGCACAGATCAAGCAAAGCGGTATCGAGCGTCGGCTCTTGAGTTGCAATGATGATGCGTGATCCTTGATGGCGTTGTTCGCGGATAGTCTTGAGCAGCTTGCCTGTGACCTGCTCTGCGGCTGCGTTTTTATTCAACAGGTAGTTATGCGCTTCGTATGTAGTCGGCAATGGCTATGAACATGACTGAAGGAAGCCTTTTTTCACTTTGGCGAGCGCTATTAGTAAAATGGAATTTCACAAAGAGATAAAGGAACATGAGCTAGAATTGGCGAGTATTTTGATACCTTCACCGAGCGGCGTGCTGAGATTGAAAGTTGTTTTCGTTGACCAAAGGATGGACAGAATGCCGCAGACGCTGAGGAGACCGTGCGAAGGGGTTTACAATATGGCGTCTGTGCGCTCGATGAGCCGCGACAGCTCATGGGGTCAGTTCTCACGAACTGGAAGGTTTCTCTGTGAAATTCAGTGCCTATGTTTCCCTCAATTCGCTACGTCTGTCAAGCTAGGAATAGCACGCTGGCCTGCAAGTATCATCGTAAGTGACGGTCAGTTGTCGAGCAACAGTCTAACAATATCTTCCGATGCGCGCAATTGGTACGTAGGATCATTCTCGCGTTGTCGATTATGTAGACTAGTTTCGTGTTTCTTTTTGGTTCCAGGCCGCCCAACGGCATGCAGGAGAAAGCTAGTGTTAGACCAGCTGAAGCGTCGTATCGACAAATATCGTCTTTCGCCGTTTTGCTTCTCAAGCATTGAAGTATCATGCTTTAGTATTCGACGACACTGGTGTACGATGTATCGTGCGTGATGGTGCCCTGGTGGTGTTTAAGACAACTAGATGCGTCAGAAGGGTGGTCAAGCACCGGCTTTGGGTCATTCCTCTTCATGGTTAGGCATTCTATTAATCTTCTGTGCCGCACTCACCCGTTCCTCCATCAGATCATGTCGTATCGGCAAATGAAAGACCGTGTTTCCGTGTCGGACAGAGCCGAATGCCTCATGCACGTAGCTCACGACTTTTGATGAGTGTTAAGGCATGGGCATTTCCTCTGAATTGATAGGTGCCTCAAACAAGAGGTCGCCGACAGCAAGATAGAGGGGCATGTAGACCCCTATGCGGCGCAGGGTCTAACGGTTGCCTCATCCATGTTGGGGCGCATTGATCCCACCTTCCTGATTGTGATAATCGTCTCACGACATCTCATCACCTCCATGTGCAGTTAGCAGAAGGTATAGCTGCAGATGTCAGGGGACGATAAGCCCATCTAAGCTTTCGCGCTAAGCCGCGCGGGCTCGTGAGCAAGAATTCCCATTTGCATGGCGTTGCTTGTCGTTGATGCATCGGAGACTACTCCATTACCTCTCCTTCGTTCACCTGTAGTTGTATGGTACCCGGCAGAACGCAAGGTGGCGGTTTGCACGCGGCGTGCCTGGTGATGCGCGTTAGCGTTCGTGGTAAGAGTCGCTAGCATGCGCGTGCTCTTGCTAGCTAGTGAAAGAGAAAGCTAGCCGAGCCCCTAAAGCATCTTAGCGCAAGGGTCTGATCGAAGCTTCGACCCCTGAACGCTCCGGGCGGGCCACTCCTATCCACTCTTTCCTGACACCTCCAGATCCTTTTGATCGTATTCTAAGCCATGCGCTTATCACATCCGGCACCAGCGGCTCTCTGATAGGGCCTCAATCGAACGGTCAGCTCTCACTTGCCCGGTCTGTGATAGTGTGGGGATAGCCCAGGGGTTCGCATGGACACACATCCGCCACGAATGGTTAGCTTTGCTCAGACGCGGCTTTTTGGAATGGACGCTCGTATCAAACGGGGCACTATCTGATGGGCTGTTTTCTCTTGAGTCTTGTCCATCTCTTGGGCGTTCTTGTCTCTCTTCAACTTCGCCTTTCGACACCTTGCTTACCCTCAGTCACTCGTTAATACAGTCGCGCGTTGTTCACTCGTTATGCAATCATGATGCCAAAGGCATACCGTCTTTCTTTCTCGCACCTCGTTTTCTATATTTCCACCTTTGTAATCGCGACGCAATTATGGTCTATATGGGGACAATCGAAACACAACTACCTACCTTTCTCGCACCATAGAAATCTTCAGCGAGATTGGGATTTCAACGCCGATGTGCACGCCAATGTGCATACACTTAGCCATGAGCAGTGCGACTCAGCATTTCCAAAGCTGTACCACAGTCTGGATCAGGCGGTGAGCCTGCGGCAAGGCAGGAAGGTACACGTCCAGGATATCGAGATTGAGGAAGGAAGATGTATGCTACGGGTTATGATTTATCAGGGCGAGGTACACTCATATCCATCTGACAGAATTCCGGATCATAGCTGACATGGCAATCGCAGCTGTTCGTTGTCGATGCAGGAAAGCCAGAAGAATGTTACGTAACAAACGGAAACGAGAGAGAACGCATCCTAGGAACTCTTGCACAAATCGACCGCGCTGTCACGACCGCCTCGACAACGGACCCCGCGATCCCGAACGTTGAGTTCTCGCTTTCGCTTGACGATCTGCCACGGCGATCAAGGAAACATGGAACATTCTTTGGTTACACACGGAAGGAGGGGCCGGAGTACAAGGACATTTGGATGATGCCAAACTACGCGTACTGGGCTTGGAACTATACCCATGCTCCGAGCTGGAACAGTATCAGGAAGGAGATCGAACAGAAGGAGACCGAACTGCCATGGGCGAAGAAGGACCCTAGAGTCGTATGGCGGGGCAAGGTCAAGATGGCCAAGCTTAGGAAGGAGCTGGTCCGGGTGAGCGAAGGCAAAGAATGGAGTGACATCAAGCCTGTGGTTATCAACAACGCCAGCGACCCACATACCAAGGACGTCATGAATCTGAGGCAATTCTGCGGGTACGATACGAAGCTGCAAATGACTTACAGAACAATGCTAACCACCTCTTAGGTACAAGTTCACCGTCCAAACCGAAGGCACCTCCTACTCCGGCCGCCTAAAATATCTCCAACTATGCCGCTCAGCCCTGATTACACACCCTCTCGAATGGCAAGAATTCCATACCCATCTCATGAGATTGGCCGGCCCCGAAGTAAATTACATCGAAGCATCCGAGAACTTCGGAAACCTCGAATCGGCTATGGAATACTACCGTGCTCATGACAACGAAGCAGAGGAGATTGCAAAGAACAGCTACGAGACATTTACCCGGAGGTATTTGACACCAGCGGCAGTGACTTGTTACTGGAGACGGCTGTTCTGGTCATGGGCGAGTGTACAAGGATACGAGCCACAGTTGTACGTACCTGACAAGGACGGCAACCTGGTCATGAGAGGTACACCATGGACAGCATTCGCGGCCAATTGGCCTAAGGATCCCGCAGCTATTCCATGAGCGACAAGAAGAAGTGCTAGGAGTGGCATTGCATAAGCATTGGAGTATTTGGTTTTATATGCTTACGATACCCGCGTTCAAGCGTTTGAATAGACACGTATTATCATCTACGTTTACAGCAGTCATCAAAGGCGGGGATACTTTTCTTTCTGTCTTGTTCTAAGTGGCTTCGGCAGCCCCCAACTATGCATTGGAGGATTCAAGCGAGCAATATAGGTTCATGAACTGGCGCATAAGATCACATCTTCTCGCGCGCTAATCCTGGGCGCTTGTGTTTGATAGGCACATTGCAGTTTGGTTTTTAGAAAGGATTCGATCGAAATGCAAGCTAATGCACATAGTACTCTCACTAATTTACTTTGATGAACAAAACTGCAAGAGCAATGCTCACATCGTATACCACAACGCAAATACGAGCTCGCGCGGAGGAAAGAATGGTTATGAAATGGTTCTGTCCACACTGCACGAATCCATGGTCTTTAGCAGCCAGCTGAACAGAGATTATGGTCTTTTTACTATTCCTGCTTACCTCCTTCTTCCAGGCTTCCACTGCACTTCCTAGTCTACAACCAGAATTCCTCGTCGTCCTTGACACAGGTGTAGGTCACCGCAGTACACGCATTCCTCGATGGCCTACCTCACTCCGGAGTCTGACTACGCGCGGTACCAACGCAACTATTCTTACGCGATTCGGCGTCGACTCGAATGCGAACCAGGCTAGTGAGCCTATTGGTGCATATGCACTCACATACTCATCGTTGACTTCGTCTCTCTTTTCCGCGACAGGCCAGGGCGTGATTCGCACAAGCGTAGCCGGCGGCGATGTGGAAACTATCCTGAACGACGAAGAAGATCGCTATGGGCAAACTATCAGCATGACGGTTGCAGAAAAAGAGCGGAAGATCTATTACGGCAACTCCTATACTGGATTAATCAGGAAAGCAAATTTTGACGGATCAAACAACTCTTTGGTACGAAATGTGTCCCGAGGTCTAGACTACTCTATTCCTTCCTACGCTACAGCGATTTCCTACGCAGGAGGAATAGCAGTAGACGAAGAAAGAGGCTGGTTGTATTGGAGCTCCGTTCGCGGGGATGATGACGGAAGCATACGGCGTGTACCTCTACATGGACTTGGGGGAGAGCAAGTCTTAGCCAACGGGATTAATACACCAGGCCAACTCCGTATCGTAAATGACTCATTGTTTTGGGCTCAAGGCGGTCGACAGAGTAATTCCCCAACGGCCATCAAATACCTCGATCGTCATCTGTCCCAGCTCCCTACGTCTAGTTCTCTGAACACTCCGATTCCGACAGGCACTCTCATTTCATCAAGCCAATCGCCCCTGTTCTTTGAGAATGATTCTACTGGCGAGAAACAGACTCTTGGTATCACCAGCTTTGCCGTTTATCGCAACGAAGGGGAGCAGAAAGTCTGGTTTGTGGTGAATAGTGCTGGTAGAACAGTGTTTGGGAAGCTTGTTGAGGTCGTGTGGCGAGGAAGTGGAGACGGAAGGGGGCCAGTATTTGAAGTGCTAAACGAAGACACTGAGAGTGTAGGGGTTCCCGTTGGATTGGAGTATGTGTGAAACGAAACGAATAAGCAGTCATCGCGGCAACCTCTACAACGAGCTTCGTGGTGTATTTACATCGTGTTGGCCTTATCTTTAGTCTTAGCGTGTAATATCTTGGGAAATGGCAATACAATGAGTATATGAATTACAAACATCCCATCTCTTCCACATACGATCGAATTTCGCGATCGAACTTCTGTTGACGCCTGTTTGCGCGCTTTGTCGAACGTGACCCTCAACGTCCATGTACCTAGGTCTCTGAACAGTGCTCAGCTACAGGTGAACGCGAAGTATGACCATCAAACATCTGAATCATGAATCTGGACTTCGACAGTCCTCATAATGCCTTTCTGCGCAGGCAAGATACTATTCTCACTCCCCACCGCACGACTCACCCGACCCATGTGCGTCGTCGTATGTGCTACTCCAACGTCAGGGTATTCCTTGTCGGCCGTGCTGCTCATGAGTGAACCATCATTGCTGCAATCCATATCCTCCATTGCATACGAATGTGTACCACTGCGCTCAGATTGCCTTATGTATCCGTTTGAGACGTACGGTCGGGATGGCCCGGTAGTCTGGTACCGTGATGGATGTCGATTGCTCGACTCCAAAGCGCTGACCATGCCGAAGGAGTTGGCGGCTATGGGCTTGAGGGTGGGTAGACAGGCTGCGAGGATGCCGACGTTCATCTCGATTCTGAATAGTATTAAAAATGAGAAGCTTTGACGAGAATCGATAGAGTCAGGGACTTACTGTTGCCAGATGTAGTACCATGCTCCCTGGCCCGAGAAATCTGACTGACCGAAGAAGTGAAATTGGAGAGGAATCTTGTAAATTGCAACGCTACAGGTGCTATTTGTTATCAGCCTGGGTTACCTCAGATTCGGCACTTGTAGCGGGAAGATACATACAACAACCCCAATCCCAAGATGATACACAGTGATATCTTGGTGCGTAAGTTCATCTGCATCTTCCATATTATAGGCATAGGCATGAGCGCGAGAAGGAGGTCGCTAATCAAGTTGAATACTTGCTTTTATGTCAGCTGCGGCTATGCGAAGGCTCACGGCGAGCGTACCAGAGTTGAACAGAGCTGTATTCCGATAAGTCGTTTGCGAGTAGCAATGTGCATTTCTGTAACTGTGAGCGTGTGCCTTTTCTTTCTCGAATGCCATGTAGCGTACCCAGTGGGCGGTCGCAAGCTGAAATCCCAGGCTGCTTGTACGGGATTACATTGTAGCAACAAAGAAAGAACGGATCCGATTGTAAATAAGACCAAGATGACTAAGGTCATCAAAGGTCAGCGCAAGCCCTCGTCGTTGCTTGTGAACTTACCTATCATGGCATGCAGCAACCATCGCCAATGGCGGCGATGGTCCACCAATCGGAGCAGGAAGCACGCTATGGATACTTTGATACTGGAGTAGGCAATGACAAGTATCCAGGAGTAGTACCACAAGATCTTAAAGAAGTCGCCCAGGTGATCAGGCCGTACATAGATGAAATACTCAGCATGATGGCCTACTCCAATATGTGTGAGTGCAACGAGGAAATAGAAGCAGATAGTGCACAAAATCTGCATATTCTGTTGTCAGTGGTCTGCTAGAGGACATGGATCGTGTGTGAGTGATGAATTGGCGCAAAACACATACTGCAGCGAGCATCATCAACCAATCTATCATAGCGAGGTCAGTGGAGATTGCCCCTGAATCTCAAACAAATACATACCGTCGACACCAAAAGTCTTGAGAATGGTAGTCCTTACATATATGCGTAACAGCACGGATATCATCGCCAATCCGAACAAAGTTCCAACCACAGCCAGCATCTTGGGTGCATAGCTCTCCTCAAGGTACGCTTTCGAAGGCGGGGGTGGCGGTAATTCGGGTGCTTGTCTCGCAGATAGTTCGAAAAACATCTTTATCAAATTGCCAGGTAACTTAGAGCCCACCCAACAATGCGATCAACGGAAAGGCAATGAGTGTCTTTGTGTGGTGAGCGTAATCCATTCTAACTAGCGAGGATATATTTATCATGAACATGATATGGATCGACGGCCAGGGTTACATTGTGCGGATTCTTCACAACACAGGGATACTCCGGAGTAGGTAGTGACTCGGTATCCAACTAGATTGAGTGGTTTTGCAACTAACGCTTCCAAGCGACAAGTCATCCCATGTGAGGTTCATACTATCTGTGCGTTTGTTCTCATGTTGGACTTTGAAAACATGTTGGAGTAATATCGGAAGAAAATATGCGTTTGGAGGCGAAATGAGCCCGTGATGGAGGTTCAGCCGTGCGAAGGTAATGTAGAAAGTCCGGAATGCATAGCTTGAATCCTCCGATCGTGATCCATGCATGAACCCGGGCTTCGACCAGAGTAACCAGCAGCTTTTCCCTTAGCATCATCAACAGCTCTTCACTTAACTGTACCAGTTCTTGCATTGCGTTCAATTTGCTGGTGCCAATCGCGAAACGATACGACTCGCATCGACTGGTGGGGTGCAGGATACCGTAGGCTAAACCAATCTCGCTTATGCATATTGCATCCTTACGAACGCCACCACTGAGTACGCGATAGTGCCTTCCTGCTGGTATGCGGCGCAGTCTGCAAGCCAAGCACAGAGATTTCATCGGCGTTGATACTTCAATGGTGCAGCAGACTTGCAATACTCGGATCTCCTCTACATACAGGTCTCTCGGACATTTGTAGGACGCGTAGACATAGCACATAGGAGCATTATCCTTTCAGTTTTCGGGAGGGAAATAGAGGTGGATGAGGCTTAAACAGCGGGATCGACTCTTGGCGTCCGGCCCGAGGAACCATAGGATCGCGTGTATAGCAGCGAAGCATACAACATCCTAGCTGCGCGGATGCCGGCTGTGATACCAATGGGGCTAATTGACCGGTACCATATGATCCATGCGTCCGGTCGCTCGGACTACACAGTAGTGCAAGGTTCGTAGAATAGGAAGTATTGAACCGTCGCGTGGGCCTGGAAGGATTTAACCTGCATGTATGCCGCAACATATTGCAACCCTAACCGCGCCACATAAGCTCGAGAACATGACGACTCCCTAGGGTGGACATCATGCTATGCCCTTCCGGATCCTCCTGCCAGATTTACTAGGCGATGACAGGTAGGACCCCTTTGTATGCCTGCCTTTGCGACCCCGAGGGGCAGTGTTTCGGAGCTTACCTAGGCAAATTCCTCGGAATTATCAGTTTGCTGACTCTTGCATCTCGCCTAATAACATATAAGAAGAGATTGAAGATACACCTCTTAAACAACCGGCACGCCGCTCATCTCTACTCTATCTCTTACAGTGGCTGTTAATCTAGGCGTTTCGTCCTTCAACCCGGCTTGTCTCTGTATATCTGGCTCGGCATATTCTATCATTCTCGGATCACACAACATGCGAGGCTTCATTCAAGCTGCGTTGCTGTCGCCTTTGGCTTTAGGGAGTGTGCTCCCCTACGAGGACAAGCAGTTCGAGAAGAGAAGTTTCGATCGCGTCGATGACATCCTCGCTGGCTTGGGTAGCATCAAGCAGGATCTGATGGCTGGTGGTGCTGCAATCAACCAGCAACTCTACCAAGCTGTTCAACAGCCCGCGCAGTACAAGAAATGCAACCCCACTAATATCCAAGTCAGGCAGGAATGGTGAGTCTCCAGTGCCGTAACTCTTCTCGGTCTCCACGCTAATTATACTGAAGGTCTACCTTCTCCAAGTCTGAAAAGAAGGCATACATTAGCGCAGTTCAGTGTCTAGCCAAGTTGCCGTCGAAGACGCCAAAGGAGACGTGCCCTGGTTGTAAAAATCGCTATGACGATTTCGTTGCGACCCACATCCAGCAGTCCTTCAATATCCAGTAAGATACCCATCGCGGACTACATGTGAGGCAAGTACTGACGTTGCACACCAACATTTAGCATCACGGGAAACTTTCTTACCTGGCACCGATACTTTACTTGGGCGTATGAGCAGACTCTTCGTAATGAGTGCGGCTACAAGGGCACCCAGCCCTACTATAGCTACTCCAGATGGTACAAAGATCCCACAAAGTCGCCTCTGCTTGACGGGTCTGAAACATCGCTCTCCGGCCAGGGTGCCAAGGGTTGTAGCAACCAAACATTCACCGGTTAGTACTTCGTCTGTACAGACTGTAGGTGAGAACATGTACTGACTTCTTATACCAAAAATAGGCATTCCTTCGAACAGCGACGTCAGGATGAAGATTCCCCATGGTCCAGGTGGTGGCTGCGTAACCTCTGGACCCTTCAAGGACTGGACTGTCAATATTGGCCCCTTGTTTCCCGCATCGGAATGCGTTCGACCGAATCCCAACCAGGATTTTGCAGCTGGATTTGGCCTAGGCTACAACCCTCGTTGTCTTGTGCGCGACATTACCAGCTTCACTGGTGAGGGGTGGTTGAAGGATGATGACGTGGTTTCTCTGCTCAAGAGCGAAAGCTACCAATCTTTCTGGGAAACCTTGCAAGGCGGGCCTCCTCCAGACAGCTTTACGAACAACTTCATGGGCGTGCACACGGCTGGTCACTTCATCATCGGCGGCGATCCGGCAGGTGATTTCACGGCCTCTCCTGGTGACCCATACTTCTTCTTCCACCACGCCTCGATTGATCGGCTCTACTGGACTTGGCAAAACCTGAAGCCGAGTGAGCGTACCACTGCTTTGTACGGTCCTACCATCATCCAAGATCTTACCTCGCCCCCTGCAACTCTCAAAGATACTTTGGACATGGGATCTGCATACCCTGGGCTCATCACCATTGGGGATGCTTCAAGCACCATGGGTGGTGCACCGTTCTGTTATACCTACATATAGGCTGTCATATCTTAGACTTCTTTCTCTCTAATACAATTGATAACTGCGTTTGTGGTACATGTGTACTAGGTGTTGATGCTGATCGTCCTTAAGAACTTTCGAAAAGTCGACACCAGAACCTTGTACCACACGTGCTCGGTTTCGATCGTCTTCTTACGACCAGCTGTATTGTGAGCTCGTCAGCTTTCCAGTTTATTTTGGTGATGCTTGTGGAAGCGGCGATGGCGTTGGCGATAGCAACGGAAAAGCAGCCTCGGGCTTATAAGTTTAGTGGGCGACTGTGACAGGCGGTGCTGTTCAAAAAGGTTGTCTTATGCCTAGTTGGCCATCGCGCCGCTCACAAGCCTAGGGAAATGCGGGTTGTTTCCGCATGATCTGCGATGCTGTGGCAGTGTTGCGAAGTTGGCGGAGCGAGCTGGTTGAGTGTGGTGACCTTTGAAGTAGCCGGCACTAACCGCTCACTATTTCCGACGCTGCCAAACTTACCATTGCCGCCCTCGCTGTCCTAGCCAGCAAACCCACGATATCGATCAGAACTGACCGTACCTATTAAGTGTCTCATTACGACATCTCTCAATTCATCAGTCCCTTTTAATCTCACTCTAGCTTTCGTACCAGTAATCCGCGTGACGATGGAAAGAATTCCTATATCTTACGCTTCCAGAGTTCTGCTTGGACCTCGGAAGACAAGTTTTCTGTGACCTGTATGTGTATAACCTTTGTCGCAGGGCAGAAACAGGTACGAACCGTGTGCGTTCAAAGTAGTTATCCGAAACTTGCTGAACAAGAAGTAGCTAATTACTTCGCCTTATCCCCAATAACAAGTTACTATCTTGGCTGGCGCTTGTTTTGTTGGGTGTCTATCTAAGTATAGGTACACGCGGCGCAGTACCTAGGTAGGTACATATACCTGGGCGCCTTACAGGCTCAGCCAAGTTGGAGGTTGTCTATATAAGGCGAGGATTAGATGACCGAGGAATGTTTATCAATTACTGTTTGCTGACAGCTCTACCTTGTCAAATCATGTTCATAACTTCGCTTGAGCCATCTGCGGTAGTACCACCACCACCACCACCACCAACAGCAAGCGAGAGCGACAGGCTGATACAAGAGCTCGAAGAAAATAACAAGGCGCTCCTCAGGAAAATAGAGCAGCTGGAGAAGAGCGAGTCATTGTGGAAACCGGCGTTCGCGGCGACAACAACATGCACTCAACGACACATCAATTTGCTGTTCGCCTTGCCAAACCTTATCGCAACTTCTCTATGGCTCTTGATGCTCCTCTACTTCGTTATCTGGTATCTCGGTCTTCCTCGAGACGATGCAGGTCGACCACCACAGATCTGCGAGAGCTTCTCGCTCTGGCCTTACATCTCCTGCATCGGAGCTATGCGACTTTCGTTTTTCCGAGGTGTATGCGTCACAATGGCGCTTCTAATATCGACGTCATTTCTGCTTCTGTGCTATCTTAGTGCTCAAATATCTTCGGCGATTTGGCTAAGAAGACTTGCTGCTTTCTTCGCTATCGTTTCAAGCAGCGCACTCATTGCGCTAAGCTTTGAACCCATCGACTCGGCACCCACTACGCACCTGGTGTCTACGTCGATCCAGATATTTGCTATGGGTAATACCAAGTTTTTCGACTGGATCTCAAATTCCGTTATCCGCCGCTCTTTTCGCGGCCGAATAGGAGCCGCCTACAGGATTCGTCCGCTGGAGGTATCACGATGGCTAAAGACTACTGTGGCAGCTTTCGCTGCAGGTAAGTTTTGTTACCGCTAGGAGTAGGTGTATCCAATACTGACTTAACAAGTTCCTGCTATGCTGACATGTATGGGGATTTACAATTGTATGGACAATGACATTAATAACGACTCAACCTCGACATGCAACAAGATGATAGCTTTGTCCGCTGTCTCTGAATGGGTTTTGTCGATCGGATGGGTAGCGTATATGTCAACGATCGCATACGATTTGTACCATATTCGAACGGTTGTTCAGCTGTGGCAACTCAAGGGGGACCTACAAGCCTTTACAGGGTGCATTTCCATTGAACATCAACTGAAGGAACATCCCATGCAATCCTTCTTGCCCCATACATCTGGTTGTGCATGGGAGAAAGAGAAGTAGGGTATCACGTTGTTCCCGTAACATCTGATCACAGCGGCCCCCTACTCGTAGTGGTCTCTGACATGTTTGAACATAGTCAAATTTCAACCCCATATTTTTCCACATACGACCCCAGGACACTGAGAATTAGTTCACCCTCGCGATCTGTCAAAACTCACAGTTCTGTGTTGGGATTAATCACTTGGTGTTCGTTCTCGGTTACCCATTTCAGGAATCGGGATTCCGTTGCCCCCACCACAGCCCCAAAACGACCATTAACGGTCCTTCAACATCCTGTTTGTCTAACAGTGCTCGCTGAAATAGAGGCGCACTGTACTAAAAATGGGTCGCCACCAGGATAGGGCTCGCAGCCCTCCCTTTCACATTGCCTTTTCACATTGTCTCTCTTGTTCCTTCTGTTCCTTCCGTCCCTTCGCACACTTATCGTGTAATCTTTCTACATCACTCTGCTTACTATGGCACCTAAGAAAAAGATTAAAGTCAATCTTGCGTACTTGCTCTCTCTCGTTTAGATCGAAAAAGAGCTAGCTCCGCTTACGAAGGAAGACATCAAAGCTATGTTGATCCCTTTAAGTTATAAGTCATACGAATACACTACAGCTCTCTGGTTAGAGTAAGTTAAGAGCTAAGATGTGTGTAAGTTTATTACTAACAAACCAGGTTCATTAAGTCTATCCTTAACGAACCCGTAAACCCTACGTTCAGACATGCACTAACTATATACTATATCTAGCTGTTCCTTCTCTAGCTTGCTAAGGCTAGACTAGCTAGCTTAAGGAGAATATCACAAATACTACTATTTAAAACTACCTATCGTTACTTAAACAAGCTATTAAGTTATTTACTAGTTACTAGTTATAAAGGTCGTCCTTAGATAACCTAGCCTAGGGTTAGTTCTTAGGGATAAGTAAGTCAAGATTGTTGTAAGGGGCTACGCCTAAGGAACTATTGCACAGGTATACTAGAGTTGTATTTAATAGAGAAGAGAACTACAGGTAGCTACGGCTCTCAAGGTCATTTAGGAGGCGGCGGCTTAGCATAACGTTTAGCTAGGCTCGCTTGTGCAGAATCCGGGTGCTAACCAAGGCACCCGGATTCTGTAGGCCGTGCGCCTTGCGCACTTGACTGAGATAGTATCGAGGATTCACTTACTGGGCTCTAGCCCATCACAATCTTAGATAGCCTCCTGATCTGAGCAAGATGCATGACAGTGACATTGTCTATTTAGTGTTTTGAAATGTCTGGAATGGGCACCGGCCCTATACGCGGCTTGCTTGTAGGCATGAAGGCCTGGTGTATCGTCCTAACGCCCCAGCTAGCAGGATAGTCGATATTCGAATGGAGCAGGCCATAGCTCCCGAAGATAATCAAGTCCTGCTCTTCCTCCGGACCTACCCAGATATGCTCAGGCTTAATAATTCTGCTGTGGATATTATCCAAAAACTTCCTTACTTCGCCTAAGTTATCGATAATCTTCGGAGTCTCATCTGGGCCGTTGCGAATAAATAACCGACGAGTCAAGTGATGCATACACTGGAATGACTTCTTGCCCGTAACGGGGTTAACCCAGACCAGCGGATACTACAGCGTTATTAGTGTTTGATAAATTAAGCTTCTTCTAAGTATAAGCATACCTTCTTTTGCCAGTCTTTACTTGCCCCTTCTAACCTTAGCAGCTCTTCGTCTGGCTGCTCCCTGCCCTCAGTTACCACGCCTAGGCCGTTCGGAGCATAATGGCAGTCCTTAAGATTCTCAAATGGCAAGTAGTTGTACTCAGCCCAACTATGGTCTGCCATTCTCTTCTCCTCGTCGCTTAGCATGTCATACAATTGTTCAACGTCTAAAAACGCCTGACGTCCTGGCTTAACTTCCATAGTCATACCTGAGCCGTCAGCCCATACTACAGTCTGCTTATCCAGGCCTTCTGTAGGAAACTTGATTGGTCGGAGAATAGTAAACTTTGTAATATCGTGTCGCCAATAAAATCCGTTCATGTACCACACGTGGAAACGGGTACGTCCAGCTTCAAAGTCCTCGTCTGAGAGCGGTACGCTGTAGTAATGGTTTACATTAGTGTCACCCATGTCTAGACCTGGTTTGCCGTAGCGCGGGTCGTCTTGGGGGCCTTTCCCAATAAAGTAAAACAAGCCCGCATTAGGGACCTTGATAGAGCGGAAGGAGTCCTTAATATATATTAGCGCTTTGCTAGACTTTGCTGTAATGTTGATGTTTTAGTCCGCTGTTGACTTACTCTAAACCACTGGTGAGGATGAAATAAATCCATCAATTGGTCGTCGTCCTCAATTATCATTTCTGGATCGAGCACTTGCAGCAATTCCCAGGCACGCTTCGGTTTAAGGTCATGTTGACCTTTAACAATAAGAGGTTTATGCTCCCAGGTCGCTTTCTCCAACTGAGCCACTATCTCTTCAGTAAAGTTGTTCAGATCAAGACCAGTAATAACAGCTCCAAACTAAGCAAAGTATTGTAAACAGGGAGTATGTATGTTAGTCGTATTGTACAGGCCTAATGACTCGTACCTTGCATGTCTTCCCTTCAGGATGGACCAGAGGCTCGATCTTGAAGTTGCTCGCCATAGTGTCTAGAATAAGGGATAGGTGTATAAGTTAAGTCTTGCGCGTATAGAATGTCGATTGCAGCTCTGCGATTAACAAATGATAGGATAATTATCAACTTATATGCATACATGTCTTCGCTTTATAGAGCCTTATGCACAGGTTCGGGGAGTTTCACAGACAAATTTGGCAAGTCGAAAGTGCACGTCGGGGTCCGATGTAGACCAAAATATGCCGACGCCCGCGACTTGCACACAGCTTAAACATCGCGGCAATTAAGTGCATTTCGAGAAAATATGTCGATAACCATAATATTGAAACAGTAATCTCTATTAACCGTTACGCCCATCTCGTCCGCCCATCCTCGTGAACCCTTCGGGCCATGTTCAGGGAGAGTATCATATGACTGCGTCACGTGCCTACAGTCGCTCTGTGCCTCCTCTGGATGGCACCTCTGAAACAGTGGACGTATGACAGTCCCAGTCAGATTTGCCGCCCCGGATTTTTCTCCTGGGAGAAACGTTCCAGTCAGATTTCTCTTTCCGGAGAGGCGTCCCTTGGCTACGTAGCAATTCAACCAACCTTTCGATCACTTATCTTAACAGTCCTCGTCTGTTCCTGATCCCTTTCTAGTTCCTAACACCTGTTACATCCTGATATTAACACAGAAGATTTAAGCTCAGCAGGATGTCTTTCTCGGAGATCTGCTCTTATGACATCTTTCATATATATGCAATAAGATATAACGTGGTTCACCATCGTGCGCCGCACCCCACCGAGCGCCGCACTCAACACTAGCGCTGCGACTGCAGAACAACGCAGCGCAACACCACAACAAATTACTATACTATACGCAATAGAATAGTATTAATTGGAAGCATTGCTATCATCTGCTTCCCCTATTTCTACCTTGCAAGTGCGGGAGTTATGTCCAATCTCGCTGCAACGGCCGCAGCGCCTCTCTGCGCGCACCCTCTTCGCAGGCGTCTCGCTGTTCTTACAACCATAACGTACGCCCAACAAGAACAAGAACGACAAACTAACAAGTCCTGAAAACCAGCACCAAACTACCGTGTGGGTGACTGGGTGTAGTTAGACCTACGCGACGTACGAACTGCGAGAACAAGCAAGAAGCTAGACTAGAAGAGTAATAAGTACCAAGTAGCACGCGCACGAGACCCATACTGGGTAGAACTAGCCGTGCAACCATTTCAACCTTTCATACAATCTCCTGTTAGCCACATGAACTTTCAGTCTGTGCCATGGCCGATGTACCTCACATGCGAGTCCACCGACTTCACCGCTCCCAACTTCAATGGTCTACAATCCCAATGCAACAACACACCCACGGGCCACTGCCCCTGACAGACTGCCTCGACACAAGCACTCCACTTCTGAAGTCAACCAAGCACTAACACAGCAATGTCAAGCTCGCCGTAAGTTTACTTCTTCCCTCATTCCCACTCTACCGTGACTCCGTAACTGCATTTTTCTCCTTCAACTTCACCTTCATTCCCTTTTACCAGAAATCCAGCACCCACACTGACTTGAAGATTTAGCCCTCGAAACATGGAACAAGCTCGTCGGCGTACGCGCCTCTAATCCGCTCTCGCCACACCCTCCATCCCCAACGAATACCACTAGCACGCTGCTAGACCTGCGACTACGAGCATGCATGCCGCACTGGTATCTTGATCGATATGGAACCCAATGTTGAACTTTCCACAAGCGGGTAGAGTGAAAAACATGCCTTCGGACTCTTGTTGCGATCTGAGGCTCCGGCCAATGATGAGACAATAAGATTCTGACCATAAAAGTCGTCCCGCATTAGCTTGCTAACTCTGCGCAACTCAACAGGGTACCTTCACTCGTTCCAGACCTCAGAACAGTCTGTCAGCGACAGATGTTCATCAACAGTCTTCGGGCTCTTGTTACGAAGTGAAGTGTCCTTGGAGATTAATGTGGGCGGCGTGCGCAAGCCTTTTGTACTGTGCCTTGCACTTCTAGTTCTTTGGTAGTGTTGGGCCGCTTGAATCCATGGTTGGACTGGGGCTGTGTCCTTTCTGGCTTGTTGAAAAAGCGCGATCAGGCAGCGATCGTGGAAATTGAAGCGATTTGACTTGATGAGGGCGCTGTTGGGAGGTTGCGGAACCATAGGACGTGCATGCAGAGCTTGACATAGTCAAGCTCTCCGCCTGCGCTGGGGCTGTGTATGTACGTTAGTCGGGCAAGAACGGACTTCGGTTACCTGATTCTCCGTTTTTCTTGTCCCTTTACGTACCTACCAATGGTGACTCTATGTACGTTGTTCTGTTTTCTGCAATGATACATCTCGATACAGTAAAATTAAGGACTTTTGTGGTTAAACCACCAGGAGAGTGTTAGGCTTCCCGTCCGCTCAGCCATATACAAGCAGTGTACCGGCGGATTAGTAGTTAGGTGGGTGATCACTAGCGAATCCCCGCTGTTGTATGTTTTTGCCTATCTTTTTGATTGTTTTTTGCTTCGTAGAATCGCGTAGAAGAGAACATCAACCAGTGTGTCGATAAAATCAGCAAACTCTTTAGGTTTTGCGCTGTCGAAGTCCAGCTCGAAGTGGAAGAGGAGTCCTTTGCACGTTTGGCTCAACGTTCGCACTGGCTCTTTGAACTCTCTTAGTGGCCTTCCGAGCTGCCCAGCTTGAACCAGCACTACTACCTGGACGTCTCCCAGTCGCAAGTACCTGGACTATGTTCTGTATCCTTTTTGACCTTCCAGTCTCTGTGCCTGTCTCTATCTTGAACAAGGTAGCATATCGATCGCTTTTGTTCAAGCTTTCCCAGTGAGCTTCCGCTGCGGGCAACCGAGCAAGCGCGTCCTTGAGGTCATCAGGCACTTCAATTGTAGCAGACCCAGCATATGCACGATCCCATCTTCCGTCTGCCTTCGCAGCATCGACAGCTGCCAAGCCAGCAGGACGCATTCGGCCGTCCTCAACAAGACGCGAGACCGTCGCGACATTCTTCTGAGACCATATACTCTTCGTTCGTCGTGGTGTATAGCGCACCGTCCAAAATCTATCATCGCAGGCGTTGGCGCGACCATCGATCCAGCCATAACATAGCGCGACTTCAACGGCTTCAGCTGCAGTTATTGAGGGTACACCAGAGCACTTCTTGGCGAGCTTAACATAGATGCCCGGAGCAGTGGTATGCTCGCGCTCAAGGAAGGCTTCGAAGTCTGCAGGCGTTGCAAACGCTTGTGTGGGAAACTCGGATGGTGTTGCCTGGAGCGGCATGGTGAATGTGGGGGTGTAGAGAAGTCGAGGAGTACGTGGTGCGGGCGGCCGCAACTTGCAGACAGGACTTGTACGACGAAGAGAGGAAACAACGATAGTTGGGATCGATTTTATGTGCACAACCATCTACAACCACTAGAGGTGAGGTGTAGTCGTGGAGGTGACGCTTGTTCGTCGCAAGCGAGAGGGGAAAGAGGGCAGCAACGCGTCAGGCGCGCCATCGCGTAAGCACGTGGCACACCAGACGCTAACAGCATATCTAGCTGCCCAGGTATCTAAGTGTCTCGGATTAAACTATGGCAACCAAGATCACGAAGTAACACTCTGTGCATACCCATGTTCCATATTGACATCAATACCGCTTTTGCACAACTGAACGCCTATTTCATACCTGGACCAAGCACGACACAAATCCACGTACTCCTTTTCCGGCAGAAACTGGCCCACAATCTAGAATACCTTCTTACTATTTAAGAAGCTTATCGGGACAAGTCACGCCGTAGTCTTCGCTCTCTTCGTCATATCTTCTCCCTCGCTCACCCTGCTACTCGCCCTCTTCGTTCCCGTAACGCTAACACTACTCTCCTTCCTCCCTGTTTCAGGCTCATGACTGATTACGATATCAACCCTGTTCTTGACCCCAATCAACTCAACGTTCTCCTCCTTCACTAAGCCTTCTGGTAGCACCCCAACGCCCGTTTCCCCATCAGTCACTTTCAGAGCAACCTCTTTGCCCATAAGAATACCAATCAACCATTCTTTCTCCTTTCCCTTGCGCTCGCAATCCAGCACCTTCTTGCGTAATTCATCAACACCCATGTTTGGTAGCTGCCACTTGACGCGTACTTCAGAAATCGGACTTAGATTGGGATCTTTCGGCAGCCGCGCCGCTTCGACTCTCTTGATGATGTTTGAGGGCGCCATGAGGGTGTAATTGACACAAAGGCTGGAAACCAGCATGATGAGTCCGCGGATAAGATGAAAAGCCTTGCAGCGACCAGTCTCATTTTCGAGGTTCGCGCGCTGGAAGGGTATAGCGAAAGTATGGCCATCTCTTGCTAGGTTCCGAGCACTCTGGTAGACTAGACATTCCAACCACTCTTTTGCGTCCTAATCTCTCCTCTCGTCACGGTTGGGTCGATCGTACGTGCAATAAGACATGCTGTCCATCAAATCATAAGTTTCAACGACTGATTCATACACAGCTTCTTTGTCTTTCGGCGCGACGGTGGGTACAGCAATGCCTGGACGGAGAGGCATCTGGTTCCGAAACAGGATCCAAGGTTCAAAGAAGTCAGCACAGAGAATGAGCTTGGGTATCTTCTTTGTGAAGACGAGGCCGAGCTTAGGAACAATGTCTTCCCCAACTATATGGAGAGTCCACGGCGCCCGGCGTGGGAGCTTTCTTGGGGGTTGGCATCGCAGTTGCTGGGTGAAAAGCATTTTCAGACTGGCCTTGAGGTGTGGTGCCTTACCAGGCTACTTGCGAGGACCGCGCGTGATGATCTATTGTCTTGAGCGCTTGTTATGCGCAGACCTCAGATGGTGGTGGGGTAGGATGTGACTTCTTTTGGAATATACCGAAAGGAGGGAGACGAGTGGTGAAACGATCGAGAACCTTTGACAGCAAGAAGTGGCAAGTACTCATTCCAGTGAGAAAGTGTGGAGATGTAATGCTCTAGCGTTCTGCTGGGCATCCAGTGAGAGACGGGCAGAGACAAATGGAACGAGGCAATAGACTGAGTTGCATACTATACACCGAGACGCCTTCGCTATGCATGTGGTGGTGGGTAATATCGAGGTTTTCTTTCGTGCAAGCTGTTCGCGTTAGATAGCGAAGCTCTGCTCATCCTTTCTGGGCCCTAGTCCTCTCTTCACGCCATCCTTCAAGCTCTCCCAATTCACGCCATCTATTCTCCGGCCGCGAGTACCAATATCAGCAGCGACATCGGTCAGCCTTCCAGTCGCAATCCTACGCATCATAACCAGATCTTGCGCGCTCTGGAATGTCCTGCCCCTGCCTTCAGTAAGAAACTTCTCGATGTGTTCCTCTTCTTCTTCGGTAAATGGCAAGCTGACCAACTCGAAAGCCTTAGCGTCTCGCGTGTACACCTCGTGTTCAGGATTCTGAGACCAAGCGTTGTGATCCAGGCTCTGCTCGACAAGGAGTTCCAGCAGCAGCTTGTGCTCGTACTGTGATCTGCTGTGGATCCATTGGTACATCTCCGTGACATTACGACCTGCAAGGTACTTGGCAAACTCGTCCCTAGTCTTCTGATCCTCCAGCGGCGGCCGTACGCAGTTGTAGTATGCTAATGCCAATACATCGTCCTTTGGATCCCTTGCCATGCCCAAACTGCTCAGCTTGTCATTTCCGGTCAAGAGTGTGTACATGATCTCATCGGGAAAGGTTGGTATTATGCCCGGGTATGTCAGGTGTCCGACAGCTGTCGAGAACTGGAGGTGGTCAAGAAACCAGAGTCCTTCGACGAATGTCCAAAACCGCTTCTCGAGGTGTACGTCTTTCGCAAATGCTTCGGAAAGTTCGGTCGCTTCGTGATGTTGTGCGGACAAGTCTTTGAGCAGGTAAAACACCAGGCAGTGCTTGTTGTGTAATGTGGTATTGGAAGAGATTATGCGCTGATGGAGGTCTTGGAGTTGTTGCGAAGTTTTGGGAGGATACATTTTGCTTCCTAGAGTTTTGGTTAGTGCTTGGCCAATACAGAAAGAGATCGCAACCTGCCCTTGATGTTCAAAAGTGTCAACAGCCGCTCGAAGAAGGTGCGTCCGCCGAGCGCGGTCCTGTAGGACTGAATTTCCTGAACAAGACCATCATTGTAGTGCAGACCGTGATATACGGCGTCAAAGTCTTCGATGTCAAGCATGGTCTTGATTGAGCGGAGTTTGTTTAGGTGGGGTGGGGTGTGTCGCGCTCCAGATGTTGATGGACCTGTTTTGATTCGCGCACGCCAGATAGGTCGATGTTCCCGACCCTCGCGCAGTCACGTGGGAATCCTGGTGGCCTTGGCACCAAGCTCACGACTATCGCTTCGGACGCAGTCAAGGTTATATCAGATATCGTTGTAAGACATGCCTCCAGATTTCCAGCGTCCAGTCATCTCTACTATATACTAAATACATAGCCCTAGCTCTGATTGAACTTACACTGCGTGCCTTACTTTATTTTCGCAGCGGCTTTAGTTGTTAAGGGCATGCGGTCTTCTTTCATGGGCACTTGGAACTTTGTAGGAGCGCCGATGAATATTTGTCATGTGAAATTGTTCAAGTGATGTTGGTGAACAAGCAGGTTATAAACTGACATCCAAGAAATATGGAATTAGATAGTAAAACGACTCCATGCCAACTGCACATGATCGTATGAGCCGGGCACGCGAGGTCTAGGATGTAAGTTACGTCGCACGACCGCGCGTCAGCCCAAACCGTATACATTGCATCGCAAGACTCGAATGATCTGGGTCTACAACGATGCAATCAGCGATTGCATGGCCCGACTGCGACATGCATGGCAACTGAGACTCCTTGGCAATAGCAAAGGGCGGGAGTCGGGTTGATAGTTTCCGAAAGCCGGTTGCATGGACTTAAGGGCATTCAAGAACCTCATGGCTTGGCTTCGGTATCAGATGATGGAGAGTCGTTGTCGAAGAAGGTAAAGCCGAGATGCACTCAAACGAATGGATGTCCGCGCGCCCCGCCCACTTTGCATGTTCTCGATGCGCGCCTCGCAGGATCGGTAGACTTTTGCATTAACAACGTTGTCCGGATATTGCAAGGCTAGGCAGAAACTTGGGGGACTAATGAATAATCATTCCGACGCGATGAGTCAAAGCTAGAGCTGCAGGGCTGATGTGTGCTTAGTGTTGGCATCGGATGTGAGGTTGTGCTAGCATTGAAGTGAAGCAATGGTTGGTATACGGACAAAGACGCCGAAACACGACTTCGTGGTACTGGAATCTATGCGGTTGCAAAAGAACTTCGACGAGAGTAAGCAAGCGTGCTATGGTAGCTTTCCGTCAAGTTTCTGTCACTATGAACCATAGCATCTGTAAGCTCGGAAGTGGCCGGAAAAGAGCAAAACACATGGAAATCGGGGCATGATCATCTTACGGTCTGCGCATTGGATTATATCCGTGTTTAGCGCACATTGCCAAGAAGAAACAAAGCTTAAGTGGATTAGAGGTATGGCGCGGGTGACTTTGGTCAACGTGAACGCCAATGGCATTGTCTGTAAGGGTGTGGCTCGGACGAAGCCTGGAGATAGCGGTGATGGGATTTGCGTAACTTTGCGAGGAAAAATTGTGATCTGACAGGTGCCCGGTCTTAGTTTCCGGCGTACCCTAGAACGGGGTGGTGAAGATCGCATGTGAATCTTCGATTCGAACACACTTCGCCAATAGAAGGCCGAGACGGATAGTCGCTGTCACCGGAATCTGACGCAAGTGAATGTATCTCTCCACCTGTCCTTGTTGCAGCCACGGCGTGACACATTGAGTCTGATACGAGCGCGCGATCGTAATGGGATTGCATTTCGTAGAACCTAGTAATGGTCAATTTCTGCAATCATGAAGAGATGGATGCAGCCACAAAGTTGAGACTAACATGGCGAGGTTTGCCGGTGGAGTGTAGTAAAATGCCATTAGCGGTGGCTGACAGCATGGTCCGGTCCTCGAGTCCGTGCTTGCCCGGACCCACCTCGCGCCTGACATCCGCATAGGACGTCACAGCCAGCGAAGAATGCGATGCGATCGGAGCAGCTTCGCAGCTGACAAAACTTCTGTCGCTATGACTTGATCAAACTCGTCGTTCCGAATCTTCCGGAAGCAATATAGATGCGAGCCACGCCGATGGCGCTGGCAGCCACATGCATTGAAATATCTCTCACTGTTCTGTCTGCTGTTTCCCTTGAGCCCTGCATCTTCTTATATTTCTGACTGCGCATACCTGATCACAGCAGAGTTCCATACAATCGGCTTGCGCATTGTTATCCCTACACTCTCAGCTTTGCGCAGCACTATCCATCCGGAAAGCTTTAACTCTTCGTTGAGAGCAACATATATGCCGAACCGCAGAAGTCTGACAATAGCCGCTGCAGCGCTGCTGTTAGGGCTGTTGCCGCCAGTAGCTGCGCATGGAGATGGAGATGGCATGGAAATGAGCGCGCATAATGCTCAGGAATCGCAACCACAGAACACCGGCTTCGGAGGCTATTGGAGTCTTTCTGAACATGCGTCGCTCATGTATTGGCACATAGGGCTGGAGATCCTAGCCTGGATTGTCATCTTGCCAGTCGCAGTAATGTTCAGCATTGCTTGTTCAAGATATACTCTACCTTCTCAATTGACTTTCCTCGCTACCAACGCGTTGGCGCTCGTGCTCGGCCTTGTATACGACCACAGAACACCAGAACTGTATGCAGGGAATGCACACAGTAAGACAGGATGGGCCATCACCTGGATCGCATCAGCATGGGTGTTCCTGGCTCTCGTCCAGGCCTACGCCGGAAGGTCTGAGTCGCGTTCGAAAGAGGACGAGTTGACAACCGCAAACATGCTTAGATATCAGCGCGTACATGACGAAGAGCTCCCGGCCCCATCACGATGGTCTGGCGACTCAGGGCAGGGGACAGAACGCAACTCGGCCTCTCTTTACGATCCTTCCCAGTCCCCGAGCATAGAGTCGGAGAACCAGCAGTTCCCTCGTCCTTTGCGAAAACCTACACACGATGATGACTGTTTCGGTGATGGCGACGGGGACGACGAGAAGCGCGGCTTTCTTGGCAATACTGCGGTAGATCATTTCTTCTCCCGCCACGTGGCTCGTTTCGCAGTTGGACGGACACTCAAGGCGATTCGTTTCTTCTACGTCGTCGTCGAGCGCACAATCTTGGTCCAGGGTTTCGTGGCGATAGTCAGCGGTGCTGTCGTCTATGGTGGTATCGCAAGAGGAGGCGCGGTCTTCAACGTTTTGGCACACACAGTGAAAGGAGGCATCTTCTTTCTTTACGGTTTCCTCACACTGGGTCGATGGATGGGTGCATTTGCGGATTTTGGATGGGCCTGGAACGTTAAGCCACCGAAAGAAGTAGTCGGTCGTCGGAAAGCGGCACTACCGTCGGCAGAGTTTACCGAATCCTTCGTCATCTGGCTCTACGGCTGCACAAACGTCTTCCTAGAACATCTGGCTGCGTGGGGCGACGCGTGGACTGCTCAGGATCTGGAACATGTTTCGATCTCGGTCATGTTTTTTGGTGGTGGTTTGGTAAGTAAAGCCTGCTTCTTCTTTTCACTTATCGCGCAACATCGCTGACCTTCTTAGTTGGGAATGTGCATCGAATCGACGAAGGTGCGAGAGCTTCTCAACAGCGGAGTCGTTACCTCACAAGCAACCTCACTGCAGAATGAATACTGGCAACAGCCGAGCCAATACCGCTTCTCGATGAACCCACTTCCGGCCCTGATCATTATGCTGCTTGGCAAGATGATGAGCTCTCACCACCAGAGCTCGATGGTTTCAACTATGATCCATACCCAATGGGGCAGCATGTTCATGGCCTTCGCTCTAGCCCGCGGCTTAACCTACATCACCCTGTACATCTCACCACCGACTTCCTTCCTTCCATCTCGACCACCTACAGAAATCGTCACCGCCTTTTGTCTGATCTCGGGTGGTATCACCTTCATGGTCAGCAACAAGGATACCGTTGCAGCTCTTGAGTCGTATAATCTCGATGCCATGTTCATCTTTACGGTTGTCATGGGCCTTACCGCGCTGCTCATGGCTTGGACCACGGTGGTTATCGCCATCAAGGGTTGGGCTCTACGCAAGGAGAGCAGCAGCCAGCATGCAAAGGGTCATGTTGGAGCATTGGCATGAATGATATCTTTACGAGATGCCCTCCACCGATCGGCTGGCGTTCGATTTTTAACCGCAAGGAAGTCGGACTTCCGACCTGATACCCTATTCCCCCTCTTCTTTACGACATTAACGTAGTCTTGATTTATGAGTTTATTGCAGTATACCCCTTTCCTACGGAAGGTGACAGCCTGGATAGCTGCATTTAGTGCCAATTTTGTTTTGGACCAGCCATGGTAATGAAGTCCGTCTTGAGTGTCGGGCGTTTTGGAACCAAGGGCTGGTGGTAATGACGGACGGATGACAACTCTGGAAGTTAATACTAGTTTGCATCGACTGCAACTGGAAACGTAGTAGTGCGAGTCCCAGATGATGTAGGATAATCGAATATTTGAAGCACAAGCTTCTTCATTCGCCTGGTCTATGCATCTCTCCAGATATCATCACAGATGTCCGTGGTGTTCTCATCGTACTCCACGACCTCTACCAGCAACTCCTCTCGCGATACCTGTGCCACCCCTGGTTCCCCTAGGAGCACCACCGCGTGTGGGTATACCACCGCGCCCACCCGCTCGCGGTATTCCACCTCTTCCTCTAGGTACACCGCTTGTTCTTGTAGCCGGCGCCGGCGTTTGCGGATTTTGGAATTTCGATGCGATCTTGCTACTCGGTGGGTTGTCGACGAAGGATGTGTCGGTTGTCAAGAATGTGGCTTCCATGTCTTCTTGACCTTGAGAGCGACTCAGATTCGCGGTACCCAGGTCAGGCTGGTTCTGCGGTCGCTTGAACGATTCTTGAACAGGGGCCTATGATTTCCACGTTAGTAAACATGCCGCATTACACACTCTTCTACGTCTACTCTCTTGGGTCTTTTGTCACGCACCTCGGAGAAGTCTACGCAGAAAGCGTTCATGTTCATCCCATACAGGAACCCCGCAAAGCTTTCTGAGAACCGTGCCAGACTCTCGTGCATCAGTTGTAACTGCAGGAAGTTTTGCTCAAGATCCGCCATGGCGTCGCTCAGCTCAGCAAAGCCATCCTGTAGTCCCTCTAATGCATTGCCAGACGCAGAGGCAGCGCGACCGCGTTGGGATGAATCGCGCAGAGAGGAGCGGGAAGATGCGCGGAGGGGTGTGGTCGGGCGTGATCGAGGTGATTTGCTGCGTGTGCGTCGGTATGACGGTGTTGTTGTAGGTGTTGTGGAAGCCATGCGTGCCCAGCGATATGTCCTCGCTCCTAGAATCCAGTGTAATAGGCGACCAATTGCAGTTTCGAAGAGGTGGACGTTGAGTGTTACTCGTGTCTTGAAACGCGGTCTTAGTTCGGGCCTGATACGAAGTAAACAATACCCCACAACGCAGGGCAGGTACGCTAAGACGAATTGGTCGATGATGCCATGGCCCTTGCTACCAAAACTGCACCTCCCTGTACGTCTCTTGGTATATCGCATTCAGCAAATCACCATCGGACGTGATTTCCAGCGGCTTACTTCAAGGCGCCCTGCTGCCGTATCCAATACGTAGAGTTACGGCTACAACTTTCGTCCGACGCATCCGGAAAGCTCTGCCGACGTCACACTAAGCAGACGCGAGCACTTGTCACATCGAGGCTCAGCGGTCTGACACTTTTCCATGTTGCCTCGCGCACAGCCCCTACGACGACTACTTCACACCTCTACATCCAAGTGCCGACTACCTGCGCATCCTACGAAGCATCGCATCGCCCCACCTGCAGTCTCTAGCTCTACGTATCTGGTCACACGCGCATACATACTACATCATAGTCGGCGGAGCACGGCGACAGCACCCCACAAGAAGAGCGGAATCAACTTCTGGACTGTAGGAATAGTCACTGCTATTGCAACTGGCGGCGCACTACTCGTTCCCTTCGTACAAAGCTCTCCAAAACCGCAGACAGCAAAACGATCCACCTCGGCTCAATTCGAAATCGCAGATCTAACAGACTCGTACCTTGTCATGGCGCCGAACACACCCGCTGGGAGGCCAGGGACTCTCACAGCCGAAGAGGACAAGAAGCTACGTGAGCTGTGGGGAATTGTTATGAAGGTCTTCGGTGTTGAAGTGGGGTCGGAAGCTACAAACGGCGCTGACGAGGTCCCATCACCTACCACAAGCGAGGCAGCAGCAGACGGCAAGAAGGACAAGAAGAAGAGCAGGCTGAACGTATTCAAGAGGAACAAGGGCGAGAAGAACGGAGACGATAAGGCGTCGACTGCTTCTGGAGGCTCTGCTCCGTCAGACATTAGCAGGTTGTCGATATCGGCTGATGATGACAAGTTTGGCCAGACCGCGGAATTCAAGGCGGCAATAGCCAATATTCCCCCGGAAGAGTTGCGAAGAACCTTCTGGAGCATGGTGAAGCATGACCACCCTGATGCTCTGCTTCTTCGCTTCCTCCGCGCACGAAAATGGGACGTTGAGAAAGCGCTTGTCATGATGATTTCCACTATGCAGTGGAGATTGAATGAGATGCATGTCGACGACGATATAATGAAGAATGGAGAGCTCGCCGCTCTACAGACCGCAAGTACTGATGCTAAGACTAAGAAGAACGCCGACGATTTCTTGACACAGTTGCGCATGGGTAAGAGCTATCTGCACGGATTGGACATTGAAGGGAGACCAATGTGTTTTGTTCGTGCGAGGTTACACAAGGCCGGTGAGCAGACGGAAGAGAGTCTGGAAAGATTCACCGTGTACACCATCGAGACAGCACGCATGCTGTTGAGGCCTCCCATTGATACAGCCGTAAGTCGATCCCCTTTCCCCCCAGTCTGTGATATCAGGATTATTGACAGAGTACAGACCATCGTCTTCGACATGACCGACTTTTCCATGGCCAACATGGACTACACACCGGTGAAATTCATGATCAAGTGTTTCGAGGCGAACTACCCCGAATCGCTTGGTACTGTCCTCGTCTACAGAGCGCCCTGGGTTTTCAACGCCGTCTGGAGCATCGTCAAGGGCTGGCTCGACCCTGTCGTCGCCGGCAAAGTACATTTCGCAAAGACCATTGACGAACTAAGCAACTATGTACCAAAGTCACAGATCCCAAGTGAGTTGGGCGGAGATGAGAAGTGGGAGTACAAGTACCCCGAGCCGGTGGCTGGTGAGAACGACAAGATGGCCGACGAAAAGCCGAAACAGGAGTTGCAAAGCGAGAGACAACAGATAGTCGGCAAGTACGAGACTACGGTGCTTGAGTGGGTACATGCGGGTGATGGCGCACCAGCGGAGGAGAAGAGGAAAGAGAGGGATGCCATTGCAGAGCAATTGAGGCAGAACTACTGGAAGCTGGACCCGTATGTTCGAGCACGCTCGCTGTACGACCGCATGGGCGTCCTACAAGACGGAGGCAAGCTGGAATTTTACGGCAAAGCACTTGAGCCCGCAGCTGCATCCGCAAAAGCAACAGAAACGAGCGCCGATGACCTTGACTAGGATTCGAAAGCTCAACTACTCCGGCGGTATAGCACTTTCAACACATTGGCCGACGCTTCGAAGCAACCATAGCCCCTTTTCCTCGTGTCACTGCGTTGTTGGTACGACTGGTCTAATATCCATCGCTCTAATGTGTAGTAGTTTCCCAAAACAAAAATCTCAGTAGTATAGCCTCACATCCCCTTTGATTCTCGCCTCGGAATACGTACCTGGCCCTAATAATATCCCCTATTCCACTTACCAGGAAGCTACTCCTACTACAACTACTAAAACCCCCACCGCCTGCTTGTCTCCGTTTCCTTCCTTTACCGCCTTGACACGTTTCATATCTGATGGAGTAGTCCTTTAGGCGGGCTTCCCTACTGAGATCGTTCCAAGGCAACTCAGTCGATGACGGCTCAAATGTCCGATCGCGACGATGCACTAGCTGGAATGATGTCATGTTCCTGCTTCGGAACGCCTCTTTTGTTTTGCCCTTTGACTTTCCTTGCTTCTTCTTCGGCCTTTAAGTGCTTTAGCTCGGCGGTTGGCGTTCCGTATGTTTGGTACCCCTTGGACTAATGGGATCTTAATGCAACGTCGCGTCAACCTCACCGGTGTATGAAGCTGCACATGGCGTTTTTCTCGGACTTGTGCATGATTATAACGTTGATCAGCGTTTTCACGACCGAAAAAGTCTCATGCAACTCCGTGTATTGTTTGGGTTGTGAGGGTTTCTGATGATGGATTGGATGACATGTTCCACCACCGGGTCATCGTGTGGTGTGGTGTGACAATCTTGGATCCAGCATTGTTTTTCCAGATCCAACGCTGAGATGTTTGGTGTTGCATCGGAGGGTAAGCACACAACACCAACAAGACGAAGCTACCGTACACGTTGAGTAAGGCGAGATATTGATGTTGTACATGGCTTTCGTGTTGTGATTTACATGCTATACAAACGCTCTATGAAGTGATTTTGATATCCCTGCCTTCCCTTGTGCGATGGCTCTCGTGGTTGCTCACCTCGTCCATCTTAGTGGCCATTTCTTCCGCATCTCCAAGACCGGCGTCCTTGGTCTCGGCTGTGGCGTCAACTCGCTCTCTGGGGACACCTTCGCCCATTCGCGATGTAGATCCGGATAAGATCTTCCCAACTTCTGCCCTGTCTCCATCCACATCTGCATTAGCTATAGTAAGGCCCTGTGCTGGCCGGTAGGTGATGTGGCCTTGGGCGGCGGCAGCGAGACGTTGCTTTTGGCCTGTTTCTCCGGCGCGACCTAGGACGCCAGCGATGACTTGTATGCAGCGGAGACTGGAGCGCGTTAGTATGAAACACTAGTCAATATGCAAAGCTGGCTTACCTGTCGTCATTTGCGGGGATAGGGTAGGTGACCCAAGTAGGATCTGCGTTGGTATCAATGACACCAATTGTGGGGATGTTGTTCAGCGCACACTCGTGCAGCAAAACGTAGTTCTCGAGTGGGTTCATGCAGACGACGAGATCTGGTCGGAGGACAGGTCGGTCGTAGAGCTGCTCTTCGAAGCCGGGAACTTCTTCGTCTAGCTCGTTGACCACCTTCGTTTTGCATCTGCCCAAGATTTGCTGGCCGTTGGTGATGCTTCCAGGGATCCAGCGCTCGAAGAGATGGTACCCCTTGGCTAACTCAGCTGCGCGTGCGACTGCCCTGTCTTGCCCATCGCGTGTACCAACAAACAGGATCATGCCTCCTCGTCGCGCAACTTCCTGTACAACCTTGGCGGCTCGCCGTAAGTGGGCTGCGGTGACTTCGAGCGAGATAATATGGACGCCTTGCCTTATGCCGTGTATGTAACGTGCATTTGCGGGGTTCCATAGGGAAGTGACATGGCCTTGATGGGCCTCAGAGGCGAGGAGCAATTCCAGGGTAACGTCGGCGGGGGATGGGGGGTGGTTCAAGAGGGTGTGTGGTTGATAGTGAGGCTCAATGTGAGTTCCCAGCTTTCCCATCTGCTTGGCTATGACATGTCAATGGGGTGTAATTGGGGGGAAGGGGGGAGGCGGTATCCATACATTGCTGCTTGTACAGGTAGTACTGCTGAGCGACATCATTGGAGGCGGACTCGGAGGTTCCATGGGTCTCGGGGTCGACGGAGGGTACGGGCTGCTGGAGGTGGGTGTTCAGCTGGGCCTCTATTGACTGTAGCTGTTTCAGGCTGTTTTCGGTGGAGGCTTCAATCGACTCGGTCTCGGTGGAGAGAAATCGCTGCAGCGGGCGAGACGATTGTCGTGAGTGTCGTGCGAGGGCCCGGGGGGCTGTCGAGCATATTAGCAACTGCATCCATCTCGGATTGAGTGCACCCTACCACTGCGCGCTGCTATACTCCTCAAGATCATTTTGCGTCGCGTGCAGTCCCGTCGTGAGGATCCAAAACTCTCGAGCGATGGCGCCAAGCCTCGACCGGAGCTAAGCCTGTTTGGGCCGACGTGCATCTGATGTGGCTCCAGATGTCGGCTTCCCTTCAGTCAGGTCAGGACCGATAGAGGCGCCCTCAGCCGATAGCCGTCGTGATCAGATCATGTGTGCCAGTGGCGAGGCGCTGCGAGGGGTTCTGCGTGCATCGGTCCCACCGGTAGGGCAGAGCATGGCATTGTGCAAAATGCCATATGTTGGTCCCTGCTGCTGTCGCCCGCCTCTTGCTTATCCCATCCCGCGCCGCCTGTGCTCAGTGAGCTTGTGCTGCCCCCAATAATTGCTCGCTTGAAGCCACTGACATGCTTCCGTCATCTTCTGCAGCTATCCCGCACGCGGCCTTTTGGCTTGGCACCTAGCGCATTCCACTGACGCTACACATCCTCGCTCTTCGCATCCCAACTCACCCGCCTGGCCCTGCCCCATATCGATCAGCCCGTTGCTGCACCAGAGCTGCGGCCTAGGAGCCTATCCGCTGTCGCCGCCCTCGAATGTCGCTTGTCAGACGCTGAACTCCCCGCCACCGCCGCCGCGATTCATCCCAACCCCAGCCAAAGGAGCGATAGCGCACCACCCGCCGTGCCCACGGGCGCTGCCCACACCCTTTGATGCCTACAACCCCGTGTTGGACGACCTCCCTCGCTGCTCTTGCGACTCGAGCACTCTAGCCCGCCACTATGAATGGCTATCCATATCCCACCCGGCCCTTCAACCCGGCCAACAATGCAAACATGATGATGAACATGAATGGGGACGCCATGAGTGGCTTCAACATGGCCGAGGGCCAGTCGCTGGATTCGATGGTCGCGCAGAACGACAAGGACAACCGCCGCCGAAGCATGCCCGTCTACACTAGAGGGCCGCAACAACAGCAGCAGCAGCAACAACGGATGAATATGGGCAGCCCGGACACGCGCAGGTTAAGCATGATGAATTTTGGAGATCCCAATGGCGGAAATATGGACGACTTTCAATTCGACATGTCTACCGCTGCCATGGACAGCATGATGCGCAACAACGCCGCCTTCCCGCGAACGACTGCCGACATGCAGGGCGACCAACTACCTGCTGCGGATCTCGACATCAATACCCAGTTCCAAGGTCAGGCCTCTCCATTCCCAAACATGGCCGCTCCTGGCTCTGCATATGCCTCGCCCATGCACCAGAAAAACTCCCTCGACTTGGACATGGGATCATATCAGAATGGCATGACCATGCCCCTAGACATGGACGACTCGCTCAATATGATGCCAACCGATATGAACATGTTCCCCGGCAACCAGTTTAATACTCCCATGCTGGATTCTCCCATCAATCAGGACTTTGTTGGGCCTTTGCCCGCTGCTGCCCAAGGAAACAACACGCCGACAGGACAAGCTCAAGACCAGTTTAAGCGGCCTTCACTGAGTAATACACCTGAAGTCAAATCAGGCAGATCCAGCTTCCTCAGTCGTACCACTAGCCAGGACCAGTCCAGCATGCGGTCCAGTTCCCGGCCCCAGAGTGAACACCACTCCTCCAACAGTGTCCCGACACGCATGACTCTGGCCTCGCTACAAAATCAGCAACCTATCGGACAAGATCCTGCACAGGACCTGCCCAAAGAGGTCATGAACAAGCAACTGCAAGATTTCAAAATCCCATGGTCGAAGCCTGCAGGCGGGTTTCCGTCAACGATGCATCACAATCCTCACATGAAGACGCAGTTCAAGAATGCTTACTCGGCGACAGGGTTTGATATGCTCGGAGTACTGGTACGTTCTGAGATTACTTCGTCTGGACGTTGGTTGCTAACATGCGAATAGATGCGCGTGGCTACCAGACCTGACCCCCAGATCGACATCGGCTCTGTTGATCTTTCGTGCGCCTTCGTCGTATGTGATGCTGAGCTAGATGATATTCCTATTGTTTACTGCTCAGAGAACTTCGAGCGACTCACCGGTTACACAAGACATATGATTCTCGGACGAAATTGTCGCTTCTTGCAGGCACCCGACGGAAAGGTCGAGTCCGGAATCAAGCGAAACTATGTTGACGACGATTCAGTCTACTATCTCAAGAACATGATCGAGAGTCGTGCAGAAGCGCAAATCAGCCTGATCAATTACAGACGAGGCGGGCAACCCTTCATGAACCTTCTGACCATGATTCCTATTGCTTGGGAACCTGGCGGCAAGATGAAGTTTTTCGTCGGTTTCCAGGTTGACCTCGTAGAGCAGCCTGGAGCCATGACGAACAAGAACTCAGGTAGGCCCTCGCATCTAACAAATATACTCGTGTGTGAACTGATCATGTTATAGATGGTTCTTACCGAGTCAACTACCAGCGCGGAATGTCGATACCGAGTTACGTCTTCAGCGATCATCACAAGCCACAACAAGCCGAACAAGGCCAGACCATCTCCAAAGATGAGGTGTCCAACGTACTCGCTGCGTACAGCGGAACTGGCGACTCTGAGATGACAAGACGTATCTGGGACAAAGTCCTGCTTGAGAACAGTGACGATGTTGTTCATGTCTTATCACTGAAGGGGCTCTTCTTATATCTGTCACCGGCCAGTAACAGGATACTAGAATATGACCCCAGCGAGCTTGTTGGAACAGCGCTATCGTCCGTCTGCCACCCTAGCGACATCGTCCCCGTAACAAGAGAACTGAAGGAGACTACAAATGGCGCATCAGTCAATGTTGTGTTCAGGATACGGCGGAAGAAGAGTGGCTACATGTGGTTTGAAGGCCATGGCTCTCTTCATACCGAGCAAGGCAAGGGCCGGAAATGTATTATCCTTGTGGGCCGCGAACGCCCGGTCTACACCTTGAGCAAGGCCATCGTACGCGAGTCTGGCGGTGTCGGCGATAACGAGCTGTGGACGAAGATGTCTACATCGGGCATGTTCCTCTATGTCTCGTCAAACGTGCGCCAGTTGCTTGATAAGCAACCTGAAGACCTGGTCGGTACCAGTATACAGTCTCTCATGCGCCAGGAGTCCAAGATTAACTTCGGCCGCATACTAGAGTTGGCTAGAGGAGGCAGGAAAGGCGAGGTCAAGCATGAAATGATTAACAAGCGCGGCCAGGTTCTACAGGCATTTACAACAATATACCCCGGAGACGCAACCGAGGGCCAGAAGCCCACCTTCGTCGTTGGTCAAACACGACTCCTCAAGTACTCGCGGAATAGCAATGCCGGCCGCCCGTCCATGTATACAAATACCAAGCATGAGCGCGACTCTCACAACTCTATCCACACTCATATGTCAGGAGCAGCATCACCTGCCGCGGGGTCCTTGACTGGCCACACTGGCTCAAACACGCCAATGACGTCCAACACGAATCCTCTCTTCGTCACTACCGAGGAATCTCCTGCTACATTTGCTGGACACAATGGTCTCCAACTCGGACATCAGGATCAAAGTCTGGCCTCCGATGACAACGTATTTGACGAACTAAAGACGACGCGAAGCACAAGCTGGCAATACGAACTACGACAAATGGAGAAGCGGAACAGATACCTAGCAGAAGAAGTCCAAACCCTGTTGGCAGCCAAAAAGAAGCGGAAGCGCAGGAAGGGTGCCGGCCAGATGCAGAAAGACTGTGCAAACTGTCACACGCGAACAACTCCCGAATGGCGGAGAGGCCCTTCAGGGAACCGGGACCTCTGTAATTCGTGCGGATTGCGGTGGGCCAAGCAGGTAAGTCATACTTCTCATCCCGAATAATATGATTAAAGCTGATCCCAATCCTCTCACAGCAAGGACGAGTATCACCTAGAACATCCTCCGCCGCAAGTGATAAGAGCAAGAAGAGCGCTTCACCGCGCCACTTCGCTACGAGCCAGCAGAACCACCAGACTATCCTGCCTCATTCTATGCCCGAGACCGGACAACAATCCTCCATCCTTTCGGCAATGGCTCCATCCACTAAACGATCGCCCCAGCAAGGCAGCATCAGCGAGTCTCATGCTACAAAAGCAGCGCGTACGGAAGTTGCGGCTTCACAAGGTTTCATTCCCCCACCGGCGATTGATGAATTGACGGAGCCGGAATCATGAGCATGATTGATCGGAGCATCCTCTTCTCTACTACTACTTCATGGTTTTTCTCTTCAGTTTCGTGTCATTCTCCGCTTTGGTCAAACGATACCCCATTACTTATATTCACTTTAACGAACTTCACATTCGCTTGCCGAGAGCGAGCCGTCCCATGGGAGAGTTTTTAGACTCATATCCCCTTTTTTCTATCACTGTCTGATGTTTTACGATTTGGGGCAACAAGAAATCGGGTGGGTTTGGCGCGTGTGGTTGAATTCTCGGCTGCTAGTGTCATAAGTTAGAGGCTAAGAGACGAGGCGCGATATGCATGTATATGCCTTGGGCAAATTTTTGGGATTCTGTTGTACATATCAGCGATAATCGATCAATGTAGGGGTAGGGTCTCCAGGAAGCATGGGGCGCACCATTACTCAATCAATCAATTATATATATATATCACATCAGATCAGATCAGATCGGATGAATAGTGGACCTGAACTAAGACGATCTGGCCGGAACACAGCAAGCCTCACCACCCCCTTGACGCATTGATCTATTCACCCCATGCAAGTAAGAGTCTAAACAGGTGTAGAGAAATATCAAATGTCCAACTACGCTATAACCCACAACATGACTTATATCCTTCCAAGTCATCTATAAGTATATATAGTACTCCTACTACCTAAAGAGAAGTAGACAGAAGAGGAGAGCTTGCTAAGAGGTGTTTAGTTTCTCCCTTGCACAAGGTGCATCTGTGTTTCTTCCCCACCCTCCGCTCGCCCGCCCGCTCGCTTGACTGGCTCGCTTGGGATTCGAATGGGAGCGACGATATTCATGAAAACGCTAATTGTGGTGTGGAATGGCCTCATCATCATAACACCAACAACTAACTCGAATGTACGGCCCTTTTGTCACGCTTGGCAGTATGCTTGCACAGATGCTGTGCGAAGCGCACAGCTGTTGCGCAACTCGGCGTTGAACGTGGAGGGCGATAAGACGGGATCTGTAGTCATGCTCGTGATTGTGTCATGGTATCGCCGCCGGCTTTGCCTTGCCTCTCTTCGCTTCTAATTAGACAACCCGCGCGTGGAAATGTGGCGTGGCCGCGCGAGGTAGCCCTAGAATGCGTGATGTGGCGCTAGAACGCTGCATGTTTCTCGGAAGCAGAGTGAGAAACACACAAGGGGGCGGGGGGTATGAGAGCTGCATGCAGGTTCCCGGGCAGTTAGCCCCGGCAGCACTTGTTGGTTCCAAGGCTCTTGGAATGGCAGATTACAACTAGATTTGGGGGGCCTAGGGAAAGCCAACGCCGAATACGCAGGCCTCTCTCTGTCCTGACATCCAGGAATTGTTGTGCAAAGGCTGGAGTATCGTGCCTCGGTATCGTGTTGCATCGTGGAAGAAGGCTCCAATGACGAAAGCTCAACAGGCAAATAAACTTCCTCCGTCACACGTTGTTACCCACATGGCTTGGGCTCTCTCCCTCGTTCCTCCCCTCATCAAGCCCGCAACAGCCTCCCAATCAAACAAGTGGGGCCGTCTTCCGGCCTCGATGCTTTGGATCCTGCGATCCCCTGCGGCCCAAGCGTCTGCGCCTTATCTGGGCTCTGTCTGTGGTTTCTGTGCCATGACATGAGCGCACGACAAGGGTACAAGGGTGTTACGTTCGCACCGAAAGTCAAAGATGGGATGGGTAATGCCCGGATACCACAGCAAAAGAGGTAACGGGGGTATCAAGGGATCTTCACCTTTCATTTCTTTTTTTCCCATCCGAAGTTGGCCAACTTCATGCCTAATTCATTTCTAACGTTGCGCTTTGGATACTAGGGACCGTTTGGGGAGCACTGTTCGCTTCATTAATTTGTTGTTGGGGCTTTCTCTATCGTAGGCATTACAATTACGAGGTGAAGCCTGCGCTGCGCTGTCTTTCCCTTTTATTTCATGGTTCTTGGTTTTCTGGACTGAGGACGACAACGCCGCCTTGACACGAGTCGTCAATCCTTCGCGCGATATCGTTTCTTGTTTCTGTGCCGCGGTTTACTTTTCGTCGGACCTGAGCGAGAAACGTTACCCATTCCGACTGTGATTCCGACTGCGAATTACAGGACCCTTGCGTTCATATCTCTGGATCGGATTGATAGGATCTCGTTTGCGCGGGAGAAAAAGTAGTGTGTGGTTCGGGAGGACGGTTTGCGACAAGCGCATCCACGAGGGTAGACGACTCGAAACGGACGCGGTTACGACACGAGTGGGAACGCATACGTCTCAAGAACTACAACATTTGGCATCGGAGTAGCGCAAGAGGAGGACACAATGGATGAGAATAACAGAATAACGATTACGGTGTGTGGAGATGGAGGATGCGGTATGCGCGGATCTGTGTCAGACTTGAGGCATTGATGGGCTGACTTGGGTGCAGGAAAGAGTTCCATTACACTACGGCTTGTCAGGAGTCAATGGACATCTGAGTACGATCCTACCATAGGTACGTCGCCTTGCGCGCATGCTCGTCGCATTTAGCATCACACGACTGACCTTTCTTTAGAAGACTCATACTCCGTAACCAGAACTGTCGATGGAGTCCCTTACTACCTCATGCTCACCGATACAGCGGGCCAAGAAGAATATCGCGGTCTCTGGGCAGCCTCGAACCTGCAATCCGACGCCTTCCTCCTCGTCTACGACATAACATCCGCCAACTCGCTCGATGCGCTAGACTACTTCATGGAGATGATAGAGATGGAGACAGAGAACCGATTAGACAATGGCAAGATTCCACCGATCAAGTGCGTAGTAGGCAACAAGTGCGATTTACAAGGGCAAAGAGTCGTAGAAGCAAAGACAGGTCTTGATTGGGCGAGACAGAGAAAGTGCGGCTTCATGGAGACGAGTGCGAGGGAAATGGTCAATATTGAGGAAACTTTTGCTTGTAAGACACTTGCGTCGCAACTACATCCCATACCAGACGATGTGAGGGAGAGGGGGATTGGAATCAGCCTTGCTAACGTTCACGGCAGTACTCGTACGTCGCGTAGTAGAAGCACGGAGGCTCACTGCTGGAGATGGCCCTGCGAATCGAACTGCCGCCCTACCTCTTCAATCGAATCCGAACCGAGACCCGATGGATTTCGCGGCCCATACACAGAATGAAAAGGATGGCGAGAACGAGCCGAAACAGAGCTTTTGGAAGAGGCTCAGGTGCTGGTAGTTACATCGGATGTTTCTATGTGTTACGAATGGGCTGAGATGCTGTGTCGGACATGGAGCATAATCTGCGTCTTCTCTGCACATCTTGTTCGGATCACCGCAATAGTATCGGGGGAATTTTTCTTCTGGATTCGCTGCTAGCTTATGGCTCTGCCGTTGAAATCCGGAGAAGCGGACTCAAGTTTCTTGTTTATCTCCTTGTCTGTATATATGTGTCGATGGTATGGGCGTAAAGCATTTGTATACGCATTGCATGGAAATGCTGATTAGCGGGAGTGGGGGATCATGGGATATACTGGGTGGCTATCTGAATTTCTGTTTATTTTCACAGCGTCTCAAGTCTTTCCTCTACATATTTCCTTACATCACTATAGATCTTCGATTGTATAGATTTCAGGTCGAGTCTAAATTGATACCTTTACAATCTTATGGTAGTGCGACAAGGTTGCTATCGCATATGGCCTCGCAGCGGTATACTTTCCAGCTTTGCCAGAGCCTTTGAAAGCTTACAACAGATTTCAGTCGTATCTTCACTCTCGCCAGGTGCATAAGTGAAGTAGTGCGAAAGATGACCACTTTGAGGCATGGGATGCAGCTAACGATCGGCTATCGAAGGACATCGCTAACGCGTCTGTGCGCAAGCACGCCATTGGCTTTCGGAGCCTTTGCATTGCTTTGAACGACCTCGCAATAGCTGTGAATTGCGACTTCGACCAACAAATCTACAGGGAAATATTCCATCTCTCAGTGTTCGCGCAAGGAGCGCATACAGTGGTTGGTGACGTCGTCATTGCCCCTCCATAAGGTCCGTGTTTACGGAGATAAGAGCGCAACAAGCAAAAGAGGCATTGGAAACACATAAAGAGCGGAAAGTAAAATGTCAAAGCCTCATATTGAGCACGAGGACCCAGTCCAGGATGGTCTCTCTCGAACACTGAAAGACCTCTTCGCAGGTGCAGTAGGTGGTGTCGCACAGGTACTTCTACTACGGCGTTTATTCCAGCCCAAACTGAAGCTCATATTTTAGGTACTTATAGGTCAACCATTTGACATCGTCAAAGTTCGGTTACAAACAACATCACAATACTCCGGTGCCCTAGATGCTGCGACCAAGATCTACCAAAATGAAGGAGCACTGGCTTTCTACAAGGGGACGCTGACACCACTCATCGGAATTGGAGCTTGCGTATCTGTCCAATTCGGTGGCTTCCACTATGCGCGACGTGCCTTTGAAGCTAGTAATGAGGCGAAAACTGGAAAAGGACAACTCTCGTACTCACAGTATTACGCCGCCGGTGCATTCGCCGGTATCGCCAATACCGTTCTGTCTAGTCCCATCGAGCACATCCGTATAAGACTGCAAACACAGCCGCACGGCGCGAACCGCCTCTATGCCGGTCCGATTGATTGTGTACGCAAGCTCACTGCACACCAAGGCATTCTCGGCGGTGTTTACCGCGGCACAGCTGTAACATTCATGCGTGAAGCCCAAGCTTACGGCTGCTGGTTCACCGCATTCGAGTACATGATGAATGCAGATGCCGCCCGCAACAACATCGACCGGTCGGAAATCTCTACCCTAAAGGTTGCGGCATATGGTGGACTCGCTGGTGAGGTGCTTTGGATAAGCAGTTATCCGTTCGATGTGATCAAGAGCAAGATGCAGAGTGATGCATTTGGCAAGGAACAGAAGTACAAGAGTATGAGGGACTGCTTTGCAAAGACATACAGGGGGGAGGGCTTGGGTGGCTTCTGGAGAGGTATTGGACCGACTCTGTTGAGGGCTATGCCAGTGTCTGCGGGTACATTCGCTACGGTTGAGGTCACGATGCGATTCATCAGCTGAGAAAGAATACCAATTTCCACCGAGTTCGACGGATTGGCGATGCTCGAGCCCAGTACGATAAGCCTTACAAACTCACAATCAACGAACACCGTGGCCCTGAAGGAAGCCTTGGGCGATCTGTCGCGCATGCATATAGACAGCATGATCTGAAGCGAGTTTGTGGCACATACCGTAAAGAGAGCGGTCGATATGCATGTGCGAAACCATTGACTTTGTACTTTTCCAACAATAGCTAGACATACGGCATGAATATCACCGAGATCGCGTCTCAGCTTCTATCGTTCCTACTTCATGAGATGCTGCAGTGCACCGCACCCGACGAGCCCCAAGGCTACCTTGTCACTCAGCCAGCCCCAAGACAGATCCCTTCCCCTCATCGTTGTCCATCCTTCGTAACGCGTCCCAATACCATGCTGACCACCCGCAGAACAATCCCGTGGTCTAGACGCGGCACGCTCTCAAATGCAATTTCGCTCCCTCTCTTGCATTACGTCGGATACCGACGTACCCCTGTCCCAACGTTGCCGTGCCGCTTCCCCCCAGGCTCACGCCACGACCTGCAAGCCACACGATTTGGGCACAGAGCTGGTGAACCAACTGTAAAATTGCACAACTATCTCATATCGATACGGTGGGGGCCCGCGGGGGTAATGCCGTTTATGTGCCGCAGTCCCGCTGCGAACATGTGGACTTGTCGCTGGGACTAACAACCGCACCAAACTATACTTACACTCACCCCAGATAACTTATGAAGGTAGCTGTCTCGAATCTGGACAGACTTTCCAGCAAGTTCCAGGAACCTGGTTCAATCGTTGGGAGATCACCGAAGAACTACCGACTAGATTGAGAACACTGATTTGCGGCGCAACTCGCATCGCTCATCACCCGTTACGCAAGGGGTTACTGTTTTTAGCTAGAGAAGCAACTCATCCGAAATCATGGGGGAATCCCCTGTGATATCAGCGGATATGATGTCTACCCACACGCTCTTCGATCGCTTTTCTTTTCAATTTGCTACTTCACATTTGCACCAGGCCCTCATTCATTCTTACTAAACACCGTGCAAGAGGCGCGTTTGCAACACAAAACACGACTACGATCGCCTCAGATAACACGCACAAAATGGGGTTTGTCAAAACAATCAAGAAATGGAAGTCCAGTCTCAGCCCCGAAAAACCCTCTACTCAGTCAAACAAACCTTCGAAACACACACGATCCGAAGAAGACCTCGTTTCCATGCAACTACCACTACCGCGATACAATGCACAGCCTCATTCACATTCCGAAGCGGCGCTTTATCGACCCACGAGTCAGATTATATGTCATTCGCCGTTGGATAAGAGGAATCGGGCTGGAAAGGGGAAGAGTAGGAGGAGTAAAGACGACCAGGGCGAAAGAGGGGATGGTAGGGATGTGAGGAGGTACACAACTATTACGAGGGTATTATTTTCATCTACGCAGTTTGAGACGGTGGATGTGAAGAAGCCTGCATGATGGAGGCAACGACTATGTTAGGCGAACTTCCTTTAGCCCTTAAAAAGTGAGGAAGGCAGGGAACGGAATATGAGACTAGGGCAGAAGCCAGCGCCGCTGTCTTCGGCACAATGGAGCATTAAAGGACACTGTGCAGTTGAGGGGGTGAAGAGAGTTGGTAGTAGAGAAGTATGGGGTTTGGTCTTTCTAGGCAGAGTGCCTACCCTGCCAGCCATTGTGCCAGGCTTTCGCTATCCTTGGATACTAAGTTGTTCCTTTTGTCTGTTCAAGAAAGACGGTCAAGAGTTCAAGACGTTCTTAAGCCTGCGCAATTTTGTGTGAGCAATGACGTCGAGAAGAAGTGCAGAATTCGGACCTTATTAGCACAGGGCAATATTACTCGGAAAGGAGTTCTCTTGTTGACTAACGCCTATATCTTTACTCTTACGACCTACCCGAAATGAGCAAGGATCTATTCAGTGCCTCGACAATCTGATCTTCATCAAAACCTCCCGTACTGATTCTTCTTCGTGCGGAAAATGCTTCCTGTTGACTAAGCTCTATCGCCTTTGCAAGATCCTCATCATCAGCATCATCGCTTCGAACAGCCTCTTGCCCCCTATGATCCTGTCTCCATTCGCCTGGTGAAATTGTCCGCGGTACTCCGTTGCCGTTTAATCCCGTCGGATGTAGAGACCCTGCATCAAGCTCGTACAGGTCTACATTGTCTTCAACAGCCGGAGCGACATTGTGTTGCTCCTGATGTGGGAAATTTTGCATCGGCCTGGGCGGTCCACGACGGGCTTCACTACGACGATGAACCCAGTCAGGGACGTCACCAGGCATCTCGGGGTAATCAATACTTGAACTCCGGCTTAAGGCCGTGGCATGCTCATTGTGGGTTGTGTGCGGAACGTTGCTGTCGCTCACTGGGCGTTCTCGCCGTTTCTCACGGAGAGACTGTCTTTTGTTGAATACCTTGGGACGTTCAGGTTTCGGTGAAACTGAATGAGAAGCTGCGATCGTTAGTCATATGTGCAGCGATTCAGAAGTCCTAAAGCTGGTTAATCACTCACAGGTTCTCCTGATTGGTTCGCCATCTGCGAGATGCCCTGGAAAGCCGCTGATAGGTAATCCGCACCGTGTAGTGCGATCGTCGGTAAGATGTAGATCAATCGATACTTCTGCTGACTCTGAAGCTACCGGTATAACAACTGAATCCAGACGAAACAGTCCTCTTTCTGTCATGTCACGAATGGTTTGCGTTGTGACTTGTATGAATTGAGTTGATTCATCGCGCATGGTTTCCTGTATGCGAAAGAACGGCTGGAAATGAGGCAGTTGGTGCTTCCGTATATAGTCCCCTAGCTCTCGAAGGTTCTGGGACCCTGCGGCGAATCTGCACTGAATATTGCCTGACAAAAATCAATCGATGACTCGGATCGCTGGAACAAACTTACCTTGCACAATAATGTGATCATCAGTACGCCTCGCAGGACAGGACCTTTCAAAGTAGAACGAACTGGCAACAAGTCGTCGCGCGATATTTTTTACCTTCATCCTCGAGTCGTGTCCGCGAAGATTATTGATAACATCTTCCATCAAAGTGTCGATCTGCGATTTGTCGTCCATTTTGGGAATGCGACTGGCCGTGCTCGGATTGAAACGGACATATCGCTCAGCTGCAGCATACGGAGCTGTTCCGACTACATCTTTACGGAACTCTCTCCATGTAGCCTCGGCATCTAAAGCACTTTCAACCCGTTTTTTGAAGATTGTGAGCCATGATTCGATCTCGGGGAATGCTCTCAGTACTGGCATGGATCGTTTTACGCTTGGGGTAGGCTTGACCTGGTTGATCATCTTTCGGATCTGGAAGCGCCTGCTGTCGTATCGTGATGCATCGAGAAAGTTGTCAGTGTCAGCTCCATGTTGACCAGTTCCTATCGAGAGAAGAATGTCTGGAGGTCGCTGATCAGCATCGGGCCAAAGAAGCTTGCTTTCGTAGTTGGCAATTCGAACAGGGTTGTTGTGAAAGACGGCACCGTCCACATAACCCTCCATCGTACGTGGGTTCCTGAATGGCTTGAAGTACGTAGGGGCGGCCGAAGTTGCTCGCGCAGCTTCCCGGATCAGGACATCGTTCTTTGGATCATCTGGCCGAATCAGCTGGTAGCCTATCTGCTCATCGTCTGCACGGTTGTAGTTTGTGAAGATGACTGCTTGCTCTGCAGTCTCAGTTGCAGAGGTGACGGCAACTTTGCACATGCTAGCAAGCGGAGCTCGGCGCCTCCCACCGAACATAGTTTCATCTTTGAAACACTCAGCGAATGCTTCTTCGAGAGATTTCGTGTGGTATTTGTTAGTTCCCAGGCTGACCCCTCCAAAGAATTTGGGTGTAAATGCCTTCTCTACCATCCCGAGAAAAAGCTCTTTGCAACGATCTACCGGCCAGTTCTTGACACCAAGACCAAGCGCTAAGATACCTCCAGTACTGGTACCAACGATGAGGTCGAAAAACTCCTGGACTTTGATACGGCCGCCTAGTTCTTGTTGTATCTGGCGAAGAACTTCCAGGATGACTATCCCTCTCACACCACCTCCGTCAAGAGACAGAATCCGCAAACCTGCCAATGGCGGCTTGAAGTAAATCTCTACTGGGGCAGAGAAGATAGCCTCGTAGTCGTGTAGCGGGCATTTGGCGATTGTAAATGAGCCTGAGAGTTCCCGATGTGGGTTGCCGTAACCCTTGACACATGCTGTGCAAAGCACGTGCGCACAAGGTAAGGGATGCTCCGCCAACTCCCTCAGACAGCAGAAGCAGGTAGTATGACTGACAAAGTTCCGGGCGCCGCCCATGTGATGATAGAAGTTTGTGACGTTCGCGAGATGGAGTTTAGTGACCACATCATCCTCCTCCGCTGATGGGGACAATGTTATCTGCAACTCAAGCTTTTGTTTGATTTCGATTAAGTAATACTTGAGGTGGTCAAACCAGTCTTCACAAAAGTCGTCGAACGTGAAGCTCGATTGATAAGGGCCTGAGCCGATGAGACTTCCCCGTTGATTCTGGTGTCCTTTCACGTGACGCTCCTTCACATTCACACATCATTCACCTTTTCTGCTGACGAACGAACACGGCCAGAATATAGCGCAGAAGTCGTCAAGGGCGCTATCACAGTGGGCGATATATTGTGTTTCCAAGATCTGTTCTGCCGATCCTTTTAGGTCCTGCCGAACGCAGTCTAGCAGTATACAAGAAGCTACCATAAGACTCAGTTCTTTGAAGATCTTCCTCGGGTCGTCAAACTGAGCCTTCATTGCGACAGCCAGTTTTAGGATGTTGCCTCCAAAGTCCAGAGGGATAGGGTTGATCTTGAACGAAATGTCCATAAAGTTAAATGGTGTATGTAGATCCTGTGAGAAATGATCGAATGCGCACTGTAGATAGACGTTGAGGTTCTCCGAGTTGGAAAGCATACGCGACCTTCGTTTAGCGTTGAATGACTCGGCGCACCGGCGAGTGATCACTTGGTGTAATTTCTTGACTTGATCATCGATCATCATATATCGGCCTTCGCCCGGGATTCGTACAACCGTAATGGAAGAGTAATAACACTCGAGAAGGTCCTTCATGGTGCGAATGCGTCTGCCTCTTCCGATCCAATAGTCTCGTAGCTCTCTATAGGCTGGATCTCGACCAATAGCTCCTGCGACATTGGACATGAGCAGCTCCGTCGCGTGTTCGGGATCCCATTCCTGTTGACCAACTTTCGTATCTGTCGCGTTGAGTGCGATGACAGCGTGTGGAAGTGTGGGTTGATTGACTGACTTCTCAAATGACGAGGATGCCCATTTGATAAGCAACCCTAGCACTGTGGACTCGAACGTCCTGGTTTAATAGAGTCAGTGTCATATCAATCATATCAGTTGGCTGCAGTGTGATATTCGCACAACTTTAACCTGCAAAGCTGCATGTATACCAGATAAACAGGGGAGGACCACTCACTTTGCGTTGCGCAGAACAAATACGATCACATCCGAAAATGTGTACAAGAGGCGAGGGTACAGCTCCGTGACTGCGTACTGTCGCTTCAGTGTGTCTGGTGAATTGGCCCATTTGATGTCTCTTTGGGTGCTATGAAAGCTTTTGGTGACTTTGCGACGTCTCCGATGCTCTCCCGAGGGAAAGTCCTCTCTCCCCTTTTCTCTCTGTGGTGCCGTTGCGCTGTTTCGGTATTGGGCAGCCATCGGTGTGTTTTCACCACCCTCCAGGCCTTCGCAATCGGCGTAGAGCAAGGGATACTCGGTGTTATATGTGCTTGGATCACTATACAAGTGTACATCGCCGGAAGTGGGTACGGCGCTGTTTGCTGACGTTCCTGCAACAGGCGAGGGAAGACTCCAATCCCGTGGTAGATTTGTCCGTTCCTGTTGATCAATGAGCATCTTGATAAGCGTGCTTTTGCCTGCCCCGGTTTGACCAATGAAGGATACTAGTTGCGGGTACCGGAATTTGAATTCGCCAGAATTACTGTCCGCCATGATGGCTGAGTAACGGCCATAGTCCTGGAATGCAGGCGAGTTTTGACTGTTGCGTACCATCCCAAACCAGGTCGTATCCTCATCTTCGATATGTAGCATCTGCTGTTCGCTGTGCTCTTGGGGAGGAGTCAAAATATCCTGTAACCTTTTGACAATTGTAGGGTTCGCCTTCTCATGCGGAAGGCCATCAGGACCGGTACGACCAGCTTTGTGTGGACCCTGTTTGCCCCAGCAGTCGTCGCAAAAGTTCATATCACAATAGGAGCAGTCCCATACGGGCGATTTCTTCAACTCACAGCTCTCGCATATTCGTGACTGGGTATCTTCGATCCTCGTCTCTTGTCGGTCGCGTGAGAGAGTATGCGATAACTCGATGGTAGTCTTAGGCACATCCCGAAAGGCACCGGTAGAGAACGTTCCTAGTGGGCGACCGATACTTTTAGGACCAAAAGTCTTGGAAGATTCCGATTTGGACACTCTGACTACGGGAATCTCTGGCGTATAGGAAGGAGGTCGTGTCATTGTGTCGGTTCTTCTGTAGGGGTTTGACATTTTCCCTGGAAGGACTTGAATACTTTCGTGGTTGAATAGTAAGCGATCGAAGAGAGTACAGGATGTCACTCAGCAAAAAGAAGGTGCGGGCTCCATCTTGCCTAAAAACTGCTTTCCTCAAGTCTAGAATTCAGCCTGGTCTACTGGATGCATGAGCTCGCATGAAGATATTGGATGGCTGTCGCTTAAGCAGATCTGAGCCGCGAACTGGTCGAATAGCATCCTAGGTTGTGTGGGATCTGGCGATGGTCCGCAAGCCATGATAAGCCATCACTAGCATTTGGGCGTCTCGAGCAATACAGCCCCAACTACAGCCGCAGTCTAGAGACTCATGAATGTTCAGCTCGTGCAACCACCCGACCAATCCAGGTTTGAAACTAACGCAAGGCTGGAGTTTCTTTTCTATCTAGTCAGTTGATAGCGCAATCGTAATAGCACCCTTCGATGGGCGTCTTCATGTCATCTTAGGACATGTTGAAATCCTCAACACGAGGTTCTGGTGATTCAATTATCGCGCAGGGCTGAGATGGGGCCGGAAGTTAGGGGGCGGGAGCCGGTAGGTTTAGTGCCTACGCCAAGGGAGCCGCTTGGACGCCTCTATTAGTGACTTGAAAGCCTCTTAGGATATCTACCTCCGGCGTATGGAGCATGCGACTAACAAATCATGCAGAGGGGCGGATTTCAGCTCAAATTCAGGCAAAATGAGGTAAACTTAGGCGAAGCCACTGCATCAGGTGCACTTGCTTCGTGTAAGTGAGGAGCTAGATATGGCGAATGCTAAAGGTGGTAGAAACTTGGAAATAGGATTCGGAAACAGAATTCGGCATAACTAAACATACTTTCTGAGCTACGATCGCAGGCTTTTTTTAAGAGCGTAATTATAGGTATGAGTTTGCGCAACGCCAAACAGGCGTGGTCGAGGTTACATTACAGCCACCCCACTCTCCTCCCAATGATGCTTACACCTCCAAGTGTAGCACTAATCCCGGTCCACACCACCAAACTACCATATTGCGTCCCATAGAGCCCATGTTCACCAATGTTCCCCATTTTCATCAATGCCTCACTGACCGGCCCACTGACGACGTTTCCAATACCCCTACCCATCGACAAGAAGGAGAAGACCATTGAACTCTCCATCTGTCCCGTACTCATTTGTACTGCCCTCATGATGCCAGGCCAAGTGTTAGTGAAGCTTCCCGCGAAAAGGCCATATATGAAGCAGAATATAAGTAGCGGCGGTAAGGAGGTACTGAAGCCCCAGATCAGGAAGACGGAGAGCATAGCACCGATAGTGGAAATGAGAATGGCGGTGGTGACGTGCGTGCGATCGACAATGCTTCCCATACTGATGGACCCAATGACGGCGGCCATATTGATGAGGATGATAGGCAGAGCGGAGACTGCGCTGTTGAAACCGAGGGCTTTCGTGTATGTGGGAAGATAGATGGAAGGTACGAAGAAGCCTAGTCCTTGCATGATGTTTCCAAACTGCAGGATCCAGAAAGGCGTGTTCGTTAAGAAAGTGAAGGTAATGCGAGACCTGGTGGTTGCTGGCACAGGAATTCGCGGCTTAAGAAAGAAGGTAAGGGGCAGACCGACAACGAAGAGAACGATCGTCCATATGCGCAGCGCCGTGCGGAAGCCGTAGTGATTGAGAAGAAATTGCAGCACGAGCGGAATGACGATGCCTCCAAGTCCTGTGCCTGCCCACATGATGCCGAATGCGAGTCCTTTACGTCTCACAAACCACTCATCCAGAAAAGTAACGACAGGACTATATGTCACGGCGCCGCCAATACCATAAAGGATGCCTTGGGTGACGATAAGTTGAGGTACGGTCGTGCATAGTGAGCTCAGTCCAAGCGAAAGACACATCGTAAGCAAGCCTGCAACCATTACTGTCCTCTTGTATTGAGGCCAACGTATGAGTGATCCAAATGTGAAGGGTGCGACCATATAAAGTATGCCCATCGCGGAAGTGCCGATAGCTGGGATACCAGACTCACCCGAGAAAGGTAGTGATGAGCTATAGTACTCTTGGAAGATACCGTACGACCATGGGAACCCTAATGAGTATGTCAGTATAGTGTCTAAGTAAGTCTAGTAGTACTGCAGGAGTAAAAGCGTGGTCTAGGAAATGTATGGTGCTTACCCCACACCATCATCTCTATCACAAATGCAGCTGCCAGAAACAGCCAAGCATCTTTTCCGCCATCGGTTGGCGGTAGCAGAGTGCCATTCTCAGGTTCGTCGTTCCATCTCGAGCTTGTTTCCAGCTCGAACCGCGACTGGTTGTCGGGTGTAGTGCTCGTGCTAACAAGGGCTGAGTGGGACCTAGTCGCCATGTCGGGTATTGAATACAGCCTCTATGAAGAGCTGCGGTCTTTGTTAAGACTGATCCCAGAAGGTGTGAATCACATATAAAATGAGTAGCGCGTCTGTCATATGATCCCAACAAAAACACATGGAAAGTGTTCGATGTGAGTTTCGCCGGATGAAGTCCTCCCCCACCACACAAGAGAGCTGAGTTGTCAGACTCTAATCCAGGAAGAGAAAAGCGATCCATCATCAAGAGCGGGGCACAGCTTATTGGCGTATATGTCATGATGAAGAATGAACGCGTGGTGCTGGATGCATACCGCCACCTTTCGGAGTGAGCTGTGGAACGCGAGTATTCCGAGATAGGTCGGAGCAATGCATTCCGGACTCCAATGGCTTGCCGACATCGCGACGAACGTGCGCCTAGCACGACTTGAAAAACGCATGGTTTCGATGGCCAGAGATTTGTTGATAAATGATTTGACGAACGTTCTGTCAATCCTTTTCGCATATGGAGGCTGGTCATCCTATGCTACCTTGTTAGTCGCGCGCTAAGTATCTTTTAGTCGTAGCTCCCGCTTAAGGCAGGGTACCTACGTAGGTAGGCGAGAACAACGGCTTCTTCAACTTGAATGCACCATCCTACCACCATATTCAAGAGAAAAAATAAACACTTCTTACTTACCAACTCTTCTTCTTCTTAGCCTACTTGCTACACCTAAATGAACAACTTCGATGCCTGCAATATTGTTATACTCATAAGCTCCCTTATTACACGATGTTGTAGGTTACGAGGGCAGGTATGCTATCCCCACACATATTTAGTTTCATCCTCGTATACGGTGCTACGCCTTCTCAGGCTCATCCAGTAGATAGCCTTCTCTTCTACCCAACACATCCTCGATGGTCTCATCGGTAAACCTTAAATCCTCTTCAAGCGGGACTGTGTCTTTTATCTTCAACAGCATCACAGGTAGTGCAACGACCAAACTCCCAGCCAGTAACACCCAACTGGACAAAAATATGTCCATGTAAGGCCTCTTGTAGCCATCTATCCGGAACACGATAGCAGCGCCTGCTGATTGGATACCCTTGTAGAACCCAGCAAAGTTTGCCAGCTTGCGGCTGTTGTTGGAGATGGCACCCATAAACCTGCAAAAGGTTAATAGTGAACGAGATAATTGGATGAGCCGCCTACCAGTAAACGCATGTTTGCCACGCTGCGTCGTAGAAACCGTAGCTCATGTATAATACCATTGGGCCGCCGTAGCCACTATCGGTCCAGTCGAAGTGGAGGCTGTTATCATCGCGACTATACAGTCGTTGGAAGGCATATCCTCCGCCCCAGACAGCAAACGTCAACACCATCATCATGGCCCAAGCAATCTTTGCTCGGGTGGTTCTCCTGATGTTCGGGAAGTCCAGCGCAAATCCGAACACAGCAGCTCCGAAAATCTGCGCCAACCAATACAGCGTGTTGTTCAGTGCGCGAGTCCGCACATTGAAGCGCGCAAGGTTGACGTCATTGAACTGGTATGTATAGAACCAGTTCGATGCGAAGAACATTGGAAAAAGGAGAATGATATATGGATCTGTACGGAGAGTCTCCCAGAGACCCAAAATCTCAGACTGCCATGTTGGGTGCTTCATCATGATAATTCGGGTACCATCGCGGCGTATGACGTGCTTGGCATCGACAAGTGTCCAAGAGAGGCATGCACCGATGAACGTCAGAATCATGAAACCGATATATGTGCCATTCGTAACCGCTGCTGCTTTGGTTCCATCTCGGGTGTTGAAGTTGAGGGCCAGTTGCACCTGCAGCCAAGTCAATCTCCGTTTCTTACAGGTATTACAGAGATAAGGCTTACCAGACCGCCGATAACAGCACCCATATTAAAAATTATCCAGAACCAGGAGATATATCTCCCCTTCAGCTTCTCGGGTGGATAGCTCATCATAATTGCACCTTGCGCGGACCACAAGATTCCGGCGCAACATCCCAACAGGAATCCAGAGAACACCACGTAGCCCAGGTTTTGAGTTATGTTGAAGCAAAGCAAAGCACTGACGTAGATGCAATAGCCTAGACCACCGAAGGAAAGCGCCACTCTAATTCCGAGGACATTAGTGATGGTACCGGCGAAGAACCCGACAACGGCGAAGGTAGCATAGAGTGTAGTGTTAGCAGCGTTGCTAGCATGGGCGTCATCATCAAGACCTGCTGCGCCCATCCCTAAGATATGGTGTACAAATTCAGTATATGTTTCATATGCAGTTTGCACAGGAACGTCTCTTACCATTGACGGCGTTAAACATGCCTGCGCAGGGTCAGCAAGCTGTGCATGATTAGGATAGCGCGTGAACTCTTACCAGGGCATAAGAAGCAAACGAATGAAACCAGGATCAACTGCAATTCTGGTGATGCATAGCATGGAAGTTTGATGGTTCCGATTCTTAAACTTCTGTACTTCCATCCCCGTCGTCTCTCAAAACTTCCCTGGTCGTCGTCACGGACTGGCGCTCTCGCGGTGGCCCATGCACCCTGATTGGTTTTCGCCATTGAGGTTGGTGTAACTGATGGGCCGTCTTGTAAGACTTGAACTTTATGTTCATGCAATTGATGGACGGAATGGGGTTGCAAATACTGTCGAGAAAGAAGTGCGATGATCAGATTCTAGGACGGAAGGACGGAACTTTGAAACAAAGGAAGAGTCCCAGATGCTGCGTAGGCTGACTTTTCCACCATTCTGTAACCGGTGTTCGGTCACTCACGTACGTTGGGGGCCAGGCTAATCAATCAACGTGCGTCCACGCCTTCGTGTCCTTCGGTGGATGAACTAATTGGCACATTACATGATTGTGGCAGCGCGGATTCGCTATGTTTAGTTTCACCGGCTGTGTTACTAGACTTCGTCTTCTGTCGTGCGCCCAAAGTTGGGAGTGAACCTGTTTGTGGTTAGTATCGTTGGAATCCTTGAGTTCTTCTGAATCTCATTAACCTGTGCTCTGAATCACATTTTCTTTAGTATGTGTGTTCAAGTCGGTCACAATACCGAGGCTGGACCTGAAGCCCATCCTGCATAGCTCGATTGTCGCGTAAGCTTGCCTTGCTGCGGCAGGAAGCACCCCCTCGTATAAGCGTGTGGCGCCGCCCATAATTGGTATGTGGACGCAACTTGCCTCTGCAGACGTGGCTTTGGCACACAATCAAGACAAAGAAGGCATATGGAAAAAATTCACTGGGGGCTATGGGATGCTATTTGCGCAGTGAACCGAGAGACTGATTTACTCACAGTTAGGTGCGGGGGCTAAAATATCTAGGACGTGATAACGTTCCGCCCCATCGTCTTGCTCGCGTACAGCTATACTTTTCTTATCATGTGAACGATGCCTGTCGTACAGTTTTTGTGATGGACCTGCGTCTAATGGCGCGCCTTGATCATTGAATGCAGCTATCTCCGCCCCTTGCTGATTGTTTTGACTGTTTGACCGTCGATGCGAACAAGCAAGGATGCTGTGACACCAACAACTCGACTCAACCCGAGTGTATGGGCACTCGATATGCTTTCCATGTTTCTACTGGACAAAGGAGTCCCACATCGGCGCAATTGTACTCAAAAGTCAAAGTAGGTCTCCCGGTCATGCTCACCACATGACACATATCCTTGTGGCGCAAGCCGTTACCTGCAAGGCTATCGACGCCGAGTGCCACATCCATCGCACTGCCTTGTACGACTTTGCACAGCCGACAGTGCACTTCACCCTGGGGATTACACCCATCGTAGTGCCCACATCGATCAACAGCGATGGAGAGACTTACGTCCACACCTGTAGACGCAGCCCCTGCTATTATCGCTCTGAATAAAGCGGCTTGGACATTATCGGTATCCCTTTCCGAACTCGACAAGGATGCAAATCCCGGCAATGCATCTCTCAAAGGTCTTACTGGTGAAGTCAAATCGCTCAGTAATGAGTGTTACCAAATCCACCTCAAGTTGGTAGAAGTCGCAAATAAGACGAAGACGGGATCGCCTCCACCCTACGATGGCGACGGCCGGATGTGGGCTTGTCTTATAGCTCAAGTGGAAGACGCGAGCCAGACGATGCACGGCCTGGAGTCATTTGTCAAGAGCGTCAGGATGGAGGAGTATGAGGAAGCTAGTCTGGTGTTCCAGCCGCAGCACCTGGTGCAGCTAAATAAGAGCAAGGATCAAATCGAGGAGATGAGAGCGACCGTACGCAGACACAGTGACAACCTGAGAACCACATTGCTCTTGATCCACATGTAAGTTGCTCGTTTCCCAACAGATTCTCTTTCGATGCTGAATTGGTTTCTAGCGTACTCACCCATCTTGTGCCTGTCCATTGCGAACGACCGCCTGTATCTGACGTTGTGGAGCTGCAACACATGGTCACCAAGCTGCGACGCTCATCTCGGATCGGCCCACCTTGGCGGTATTCTCATACAGAGGCTACGTTAATGCAGTATGCGCAAGAGGTCATCGTCAAAGGAATCAATAATTGCGAGCGGAACCCAGCTGCAAACTCCGTCGCTCAGGGTTTACATGTGGAACCTGACGATAATCGTGTCCCACTATGGATGACGGCCATAAAAGCAATGCGGGAAGATCAGCAAGAATCGAGACCTTCAGTTATAGTTCCCACGATCCCTTCAAACAACCCTGGGAGAGCGCATAGTGTTCTGCGAAATGCGGCACCAGCTCAAGACATGCAAAAAGGTGAGGCGTCTGACTCGGATGATGATCTTGATACCGACTTCGCCAAAGCGGCATTGAGCACCGGCTCCCAGGCGTTCGATTCTGGAATTTGGGAAGAGGCGGACTCTCTGCTCCAAGAGGCGCTGAGAATACTGCAACAGCTACCAAAGCGAAGGCAGGCGTTCTGTGACGTCTTCAGTCTGCACTACAAGCTGGCAGTCTGTGCATACCACGTCCAGGGACCTGCAGATGCCGAAAAGGCTTTGACCGAATTTGTTGAGCAACCGGCGGACTCCGATAAACAACGCGAATGCATCCACAACGCCACGCACCTGCTATCTCAGCTGTATGTTCGTATGAATCGTCTGGATTGCGCACGATTCGAATGCGAGAAGGCCTTGCAGGCACGGCGACGACTGCAGGGAAAACAAAGTGCCGCCTCTCTAGAATCAATGGCGCTCATGGCCCACATCTATGTGCTGCTCAACAACCGCGCGCTTGCAAAATCTTGCCTTGCCATGATACCGGAAGCTAACCGGGAAGCCGTTTTGAGAGTGGTCGAAGAATCACTCGGGATAAATGTGGAGCATCTTGACTTTTCTTCGCTACTATCACGAGCGAGACCTCTCGAGACCGATACAACGCTGGAGCTCGCTCCCAGCAGACTCTCTACAACGACCTTGGGAGCACCCTCGGATCACAATGAGAGCGACTCAGCATCCATTATGGCGAAATCACGGGCTGCCGAACCTTGGCAAACGCCTCGAAGCGTTGCGTCCGAGAATGTCACCCTGGTAGAATCAAGTCCATCCATGACGAAATCGCACCCTTTTGTATCGAACAGGCCGGAGTGGAGGCCCTCAAAAGATGAAAGCCGAGCACGAGAGTACTCCCCTAGCATGAGGAAAGCAGATCGAGCGATCGCGAGCTCGTGTGAACCAGAAGAAATGGAAACACCGAAGGGAAAGCCACTTTCCCGTAAAGAAATACTCAATAAAGTTGGGTGTCAACCCAGGGATCGAACTGAGGAGGCTGTTTGTGACGGGGATCATGGAGCTTTGTTGAATATCCTGAACAAGAAAAGGGGGTTCTGGCGGTCGAGGTCGAGTGTGCTGAAGCGTGGACGCCCAGAGCGGGTGACTGCGCTGCACTTTGCGGCGCTGTTTGGTGAAGTTGACATGGCGCAGGCCCTAATACAAGCGGGTTTCAGCGTTAACGAAGTCCCTTTCGGCTACTCGACGACTTTAACACCCTTAAACTTTGCCATTGGCGCTCGCCAAGTGGTTATGGTTGACCTGCTCACTGCGAACGGTGCGGTGCCAGCTGAACCAGATACCTGGTCGACATTAGCAGGACAACTGATGAGCCGCTCATGGCTGATCAAAACAATGTCCGAGGCTGAAAAGCACCTCGTTCCAAAGCGAATAATTGCGATCATGGAGATTTTGCTCAACTGCGGATGGGAAATCAACGACCCGATCGCGACATCTGGAGGGACTGTACTCCACCAAGCTGTATCTTTCTGGACTGGTGCATATAAGTGGGATCTGAGTCTTCGCACTATGGTAACTTCATTCCTATGCGAGAGAGGCGCAAATCCATTTCAGACGAACTCAGAAGGCAGGACCCCTTACGACATTGCTTCCGCCTCCGAACATCAGGACCTCATGGTAATTATCGAAGACCATTCCAGACGGAAGAAACTCCTGGGCACGCCAGCGATGCCGGTTGAGCTGCCCAGCCATTTCCAGTAACATGGCCAGCGAGCTTTACAGCCGGTTTGTCTGGAGTACGTCGGCTTGCACAAACCGCTAATCCCCAGCGAGATACATGGTCTGGAATAGCAAAAATTCTAAGTTGGTTAGCGCCATGAAACCTTCTTGAAAGCGTCATGCATTGGAGATAGAAATGCCCGCCATGCACTGATCAAGTCAGTCGGTAGCTCATAGATGCGCTATAAGCGTGAGAGTATGCTCCCGTAAATTCGCCTATGTACTTAGATGCGACGATGTGAAAGGTCTCTACGAAGGCTATTGCACCTTTGAATGGATACGTAATATGTTTGCGAGGCATATACAAGAGTTCAGGAAGCTAGAGTTCACTAGAGGAATTAACTGCGGATACCTCCCGAGTGGCTGATGGGTGCACCAAAAGTTGAAGGGAAACCGGTCGTTCTCCTAGAAGAAGACTACTGGATCTGCCTGTAGTTGGCTGAGTCCAGGCAAAGAGTCATGCATGACGGTACAGAAGACATCGTGCGACGCTGGCGGATTATCCTGCTTATCCGTCAAGGGTGTAAGCCGTACATTGCGGACTTGATTCTTAGCTTCAGGGCTAAGATGACGTATAAAGTCCAGAACAGGCAGATAGTTGAATGCATAGAAATGGAACTGGTTTTCCGAGTATATGATTTGCAGGCATTCGTGATAAATCAGGCGGTTCGTTCGTAAAACATCCAGAGTCAAGTGTCTATCTGGGTGTGGGCGGCAGTTCTTGTTCCATTTCCTGCTGATGGATCGTGCGTCGCAGTCGGTGTAGAGAACGAATCGCTTGTTTGATGATGGTAAGACATATCGGAAGATCTCTCTCCGAATTTCAGATGGGATGCGTAGTAACGGTGGGTAGGTATCCAAGGGTGATATGGTCTCGGCTAGCGAAACTTGTTTCTCTACACTCTCTTTTGAACGACGTTCCAGGCGACGTAGGCAGATGTCCTCCGTTGTCTTGGGTGTGGGTGCCATCTATACAAATGTCAGTACTACGTGGGTATCATAGGCACAAAATGACCTGACCTTCTTGGCAGATGTCTTGGCCGGCATGCTCGTAACGTGAACGCTTACGGGAGAACGAGATGCAGTTGGGGATAATGGCAAGTTCTGCGATAGGTTCAGATCGTATTGACAATCAACCCTGGACGATGAAGCGGTCACGAGATCACATGTGCCGTGTCAATGTCACTATGCAGTACAGAATTGATCGTATGGATGCTGCAACGACAGGTGATTCAGGTTGGAGGCTTCCGGGACATGCGATGGCGTAGCTGTGGTACAATGCATGGAAGGATTGTAGAATATCGAGCGAAGGTCGTCAACAGAACTCGGGAAAGCCGCGCACGGCCCCTGGTTTGGGCTTGGCGTGCCCTGGAGATTGGGAAAATTCATGGGACGCGTTTGTTTGATCCCCGCATACAGCTGCGCATAGCTCACCATACCCCTCACAACATATCACCGGCTTTGTTCAAATTTCGAAGCCTCCACCACCTGAATTCAAGTCTTTGTGTTTGTTTTACCAGCAAGCATGTCGTTCGGCGGTCAAACACCGACCATTGTGGTGTTGCGGGAAGGTAGGTGCCTCGACACTTTTCGATACATACATTATTAACAGCCTCAGGTACCGATCAGTCACAGGGTCGCGGGCAGGTAATATCAAACATCAACGCCTGCCTTGCTGTACAGGCTACGATCAAGGGAACTCTAGGACCATATGGCGGTGATTTACTCATGGTCGACGAGAATGGCAGGCAGACGATTACCAACGATGGCGCCACAGTTATGAAGGTAGACTATGCCACAGAAGCCCGGTACTTGATCTCAGTGCTAATCGTATGCAGCTCCTTGATATTGTCCACCCCGCCGCCCGCGTCCTCACCGACATCGCACGATCGCAAGACGCCGAAGTGGGCGATGGTACCACTTCCGTTGTGGTCATCGCAGGAGAAATACTGAAGGAGATCAAGGATTTCGTCGAGCAGGGAGTCAGCAGCCAGACTATCATGAAGGGTCTGCGGAGAGCGTCCCATCTTGCTGTCAACAAGATCATGGAGATTGCCGTAGACACCGCGGAGGGCAACCAGCGGGATACTCTCCAAAAGCTCGCCGCGACCGCCATGAGCAGCAAGCTGATCCACAGGAATGCCGACTTCTTCACAAAGATGGTCGTAGACGCCGTACTCTCGCTCGACCAGGACGAGCTGAACGAGAAGCTCATTGGAGTGAAGAAGATCACCGGTGGTGCGCTTCAAGACTCGCTTTTCGTCAACGGTGTCGCATTCAAGAAGACCTTCTCATACGCCGGTTTCGAGCAACAACCAAAGACATTCAAACAGCCGAAGATTGTTTGCCTGAACGTCGAACTTGAGCTGAAGAGCGAGAAGGACAACGCTGAGGTACGGGTAGAGCAGGTCTCGGAATACCAGGCGATCGTCGACGCAGAGTGGCAGATTATCTACAACAAGATGGAAGCGTTATACAAGACAGGTGCCAAGGTCGTGCTGAGCAAGCTTCCCATTGGCGATTTGGCGACACAGTACTTTGCGGACCGCGACATCTTCTGTGCCGGACGAGTAGCCGCAGACGATCTTGACCGTGTATGCCGAGCAACGGGCGCGAGCCTCCAGTCCACTTGCTCAGACATCCAGAGCAAGCACCTAGGAACCTGCGAATCCTTCGACGAGCGACAAATCGGTGGCGAGCGTTTCAACTTCTTCGAGGGCTGCCCAGAGGCCAAGACTTGCACGCTGGTGCTTCGCGGTGGCGCAGAGCAGTTCATCGCCGAAGTTGAGCGAAGCTTGCACGATGCGATCATGATCGTCAAGCGTGCGATCAAGAACAGGAACATTGTTGCCGGAGGTGGTGCCGTCGAGATGGAGATCTCATCATACCTACACAACTATGCCGACAAGAACATCCCGCATAAGCAACAACCCATTATCAAGGCGTTCGCGAAGGCACTCGAGGTCATTCCCAGGCAGTTGTGTGACAACGCCGGTGTCGACGCGACAGACATCCTCAACCGACTCCGCGTAGAGCACAAGAAGGGCAACATCTGGGCCGGTGTCGACTTCACCACGGAGAGCATAGCGAACAACATGGAGAAGTTCGTCTGGGAGCCTAGTCTGGTCAAGGTCAACGCTCTACAGGCGGCGACAGAGGCGGCCTGCCTGATCCTGAGCGTTGACGAGACAATCAGTACGTAAATACACCTTTCATGACGAAGCAATGCTAACAATACGCAGAGAACCAGGAGTCACAGCAACCACAAGCACCCAACAGGCCGCTACCGCCTGGCGCCGCACAAAGGGCGTTGGGTGGCAGGGGACGTGGCCGCGGCATGCCCAGACGATAAAGACATCAGAGCATAGAAGGGAGTGTATACCAAAACGGAGACGCCTATGCTACGCCACATTGTAGACGCGGTTGTCCATGAATAATGTGAAAACGATGAATTGAACAAACATCGTGTTCACAAGCCTACACTGCACTCATGAATTTCCGGTGGATATGAATCAATCCAGTGAAGATTACCGAATACGTTTCAATGCTGACACTCGACTCTCACACTGGTTACTGCTCCTTGATCCCCCTCTCATCCCAGCTCATTCCATAACTCTTTACCCTACTAAAATAGAACGCGCGATCATTCTTCAGTCCAAACTCGGCCCAATCATCTGTCAACCGGTTGTAACTCCAGTACCCTTGCCAAACCAGTTTATTGTTCTTAGCCCCTCTTCCTGCATTACCGAAGCTAAGCGCCATCTTGTACATGTACTTTGGCGTAGCGCCTGGTTTTTCTATAAGCAGTGTACCTTCTTGTTCTTCGCCGCCAGGCTCCGGACCGCTCATGCGCCAGCGACCCAGCACGGCGTCTTTCATCGATGCACTAGGCAGGTTGTGGTGGTTCTTGTGGATGTGTTCGACGTACAGATAGGGAACTACATCGGCCGGCTCGGTAGTGGTGAGTAGGGAAATGCATGTCCCGTCGCGCAGGAAACGCAGATAGCGGAAGTAGGTTACGATGTGGATGGGCGAGTTCCAAGACGAGGTCGTAGGTAGTGCTTGTCCTGGGCGCGTATAGTTGACCGTACTGATGTAGCAGCCGTTGAAGCGGATACGAGGGCGTTGGCGGAAGAGCGTGCGGTAAGTAGGGTAAGGCGTGGGAACGAGAAGCTGAGTTAGTGCTACTGGTGAGAGTGGTTCGACTGCTGACTCAATCTCTTCGGCATCTGAGAGGTCAAGATTCGCGGTGCCTAGGGTAATTCCGTCTGTCTCGTTGTCGTTGAGTGGTTTCCCACCCACTTCACAGGACCATGTATAGTGCATGGATGCGAAACCATATTCGGGACCTAGAGCGAGACGTTTCCAGACACGGTCTTCAGTGGTTACTAGGTAGGCGAGGCGTTTGCATACTTGGGCCAGGCGGGCGAAGGATGCTATATCCTGCACGGCGACTTGTTCCAATATCTCGACGATTATCTCTTCTGGAATATGAGAGATCGGCGATGGAGGTGCGGGGCTAAGATCCGTTGGTGGTGGCTCGCCGAGGATGGATGTGCTCGAGTATTCGCTGATCAAGTTTTGGTACGTGGGAGAGAGACCATGTAGGGAGTGGTGGGCAGTGTTAGGCACCGTGGCAGAAGCATTGGACGGATTGGGATCCTGGGGCTTGGGTACAGGGGCGGATGATGCTGCTGCTGTTGCTGATGCACTTGGGGCACTTGCTGCTTGTGCAGCCTTGAGTTTCTTGAAATATGAGGGTGGGAAGTGCTTCGCTTTGTAGGTCTCTTGAACGCCAGAATCGAGCTACACATATTAGAACAAGTTTCACAATGACATAAATTTCAACGCACCTTGAACGCTTTTCTGTACAGATCTACACTGTCACCCAGGCTACCTTGACTCTCCTTCTCTACGGCTTTCTCATAATGTTCTAGAGCAGACGTCGGTTCTGTCTCTTCAGCAATGGCGGCAGCAGCCTGGGCGCTCGTTTCATCAAGTCTCCGGCCATGTTGCTTTTCGCCCAGATTATGATAGGTATAGGAGTTGACTTCGTCACCGCCTTCTAAACTCAAGCTTCTAGCACGAGTATGATGCTGCACGTCGGGCGCATTGCTTTTGCTTGCATGAGGTTTGCCCGTTACGGATGAAAAAGCGGTGTTCTTCACCGATGCAGATGATGCAGGCGCCTTGCCCTTGGACCGGGCAGTCACTTCTTCTCTCCATTTCTGGCGGAAGGACTCAAGCTCGGCCTCGGTGCTAGTGGGAACGTTGTTAGGGTCCATGGTCAACTTAGCCAAGCGCAGTGGTACTTTGGGGTCGGTTAGAAGCGGTATGTCCGAAGTCGCAGTGGTCGACGAGAACAGGGTCGGGTACGGAGCCTAGTAACAGGCTTTTAGTAAGAATACATATTCGATAGATGTGTGACTCAGGAGAAAGTTCCGGTAATCGCAGTGATTAGGCGTGCATGAAGAGGCCTGTGAAGTCACGACGAGGCGATGACGGGCGCCACTCGATCTATGTTCTAGCCTCGACCCATGCGCCATCTGATAAGCCGACGCCCTTTTGTCTAGGACAATCGGCCTCGGAACCAATCACTCAACGTCGGCGGCGCGGGAATGACGCGCCAAAAAGTGTAGCTCTGATAATTAAGTCCTTGCGTCAAGGCTTCCCGTCGCCTTCGTCACCACTTATACACGCCTATCACTCCACAAAACAATGCGCACAACGCCCTTTCTGCGCATCCAGCCCTCTGATAACACCCCTCGCACCGCTTCGAGGTAACACCCTGCTGTTCTGCTGCCGTCCCGACAACAGGCAAGATGGCGACGGCCACACAGCGAGCCGAGGAAGCGGATCCGAGCGGTGTGGGAGAAGTGTCGCTCGGACAAAAGATGATGTCTGCCGTGTCTGGTAGTGTTCTCACGTCGTTGCTAGGTATGTCATGTCTCTACAGTTAGTTGTTCATGAAACGTCTTCCCATGTTATTCTTGTTCATCTCGTCTCTCGGCACTGTACATTCCAGTACTCGCATTATGAACATCCACACTAACACCAAGAAGTCACCCCTCTTGACGTCGTCCGCGTACGATTACAATCACAAGAAACCGTTCCGAGCACCTTACCACGGCCACGCGGGTTCAATGGCGCAACACTAACACAATTCCGCGATCTACCCCCCAACCTCGGCATATCGTCCTGCTGCAGAGAAGTCTTCTGGATGAACAACAAGGCGCCCTTCTGTGTAGCGGGGCCGACCATGGCACCCATCAACCCCGCAGACTTGAGCTGTGCCGTAGAGGAGGTCGAACGGAAAACAATAAACAGCACATGGGACGGTCTACGGAAGATTGCCCAGAACGAGGGACCGCGAACACTATGGAGAGGACTATCGCCGACCCTGGTCATGGCAGTACCTGCGAATGTCATCTACTTCGCCGGATACGACTGGTTGCGAACAGCGCAAGCCTCACCCTTACGACAAACTGTCTCCGATACGTACATACCATTAGTGGCAGGAGCGACTGCACGAGTACTTGCTGCGATAGCAGTGGGCCCGATTGAGATATTCCGAACGCGGATGCAGGCAGCCAACTCTACTGCCACCGCTGCTGGACACTTTCGCGATACAATGGACGGACTCCGAGAAATGGTCGGCAGCCAGGGTGTCTCCAGCCTATGGAGGGGTCTCACATTGACCCTCTGGCGCGATGTTCCTTTCTCCGCCATGTACTGGTGGGGTTATGAGGCCACAAGAAACGTTTTGACCGACCAACGAGGAAGGAGGGAGGCAAGAAATGATGGTTTCGAGTTCCGCATGGGCCGAGGCGAGGACAGGGTACGAAGAAGAAGTAGGTCAAGAAGCCAGGAGAATCACAGAGATACGTTGGTCGATAGTTTTATCGCCGGTGCTACATCAGGAGCAGTCGCTGCTTTCGTCACCACACCATTCGATGTCGGCAAGACACGGCAACAAGTTGCACGGCATATGGGCGAGACAGCCAAGGACATCGCGAACTCAACACGGCCAGAAGACCAATCCATGCCACGCTTTCTCGCGCATATCTACCGTGAACAAGGCATGCCAGGTCTGTTCAAGGGTTGGGCAGCTCGATGTCTAAAAATTGCACCTGCGTGTGCTATCATGATCAGCTGTTATGAATTCAGCAAAAAAATGGCCCTGGACATGAACGAACGACGAGAACGGGAACGGCTGGACGCATGAACTTTGACCAGCCACACCACCAATCCCGGTGCACAACATACTAGACATCGACCACTTACGGTATTGGCATCACACATATCTTACGATAATTGCATAGCGGCGCATTGGGAGCATAAAGGTTAAAACCCACTCATGGTAGCATTGGCGGCGTTTCGTGCAGACAGCGGGCGGGCATCGTTTTATTACGCGTTAGAAATGGATCTAAAGCGATACCAGCGAATACGTTTTGCGCATGGCACATGCAGCATTCAATAATGAAAAGCAGAAATTACTATGTTAACTCTTGTCTTTAGTGCTCCCTCTATTCAGATCCTCTAAGAAACTGAGGAACGCCTCCTGACATTGTTCCGCTTGAGTAACATATATCTCATGTCCCGGCCCCTCAACGAGCACTAACTTGCTTCCCTCGATCGTCTTAGCTAAAGCTTTCATGTCCTCGACTTTGACAGCGGCACTCTGTGTCGGTGATAAGATCAACGTCGATACTTTGATCTTCTTCAAACACGGTCTTGCATCCAGCGTCGACAAGAATTCCGCGTACTGGCCCAATCCCTCGCCGTCACTAATAGCAATCTGCTCTAGATACCACGGAAGGTACTGCGGATCCGACACGGGTATCGTACCAGGGATTCGCGACAAGGCCTCCGCCCAACCCCGCGATCCAAGCTCCCTGCACGCTGTCGGCCAGTCTTTCTTACCGAACGCGAAGAGCTGCAGAGCTTGCGGCGGCAGATGAGTCGGTGTCGAGCATACGGTCAAGCTCAAAAGTCTCTCTGGATACCTGGCTGCGAATATCTCGCCTAAGATGCCTCCAGTTGACTCGCCGAGGAAGTGCACTTTCTGCACGCTGAGTTGGTCGAGCGTATCGAGCATCTCTTCTAAAATTGTTTCTAGAGTATACTCATACTGTTCCAATCCTTTCGGATAACTAGAGTGCCCGTGGCCTCTCAAGTCCCGTCGTATGACGCGGTATTTGCGAGATAGTACGGGGATCCAATGGTACCAGAACGCGGCATGTCGTCCGAAGCCGTGTTGTATCAAGATTGTTTCTCGGGGTTTCCAGGGATCGGCAAAGTCGTTGATGATGTAGTGGGTTTGCTGACCGGAGGGGTGTTGGATGAATGTAAAACCGGAGGGGTCGCGTTCTAATGGCATGGTCGGTAGGTGTTGAAGCTTTGGAAGCTTCGTGTCACTCGGTCTTTCTTACTGCTTATGATTCCGTGCTTGTTCCTTACTTCCCTCACGTTCCCGTTGCCGACTTGATCTTACTAGTATCCTGTTGAGTATTCTGGGGTACAGCGGTTTGTGGGGCATTTGCGGGGAAGCTGCAGGGTCCGTGTACTATACCCCAACGCTTGAGACCATGCAGCCTCACAAACAGCTGCGATAAAGGTGGAAAGTCTTAAAGCTCTTTTGATAGGGCTGCGTTATCACAGATCATCTTTGATATCTGAATAAGTAAACTGTCTGGTGGCCGAACTTTCCATTTGTCTAGCCCGCATCAACAATGGCCATCCTCGATATTGTTCATGTGGCTTGGAAGTCATCTTTTGCACTGAAATTTGGGCTCATTGCTACAACGCCAATACTACTTCTGTTGACGATATACTTCATTGTCGTACCGAACGCCATCAAGGTAACATCTTTCACCTGGCTTGTCTCACTACTAACCTCAACAGCAGGATCCTCGGCGTCGACACCTGCCACCAGGTCCGAAAGGCCATCCATTCGTCGGTTCTCTCTTCGAACTCGCAGATTCGGAAGCCGTGCGCGACAAGGTCGTTGCATGGCGCAAACAATACGGTCATGTTTTCCACACCAAAATCGGTGGAACAGATTACATTTGGCTGTCCTCACCACAGGCTGTTAAAGATCTCATGGACAAAAAATCAAACATTTACTCCTCTCGAGCCCCGGCCCCCATGGCACAAGATGTCTTATCAGCAGGTCGACGACAGTTGTTCATGCAGTACGGACCCAGGTGGCGGAGCATCCGAAAACACAGCCATGCGCTCCTTAACCTCAACGCGAGTATCAATTACCAGCCTATCCAAGACTTTGAGAGTAAGGTGCTGCTGAAACAGTTGATGCAAGACCCCAACGACTTCATGTCCATCAACAGACGCTACTCAGCTAGCGTCATAATGCTCGTCACATATGGCTACCGCATACCCAGCTGGGATGACCCACTTATAAAACGCATCTACGACTTGTTGGAGCGCTTCACTAGGAATACCGCACCGGGAGCATGGGCCATTGACTCATTTCCCGCTCTAGCGTCCCTGCCGCAATGGCTATTCGGGAACTGGAGAACACACGGTCAGAAGCTTCACGAGCAGGATAGCAAAGTGTATCTTGATCTGTGGAACAAACTCAAAAAGGATACGGACGCCGGAGTGGCAAAGGACTGTTTCACAAAGACATTTTATCTAAATGGGCCCGAAAAGTCTGGCATCGATGATCTGGCCGCTGCGTACACATGCGGTGGACTTGTTGAAGCTGGCTCTGAAACCACAGGTTCGACACTAAACAACTTTGTGCTTTCTATGGTTTTGTTTCCGGAGGCGCAGAGGAAGGCGCAGGAAGAGTTGGATCGGGTGGTTGGCAAGGATAGGCTGCCGACGTGGGAAGACGAGGAGAATTTGCCGTATGTCAGGAGTGTGATTAAGGAAGTGCTGAGGTGGAGACCGGTGAATAAGTTTGGAATGCCGCACGCGACTAGCGAAGATGATTGGTATGAGGGCTGGTTCATTCCCAAAGGGAGTGTTGTCGTCCTGAATTGGTGGTATGATTTCTCTTTCCTCGGTTCACCAACAGGCTCTTGCAAGGTTGCCCTTTTACTGATCATCATAGGGCGATACACAATGATCCCGAGGTCTGGTCTAACCCCTCTGCTTTCGATCCTTCTCGCTACTTGAACCATACTGCATCTGCAGCGCACTATATGAACACTGCCGACCCTTTAGAGCGTGATCACTTCACCTACGGCGCGGGACGACGCTCATGTCCAGGCGTGCACGTCGCCGAGCGCTCACTCTTTATCAACGTCTCACGCGTACTCTGGGGTTTTAACATCACCAAGAAAGCTGGAAAAGACGGGGAAGAGGTGGAAGTCAACAGAAAAATGGAGCCAGGTTTCATGAGTGTACCGGAGCCGTTCCAGTGTGACATCAAGCCTAGGAGTGAGGCGCATGCCAATGTCATGAGAGAGGAGAGTGAGAGAGCAGAGAGAGAGGGCTTGAATTACTGAAATGGTAGATTTGGTAATTGTACGAGTAGTAGCTACAGCATGAATATCAGTACCCTTGTCTCTTTGGCGGCTCCTGGTAGCCCAGATTCCAGATCTTATCGCTCTCCTCACCGATCCACCGCTGGCTCTCATTCGGATAATCGACTGGTTTTCTAAAGTAGATGTTCTCCTGAGACAACTCCACAGCCTGGCCTGTCAATGTGTCATCTGCCAGGAAAGCATCGATGGCTTTGTTTACTGTTGACAATGGTGTGATGTGCTCTGTAGGCCACCGCTTTGCTACTTCCGGCGGACAGAGGTTTGTAGGAATAAAGGCCGGACAGATCGCGTTTACTGTAATGCCCTCCTTGACGAATACGGGGCCGGAGGCGCGGCATAGACCTACAACACCGTATTTGCTAGCAGTATACTGGGGGCATTGTGTCATGGAACTGGAGCTCTCGTCAGTCTGTCGTGTTGTCTCCTTCTCTCCCAAGTTCCAAACCGGGGATAAGGAGAGAGAGAGAGAGAAAGAAAGGAATACTGACTACAGGCCTGCCGCACTACTCGTAGCAACAAACTTGCCCTTTCCCCCACCTGCCTCCTTACTTCTTCTCACATAGTACTTGAACAACCATAACCCCTGTATCACGCCCTCAAGATTAACCTCCATAGTCTTCGTATTCAGCTTCTTCACCAATCCATCCTCATCCAATTCTTCTTTGTCCATGTCCTCAAAGATGTTCTGTCTATCGTCGATACCAGCATTCGCGTGACAAAAGTCCAGGCGGTTGCCGCCCCATTCGTAAGCGCGCTTGAAGAGCTGTGCTTGCGATTTGTAGGAAGAGACGTCCGTTTGGTGGAAGATGGCGTCGGGACCAAGATGGCTGGCAACGCGTTCGCCAGATGAGGGATTTAGGTCTGCGACAACGACTTTGTAGCCTTTGCTGTAGAGATGGGTTGCGACTGCTTCGCCGATGCCGGAGCCGGCGCCTGTTACGATGGCTACGGGTTTCGACATGGTTATTATCTCTTTCTTGCTTCGTTTTTCTTAGAGTTTGACGTAGTTTCCGAGTGCAGGCTCAGAGTTTGTATGGAAGAAGGTAGCATACGTCGTCATGGAGAACTTCGGTATGCTTTACTACATTGACTAATGCCATATCTTTGCCGAATAGACGAATCCTCCGGCTAAGTTGCGCGGCAAGCATCATCGTCGTTGTGACCATGGCGCGTGGAGATGGGCCCCGAAGACCCCACATAAAGCATGTCGGGAGTTGTGGATAGGTACAAGCTACCCCGCACTAGGCAACTTGGAGCGTGCGGGGGTGAAGGTGCTCGGCAGGAACCTCCGACCGACCCGCATCTTTGTTCTGGGTAGACAGATGCAGAGATGTCTGGGCAAGGGAACATGATATAATTAACGGCTAGCCTGTGTCTATTTTCTAGTAAATACACTTAGTCAGCTAAAGAGCTGCATCTCATCGAAGGAAGAAACTAAACAGCCGCAGGAACAAAAATGCTTTTACTACGCTGCAGCCTACAGTACATGTGACAGATTAACAGTAAAAGACATATAGCATTATAGGGGTCTAAAATGTTTACCTATAAATATACTATACTTGCTATGCTCACCATATTAGGCAGAATAAGAGCGTGGTGTCTAGTTCTTTTTTGTTCGAGGTGGCTGCACAAAATCACCTCGGGAGTATCCAAGTAAAGTTCCCGTCCGAACTCTACCTACTTTCCGGAGAGGAACAAATCCCAGGCCGCGCTCAACGCATCCAAGTCGATCTTCCCTTCTCGCCTCAAGATCTCCAGCCGATGTTGTCCATCCGTCTCGGGCCCATATACTTTGGTTTCACCCCTTTCCCACCCACTACCAGCTCTCCCATACGCAAAAGCTACAAAGTCTGCGCCCAATTCCCGAGCCGTTATCTTTGCTTCATCAGACAGATTCTCATCAAAGTTTTGGAACAAGAATGCCGCGTCAAGCATATGCGTACTCTTCCCTTTGAACATACCGTCCCAAGGATTGGGTTCGGTAAAGAGATAAGAGGAAACCTTCCCCTTGAAGGCGCGAGCGTAGTACTGTGCAGGAAGATGGTACGCAATATCGGTAGCCAAATCAATGATAGATACCATGGCCTCCTCATCGCGCATTGAAGATGTAATGCCATATGCAGATAAGACGGTATGAGCGACTGACGAAGACAGATCGCGAGAGAAGGACGCATGGATAGCCGATGCGATACCAGGTAAGGAAAGGCCCATAAAGAAGAACACGTTGCCGTCGTGAGCACATGATCCAATCAGTAACTCCTCACACCAACTGCTCTTCAGGCTCTGGAGTGTACCACTTGAAAGTTGCGCGAATGTAGGTGCTTCCGAGATCATGTCGCCGTCGATGTAAGGGACAAGTGGTATGTTCATTGGTATCTTCTCCACAAGTTTTTCGGGACTCATGGACAAGAGGTGTTGTATGCGTTCCTGCATTGAGGCGTGCTCAAGGCCCAGAGCTTGCATGATGGTGTTGTAGGATGTTTCGGCGGCGGAGAGTGAGAGTGGTTTGAGCATGAGCGGTGTTCCTGACATGCTTATTGCGCGTCTGAATAATGGCTCTTCAAAATTTAGTTGATGCAACACCGAGACTGATCACTTCGTTAGTCGACTCTCAATCTGCGTTGAATTGCCACAAGATATCAATAAAAAGAGTAGGGACAACGTACCGGCACCGGCGCTTTCTCCAAACACGGTGATGTTATCCGCGTTACCCCCGAATCCTCCAATATGCTTTCTGACCCACTGTAATGCACATCTTTGATCCCTCAAACTGTTGTTCCCAGGATATCCGGCATTTCTCAGTTCCTCACTCGTTAGATTTCCAGGGCCACCTAGACGGTAGTTCACGTTGACGACGATAAGCGGGGAACCAAGGTCTGCGCTCATTCTGACTAGACGTGCTGGATCGTACTGCGGCCAGGAATTTGCGCCCATGATGAAGCCGCCACCATGGATGAAGACCATCACTGGAAAAACAGTGTCGGCCACGCTGGCAAGAAATGGAACAGTAATGTTGAGGTTCAGGCACTCAGTGCTGGACATGGAAGCTCCAGGACCAGTGCCGATGGTGCATTGGATCAGGGTGGATTGCTCGAACGCGCAACCGTCTATTGCCGACGCGCGTGGTCTAGTGAGTTGACAGTGCCTTAGTAACCTGTGGAGTGGGTAGAAGGGAAGTGACTTACCCAAACCCAGTGGCATTGACAATCCCTCCACCATACTCATCAACAACTTCAGGCGCCGCAAGCCAGTTCCTCACCCTAGCATACTTGATCCCCAAGTATCGTCTCACTCCATCCTCTTCTCTGCCAACAAAAGAACCAAAATCCGTCACAAGAGTAGTTGGCCTCATCTCTCCGTCTTCAGCATCAACAATCTGCAGGCCACTTGAAAACATAGGAGGAAACATGTTTTCGTATTTCTTCGCACTACCATACCCTTCATCTTATATACCTCCTTCCTTCCTCCTTGCACCAATAGCCAAGTAACGCCTTCACCTGAAGTAATCGACAATACATGCACTGAGTACTCACGCACTGACCAGCAGACATGAAGGAAGCGGGTACCCCAACCTAAGCGAAGTGCCCCAGGCTAAATGTAGCAAAGTAGACACGTGACATCGGCCGAATTATACAGGATTTGTATACTAAAACACGACGCTATGACCCTCATCACGTGCGTTTGTGGTAGCTTCTAGGGTACTGCGCTAATAACCTTGGATGTTTGAACAATAGTTTGATTGCGACAGGCGTTGCGGCGTATAGAGCGTGGAGATAAGGATGAGAGTAGCGGCACGCTATGCTGAGAAGAGACTGTTAGACATGTGATATCAGACAGATGATTGCACTTTATAGGCGCTTATGACAGTGATGGGAAGGCATCGCGTGCGAGCACGGTTAAAAAGAGCCCTGAAGGCTCAGGGAATAGCGATGACTCCGATCTTGGTGACTATAACGTCTATGCATTGGGGACATGCATCGGAGACTTTTCGCGCCACGTTTCAACCCTGCACTACATCATATACGCCAATCTCAGAACAATTTCGGGGCGCCAGAAGTAGGAAACAAAAACTTGGAAGATAAGGTATTGTGTATTTCAAATCCCAATCCTTCGATCCTATCAAGACACGCGTCCTGGCTGCTGAGCCGCTTTGCTATTGAAAACACCGAGTACACAACGCGCGTTTGGTGCTATATTTGAAGAAAAGCATAGCAGACTGGGTACTGTATCCTTTGAACCACATCATCACAAAACTCTACGATAGAGGCTCCTTTCGTCTAATTAACAATACCAAACTAGTTCTTCACGTCAATAGTCTTGACCAACTCCCCACCTAATCGCTTAATCTCATGCACGATGACCTCTTTATTCGCTCTGATTTCGACGGCATCCTTCTTCGCAGTAACTGGCACACTGTTCCACCCAGCCTTGATTTTCCAACTCCTCTGTGCTGTAACGACCGGGTTCCACAACCCGACGATCTTGTCTAATGTCTCAGGGTCCCAGAACCATAGCACAGCATCGCCATAGACGTCTAGCAGATCCTGTCCGAAAAGCTGCGGGAGCGGGGTTGCGGCCGGTGATGAACTTGATGATGACTTTTGAAGGTCAAGGTTCTTGAACTTGGGGGCATTTTTGAGAGATTTTGTTGGCTTGAGCGTGTACTTGGATGATATGGTTATGACAATATCAAAGTCGGAGACGCCAGGTGTAAAGAGCGATTCTGGGGTCAGAGCGTCCTGCATCTTAGCAGCCTCTTTGCTGTTGTTGATGTGCTTTAGCAGACGGTCTTCGTCCGCACGAACGGCCTGTGTAGCGGCCTTCGCCAAAGCCGTTAAGCGTGCAGCAACGACCTTTTCGGGCTTTGCTTTATCTGTCCAGGTTGTACCCTCCTCATCTAGATTTGTCGCAGCAAAAAGCACAACGCGGTTCATAGCAGGATCAATGCGACGCCATGCTTCGAAGCGCGTCCGTAACCGGTCGAGATCTTCAGACTTCATGCCCTTCGATGTGGTGTCCTCTAGGTCTGCGGGGTTTGCGGAGAATGTTGTTGAGAAGTCTACAATTAGCGGAACATGTCTCCAATCCCATCTACTGATCCATGACAATGTTCGTAGGAAACCAGTGGTTGCAGTTGATGGTACAGGCCATGGGTGTGGTTGCAGGAATGTGCGAATGACAAGAAGCTCGATAAGCTCAGGTGAAAAGTGCGGGGCCAGAAGGTGCGACGCAAACCACTTCTTCGTCAACCTTATCGCTGGAGAGAGGGCTAGGAATCGGGTACATAGGGTTTGCAGGACTTGCGAATGTAGAGGGGCCTGAATGAACTCGCGCTTGTACAGTGCTAGAGATGCAGCCGCAGACTCTCTCGATGGACCATCCAGCGATTTGTCCTTGATTTGACGGTCGAACAGCGTAGGCTCACGGTCGTGGTAGATGCGAATCCGGAACGTGAAGCCTGCAGCCACAGTGACATCAAGGAATGCTTGGTTTTGAGCTGGTTGCGACGGGTTCTCCATGCCGACGCGAGCAACGTAGCCGGCTTCGAGCTTTGATAAAAGTTCGGCTAGTCTGAGCAGGAAAGCGATCTTAGTCCGTTGTATGGCACAAAGGTCGTCTGGCCAGCGCCCAGAACCTTCAAATTGCAGTACGACGGAGGCGGGAGCGTGGCCCGCAGATGGTACATCAATGGAGGAATAGCGTAATTGCGGGTCCGCAGCCCTCAGATGGCGGAGTCGAAGCGGTAGCTCTTCCAAATCCCGAATATCCTTCTCCATGGCACTGAAAGCGTTCATTATGGGTAGGAATGGCGCCGTTCCAGATTGTCCCTGCATTTGACCAGCCGGTATTAGGCGGCCAAACGCATCGCTTGAGAACTTGGCTGACTCTGCCACTTTCTCGCTCACATGCTTGCCCAGAATGTAAAGCACAATCTGTTCCATCACAGAAGCTGATGCGTCTTTGACAGACCAAACAACACTCTCAAGAATGCTGCCGTCCTTGAAGCGCCTTAACTCAGCTTTCTCACCCCAGAATTTACGGAAAGAGGCAGCTTCCTGCTTGTTTTCTGCGGAGGGACCATGATCGACGGTACGGGTAGCATTGGCAGGATCCGTAGCAAAGTTGACAAGTATGCTCTTTGTCTGCTTCTCTTGCGGGCGGCGCGACGATATCGACCAGGACTCCTCTTCAGGCATAGTAAAAGACAGAGCTGTGATGCGATCACCAAGAGCGCGGGTCAAGGTACTGTTTATCTTTCTGCAAGTCTCGACAATTCGCTGGTCATACTCCTCACCTGCGGTTTCAAGTCCAAGCGACGCCAGAGGAATCTCAAGTGTGGCGTCGTAACGATACTTCAACAACTCCGTCTTCAGGATAAATGTTGCGTCAAAGTGATCGAACACAGAGTCGCTCAGCATGTCTACAGTGGCCTTCGCTTCAGATCGCAAACGCGAGTAAGACCATGGCGTCATCTTGAAAAGGATGTTCTGTCCTCGAGGGCCATCAAACACGACAGGCGCAGTCTCTACCTTTGGTATAGTGATGTTGGTTGCTTGAAAGATGAACGGTTTCCTCGTTAGATCGCCTCTCGACAAGAATTGCAGCGTCGACTTGAACAGTTGGTAGCTGCTGAAACCGGAAGAAACAGACTGGGCGCCAGTTCCAGCGTTCGGCTGTAAGAGTATAGCCATGATTGCAGCCCATTCGAAGTTTCCGAAACCTCCTTTACGCAGCTGACTGCCAAAACCACGCTGCTTCAGCCAAACTCGGCCAAGTATACAAGCATCCTTGAACGCTTCAGCTCTCGAGGCGGTGCCGTGAAGAAGCTTGAGGTAGGCTGTAACATTTGTGTCCAACTGTAGTGTGTTGTTGTAGATCGGCGTTGCAGTGAGAGCCTTGCTGGACACTTCATCGTCGCTACCCTTCGGTCGCACGCAGTTCGAGTTGGGCAGAAGCTTGCTTAACGCAAAGGTGTTTTCCGGCAACGCGACCAGAATGTTGATGTGGCATTTGGAGTTCGAAAAGTCGTCCGCGTCCCCATGTCCACTCGGTCGTACGCTCAAGACAGGCTGCAGCTGGTTTCCATTTAGACAGTCAAAGGACAATTGGAACTTGTGCTCGTTCGATGCCTTGATACCAGCAGCCAGACAAGCCAGATAGTATGAGCGCTTGTAAAAGTATCGGTAATTCAGGTAGTCCTTGTCGGTGAAGAGGCTCTTTGGCATTGTGACTACCAGATCGATGGAGAATGCTTCTTCGTGTCGAGTCGCAGTCTTTAGTGGGTAGCTGCCGGTTGCGTTGATGCTCGCAGGCCGTTCGTATTGCAGCTTGTACAGCGCGTCTTTCGGAGGGCGAGGACTGGGGAAGGGAATAGCGACACCGGCTGACTTGAGCGCCTTCTCGGCTTCAGTAATCTAAAAAAAATGATTAGTCTGTGTTACTTCCTTCCATGTTGTCCTTCACATACCGGCAGTGGATCGCGACTGGGTATCTGCTCGATGATGGTTTTGAGGGTTCGCATCGCGTTCTCTGCGGAGGCTTCCTTCTTGCCGTACTTCAGCTTGACCTGTTCCAACAGCTCATCTAACTGGAGCTTGAACATGTTCGATTTAAATGACTCGGCCGTGTATACGCCATCCTGGAGGCTCGGCGCAGGTCTCTTGGGGGGTTTGGATGCACTCGTCGCTTTGCCGGCGGTGGTCTGCTTCCTGCTCGGATGAACGTCTTCCTCTTCCTCAAAGTCATTTTCCTCATCCTCGCTCAGATCCTCATCATCGTCATCTGCGGCCTCTTCTACACCATCCATCTCGGCATCGCTCTGGTCGGCTGCATCTTCGGCGTCGCTTCCGTCGCGCGCCACTCCACCCTCGGTCTCGTCAAAGTCAGCAAAGCTTCCTTCGCTCTCAGCTTCTGAGTCGCTATGCTCGAGCTTTCTTCGTTTTGTCGCAGGTGGGGCCATGGTGGTTGTTCGTAAGGTCTGGTCGCATGCGGCGCGAAATTTCTCTGGAACATTTGAAGTGACAGGGGTTGTCTTATCGATAGCAGGGATCAAGCATGTCGTATCTCTTGCATCACACCCTCCATTGACAGCTTCACGAGCTTGTCAGCTGGGCACGCTTGCCACATGTGCACGTACTCTATGCATGCACCATGAGCCATTGACTTTCATCACCGCGTTAGCCTGGGGCTTCAGCGTGGTCAACAATACACACGACTACACATTTACCTGACTAAAGTATCCTCATTCCTCTTGCTTTCCTTGTATCTACATTCACGGTGCCGTTCCTAACTAAGCTCAACCGCCTACGCGGATCCTCCCTCTCCCTCAACCCTACACATATCGGGGTACAGAGTAGAGCTTTCAGCATGGCTTGGCGAAGCTCTGGAAAGACTAACGAGGAGCTGATTACGAATCTCACAAAGAATAAGCTTATTGGGTCTAATCGTGTTAGAGATGCTATGCTACAGGTAGGATTAGATGTATCCAATATGACATGTTGCGCAGATATAATAACAGTCGACAGGTTGATCGCGCGCACTATGCCCCGAGGTCGCCCTACGAAGACTCTCCGCAGCCTATAGGCCACAAGGCCACCATCTCCGCACCACACATGCATGCCTCAGCCTGTGAGAGACTCCTCGACTACCTCCAGCCCGGCTCCAAAGTTCTCGACGTTGGTTCCGGTTCGGGCTACCTCACAGCTGTTCTCGCCAACCTCGTGGCGCCCAATGGAACCGTCATTGGCATCGATCACATTCAGCCCTTGAACGATCTGGCAGACGGGAACATGCGTAAGTCGGAAAAGGGACGAAGTATGTTGGAGTCGGGACAGGTCAAGTTTGTGACTGGCGATGGACGGAAAGGCTGGGCAGAGGGCGCACCGTACGACGCCATCCATGTCGGGGCTGCCGCTGCTGTCCACCACGAGGCCTTGACCGAGCAACTAAAGGCTCCGGGCCGGCTGTTTGTACCAGTCGCGGAAGGCGGTGCGCAGTATATCTATGTCATCGACAAAAAAGAGGACGGTAGTCTTGAGCGCCAAAAGTTGTATGGTGTACAGTATGTGCCGTTGACGGATGCGCCCATGTAGGTGAAAGTAGCATTCCAAGGGTATTGTAGTCTATATAGCCGTCTTGTACCATTACTGTCCCACCATCCCCTCGAACAACTCATCCCTCCTCCTGCGTAACTCGTCGAGCCTGACTTCTAGCTTGCCCACTTCTTTCCTAGCAGCCTCCTTGTCTGCAGGCAAGCCACTAAACTCGGCAACCTGCCTCTCCACGCCCTCGACTCGTTCTCGCAGCTCATCCAGGGCCTTCTGTTGTTCCAGCATGTCGGTTATAGCCTCCGCGGATCCAATGTTCTTCGATCCTGGCGTCATGCTTCGCGACTGCGACGATTGGAGGGATGACAGTTTGTCTTCGTGTTCGCGGATCTTGGTACGTAGGTGCTTAACCTGGCGCGTCTGTTCTGTCGTCTGGCGCTGGAGGCTCGACGGCGTTGCGAAGGCGGGATTCGTCTGGAGCTCGTGGAGTTGGGTTCGAAGGAGAGCTTGCTGTTTGTCTAGGTAATTCTGTAGTGCTTGAATATGCGCCAGCTGATTCGTGAACTGCTGAGAGGCGATCGTGTGCTGTATGAGAGCGTGCGCAATCCTCTCAGGGTTGGCGGTGGGCGTGTTGAGAGCTACAGCTGTAGATGCAAGGGCATCAAGTGCCTGTTCGCCTTCGGGGGTAAGGCTCGCTTTCAGTCTAGACAGTATCTGTTCGTCGTCCTCGTTCCTTTGGACCTACCGTCGTGAGCGGTGTGCTCGATGCGCGGCAGCTGATGCGGACCTGTAGTTCTCATACCTCATCCAGCTCCTTTAATGCCTCCCTTTCCAAGCGTTCCATCACCGTCTTCTCCTCATCTGCCCTCTCGTTTGCCATGGACAGCTCGCGGAGTACTTTGAGCGTTTCCTCATTGCGCTCGAACGTCGGCACTGTACGACCCGCATACTTGTACGACAGCCAAGAGTCAATGTACGCCCAGTCCTGAGCTTGTGCGCGTTGCTGGCGCGCCTTTGAAGGCGAGAAGAGGTCCGAGGGGGTGAGGTTGTCCATTGTTGTGCCGGTGGTATTGTAGCTACTGTGAGCTAGACTGAACCCTTACAGAAGAAGACAACGCAAAAGTGGGGTCAGTGCGAGCGTGAACCGGTTCAAACGCCCCAGTCGAGGGTGCATATGTGGATGCAGTGACGTTCCGGGCTGCCAAAGAGACGCGGAGAAAGTGACGGTGCATTATCGATAACCTTAAAATTCCACTTAGCATGTCACAAGTGCCGAAGTCGGAGCTAATCGGCTTTTGGAATAATCCATGGTGCAATTGGAGTCATTGCGTCTTTATATCTGATTTACCTGCCCCGTTACTGGCGCTGCTACTACTCTCTAATCTTGCGTCACGACATTTCGTGCACTCGAACTGGTAACATGTCGCCAATGGCCCTGGAAAACGATGTAGAAGTGGGCGAGAGTCTGCCACCGGCAACTGAGCACGTGCGTCCAACTTCACTGCAGGATACTGTACCATAGACTGATACAAGGCAGGCTGTCAGTGTTTCACTGCCGACATGGCGGGCAAATGTAGGATATGAGGAGGGCGAAGAATGGGTTATCAGCAAAATGAAGACTGGCTATCCTAGGTATAGTGTGGCGAAGGATATGCCCAACGTACGCTAACCGCCAGAAGATTCTTCATACACAAGATCATACAAGCCTTTGCGGCTGCAATCGTTGAGAAGCATGGCGCAGAGGGGGAGAGCGCAATGCTGTTCCCTACGAACGCCACCGCATCAAGATGCCGAGAGTTCTTTCTGCGGCAAGCACCTGACCTGGATACGTCACGAGTCCGAATTCTCGATTTCATACCGGCAGCTGAGCAAGCACGTTCGGAAGAGTTGCAAGTTATATCTCCAAGAGTCTCGGCTGTTCTCTTCCCCAAAGAGCGCTTCAGCATCGCAAAGACATTCTGGCAGCATTCCGGAGATGGTGTCTCAAGTCGAAGAGCAGAGTACTGCTCCCAGCTATTTAAGGAGGGCATCTTAGTGGAAGCTTCGACAATCAACCAGCCAGCCAGAGTGTGCAAGGGTCCTAGACGGTACCAGAAGAAGACATCGATCGACCTAGGTGCTTCGGACAACTTCACAAACGGCAATGGAGAAGTGCAAGATCCTACCCAGTTCGTGGAGGAGAGGTTTGGACGAAATTTGGATCTCTCCAAAACCAAAAATGCAAAGTTGGCGATTCGACGACGCATCGCAGGTTCGCTGACTGCGGATGTCAGCTTGACAGAAGCAATGACCTTGGACCACGATGCTGCAAGGAGACGGCCAGTCGCAGGATTCTCCGAAGACGACGTGTACCTGTATCCTACGGGAATGAGCTCAATCTTCAACGCTCATCGAAATCTACTGAGAGCAAAAGGATCAAAAAGAGCCATCGTTTACGGGTAAGTTTCTCACTTTCCACATCTGCATCATACTAAAATAATCAGCTTCCCGTACATTGATACCCTAAAGATTACCGAAAAATTCGGGCCCGGTTCGCAATTCTACGGCTTTGGCTCGTCGGAAGACCTCGATGACCTTGAGCAACGACTACAGGGTGGCGAGAAATTCGTCGCACTATTCACAGAATTTCCAGGGAACCCGTTACTCAGATCCCCAGACCTAGAGCGGATACGTAATCTAGCCGATAAGTACGACTTCTGCGTAGTCGTAGACGAGACAATTGGCAACTTCATCAACGTCAATGTTCTGCAATATGCAGACGTCGTCGTCAGTAGTTTAACGAAGGTTTTCAGTGGAGACAGTAATGTCATGGGTGGAGGGTGAGTGCTCATCATCCGTCGTTGTTGTAGAGAATATTCGCTAACATTATGTGTACAGCCTCGTGCTCAACCCAAAGGCAAAGAATTATGCCCTACTCAAGCGAACATGGGAAGAAGACTACGAAGACAACCACTGGGCTGAAGACAGCATCTTCCTTGAGCGCAACAGCCGAGACTTTGTCTCAAGAATTGATCGTATCGGTACCAACGCCGAAGCCATCTGCGATGTACTAAGCGCACATCCTCGCGGTACGTATCTTCTCCATGCCTCCACATCTTCCCATCCTCCTCTCTCCATTTACCTTCTTCCATCCTACCGAAGCCAAAGCATCCACCTAACAACACACAGTCAAACAAGTAAACTACCCCAAAACCTCACCAACCCGCCCCTTTTACGAGAAATGCCGTAACCCCAATGGCGGATATGGTGGCCTCCTCTCCGCCACTTTCTACTCCAGAGCCGATGCCATTGCCTTCTTCGACAATCTCGATACCGTGAAAGGACCCAGTCTAGGCACAAACTTCACGCTAAGTTCGCCGTATGTGATTCTAGCGCACTATGGAGAACTGGATTGGGTAAGTGATTTACCTTCTCTCTCGTTGCTGATGTGACGAATTTGCTAATAATGTTACTCTATAGTGTGCAAAATGGGGTGTCGAAGCTGATTTGATTCGGTTTAGCGTGGGGCTGGAGGAAACGGGGAAGTTGGTTGAGACGTTCAAGAGGGCGTTGGATGCTATTCCTGCTGCGCAGTCGTAAATGGGAGTCCAACGAACTAGGAAGTAGCTGTGCGTGTAGCAATGCAAGCCAAATTCCAGACATCGCAATGATTGATTACCGAGCACTTGCTGCACTCACCACCAAACATTATCTTACTGGTAACTCTGCTGGTTCTGATTGTTGCGCATAGAGAGAGTAGCGTACGCGTCCAGGGGTAAGGATGAATTCCAGAGTATACGAGTATAGTACCGGTTCTCATGCTATACTGCATCGTTCAACCTTCGAAACTGTCTCCTCGCCAACGCGCATGGATTAATGTGCTCCGCTTCAGTGTTTTCGCTAGAAGTTATAAGCATTAAGATAGAGTGCGTACGGTACCCGCTGATAAATCAACTTCCGAGCCAACGGCGAACTACGGACGATGGATCGACTATGGTTTGCTCATGGCTGGAAATCAAGTCGTTGCAGTGGAGTGAATGTTAATGCTAACGAAGAATGGTAAGCTCCTTCAGTCCAGACTGTTGGCAGGCTTTCTTTCGCGTCTGTCACTGAAGCTGTGATTTGGTAGATGGGATGATTCTAGTAGTTTGGGGGGTGCTGATGCTAAGTTAGACAATACCACGCTGTCAACGAAGTCGTTTTGCTCATCCTGGTACGGGTGTACTTTCTGAATGCCTTGCTGTGTGTAGTTGTGGAATTCGAAAACACGCGTTTATTGGGACTATGCTTCCTGAGAAACTGCAATTCTTGACAAGTGTCTGACTCAGATCTTACGTTGAGACCGACACAAATTCTCGGACATACGGCGTGATCAGAAGTTGGTCATGAGGGGCGTTGATAGATACGTCATGCTGGTCTCATTGTAATCGATTTTACAGGTCTTGGGTGGATCATGTTATTGATGGAGGGTGAGCATTGTAACGAGTCAGTAGACACGCTTTACGCTTATTCCCGACAGAAACCAGTTTCCTCATCACATCTGTGACGTTTTGTTGTTGATCGTCACAGACTTCCCCCATAACGTACACATCTGCTTGGATATACTTTGCGACACGTACTCGGTAATTATCTGTGTTTTGACATAACCGAAGTATCATTACCCCTGGCTTTCCCATGCAGGTCCCCATATCAATCCGACAGTTCCTTGGTGCTCATGTCGCAACCCCCCAGTCGTCCTTGTCTAGGTGCACTCATTGGTTCGCAAAACTTGCCTGAGCTTATGCTGGGGCGTTAAGGCAAACTGCTCTATTGACTGGGTGCCGTGAGACTCTAGGGCGGTTGGGCAGTTCCGACACTCTAGAGTGAAGCACGCAGCATGGAGGGCCTAAGAGGGCTGTGGTTCGGTGAGTTTATTTGCGAGTTCGCATCCTAGCAGTGATCAGTGCTCAGGCTTGGACAAGTGCTTTGAAGCACTTGCTTTCTTGCTAAGAATAAGGAGTTTATGATGAAGGTGAACACGCTCCACGTCTCCGTGGAGGTGCGCACTCGCAGTAAAACAACGATATAAGAGTAGAGCCACTGGCTGAATGTATGTACGACTAATACTGTCAGTAGTGTGCAGTTAGCTTGTCGACTGTTTGTTAATTGTTAGTCGATCTGTGTTGCTGCAATCTGTCCAATTGAGCCCATATAACTTGCACTATGCTAAGAGTAGAGACGGCTCCTCCCGCTTGTATACGTTTGCTTGAACAGCTCAGTTGTCCCCTCGATCTGACACAGCGAATTTGCGTAGGATCCCGCTTCGCTTGGAGAAATTCACAGTTTTGCTATAGCCGCTATGGCTATAGAAACCATGGTCTTAAGGTCAACATAGTGTGACCTAGAGAATGTAGGAGATATCGAATGAGGCATGTGACAACTCTGCCTATAGTACGATATCAACAGTGTGGAGACTTTCGTCTCTGCGACTTGCCAGGGCGATACTAGGCTATCCTAGCTGCGCATGGACTTCGCTTCGTGCTGCCTGGCGTCTTTCGAGTCCGGCTGCATATGGCCTATCAGGCGTGCCAGCGGATGGGAATCATTTGTGTGAATGTGCTTGCAGCATCTGGGGCTGAGCCTCAATAATTTTTTTCGGGGACCTGAGGACTTAGGTCGCCGTGGTGATGCGTTAACGCTGAGCAACAACGGAGATGTCTGCGGGTACCGTGGGGCGTTCATAACAGTAGACTACAGGTTCATCAGGCAGTTATCTCGTGTACTGAAATTCATGTTCGCGACCGTGGTATCAGCGGCCAGGTGGTGACTGACTTGCATAATATCAAAGCTACGATGAAGCCGAATAATTGCGGCATCTTTTGCGTGATCGCATACGATGACGGAATCGGCATGAGTCGACTCCGACGCAGTGGATCCACGCAAAACTAACCCGTCTCAAATGCGAGAACAGGCAGGGCCCGCTACTTTCTGCGATAGTGATTTATAGCTCTGATGAGACGGCTGTTTAAGGGGAGGCGTGGAGTTGTAATTGGCGAAGACCTCCGTCCAATCAAGGGGTCTTGGCACCAGTAGCGCCACAACACACTTCACACGCGTAGCTGTGCGCTCATTACTGCACCAGGGTCACAATGGCCTTAGTTTTACGGAGCCGAACTCCAGTCTCCGCAAACACATCAGAAGTCAAGCTTCTCTCGGAGTGGGCCCAACATGTCTACCGTGAAGGGCGGCACTCGCATGTCCCTCCGAAGTTTCAAACATGCTGACTCTTCAGCATTCCATTCTGTATTGGTACCCGTCAGTTTTCTTCCTATTTTCATACAGACGTGTTTCGAATGTCATACACCTTCTTTGAAGCTTCGAGGCGTCTTCCAGAAGTAACACCGCTGCAGGCGTGCCGCCAAGTTCTTGCCGTTCACATTAACGGCATCGTTTCCGAAAGACAACGGGCCGCTTAGGCATTGGCTAGCACGTGCTCGGGCGATACTGCAGCGAGCCAAATTTAGAACCACACAATGAGCAGTGTATTGGAAGAGCATGACACGCGATTTGAGTTGATGAATAGCATGCTCCCGTCGCGGTGCCCGTAATATTAGAGATAGAGCTGGGCATACGCCACCTCTCTCGACTGCATCTTACCCGAAGCCGCCCACATGCTGTCTATCGTGTATTGTCGCGGCCCACCCGCGGCTAACGCAGAGAGACCTGACAGGCCATTCTCAAAGACCAAACTTAACACGGTTTGGCTCTTCGTCACAGGCGCGGGATTATGAGCGCCACCAACCCTCTGCTTGGTGAATAGGGCGCCCATCAATGCCAGCATTCGTGGCTCCACCAACGCTATATACAGCGATGGCATCACTTGATGGTTGGCGGGGGCAGGCCTTCGGGGTAGTGGTGGGGGTTATGGCAAAGAAGTCACTGGCAGAACAACAGGTATGCCTGCTTCTATCGAACCTAGAGAGTCGCGCAATTCTTCCTGGTGCGTGGGTACCCCCGGCCCAGGCACCCATCGCGGGTGCACGTCCTGTGGCTAGTCAACGGTCGGAGGGCTAGGATTGTTCACAACCAGGATCAGAATCCTTCGAGGCTCCAACCAGTCCGCAGCCGCAAAGTCGGCTCTGTTGCTGTTGGATCATGGAGCTCAGATACTCTGTTCCTGTGCATCCAGTATCCCCCATGTAGGGCGCAGACCACCTGGGCACCATCAAACGTCAAGGTTAGATTCGTGATTCTGCCTCGCAGTCAACTTGCCATAAGGCTGGTATAATCCCACCCGACGGGCCGTATTCAGGAACACAAACGTACGTCTACCCCACTGGTACCCTCCGCATCAGATGTTGCCTTTCCGTTGTTGAACATGACCCATCGGTCTCTCAAACCACATCAACCCAAAACGACAACCATCTCACGAAGACTTAGGGACCGTGCCGACCAGAACTTATCTGTTCAGCCACCAGAAATTCCACAAATAAGAGGAGCTCGCTCCCACCGTGCCGCAGACTTGCCAACGCCCCGCCACAATTCCATTGATTATCAGACGCCCGGGTCGCACCCACTTTCACTAGCCTGGAATACTTCACACGTTCTCGAAGACATCCCACCTAACAGTACCTTCCGTCCATTGACCTCTGACCATAACCGGTCTCACAATCTTTCTTTTGCGCAAACACTAGATTTCCCGCACCACGAGTCCCTTCGAGGCTCTAACTCAGAACTCGCGTCTGGTACCAGCCTCCAAGGAACGCGCAACTCACACGGCCAGCCCACACAAGCTCCCACCTTTGTCTCATCGCCATTATCATCTGTTTCTGGTAGCAACGATATCGAGCTACAATTGTCGGCAGACCTCGAGCAGCCGGACGAATCATTTCTAGATTTACAAGATATGAGGTATTTTACCCCACCGACCATTGCACAGGAACGTTTTCTGACACGAACAGCACCTTGGGCTTCATGATGCCACCTTCGCAGTACGGTATGGGTCATTACGGCTCTCCACAGACATCCTACTCGTCAGGTTATCCACCGCTGCAATCTTACGCGGAGCCAAGGTCTTCAAATTCAAATCCATACAGCTCATCTTATGCTTCAAGTCCAGTGCACAACGAAAGTCAACAAAGAAGACCCGATCAACACACTATTCTGCCACCATACCAGCCTCAGCACCCATCCCTTCCACGGAGCCCGTATCAGCAGCAACAATCTACTGATCCTCTGCGAGGCCATGTATCTTCCATGGCTCCTTCGGCACATTCTTACACGTACTCAGCGCCGCATAATAGTGTCCCGAACCAGTCATTGGGAAGTAACACTTATTCTTCGTAAGTTGACTAGGAGTCTAGCGGGAGTTCCCACTGACAAAAGGTAGTTCACAACCGTATCCAGCAACTACTTACGGTTCCAACGAGTATCATCCACTACCAACTATGTACCCACCAACGACTACGACACCTACCGTGTATCCGTCGTACGAGTCTTCGCAGAGTGCTCCACCACCTAGTGGTTCAGTGCCTGCACTATCTTCATCACCAAGCACGCAAGGTAATTCAGTAATGCCACGTGTTGTAAACTCTCGACCGAAGCCGCAGTGTTGGGAGCACGGGTGTAACGGACGACAGTTCTCTACGTTCAGTAACCTTCTACGACATCAACGAGAAAAATCAGGAACTGCGTCGAAAAGCTCCTGCCCCAGGTGTGGAGCCGAGTTCACACGCACTACTGCAAGGAACGGACACATGGCGCATGATAAATGCAAGCCAAGAAGAGCGTCAGAAACAAGCGGATAAGTGAACTTGCATCTCACCGTTCGATCTACCTAGAACTATCCAGTTCTCGAGGAGCAGGAGCAAATTGCCGCTTCGTCTGGGCAGATACGCCGAGTGCAAAATGGCATAGTAAGGTTCCAGGCACTAGGCTCTGACCCAACGACGTACAACACGGATGTACCCAAGCGGGGGCACATCAATAGGTGACTACACCATCGGGGGTCATTCAATGACTCAGGAACTCATCGATTGAATCGCCTGCAATCATAGGGCGCACATGTACTCAGGAAAAGGCACACGTACTCAGCAAAAACCCTGCTTATAAGTCGTCGCACACGCGCTGGGCTTTTGCACTTTTCGGTCTACCCCAGAGTATTTGGTGTGATGCGTTCGCCCTAACCGTTCGCTCAAGCGACCAACGACCAGTAGTCCGTCTCAACATCTTGTTTGTAACCAAGCGTTTGTTTATTATCACGATACATATGTATACATAGATTTGAGGCGCCTCAAGGGCTACCTTGTTCAAATATGGGCTAAAGCTATTGCAACAAGCGGTCTTTACATCCCATTTCACATGGATTCAAAGGCTATCGATCGTCAGGTTACACTCACATATTCAACGATTCAAATGGAACTCTCCACGATGGCCTGCCGTATAAGACAGATTGGGTTACGAAGGAGGGCGTTGGCCGTCAGCCCGTCCAGGGATTGCGGGAGGATTTGGAGGAGCGAGGAAAGCAGGAACATGGAGTTCCTGCTGCTTGGGGGTGCCCCGGTAGCTGTTCCCTGGGATGTATCCGACTACACGGTTCACACAGAATCATCGGTCAATACTTTGTTCCATATCAGGGTCCATCCATAAACAGAGAATCATGGCCGACGTTGTCCCATGCGGCATAGTTCGGCACTGCCGCGCGAAATCTTAATTCAAAAATTCGTAACTTCTGCCAAAAAGGGAATTTTACCGACCAACATCCACGATTCAGCGAGCAACACCAGATCGCAAGGGAGTTCATGTAGGTTCCAGCACTGCAATCTTAATCATGACTTACAACTGATCTCATTGCATGCCCCATATTCATGACAAGTCTCGGATCCGAGTTGCGATTCGCCGTATTCTCAACGTCATGCGCACCAATAGCCATGAGCCGATTTAGCCACGAACAGGCGAGCAAGGCTACCGACACCCTCGCACGGCTTTTTTTCTTTCGAACTTGAGTAACGATCAAACTAGCGGGCCGTTGTCGCCACGACTTGGGGCGGGAAAGGCCTTGTAAAAAGTACCCACCGCTGTGGAGAAGAGACCAACCACGAACCGAAGATACCGAGAGGCGCCACTAACGCGCAACATTGTCTGACAGATTGTCCAGTTCAAGGTCGACAACCGTGGTCCGGGCTGCTGTACTTATGTGAACCATGTCATCGGTATGGCGGCGGCTGCGGTATCAGTGTTGATTCGTTATTCTCTTTCCCCTTGACATCACCGGGCAGCGGAACAATAAAACGCCATGTGTGTGGTTGCTTGTCTCGGAAACCGACAACCGCATGTCAGCCTGGCTTTCAACACCGAACTGAAGAAGCACATGTGCATGTGTGGGATGCACCGGTGACGTGGATATTTCCGGCCTTGATATGCAACATGCAATCAAACACACGTTCGGTGGCTTACTGGTTGCGGCAGGCAGCTCGAGTCGACTTGCGTCAAAGTGCGTGATTGAAGCTTCAGCCTGCATGTTGCCAAGACAGTCACTGCAGCTCAGAAACGCGTCTGGCGCCATATTACTGATCAAGAAAATAGGTATGAACATCATTATTCATGTTCCGCCCTGGTTTTGCGGCGCGAGACCCGCACTGACACTCAGATGGCGATACGCATCCGACTCTAGGACGGACTTGTAACCAAAATCCGGTTCGTATGGTCATATCGCAGTCGCTTAACCATGTACAGTGTGAACCCGGCAGGTTTAGCGTATACTCGGAACCAGGCCACTGGAATTACCCCTTGGTAATTGGCTCCTGACCGCTTTGCGCAAAGATTGTGCCTAAGCACGGGGTTTCGGTCCATTTCAAGCACCGGGCATCAATGACGTGGAAGGGTCTTCGATGTTCCAACCTGTTTCGCCCCCACAGCAAAGTGCGAACCTGACTTGCCCTTTGCTGGCCTGTGGATCGAGCTGGGAGAATCGCAAGGATTATCCGGCGGGGCGCGGCTGCGCGGGAAGGATGACAGTCACTTGATCCCTCAGTGGACTTCAGCAAGGATGGGACATGGGAAAGCACAGGAGTTCTCGATTGATGTTCGGTATCACGTGAAAAGCGCTGCGTTCGGCTCAGATCTCGGCTTCCTACAGGCGAGTAGCTAATAAAGTAATGCAGTAGCCGATCCGGAATGAGGGAACCGGAGTGCACTAGAAATAAGGCCGCGGCGTGTATCACTCCACTCCACCATCTGTGGTGCCACAGTGGGCACGATCGAGCTATCGGTCCGCTCACCAATTTGCATACGGACTTTCAATGATGCAAAACTGCCTTTAGGACCTTGAAGCTCGGAGTGATTGCCGACCTAGGACATCACTGCCGGCGGCACAGTAAACTGGCGTAAGCCCCCCTTGCCCACTCTGCCTATCTCAAAATGTTTGAATCGTATGTTTTCCTCAGGCGGCCATAAACCCGCCCCACCCCACAGCAAAACTACCTTCTAGATCGCCTACATGAATCGAGAAAGTCCAGTACAAAGTTGAGTACAACGCAGCCAAGAAAAGATAGGCACCTCGCTAAGTACATATCATGCGATCTTGACATAATTGTGGTACATTTGCATACAAAGATCTTCCGTGGAGAATGCTTTGAGCGCTTCAGCGATGTGGTCGAGACGCGCAGAGGAGTCGGGAACGTCACCAAATCTGAACTGGGCCCGCATGTCTAGAGCACCGCGCCGCAAGTGACAGATACTAGGGCGGCTGCCCAAAGTAAGCGATCTGTCATCGGTCGACTGCGATAGGACATAGCTCAAGTAGAAAGAAAGGTTACGAGAACACAATCCAGGATAACACTCAAACACCAACAATTCACTTACTTGTCGTGAACTGTAGCAGGAATAACAGCCGGAGTTTCGAGGCCTGTAGTTGTGCATACGCAAGGCTGATCTGCATGGTCAAGGTTGCACAAGGGCTCCAGGGCCATGGAAGGCTCGTAGCGTTCGCGTGTCACTGACGCCCGCCCACTACTGCGGGATACGTCTGCAGTGTCACCAGTCACCTTCGAGAAAGCCGGCTAAAGCCAACGCCGTCTACTGAATGGACGGCATGACGCTTTCAATGAGGCGGCGGCATACGCGTGGAAATAGATTAACCGCACATGGCGGCCAATAGCCGTTGCAAGGGGGGGGGGGACAAGCCATTGTGTAGTGGTTGCCTGCAAGCCCGTAATACGGGCATATCAACAGCCCATACCTTTAGGGTATGCTTGTCGTAGCGTCTCAGCCTCAACCGCCGTAGAGGGTTCAAGTATTCCTCTCTGCATTGATACCTGGGATGCTTTTGCGATGCAGGTAATATCGATACTTTTTATGTGCTCATGGACATAAGTTGGCGAGAGTATCTGACTGTGTGAACAGCTACATGGGCTGCGTACGGTCACGCAACGTCCTTCTAAAATCAAGATGTAGCGCACGTGTTGGTCACTACTACGGATAATATTATTAGGCAGCCTTACTAATTGTTGAGCCATTTTCATGACTGCGCCTCACTGTCGCTTTCAGCCTATTGATGCCTGGGTGACGCGCTCCGCTCGATTACGATTACCTATGTACAATTGTTATTCTCTGTCGTTGTGCGAGATTAGGGCGTATATTGAGTGCCAGACACGTTATTGAATACCTAACGACTTCGAATGCCCAAATACGCAGTAGCGATACACACCAAGACTTTAATCGTTCTGCAATTCTGAGGGTGTTGCCAGTATGTTCTGCTTCGCAGGTGCATTGCGCTGCAGCTTCTGTCCTATTCCGCGTTTACTGCGCCACGTCTTCGATGCAACAGGAGATACACAATATCTTCATACATGGCGAGAAATGATCTCGCTGACTCTGATGTTACATACTGTATCTGGTACAGTTTGCTAACAAACTTATTAACATCGACGCGACAAGCACGATGAACTAAGAGAACGCCAATCGTGGACCAATGCGAACTCGATAACGACATAATTTGACCGAGCCCAAGCCAGAAGGGCGACAAAAGGCCGTTTAGTCTTGCGGTGATCCATGTTGAGGCTGAGAGCGATGGATGATGGCTCGCCCCGCAGGACAGTGACTCCCCGCAGTATGAGCAAGCTAGGGCCAATGACTAACATCATTGCGACCTCCATACTTCCAAACGGCCGTCAACCACCTCATGCTATTGCATCTTTCTCGTCACCAACAGCGTCACCATCATTGATTTGTTAACACCAATGTCTCTCTCTAATTTGTGAACGCCAGCTTGGCACCTTCACACAACTCGCCGACGAGTTGTCTCTAGTCACTGCTTGACGAAGTTCCACTCATCGTTTGCGCTCTACACCCGTCACCATGCTGCCCTTATTATCGCAATTGTTCCGGACGCACTTCTTACATACCAACTCACGATCATTATCACGCTTACGCACTGAACTGACGCGACAATACGCAACGTGACAAGTCGGGTACTTTCCCGTCCACCTCATCCCATAAGGAATACAACCACCAAGACGCCCATCTTTAACACGCAATATGGCTTCCATATTCACCTTCGACCCTGACCCTCCACGGGTCTCATCGCCATGGGAAATCACACCCGTCGGCGATGCCGCGCAATCGCCGACTCCATCCACGAATTCCCGACGACTTCCTTCGCCACTCGGTAGTACTAGGGGCGAAGCGGGATTGAACACAACAACTTCTACCGCCGCTATAGACTATACGGGTATCACAAGGTTGGAGGCAGAGCCTCAGGATGGGCCTACGGAATACAAGCTGCATTTGCTGCTCAGACGACGGCGGTCATTCACCCGCGCTAGCACTGGACGCCATATATCTGGATCTATGCGTCGGCCTGACATACCTATACCTGTAGTGGGTCGCAGCGTATCAGAGTCAGGCCTCCTTCTAAACACCACCCCTCCTTTGGCCTCTACACAGTCAAAACAGCATCGTCTCGAGCAGTTGACCACTCAGCTGCTGTGGCGCCTACAACAGTCATGTCCAAACCATATGTCCTCGTCCATGGCACCTGTCATTCCTCAATTCCCTGACGATGCACGTTTGTCAGCCCCTGAGATGCCGCAACGGCTTCTGCCCGGACTGGAGGAGAGCAATGGTGCGCTTTACGAAATTGGAGTTGCCGACGACGGGACTATCGTTGGTCTAGCAGAAGATGAGATGGAAGAGAGTTTGAATAATTTGCGCGCTATGGCTGCAAGCTTAGGCTGTGGTGTTGAAGTTATGCGCAGGGTTCCCGTCGGCGATTGCGAGTGGATAGAGGATTTCGGCACACCACAGCAAAGGGTGGTAAGATCGCAACTACTAGTTGCCGAAGCACTAGTACGACCAGAACAGCATTTGGTCGATCATTCGAAAAATGCTCAGCAAGATGCAACCGATGATGCCCTAGAAACCGGTGCTAGCGACATGGCACTGGCCAGGGAGTCTCAAAGAGTCACCGAGCAGATGCGCGTATCAGTGACGGGTGGCACCATGTCTGGCAAATCTACCCTGCTTGGTACCCTATCCACCGCTACGCTAGACAATGGCCGAGGAAAGAGTCGCTTGAGTCTGCTGAAACACAGACATGAGATCGCATCGGGGATGACCAGCTCCGTTACCCAAGAGTTGATAGGCTATCGTGACGAAGGAGATCATTCACAAGTAACCAGCTATGGCTCGGGGGATATCGATTCTTGGATCGATATCCACGCTGCGGTGGAGTCAGCGGAGAATGGCCGACTGGTATTTCTTTCTGACTCAGCCGGACACCCTCGGTTCAGACGCACCACGGTCCGTGGAATTGTCGGCTGGTAAGTGATCATCGCATATCATAGCCACTCATTGCCCCTCTCGGCTGCTGCTTATTAAGGATGTACCCTGAACTTTGCTAATCTGTCCACCAGGCAACCACATTGGACACTTCTGTGTGTTCCAGCTGATAATACCGACGAGTCTTCGGGCAAGCTCGGAGCCTCGCCTTCGTCTGAAGAACTACTCGGGCCAGCAGCAGCGGATTTGGACCTTTCGCATGCACATCTACAACTCTGCCTCGCATTGCAACTGCCACTTGTGATTGTCATAACTAAATACGACCTAGCTACGAAGAATGGCTTGAAAAGGACCTTGCAAAAACTGTTCTCGGCGTTGAAGGAACACAAGCGGAGGCCTTGTCTCATCACTGACCCGTCGACATCTGTGCTAGAGGCCGATCTACATACCGTCGAGGCAGCCGATCTTGGGGAGACCGAGAAGACTCTAGACTTGCTTGTAGATTCGCCATTAGCAGCAGTGCCAGTGGTACTGACTAGCGCAGTCAAAGGAACAGGAATACAGAAATTGCATGCGTTTCTGCGAAGACTGCCGATGCCCACGGAAACAACACCTCCAGTAACTACATCCATATCGCCACTCTTCCATGTTGAGGACGTTTATAGCGTCCGCACGGATGCGTCGGCTGATCGATCCGCAATCGTTGGTGGCTATCTCCGTTATGGATCCTTGGCCGTCGGTGATGAGCTGCTGTTAGGACCATACCCTGTCGATGTCAGCTCGGACGATAGTGACAGCGGCAGTGCAAGACCAAGGTAAGTCGTGACTGCACGAGATGCATGTGAGACATACACTGACTTCGCACCTCCCCCTCCGCAGCCGTAAACCATCAATACCACAATCAAGGTCGTTTCCCGGCGCACTCAATATGAAATCAAAGAATGCTTCCCTGCGCGACCGACATAGTGAGTGGAGGCGCGTGCGCATTACATCTTTACGCAATCTTCGCCTACCTGTACGGAAGTTGCACGCTGGGCAGGTTGGTACCATGGGTATTCTACCCGTCAGCATGCCGATCGTCACCCCGTCCATCAACCGGATACGCAAAGGCATGGTATTGGCGGCTCGGGAGCCCAAGGCACACAAAGTCATCGCTGTGCGTTTCGAGGAGAAGCAGGCAGAAGGCGTCAAAGACCTCGGCGTCGGCAGTGCAGTCGTGGTCTACATTGCAAGCGTCAGAGCTTCGTCCAAGGTCCTATCTGTTGCTGTTGAACGGACAGAAGGTACTCATTCGACGAACGATACCTGTAATGGCGCAGACGAGGACGATGCTTTTGGGTTCGGCTTTGACGATGAGGCAGAAGAACCTACGACCGTGGTTGCACCACCGGCCGTCATAGTGACGTTTCAGTTTATCGCCTCACGCGAATTTGTTGAGATGGGTGCTAAGGTATTGGTCATGCCTGGCGGTGGGCCTGGGCTTTATGGGGGTAATGAGAGGGGAGCAAAGGGTATGGCTGGCCTCGAAGGATTTGTCGGGAGAGTGGTGGAGGATGTTTAGTGTGTGTGTTTGTGTTTAGCATTGGCGTTTGGTGGAGTTACAGCAGGGGCAATTACGGTAATATTTGATCATTTTGCACATCATCACGTCGCACACGAGTAAAGGGAATCCAATAAAGTGCATCATTAAGAGTGTTGCAGTTCGAATCACACTATGCACATATCTTGAATGTCGCACATTCCCCATACCACACAGGCACAAACGCCGCATCGTGTCCACAAGAGACACGCACGTCATGCACCTGCGCGTCTCTTCACCAAAAACGCATACCATCCTCACCTGACGTCCGCGGACCGGCTAGGTAACGAACGGTTCAGAGTTATGAAGGGGAAACTGTGCATGCACCTCCCTCCAGCTATCCAGACAGAGACCTTTACATTACGGGAACCGTTCGCACGAGGGCTACTAGGGGTAAAAGGTTTTCGTCGGCGACTGTGGGCAGGCACTGTTTGATGTATCGCTAGGCTATACTGAGCAGCAGGAATGGGTCTGGTCGCTGAGCTCCACCTTAGGCCGCGAAGGTTTGTAATGTTCGTTTCTTCTAGGTAGAAGTGGAGAATGTGATGCAGAAAAAAAGAAGACAGGGATAAGGAAAGGGAGTGGAAGGAAATGAACGGAAGATGTGTGATAGCACTAGGAACTGCTTGCCGCGTCTTCAGCAGCCGGTGAAAATGAGAATGATGATTCGGGGATATCGTATACAAGTGCCGGCTTTCCGGAATTTCTCACCAAGATATCTTTCTTCAAGGGCATATCAATCTTGCCGTCAACCCGTCGCTTTTCATTCGTGATTAGGCTGCGGACGAAGCGAAAAGGACCTTGCGAGGTCCGCCCATGGTCAGGCTCTTGGAAACGGCCCCACTGGTTCCGCTACCCTCCATACTCTCGAGCATCCTGTCCATGCCGCCGAGATCAAGCTCGCCATGGGTAAGGAGAGCCTGGTCTGTCCGATTTGATGCGTCATCTTCGACTTGCTCACGGGCAAATATGGCGTTCAGGTCACGTCCAAGAGGCTGGCTAGTACTCGCAGTGATGATGAGACGGTGCTCTGTTGAGATGAGAGTATCCCTGGCGACAGCCATGCGTGATGCTTGGGTTGTTGTGTCGAATTGTGAGACGGAGGTGATAGCTTCCCCACAAAGTAAAACGTCTTGAACTTGAAGGCCAGGGCCCGGTAAGGAACCACCGCTGCTGGCAGAAGCAGTACGACTCCAGAACTTGATCAAATCGGCTATCCGGTAGATTTCGGATCCATACCAGATGAGAACTGAGTCTTCTGATGTTCCATTAGTTGACGCGATGCTCGCGACAGAGACGCCGCCTCTAGTTGCTACTGTCGAACTTGATGCGCTGCCCTGGAAGAGTGTTTCCTCTTTCCGCTTGCGTGTATTCGGTGTCATTGGAGCCAACGAGTTGCGGCTTCCACGCTTTGGACTCGATGCGCCGCTAGAGCTTCCCTCCTTCTCCACTGTACCGACATATCCTCGGAGAGAGAAAGCCGATGGATCTGCTGGGGGGCTTGGACCAGACCGGTCAATATCCCAGACACCCCACTCACCATCTGCTAGCAAAGCAAGTACGTGACGGCCATCGGAAGCCCAAGCTGCATCGATGATAGATTTGCGCGACGCGAGAACAGCCGGAGTCAGCACAATGTTCTTGACGCCTTCGAAAGATGACCTGAATGTTCCCACAAATGCGCCAGGCTCATTACGGCCGCCGCTTGGTCGTCGACTACGAGTGGGTAACGCAAAAGGATCGTAGATGCGCGCAGTACCCGTTGAATCTGCGACGAGTAGTTGGGAATGTCGGCGCTTCGGATACTGGGCAGTGTTGAATGCAATGCGAGAGGCGGGCTTGCTGAGAGTAAGGGTCTTGTAAGGCACAACCGGATGTGAGACCTTTAGTGACGTCTCCGACAACTCAAAGCGAAAGAGCTTGAGCAAGCCTCCCAGCTCGGCAGAGTGCGAGGCAACGAGCAAGTCGAAGCCTTCACCGGCACGCGGTTGGTATTTGTGCTCAGAAGTTGCAGCGTCTTCTTCCTCTTCATCCACGTCCATGCCGTCTTCTGGCTCATCTACAGAGTCTGGCTCTCCCTTTGCAGTCCAAGTCATAGTGACACCCCTTGGAATACTTTGGTGACCGTGAACTTTGACGATGTCCTCGCCGAAATGTGATTTTGCGCTGTATGGCTTGTCTTTTGCGACATGTGGAGGAGGGCTCAGAGGTAATGTGATGATGCGCACAGTAGAATCGGCACATGCGACGGTGAAGACGATGCTCTTACTGAATATGGGAGGTATTGTGTCTGCGGGTCGTAGGGTAGAGGCGCTCGGTATTTGAGGTACGGCGATGTGTAGGACTTGGGTGCTAAGGGACAGAGACAGCTGCTGAACGATTGAGGCGTACGGCTGATCTGGATCGAGTTCTTCTTCTTCCTCCTCGAATTCTGCTTTGGGTAGCGGCTCTGCAACGGCTTTCGCAGGCTCGTCGTCGTCGGAGTCGATGATCATAATGGCATCGTTGCTTATTCCATTGACCTTTGCTGGCTTCGCTGGCTGCTTGGGAGGCGGCGCGGTCTTCTTCAACGGACGTCCACCTCTCCAAAGAATGCCTACGCCCGTCTCGTGGCCGTATAATATAATAGTCGAGCCATTGGGAGCTTTGACAGGGTATACCGTAGAGGCGTGTACGCGGTGCGGAAGCTCGTACCTACAAGATGCTATGTTAGCAGTCACGTGGGAAGTGGTAAGAGGAAGGCGCACCTTAGCTGGGCAAGTTTTCCCTTTGACGCGACGATTGGCTCCATGCTTGCAGCTTGATGGTGGTGAGCTTAGCTACCGCCTGGGTAACAAGGAACGCACGAAGTAGGCAGCTTCTGCTTTAGGCGCGAATATCTCCAGGCCTTTTTTAAGATGTTACAATTGTCGTACGAGTCGTCTGAGAGCTGTGGATGTTGCGCAACTTGATGTGTGAGGGTGAAGGAAGCTCGGAGGTGCTGCGGAGTTTGTCAACATTTCTCTGGGGAAGTCGCGCTCGACCACAGCGCGTCACCTCGGACTGCGCGCCCCGCGCAAACAAACCGCCTATATCGCCCCAACGCACACACGATACCCAAGCCTCCCTCATGTTGCGAAACGAGCCTCCGCATGGCCTCTCTTCGCTCAATCGGGGTCCACAAGCCCTCTGCCCTGCAGTATCTGGTCCAAGAGTCCATCTTGAGCGACGATAGCACCGACCGCGACTATGTCTGGGACACGTACACCGACGACGGCCCAGAAGGCCATACCGACGAGCTCGTCACCACCGAATACCACGTAATCTGGTCGCGATGCGGCGTCATACGCAAGGTCTTCAACTTCGAGGTTGAGAAAGAGAAGGTTAAGCAGGCGCTTTTGACATGGTTTCTGGTAGACGAGCCCTACCATGGCGCGAATGAGGCCTCCGACAACTCAACAGAGCACAACGCAACCGACCCTTCCAAGAGTTTCTTGACCCAAGGCACACAGCCTGCTGCGGACCCCACCGCGCCAATCAACAATACACCACCCACAGCAGAGGCTCTGTCGCGTGCTCTAGTCGTCTTCTTGAAGTCGCAAGCACATGTCTTCTTTCTCTCGGGCACTACACACATCGTAAACCTCCCATTCGAGGTGGACAAGGCTTTTCCTGCAGCACGTGGTGTTGTCGTACAAAGGAAGCTTGCTCCTCTTCACACTGTGCCTACGAGTCCCCAGTTGCCATCGGCCCCACCAAATTCCTTCCTCACAACCAACCAGTCCTTTCTCTCACAGCAGTTCTCATTTTCTCAGAGCTTCTCTAAGCCCAATCGCCGGCATGGCTCTTCTATTGGCGCATCGCGACATGGAAAGTCTCGCCTGTCCGGTGCGACCACGTTTCTAGATGACTTGGTCACGCCTTTAAACCCAGAATCCATACCCAGGTTGTATTCTTTTACAGATCCGCTGTCGGAACTGGGATTGGTTGTCAATGTTGTCGCAGGCGGTGACCGCAGCAGCCTGCTGACTACCCACGGCTCTGGTCATCGGAGACTGGAAGCCATTGACAAAGCTGAGGAAATCATTTACGTCTCTCCGCGCAATGAGCTTGTGTTCGATCGCAGTGGAAATGACAAGCCTCTTCTACTAGTAGTCACAGCAAATCACGAGACGAATGTATTTACCATTTGGTCTGCGGCTTACCTAGAGCCAAAATCAATATCAACTTCTCGCAAACAACACGTCCCCCTACCAATAAGCAAGTCTAGGCGTCGTAGCTCATACGGCGGTACTGCTCCGGGAACAGGGGCAACTACACCAGCAATCCGTGGAGCTGACAGATTGAGAGAAAGCTTTGGGGGAGCTCCACGCAGCAAAACTCAACCGCCATCCTTCAAGATCACGACCAAGGAACGACTCTCTGATCAGGCAGTGGACGATGCCCTTGCCTCACAGCTCAACCCTGACTCTGACATCACTCGTCAGCCAAAAGAATCTAGACGAGTGAGCTCACTACTCTCACGAGCTGAGCTTTCCACGAGCTTCGACAAAAGCGCGTTTCAAGACCTCGCAACATCCCGCAACAGCATCGGTGGCAGCTTCAACGCAAGTTTCAATGCAAGCCAGCGAAGTCGCCACTCGCTTGGTCACGATCGCACAAGTTTCGGTGGCTTCTCGCAGTCTCGAAACCGAGCTTCCACTCCCGGTAGTGTTACGTCCCGAATGAGCCTAGGTGCTGTATCGATAGATGACACTTTAGACGATGCCATGGATGAGGATACATTCGACACTATAGAAGACTATGATGAGCTTGACGACTTGTTTGCGCCGCCTGACGCCAAAGACGGACCACGGCCCGGGGAGGGACTCCATAAGGAGCTGATCATCAGTGTCATTGCGGAAATTCCCATTACACAGCACCTGAAGAGTGGCCTCTTTGCCTTGGGCAACCCTTCAAATACTCCAGTAAGTCGACATTCTTCCAGGGAAGCCCTGTTATTGACACTTGAATAGGATTGGCATGAACCAAAGGTGCTCACGCTGAATGCACCTTTCAATTCGGCGACGCTTCACGAGAGAAAACTGTACTTGTACATGTCACATCCATCCTTGCAACTTCCTCTCGAATGCGAGCTAGCGGTCACTCGAAGAAGGCTCTCTCCGTCAGCGTCAGCGACCCAGTCTGGGTCAGTCAGTGCAGCTCCTCGATATGCGTGTGTCCCGAAGTTTGTTAGCTCGCGGCAGCTAGACAATTCATTGGATCTTGTGAAAGTCCGTGACGGCTATTTCGAACGAATAGTTCAACTCACATCGAGGAATCCTCAAGAGTCTTGTATATCATTGACTGCGGGATGGGGCAGCCACATCCCAGTGAAGTTCAGCCTGGGTCCCATGAAGTTATTCGATCCGCATGCCATCATACAATATGACCAGAGTAGGTTGACTGCAGGCTCAAGACGAACGATAATACTGAGCCAACCGTTGCATAGTTTGTCTCCATCAGGAACAAGCGGGAAACTAGATTTGTCCGATGGTGAGCTGCGTCGTCATCGGATGGTGCTGCGCCTGTCACCATCGAACGGCTATGTGGCCGAACTCTTCCAAGTGCTATCAACGGTACTGCCAAATTACGCAGGTGACTTCCTCTTGGAGATATGGTGGAACATTCGCAAGTCGTTATCGGATGAGAGAGCCGAGCAGACCACTGCCGATTGGACGGCTTTCGTCGCCACTTTACTCACTCTCGCGGTACCATTTATTGATGAAAAGAAAGGGAAGATCAACACTCGTGCAAAATCAACCCAACGAAGGAGTTCAGGACGTCCTGCAAGTCAAGCAAAGCCAGATGAGCTCATTGACGATGAGGACTCAGCATGGCGACTCATGTGCAGTCGTCAAATCTCAACAACACATCCAAAGAGTTGGAGATCGTCTCCCTGGGCCTGGGCTTTACACTCAAGTCCAAAATCAACCACAATGAGCCCACCGGTGAAACGCGACTCAGTGCAACACCAGCTACCAACAATCGTACAGCAGATCAATATCAAGGACAACATGATATCTAACTGCCTTGAGCTTGCTCGCCAGTACGTCCAATCGCCAATCGGCAAAGCTACCAATGACCACTGGAGGCGACTCTCTCCTTCTGAAAAGCAAGATCTTCGCATCTCATCTTTGTCTGAGATTGTGGTATCGTTACATCTTTTCCGCGAAGAACGCAAGTTGGATACATTGTGCCAGGATTTTGCTGATAAGGAACCTGGAAACCTCGCACCTGTATTAGCACAGATCGGTCATTGGTTGCGTTGGGAAGCATGGGACTGGAAACAAGGTTCTTTTTTCGACCTTGATGGTGGCTCAGGCCAGGATTGGACGTATGACGAAACCATTCTGAGCAGCAAAATAAGACTGCATGCGCAGCCATGGGATGTACCCCCTTCAATCTTGGAATGGCTCAGCACTGTCACGGGATCCCGCCATTATGCTCCGTTTCCTACGCTAGCGATGCTGATACGAAAATCCAAAGCGTCTCCGCACTCTTCCATCAATATTGACGAAATCATCGCAGGGGTCACGCCCAGAACTGTAGCACTACACAGATTCTTCAGAGATATTGACCCTGCCTCGAGTCCTAGGAAGGTAGTAGAGCTAATCAAGGCCTGTCACATCAGTCCTGAAATGCTAGCGACACTGCCGGAAGCCGCAAAAGCACCACTCATGGAAGCAATCACGAGATGTCAGGCGAATCCACCTACGACATGGTCGAGCTCACTACTCAGACTCGTACAACGTGAAGACTTGGATCTTAGCCTTACTCCAATTGCGGAAATTGCCCATGATGCACATCTGAATACACCAGGCGGAGCGCTTCATGCAACTGGTACAACCCGAGACGTTCACACTATATGTCAAGGCGCTGATCGGATGGAACCAATTCAGTCGACATCCGAAGTTGACAGGCATTATATCACGCGACTCATATTTCGCGAGGATCGACGGTTTATGGAGGCGTACACACTGCTAGAACCGTTGCGACAGACTGTTGCGGAATACAAAGCTGACAGCAGGCAAGACGATGCAGCTATGCTTGAGGGGCAGAAAGCGCTCATGCAATGGGTCATGGTCCGCACATTTTCCTTGCCTTTGGGTAGCTCAATGATCAAGTTTAGCAGCAAGAAGCCTTTGTTGACGGAGAAGTACCCGCTATACGGCTTCTCCACATCATGTCTCATGAAGCCAATGGGCAATGTTGTTACAGCCGAACGACAGAATTACTCCGAGGAGAAGTACTTCTGGGCTTTCTTCAATGCCGGTGCTGCAGCTGGTCTCAGTATATCGCGCGACGCTCAGGGCATCGATACTTCATGGATCATGTACAACAAACCTGCGGAGCTGACAAACAAGCATGCCGGACTTTTACTTGGACTAGGCCTGAATGGCCATCTGAGGACGATCGCGAAATGGCTGTCGTTTAAATACCTCACTCCGAAGCACACCATGACTTCGGTAGGCTTGCTACTAGGCTTGGCCGCTTCGTTCATGGGCACCATGGACACACTCGTCACAAGACTACTATCGGTGCATGTCACAAGAATGTTGCCGCAAGGGGCAGCCGAGTTGAACCTCTCTCCTTACACACAGACTACAGGCCTGATGGGTATTGGCCTACTTTACTACAATACCCAGCACCGTCGTATGAGCGAGGTTATGCTATCGGAAATTGAGTATGTCGAGATCCCAGATCCATCAGAGCCACCAGATAGCCTGCGGGATGAAGCCTACAGGCTGGCTGCGGGCTTTGCGCTCGGCTTCATCAATTTGGGCAAGGGTAAAGACCTTCGAGGCCTCCACGATATGCGCATCGTTGAGCGCCTCATGACCGTTGCTGTAGCACCTAAACCCGTCAACGTCGTCCACATTCTCGACCAAGCTACAGCTGGAGCAGTTATCGCCATTGCCCTCATCTTTATGAAGACTCACGACCAAACCGTGGCGCGCAAGATTGATATCCCAGACACGCTTCCCCAGTTCGACTATGTTCGCCCAGACATCTTTCTCCTTCGCACCCTCGCCAAACACCTCATCATGTGGGACGACATCGAGCCCTCAGATTCTTGGATCATCAAGAACCTACCGTACGATTACCGTGAAGCCTGGGACCTCAAAGGCATCACACGACTCCGCAGCGAGCAGATGCCCTTTTACAACATTCTCGCAGGTCTGCTGTGGGCTGTAAGTCTCAGGCATGCTGGCACAGGAGATACCCAAGTCCGAGACTTCCTGATTAAGTATCTGGATCAACTAATACGTATCAATAAACTTCCCGCTGTGCGCTACGACTCCAAGCTATCCAAGAACACAGTTCGCAACTGTCAAGATCTCATTGCACTAGCAGCCGCTACCGTTATGGCAGGAACCGGCGACCTCGATGTCTTCCGTCGTCTGCGCGGTCTCCATGGCCGTATCGGTCCTGATATCCCCTATGGCTCTCACCTCGCTGCTCATATGGCGTTTGGTACCCTGTTCATCGCGGGCGGTACGCAAACCTTTAGTCGAAGCAACAAGGCCGTTGCTAGTCTGATATGCGCTTTCTACCCTTTATTCCCCTCCGACGTGCAAGATTCGAGAGCGCATCTACAAGCTTTCCGCCACTTTTGGGTACTAGCCGCTGAGCCGAGATGTCTGGTGGTGCGAGACGTAGATACCGGGCGTGCGATTTCCATGCCCATCACTGTTCTCTTCAAGAACACCCAAGAAGGCAACGAGCGGACGCATACAAAGACACTAATGGCGCCCTGTCTCCTTCCCGAGATCCACCTGATCAGTCGTCTCGAAACAGCGGATCAGACATACTGGCCCACAACCCTAGACTTCGTACGTAACCCACTTCATCTCAAGTCTTTTGAGCGTAACCAGACTCTGAATGTGCGTCGTCGCTCTGCTCATGATACCTACGCCACATCCTTCAGCGCTACCCTTGTTGCTCTCAACGACGCCCAATCGTCGAAGACTGCAAACCTCCTCTTCCACTGGATCTTCACGCTTCCTGCACTATCGCAATTCATCTCTACCAGCGACGCGGGACTCATCTTGCCGCTCGATCAGTATAGCAAGAGCTGGCTGGATCCTGGGGCTACAGTCGTGGAATCAAGGTTAGTGCTAGGGAGGTTGGCGAAGAGCTGGAAGGTCGAGGAATTGAGGGAGTTGAAGGGCGTGTTTGAATGGGCGGATGCAGCCAGCCGGCAGAACGGGCAATTGAGGTGGTTAGGGAAAGAGGTTGTGGAGAGGATCAAAGCGGGGGTCATGGATAGAGGAAGGGGAATGGGCGGGTAGTTGGAATACGATATATAGGGTATGATGTCGATGTGAAGACGGGGGAGGGACGAGCGAGGGATGATAGACGGACATGTAGCAAGAAGCATAAACTGAATTTCCACATGCGCATTATTGGAGGTTGTAAAAATGTGGTATGCGATCTGCTTGATACCAAAATCCGAGGTCTATAGTATGTGTTGAGAGTCCACCTTCTAATCAGCTGCTCATCATCTATACTTTGGTTCGGACGTCTAGACACCAGAAAAGAACCCCGTCTACTTTCTACTTCCCCCTCGCCTCTCTAATCCCCCACTTCCCCACTTCAGCCATAGCCTCCTCCCCACCCTTGGCCAGTTTCTCATCTTTCAACACACCAGCCAAACACTGCCAGCCATCTCTCCCTCCACCCCACTTGAGCACCTCGTTCTTGTATAGCTCGCCATTCTCTCTATCCAAACTACCTTCTTGGCCATTATGCTGGAAAACATCTTTCCAAATCTTTGCTGCTAACGCGCGGTCAAAGAGGTAAGAATAATACGTAGCGCCATATCCAAACAAATGGCCGAAGAAACCTTGCCAAGCAGTGCCGGCGGGCTCAGGGACGGATGCGTATTTGTTGTAGACGTCGTGGTAGACTTTTGTGGAGTTGAAGTTGGGGTCCGCGGCAATGGGGGAGTGGTACGCTTGGTCGAGCATGCAGAGGAGAATTTGGCTTTCGAGTTCGGAGTATTGGTTTCGGTTGTCAATCGCGAGGCGAGATTCGAGGGCTGCCATGGGCAGTGGGGCATCCGTTTCCCAGTGTCGGGCGTATAGGCCGAGAACGTGGGGGCAGAAGGCGAAGTGTTCCATCAAGACCGAAGGTAGCTCGGCGATGTCGGTTGCGCAGCGAGTACCAGAGACGTTTTGCAGGGCTGTACGACCGAGGATGGAGTGGAGTGCGTGGCCCATTTCGTGGAAGAGGGTGCGCACGTCGTGGATGTTGAGGAGTGTTGGTCGCGAGTGCGAAGCTTTGCTGAAGTCACAAATCAATGCTATTGTAGGTAATTGGAAATAGCTGTTGCGTTCTGCATTGTAAGAGACGGGCATCCCATCTGTGGCTGCCTCGATGGGCGACGAGAAACGATGCTGCATGTGTGACATTTCCTCGATCTCTGAAGGTAGAATCTCGCGGCTGCATCGGAGAGTGAAGTGTGCCGGATTGGGGGTTTTGCCTGGCCGCGAGTACAGGTCGCAGTATAAGACGGCGATGTGGCCTTCAGTATCGGATATGACGTCTAATCGGCGCACGCCATCTTCCCATACCTCACCTGGTTGGGTTTCTTTGGGGACGAAGCGAACACCGTATAGACGGTCAAAGAGTCGCGATATGCCCTGTAGTACAGTGCCAACAGAGAAGTATGCGGATAGAGAGTCGGGCGTACGCTGTCTATAGTGACCCTCCATTGTCGCAAGCATCTTCTGTGTGTAATAAAACTTGTCCCAAGCGTTGATGCGATCGGGGAAGTTGTCTTGGTGAGCATCACCTCTCTTCAACTCCATCAACTCCTCTAGATCAGCGAGGACAGCCGGTCGACTGTCCTCGTAGAGCGCTTTCAAGAAAGTGTTGACCGCTTCTGGTGTTCGCGCCATCTTGTTCTCTAGCGTCATGTGTGCAAAGGTCTCGTAGCCTGACGTTTGCGCCAACTCGACTCGCAGTTTTAACAGCTTTTCTAGACGCGCGATGCTTGGTTTATTTGCTGTCCGCACAGCTTGGTAGGTTTCCTGCCGTACATCGGCATCTTCTACGAACCGTAGCACAGCTTGCGACTCGTGATGCATGGTGGAGATCTTGGTCTCGCCCCATTTCGTCAGTGCCTTTGCGAGGTTTGGATCCAGCCCTCTCAGCCTTGACGACTTGAACTTCAAGTTCAGTTTTTCTGGAGCCATGCCTTCCACGAATTCATTTCCGACATCGGCAATCTCGCCACTCAAGTCTACCAACCGCTCTCTTGTCTTGTCGTCTAGACCAATGCCAAATCTTGAAAAGTCCTCCATGAGTATCCTCGCTACAATGCGCTCCTCCTCGGACCATGTGTCGTATACCTCGGATATTTCTGACGCTTTCTTCAGCTGGTCATGGAGTACTGGTGTGGTGTTCAGCTGGTTCATATACTGGAACACAGTCTGGTAGGCCTTCATTGCCATGATCTGGAACTTGCGATCGGGATGCGTGCCTCTTACAAAGTCGGCCAAATCTATTACCCGACATAGTAGATCGCTGAGCTTATCCAAATCTTTGACCATTTGCTTGAAGTCCTCTACCGACTGCGCTGCCGCCACCTTTTGCACCACAGCATTGCAGCGTTGTATGGTTACAGTGACGAAGTCGACGAAACCCTGGGGGTGGGTAAGGTATTTGTTGCCTATTATGCCAGTGGGCTGTCCCTCGTGGGATGCGCGCTTGAAGCCATGCCAGAAAGATGCATTGTCGAAAACTTTGCGCAGGGCGTCGTCATCTGTCTTCCCGCTGGCAGACAGGCCATAGAGAGGGTTCGGCGTAGGATCGCGTGCTTTGGCGGCGGCGGCGAATGTGGTGTTGAAGCGTCGTTGGCGCCGAGATTGTTGGAGACACTGTTGGCAGACCCATGGCGACTGCTTTGTGCGAGCGAGGCGCTTGAGCATATTGGGTTGCACGGGTGAAGGGTCCTGGCAGACAGAAGACGAGACGAACGATGTCATAGCTAAGCCGAGGACGGGCGGGAATCTTGCGGCGCTCGCACGGCCGTTTCCGCGTCTTCTGAGCTCAACATCACAAGTTGGACATCACCAAACCCGACCCATTGCGCCTGCCCCACGCTCGAAATGGCTTTCAGACCGCTGTTACGGCAGGTAAGTAGTTCTGAAAAGATGCAAGATAATGTGTTGACCCCGTATAGCGCGCCGCTGTCCCCGCCATGGCCGCCCTCTCCGCCGCAGCAATCTTCGCACCGGGAACCGTATACGCAGAGGAGCGACCTGCGGACCACTTTGTATGTTGGCATGCCGTTGAGCCCGCAGAGAAGCCGTGTCGGAGCCTCTGACTTGGTCGTGCATCGCAATACTAATGTCAAGACAGAACCGCAAACCAATCTACGATGACATGCCCATCGATACCACAGCTCCTACCGCTCCCTCCCTAGCCGAACCATCAGACTCGTCTTCGTCCTCAGAGCCCACCTACCGCCCAACACCGACCGACCGCCTCGCAGTTCAGATTGGCCGTGCGCGTATGGCTCTGTACGAGCAAACCGTGCGTGGTGAAAAGGCCGTCGATAACGCCCTTACCGAGACCCTCCGCCTCGAGCACTCCTTCACAAGCACCATCCGCTCATTAGCCCCACCAAGGGAATCTGGCGAGAAGGTTCTCCCAGGCGCACTCTACGTCCTCGTCGCCTCAATGGCAGGTTCCATCATCACGCGTAACCGGAACATCCTGCTGCGAACCTCTGTCCCCGTCGCCGTCGGCATTACCGCTGCGAACTTTGTACTGCCAATCACCACCAAGAATGTCGGAGACCTCATCTGGACCTACGAAGAGCGATACCCTGTCCTCGCAGACACGCATTTACGAATGAAGAGCAGGATTTCGCATTTTATCGAGACAGGAAAGGCACACGCACAGGGAACTGTTGGCATGGTCGAGGGCAAGCTGGCCGATACGCGAGAGAACTTGGAGGGCTGGGTCAAGAAGGGCCGGTAAATAATGCGCTATCAAAAGCTGGCACGAGTACCTGTACATTAGTAGCGGGGCATAGGTGGACTACCATCTTCACGCCATGTGATTTGCATTTTCTTTTCTTCGCCAGCTTCTTCCTCGTGCCTTCGTTTCCACCCATGAGCTCTCTTTGTCCTCTGTGTGCGTATTTGCCATGTCCACGCCATTAACCGGCCGTCGTAGAAGCATGTAACGAAAACCCCCTAGCGTTTCTCCGGGTGCATAGGTCAGTAGCAAAATTCTGATCGATTTCTAATCATCCTCGACATACAAAGCGGCCAGGACAGTACCAAAGTATAGCCATGGCACATATCGGCCGAAGTGGTTATCGTGGCAGCACCGAAAGAGCACGTCATCTGTACAAATTGAACAGTCGCCTTCAACGACCTGGCAGGACTTTTGCGACTTCTCTTTGAAGTATGGTGAAGTCGAACAGAGCAGGTCTCGCAGTATGCCCTAAGGGTGTTTCAGAGAAGGTTTTCGCTGAAATATGGTTTGGGGGTGATACAGCAAGCTATGAAGAGATGCTGCTGGGGCAGTCACTTCCCAGCCCATGCGACTTCCCCGTTCGAGAATGGAAAAAGCCATGTATGCCTTCGTTTAGCAAGGCAAGCGCAACGACCCAAAAGAACTCTCGCACAACAGTCGCTTCTGCATTCCTAACTACATCATATATTTACCTCGTGTGCACTAGCCTCTCTGCAATTGCCTCTTAGTGGCGATATGCGAAAAAGCATGGAAGAGCCATCAAGAAGTGCATTATCCATGAGGGCTGAACTTACGACTCTACCAGTCACTCTCAGCTAAAAGATGTAAGCCATCATCATTTACGTCCAATAAGAAGCTGCCAAGACGTCCACCAAGTGCACCGCTCGCAAAACTTTACCAAAGACTACATCTTTGGCGTGTCTGGCCAAGATGCGCACGCGTACTAGCTCGGCGTTTGAATGTTCGAGATCCAGTCGACACAACAAGAGATAAGAAGAATCGTTCGATGTTTCTAGGCAGAGTGTTTCAGATGCCTGCAACAGCTGATAGACGTCGCCCCGAGAACTACACGCCGTAGTGACCAATAGCATCTGCATCAAGTCGGTTATCTCGCCAGTTTTCAGGCTTAGCTCAAATACACCACCATGGCTTGTAAGCGAAACATTGAGCCCAGGTCACGAATGACAATAGGAGTAATGGCCACATTACACATAGACCCAGGATTCTTGGGAGAAAGTGGCAGAAAACCAATACTCCACCAAAGTCTCCTTGCAGTAGGTGGATAGCACGACCCACTGTTGAGAAACTGGGGCCTGCAGGTACGTCGCTAGCATACTGGCAAAGGCTAAAATGGGATTTGCAAGATTTACGGATGTCTTACAGATATTCGAGCGATCCAAGTCGCAGTGGCAGCTAAACCCGCCAGTTTGGGCAGAATGACAGGATTTGACACCAACTTCCCCCAGATCCGATACATCGGTTGATGCGCCCAGCGGAATCCTTCGACTGAAAGCCCACACGGCCAAGGCGCCGAAAGCGCCGAGCTACAGGTGGCTTGCATAGATGACGATAGCTACAGTAGAGACAACAACAGGAGCCACTTGGGATCTCGAAAGTCACCGGTCAGAAGCCCCTTTAGAAAGTTCTTTGTGCATGCTAAAGAAATGTGCTCCCAGCCCACACCAAGGCAGGGCAGACCAGGCTCCTATCGCAGAGTTGGGTTGAATCGAGAGCCACTCAACCGTGTTAGTGCAGGAATACGAATGTAGAAGATGAACAATGGTAACCTCGAGACATTGACAGGCGTATCGAGGGTGTGCAACCGATGGGTCGGTGAGTGTCACCCAATCTCTCGGAAGGGCCGACGCATGTCCAAAGCCACTCACATGGTACTGGTAACATGAGGCGTAAAGCTGTAGCTGTCATTCGACATGTGGGCGGTGGCTGTGGGTCTCTTGAACAGCTGGCAACAGACAAGCGGTCGAGGTTGGAAAGACTGCGGGGTTCGCTAGCCCACGCCTAGCGCTCCCGTCGGCGTTTTCGCAATCGGCGTGACGGACCCCCAAGGCCAGGGTCTTGGGAACGACATCAGCCATTCCGCTGGGTTTCGCCTCCTCCTCGACACGACTCGGGGCGTGTCTTATAGCGCATCGTAGCGTACCAGCTACACAACATGACCACCTCTACATCGGACCCTGTGCCCAGCGACAGGCTGCGGCCGCTGTCCAGTGCCACCAATCTCACCGACTTCACACAGTCGACTGTCGAGCCCGAGGTATGCCGCACACCCTCCCCACCACATGCCCAATGAGCCCACCAAGCTAACAGAAACATGTAGGAGGAGCTGCCCTCAGATGGAGAATATGACGACCTGTACCTTACTCCACTCTCCCTCATACACTCCGCGCGCTCACACGTCTTAGCGAAGTACAAAGCCTCTCGCCGAGCATGTACGAGAATGAAAAGAAGTACGGTCGGACCTACCATAGCTTTCACGCCGGAGGTAAGCATTGGTTTGGGCAACTTTGCGCACAACTGCAGCTAATTCACCCTAGCCTACCCATTCCCCAACGACCAGGTACGCGCTGCTTGGGAACACTTCTTTGATCAATCGGCCCGTCGCTGACTCGCATATCTACAGCCAGAGATATACCGCTTGGACTGGCAGCATGCCATTATAAAATGTCTTCTGCATAGAAGGAACTACTTCGCCCCGCTCAAGTCAAAGAAGCCAAAGAGAATGCTGGATATTGGCTGTGGAACCGGAATATGGTGCTTTGAAATGGGTACGTGCCATGTCTGCTTTTCCCCGGAGAACCACCACTGACAACTAGTAGCTGCCGAATTTCCAAAGTGTCGGGTATGCGATTCAATCCTTTCTCCACTACCAGTCTAACCGAACAGCAGGTTGAAGGCATTGACTTGACCCCGATCCAACGAAAAATATCCTATTCAAATATCGACTTCTATTTGGAAGACATCCTCAGTCCATCATGGTGGAGACCCAAAGAACCTGAATCCTACATGTACGATTACATCCACACACGCATGTCCCTCGGCATCTTCAACGACTTTCGAGAAATTATACAAAAGAGTTACAACAACCTGAGGCCCGGCGGGTGGATGGAATCACAGGAAATGTACTCAAAACTCCAGTGTGCCGACGACATGCCCGCCAACTACCCACTCAAAGAGTGGTCAGAACTATCAGACAAGGCAGCACACAACCTTGGTCGGCCATTACGCATTGCAGACAAGCTGAAAAGGTGGTACAAAGAAGCTGGTTTCGTGGATGTACACGAGGAGGTTTTTGCTATACCCGTCAATCAGTGGCCAAAGAGTGACCGCGAGAAAATGCTTGGCAAGTATTGTAGCTGGAACCTGATGTTAGGCTTGCAGGGATGGTCACTTGAATACTTTGTCGAAGGGCTGGGCTATACACCAGCCGAGGTCGAGGTCTACCTCGCGCATGTGAGGAACTCAGTTGTCGACGAGAGCGTACATGCCTTTTACAACTTGTAAGCCGTCCATGCGATGAGACGAAACGCATCCTAACGTTGAGTAGCTACGTAGTATGGGGTCGCAAACCCTACGACGACGAACCCGGTAGTACCACACCGAAACCGCACCACTGGCCGCAGCCTCCTGACGACGACGACAACGACGATGAATCCGTCCGTTGGTCAACACGAAATTCCGAAGATGCGTAATTCTATTTAGACCAATCGTTGAACAGGGATGTATGCCAAGACGTTGTAGATGAGGTTCAACCTCAAACGCTCAAGCGATGACAAAAGATATTAATCAGCGGCAGAGGATTGACGGAGTCAATCAAGATGGGATTTGGAGTTTTGGGCTATTGGATTCATGGGAGCCAAGGCGTCTTTGCTCCCGCACATTGAGGAGGTAATTTGCTATTTTTCTTTTCTATTTTTTTTTCCGCATATCATTACGGTGGATTGTGTCAAACGAAAAGCTTTTGGCATGTATTGGTCGAAGCGTTGGTTCACAGGTCAGACTGCCCTTTACGATGTATGAGATCGGTATTTGTTGGATGCAAGGCGCATCGTGTCAGTTACATGCAGTCGTTAATCATCTCAGAGGTGTCATACTCTAAGTATATATATCTATTGACTATGGGAAGTCGTGTACCTCATTGCCTTCCATACTCTCGGTCCAATGCCAATACTGGGTGTTCATCAACAGACGCAATCCCTCCCGTGCCAAAGCACTTCTGTGCTACTCTCCCCTCCCAACCGCGTAATCAACTTCACTATGATGCTCAGTATGATGAAGCTCATACGGAAACCCTCACAGCTTCTCACAATATTCCTTGGCACTATAAGAGAGGGCGACATTCCGCTTTCTCGCAGGAGGTTCACCAAGAAGTGCGTGGGTGAGATCAACATGGAAACTTCTTGCAGATGCCTTCACATTGCTCAACGATAATGGGAACAAAACACAAAAGAGCATGATCATTATATATCAAAGGGCTGTCTCAGGAGGGCGCGTCGTTCGAAACAGGAACGGGCGTCGGTCAGCAGATGCTGGGAGGAGGAGAGTACCTTATTATTTGCTTTTCTGTTTCTTTTTTCTTGCTTTCGTTAAGAGGTCAAGGTGGAATTGGTATGTGAGAGCTGGTGACGTATGCCTTTTTCGTAATACAATGACCCTGTTCTCAACTACAAGGCAAAAGAAGACGATAGAAGACACATGGGAACAAAGCTAAATGAAGATAGATGCAAATGATTCAAACTTTCATGTGACTTTTCTACTTTTACCGTTTAATATGTCTTTCCTTAGTGGTATTGCCGCATACCCGTTTAACACATGCGATGATGGTCTCGCACTCCTTTCAGTCAACTTTCTCCACAGCTCGCCTATGCTTGCCCTGTTTGCAGGTAGCATGCTGTATTGTAAACTATACAGATTGCGGCGGTGAATAGGTGGGACAAATTGTCCAGACACCAGACATAGCAAGACACTAGGCGAGAAGTAATGCTTGCGTATGCGATCGCCGAGGTCGAAGTAAGGTTGAAACATTGCGCGGAGCGATAATGGGATTGACTGTATGCTGTTAGTTCCTGTCCGGCGTAGGTTCGAGCAAATCGACTTACTTTTAGCAGCACATAGGCAGTGGGTGGTGAGTTTGCCGAGCCCGTCACATTAAGACTGGTATCGATAGTGTTTTGTAGCTCGAAACATATTCCTCCAGGCAGTCGTCCGGGATCCTTGAGCCGTAGCATCACCGCGAAGAGCGGGAAGTGGTTGAGACATGCCAGGCCCATCTCCAACGCGGCCTTCAGGCCAATGACTGCAATACGTGCACTCGCGAATGTCAAGTAAAAGACGAACACGGTCGGCAGTAGGAAAAACTGCAGTGTGAAAAGAATCGTCCCAAGCAACAGCTGATCCAAGTCGTAGTCGCATGAGTCAATTCGGTTGCGAAGAATATTGCGCTTCTTCCCCCGGAAAAGATGGAAGAGCGATATGATGATCGTGAGCTGCCAATGAAAGATGCGAGCAGATGCGACATAGAACGAGTAGATATGCAGTGTCAGTAGTGAGACGAGATCTGAGAAGATTGAGATGGGCATAGTGGCGCCAGCAAAAGCTGAGAAGCCAATGATCTGGATGAGCGCAGGTAGATGTGGTCGCAAGAGTGATATGCAGCCTGCAAAGTCTAGTCAGCAACAACTCGTGCATGTTGGCATGAGGGACATACCGGCCCAGTAGTCGATGACCCAGAGAAACAGGTCACCAAGGAACGCAGCCAGCTCGGTGTTCAACTTTAAGCCTCCCGGCCACCCCATAAGCCATGATATCATGCGCCGTAGACCATCGACCGACCAGGTGCTGAAGATGGTGTCGACTTGAGCCGCTACGACGGAAGCGTTTTCGATGATAAATGTCCCGACAGCGATGCCCATGATGACATCATTCGCGACCAACCAAAGGCTATTGTAGAATCTGATGTACTCTGGGTGACTATTGGTGATACTCTCCCAGTTGACTTTCCTCCTGCGTAAGGTGAGATACTGGATGGGCCAGTAGCAGGACTGTTGCAATCTGATATCGATCTGCTGTGCTGTCGCAGAGATGTCTTTCAAAGCTGGCGAATCAGAAGATCCTGGCCGCCAATGTAGAACCTGAAGAACTGCTTCGCCCATTATACGATGCGTAATCAGTCCGAAAATGAAGAGTTGCGCAGCTATGGGCCATATCCAGACTCTGAATGCATAATGGAGTACAAGCCAAATGTAGTCCCAAAGATTGTTCGCCGATTCGACTACGCGCTCGCTGACACTTAGAGCTCGCTTCATGCGTCTGCCAATCATACCAATATTCTTCTGCAGCAGGGCGTTCAGTTCGTGCGAACAATTAACCTGCTCGATAATCATGGGCAACGCCAGCTCTTTTTGTGTGGGAAGATGTGCAATCACTCTGTGTAGCTTCAGCTTTTCGACAAGGTGTGCCTTCCTCTTACGTTCCCTCTCTTCTGCTCGTTCTAGCTCTTCAAAAGCCACGTCCCATTCTGCGACTCTTGTTTTGTCCCCCAAAGCGAGCGTGATGGGCTTGAGGGAGAGGTACTGCATGCGCGTTGGGTGCGGTCGGTCGTATACGATGACTTGCATGGTCATAAGCGCATCGTCAGGGTAATGAAGGCGCGGGAAGCGGAGCGAGGGATCGGTATGAACTGTGAGAAGGTCGGTGCCAGACTGGTCGGCTGGCTTCTTAGGGTTGACGCAACCCAATGCGCGCACAGAGGAGTGTCCGCATCGTTGCAGTAGTTCTTGGATATCGTGCGGGCTGTGTCGCAGCAAGGTTCCTACAAGCAGTGCATTCTCGACCTGGCGCAATTCCACGTCTTGTAGCACAGCGACGACAAAGACATCCGATTCCGAGTTTCTGAATCCCACCAGAACACCGGGCGCAGAGTCCTTGGGAGCGTCTGATGGCCAAAATACGCGCATCAACCCATTGTGTGTGACCATGTCCTCATCCTGCTACCCCGCTAGAAGGAACCGCGACGTTTGAGTTGCTCGCGCGCAGAGATGCCGGTGCCTGCAAGTCGCGGGTGCTGTTTGATCCAGTCAGCGGGGGCCCTACAAGCCTAAGAATGGCTCATACTGACCAGGTCCGTCTCCTGTGTTGCGATGCGCACAATTGGTAGTATGAATAGGAAGAACAGTAGAGAGAGCAGAGCGAAGCCCTTTGCAGTCCTTGTCACCACTCCGTGATCCCAGGCAAATATTGCTAGCTCGTAGACGCGCGTTACAAGATCCCAACGCGCAGTCGAGTATCCCGCGACGAAGATTCCGATGGTAAGAATGGAGAAAGCGTGCATCTACACCGTCATGCCAAGCTATATTTCGGCGCGGTCTAGGGGGGACAGCGTGCTCTGAACTAGCAGCCAGGTATCTATGCCCGGATGTCTTCGATCAGTCTTGGCTTGGAGTCTGCGAATGGACAGTAATATAGAGTAGTGCGCTTGGGTGTACATGGCGCAAGGTGCATTACCCAGCGCTGCGTCGACATACGATGATCGCGTACGTGGAAGGTCCGAATGTTCGGAACATGGCGCTAGTGCTGGATACAGTTTAGCCCATACCGCTCCTTCTTCGACAACGTTGAACGATCATCCAGAGGCAAGCTTCAACACCAACAAAGCACAAGAAAAGTCACATTTTCTGACAAGTGAACGCAATATAGAAACTTTCGCACTACAGTAGGTACTACATTTTTTTTCGCTCGTTTCCTTTACTGTCCTTTCATATCGTCTACATTGACCGATTAGCGCGAGTGACAGGCTAGCATTCAACATGCATCAGTCGAAATGGGCGGAGACGGGCAGAGGGCCGGGAGCGCCGAGACGAGACTTCAACGGGCAGAGGTAACGTACTAGTAATGCGATTTGTACAGCACAATTCACTGCTGTCTAAAGCGCACACGATCAGGCGCTTTGTTCGCGTTGATTGTTAGCGCGTCGCGTCCGTTCGCCTGAAGTTTCCGTTCACTCCAGTCGCGACCTCCATTCAGGCACTCTGCCCTCTTTCAATCAACCTCTCCAACGCAGACAACTCTCTTGGCCTTACTAATACTTCTAGTCAACTCGGATTCACAACTCCCAATCCCGGACAAGGAGACCAGAACGGTTATCTAGGCAACATGACTGTCTGCAGCTTCTATCCGCGGAACGCATGCAAGTTCGGAGGTAAGCGATCAGAGGTGTTTCACCGGCACCATTTTGACGCGGAACAGATGCCTGCAAATTCGAGCACCCTGGAAGTGCGCGAGATGCAGCCCGAGGCGGAGGCGGCTTTGGCGGAGGCTCCAACAACAACCGCTTTAGTGCTTTCAATGGCGACCGCTACCGTCCGAGTGACAACAGCGGAACTACCTCATTTGGAGGCAGCCGCGACTCAAAAGCGTCGAATTTCAACTTAGACAAAGACGCCATCCAAGCTGATCTTAGTAAGGAGCGTCCAACCTACCCGCTTTCATGTTACGGCCCAGGGAAAGATGCTCCGCGTCAGCTTATTGAAGGGCCTGTCGAGATCAGTCCCGAGGAGCTTCGCTTCCGGTACTATACGCTACGAGCGGCCGGCAACGAACCCACAGCAGTAAGTACGGAATCTGACTCTGGTTTCCTCAAGACTAATAGGATGCAGCAACAAGAAGAGGGTGCGCTCAACGAAAAGATGCAACAGCAGGTAAAAGCAATCTTGGATGACGTTACAGGGGCTATCAACTATGTCCAGGCAGGTGCCGACGTTCATCCGAATCGCATAGATATTGCCAAGGGCACTGCTTCAGCAAGCGGATCGATGAGCAACACGACTGGATCGTCTAACACTGCAGCAAACCCTTTCATGAAAGCACCGTCCAACCCATTCCAGGCGGCGGCAGCGTCCTCACAGCCTTCTGCATTTGGACAGGCATCAACACCAGGATTTGGGAAGCCTGCCTTCGGTCAACCTTCCAACCCAGCACAAACTACCTCCGCATTTGGGCAGCCATCAAATCCGGGTCAGACTACTTCAGCATTCGGTCAGCCCTCAAATCCGGGTCAAACTACCTCAGCCTTCGGGCAGGCGTCGAATCCGGGTCAGACTACTTCGGCCTTTGGACAGGCATCAAATCCAGGCCAGACTACTTCAGCGTTTGGGCAGGCATCAAACCCAGGTCAGTCAGCTTCGCCCTTCGGGCAGGCTTCTGCTTTGGGTCAGAAACCATCACCCTTTGGCCAGCCTTCAGCGCTGGGTGGTGCTGGTAGTGCATTTGGAAAGCCTGCATTTGGAGCCTCCGGTTTTGGTCAGCCGTCGATGCCTGGCGCAGGGAGCGCGTTCGGACAGACCAGCAATATCGGCCAAGGCTCGGCCTTTGGCCAGCCTTCGGCACCACGTGCGGCGTCTGGATTTGGACAGGCGAACGCTCTAGGACAAAAGCCAAACCCATTCAGTAAACCAGGATTCGGTCAAAGTGGGTTTGGTCAAACGTCTCAGCCAGGCGCCAATGCCTCCCCTTTCGCCCAACAAGCATCGTCTGGGGCGTCGCCGTTTGGACAGCAAGCATCGTCAGGTCCATCTCCTTTCGGCCAACAAGCGCAGCAGACAAGTCAATCTTCGCCATTCGGTCAACCAGCTCAGCAAACAGCCCAGCCTTCACCGTTTGGTCAACAAGGCCAACAAGCACAAAAGCCAAATTCATTTGGTCAGCCTCAGCAAGCAACCACACAAGCACCTGCACAAGCAAACCCCTTCGGTGGTGCCGCATCATCCCAAACCCCAGCGTTCGGCCAGGCAAGCAAGCCCTCACCTTTCGTCACCCAACAGCCGCAAAACAACGCGACGCAGCCAGCAGCTGCTAATCCCTTCCTTAAGCCCCAGACATCCGCCGCTCCAGCAACTTCCACATCCTCTCCCTTTGCCACTCAAGCCCAGAATCAATCTAGCAACGTCCCCACTCCTGCTCAAGCTACCTCTCAGCTACCTTCGATCGCGCAGCCTACCTCGGCAGCACGTCCCCATGTCGAAGGTGTCACACCAGATGGCAAGCCCATTGACCCGAAGGATCGTTACAAGGAGGGTAAACCGGAGGAGTATGACGGTGAGCAGGGTAGGATTCTAGAGGAGATCTACAAGCGCGTGTCGCAACTAGGACGGTTCAATGACGATGAAGATATTCCAGTCACGCCTCCAAAGTGTGAATGGATCGCGCCACTTACTCTGTTGTAAGGACAACGACATAGGTTAGATATTCGGGAACATTTGGCGTCAGGTGTCACGGTAGGCGTTGGGTCTGGTTTGGGTAGGGAAGTTGCTCACGGAAATATGTACAGATGATAGATATAACGCGTTTTCCAAAAAAGAACAGAAGTAGTTTGTGGAATATGTCTTCTAGTATCTCGTAACCAGTTGCTTGTCTTGTAGCAGTGACAATAGCTATCCTAACACTTAGACAACCCCGAATCCTAACAAGCTCATTCCTCGTCAAGATACAGTATCTCACAACCTCCTCACAGCAAGACTCAACCTCGTAACTATCTCTTCTCCACTGCTCCTCCAGCCACCGATCATACGTGTTCTCCAAATTCTTCAACTTCATACTCTGGCCCTCCTCCAAATCAACGACCACCACCTTCTCACCACTGCAAGGCCATCTATGTTCCACCGATGTTCCGTGCCAGTTCTTCATGTCACCGTCTTTACAGAGAACTACGTGTATTTCCGTCGCATTGCTGAAGGTATCAATTTTGTTGGACTCAGTTCTGTACCAATACTCGCAAGTGTTACCGCGCGTGAATCGGAGTCGGTTGATCGTGTGGACGACAGGCTTGAAGACACTTGGCTCCGTCTCTCCGATGTCGACCATGTCAATGTCCAGGTTTCAACCAGAACTAGCGCCGTTTGTAGTCCTCAGGAGAGCTTTCATCCATCGTCTTGGTGTACTTTCACCGGCATTGGCGTCATTGAGAATCCTTGTAGAAAGCTTGTATATTCCTCGCATGAATCTCTCTGTTTCTTCTTCTTTGGCTTCTTCTTTGGTTCAGGTAGCTCAGAGAAGGCACGTTGGTACAACCCAGCATTTCGAGCCTCTCGGCACGTTTGTAGTGGTCCCGGTATTGGCCTTGAGGGAAATAAGAAACGATCGTAACGGCAATATGGAATGTTGAAAATGCGAGGCTTGACGGTCATTTCCCATATCTAGAGACGGAGCTCCGCAGGAAGTTTGGAAAATAAGTGGAATGTTGCCATTTTGTAATGTAGGTTACAGAGGTTGCAGGTGATATTCGAGTTTTTTGAGACATGAAAAGGTCCAAAAAAAAAAGAGTGTTCAACAATGATTGATCTGCATACAACAACATGTATGCATAATCTGGCGTTGATGCACTTGTAGATGAGTACGGCGTGGCGCAGTCATAACTGAGTCACCATCGCAACCTCGGCTAAGCATGACCACGATCATGTGCAACAGCAAGAGTAGCTATGCTACAGTAAAACGGTCATGCTGAAAATGCAGTTAAGGTACAAATGTGGAGTTCTGGCGTTGTAATGCAATGCCCGTTTGTCGTGATATAATCATTAATGCCCAGAACATCAGCATGAGCAACTTGAAATGTGTATGGTATAAGGTAGATACTCGATAGACACCCGCTTCCGTAATGACCGAGCCGAGACCAATCTCGTAATGTACATGTGCGTCCCATCCCACTGGCCCATCGTGCGGCACTGCCTGCCCCGCCCGTGCATATCCTCCTCAGCATTTTCCTCGGATTCTGCCGTATATTTTTCGTTCTATAGATGGGTGGTAGCTCCTTTATCGCTTCTTCGCGTCGACCTTGTCCTCGAGGGTGCGGACATAGCCTTCTATCCGTTGGACCGCGGATTGGAGAGCCTGCTCTCGTTAGCCATGGCCCACTTCACCCGAGTAACCCTGATGTATCGTTCTCCTTTCCAAATTATGCCGGAGAATGTAGATGTGAGTGACGTACGTAGATGTCTTCGGTCAAGAGCTGGTTGGAGACGCGGTATTCGTCAATGACATAGTAGTACATGCCCGCGCCGGATGTCGTCGCACCGACAAGGAAACCGAACAGTCTATCGTGTGTTAGCCACCCCCTTCTGTTCTTGTTGTCATCCAAACGTCCGCCTCTTCGCCTTCGGGCTTGCCTTGCGGCAGTGTGACAAGCTTCCAATCATAGTTGTAGAGCCATCCCACCTATTGCAACATTTGCAAGCGTAACTGCACAGCGAGTACTCACCCTCCCCTAAAAGCACCAACGGGCTTCCTGGCCGGCGCAACAACAGCATCCTGCCTCAGTACTGCGCTTGTCTGGAATCCACGGGAAGCAACCGTAGGCGATCGAACTCCGGCGCGAGCCGCCGCCCTCAAGAATTGAGTTGCCATTGTGTCTTTTGCTATCTTCTAGTTCGCTCGTATCGTGATTCGAACTTGGGTCTCGGTCTGTGAATGCGTGGATGGATCGTGGTGGTGATGGAGCTCGTGTGCCGGCCGTGACGTTTGTGAGCTACTCTCCGCACTACAAACAAGCAAGCTCGACTCGCCTGACCCGGACCCTTGCCTGACCAGTGCTTATGTCAGCCACACCACCTGTCCTAATACTTATTAGGTGGACTATGGATCCTCGTGGCGACTCATTGATGGCACTTTAATATACGATAGGATGCTAATAAAGAGTGAGAACTAATGGGGGTTCTGATAAGGGTTGTAAAAAGAAGTTTTCTGTACATTTGCCCCTCACGTTGTCGCCGGATTAACAATCATTATCGCCGCCAGATTTCATTTTGAAAGACACTCTTTGGTTCACGGGATGGTTTCCAGGCTTTCTTCAGAGACATCCGACACATCAAACACGTGCGTACGTGGAAAGGAAGTGGGAATGGACTCTAACACCTCCATAGCCTATGCCATGACGTGCAAACCGATTAAAAAAAGTCGGGCTGAGAGTAACCATTAAATTGTATCGCAATACGCGTAAGGGGTATTGAATAATATATATACTAAGGAAACGAAGGTTTAGCAGCAGGCAGAGTCCTCGTGCAGTCCGTCAACCTAAGCAGGTCTCTCGTCTCTACACCCAACAAACTCATCCTGATGTACGCCTTCGCATAGTCCAGGTTCCAGTGAACTTGGTTACCAACGTATGCCTTCCACTCATCGTTGATCTTAGGATGTTTCGAAAGCACTTTGTCACTCGGAAGCACGAAGACCTTTTGGTCTTTGGAGCCACCCGCGGGGTTGTTGAGCGTGTCATTATAGAACTCGACGTCCCAGACACCTGGGGTTGTATCAAGGGGTTTGTCGACAACTTCCGGGTTGGTGTCGACGAAACGCTGTTTGGCTGTTGCGTGGGCGCCTACGAGCGCTGCGAGATCGTGTGGTGAGAAGCCTTTTTGCTTGAAGAGATCGATCAGCTTGTCGGCGTCATCCCGAACATCTGGTAGGAGACCGGTGGGTGCGGCCTTGGTAGCATCCTTACGGCCAACGAAGGTAAGTACGCGGGGACCCTTCGGACACGAGATGGTGGCGTGGTTATGCGCATATTGGACTAGATCAGCGTATCCGACCTTGTACTTGGCTTGTACGCCGCGAAGTACGCCGCGAATGTTTTCAAGGCCCCTGTTCTCTGGCCGTTTTTCTTCGCCAAAGTCCATCAGTAGGGATCCATCAGCGCCACCATTAGGAGAATTCTTGTCCCAAGACCCAGCATCGTGGAAGCCCATACGGACTGCGGCACGAGCGTTATCGTTGCATAGTTTGTCATTTCCGACGAATAGCTTGGTGAGTTCGGCGGAGACATCGTACCCTATACACTATTAGTACTTCCATGTATTCAAGAGATGTTTGTCATAACTCACAAACGCAGCATTTGTCAACGCTGAACAATGAACATGTCGCCGGCTTGTTTGTCTTGGTGTTGTCAATGGGGGACTTTTTGCCAGACAGAACATCAGCGATGAGCTGTTGGATGCCAGTGAGAACGGGATTCCCGGCAAGCATGCTATCGATGAGGCCCGGTGCAGCCTCACGCTGTTCCAAGGGAGTTGATGATGCTATGGAGCACAAAGCGAGCAGAGGCAAAGCCAGAGATTTACTTGGGACCATGATGAAAGCGGTAATATGTAACGAATGACAAGAGTATGAACAATTACTAAGAGAGACAACGAGAGATGAACAACTATGAGCTGGTAAGGAAAGAATAGATAGGGTGTTTGGAACGTCTTTATATCCCGCAACGGTCTACTACAGCGATCGTGTACGAACCCTAATGGCTTCAGCCTTGTCGATCACGTCTAGCACAGCAGCAAGACGCAACGGAGTCGAGGCCACGGCAAGCCACGTCGACTAGAAAGATACAGCTCGGTCCTCGAAATAGTAATCTACCCCTGCAGCTTCGAGCCAAGCCAGCCGCTTCAAGGCGATGGGCTTGAGGGAACATAGCCAAACAGCTACCAGCTGATGGTCATGACTACGATGTGCAGGGCCGAGCCTAGACTAATGACCCTTTGGAGACAAGTAGATTTCCACTCCTCGTGAGAAGTGATGGCGGTCCAACAGTCGCCACGAAGTCCAGAAAGAAATTGCCAAGCCTGCGAAGGGGGCGCATTGGAAAACGGTCTAGCTTTTGCAGATACCGACCCTCACTCAACGAGTATGAGTCGAAGTATTCGCCGTCCGACAAGCAAGTACAGGCCATAGCGAGAGGATCGAAAGTCCACCATCACCGCATACTGCGCAGGTGCCACGAATGCGAGACTGAGGAAGCGCTCCTTGCCAAGAAGCAGGATGCTGCTTTGCCATTTTCCGTTACCGCTAGCTTCGGTATTCGTTGTCCAGAATTCTACGAAGCAGCGATCGTGTCGCATCTTCTCGTGAACGTGCATGGTGGCTTGCCCAGATCTCACTGGACTGGGTTACAGCTCGCGTGTTCGCTTGGCATGTCAAGACTCAATACTCTCCGCATGAAGACCCCCGATCTAAGCCCACGATCCGCTAAAAGCAAATACGCCACTTGCCTTGTGGTCCTATATACTGGAGTTCGTGCAACGACTAAGCGGTCCGTTGGTGTTGTAGCTAGTGGAGCTAATGCCATCAGCTGAGACTGACTTCACGTAACGTATGTCGTGGTCCCGAAAAGCAACGTGGTTATGGGCTGTCTTTCGATGTTGCTTCAAGCAAGCGACATGGGAGTCGTTGACGTTTACACCCAAGGATCGAGTGATGATAGCGACAGAGGAGATTCTGCTGAGCTTTCAATCGCTTAACGGTACGTGGACGGGCTGAACAGAGAGATCGACCGCACTAGTCTGGTCGTGCAGCCGCCGCCGTAGAGAGGCTGAGTTACCATGAGAGACTTTCAACTCTGTTCGACAGCATCGAAACAGTTTTTCAGACAGCTCACTGCTTCGCAAACTCTACCGATTCAGCAAAGGGGGCTTGGTTATGTGGTTGATCTTGGCACCCACAAGTCTTAGCGCCAGCTCGTGTTTCCAATACTATTCGCGATATCGATGTTGAGAGTGATGTAGACCAGAAGCCGCCTCAACGTGTATGTACAAAGTGTAAAAAGCGAGGGTCTTGAAGGTCCATGTGCTAACTGCGTGAATGTTCGCTTTACTGCAGGTACCACTACAGGTACCAACGGGCTAGACGGTAACAAGAAAATATGCTAATGGTTTGTCGGCGCAGCCTGGCACTATAGCTCGGTACCAAAGTGCAGGCGTCGGGCGAGATCCCGGTATTGGTCGCAAAAGCCACAATCAAACCAAATAGTCCTGGGTAGACTGGTAGCATTGGAGGTCTTCAGATGAGGGAAGGGAGATTGTTGAACTTTGCGTACCTAAGTATCGTTTCCATCGCCTTCCTCGCGCGCAAAAGCATGAGCCTCGACAAGCTGCTTACTTGTTTGTTTCGTGCTTGACCCTAGCTCTGGATTCAACAAGGCCATACCAGCATGGGATTCAACAGGTACGAAAACCACATCGAACGTCGCATCAGGGGGTATCGCATTGCTGGAGTAGGGGATGAAGCACCAGCTGCGGGCGCCTTGAGATGGCGGCTTTAGCGGGATTAATAGTCTTGGCATGCGGCATACGGAGGTGCCGATAAGCGGAGGCCTGGAGGCGTCTCGCCCTTTCTGATCTTTATGCGTCAACACCGTGGACATCTCAGCGCTTACCATCTCAGTGTCCAAAACAACAATCAGTGACACTTACTGGCACTTTCCTTCCGCGATTTCGCCACTCCTGCTTTGAATCCGCGACCATTATCACGTCATGCACACAGATGTCGCGCCCGGAATCCTCTGGCAACAGCCCACCAAAGCGTCGACGTACGGTTGAAGGATCGTGCTGGCCTTGCAAGCAAAGACGAGTCAAATGCGATCTTCAAAAACCCAGGTGCCGCCGATGCCTCATTTCCAAAACAGAGGATTGCTGCTACGACAAATTACTACTGAGATGGAAGAAGCGGCCTGCCAAAACGGTGCCCGAGTGTCCACCACAGCTATCCATAGAGCGTTCTCTCAATAGCAACCATCTGGCAACCAACGAGCGAAAAGCTCTAGAATACTTCAAAGCACGGTTATGGCCACTTTTCTCAACTCTCCACGAACCAGTTCCGCCACCAGTCGCGCTCGCCATGCGCTCTCAACCAGTTCTCCAGGCCCTATGTGTGTTCGCCGATGAACACCGAGCCCTGCAAGAGCGAGGATCTTCGAAACAGACTCTGGAAAGAAGACGCATCCATTGCTTATCAACTATTCGCGGCCAACTGAGTAGCGAGCATTCGGAGAGCGCCTCGCTCTCTGCACTTCTAGTCGCAGTGCTGCTGTTGTACTTTCTAGAGGGTTACGTAAATTGCATGTCGGATGATGCTTCGACCCGCTGTCACCTTGCGGGAGCAATTGCAATCATCAACGCAATGGGTGGCTTTCAATCAGCGTGGTCATCGTCGGACAGAATCACCAGAATGTTACTCTCGGAACTAGCATCTACTGATTTGACCGATGCCCTGCTTCAAGACAGAAAACCCTCATTCCCACCCACTATTTGGGAGCACATGGAGTCGGGATCAGTATGGTGGGAGTCTGTTCCCGGTACTAAATCGCTTGGATCTGTCTTAGCCACCTTGTCTGAGATGAGCCTTTACCGCCATGAGCTTCAAAATGGGATTGAAGTTTGTGTCGAAAAAGCGCAAGCATTTGAGCGCGCCCTACAACCTACATACTCCGTACTAACCTCTCCCAATGGAGACGTAGGGCAAGATCTCTTCCATCCTGTCGCAACAGCATCACTATCCCTCGTCCGTTGTTTTCAGCACGCAGGTCTGATGTACCTTTACAGCGCCATCCACAACATTCCAGCCAAACACTTTCTCCTCCAACAACATGTTCACGCCTGCCTAGAGTGCATACACGGCATGGATACAAGATCTAGAGCGCAGAACTGCACTCTTTTCCCACTCTATGTAGCTGGCGCACATTCACTTTTGGAAGCACATCGGAACTGTGTCATGAAAACGCTTGAGAACATTCACAACAACCTGCAATTCGAGTCTGTTTTGTCTGTTCGGGAGACTTTGGAGGCACTGTGGGAGCCTTCTCGTAGCCCTACTACGTGGAGCGGAAGTTTTAAGAATAGTGCCATGTGTACACTGGTCATTTGAACAGAATTTTCTTGTTCTTCCTTGTTGCAGAAGACTACAACAATTCATCCCAGATGTATGCGCATTGGAACTAGACGAAAGGGCATCCAGGGAACGGCCACCTGCAATACACCGAACTAGTTGATCCTTGTATCCTAGCTTCTTGGATGGTCGGCTCCACACTCCTACTCAATGAGAGCTTCCACCTCAATTTCGATTTGCATGCCTTCGATACCAAGTTTGGTAATCTCGACACATGTCCATACTGGCCGATGATCAGGCATGACCCGTCGCCAGCCTTCGATGCACATGTCGGCAGACTCGTCGATGTTTGTGTGGTACGATCGAATAGCGTAGACGTTCTTCCAAGACAGGCTCTTTTCGGCAGACTGGAGAGCCTTCTCGATATTTTCGAGTGCTAGTTCTACCTGCTTTTGAGCATTGGGGGCTACGTTTCCTTCCGCATCCCAGCCACCCTGGCCAGATATCCGCACGATGTTTCCTACTTTGACAGCTTGCGAATAATGGAAAGCCTTCGACTTCGATTCGGTACCAGCGTAATTTCCGAATGTTGCAGGCATATCGATGATCTTGATGTCGAAGATATAATTGGATGGAACAAAAGTGGAGAAGAAGTTTGTAACGGACGTCGAGTGTGGTACAGATTTGGGTGAAGAAGTGTCCAACACAACTCTTCAATCCGCAGCTTCTTATATGCCCTTGACTGAGTTAACGAAGCACAGCCCCGATCCGCTTCGCTACGCATTGAGATGGCACGAATACCTCGGTCTCCTCACACTGCGGACAAGCCTCTGACTAGGACGGAGTTGTTCAAGCAAGAGTCCGGCAACCCGCGATTGCCCGACATTTGCCTTGCTCTGGTATAGGCGAATTCGCTGTTGTTGGATCGCTCTCCTTGGGATCTCAGGTGGAGCATCCCCACAATCTACACCTGGCGCAAGCAAATAAGTTCCCATTACCGATACGAATGATCCCGCAGGTGGCGATAAAGTTCCCCAATACGGCAGGTTTGCAGGCGTCCTTCTTGTCACGAGCTGTGGATCCGGGGTTTAGCGTGTCGGTATCTTGCAGCTTACGCTATACCAGGTCTGGCAATTACAGCGGCCAGCTCTCTCGACCCACATTTCTTGCAAACCCATCCAGGCGATCTTGCGCTAAAGATGTAGATAGGCACCAGTGGTGTCATTCGCCATTGTCAGTGTATATTCCCACAATGCTCTAGCATTTAACCTCTCTTGTCTTCTGTTTATAGTATTGTCGAGATTAGTGTGCGAATAGATCACTACCATACTACCGATATGATTTCAACTGACATTGTGTTTACGCCTCTGGGCTTTGCAGCTTTTGTGGTTCTCCTTGCGTTCTCACTGCTGTGGCGAAGACAGAACAATAAGCGCAGCACTCTTCCTCAGGCTCATAACGAAAGACAAAAAGGTGCGGTTATTTACCATCTTACTCAAATGAATGGTATTAATTTTCTCCAGTTCCATCCATACCATTTCAAACACCATTGCCTAAGCCGGCGGAAGGATACAAGTTGGAGCTTACAGACCCTAAACTCTATCGACCGTTCCGCCATGGGCCCAACTTCGTCACCATGGGCATTCGGAAGATGGACTGGGACGAGTGGATTGAGATGGATTCGAATTTCATCCCTTATCACAACGCAAAGGTTCGCGAGTTAGAGAAGGACACTGCATCTCGCGTGCAGTATGTTGATAACGAAGTCACACGACTAGCCTGCTTTGAGGTGCTGGACGAGTTGACACAATATCTTACGCATCGCTATCCAGAAGTCTTCCAACTACACGGCAACATCCTCCGTAACACAGTTACCGCTGAGGAGTTTCAATACCCAGCACCAAACCCAACGGAAGCTATGGTGACAGCAGCAAAGATTGTGCAGGACGACCTTGTTGTCATGGTATTGAACGACGATGGCCAATACCACATAGATGCCGGAGCAGTCTGCCTACCTGGCTTCTGGCGCTTGACTGAGAAATACCGCATGTCGCTCGACGAACTGCACATCGAAGCCGGGGTACCTCATTACCAGGAAAAATTGCAAAAGGCGATGAACCGCTTCTTTGCCAATATGACGTGTGAAAAGCCTATCATCCGAAACAACGTAGGTAGTAACGTATCAGCTTTATCTAGCGAACTGGCAGTGCTGATCAACCGTAGTTCTTTATTCAACTCGATGACGGTTTAGCGTGGTCCCACCGTATGGGTGATCAAAACTCGAACACAGTTGCCTCCTGGGCTACCGCCAACTCCGAAGGTCTTCGTATCGAAGACATCCACTTTCGCTCGGAACGTCAGTCACTTCGACGTCTTCCAAAGTCTAAAGCTTTGCTCTTCACTATTCGAACGTACTTTGAGCCGGTTACGACCATCGCGAAAGAGCCGCATGTGCCAGGGAGATTGGCAGAGGCGATTAGGAGTTGGGATGAGTCAGTTAGTTACTACAAGGGAAGAGAACATTGGGAAGGACTACTGCTTCCATATTTAGATGAGGAGCATAGGAAGCAGGTTGATAGTGGGGTGTTGGAAAAGCCGGAAGGTGAATTTCCGTTCTGAGTGCGGAAGTTTTTCATTGGAAACATCCTAGAAACTACATATCATTGTACAATACAAGCTTATCTTGCTACCTTAGTGGTCTGTTCTATCAGTGAGTGTGTCCTCTTTGCCCAGCGCTCAGTCAAACAGATATACGCTGCGGCCTATGGGTCTGGTCAACCACCACATTGCTAGCATAGACAACATCTTGATACCGCATCGTGCTCTATGCGTAACAAAAGGCGGCTACAGTGAGCAAGATGTTGCTGTCGAGACCGTCGGAGTACATCAAGTCAGCCTTTCAGAATCATGCTCAAATGTGTTCACAGAACAAGCAAAAAAGATCAAATCACTGAAAAGGAAAGCATGCTGAAACTAAGGGGAGTCATGACAACGTTTCGAAGTAAATAAATGGTATGGTCTTCGCTAGTATGATGAAGATGTATTGACTACCGGCACCGCTTTGTAATCGAGTGCTGCAACCTTACACCACTAAGGGTAGTCGTGAGATTACAGTCATAAGAGTCGCCAGCCAGCTGAACTATCAGATAGCGAGGTCAGTGAGACATGGTACGCCTCAGTAAGTATTGTTGACCTCATCAGGTGGACCCTTAAACTCTAAACACTGTCAGTACGATGCTTCATCACGTAGATGGATATTGGGTACTTACTTTTTCTACCAGAAACCGCATACCACAGCGCGCTCAAACACGCAAAACCAACCAGCACAACACTAGCGTAGTTCATAGAGACTTCCGTAACAGGAAGTGCAGTCGGCATACTGAACAAGACCAGCTCAAAGAGAATCCATACGATGGCACCAATGTTCGCTGTGGTGCCGAGCTGGCTACCGACGTTCCATTTTGCATGCGCTACTTCCTTTCTCCCGGTAAAGAGAGAGATGGCGATAGGAATGAGATACCCAATGGCTAGCGCAATGACGCCTACGGACGCGAAAGCAGTAAAAGCGCTGCTGGAACCGAGGTTGATCAAACCGAGCAGCATCTCGATGACTGTGACAAGCGTGAGGGAGTAAATGGGTCGGTCGGCAACGGTGCGTGTCCAGAGGCTAGCGAGGGGAAGCGCATTGTCGCGACTGAACGCCCATGTGCAGTGTGAAGCAGCGGTTGTTATTGCGATGGCGCAGAAGAGCGTAACGAATAGGATCATGATCATCAGAATCAATGCCCCCGTTTTTGAGCCCATAATGGAATATATGATGTATGGTAAAGCTTGGCCGTAAGGTGCGTTGAGGATGTCTTCGAGCGGCGGTAGCGTGAAGCACAAAGGTAGGACGAAGAGCAGCGAAGCGAGACCGCCGAAGGGTATGCAGAGGGCGATGGCGCGAGAAACTTCGACTTCGGGCTGGGCGCACTCTTCTGTCATGGATGTTACCATACCAATAGCAGAGAATGCGTAAGCTGGTGGCAGGAGTCCAATGAAAAACGTAAAGCCGGTACCCCAGCCTGAGAAACTGCTATCGTAGTTCCCAAGCGCATATGAGGGCGAATGCCGGCCTAAAGATTGTGTCCGAAGTCAGTGTTTGTCTCACATACAATTCATACAGAGTGGTAACTAACCTTGTTGTGCGCGGACCGACAGAGCGACTAATAGTGCGATGATGGTGACGAAGTTCCATACTGCGGCTACGGAGTCCACGTACGGCAGCAGTTTATCCCCAAACGAACAGACAAGGAAAACCAACACGCATAGCGCATAGAAGATGAGCAGCAGTTCCCAGTCTGACGCCACCCAACTTGGGTTGTAAATCGACACCGTCGCAGCGATGAGGGAAGCGAAACCGAAATTAACAGAAAGTGCAATCGTCCAATTTCCGATGAGCCAGAACCAGCCGGTTAGAAACGACACTATCTTGCGTGTCCTTTTGCGCTCGCCGCAGAGTCTATACGACCAGTAGTATACACCAGATGATGTCGGATATCGTGATGCCAGCTCTGCGAGCGAGATGGCAACGCAGCCATTGAAGACGAGCACAACCAACACGCCAACGAAGATGGAGAGTTGGCCACCACCGTATATGGCGCTCATCAAGGGGCCGCCGATACCATAGGGCACTGCCACAATGGCAAGGCACATCCCCAGAACAGAGATGAGTGACCGGTTCTTCGTAAGCTGCGCATTGTATCCCAAGTGAACATGCTCAACGACGCCCTCCTCGTGGGTAGTCACTGAGCCCATAGGAATTTCGAGCTTCTTCTCGCTGTTAGGCGCCGACATGATGAAAAAGGGCCAGATTTCAAAGTCAAAGGGGTAGGGAAAAATTGAATGTCGAGTGTCTGCACGAAGTGGTCGAATATAGCCGTTACGGGCAGTTCTATCTCATGCCGTACATTCCTAGCGTATCTATGCCTAACAATGTGGCGTTTGCCATGATAAGGTGTGATGATAGTCCATATCCACAGATAGGGAGTATCGTCTAAGCTGGCTCTTTACCCCGGACTATCAATATCTTGATTTCAGCTTAAGCCTGTACTGACAGCATGCCTAATGACTCGTCATAATATCGCTTCGGGATAATCGATGCTGAATGCTCAGCCATGCCTTGTTTTGGAAGGATGATAGGCCTCTGGTCGTCATCCGGGGCCCCAGGTTTCGCGTGTGAAACGTACGCACATGACTTTGGTGGGGTAAAAGCTTATCTTTTGCTCAAGCCTCAGATCCACCGATAGATCCGTCTTACCGGTCGCGACCCAGAAACGTCTCGAAACTTTGAATAAATACTATACCAGAGAAAGAAGTTTGGAGGGCAATGTCAAAGCGCGAGCTGGCGTGGTCGAGATGCCGATCGGAAGTTCGGGTGCAGGAAGTGGAGCCCTTGCATTAGTGTGGTACTATGCCGAAGATGGCAAGTTGACAGGCAAGAACGGTCACGAAACCATTGAGGCTATCTTATCACCCGAAAGGATTACTAGCTAATGCAAAGGTTGTAAATATTAGCGAGGACAATGTTAAAAAGCTGTTCAAAATACTTGAGCCCGCTGCAGCGTTTGGTAGCGGGCCCACGTGTAGGGGCCTTACATGGGCCGCCGGCAAAGCGACTTGATCGAGGTCTTGCCTGCTTTGGGAAGTGTGATGGGCATCGTTCTTTAAATCAAGATGATAGTCATCACGAGGCCGACTATGATGATATCGGGTGAACGTCTGTCTAACCTCGGTGCGGGGTTGATTTAATGGAGACGCGTTGGATAGGTGCAAGACATGAAAGGCCTCAGCTGCCCGACTTCATCCACAAGACATTTCCTATCATTGTACGCGCTGTTCGCTGTTTCTTGAACCTCCCTTCCTCTTGTCGACATATACCAACATGGCACAATCAATTGAGCTTACAGCGCCCAATGGCGTGAAGTGGACGCAACCAACTGGTAAGCGTCAGCGGGCTCAAAGTCTGAGACATGTTAGATTGACGTTTATTAGGCCTCTTCATCAACAACGAATTTGTTCCCTCGAAGTCTGGCTCAACACTAGAATCAATAAATCCATACGACGAATCTGTTATCGCAAAGGTCTCCGCCGGTAGCGAAGAGGACGTAGACGCTGCAGTCGCTGCAGCACGCGCAGCTTTCAAGTCGTCAGCATGGCGCGATTTGTCTGCCGCCGAACGCGGCCAATTACTCTGGAAGCTCGGTGACCTTTGCGAGAAGAACAGCCATATACTTGCTACTATCGATGCTTGGGACAACGGCAAGCCTTACCAGCAAGCTATGGACGAAGATGTTGCAGAGACTATCTCGGTATTCAGATATTACGCTGGGTGGGCGGATAAGGTATATGGACAGACAATTGAGACGAGCAACGCGAAGTTGGCGTATACGAAGCATGAGCCAGTTGGTGTCTGTGGACAGATCATACCGTGGAACTTTCCCGTCATGGTACGTATTCATCGCGTCTTCTGGGGTACTTCCAAAACTGATGACTGTTTAGATGGCTGCCTGGAAACTTGGCCCAGCACTGGCTTGTGGTAACACAGTTGTGCTGAAGCCGGCAGAGCAGACACCTCTTGGTGCCTTATTTCTTGCTACTCTGACCAAAGAGGCTGGTTTTCCTCCAGGTGTAGTCAACATCGTCAACGGTTACGGCAAGAGCGCTGGCTCGCGACTTTCCGAGCACCCAAATGTTGACAAGATTGCCTTCACTGGAAGCACCATTACCGGCCGAAATATCATGAAGGCTGCCGCCAATAACTTGAAGAACATTACACTGGAGACCGGCGGCAAGAGTCCTCTTCTCGTATTCGACGACTGCGACCTCGACCAGGCTGTAAAGTGGTCACACATGGGCATAATGGGTACGCTTTCTCCCCTTTCAAATGCCTACTGGCTGTATCTGGGACTAACCAAACTACCCAGGTAACATGGGTCAAGTCTGCACAGCGACATCGCGTCTTTATGTCCAAGACACCATCTACGACAAATTCCTCGAAGCTTTCAAGAAGCAGACGAAAGAGGGCACTAAGATTGGCTCACAGTTCGACACTGAGACCAATCATGGACCTCAAATCAGTAAAGCTGCCCAGGAGAAGATTCTTTCTTATCTTGATACGGCGAAGTCCGATGGCGCCGAGCTCATCTATGGCGGCAAGCAAGAAGGTATCCCGGAGAAGGGATACTTCGTTGAGCCGACTGTGTTTGCCAATTGCAACAATGATATGAAGATTGTACGAGAAGAGATCTTTGGTCCGTTTGTAGTTATCCAGAGCTTCAAGACTGAAGACGAAGCGGTCGAGAAGGCGAATGATACCGAGTTTGGATTGGGTGCGGCTGTGTTCACCAAAGATATTATGAGGGGACACCGTGTCGCTGGTGCAATCGAGGCGGGTATGGTCTGGGTAAGTCACGTCCGCGAGATTTCAGACTCGGTTTTGCGATGCAACAAGTGTTAACGATGATACAGATCAATAGTTCGCAAGACTCACATTTTGGTATCCCCTTCGGTGGCTACAAGCAGAGCGGTATCGGCAGGGAGCTCGGAGCGTACGCGTTGTCTTCCTATACTCAGGTCAAGGCTGTCCACGTCAACCTGGGTACCTTCTTATAGGCTATTTTCTGGCGTGTTCTGAATCTTACGTATACCAATTTGACATAGTGCCATGTACAACGCCTTCAAAATATGACCTCAACATGCAGATCGAAGACATCGCGAATATGAGGGCAAACAAGAGCGTCTGAGCGATAGCCTGAAATGTCGTGGATGATGACGCAGCAGCGTGTCTTAGTCGCGTCGCGTCGCTTAACGCCGTACCATGCTTATGTCCGCCACAGCAACCGCCACGCAACATTGCCTTTCAGGGACGTTCACTGCGACGCCTTACTCGATCCTTGCCCCGATAGTCCCTACCTATCTACCGGTCCTTCTCCTCAACTGACTGGCACCGTATGCGCGAAACGCTACAATGGTCCTCGGCTTCGAGCGCATAAACGAGCGCACCCAACGCCCGAACGCGCACATAAACTTCATACGCACACTGCCCGGTCCGACATCCTCCACAGCGGAGAGCATACTCAATCGTGTTGCAGCAATATGCTACCCTTTCATGAAATCTCACATGATCCTCGTTCAAGCTCTAGAAGAGTTTCCCTACAACACCGAGTTTGTTGGGCGCAACTTCAATGCTGGCGAGGTTATACAACTAGTCCTCCGGGACCGGAACGGGAGATGGTTGCCACAGAGGATGGTGGAGATGGTCATGGTGCACGAGCTCGCGCACTGCAAGCAGATGAACCATTCAAAGGCGTTCTGGAAGGTTCGAGATGGGTATGCAGTGGAATTAAGGGCACTTTGGGCAAAGGGGTATACTGGTGAAGGGCTATGGGGTAGGGGTAGAGACCTGGACACAGGCCTTTTGCAGGCGAGCGACGGCGAGGCAATGGATGTACCCGAGCATTTGTGTGGTGGCACATATGGACGTAAGGGAAATAAGAGGAAGAGAGGTGGAAAGGGAAAGCCCGTGCTAAGCTATGCAGAGAGGAAGCAACGGAGAATACTGAAGAAATTCGGATCTGGAGGACAGGCATTGGGCGCCGACGATGATACGAAAGTCAAGCTGGAGAAGGGTGTACCAAAGAAAAGCAAGCCTAGGGTCGCCAGTAGTGCGCGAGGACGTGATCTCAGAGCAGCAGCGGCATTAGCACGCTTCGATCCAGTCAAGAATGAGGATGTCACGATAAAGAAAGAGGAACCGTCAGACAGCGAAACAGAAGACGAGTTTGTCGAAGGCGATCAAGACGGTGCAGCAGTAGACGTAGATGGCAAGAGCATGTTCGACGACAAAGGTCGCGCTCTCATCAAGATCTGCGAAGACGAAGACGATAAAGATGGCGATGCAAGAAGGGAGCTGGATGAGATACAAGGGTTTGTACCGCAGCCCAAAACTGCGGCTCATTTATCATCGTCTAAAGCCTCTAGCAAGGCACCAGCATCAAAGTCCCCAAACACCAAACCGGCATCGACGACCGCCTCCCGTCCGGCTACCACCCATGGATCATCGACAAAGTTCAGTATTTCCCTCACCGAGTGTTCCAAATCTCGTCATGATTCCAGTACTTCTGCTTCACAACCTTGGCCATCACAAAGCTTCGCCTGTCCTGTATGTTCTCTTGAGAACGATGCAGCGGCATTGACTTGCGGCGCCTGCTCAAACGTATTGAAGAAGGATCTTGTACCAAATCACTGGCGATGTAAGAGCACTACTTGTGAAGGAAGTCGGTACGTCAACGCTGGAGACGCAGGTGTCTGCGGCGTCTGTGGAACGTCGAAGAAGAAATAAGGTGGAAGATATGCAACGAAGAAGTATGAAGGAGCGTTGGTGGCGAAGCGGCAATGACGGAATGATTATGATACCCTATTTCCTTCAGTATTCTAAAGGCATCTCCAATGTAAAACAGCATTTCAAGAAGACCAAGTCCCTGTGTCATAACTTCATTCTGTGCAATGATCATACGCTAAACTCGACAATGGCAACCCACAACACCCGTTCCTTGATGATCAACACCAAACTATGTATACCAATAATCAAAACGCCCTCAAATTACCCCATGTATGGATACTGCGATTCCTACCTCGCAATCCTCAAATGCGAGCCTCCCACGGTCTTCCTAGCGCTAGTTGGCACACCCACATTCCTTCCACTATTCCGCCTCATACCCTCTAGCTTAGCTTTCAGCTGCTCATGGATTTTCCTATTTTGCGCCCAACTATCAGCTAACTTCTGCATGCGGATCGCAGCAATAACAGCGATAGCCGCAGACTTGAGCTTAGGTCGACGATCGTGTACGGTGACGTCGGGAGTAATGCCCATCTGAGAGATGAGATTGAGATCTTCTTGATTACTGGTGAGGTGTTAGTGGTTATATCGCAGGAAGAATGAAGTAGAAAAGAATTCGTGACATACCATTCATTGTAAGTTTGAATCTGCATCAAGAAGAACTTCTTTTGGTACCCAAGGGCTTCACGGAACGCCTCTGCTCGCGAGCATCGAGCGCGGAGGAACTGTATTTGCTTGGCGAGACCGTTGATTTCTTTGATATGGCGTTTTGTAAGGTTCTCCGCCTGTTCATCGAGATCAATCGCATCCTGGCTGGCCTTTTGTTGGATAGCCTTCGACGACGCTTGTATGAGACGAAGCTGTGATTCCTTTTCACGAAGATGTGACTGCAAGTCTCGTAATTGACGCTCAAGGGCGGACTGTTGATCGCGCGCTGTCGACTTGGCTTCGGATAGGAGCTTGCGATGTTGAACGTCCTTGTCGCGGATTCGTAATTCCAGATCGTGAATCTTGTTCTCAAGAGCAGCCTTCTGTTCGCGTTGTGCTGCACGGGACTCAGATTGCAGAGCTCCATTCTGGTTCTCCTTTTCGCGTATCATGGATTCCAGAACGGTTATCTTCTCTTCGAGTGAGGCCTTCTCCTCGGCAACTTCGTCGGCGTCTTCTTGCAGAACCTCTATCTCAGCTTCGAAGTCGTCCTTCTCCCGGCGGGCGTTTTCTCTGAGTTCTTCCAGGGCTTCCAGGCGCTCTTCTGCTAGTCGTTGTAGGGCATCAACTTGACTCCTCTGCTCGTTCAACTCCTCGCGTATGTTCTCCAGCTCATCGTCACGCTTGCGTACTAGGTCCTGCATGACGTCAATCTGGGTATCGGGCTCGTCGGCGTGGCTTCGTAATGCATCAAGCTCAGCTTCGCGGTCGGAGATTGCTCGTCGCGCTGTATCTAGCTCTCGTGTTCTGTCACTGAGATCATTCCTGAGCTGCTTAAGCTCCTTGAGTGTTGTCTCTTGTGCCTCAATCTTCTTTTGCAAGGCGGCCATATCACGCTCACGGGCTTGCAACGTTGATTGCAAGCTTGACAGATCTCGAGATAGCGCATCCCGTTCACGTGTGATCTTCTGAAGTGCTTCGATCTGTGTGTCCCTGCCAGACACAGCGGACCGTAGATTGCGCATTTCACTTTCGATGTCTTTACGTTCCTGTCGAAGAGTGGCTACCAAGGTGTCGCGGTCGTTGTTGCCTCTTCGCAAGACCTCCACTTGCTCGTCTTTGCTCGACATCTTCGAGACCAAGTTGTCACGCTCGCGACGAAGATTTGAGAGTTCGCGCGAGAGGCTGTCACGTTCTCGTGTGGCGTTGTTGAGCGCCTGCACCTGAGCATCTTTACTGCTTAGATTTGAACGAAGGCCGGTAAGCTCTTGGGTCGCATCATCGCGCTCACGTCGTAGCGTATTTAATCCGTCTAGCTCGCGGTCCTTCTGGTTGAGATCGCGTCGAAGCTGTTGCAACTGCTGTTCGTATGCGGACGCCTCGCGTTGTAGACGTGCAATCTGCTGCATCGCGTCTTGGTGTTGCTTGCGGAAGTCGTCCAGCTCATCGGCTCTTGATTCAGCAGCATCAACTCTCGACTGCAGTAGTTCAATCTCAACGCCCTTCTCGCGAGTGATCTCAACCACCTTTTGTCTGGCATCATTGGCGGACTGTTGCGCCAATTGAACCTGATTGTCACCCTGAGACTCTGCAAGCTCCAAGCGTTCGCGTAGAGCATCCATCTCGGCATCCTTTTCGTTCTGGATGGTCTGGAGGCGTCGCTGTAGCTCCCGGAGTTCGGCATCCTTTTCGCGCTCCATCGAACGTAGGCGTTCCTCAATGATAGAGAGTTCATGACGTTTTTGCTCCTCTGCGGCTTCGAGATCGTTTTCGGCTTCGTCAAGGCTTTCATTCAGTTCCCGAATTTCCTGGTTCTTGCTAGCGGTAGCAGTATCAAGCTTGGACTTCAAGGCATCGATCTCGGTATTCTTTTCGCGCTCAACCGCGCTGAGCTGTTCTTGAAGATCTTCAATCGTCTCGATTTGATCGGCCAGTCGACGCTCCTTCTCTGCCACATCATCTTCTTGTGACCGTTTAGCCGATTGGAGTTGTTCTTCCAAGTCGGCGATGCGCTCGGCTTGGTCCCTGAGTTGTCGGTCCTTCTCCTCGTCACCAGCAGACTGAGAGTTTTGCGCATTCTTCAGCTGCTCTTCCAAATCCCTCATTTGCTCTTCTTGCTCGTCTAGTAACTCATCTCTTCTCGTGAGCTCCGCTTGTGTGTGTTCCAAGTCTGCTTTGACCTTCTCCAGCTCTTCATCAGCGCCCCTCTCTTCTTCTAGCTTCCTTTCAAGACGCTCCACCTCCTCTGCGCGTTCGTCGGCCAGCCTTCGAAGCTCATCCATCTCTTCACGCATGCCTTCATCGACGTGCCGTCGCTTGACCTTCTCGGCGTATTCCCGCAATTGCTGCTTGTATGTGTCGAGCTCCTTCTCAGCGGCTTTAAGGTCTTTGGAGTAGTTCTTTATATCGCGCGCCATCGTAACCTTCTCCGACTTAAGGTTAATGTTCTCTTCCATGGCTTGTCGGTTGAATTCAGGGCCCATCTTTTTCAGGTTCTCTTCGAGGAAATGAATTTTAAGCTTGAGTCCAAAGTTCTCCTTGTCGATCTGCTCAAGACGCTGTAATTGTATTAGGACACACCAAGTGACTGTGGGTGGCTAAGCCGGGGGTATACGTACAGCCTCCTGCTCCCTCAGCGTGAGCACGTTGCCGTTGCCATTATCCATTTCGCCTTCTGCCCTTCTCGGTAACGCTGTGGGTGTGCTCATAGTACTCGAGTTGGGATCTGGCAGCTGCGTGCGCCCATCAACAGAATCGGCGAAGGAACTCGAGTGTATGTCGAATGTGCTCGCCTCGGGCAGCGGGGTGTTGCTAACTTGGAAGCCTGGCTTCATCGCGGCAGGCGTCGTAATCTTGCCGTCGAACAGACCGTTGACCTGGCGTGTCCGATTCGCGGTTGCGCTCTTCAGCATGGGAGTGAATTCGTTCTTCGCGTTCAGTTGACGTCGGGCAGCAAGTGGCTGTCGGGGTGTTCGGGCACCGCTCATCTGTTTGAAGAGGTTGTCGCGGTCTGTCGGCGCATGGAACGTCTCTTCCATGCTAAATGAGGGCTCGTTGACCGTGAAGCGCGTCGTGTCGCCAACCTCTGTGCGAGGTGTATCCGGTAGGTGCGCCATGATATGTAATTTACTCTAGTAGCGCATGAGTGAGAGAAATAGAGAGGTCCTTTGGGGCGCACCTTAGTCGTACGAATGCATCATGTTCCACTTCGTGATAGTACACATGTTGTTTGTTTGGGACGCTTGGACCATGACAGGGATGCAGCCAGCCGCTAGCCGATGCAGGCAAGAAGCCGAAAAGCGTGTCTTCCCCATGTAGTCACGTTACCTCTTTGCCGCCTACACTGGAAAATTCATTGTAGGTTTCGTCGTTTCCTTCTACAGGCCCGGAATCTAGGACTATCGGGTTGAAATCACCTTCACAAACGCCTGGCGCACGTCTTGAGAACGAATCAGAACGAAACCAGTATAAATTTGAGATTGGCTGACTTGGAGAACTGGATTCCACCATCTGGACTGCAAATATCGGAAAATGGACGGCCCTCAGGACGACCTCAAATGGTTTGGTGAAGGGTTCGATGGCTTTCCCAAGAAATTGCCAGATGATGTCGTGGAGTACATGGTCTTCATCATCGAATCTAGACTTTCGGACATCCAGACGAGGGAAAGATTACAAGCTTTTCAGCGCGCTCTGAACGTCCTGGAAAAAAAGTTTCTCAAGGAGTACATATGGCAGCGTGACTCTCTTAAGCTTGATCTAGTCCGCGAAGAAAATCAGTGGTTATTGAGAGGACGATCTAATTACGGCGATAGCGTGGCAGACGAATGGCTTATCGTCTACTTCCTGCGTGAGTTGAGCAAAGAGTTCAAGGATGCATGGATACGCATCTATGACAGTGATGGAGAGTTTCTCCTAATTGAGGCTGCGAATGCGCTACCGAAATGGCTGAACCCTGAAGTTGCCGAGAACAGAGTCTGGATTAACAGTCATCGCCTGCTGATAATACCATTGGGAAAGGAAGAAGACCCTGCCCCTTTGACGCAAGCGCAGGCTTTGCAGGTTATCGACGCGACACCAGCACGACCTCAGCAGTACGTCAAAGTTGAGAAGGAAGCTTTTCATCGCCTGGCTGGATATCCCGCCGCGATATCTGAAAATCAACATCATGCGACACTTCCACTGCCTAGGAAGGTTGCGCATATCCTGCATGTCAATCCATCCTATATTGCACCAGCGGTCGAAGCCTTTTATCTTAGAGACCCCATCTCCATCCGGCTCCTACAACCCGAAAAGTCTAAAACCTCTCTCACATTCCCGCCGGAAGATTTTGTCGACGTCAGCGTTCGCTTCACCAAAGTCCTTTACGCTCAGCTTCTAGGTCAGCACTGGGAACCCCCAGCACCATGGGACGCAGCATTAGAGCAGCTCGCCAAGTCTGGTAGACCGACCGAGAAAGCAGAGATCGGTATCAAGATCACAGCAGGCATGCAGATGCTCCTATCACACTCCTTATACACCTCTCGCAAACCGACGCGTGAGATTGCTCTCCTTCTACAAGACTTGGAAAACGGCGACGATACACTTCCCACCGATACCGAAATCGCCAAATGGCCCAAGCGTGAGGACGATGAGGGATGGCTGAATATCGACTTTTCTGAGTTTGAGAAGGAGCTAGAAGGCAAGGGAAGCGGTGAAAAAGGAGCATTTGGTGACAAGAATGCAGAGGAGAATCTGAAGAAGATGGTTGCACGGTTTAATGACTTCCTGGCTGACAACGAAGCGGGTGCGGAGGGTGCTGATGGTGTTATGGACCCCATGGATATGGACAACGACTCCGACGCAGGCGACAGAGGATGGGAGGACCCTGAAGATAGCGACTCCCCAGCTGAGAACGATACCACGAGCAAAGGCAAAGGCAAAGCGAAAGCCATGACTAGCGAGGATGAGGGTGATACAGACGAGGAAGAGGATGCAGAAGCCGATGCGGAGTACGCGGAGTACGAGCAAGCCTTCGAAAAGTTCATGATGTTGCCCGCAGCGGAGAAAGCCATCCTCACCGATGAAGCTCGTGCATTAGCTCTCGAACAAGATGCTGAGAAGGAAGAAGACGAAGAAATCCGAAAACTCACCGAAATGATGGAAGCTGAGCTCTTCAGTCACGGCGCATTGAACGTCAACTCCAAGTCCGGCCATAAGCCAGGAACGGGGCTTCTATCTGATAGTAAAGGGAAGGGCAAAGGAAAGTTGCAGGAGGTTGCCGAAGAGGATGAGGAGAATGAAGACGATGAACTCCTTGACGAAGACTACAACCTTGCTGATAATATGCTAAAGGCTTTCAAAGGCCAAGCTGGCATGGCGGGCCCGGCAGGCAACATGATGAGGGCGATGGGCGTGCAGTTTCCACAGGACGCTGACGACGAGGTCAGGGGTGGCAGTAGTAAGAGTAAAGGGATAAGCGGAGCCTGAGGCGTTCATTAAATCAGGATGAAGGCGACGCCCTATCGTGGAGTCGAGAATTCGGTCCGGGATAACAGCACAAGCGTCTGTGATAGCTTAAAATCGGACCAGCGCCTGATTGCACCAATCATCTCCAGAGCTACACAGAGCGTAGCACATACTGAACTATTCACTCCAACGCTGCACCACCACTCCAGTCTCCTTCTTTCATCCACTTATACTTACCTCCACCCACCGCCAATCCCAGCGCATCTATCTCTTCCTTGTTCCCATCCTCCTCCCACGTCCCATGCCACATTCGTACCAATCTCCTATAGATTGGCGAACTTTCAGCCACTAACTTCTGTCTTCTTGTCATGATTTCTGTCTGACTTTTTTCCTTGATATCCGCGAGCACCGCTATATCCTTGTCGTCTTTCCCTTCTACATACAAACGCAAAATGGTTTCGTCTTCTTGCGGAGTAAAATCATGAAATTCTTTGCGTCGCCTGAGGGCGAGAACGTCTTCGGGGACTCTTGTCGTTGCCCGGAGGACTTGCCACCGGGATTGGATCGCCTTATCCGGGATGCTGATCTCCTGGGCAATCTGGTTAGGGGTTAGCCCGCGGCGTCGGCCATCGATAATTGCGGTATCGAGTTCGGAAGTCCAGGTTATGGAAGCACTTTCGTCTCTCTGTTGGATGATGGAGTAGCGATGTTGCACAGATTGTGTGGAGCGGTTTAGGGCGACTGCTGTGTCTTTGTAAGTTTTGTTTTCCACTTTGATGAGGTGGAGGAGTTTATTCTCCTCCTCGTAGTTCCAGCGACGCAACTCTTTGAGAGGTTCGGGTGCAACAGATTGACGGTAAGATTCGGCGTCCATGATAATATAAAAATATGAATAGGATTTTTGAAGTTGATTGGTTGATTTCGAGTTCCATTGACGGTAGACTTACTAAGGCGCACAATAATACCGGATATATCTGGAGAAGAGAGTGCAGGTGCATGGTAAATGGTACTTGCGTAGGTGATATTGGCCCCATGATAACTAACTAATAGACTTTCACTATACTGCTATCGGTCGTATTATGTAGCTCATTCTACAAGTTGAGCAAAGGAATGAAGGGCGGAAAAGAGAGCCAGAGTTAGGTCTTTTAGCCCGGAATACACAACGACTCCCTTACCTACTAATCCCTCAATACCAATATCTACATGCGCTACATTGGACTGACCAAAGCTCTACATGTAGCCAACTCTCCACCCGAGCACTGCACATCCTCATTCCTCAAATACCATGAACTCTTCCATAAACTTTTCTGCTTCTTTAACCGCTGCTTTCTCTCTCATTTTCATGTCCGAATCTACCTTCCCCAGTACCATCGCGAACCTCTCCGACAGTTGCGATTTTACTCTCTCTGCGCTCAACTCCACACCCCTCTTCTGCACATCTAAATGAATCTGGTGCTCAAGGGCCTTCGCCACTTGACCACAGAGGTACTGCATAAACTGTAACATGCCACTGTGGACAGCCTGCAGATGTGGAGGTACGAAGTCAGTGTATGTCTCACATGCATTTCGTACAGTCACAACCCACCCACCTCCCATTGTCGTTGCAAACAGCGATTCCCCGCTCCCCAATCTGTTCTTTTACAAGCGATTTCCATTCGTAGATGAGGTATGATCCAACGTACCTGCGGTTCAAAAACCCACATTGGAAGAACGGTTCGCGGGTTTGGGGATGTGGTAACTGGACTATGACGAAATAATAGTCACCGTACTCGTAAGTAATCCCGATCTTGTTGAGGTCGACGATGTGCGGATCAAAGTTGAAAAAGATGCATCGGAAGTACGCAGACGGACCATGGGTCGATTGATTGTAGCGTTTGGCAGATGATGGCGGAATACTGGGTTCGGCTATGGTAGAATCGCTGACCTTTGCCGCACATTGGGTTTCGTTGACTAGACTGTCCGATTGTCCCTTTCCTTCAACAGCTTCAAGAGGACTAGAAACCATAGATGACACTGCAAACATATCCAAACCCCCCGTTTGCTCATATGGATTGTGACAAGAATACTTGGAGATTATGTTGTCGGGGTATGCGGTATTGCTGATGTCCGACACTGAAAGACGGTTGGAGGCTTCCGTTGCATTAGCTAGCGAGTCGCGATCCTCAAGTTCTACCATTCGGGAGGAAGTCGTATTTCATCAGTCGCAACGGAAAGGAAGATTATCTGAGATGGAAGGCGTAACCACGCAAGGCACGGAATTGGATATATAACGCTAGTGGATCTCTACCACGGATACGCGCGAACAACATCAAGTGACCTAAAATTGGTACCGCAACGCGCAAGACCAACTGACAATGGCAAGACCCCAGGTGAGGCGTAAATTAGACTTTATACTCATATTGGTATAGGTAAATCTAAGCGAGGCGATGTGATTGCGACATGGGGTACATAAGCATAGATTTCTGCCGACCTTCACTGAGTATCTACGCCATCTTGAGTCTTTGTATTCACCATCTCGACCAGACTTCAACAAAAATTTCGGATATTGTTTCTCCACCCGGCATCGAAGCGGCGCACACAGCCGTTGGCTTGACCACATCAAACGCAGCCCCCATATCAACATCCGATACTACTATCGCCGAATACAGCGCCTACTATACCCTCTCTTTCGAACCCGATATCGGAGGAGTCGTCACAACCGCACTGCATGCTATACCAAGGGACTTCATCGCCACCGCCTATCCAGAAATCGTCGAAGCTTGGGACAGAAAGAAAACAGACAAATCGGATGAAGCGCTGCATGCCAAACAAAAAATCATCGACTGCGCATGTTGCTTCCAATGTATGTAGCGCGCCGATGAACTAGCAGCACGGAATCCGGGAGTGGTGTGTAACCAGAAACTGCTTGCAGGGATGAGGTGTCATTGGGGTGAACTGCAACAGTGTGGGACGCATTCCCGAGAGAGTAGCTTTCTGGTCCGCAGGGCTGGTCGGGTCACTCATCACGCACAGCCCGAACGAGACTTTGACCGCAATGTCTTGATGGCCGAGGTAGCGCGTGTGCCGGTGTGCAGGTCTTGTGCGAAAAGAGCGATTCTGGACTTGGGTGTTGGATATTGGGGTTGCACTTGCGATCGGGATCGGACGTGTTTTCGTTGTCGGGAGGAGGCCTTGGAGAAGCTCGTTAGGGCGAGGAAGAGATGGCAGGTCGAAGGAAAGTGCGAGACATGTGTTGAATGTGGGGATATGAAAGAGGCAGTGAGGCACGTGGAAGCATGCCTTCTCTGTCGGGGGGTAGCAGTATATAACGAGATTGTATGAAGGGCAATAATACAAAAGTACAGTGCTTGATTTGAAACTATGAATGAGAAATCCATGCTGAAAATACCTACCCGCCAGTTTTGAAAGGTTTACCATCTCCAGAACCATTGTGACCAAACGTCGGCACAGAAATAGTTCAACCGGACCTTTGACGCCATGACCCGTCTAATATTTATAGCGTGGCGTGAGTCTGACGTCCAACTTCCCTACATTCATCGTAAAACAATCTTGGCTGTTGTTCTCGATCGTGCTTCCGTTTTCACCCTCTGCAAAGGTGATCTCGAATGATCGAGTCAAATTGGCCGTAACACTACGCAGCTCCATCATTGCCAACTTCTGGCCAATGCAGTTGTAAGGTCCAGTAAGGAAGGGCAGGAAAGCGCGCTTTTCAATATTGGCACTAGGCCTCTCGTCGGTCCATCGCTCAGGCATGAAGGAAAGAGGCTCCTCCCAGTAGCGTGAATCGCGTTGCAAACTATAGATAGGAATCCAGACGTTGACCTCGCCAGGTATATACGTGCCGTCGGGTAGAGTGAGGCCTTCGGGCGGCGTCTCACGCTGAGGGCCGGAAGGTGTCTGAAATGCGTCAATGATGTATACGAGAGCTCCTCTCAAAGCCACATACAGCAGGGTGTAGGCGCAACGTCTCATTGATGACCCCATCTAAGAATGCACATTCGGTCACATCTTCGACGTCGAGGTGCGCTTTCTGCGGTTCGATCGTATCAATAACAGTGCGAAGTTTGGCTTGGATTTTGAGGTTCTTGCACAATTCGTACAAGAGATAAGAAAGTGTAGCAGAGACAGTGTCACTGGGATTGATGTCAGTAGCAAGATGAAACGACCTCTGCGGAGACTATGGAAAATGTACACAAGTTTACTTACCTGCCAGCTATGATTAGAAGCCGTGAATCAGCGTTCATTTCAGGCGTTATCTGGTCGTTGTTCGGATCCAGTAAACAGGAGAAGACATCTTTCTCTTCGGGAGTGATCTGCTAGCTGTGAGTAAATCGAATCGAAGTAGAAATTTCATCCTATGGGCTTTTACCTTCTTTCGCTCTTCGAGAACCTTAGCACTCCAATCTATGTGTTCGAAGAGAGGTTGTGACCCAATCGGTGTTCGCGCGATGAGGCGCATAGCCCAACTAGTGTGTACAAGGACACTCAAGGGTGCCTGACTATCGTGCAGCAGCTTGATGACATTAGCTTCTTCACCCGATTCTACCATACCAAAGCTGCGGTTAAAGCCGATATCTCCCATTACGTCAAAGCTGTAGAAATTTACCCAGTTTGTGATTCGTACTGACGGCCATGTGGCTTGCTCTTTGAGTTTCGTTATGAGAGCAAGTGCATGTCGATTCAAACGAGGCTCATACTCGCGGAGGGCTTTCGCATTGAATGCACGGTCCCAGACCTTGCGCCTCTGTCGGTGTTCGTTCTTGTTCGTTGTGAAGTGAAGAGCTCGGCCTGCAACTTCGCCGGCTAAATGCAGGTGTTCGAAGTCAGTATATGTCTCACATGCAGTTCGTACAGGGACATTTACTGGTTGAGTATATGGTACTTTTTCTGCACTTGGAAGTGGGTCCATGGACTAAAGCAATAGCATCTGCACAATAGACAGTGACCTCTACAGATTTCAAGATACCAAGTCAGTGTGTCTCACATCTACTCGTACTTTCAAGACTTACCTCGAGGACCAGTTCGAATGACGTCCACTCCATACTGTTTGTGTAAAGAGTCCAGCCATTTGAAATATTGGAAGTTTGTAAAAAGAACACCAGCGAAAACACCATATGACTTGGAGAATTTTGCAAAGAAAGGCCCAGGAATCTTCAAAGTGTTAGCCGGAAAGACTCGACTAATGTTTCCTTACGCTTGCCTTTCGTAAGCGATGATACAGTCCTCTGTGTAGCAATATGCTAACCACCAAGACAATGAAATAAAGTGAAACTGTCCTTGCTGCGAGCTGGATCGCAATGCTCAGATTCTTGGCATGTGTATCGAAAATATATTCGAAAGTCGTGATACATCCGAAGGCTGTCGCCCAGATGCCGATGACTATGTGGAAGGCGTTATCCCACTCGCCACGGTGAAGAACATAATGGGTGATCAGAGCTAGTGACGCGATTAGTGTCTTGCTCTGCACAAAATCAACGACTTTGTATGTCATGGTAGCCGTTGGGCAGAGTAAGAAAGAATCCATAGAGGCATTTGAACAATGGAGAACTAGTTCGAATGATGAAAGGCTTAGGCTGGACCCTGAAAGGCTGAACATTGGAAAGAGGCGCCGAAAGAGTAGGCAGCAGCAGACCGAACAATTGTGAGAATCGGCACAATGGTGACAGCCACAATTGACAGTGGCAAGATCCCGCGGATTCCATGGTTTTATGAATGGCCATCGTCTTGCGGCGCTGTTGATACAGCAAGGGACGCCTCTCTCATGCCGTGCCTCCTACAGATAGTTGGATGCCGCCTACGAATCGTCAGCTTGCAGGGGTCGTATTTGTGGAACAGAAAGATTAACCAACAGCTTTGCACCAGGTGGGGGCGCTAACCTGAGTCCAGGCGGCTGAGGGGATCCCTTGCGCAAGGGCCAGAAGCTGCACGTTCTTTCTTTTCGGAACCCCAGAACGCCTTCCTCCAATCAGACGCAGGTATCTCAGCTTCCAGGACAGATCGCATGGTGTCAATACAGTTGCAAACGCTGCCTACGAGGTGCTTTCCTTTAGTGTAGCCTACTGCAACACAACCGACACTCCTCACTCATTGACTTGCTGATACACATTAACAAGGCTATAGACACCCGGAAGCCTCGAATGTCTCTCGGACTCGTCGCCGCCACGCAGTCATCAACTCTTCCCCGCTCGATCGAACATCGTCACCATCCAACCTATGACTGTGTAAGTCTCTCCTAGATAGTTCATGGCTGATGGATGTGTCATTTTGCATGGCGACTCGATAGTGCAATTGGTAGTCAAGTCTGGATGCATCCGATGCGCCCGGTCGATCAGTTAGCTTGCTTCGAGTGTCTGGAAGCATGTGGCGCCGCATGTGAGAGATCGTATCCGCCACCCTACAAAGCCTTGGTCGATCAAAAACCCAATGTATGTTGAGGTGTTCGAGACTCTCCACTTTCGTCAAGGGGTCAACCCAGGAAGCGATCCACGGTCGCGGTCCATCAGTCTTTTCTGCTTCCCAAGACAAACACTCTTCGATCAAAGAAGGAGCTATGTCATATCGTTGATGTAGACTGGAAATTATTAGATGTAGCCGCCGCAAATCCATGCGCGAGGTGGACAGCAGAGTACAAAGATCCGTGAAGTGGTTGTAAACGAATTGCAGCACAAGCGAGTCTGTTGACCTGCGAGTTTCAGGATAATGAGCTCCCATGGTGCCCCTTAAATTGCTCGCTTCCACTAAAACAAGCCTCATGGAGGAGATAAGCTTGAGGGATTCGGCAGGTCTGTCGCACAGGAATGCGAACGCAGTCGGCACGCCAAAGTCTGCTGTAAAGCTGAACAGGTTTCTCCCATAGAAGGACTTCCTAGCTTCGTGGTAGATCTGTCGGCATGTTTGCAACAGCCGAATCTCGATCATGTGATTGAACGGCGTATCTGGTGGTATTGCAAGTTGGTACGTCATTTTGATGTTCCTTAGCTCTTCCCCCAAGTCGTTTGCCGCGGAGGTCAGACCAATGTCGAAGCGAGGTATGTACCAGATCCGCCGATGGGCGCATACGCGTCTCAAAGGGTAAGTCTTGTCGAGCTGCCTACGTATCCCAGGGCTGCGGCTAGCTGTGGCCTCCAATAGGACGGCTGCACATTGGATCGGAATCACATCGCGTAAAAGGACGTAATCATAGATAAGATCTCGGATCTCTCGTGGAAGTTCGAGTAGTCGCGAAGCCATGGTATCACAAATTTGGGACCTCACGATGTGGCTATCGAGGATAAAGGCGCATAAGTAGATGAGGAAAGAGGTGATGACGCCTGTCGTTCCAAGAAGGGCTAGAGCAGTTGGGCTGACCTCGGCCCTTCCCCCGCCTTTCTCTTTCCAAGCAACACGATCGAAAGTGTGCATTCCACACATCGACATGAATGGAGTAGCTGGGTCAACAAAACGCTTGGGCATGTATCGAGCCGGTAATGACACCCGGTCGGTGATTCGTTGCGATTCACTTCATTCCATCTCTTCCAGGCTGGTTTCCATGCTGACATATTTTGTATCCATGCTACTAACATTCTTAAAGAAACTGTAAACGGATTTTTCACACAAATGGCTTCGAACTAACCTGAGACGACGGCAGGTACCCAAATGCGTGTTTTCTGACTAGAAGCAAAGACTTGCTCGCATCCACTTGCGTAGTGTCCACCAAGGTACATACTATATCATTGGCCTGCATCTCCTTAGCATGACTACTTCGAACCTCATCGTGAGCATACCTGCAGACTATTAGGAAGCTTCTATCCCATCGCTTTCCGCCTGAGAAGATTGAGGGTGTAGATACACTCTTGTGTTATCGTTGGTACATGGGGAGCAAAACAACGAAGGAAGTATAGCGAGCGATGTGATGTTTTATCTAGCTGTATGATAGCTATACAAGTCCGCCATTGGCCATCACTCCATTTTGTGCTCCGGTCATTCCCACCATTTCCAGCCTCCATTCTTCCCTCAACTCCGTAAGTGTTGCGCCCCTTACAAGTTGGCGGCAACGAAGCTACGAAGCGTAGCCTGACCAATGTTGGCGTAGACACCAGGTGCGTTGGGCGCAGCGCAACCATTACCCCAGGAAACGGCACCGAGGAGGACCTTGGTGGCCTTGTTGACGATAGGGCCGCCAGAGTCACCCTGGCAAGAATCCTTACCACCCTGAGCCAGACCAGCGCAGAACATTTGAGTAGTGACAGCCGATGTGCCGTACGAAGCCTGGCAAGAGCTGCGAGAGACGACAGGGACGTCAACCTTGAGAAGGTTGGTGGGGAGCGATTGGCCACCTGATGAAGTAGTACCCCTGGAGTGAAGGTTAGCCATGGGTTTGTGAAGAAGAAGAGTTGGTGTTGAAGAATGCATTCGAAGATAAACAGATCTTCTGTACTCTGGAAGGGGTTGTGAGACTTACCAGCCAGCAACAGTGAGCGTAGTTCCTGCAGCAGGGTCTGATCCCGACGCGGGGAGCACAGCGTACGAGATGGTGGAGCTCGTCGGGATGGAGGTGGCAAGCTTCAAGATAGCAAGGTCACCGTTATAGGCGGATGCAACATAGCCAGGGTTGACCCTGATGGATGAGACGCGGGCGGTAACACCACCTGAAGTACGGCTCTGATTTCAGCTTGTTAGCCTAAATGTTTCTTTTCTTGGAGATTTTGCGAGAACCTATAAGTGCTCAAAGGACACTCCAATCTTGGAGTGGGATTATGAAGCATGATGGAAATATACAGAAATTGGTTACTTACCAGGGAGCCGGCGCGGATCGTAAGGCTGGATGCTGTCTGTCCGACCGCGCAGTGAGCAGCCGTGAGGACAGTGTTGGCGTTGAGAAGTGTTCCACCACAGAAGTGGCTTCCACCGCGCTGGAGAGAGACGATGAAGGGGAATTCGCCAGCGCTGGCGGCTGATCCACCGACAATGTCTTCCTGGCTGCCATTCTCCCAGTCGGGGATCTCAGTGGGATCCTGAGGGATAGCTGCTGAGAGCACCACAGCAGGGATTGCGAGGATGGTGATGAGGTCTTTGATCTGCATCTTGAATGAAGCTGGCTGGAAAGCGATGGCGGGACTGAAGCTGGAAGCGAAAGACTGCTGGTTCTCTGGTGAGGACTGGCCTGAGAATGGGAGGCGAACCGCCTTCTATTTGTACTCGATTCGTCCTTCTACAGTCCTGCGATTTTGTTTTGGGAGTGTACAACAACCTTGCCACCCCTTCGTTCTGCGGTCTGGGTGAGCTCAACGCCCCAAGACCACTAGAACAGGGGAAATCCGATGGTCCTTCCACATGTAGAATGGAAAAGGCTGGGCAGAGCGGTGATTGGCACTGTTAATGTTTCAATTTCCTTCTACGGCCTAGCACTCTTCATGCAAGTCATCTGTACAATGCTGCTTATCTGCTGTATAATTCTGGATACCTCAGAGACCTCGTGTTCATCGCGAAACGGGAAGCTCTTGTAGCACGCTATCTTACCGTTGATAGAGTAAAGTAGTGTCTCCGGCCCTAGGAGGTATCTTGGCGAGTTCGGGCGTTAGTGGCTGATTCCCCATAGCATCGTTGGTGAGTTTCTTGTGGCATCGAGATCAAATGAGAAGACATCCCCGAGACGTGTTTGGCAGACGACTTCGGGAGCAATCTGCCGCCGTCAAGGAATGAGTCCCCTGCTTCTACTTTCATGCTTACGGCCACTCCCGAATGATCTTCGTAAAGCTTCGCTAGGATCAAAATCCTGAACGGAGAGCTACATAGTACCTATCATGCGCGCCGTCCAGTGAGACGACGACAGACAGCGATAAGATCTAGCACTGATTAGCACAGGCGACTACGAACGTGATCGATCAAGGCGTATGACGGTGGTAGTCTTCTACATAGACTGTTCGCCAAGCTATATCAGGATTCAGTTTATATTACGGTCGTGGGTGAGATATATGCGAGATAGCAGATGGTTGGCGTGGAAGTATTGTTCTTAAAGTAAGCCTATCCTGAAAAGGCAGTTACTGTTGGTGGGTACAGCTTGGCATGCGGGCCGGCCCCTGCACGTTCGTCAGAGACACTTTGTGGTTGCCAAAACACCATATGTGTGTGGAGGCGAATTTCGTGACCACACTAATCGAACGGAGAGAGGCCTGCTAATAGTAGGTGGCAAGAATCTCACCCCACTGCGGTATTTACCGTTGACAGGACTGAGCGAGGTGTGTCTGCCCTGGTCTTCGAAAAATGGGTGAACCTTGGAACTAGCACCGCATCGCTTTCTTCCAGCTGACATTGCTGCTTGCAACCGACGAAGCCAACACTCCGCACATCACCATACACGCTCAAGGAGAACGCCCGTCAATCAGATCGCGATGTGCTGTAGTGCGTCGCCGCTCGAACCCTGAGCTAGCAGCGCTGACCCTTCTTCATGTGATCGTTTGCAGGGATCCAGTCCGAACCAACAGCAGTTCACCGTGGCGACTGAGAAGCACCAGCACTACCGGTGTATACCACTTACCATACCATAGTGTTGGTTAGCTGCGCTTGATACCACAGTTTGCCTTGACCGCACTCCAACATGAAGATCGACAGAATGCAAACGCTTCGCTCCTTCCTCTCGTCTCTTCTTTTGGGTATCCTTACTTCTTCCTTGTTCACAGAAACCAATCACAAATGCTGGAGACACTAGTATCAGCACGACAATTCGAGTGGAGTCTAGTGTTCTAGTGCAGGAGCTGTCTACGAGCTCAGGAACCTGTGACCCGGCTGCGACCTACCGATAATCAGATGGGTCATCACAGAGGACAGCAGCACGTCTCCAAGGAAAGTAACATGTTACTGGGTTTCCGCACTCGAAGAGAAAACGGTCGAACGCATTGGGTGCAGGCAATCTTGCTGAGTTTGAACGACGATGTTCGGTTTCCATAGACTTCAACAGGAGAGCCAGAAGCTGTGTTGACCATTATGCTCGGAAGATACGTGATAGGTATAAGCTTCAAGGATAAAGAGTCTCCCTTAGGATCTCTGTCTCTCAACGGTGTTCCAAAATTTCACGGTCCCAGATAGGCTTCTGAGCAAGAGTTTAATTTCAAGTTACTGGAAATGTTCGAATCCATGCAGTTGTGTGTTACACAACAAGCAGCACGACTGTCGTGTAGAGGGTATCTTACAACAGTGTTGATATACATGACGTCATGTACCGGGTTTAATAGCAAATCAGCCTATTTCAGTATGCTTGCTCTGTAGTATATATCTTCATGAACTACCGCTTTCTGTTGCTCCAGTACAACTTTCCAAGATAAACACAAGTCTTACGCGCATCACCGCGAACACGTCAGAACACTGCTATCGACATGGCTAGCACTACACCCCTCAATGTCCTTGTCTTTAGTAAGACTACCGGCTACCGCCACGATTCCATCCCAGCTGGTATACATATGTTCCACAATCTGGCCAACAGCACGAAACTCTTCCATGTCACAGCTAGTGAAGATGCCTCGCTATTCACGTCCTCATCCCTAGCCCAATACCACGTCATTGTCCTCCTCCAGAATATCGGCGACGAGATATTCACACCTTCCCAATTAGACGCCTTGAGGACCTGGGTACGAAATGGGGGCGGTATCATAGCTATTCATGGTGCGGCCGCAGCCATGCAGGGAAATGAATATTACAGGGGATTGATCGGGGCGAGTTTTGATATGCATCCTGACCCTGAAGCTGGCACTATCCTACCCGAGAACTCTTCTCAAGAACATCAAATCATGAAATGCTGCGGTGGGCGTGAGGGCTGGAAGGACGAATGGTATAATTTCCACACGCACCCTAGGGAGAACAAGAACCTGCAGATCTTACTCAGGGGAGACCCGAAGACGTTTAGTGGGGGAAAACATGGAGATGACCATCCGTTGGTATGGTGTCAGGAATTCGAGGGTGGAAGGGTATTCTTTACGGCGTTGGGGCATTTTGATGAAGCGTACGAGGACGGTTGGTTCGTAGGACAGGTGAAGAGGGGGATGCTTTGGGCTTCGGGGAGAGCAGAAGACTAAGGCGAGGATATACGAATTGAAATTAACTCTTAAAATAGTTGCCATCTTTGTAATGAGCTTAATCACGTTCCCATGCCCGCACTTGGATAAAGATTTTAAAGCAGAGATTTTTAAGCCACGCCGTGCGCCAGACCCAGGACCCCAAGAAGTTCGAAAACGAAAACCAAGTTAGCTACAGCTCAGTCTTTTCAGACTCAGTCTTTTCGGGCTCAGTCTTTTCGGCCTCAATCTTTTCGACCTCAATCTTTTTGGGCTCAGTCTTTTCAGGCTCAGTTTTTTGGGTATCAACGTTCAGGTCCCAGTCAATGCCGCCATCTTTGCCATAACGCTGCTCCAACCATGCATTGCACTTCCTGAAATGACCAGCATCGAACTGCATCTTGTTAGTACTTTAGTTTTGTCAAGGCGGATTGCGAAACTTACGAAACCCCTCGCGGCACTCAGTGGGCTGGGATGCACGCTCTTCAACACGAGGTGCTTGTCAACCGGTATGCCCTTGGTCCTTTGCTGTGCCGGCGAGCCCCAAGCCAGAAAGACGACACCATTTGTCCGTACCTTCGCAACAGTATCAATGACCTTTTGCATGAGAAGCTCCCAGCCTTTGCCTGAATGTGAGTTTGCTTCACCACGACGGACAGTAAGGCAAGTGTTGATGAGCAGAACACCACGGTCAGCCCATGGCGTTAGAAGACCGCCCCTGTTTGGGGGTGGCTTGTAGTCTGGGTACTCCTTCTTCAGGGCCTTGTAGATATTCTGGAGTGACGGGGGCGCAGGGTTCGGTGGACGGATGGAAAAGCAGAGGCCGTGAGCTTGGTTAGGACCGTGGTAAGGGTCTTGGCCTGTGATGACGACTTTGACGGTGTTGAGGGGTGTATGACGCGACCTATTCAGCATCAGTCTCCTTCTCAAGCATCAATTTAGGATAATGAGAGGCCGTACCATGAGTACACGTCCTGCATCGGCGGGTATACAGTCTTCCCACTATCCAGCTCTTTCTTCAAGAATCTCTTCAATTCGAGGAACTGTGGAGTAAGCAGCACATCCTTGACATGCGGCAGCCAGCTCTCGTGTAGCGTGTCTAGCTCAAGTTGCAGAAGCTCCTTCTGCTCGTCTGTGAGTTTGGCAACCCATGCATCTTTGTCGAACTTTGCAGCCGCAGCACTTTGTTTAGCTGGCGAATTGGGATTGGGTTTTGGCGCGCCAAAGAAGGCGGTAATGCTGCCATTCTGCTTGGGCTTTTTGGACGCGTCGGTGGCCGCTGTCGCTGCTTTACGCTTTAGACTCATGATTGCAATGTCAGTCGATGTGAATATGGAGTCAGAGGGAAAGCGTGGCGTAGCGACGATAATAGTAAGAGAACTACAGATAGTCGTGTCAGTATCGTGGATAGTTGCAAGGACCCTCCCAGCCCCAGATATTCGCGTCGGACGTGACGTCGAAGATGACTGGTAATTTCCGCTGACCCACTTTGATTGGCTGTCGCGTATGTCAGTGACACGTGAGTTCGCGCGACGCGTTTGGTCACGTGGAATGACATCACAGCTCATCCTGACACAATCCACAACACTACACAAGGATACAAGCAGGCTCCAGTGGCTTTCTCATCACGATGACCAATTTTCTGGCAAATCAGATGTGAACGGATGTATGATCTGCACCAACATGTCCTGAGGTGGGACTGTGGCCTTATGCCGGCTTGCTGCCCGCATTTGTGACGTGGTGTTGTCTAGGGAAGGAAACAGGAGCGCGTACAAGTAAGAGGGATATAAACAGACGTGCTTCATCATCATCGTCTTCTTCCTCACTTCACGACCAATTCTACTCACCTTTATATTAACTCAATCTCTTCATCTCCAACAAACACCAAGCAATTATCAATATCAACAATGGCTTCTTCCAACCCTTCAAACTTTGCGAACTTGCCAAAGGATGAGCTGAAGGAAATTGCCGCCAAGGGCGGTCACGCTTCTCACGGCTCTGGTAACAACGACGTAAGCTGCATCAAGTACCTTCACGCTCACGTATAGTGACTGAATTTTGTCAAGTCTACCTCTACTGGCAGCAGCGGCAACGCTGACCGCAACCCCGACGGTACCTTTACCAAAGGTTCTGATTTGGCAAAGGAGTTGGGGGCTCAAGGTGGCCATGCTTCTCACGGCGCTACAGACACCACCTCCAACAGCAGCGAGCAAGGCCGCAACCCAGATGGCACGTTCACCAAGGGCTCCGATGTCGCCAGCAAACTTGGTGCTCAGGGCGGTCATGCTTCCCACGGCTCCTCTAACGAGTCCGGTGCTCAGACCTCAAGCAACGACAGCGGAGTAAGTTATTTCGAAGAACATTTGACGAGTTCGTAACTAAAGTGTTGCTTGTAGCGCAACCCCGACGGCACATTCAAAAAGGGCAGTGAGCTTGCTTCCGAGTTGGGCACACAGGGCGGACATGCCTCGCACTAGGAGCAACATGCATGATGTGCCCATCAATCTTTCACTGAGTATTGGACATTAGGGTACTACCACGCAAGGCCATAAGCCTGATCACGAGAACATGAATGAATGGAAAAGGAAATACATGACTTGATTGTTCATCTCATATAGTGTACGACAAGTTGTGAAGGTCAGACCCAAATTGACTCACAGACTGCTGAAGTACTCTCTAACCGCTGTAGCCCAAGGCATCTAGTTCCTTCTTGATCTGCTTCTCGGTGCTGATCTTCTTGACCTGAGTGTCCTCTAGCTTCTCTCCACCAGCCTGACGCATCTTCAGCTCGTCAATGGCGCGCATCTTCTTCAGCAAACCCCTGATCTTCTTGTCTTGAGGGTTGCCGTCACCTGGGCTGGTGACGGTAAGGTCGGGAGGAGGACCCTGACTCTCTGTCTGAATTGGATGAGGAGCCTGTGCTGGAGCTTGCTGACGCTGCTGCGCGGGGTTTTGGCGCTGGCTTCCGTCCTGGCGGGCCTGACGGTTGGGGCTGTTGCCGAAATTGCGGTGCTGGCTAGCGCTTCGCCCCTGTTGCTCATATCCGCCCTTGCTGCGGCTACGCTGGCGACGTTCCGGGCTACGTCCAGCTCCGTTAGATGGGTTGATACCATCGGCACCGAGCCCAGCAGCCTTGTCAGCGGCTTCACGGGCCTTCTTGGCCTCCCGCTTCTTCTTGTTCTTCAAGGCTGCCTTGGAGAGCTCTCCATCGCCATCCTGAGCGCCAGTAAGGCTGACACCACCGCCAGGGGCAGCACCAGGTGGAAGAGTATCAACAGCCTCCGCTCCGGGCACCTCACGCCGGCGCGGCTTGCCGAATCCGTTGGCGAAGCCGACGTTTGTCGACGAGATACCAGTGTTGGCATAGGCTGCGCCTCCTTCATCTTCACGTTTGAAGTGCAAAGGAGTGGCGGTTCCACGCGCTCCGGGAGGGCGGTAAGCACCTGCAGGCTTCGATGGCGTCTTTTGGGTACTCAGATAGGCTACTGCGGATGGATGCGGCGTCGGTATAGTAGTCAAGGGGTCAGTTAGTGGGTACATCGAGGTTGGTTGAGGGCGCCAAACGACGTGATAGAGTTCGGCCATGTCCTCGTTGTACATGAGACCACCACTGACGTGGTAGATGCGGATACCGTTGTCAACGCGAAGACGCGGACTAGTGGTTGCAGTAAGAATATGCTGCCCGTCTGGGCTCCACTCGCAATAGGTCGAGTTGGAGGTCTTAACGTGGCAGACCTTGGCGAAATTCTTCTCAAGATCGTAGATGTCCATATCTCCAGCCAGATTACCAAAACCGGCAACGATGACGAAACGACCGTGTGGACTGAAAAGAATAGTGTTGCGTGGGCCTAGGTCAAAGCTGTGTTGTGCAACTGCGCGCTGGTTGAAGATAGTAGTCTTCGCAGGCATGTAGCCATAGGTGACACCAAACTCCTTCGAGTTTGGCGACCAGGATACGTCGTGAATAGGGCCCTCCTTGTCTAGCTGGATGCGCGAATCGAAGGTGCCATTGGCGCTGAGGATGTACATGTTGGTCTCACCGTAGTAACTCTTGTTCGACTTGTCAACCTCGGTCTGTGCCAGGACAATCAAGCTGGTGCCGAGATCGTTCCACTTGAGTTGGACCTTGTCGCCCTTGAAGAAAGTCTTCTGGGATACCGGCTGGCTAAATTGAGGTACTTGGAAGACCTTGACAGCAGCGGGCATGCCCTTACGCTCCGGTACAAAAACGGCAACTGAATGGTTCTTGCCTGGAGCGAGCATCATGTCGGTCACTCCTTCCACACGGAGTTTGTTCCAAGGGTTGCGCAAATCGCTCGACTGGAAGAATTGCACCTCGTTTGTTACAACGCGCGCGCAATACTTCTCGTCGGAGGTATACTGCAGGTTCCATCCACTCTGGTTCTTCTGGACATATTCGCCGATGACTGCCCGCGATCCATCATCTTCAGCTTCGTCGGAAAGCGTCTTCCAAACCCTGAGGTTCTTCACTGCGTTTCCGTCTTCATCCTTGGACGGGCGCTGCCATGTAATAAGGTATGTACCGAGTGGGGAGAAGCCGAGCTCGTAGACGTTCGGTGTAGGGAGTGTAGTAATGACGTGGCCGACTGAGGCGTCAATCACCGAAACCTGTTCAGGTGTTGCCCATGCGAAGTACTTGCTGTCGGGCGAGTAACAGCAGCAGCGAAGGTTGCCTTCGGGTCTATTGCGCAAGTTAGCGTCAGAATTAGAAATGGAGATGCGCGAGAGCTCGTGGCATAATGGAAGCACTCACCGAACGAATCCTGGAAGAGCCTCATACACTGGGGCAGCGTTGAAGATCCCGATGCCCTTGGCGGAACGGTCTGCGAATATTGTTAGCGTGCTTCCTCAATGGCGACCGTCTAGAGCGAGCATACAAGCCAACTGTGTGGGAACAGCCATGATAACTAGTCAAAGTCACAGGAAGTTGTACAAGTGGGCGTGGGGCAAGGTGCTGGTGGTCGCGAAGTCTGGCTCAACTGCTGAGCTCGGTTTTGTGGGTTGGCGATGAGTAAGGCTAAGACAGGAACACGTCGGGTGTGTGGGTATGGGTTCGAGTGTGACGTAGTTTCTGAGACTTTGTAGGCCAAGGGCAGACTTTGGGCGCACGCAGCGGCAACGGGTGGATCGTAGAGGGGAGGAGGAACACGCGTCAGAGAATTGAAGGGTGACCGTGTGACGAGCGTAGTGAGGGCGATGGAGAGAGTCGAGAAAGAAAACCGTGGGCACGCGCGCTAGTGCTCGGGGAAAATGCGGGCCGCTGGCGTTGGCTGACTGTGACATCAGCCTCACCAGCACATGGTCGAACAGGAGAATGAAATGGAACAGCTGTGAAGTCATCAAGTCCTACGCATCTTCTTCTCAGCTTTCTTTCTGACTGTATCGACGTCACTGCAATCTAGACCCATCTTATGCCGTCTGCACAGAAGGATTCGAGATTCAATGATCTGCAACCAGCTTTACCTAGCCGTTACTTCACATACGTATCATCAACCGGAGTTTGACAACATCATGAATGAATATTGTCTCGCTCTAGTCTTGTTCATCTGCATCGATATTCAAAATTGCCAGCATGATTCTCTCACAGACGTTGCGCAGAACTGAGTTGTGTTGATGCACCAGCATACCATCCATGTCTTATCGTTATCGCACCAGTAGCGCCCGAGCTCCATCTCAACTCCACAAACCCATCGTAGCTTCCGTCAACGTCTCTTTGGACGTCGTGCCGCAAAGATGCCGACCTCGATGCCCGCTCCTTCGATTCGAATACCAATGGAGCTTCTGACTCCAACTGCCTTCTCGCAGTTCGGTACTGTCATCGAGAACCCAACAACATCGCCGTCAGCGAAGCTGCCCATCCCCAATCGCATACCACCACCCGACGCTGTCGCGGCCAATCAGGGGTCCGCTACCAAGTACCTCGATGTCACGCATATGTCGAACCTGTATAGCCTTGCCCCGAGCAAGAAACCTGCCAAGGCGGTAATGAACATGTTTGTTTGCTCTCCGCGGAATCTCCGGCCACACGAGCCGAGCATGAGCATGCCTAGCTCGTGGGGAGATTTGGACTTGGATGAGGACGAGGAAGGATGCGAAGACTTTCATAAGCAACTGCTGGACGTTACCATTCTCGAAAGGCATCCATTCACCACGCAAACATTTATACCCATGGGCCTGTCGCAGCAGGAAAGACATACACAGTACCTCGTCATAGTTGCTCCTACACTGCCGGCAAGCGCATCAAGGCGACACACGGGCAGAGCGCCACCATACCCTACACCGCATGTTGAACGGAAGAGAAGTGTCATGGACATTTTTGCGCGAGCGAGACCGAGCCCGTACTCGAACGAGACCGCACCTTCCCAGAGCCAGTTCTCACGACTTCATCCGTCGGCACGTCCAAAGGGTCCTGGCTTGCCAGACCTCAAGAATCTTCGTGCCTTCGTTGCAAACGGAAGTCAAGCAGTGACATATGGGGCTGGGACATGGCATGCACCCATGATCGTAATCGGAGACCGACCAATTGACTTCGTGGTCGTACAATTTGCGAATGAAGTTGGTAACGAAGACTGTCAGGAGATAGTACTGAAGTCAGGCGAAACAGCTTCGGAGGGTGTGGTAGTCATGGTCGACACCGATGCGTCAGGCGCCGTGCAAGTCAAGGCTGGTGTAGGCTCTGTGAAGGCAAAGCTATGATGCTGGAGGGTATTGTCATTTCTGTTTTCGCGAATGCCGCTGGACTGTACTGCGCCCCGTTACACCCTATGTTACCTCGTGATGCATGTATTGATGAGGACTGATAATTGTTAAAGAAGATGATGACCACCTTATAGACACGGCTATACACATGAGCAACCAGAGCCGGTGTCTTAGAAAATCTCTCGAACCAATAATTCAGAAGTGAAGGGCCAATTGATAGTCATTGCTGGAAGGACGGCACAGGCGCGACAGGTCTCGCTTGTTTTCCCTAATTCAAAGCATAGGGCCTCCCGTTATCCCTGTCACGGCTCAAGCTGCCAGATTGATAGGATAAGTAGAATCTGCTTTATCTGCCACGGTTTCCTCGTGCTCGTCACCTATAGACCTCCATCAAAATAGCCAAACGTAATCGTGTCGTAACTTCCTCAAGTACCTAAGAGGTACCCCGCCTTCTCACAATGGAAGAAGCAGATCTTGTAATCATAGGCGCGGGTATCTATGGTCTTACAACTGCTCACACATACCACCGCCTGCACCCTTCAGCCAAAATTCTTATTCTAGACTCTGCATCCTCCGTCGGCGGACCATGGGCACCACATCGCGTCTTTCCTGGTCTTCGGACTAACAATTTGTGGGGCATGTACGAACATCCTGACTTCCCTATGGATGAGAAGAGGTTCAAGGTGAAGAGGGGAGAACATGTACCTGCTGCGAGGATGTTCGACTACCTATGTGCATTCACGAAATGGGCCGACATAGAGAAGTTCTTCAGAGGTCGAACAGTCGTTGATGTCATCGAGAAGGATAACGATGGGGAAGGATGGGTACTGCGTTGTATACCGACCGTGCTGGACAAGAAGGGGATTGAAATCAAAGCGAACAAATTGGTTATCGCGGTAGGCAACACGAACAAGCCGCTACTACCGGATTATCAAACATCGACAAATTTTCGACCATTAGTCATTCATACTGCAGACTTCCCGGAACATTATCCGGTCATCGCGAAGCCGGGCAAGCATACCGTCATTGTGGGATCTGGAAAGTCTGCATGGGATGTAGCGTACGTGTGCGCTAGTCAGCCTTCTGCAACAGCAACCATACTTGTACGTCCCGATGGTAACGGCCCCGTATGGATGACACCCAGTCACGTCACACCATTGGGATTGTGGCTAGAGAAACTGGTACATACACGCTTCTTTGGCTTTCTGTCTCCTTGCCCGTGGGCGCCTACGACGGGCATAGAAGGCTGGCTACGCTCCTTCTTCCATCGTACGCGGCTCGGAAGGATGGTAGTGGGTGCTTTCTGGAATATACTTGGGGAAGACGCTATCGCGCTGAATGGGATGGATAAGCATCCTGAGACCAAGAAATTACGCCCATGGAGGGGCGCTTTCGAAGTCGGCAATGCACTATCGATTCACAACTACCCAAACAACTTCTTTGACATGGTCAAAGAGGGGAGAATCAATGTTATCGTGGATGAGATTGCCAGTCTGCATGGAGAGCGACAGGTCATACTTAAGTCAGGACAGGTATTGGAGACGGATGCAGTGGTATGCGCAACGGGATGGCAGAAGGGATACACGTTCCGTTTCGAACCTCGAGAGCTGGAGAAAGACCTGGGCTTGCCAACTACACTTCCACCGACGCCGGAAGAAGCAGCTCTCATAAAGAGGTCAGAAGAGACTCTATACACCGAATTCCCGTATCTGAAAGAAAGGGATACAAGCCGTGTCTACCACCCCGACCCTTCCCTTCGCTACGCCCAACAGCCTTCTACAGACGCCCAGCCGTATCGCCTGCACCGCTTCATGATCCCACCAAAAGCCATGGGAGATCGCAACATCGCGTTCGCAGGCGCACTTCTCTGTCTTGGCGCCTTCCCCAACGCGTACATCCAAAGTCTCTGGATCACCGCCTATCTCGACGGTACCTTGCCCATCCCCTCCTCACCCACTAAAACACTCGAAGAGACATACCGTAACACGCAATACTGCGTACTACGAGGCGCAATGAGCTACGGGCATACGTTACCTGACCTTGTCTTTGATACTCTGCCTTACTTCGACACATTACTGAGGGATCTAGGCATGCAGGAGCGGAGGAAAGGCGGTGGCGTAAGAGAGTGTGTGAGCAGCTATGGTCCGGAAGACTATCGAGGTTTGCTGGAAGATACGGAGGTAAGGATGAAGATGGTGAAGGGTTTTCTCTAGCAGTGTGGCATGTCGATGCAGAGATCAAAAGACGATAGTATGGGAGGGTACCTTCGATAGAAAGTAGGAGGTTATGACGCTGAAGATGTTTCCAAAGTGTGCGTTTGTTGTGTATTGAGGCTTTTCCACTGTCACCCACGGTGACGGTGAGGAGGCGTAACGCGTTATCGTGGAGTTTCCCTTCACCTCGAGACAGTCTCAGGGATTCATGTGGGTACTTATCATGATATTTATCACTGTGAACATGACACTACGTACGAGGGATAGAAACGCACAACCATTTCCGCTAAACCATCCCGCTATAATTCTCCTGGAGTCTACGCATAACCATCCAATGCACCAGATCCCTCGCTGCAGTCGCATCTTCCAAGCTATCATGACCTTTATTGCCTCTATTCTGGATATCAGTGTCAAGGTACTTCTTCAGCAGTGTCTTCAACGCCAAATCGCCTGTGCCCTTGGTCTTTCTCTTCTTGGGTTCACCATTAGTGACGGTAGTTGGGTTCTCCATCATCTGATTATCGGTCGGTAGGGCAGACTGGTGATTGTCCGCTAGCTCTGTACTCTCTAGAAGACGTTCCTCCATCTTTTCCGCCGCCGCTCCATTGACTTCCTTCTCCCTTGCTTCGATTGCCTTCTTCTCCTGGATGACTTTGTTCTCTACCACGTAGGAGTCTACAACCCGTGTATGTATCCACTTCAATGCTTTCAGATCATTGTGAACGCTATGTCCAACCAGGAACGTGTCTGGCCCCACGAACTTCCACAGCTGCTTCCTTGCCCCAGCCTTCCCTTTCAACGTAGTCTTTTTTCTCACGGCTTCATTTAATTGGTCGAAAGTAACGCCCGACCACTTAGTATTGAGATGTAGCATTGGCTGATCCGGCTTGACTAGGTTATTGATGAGTACTTCCCCAGTCAAGTAATCGACAGCGCTTAAACGAATAAGCTCTGAGTCTCCATTCCTAGCTGTGCCCATCTCACAATCGATCGCGACGGCAAATTTGACAGTCGTAGCACGATTCGGGTGAAAATGAGGAGTCTCCTGGAGCTGATGCAAGCGATCGAGCTCACCTGGTCGGTATTCGCGCATCACATGAACAAGGGAACTGCTACATGGCGTGGCCTCAGAGACATGCTTTCCGCAACACATCCAGCACTAACGAAAATTAAGTTCGTAACTAAAAGCATGGGCTCTGTTGAGCTCACCTTTGTGGTGCGGTCGACTGCCGCTGAGTGGTACTGGCATGCTGTCGTGCACGGCTGGCAATCTGTTCTCCCGTCCTCGTAGTAAACAAACATTGATGGCCATTCCTGGGGAAATATGTCTGGTGTGAAGGGATGTTTTTCCCGGTAGAGCAGAGCTCTTTGCAGACCCTTTGTGAGCTGTTGGATAGCTACAAGAAGATTAGGAACGCTCTCAAGATCGACGTACATGTTTCAAATGCTACCGATTGTCCTTACTTTGGTTGCATCTACTGCATTTTCGTTTTTCATGAATTTCCAAGTTGGTCAACTGTTGGAATTTATAGCCATGTTTTTGCAGGGCAGATGCGGATTCTAGGAGACTTCGAAACACGTGGAAATAGGCATCGCCAGACGGGACTTCGAGCGCTGAAGGTGCTGGGCCCTCAAATGGGTCGGGCGGAGGTGGATATGGGACTATATGGTCTGCATGGGGATGCACCATTGTCCTAGGGTTCATGTTCGATATACGCTCTCCAAAGCGGCTTGCTGTGAAAACCTTGGGACGGTCGAAGTAACTTGATGTGAGGCGTGCTGAGATAAGATCATGGGTACCTGATCAGGTTAGAGTAAAGCTTGCCTCGTGAAGTTTACGTGTGGAAGCCGGCGATGGTGACAACGAAAGGCCCACGTGAAGAAGTGGGGAAGTTGGAAGTGAGATGGCCCCTCGACAAGGGTAATTGCGCTAGGGTCGCGTCGCGCCTTCCCACCTCACTGCCAGCTGAGAGACGCCTTCTACTGGAGATACTCGTAAACTTCATTTATCTGATCTCGTTTCTAAATCTTCATGCTATTCAGTGCGGCCTCTAGATCAATGATCTCTTTCCCCTTCACCCCAACTGTACCTTTCCTGTCCCTGTACTCCTTAGCCACGGCCTCCATCACCTTGCCCATCTGCGCATCCTTGCCCTCGGCCTCTAGCTCCTTCTTCACACGTGCGAAGTTGACTTTGACGAAGACCTGGTATTCGCTCTTTTCTCTCTTCCCATCTTTGCCTACAGCAACACCGGCCCCAACGCCCCTAGGTGTCGGTTTGGTCTGCGCGAGCTTGCCCTTGCACTTACCGCATGAGTGGCGGGCTGGATCGACGGATTTGGAGTGACGCTTGAACTCGTAACCACAGGAGATACATTCCCAGACGTACTTGTAGTCTATTTGGTACGAGTGTTTGGTGGTGACTTCAACGCCTTTGTCGGCGAAGGCGACGGTAACTTTGCGGCCCCAAGATTTGAACTCTGCTCCGTGAGGGTTATTACGCACTTCGCTGATCATAAACGTGGTCAAGTGGCAGAACTCGTGCGCGAGTACGTTGTAGAGCCTCTCTTCATCATCGATGACTTTCTCGGCGAGTTCAATAGAGCAGTGGTGCCGGATCTCAACGCGCGTGTCTGTGGGGAGGGGCCCGGTTCGGATGCGTATCTGCTCTCTACGCCAATTTGCACGACCGGCTGTCGTTTTGAGTGTCTTGGACCAGACAAGCTTGATACCGCCTGTGGATTTCGAGAGCTCGTGAACACGACCCGAGGAGATGGTGGCGTCGAGCTCGATGAGGAAGGCTTCAGCTATGGTGTGCTTGCGTTCAGCGAAGGCTTTGCGTTGTTCGCGGATCTGCTTGACATTCGAGGTCGGTTTAACCTCTGGCGTTCTCTCCTTAGCTGGCTTGCGACCTGTGGGCTTCTTTTTTGGGCTCTCTATGGGGCTTTCATAACCCTCGTCACTGCTGTCTTCGAGAGCTACACCTTCCATCATCTTGACTATATCTTCCCGCCATTTCTGCTTCTTGGGCGACACGAGCTGTTTGGCTGGCGAATGGCGGTCGGTCCAATCATTTACAGCTACAGGATTCCAAAATGCGTCAAGACTTGGTCTTCCGTCTATATCGGCTGCCTTAGGGATAACGGGCTTCTTCTTCGAGGGCGAGACGAGCTTAGCTGGGCTAGGAGGAGCTAGTGGAGGTGTTGCTGGTCGTGAGATGGGTGGAGCTTTACGGGGCGAGCGTTGCTTAGTAGGTGTTGGTGAATATGTCAGAATCGCGAGCGGGCCGTTCGATGCTGAGCTGGTAGGACGAGACGATGCTGCGAAGGAACCTGATCGGGCGTGAGTGTGTTCAGGGAGTACAAAAGACGCTGAGGCCTCCGGCGAATCTGTGAGATCGACAACATCTTGCGCCCAATTCGATATCGTACTATGGCCCTTTCTATGTGGCGGTCGCATGGAAGTAAGACCGGCCGGGGGCTGGGTAGACGTTTGTACCGGCTTGAGGTCGGGGATCTTGAACATCGGTTGTTGAGACTGCTTGATAGGTTGTGGTGCGCTCAGCTCATTCTCATCATCTTCACTGTCAGACACTATACGTCGCGCGCGCGGTTGTCGCTGGTTGTTCCTTGACTTTACAACAGGCTCATCATCTTCCCCTTCCTCACTGATATCTTCCACTGGATCCGCAGCTTCTTCTCCTGTCTCTGGTTCCTCTTCGCCACACCACAGGCTTGTTTCTTCCTCTTCCTCGGCCTCATCTTCCACCATCTCCTCTCCCTCCTCCTGTTCTTTGCTTCGTGACCGTTGAGCAGCCTCTTGTGCCTCTTGCTCCCCCACAACATTGATCTTGCCCTTCTGCACCTGCTTATTCACGACGCTTCGAGCCAGGCTTTTGGCATACAGAAGTCCATTCCTCTTTCCAACATCTGTGTCTGTTGTTCCACTGCGTACTCTTCGCTCTCTTTGTTTCTTCTCAGGACTTGCCAGACTTTCGTCGCTGAGCTTCCGAAGTAGTCGACTGTTGCTCTCGACCGGTCGCAGTACACGTTGCTTTCGCGGGGTAAGCGTATCCTTGGGCGTCGCTGTCTTCGGTATGCGGAACGAATGCTCTATGGCTTCCGATATGCTAATATCCCGAGCTGTGCACCTCGAACTCTTTGGAACTAGTATCGAGCTGTCGTCTTCTTGCAATGATGCGTATCGAAGTGTGGCTTTCCGGGGATTTGGTCGGCTTGCTCTCGTCTCGGACGGTGGCATAAAGATAGTCGGTTCATTTGGGCTCGGTTTGCGTAGACGCGCCATGTTCGCGAAATGCGGTATGCAATAGTATAGTATGTAGGGATATTCAAGCTGTCGTCCGCGCGATTGGTACCCAAGAATGATGTTCGCACAAGGATGTTCAGACGTTGAAAGTATTGCCGAGCATGTTTGTTATCGGTCGTTGTCCCAGCGACTAGCGGGAACGGTGCCGGGACCCACCTCGCACGTTTCTAGTGCCACGAACGTTTTACTGTGCTTTAGCCTGCGCACACGATGTTACCTGATATCTGAGGACTACCATGTAGAGTCTTGCCTATACTCAGTGAGCGAGATGTACCTCTAGATGTAAACATTATCTTCTGGCGCGCGAATAGTGTACTAGGAATCACATCGAGTACCTCCAGAGTATCTTTTGTCTGGAGTAAAACTCGAGAAATCGAGCTTCGTAGTCGCCTCAACCATTGTCCACAATCACGTCAAAGCATGTATCGCTTGTAACAAGGAAAAATCAGTCATACATTGCATGCTAACCATCACAAATACAAGCAAACCCAACCACATTGAGCCCGATGGACCGACACAAAAGCTGCACTACTGCGCCCATCTGCGGGCGTCTAGCTCTGTCTCTGATCATCTGTTCGATCCACCCCAGATGTGAACCTCCTCATCCCCAATCGTGAAGCATTTTCGGGGTATTCCATCCTTCTGTATTTACATCCCCAGTGGTGATTGTCTTCATCCGTTTTCTCTTCTATGCATTTACTGCTTAGCGTTCTTGGCCATGGTGTTAAGAGCGCTGCCGTTCTTGAACCACTCAATCTGGCCCTCGTTGAAGGTGTGAGAAAGCTTGATCTGGAAGTCCTTGCTGCCATCGGCAGGGTGGACTGTCATGGTCAAAGGCTTGCCGGGGGCGAGCTCGGTGGAGGCCAAGTCAACCTTGTCGTTGGGGCCGATCTTGTCGTAGTCGGCAGGGTCGGAGAAGGTAAGGGGAAGCATACCCTGCTTCTTCAAGTTGGTCTCGTGGATACGAGCGAAAGAGCGGGTGATGATGGCCGCGCCACCCAAGTGCCTGGGCTCGAGCGCAGCGTGCTCACGGGAAGATCCCTCACCGTAGTTCCAGTCACCTACAACTACCCATGGGACGCCGTTCTTCTTGTAGTCACGGGCAACGTCGGGGACGGCACCGTACTCGCCGTTGAGAATGTTCTTGACCTTGTTGGCCTCGCCGTTCTCAGCGTTGATGGCACCAATCAACATGTTGTTGGAGATGTTGTCCAAGTGTCCACGGTACTTCAACCAGGGACCGGCCATGGAGATGTGATCGGTAGTGGTCTTGCCCTGGCACTTGATCAGGATAGGGAGGTTCTTAGCATCCTTACCATCCCAGGCGCTGAATGGCTCGAGGAGTTGAAGACGGTCGGAGGTGGGAGAGACAGCGACCGAGACAGATGAGCGGTCCTCGGGGGGAGCCTGGTAAGTGTCCTGGCCTGGGTCGTAGCCGTTGGTGGGAAGACCAAGGCCGGAAGGCTCCTTGAGCTTGAACTCCTTACCATCAGCACCCTTGAGAGTGTCTGCAGATGCGAAGTCAGTGTATGTTTCACATGCGTCTTGTAATTTTTTTGCTTACCTGTCAAAGGATTGAAGTTAAGCGTTCCAGCAATGGTCATGGCGACAACGAGGTCGGGGGAGGTGACGAAAGAGTGGGTGGCGGGGTTGGCGTCGTTACGGCCAGTGAAGTTACGGTTGTACGATGAGATGATGGAGTTGGCCTCGCCCTTCTTTACATCTTTACGATCCCATTGTCCTATACGAGCGAGCGAGGTTAGTAAACGTACAATAGTTAAGTATGAAGCAGTAGCCTGGAGGTATTCGAAGACTTTTGAGTTGTCAAGAGACGACAGAGAAAGCCGCGAACACCTCCAGGCTACCTGGTTGGGGAGGGGAGTACGAACCAATGCAAGGTCCGCATGCGTTAGCAAGGACCATACCGCCAAACTCCTCGAAAGTCTTGAGTTGACCGTCACGCTCAATGGTGGCGCGAATCTGCTCGGAACCAGGGGTGACAGTGAAGAGAGACTTGGCCTTGATGCCGTGGGCCATGGCGTCTTCAGCGATGGAGGCGGCACGGGTCATGTCCTCATACGAGGAGTTGGTGCAAGAACCGATGAGACCGACCTTGAGGTCCTCGGGCCATTTGTTGGCCTTGACAGCCTCCTTGAACTTGCTGATGGGTGTAGCTAGATCGGGAGTGAAGGGACCGTTGATGTGGGGCTCAAGCTCGTCAAGGTTGATCTCGATGAGCTCGTCGTATTCGGCACCCTCGTCCTCACGAAGCTGGGCAGCGTACTCGCGGGAGAAGTCACCAATGTCGCGGCGCTTGGTGGCGGCAAGGTAGTCGTACATGCGGTCGTTGAAGGGGAAGAGGGAGGTGGTGGCACCAATCTCAGCACCCATGTTGCAGATGGTAGCCATACCAGTGCAGGACAGGCTCTCGGTACCAGGACCGTGGTATTCGACGATAGCACCAGTTCCACCCTTGACGGTGAGGATACCAGCGACCTTGAGGATAATGTCTGTAGGCTGTGTTAGCGTGATTGCCCCGCATTCGGAGACTGGTATTTGAGGTACATACCCTTGGGAGCAGTCCAGCCGGAAAGCTTGCCAGTAAGCTTGACACCAATGACCTTGGGAGCCTTGAGTTCCCAGGGAAGACCAGCCATGACATCGACGGCGTCAGCACCACCGACACCAATGGCGGCCATACCCAGACCACCGGCGTTGGGAGTGTGCGAGTCGGTACCGATGAGGAGAGCACCAGGGAAAGCGTAGTTCTCAAGCACGATCTGGTGAATGATACCAGAGCCGGGCTTCCAGAAACCGATGTTGTACTTTGCGCAAGAGGTGGACAAGAAGTTGTAGACCTCCTTGTTGATCTCGTTGGCGCGCTCCAAATCCTTCTCACCACCAACCTGGGCCTCGATAAGATGGTCGCAGTGGACGGTGGTAGGGGTGGCAACGGAAGGCAGACCAGCTGACATGAATTGAAGAATAGCCATCTGGGCGGTGGCATCCTGGCAGGCTACACGGTCGGGACGGAGCTTGAGGTAGCTGGAGCCGCGCTCAATCTCTTGACCGTGGGGGTCGTCCAAGTGGGAGTAGAGGATCTTCTCGGCAAAGGTCAGCGGGCGGTTCAAGCGGCCGCGAACAATCTCGAGGTTCTCGTTCATCTTCTGGTAGTTGATGTAGTGGCCTTTCTCCCAGTTGGTCATCTCGACCTTGCGAGAGAGGGGAGCATCGCTGACGGTGGCCAATTGCCTGCGCGAAGCAAGGCTCTGGCCCAGGCGGCCGAGCCTCGAGAACTTCTGCATGGTGAGGATTGAGGGGAGGGTGGTGTGGAGAGAAGAGTGATGGAGGGAGCGGAGGAAAAGAACGTCAGAAGCTGGCTCAAGTTGGGCGATAACTAATGAGGATCACGAGGGGTGTGATTGGCTCGTCTAGCCCCAGCTGCGTGCGGAATACCTCGGCGCCAGAACCAAAAACAGGTCGGCAGCGTAGTCCCGTTGGCCCGCTTCACGTGCAAGCGCGGTGTAATGGAGACGCAATTATGAAGAGGGTAATTGTGCTGTGTGCGACTGGTGGCCAGCTGGTATTTCAAGGCTTCGAGGCAGACGAGACGTGTGCTTGGGAGCTATGCGTGTTCACCCAGACGTCATACCCGGCAGCCGTTCACCGACCCCGCGCTCATTCCTTTTGGAGGTGATTGGCGTTCTGCGATAGCACAGCGTTGCCCAAGAGCTCCCCGGAGGCCTGCGCTCCCTTTTCCGACCCAACAGCTGTGTGCCGAGTCAGCGTGCAGACCTGCAGACATGGCAAATTTCGGGTTCTGGAGCAACTGTCGCATCTACCACAGCCTGATTCGACCTAGCTCCACCAGTCTTTTTGACCTGCAGACACCCGCACGGGCCCCCGTCGCCGGGCGTCTCCACACTGCAACTTTCTCTATAGCCGACCATCACGATTCCACACGGATAACCGACGGCCGCGGATACTGCCCACCATGCCTGCCATACGCGGACAAGACTCCAAGAAGAAGACACGTAGACATACGCGCGACCTCGACCAGATCCACGCCGACTTGCGCGACGACAAGCATCTCGCCGAGTTCAAGGATGCGAAGCCCATAGAAGATTTGCCTGGCCTGGGGCAATGGTACTGCAAGGAGTGCGCAAAGTTTTTTGAGAGCGACGGCAACTTTGCTGCGCATCAAAAGGGCAAGGTCCACAAGCGGAGGTAAGAACACCGTCTTTGCGATTATGACAACAGCGCTGACGGATTTCTAGAGTCAAGCAACTTCGCGAAGAACCATACTCCCAGAAAGAAGCAGAGGCAGCCATTGGCCTTACCACCAACAACGGAACGCGCACCACGACCGCGACAGCCCCGATGGAAGTCGACCAGGTTGCAACATCGGGTTGAACGCTGCAACAATGGCTTTGCCAACCAGAAGTAGCATTCTTTGGCCAAGAATCACAAGACGTGGTTATCTGGGCAGAGAATGATCAACCTACATTCGGAGTCGACTGAGATGGCAACAAAAGGTTCTCTACCTAGGAGAACGGCAGATTGTAGCAGGAGAAGAAAAACATGCATTGCACGGCGTTCAAAACTGGGATATGGAACATATAGAGAACCCAAAAGGCTCAGACGATACCCTACATTTCAGATCAAAAGACTCGAATTCTCATAAATGCCATGGTCCTTCACAATCGTGACTATTTCGTAGTGCTCTTAGTGATCATCCGTATCCTCTGGCTGCTGTGTTCTGCCCATGTGCTAAAAACTTGACCTCAAATTAAATACCGGTGCAGTCGGAACATGGTTTAGTCCACGCAAATTACCTGACAGTAAACTGGTCAAGCTCAAGCGCCATTGGGCTGCTGTGAAAGATGTCGTTCGTAGGTAGCCATTCTCATGCTGCCTGAAGTTGCCTGGTGGCTACCTACGTGCCTTCGCCATCAACAACATCACAGTCGCAACATAAGTACCACACCAACTTCTGCGCAAAGTGCAACAAGTCCCAGCAATCACCCAATACAACGCTGATATAAGACATGGCATTCACAAACACTCCTCTCTACGGCGGCGCAATAACCCTCGACCTCCCCTCTAACTTCGACGACGCATCGTAAGTTCTTCTCTTATCCTGCGCGCCCCCACATCCCGCGCCTTCCTTTTACAGCGTCATCAACCCCACGTCCAATGTGTACAATCGTCCAATGCTACAAACCCTTTCCAAGCATGGTATCGCATACCTCGGGCTTCCATACTGACAAAGTAAATCAACAGTCAAATCCGACAAATCCCCGACCACCAAGAAGTCTACCTCGACAGCGATGGCTACTCCAGTATCGTCGTCGAGATACTAGAGTATGTCGAGAAGAGCAATGATGAAGAAGCACTGCAGTACCACTTTGGCGATCTAGTTGAAGGCACGGGTGACCAGACTACCATCATTTCGCAGGACCGTGCTGTGATCAAATCTCTGCCGTACGTACCATCTAGTATCACCAGAAAAGAAAACCAGAGCGAGGGCATGGTAGAGTGGAAACCCATGGTATAGGTGCATGGCTAACTACGGTTACAGGGACAACTCAGTCTTGACACTATCATTCATCCAAACCCCACCAACACCCAACCCTCACCCCAACCGCAAGACTCCCGAGTTCACCTATATCCACCTGATTCTTCTTCGCCTCAAGGATCAAGGTACCGATGTAAGCAATTATCTCTTCATCTACATCTCCGCATCGTCACCGTTTACTCACCTGACTTCCCCTCTCTTTTCCCTATTGACGTAACAACTTCATCATCATGACTAATACTCCTTCCAAGATTATGATATCAATCAACATCCCGCACTACCCAGGCGAGTACACTCCAGCAGAAGAGCAAGGCGGGGAGACGCCGTTGATGAAGGATAGTAAGGCAGTGAGGGAGAAGGTATTGGAGAGCTTCCGGGTGAAGGAATGGGGGCTTTTTGAAGGCTAAGACGGATACGAGAGAGGCCATGAAAATGTAGTTCATGGGAGACGGATGTCAAAACGATAACGGAAAGAGTCAATGGTTGAGGGAAACTAAAAAATACATGGCAAGAGGAAGATTTGAGAAGGGGTAGAAGATCTAGGGAGGATAGTGAAGATGTAAAGGTATAGAGATATAAGAAAACCGGTAACACTACGTAGTCATTAGCTTAGCAATATCCCTCATGGATGTATTCAAAAAGTGCAGTTGGAGAGCATCATCGCGAGTATACTGACGAGGCCAAAGTCATATTCACATGTTTTCAATTGTTATATTCTCGCATTATCTGAAAATGCCGCTATGCTCTCGCAGCCTTTAATTTCCCTCCCTATGAGTAGCCAAACTGTTATGACCCACGGTTACGTCCATCGCTACAGACAGGGTGGCATCGATGGCCTTCCCTCTGAGGCCCCTTATATAGTATCATGCTTTAGTTACCCATGTCGTATACCGCTGCGTTCGACACCTCACACAACTATACCGCATCTACTCATTTGTATTGACTCACAAGATTCAACCTTCTTCGCATCTCCTCTCCCGCAGTAGGTGCCCGCTCATCTAAACTTGGGTCAAGGCTCATGCGTCGGTGGTCAAGTTCACCTGCGTGTCCTACGTTATTTGGGACCTGGGCTGCGAGGAACGGTGATGGCGGGAGATCAGCTAGATTCGCGACAGGCTCCATGCCTTGCATCAGCGCAGGATCAACAGGCAAGTCATAGCCATTGTCCTGAAGGTATTGCGGATAGATTGCGCCCTGTTGCTGTGCGGCTTCGAGCTGTAACTGGCTACTCGGAGAGTCTGAAGGAGGTGGTGGTTCCGTTGGTGAGAACAAGCTCGGTGGAGTGGGTGTTAGGGTTGGCTGCGTAGCACTTGATGACAGGAAACCAGATCCTGATCTTGCCTCTGCACGCGCTTGGTTTTGACCCTGGCGCATAGCTGACAGGCCTTTGTTCATCTCGCTGCACTCTGGACAGTTACGAATGACCTGACTGACAGTCTCCTTTATGCGAACCCAATGGTAGAGTTCGGCAATCGCTGCAGTAGTCTTGTTGATGCCCCCATGATGCTTATGATGGATCTCGCGAGCAATCTCGTACTGCTGCTTAGGATCTGCGATGACCTCTTTGCCCTTCAGCCACAGCTTCTCAGGCTCGTCGCCCTCCCCAGGCGTAAGCTTGTAATGTGTGGCTGCACTACGAAGACGGCTCTTCTCTGCTCGATCAGCACCGTTGGGATACTTCCCGTTCTTGAGATAGAAGCGAATCTTATCGAAGCGCTCCTCAGACACAAATTCGTCATCTTGACCTAGATCCCGACCGTATATGATGGCATCGACTAGCTCGCCAGGATATGACTTGAGGTTGCCGCAACCTTTCACACGACCGATACGCTTAAAGCCGAGGGCATCCCATATGCGGCAGGATGCGACGTTGGTTTCGTACACGAGATTGAAGACGGAATAAGTGTAGCCCTGAGCATATTAGCGCATGCTACCTAGTCTTCTGTGGAGGGTCTCACGAGCTTTGGTGCCCAGTCCAGGTAAGTCTCGCCCATCAAGCGACCAACACCTCGGTTTCGCGACGCATCCGTGACCAGAAACCCGCCGTTGCAGACATGGCTCGACCGTCCCGGGTAGTTGGGCTTGATGTAGAAACTACCAAGACATTCCCTCTCCCAGTCACAGCCCCTCCGTGCCATCTCGTGTAGTTCTCGGCCATCCTGGATCTCACCCAGCAGCATAATCGCACCAAAGACACCGAACCAGTATGGACCAAAGGCCTCGAGCGTCAGCGGCTCAACCATGGGGTAAGTATCGCCCTTTTCAATCTCGCGGCCTAGCTGATCGCATAGGTATGCCAGTAATGTGAGGGGTACTTGATTCGGCGCAGAGAAGGGGATAATCGTTGCCGTAGTTACACGGTCGCGCAGAATGACTTGACATGGTGCGATTCCTACGGGTAGCGGGCCACCAGGCGGGGGATATGATACGTCGCCAGAGGTTCTATATATGACTGGTGCAGTAGGGTCATCTAGCATAGCAGGCATGGTGGGCAGACTGTTCTGTGGGCTGTGTCTGTGGAGAAATCAGTATCGCGAGAACGGCATATTGACCTCCAAAGTGGGAGCGGAATGTCCTCGCGACGGCGCGACCCAGGCGCCATGCTGGTGAAGCACAACGTATAGACTCGGTACGTGATGACGACGTTGGTGTAGGACTTACGGAACAATGCGTAGGTGCCTGAGAGGCCCTAGGAATGGTCAAGCAGGATGAGAGATACTGCCGTGATGTGGTGCTCGCGGTGCGTACCCAGCGAGATCTGCAAATGCCCCCACTAGCGCCTTTTTGGTACCAGCGAATCTCTAGCGCCGTCATCTCCATACATACCTCGGCTGAGCAGTCTGTACATATTGTCGACGACTTCACAAGTGGATAGCAGGCATGTACGCAAAGATGATATCAAGAGCTGTTAAAACGGAGTCAATTACGAAGCGCTACAATGACGCCTACGCTACAAATATAGACATTTCAAGGAGACGATGACATTTCTACGAAAAACGATAGGGAAGAACCACTGCTGGATATCAATTGACATTTTGTAAGGAAAAAAACTTTCGTGTCCAGTGTACATTCGAAAGGTATTATTTAAAAGAAAAAGATCCTTCATACACAAGCATACCACATGCTTCTTCCTCGACCACATCAGTCTCTCGCTATACAACCGACATCTTTACCACTTTACATCTCAGAGTACAGGAAGTTACCGGACTCGTCAACGTACTCGATGGTCTGCTTGGTGACACAGTAGCCCTCCTCCTCCCAAGGCATGGATGGGTAGGGGAAGACACCGTTGGTAGGGCTCTGGGGCATGGAACCGTCGCTGCTGGGCTCGTCGTACTCGTCACCATCTGGCAGCGGGATGTCGAGCGCGGTGGGAGTGTACTTGAAGGGCTTTCCAGCAGGGAGGTGAGCGGTCACGCTCTCAAGGACCTCATAAGGTGCGCTCAAGTCAGGAAGCTCATCGTCAGAGGCAGCAGGCTTAGCCTTGTTGCACTTGACGCTAATGTGCAGGTTGGGAATGTCGTCAGCGTTAAGCTCGCCGTCAACACCGACAACCTTGTAGTAGAGGTTCTCCTTGAGGTACGACTCGATGTGTTCTGGACGGAGCGACTCAAGCTCTCCAGCGGCTTCCTTTCCTTGGAGGCAGGTAGTCAGGGGAAGAGCACCCTCGGTCATGACGGATTGGGAAGCATTGGCACCACCTTGCATCATGCCACCGAGAATACCGTAGGAACCAACGTAGTTGGGGTCCTGGGTGTAGTCGGTGGAAGGGTCGTAGTCGGCATCGGCGGTGCTGTTGCTGTAAGGAGAGGTACCAGTGCTGATAGGAACAACGGCAGAAGCAGTAGAGTTGGCAACCGGGTAAGGCGCAGTGGAGTTCGAGGTAGAGTTGTTGCCGGGCTTGCCAACGAAGCAGTGGACAGTGTAAGATCCCTTGAGCGCGTACTTGTCGGCGATGACGGAAAGAACAGTGTGGTAGTCGCCCTCCTTGATAGGACGTCCAAGGTACTGGCCAGTCTCCGACTCATCATCACCACGCTTGGTAAGAGTCCTCTGACCGGCGCCGTAGAGCTGAGTGACGGCACGAGCCACCTGCTGGTAGGAACGGTCGCTGGTCTCAGGGTAGTAGTATCCGAGAGTGCGTGTCTCCTTGACATCAACCGAGGTGAAGTAGTTACCAGCAGTGTCCTTGGTGAAGGGCTTGAGAGGGGAGTACTGGTTCTTGGGCTCACCCTGGTTCCACTGAGCCATGGGACGGATGACGTTACCGTTGGAGACGTAGGTGTTGGGAGTGATGAGCTGGTACATGGCGAGCAGACGGTCAACATTGGTGTGGTGAAGCCAGAAGAGGGGGTCGAAAGCCGAGACATCAAGGTAGTACATGTGTCCCCCACTTTCGCCACCAGCAGTGTTGTGGATGGCATCGTGAACGGACTCGAAGCTGTCAACACCGCCGCCGCTCAAGTCGGTGCGAACGCCGATGGCGGAAGTGCTAGCAGCGCCCCAGTTAGCCTTGCTGGAGAACAAAGCAAAGACACGGTCACGGAGAGAGACGCGAATGGCATTGAAGCGGGCGTTCATCTCGTTGTTGTTGCTGCGGGTAGGGTTAGCAACCGGGCGACGGAGCGTCTCAGGGAAGTTGTTCCATGGGCCTCCACCCATCTCAGACGGAAGCGTGTTGCCGAAGGTGTACTTGTACAGCGGGTTGGGGATGGTGACAGTTCCTTGAGGCTTGGTGACGGTGACGGTCTGGTCGCGCATCTGGGTAGGGACAGTAGAGCCACCCTGTCCTGGGTCCATAGCCCAGTCCCAGTAAGGCATACGGAGAGTCGACGCGGCGTTCCTCCATCGCTGCTGCTGGTTGGAGGGGAAAGTAGCGATGACCTCCAAGACACTCTGGTACCATGCTTGCTGTGAACTGTTAGTCTACGCTCAATCGTTGAACCCGAGTTTCATACCTCGTAGATGGCAAGGTAAGGCCTGTGCCAGGAACCGAAAAGAGCCTGCGCGTGAGGGCAGAAACCTTGCTGGTTCAAAAGGGGTGTGGGGAAGTTGTTCCAGCTTTGGAAAGGACGACCGTGAACACCAGAGACCTGGTAGTACGAAAGCCTGTCGTTCTTGTCCTTGGCCATGAACCTCTCCATACCGAGAAGGTACAAGTTCCACTGGTCGGCGTTGCGCGCCAATGTACGGAGCTCGAGACGGGGAGCAGCAGTCCTGCCGCCATTGCACTGGCCGTTGGACGCAGTGCCGGAGCTGCACACACCGGTGATGGCAACGAAGCCTTGCTGCGACTGACGCTTGGTGAGTTCACCCTCGATCTCGTTGATGTGGGCCTCAATGGCAGCATCTGCGTGGCGGGCAGGGTGAGCGTGGTGGTGCGAGCCATGCTGGAAAGCGACTGTGAACTGGAGAATGGACAGGAGGGCGACGAGCATGGTCATCATGCTGGCGGGTTTGCTGAAGTTGGCCATCGTGAAGAAAGTAGTGGATGCTTTTTGTGTTTGGTTGAAGGACCAGAAAAGCCAAGAGTCTGGAAAGAAGTCGACTCGAAGAACCCGAAGAATGAAGAACTACTAAAACCGATGCTAAAGAGCGTAACGACCTTTGGATTAAGCCCAGAAGGTCTGGAAAGAAAACGTGTGCTGTAGAGACCTCGACGTCAAAGAACGAGGAATCAGAGATGCGGCGTAACCGGAGCAGGGGCGGGCAAGCGGCAGGGTCATATATCGAAGTCTGCTATTCCCAGTCCATGCTCAACTGGGTTTAAACTCATGCTGTTGGTCGCCTTTTCGGACACGAGGCGGTTGAGCCTGGACCGGGGGTATATCGTATTCGTGGCGGCGTGAATAGTGACTGGAGGCTATTGGGTGGAAGACGGGATCAGTGGGGAGGTGAAGCGCCCCTGTAGGTCCCGAAACGACTAAAGACAACTGATCCGCGCCGCCTTCCCCTGACTTAGCCGTATGCGGACAAGACGTTGCGCGCAGGGGCCGTTGTAGGGTGATGATTTGGGAGCCGACTGGCGCCGACGTGCGCCTCTTAGATGTCTCACGCTGGGGTCGTCAGATGCTGTGTCGTTACCACTGCAAATATGATGACGGACTGCCCTCCCTATCATGGTGCGACCTGTCTGCGCAAACGTGGACCAGACGAAATGCCGTGTGCCCTCTGCGTACCCATGAACGAGTCGTTCCTCCGAGCGGGAAAAAGACGCATTTCGGCTGCAAAAGCCTTTCTGGGCAGCTAGCACAGCCACGGCGACGCCCCAGGCACGCTCCTACTGAGGAACCATTCGCTGTCCACAAGAGGACCGGCACCTTCACCTTCTGCATCCACTTCTCGCGTCCTTTGATTGCGGCGTGTCCTACGCATCTGCTTACCGGTTACATGCCCACTGCATGCAAGGACACGCGCCTTCATGGGTCAGCGAGCTTACCACGGTCTTATCAACGCATATCCTCATTTTGCCGCGCCGTCCATTGTCCATGTGAGGAGGGTCTGCTACTATGCACGTTATGCGTTCTTTGCCCAGCAAAAGAGCGTCTTCGCTCGTTACCCTTCTCGGCTGCTCGCTTATTGGCCAACCTTAATGCAGGTACACACCAGGCCGTGTTTCACCTGACCATGGATCACCATCCACATGTCAAGACCGCAGTCCACATCGTCGTTTCAACCCTCCTATTTTCCGCATATCGCCAGTGCTTGAGTCGACTCAAGCTTTTTCACCTGTGGAGATGGTTTATCGATATCGTCCCTCAGCAAGTGCTGTTCGTGCAGAGTGACGCCCACAAACCCAAATGACGGAACTCCGAGAATCTAGAAGTCTAGCTAGCTGCGTGTTTGCTCGGTTCGGTCGGTGCGCTGCATGCCCAGGTTTTGCAGCGGCGCGGCAATACGCCTGTGTTCACAGACCTACGGTAAGATGCGAGGATTGCCCCTCTCCACAGGCGAGCGTCAGATCCGCCACGAGCCCTGGAGGGTCGCCGAGAGTAAGCGGCTCGAGGCAACGCGCAACTCAATCCACTTGGTTTCTTATGATGACATCGTTTCCCTTGACGAGAAAACCATATTCTATTCTTGTTTGCCTATCCCCATTACCGAAGGTTGTTGGCTATAGCTTTTGAGCATGACGATTCCACTCCATTTCTATTGCGATAAGTTTCATTGGCTTTCGTTGGATAAGCCTGTACCATTAAACATCGAGGGCCCTTTCCTCTCTCACGTACAGAACCTCGAGGATCATATGTTTCTCAATGTCTCGGACCGCAACCCACGTCGCAGCCAATAAATCGGACCTATGGCGCGGGTAATGTCGACAAACGGCGCAGTGTTTCGTGAAGATGAATGAGTAACCTGTTTCACCAGCGAGCGGCCCACCCCACCGAGCGGCCCAGTTCCCCCACCAACACGCGTACCTAGCAACAACACGTAATGTCTCAACAACTACAACCTCTCAAGGCTTATACTGAAGCTGATGTGCAGCTTGCCCTCTTAGACGTTAAACGTAACCAAATTCCAAGCCTGCGACGTGCGGAGGCAGTCTACAAAGTCCCAAAGACAACGATACGACGGCGACGCGACGGGAAGCCCTCTAGACGCGACTGCGAGCCAAACTCAAAGAGCCTGACGAAGCTAGAAGAGGAGGTGATTGTACAACGTATACTTGATGAGAATCTGCGTGGAGTACCGCCCTCGAAGCTACACGTACGAGATATGGCTGATAGATTGCTGCGCGATCGCGGCGTCAAGTCTGTTGGCAAGAACTGGGTTGACAGGTTTATCCAGCGTACACCTGAGCTGCGCACGCGCTGGAGCCGTCCATACGATCGCCAGCGAGCTCTCTGCGAGGACCCAGCAATCATTGAGCCCTGGTTCATGCTGGTTCAGAACATGAAGGCGAAGTACGGCATTATAGACGACGACATGTACAACTTTGACGAGTCTGGCTTCCTGATGGGCAAGATATCGTCGCAACTCGTAGTGACAGGCATGGACAAGCCTGGGAAAGCAAAGAAGCTTCAGCCTAGTGATCGCGAGTGGACTACGTTGATACAGGGCGTCAGCGCAATAGGGCGCGTTATCCCACCCTTTCTCATCTTTGCCGGCAAGGTTCTTATCTCTAACTAGTTTACTAAGGACCTCCCACGCAACTGGGTTATTCAAGTAAGCCCAACAGGCTGGACAAACAACGATCTAGCGCTTGCTTGGCTTGAACACTTTGATACGCATGCGAGGCCTGTAGGAGCGTACAGGCTGCTTATTATTGACGGCCACGAGAGCCATTGCTCAATAGATTTTCAGGATCGCTGCAAGGAGAAGAAGATTATCGCCCTCTGTATGCCTCCACATTCGTCGCACCTCCTGCAGCCGCTTGACGTTGCCTGCTTCTCGCCGTTGAAGCGCGCGTACGGCGATGAGATCTCAGCCTTGGCACGCGATCGCATCCACCACATCAACAAACAGACCTTCTTACCAGCCTTTAAAGTAGCTTTTGGGAAGGCATTTACAAGAGAGAATGCTTGCGCAGGGTTTCGAGGCGCTGGATTGTGTCCACATGATCCACAAGCCGTGTTATCAAAGCTAGATGTGCAGCTGCGTACGCAAACTCCACCACAGCAAGATGACGCCGCTTGGGAGGCGAAAACACCGCGCAACGCCAAAGAAATGGAGGCGCAATCAACGCTGATTCGAAACAAAATGCAAATCCATCGAGGGTCTCCAGCAAGTTCACTTGACGAGCAGGTGCGACAGCTAACAAAAGGCGCGCAGCAGATAGCTCATGAGATGGTGTTGATGCGCGCAGAGATGGGGCGCCTTCGAGACGCAACAGAGACGCTTACCAAGCGTAAGAGTCGCAAGAGACGCTACGTACGGGCAGAGGAGTCACTGGCAGTTGGCGAGGTATTAGACTTAATTGCTGAAAAGGAGGGTGGCAGTCGTGAGGAGGGTGAGGAGCCGGCGAAGAGGGTGCGCGCAGGGCGACGCTGCGGCCGTTGCGGCAAGATTGGGCATAACTCTCGTACGTGCAAGGTAGAAATTGAGGATGTATATGATAGCGACGCTTCTGAATAATACTATACTGTTGCAAGAGTATAAAAATTGTGTTGTGGTGCTAAGCTACGTCGCTGCGCGAACGCCTCGCTGGTGTTCGTGGGCCGCTCGGTGGGGTGGGCCGCTCGCTGGTGAAACAGGTTAACTAGAATGGATTGATACGGCAGTGCTGTCAGCTGGCAGTATCGCAAGTCTGACCTGGAAACGTATTCGAAAGCCTTTCCCATGGTGACGTAGCATCGAAGGAGCAGGCGCAAAAGTAAACAAATAATCTATAGAGCGCTGTTGCCCCAACACGGTTTTAGGTGCTCGTATAGAGGATCCGCAATAAGTACCACGAAAGCACCGAGAGAACAGCGAACAGCGAACAGCGAACAGCAAGGTAACGGATACGGTACTCGGCGCAGCTTCCGATCCGAGCAATCGACAAAGAAGATCTCTATTTAAGACTGACAAGGAGCACGATATCTCGAGTATATCGAAAACGCAGTCCCTGAAGGTAACTACCCAGTCGTGAACCACACAAATTCTTTTTTTAGGCTCTTTGAATAGGCCTTGAAGCTACTTACAGCCTTGGAAAAGAAGACTCTTCTTATGCCAAATGTAATACTGTGTTCAAGCACCTCTCGCAATACAATACATTGCCCTTTAGCCCTCGCCAGAATGCCAAAAAAAATGTAAAGAACGCGGCATCACAGCGAGCACTCCCAGTACAAACCCGGAGAAAAGCAACCCAGCATGTAGAGCTTTGGCAGCTGCTTGTGCTAGTCGTTGCCTGATGGCGTGGCTTCCTGGAGAATCGAGTTGAGGTCCATCTTCGGCGAGATAATACTGTGTCGAGGGCCAGTGGAAAGTTGTCTTAGACATAGTCGTGGTTGCTGGTAGACGGAGCCTGTGTGGCAAAAGCAGAGCTATGTCTCACTAAACATAGAATGGAAATAGAAGCAGAGCTCCCCCATGCGAGACCTATCGAAGGATATTTCTACTTCTTTCTATTTACCAAGAGTTGTAGTGCGGCTGGTGAAAGTAAGGTACAGTATCCGTTCACACCTTCACACATACGAGCGAGCTAACTTTCAGCTGTCGTCTGATACCTAAGTAGCATCCGGATATAACATAGCACGTGTCATGTTCATGTTCTCTCTGGAGAAGTAGGACTGCAAAAGGTATCATATTGAAATCCGCGCATTACGCTACAAAATACATAACATTGGCAGAAAGCAAAGAAACTGGGTATATAACCGATATACACTGTAGTAGCTCCCAGTTCATTCATCATCGTCATCGTCCCTACCTAATCCACGCTAGAATCCAACTCAGCCCCTGGGGCACGCAACAATTACTGGAAGGCCCCCCTAATCTTAGCATAAAGCTCGGTATCTAGGAAATTGTAATTCGGATCACTGAAGCAGAAAGGCGCTCGCAGCAGCGTCTCAGCCGTAGGACGCTCCATAGGATCAATCGTAAAGCAGTCGTACATGAAGCTCAAGCCCTCTACTCCAATCACCCTGGACACGTCTTCGGGAATGGGAGGAGCCTGGTTCAAGCTACCGAGCTTGTAGATGGCGCCGATAGCTTCTTCCTTGGACCAAGGACGTTTGCCCGCGAACATTTCCAGGACAACGCAACCCAGAGACCAGATGTCGACTTTAGCAGAATAACCTTGGCCCTGGGAGCGGATTACTTCAGGAGCCATCCAGAAGACGGAGCCTTGCATGCTGTTTGTCACGTCGTTGCCGTAAATGTTGTCGCTCTTCTTGGAGATACCAAAGTCGGAGATTTTGCATGTGCCGTCCAGGTCCAGTAGGATGTTGTCAGCTTTAAGATCGCGATGGAGAATGCCTTCGCGGTGGAGGTACGAGAGGCCGAGCAGCGTCTGTCGTGTGAGTGAGGAGACAACAGACTCTTCAAATTTTCCGTGCTTGCGGATGCAAGACCCTACGCTGCCACCAGAAATGTACTCAAGGAAGATGGAGATGCTGTACTCTTTGCGCTCGCATCCGAGGTACTGCACAATGTTGGGGTGGTCGAGATGCTGCATGGTATCGATTTCTTGATCCAGACTCTTGACGAGTTCCTTGATCTTGTCCTTGTCGGATCCAGCAGCTTTGGCGTTGACTTCGACTTGTTTGACTGCGATAAGCTCTCCGGTGGTGATATTCATACCGAGGTAGACGCGACCGAATGTGCCTTTGCCGATAAGTTGACCCTTCATCCATTTGAATGTTGGCTGCCGCGATGGAACACTTGGCAGATGATCTTGAGGTATTGTCTCCATAACGAGGCGCGAGCCGCGTTGAGGTCGTACTTGCTCGGTCCTGGCATTGAACATCTTCGTTGACTTTCGCCTGACAATGTCGCCGCCATTGCGTAATGTAGCAACTCGCGATGGACCGGCACCAGCATGTGCCTGACCCGGAAGTGGCCTCTTGTCGAGTGGCTGATATTGTGACTTCACGACTTCACGGATAGACTTGGTACGGCCAAGGCCAGCGCCTGACTTTCTCAAGTTACGTTGTGCGATACTCTGCAGCCCAGCACCACCACGAGTGAGAGGCTGATTGACAGGAGTGGGCTCGACAGGCGCAGACTGGGAATCATTGACTGACTCCGTAGCGCCATCCGCTTCCTCTTCCTCAAGCATAGGTTGGTCGAGATTGACATTCGGGAAAAGCTCGTCAAGGTGTTCCACAAGGGCTTCAGCTGGCGGACGGTTCGCCCAAACATCGCTAGCGAATGACTCGCGACGCGAAAACTTGTTCGTATCGTTCGGGGAGTCGGTCCACGTTGCAGATGCAGCGGACTCGGGGTGAAAGTCGCTTGGCTGTGAGTCGCGGTCGCCAGTCGCGCTTTGCTCAGCGGACTTCTCTGTGACTTGCGCCAATGAGTTCTTTGATCGTTGTGTCTTAAGTGTAAGGTTTGGCCGTTGGCTACGGGAGTTCGTTCGGGCGATAGGTGTGCTCTTCGCAGGTGTGGGCGGACCAGCTCGTCCTGCGAGCGGCGCAGCGAATAAGCCATCATCGGAATCGTCGTCCTCAGAATCCATAGGCTCAAGGTTTGGGGACTTTGTAATGAACGACACTCGGGCTTCCTCGAAATCGTGAGTAGGGCCATATATCGACACCCTTGACGGTTCCCTACTCAGTGTAGACTCTGGAGCTTGGGCTGTGTGAGGGCTTCGATTCGGTGAGCGAGGTCGTTCGTCTCTCGGTCGTACTACTGTTGGATCAGGCATTGCGAGGGTAAGGTCTGGCCTCTCGTTCGACGTGTCGTTTCCGAAAGCTTCCTCATAGTCAGGTATTCTGAAAGGTATATTGCCCTTGCTCATTGTGAAATCGCCGGGACTGCGAGGTGACCCACCTGGACTGTTCCTGCCAGAGCCGGATCTAGCTGCGAATCCGTTATCTTGCAGTATCTGTTGCGATGGTCGAATGCTTTCAGGAGAGCTTTCGTCCTTTGACGGCGGTTGCGAACCCTTTGGTGGTGGTGCTCGGTTCGCTGCTCCTATTCCTGCCCCAAGATTGCCAGCGCCGATAATGGCAGCAGCAATGCCTCCCAGCCCGCTTGCACCCTGTGGAATGGCTTTGCGCTTTTCTGACTGCGACTCTGTGGATCTTCGCTTGGCCTGGCCATCATCGCTCTCGGGCCATGAGCCGCGGTTTTTGGCCCTTGATAACGAATTAGCCTTCAACAACGTACTAGTATCGGCAGGCACTGGTGGTGGTTCTCTCAAAGGAACAAGTTGCTTAGGCTTCCCATCAAACTGTTTCTTCACGTCCTCGTAAGGAGAAGCACGAGGTTCATCAAAGTCAACAATGCGCTGACTTCGGTAGCTGAGTTGGTCGCTCGAAGTAGGATTCAGGTCAGGACTGTGTCCGTTGATTTTCTGGAAACGACTCCTTAGGTATTCGTCCTGTTTCCGCTTGGTCTCCTTCCGGTGCTCTTCAGCAGCGGCTTCAAGCAGCTTCCGTCGTTCCTCCTCAGCCAAGTCATCACGCGGCTCCCAAGCAGACTCTGCAGGCCTGTCGGTCGCGTTATTGGACATGAGCTCGTTTTTCTCAGCCATCTTGCGAAGAGCTGCACTTCTGTCGGCGACGAGCGTTGATTCCCCAGATTTTCCGCCTGGAGAGTCTAGCTGAGAATCGGCGTTTAGTCGAGAGTATGCGTCTTCATCGATGGATCTGGCAGATACATGGGGAAGCGAGACTCCCAGACCAGCAGAGGGGGGTATGGTCCCCTCTTGAGGTATCTTGACAAAGATCTTGAGCTCGCCAACTCGATTTCCATACTGTGACCGGGCCTTGAGCAGTTTGGAGTCGGACAGAGGGTGATCGTGCTCCTGTTGCCCAGGAAGTGTGAGGTGCAGTTCTACACCAGATATCTGGCTCAAACCCTGACTTAGCTCTTCACAGCATACGGTCCGTAGAGCTGCTGCTGAGTCTACATTGGTGATGTCAATGAGCCGGTAATTCCAGCCATCCGGTGTGACAAAAGCATATTTGCGGTCTTCTCTTCCAGATGCACGGGCACGACCCGCTGCTCGATTATCAGAGTCCATCTGAGCTGATCGCCTCGAAGGGGGCCGTTCGTTCAAAGATGTTTCACTGGAGTTCATGCCAGACTTCCCAAACAGAGAGCCGCTTGGATGAGTACGATGACTTGCCGGACTGGTAGGTGAATCCAGGCTGATGTCATCGGGAGATGGGTAGTTCTCCTTCTTCCGCCCGCCCATGATCTTTTTGAAGAAACCCTTCTCATGGTCTTTGGCGCTGCTCGGCACCTCCATATCGTATCTTGCTAATCCAGTGCCCGGCCGTGAGCCTTCGTAGCCGTTCTTCCGATTCTCATTGCGACTATCAGACCGGTTTTCGAACGACCTGCCCGAAGGTGGACCAGAGCCAGTATTTGCAAAAGTGGAGTTGATCGATTCGGTACTGTTGACGCGGTTGTGGGGAGAGTAGTAGCGGGACCCGTTGTTGTTTAAACCCGCGCTGAGCTGCCCCCCGTTAGTAGCAAGGCGGGCTGATGGCAGCGCCGGACTTTGCTGCGGACTTGCTTGGCGATAGTTTGTCGCCCCCAGGGAGGATGGCGCAAATTCTGAAGATGCATTCGGGCTGTGTCGTACAGACTTTGGATCGAGGCCCTGGAGAACTTCTCTTGAGTAGGGACTGCGTGCAGGTCCTTCTGAAAAGTCTGGAGTCGGGCCAAGGCCTGGAACAGTGAAATTGCGTTGCTGTGTAGAGATGCGTCTGGGTGGGTTGGTGCTGCCGCCAGGCGAATGCAATAGCAGTTGGCGACCAGGACTCTCTTCGCCATTGCCAGCAGTGGTAGGCGTTGATCCAAAGTCCATACCCCGGGTGCCGATGTAGGGTGAATTCTCGACAGTACCCTCTGTTCCGGCGCTCGTCATGCCAGTATCGGATCGCTGCGGTGCTGCCCGGGGGTTGGCGGTGGTGCCTGTCTCCACGATGGAGCGTACAAGCCTACGAAGCTTGCGGCCCTCGTCTCGCTCTCTGTTCTGATCCCACCCAGTTCCACTTGCAGTGCATTGCTTGGCCAACTGCGGAAAGATGACCTGGTGCATCATGGCTACATTGCCTTTGCTACCATGGCCGCGGCCAATGTCCAAAAACTTTGAGCCTTCCAGACCCAATGTCCTGAAAGTTTCTTGCCAGTCTCGTGAGAAATTGTTGCTCGCCAGCCAGTGTTGTACACGTTCGGCCGGCCAGTGCATGGAGTGGTCGTGTGGGGATATCGGGGTCGTGCCGTTGCTTTCGGAGCGGTGGTAGACGCTGCCATGGTTCTGGACCATGGGGTTCTGTAGGGTTGCGGTTGGTGGCCCAGGCGAGTCGTAGACCTGAGCTCGTTCGGTCGGTATGTTGAGGTGGTTGCGACTGCTGGGCGTCTGGGGAACGTTGAAGCCGTTGTTGGAGCCATATTGCACGCTCTGCACGCTCTCGAGGAGGCTGCTAGAGAAGCCCTGGGCTGAAGTGTCGGTGTTGGCAGAGTAATTATCATCCCTGTAGTAGGGTTCTGGGTAGCCTCTGGAGGTGTGCAGTGGAGGTATGCCTACGCCAGGTCCGAATGACTCGCCGCCTGGGATGTAGGTGGCTGACGTCAGAGGAGGTTCGCGCTCATGCTGGATTTGTTGAGGCGGAGGCCCTGGGGGAGGGGGGATGTTGTGAGGGTAGTTGCGATATTGGCCCGGGTCGTAGCCTTGCTGCTGCTGGTACTGGGGTCTTGGTGGACCCCAGTTGTTCGCATGCGGGGGCGGCGGGATGGGTATGCCGCCCAGGTTGCCGTAATTCGTGGGCCGCGGCGGTGGTGGAGGGAGGGCAATATGGCCAGCGGGCGTGCTCGAGGGCTGGGGCGGCGGAGGGGGAATGTATTGATGCATAGCTGGACCCTGGAGGTACGGCTGCTGCCGCTGCGCGGTGAGTGGATCAGCAACGGTATGCGCCCTTCCGCGTGGGCTTGTAGAAGGTGCGCTTGCTCCTCCGGGCGAGAAAGAAGGATATGGCGAGCCGAGATTGCTCAGTCCCAGAGGCTGGAGGGACGACGACGGCGACGAGGTGACGCTGGGGATTTCGGGCAGCGGAAGATTGCCGGGCGGGATGCGATTCGGGCGAGGCCCGCGACGGGCAGAAGGGTCCGAAGAATTGGAGATATTTGACACGGAGCGCTGGCGAGACTCTTGGGTCATGTCTTGACCACGGCGGCGTTGGGCAAGGGAAGCTCCTCGGATGAATCAGAGGAGAAAGTGCCTCACATCACGACATGACGCTGCAGCGGTAACGTCGTCTCTAGGCCTGGGGTGCCAGCTGCCAGACGTGGTGGGCTCCTTGGGCTCCTTTGTCGGTACCTCTCTGTGGTATGCTGGCGATCCAAGTCGCGCGGGTGGGTCCCGGTTCCAAGCAGACAGGTGGAATACGAGGTACGAATCGCGGAGCCGTTGGGACGAACGGGGGATGAACGATTGAGTAAGGACGGCTGCTTGGGAACGGCCGTCGTCAGCGGAGGTCAGAAACGCGGCGCCTGCGCTTGCGTCGACGTGGGCGCTTCGAGGATGGCGGATGCGCTTGGCCGTTGCAACAAAGATGGGACCACAGCGCGGGCGGATGCAAGTCGTGGCGGCGGGAGATTGCGAGGGCAGAAGACGCAACGGCAACGACGACAAGGACGACGAGGGGCAGCGACTGAGCGACCGAGTGCGCCGGCGTCCAGATGCTGCCTGAGGGTCTGGCGGTGGTGAGAGCTACGGCGCATGCACGGACCACGGGTGAAGCTCACAAGATGATTTGTTGGACCGCGCCTTGGAACTCTTGCGCTGTCAGCCGTTGCACGCTTCTGACCCGTCTCTTCCACGCTGCAACTTTCAATGCGCATGGATCATTACGTAGCCGCCGGAGAGACACCGTCGCGAGCCCACTTGCCGTGTTTCATCTCACACGAGCACGTGGCGGTGCTGCCCTACACCGCCACAGCAGGTGTAGACAAGACAAAACAAGGCACTACCGCTGCTACGGCTTTACAGCCAGAACCCGCCCAGACTGGGGTGCGCCAGGGCTCGAGCTATCCATCGTCTCCCGTTAGTCAGGTACTGGGCGCTGGGCGGAGCATGCTATCGGAGTGCCCGTACGACCATCTACTCCCAATAGCCACCTTTGCTCGTATCAACGTAATATCCAATTTCAATCTTCAGCTCCTCTCGACATGTCCGTCATACTCACACAACTTCATCTTACCGCTCTAAGCGTCTCGGTAAATTTCTTCAGATTCAATGTCCCCTTCTTGTAGCATGTTCTGGTGGGGCAAGCGGCTAGTGGACAGGGCCAGCCCTCCAACCTAGGCCGCAAAGCGCACAATGTACATCCATCAGCATCACGACCAATATCAAGAGCTGGACGTGTTGTTCTGGAAAATCTTCACTAATTGGCATGTTTCAAGATGGCAATATTTCGGCGTCTTAGTCTTGCTATGACAGTACCTCGAGCGGGGCAAGTTCTTCGTCCCTGGTATAGTCAAGTTTGCCATCTCCCAGCTGGTGCATCTGAGTGCGCACGACTGGCTCCCAGGAAACCTGTGCAACATCGCAGCATTTCAAGCACCAAAGCCACCCCACGCATCCATGTCCTGGGCCTAGGAAGTGTCGGCGCTTTCACAGCACATTCGCTTGCCGAGACACGCCCAAGGCCAGCAGTAAATCTACTACTCCATCGTCCCTCTCTTGTGGAAGAGTATGGGCAAAATGGGAAGAAGATTCTTTTAAAGACGCACCAAGGCCAGCAGATAGCTCAAACAGGCTATGACTTGGAGGTGTTGCATGGTAAAAACTGGCACTTGATGCAGGACTCCTCCATATTTAAGAGTGCTGAGGTACTACAGCCAGTAGGAGATCTAATCGATGAGAGAATCAGCGACCTCATCGTGTGCGTCAAGTCTACGCAGACTGTTGCAGCCCTACGACCTCTTCTACCCCGACTTTCACGCGCGTCGAACGTCATGTTTCTACAAAATGGCGCGGGCATGATCGAAGACGCCAACACATTCCTCTGGGCTGACCCGCATACGCGACCAAACTACGTTACCGGTGTAATATCGCACGGCATCACTCTGAACCGACCCTTTTATGTCACCCACACTGGGCCTGCAGCAACATCAGTAGGACCAGTTCCTCGAGAAGATGGCGATATAGCTCAACCGCTTTCGCGGCTATTAGACATCCTACCTCTTGCGCCTCGTCTGAATTGTCAGGCTTATCCATGGCCCACTATACTACAGGTCCAACTAGAAAAGCTTGCTTGCAACGCGCTCAGCAACCCTATCTGTGCTCTCGAAGACGCCGTGACTGCCTACATCCTCAGCATCCCAGAAACCAACATGAGACTCATGCAGGAGATCTCATCTGTCATCCTCGCTTTGCCCGAGCTACAAGGCGTAGAGGCTGTAAAGGAGAGGTTTTCGGCCAAAGCCTTGCACGGCACGGTAATGGACATTATTGAGAGGAATAGAGCAACAACGGTGAGCATGGTATGGGACATGAGGAATAGGAGAGAGACGGAAATCAGGTACATCAATGGGTATTGGGCGAGACGTGGAAGGGAAGTGGGTGTGAGAACGCCGTTAAACGACGAGTTAGTAGAGAGAGTTCAGATAATGACGGCAGATAGGCTGCGGGGGGCCGGGTCGTGAAATTCATATTTTGATGTATGATTAGCAAAACTCAGACTGGATCGATGTCAGGATTCTACTGTAGACGGACAGGTGATGAGGCATATTGACTAAGTATATCTTGATGCAGTGGTCCCCTCAGCCACGAATGACCCACGCAGCGCCCCACTTTGACATGTCTTGATCTCATTCAGACCATCCATCTCATGCTTGATACGAGATGTTTTCATATTGTGACGATAGTATTATTGTGAAGAACTTTGTGAGCGTGGACTGCACGAAGCCTCGAGCAGCAAGTGCGCGCATTTGGTAACGAGACCACACTGCAAGTTTCATAGCTCACGCCACCTGGGCTGACAAACAGCGTGTGTGCAGCACGTCGCGTTACTATCGTGCAGCATCCCACGTCCACCCGATGTACTCGCACGAGACGCGCCCAACAATAGCGCTGGCCGGTAAAGACCGGACATGACCTCATTGCTATCAACTTCGTGGACCCTTAAAAGGTAGCTCCACCCAACAGCCACCATCACACCTAACAAACTACTTCTTTAGCATCAAAGCTTCACTTTTCTGACAGCTCGGCAACATGGCACAGGATCTACGCTCCCAGGATATCAAAAACCCAATTGACGTTGCAGAGGTGAGTTGTGTGGAGTCTAAACGCATGTGAGATTGTGCTAACTGATTCATCGCGACACAGTACCTCTTCCGCCGTCTACAACAGGTTGGAGTCGAGTCAGTGCATGGTGTCCCAGGAGACTACAACCTTGTCGCACTCGACTACATCCCAAAGGCCGGCTTGAAATGGGTCGGCAACTGCAATGAGCTCAATGCTGGTACGTGAAGCTCATCCTTGCGTTCGAGCTACCAGCGGCTCGCTTGCGGGAGCGACCGAAGTCGATCCGCCCGCCTCATGCTATATATACTGACAACTACTATAGGCTACGCGGCAGATGGCTACGCAAGAGTCAAGGGTATCTCTGCCCTTGTCACGACGTTTGGAGTCGGAGAACTCTCTGCAGTCAATGCGATCGCTGGTGCCTACTCCGAATATGTACCAATAGTTCATATCGTCGGCTACCCTTCTACTACGTCCCAGAAGAATGGAGCGCTGTTGCACCACACTCTTGGAAATGGCGACTTTACCGTTTTCTCGAGAATGTCCAAGGAGATCTCATGTGCTGTTTCGATGCTTAACAGCCAACACGAAGCGGCCATGCTGATCGACAACGCCATTCGGGAATGTTACCTGCAGTCGAGGCCCGTCTACATCTCCTTGCCTAGCGACATGGTGACGAAGAAAGTCGATGGCGATCGCCTCAACACACCACTGGATCTGGAATACCCACAGAACGACCAAGAAGCCGAAGACTATGTTGTAGATGTGGTATTAAAGTATCTACACGCAGCGAAGAACCCTGTCATTCTTGTGGATGCATGCGCTATCCGCCACCGAGCGTTAAAGGAGACTCATGATCTCATCAAGAAATCGGGCATCCCTACGTTTGTTGCGCCAATGGGAAAGGGCGCAGTGGATGAGACCCTACCCAACTATGGTGGTGTATACGCCGGAGACGGTTCAAACGCCGGTGTACGCGAACGCGTCGAGTCGTCGGATCTTGTTCTCAGCATTGGTGCTATCAAATCCGACTTCAACACTGCAGGCTTCACCATCCGCATGTCGCAGCTGACCACCATCGATCTGCACAGCTACGGATGCAAAGTACGATACTCAGAGTACCCCGGTGTAAGGATGAATGGCGTTCTTTCCAAAGTCACAGCGAAGCTTGGAAAGCTCAACATCGAATCCGGTCCCAACCCAAACAACAATGTTCCAGAGAAGGAGACCGCATCTACCGAACCAGTCATCAAGCATGCCTGGTTCTGGCCAAAGCTTGGCCAATGGCTAAAGAAAGATGACATTCTCATCACCGAGACTGGCACCTCAAACTTCGGTGTCTGGGAAACTCGCTTCCCAACAGGCGTCAACGCCATCTCACAAGTCCTCTGGGGCTCCATCGGATACGCAACTGGATCCTGCCAAGGTGCTGCCCTCGCCGCTAAAGAATCAAACATCAAGCGCACTATCCTCTTCACAGGTGACGGCTCCTTCCAACTCACCGCACAAGAGGTCTCAACCATGATCCGCAACAAGCTGGCTCCCATCATCTTTGTAATCTGCAACAAGGGTTACACAATTGAGCGGCTCATCCATGGGTGGGAAGACTCTTACAACGACGTGCAGGAATGGAAGTACAAGGACATTCCCCGTGTCTTCGGCGCCGAGGAAGGCAGCGTCCTCACATACCGGGTCGAGACAAAGGAGGAGGTTGAGAAGCTATTCCAAGACGAAGAGTTCTCAAGTGGCGAGACTCAAAAGATGCGGTTTGTCGAGTTGGTCATGCCGTGGGATGATGCACCGGCTGCGCTCAAGGCAGTTGCTGAGGCGGCGGCCAGGACGAATGCTAGTGCAGAGTAAATGGTGGATCAAGGGGTTGGTAACTAATGGATGGTGTTTCGAAAAGGCTTAGATACGGGATATGGCATCAGGTACGGTTCTCTTTTCTTTGTACGAATAATGACAATAACATTCTTCTCAAATATGCTTTTACATACATTACTGGCTTAATGACTTGACATTCCAATCAAACATGTAGCAGGACACACGAAAGATGGTCTCGCAAACAGATTGTACGCGACATTTTCCTGTCAGCGGCTTCGTATTGTCTTGGATAGAGACCAATGTCTTGCTACCCAAGTATCAAGGAGCCGTTGTAACGTACCACGTATCATTCCTTCACCATTGAAATAAAGACTGAGATTAGAAGCGTAGGTCGTAGTATTGAGAAACAGTTAGCAGATTCGCGCTTTGACGCAACGGAGAGGGAACGATACGTCAGTCTTGCGCCCTTTTGTGTGAGCGCGATAGCACAGCAATCTAAATCCAAACGGACGTAGACAGGAGTCTTGTAGGTCAGCTACTTGCTGCCTAGTATTACAGTTAGTCTAGTAGAGCCGACTATTGTCCAACAATGTCTAGTTGTACTCTGGTGTGCAAATATGATCCGTATATGTATTCAAGTATCGTTGCCTCGTGAGACTGTCGTATTATTCTCATGTATCAACCATGTCTTGTTATCCTCTTCTTTCGATATCCTCTTTACAAAGCGATAGCAAACACAACAGCCATCGCTGTAGTGCTAATCGCCGTCCAGAAGGTTCTGCCGCCAGTCATGCCACTCGCATCACCTGAAGCCGGACTACCGGTGTCCGAACCATCTCCCATTGGACTCGGCCTCGGGGGTGGGAAGCTTGTGTTTGTCGGCGTCTCGGTAAGGTTCTGTACCGTAATCCAGCTCGCCGCTACTCCACCTGTGAGGTTCGCATCGGCCGCAAACTGGCTGACGTTGAAACCCACCCTGTTATCCGCCAAGTCGTCGTACATGGAGGGTATGCTGAAGTTGCGTGGCTGTTGCATCAGGATGAACGTGTAGCTGTGTGGGATATCGCCGACAGGAGGTGAGGGCTGGAGATAGGGAACAGGGTTATCTGAAGGGATTACGAGCGGCGACTCTGTTGTGTTGGCCGAGAGGGGAACGGAGCGTGTGACATTTGCGGCGATCCAATGGATTAGTTGGACACGCGAGTTGTTACGGGGTACGTCGAGGTCAACCATGAGGAGGACGCATTGGCCGGGGCCTCGCTCGTCGCTGAACCATACTGAAGAAGAGATGGTAGGGCGTTGTGCGGTTTCTGGTAGTCGGTGTTAGTTGGCGTTGCAGTGGTTTAGTTCGACTCGACTACGCCGCGACGATGGAGCATGCAACATACCAGGACGAGGAATCAGCTCTCCACCAGGCGACACGGTATTATTCCCATACGTGACCGTCAAGTTCTGGGAAACCTGAATGGGAAACCCAGGTGCCGTTTCCGCCGTCGCAACACCCGCAAGCAGCGCAGTAGCGCCCAGAATGGTCTTGGTGAGCATGTTTGTCGTGATCCGCGTCGGTGTTGTTGTTGTTGTTGTTGTTGTTGTTGTTATTGTTGTTGTTGTTGTTGTTGTTGTTGTTGTTGTTGTTGGTGTGTTGTGATGTGATGGAGTCGTCGCTTGATGATTCGAAAAAAGAAAGAGCACGCGCTGCTTGTTTATTGTCCTGTCTTCTTGGACCTGCGCAAGCTGCGGGAACTTGGTATGTGTTTCGCAGCCAAGGGCCTAATTCCGAGTAGCCGAAGTGACAGCTCCAGATGTCGTTCATGACGTTCACCAAGACTTAGTCAAGCGTCGGGTTTAACGCCAGGGCGGCATCCCGGCACAACTCACCTGAGCGGGAGCCACTGATTTGGCTGCCTGAGGGCCCGTGTTCATGCGGTAGCCGGGATTACTAACATGACCTCGCTGGTCGCCTCGTCCTCGTGTTACGAGCCGCTGAATCTTTGATCGGAGCAATCGACTGTTGCACTGAGGCGGACTCTCATCATGTTCGCGCTAGTCTAAGCATGTATCGTTATCTTAGTCGCGACGTGCTTGCGCAGTTGGTGACCAGAGGAACGGGTGCCGGCAGAATGCCCACAGCTACTCAGCCTTCAAATAAGCCATGCATGGATAAAGTGTGCCTGAAATTCGTCTATGCTCTATGTTTTGGAAGCTCCGTTCCATCTCATGCTCCATATCTCGACCTCCCGGCAGCAGGTCCATTGCTTTTCGCTTCAGGCGCAAACATCATGTCTGCACAAGCCGAATGGTACTTGAAACACTCCTTACTGCCAGTTCTATGATCGGGCGATCATGTGGTCTCGTGCAGGGCCAACGCCAATCCACTTGATCTTTACTCCGATAAACTTCTCAATGTACTCAATGTAACTCCTCGCCTGGACGGGCAGGTCGTAGTAGCTCGTTACACCAGTTGTAGGCTTCTTCCAGCCAGGCAGCGTGTCGTACTGTACTTCGACTTGGGCAAGTATGTCGGTGTTGGCGGGGAAGCCTTCGAGCACTTCACCATTGTACGAGTAGGATGTTGCGACCTTGAGCTCATCAAAGTCGTCTAGGACGTCGAGCTTGGTGAGGTTGATGGCAGTGTAGTCGTTGCAGGCGTGTGAGTGCTTAACAACGACGAGGTCGAGCCAGCCGCAGCGGCGCTTGCGACCGGTTGTGACGCCGACCTCGTGGCCTACTGACTGAAGCTTCTCGCCCAGCTCGTTCAGCTGCTCTGTGGGGAAGGGTCCGCTGTCACATGTTAGACTCCAATTCTCTTCTTTCGGTACAGTGCAGACTCACGATCCGACACGGGTGGTGTAGGCCTTCACCACACCAATGACCTCCTTCAATGACCGCCATCCCAAATTGAGACCTGTGATGACACCTCCAATACCAGTGTTCGATGATGTGACGAAGGGGTATGTTCCGTAGTCGATATCCAGCATCAGCGCGTTTGCGCCTTCTACTAGGATCTTAGCGTTCTTCTCCTTCGCCGATGCGAGGAGTGGGATCTGGTCGACGACATAGGGAGCAAGCTTCTCGCGCAGAGTCTTCTCGCAATGTTAGTCTTAACACTATATAGCTCAACTCCACCATGACTGACCTTGTACTGCGCAATCTCCTCGTCCACGTCGTACTTGAGCAGATCACCGTATCGCTTCTGGAATCCTGTAGCTAATCTCCTGAGCTTCGTCTCGAAGATTTGCTCGTCGAAAAGGTCGCACATGCGGAGACCACTCCTGGTCATCTTAGTACTGTAGGTTGGGCCGATACCCTTCTTGGTCGTGCCTATATGCCACAATCAGCACTTGTATCCCATACCATGCGCGTATATTCCTTACCAATCATGCCACCACCCAGTTCCACCTCTTCCAGCCCATCTACCTTCTGGTGTACATCAAACACCACATGTGCTCTGTCCGAGATGAATATCCTTCCATCGGTCTTCAGGCCATGTTTCTCCAGCGCCTCGAGCTCCTTGAAGAAACTCGGTACGTGGACGACACAGCCACTTCCAATGACATTGATGCAGCCGGGGTTTACAAGACCACTGGGGAGGATATGGAAATCGTACGTCACGCCGTTCGCGACAATGGTATGTCCGGCGTTGTTACCACCCTGGGCGCGGCAGCAGATTTGCGATTCGTGGGCGAGGATGTCGGCGAGCTTGCCCTTGCCTTCGTCGCCCCATTGGGCGCCGAGGACAACGGTTGTGGACATCGTGAGGACGAGGGACGAAGAGAAAGGAATGGATGGGGCGGCAGGTGGGTTTTCAAATGCCCATGGAGAAGCGGACTTGGCCGAGTTAGTCACAGAGTCCAATAAAAAGATTTGCGCCGTTGGACGTCGCAATCAGCACCTTGAAGCACCGTTAGAGTCAGAGCGCAACGGACAAGTTAGATCGAATGCGCTTGTGTCGATGAAGCGTGGCCTCATCTCAAGCGCAATTCAATCTCACGACTCAATTGCTTCTTGCCAATATTCGGCGCTGGATTTCATTTACCAACTTCGTGCCCCGCCATGCCCCGCCATGCACGACACGATGCCGCAATTTTCCGCACGAGCCAATGACGCATGTACATCAACCTCAGTCCTATCGTTATTTATTTCTGTCAAATCTACATTCTCGGTTCCCTTGTAAAACACGATTGCAGTGATCAACAAACATAGACACATCTACATTTGTGGCTCAACCACGCCAAACAGCTGGACCTGGTGGCTGGTACGTCTCAGGGGCTGCCGTGTACTTACCCAGATCTACAAGAATCCCCGGATCGTTACTTCTACAATCGCGTGTTAGTGCATGCATACATTACACATTACTCCTACTCACTTGTAGGCGCCAGGGAACGCAACAAGAGGTCCCGGTATCCCACTTCCTCCCCCAGTAATCTTGATCTGCGAACAAGCCAAGTAAAACTGCGCTTTATTGGCTTGCATAGCCATGTGTAGTGCAATATGTTCAACGCGAAGCAGGTAGTCGCCCGAGGGTGTGGTAGCAGGAATTGTCGTGTTTGGTGTAACATACTCGTCTACAAAACATTATGAGTAAATGCCAAGAGTGGTAAGGCATGACATACTTTGTCCTGGCCAGCTCATTTGCTTCTGCGCATTCACGCTTGGCATTGTAGTGCTGATCTTGAACCACACTGCGCCGTTCCCATCCCAGCTCTTTACATCCTTGCCATCTGGAACTTTTGCAAGATAATATTGTGTTGGCCCTGGGTGATTAACTTGTTGCGTGGAGATGTAGTGGATCATAGACCCGGCTGGAACGGTTTTGACGTTTGGCGCGGTTTTGGACGTGTAGCAGCGGATGTCGGCAACGGTGGGATTCTACATGGAAAGTGAGCATCAAGAACATGTGACAAAAACGGGAGGTCATAATGATCATATGTTACCTCGATGCCTTGCTTGGTATTTGCGTTCTTAGTTTCGCGAGTTGACGACCAGTCTTTATCCTCTGGCTGTCCGTCTACAACGAGACGTGGAAAGGTGTCTATTCATGTAAACTCGTATGAATGAATACCAGATAGTGTTGACTTACAATGTGCCTCTACCACAGCAACGGCAGCTAGGAGGGTGGTGAGTATCTTCATGATGGGCGATCGGATCTTGCGCAATATGAGCAACGTTCTGCTCATACCTCAACGTCTTATGTATGATCCACCATCACAGCTCCAGGGACGACATACCAGCTGACTTTGAAACTGTAAATATATTAGCTTGGCTATTTCACAGTTGTCAACGTAGCCTGTCGGAGATTATAAATATATTACTATATACTAATGTCGATGAAACAGCCAACAGATGACGGCCTCCTTACAAACCATATGCTAGGGTCCAGCATCTACCGACACAGAGCGAGGGCATGACTAAATTGTAAATCATCACGAATCCAACACCTAAGTTCACAATCACAATGCGATGATGCAGACATTTCGAATACCCATGGATTATTAGGCAATCTGTAGGGGAAAAGTTGAATTCCCATTTGGCACGAGCCATGCCGTTACGCTAACATCGAGCAAAGTAAAAACGAACGAAGTGTTGAGGTCGTATCGAATCGTAGACATACACATCTAGTGCATGTAACGGAACTCAGGGTGTCTGTATCCGAGGTCCTTGATCTGAGCAGCGGTTTTACCAACCAGACGGTGGTCTCGCTTGCCCAGGTCGCGCTGCTTGTTCTCCCACTTGCAATAAAAGATACCGAAAGTGGCTAGGATGCACACGCAAATCTGACCGGCCAAGTTGATAGTGTGGCCCGTCGGATATTTTGGTGCGTCTTTGGTGGTGTACGTCCTACAATATGTTAGACCTATAACTCAGTTGTGACATCTACGTGTTGGGACGTACCAAGTCGCAAGGATACCTCCAGCAGTACCAAGTGTGACTACGTAAGCAGTCGAAACTGAGCGGACAGCAGGACCCGCTGCATTGTTTGCCGCCCATGCGAGGAAGCCAGGACCACCTGGGAATGCGCCAATGGTGATCAGGAAGATACCACCATATCTGACGTTCGGGTCGGTCGCCCATCGCATGATACAGAAGCCCGCAATAGCCGGGAGCGTAAAAACGGCGAGGTAGATACCACGACGGTTGGTCTTGTCCGAGACGAAAGCCACTGCTATAGCGATCAAGCACGCGCATACGTAGGGGGGTACTGAGTAAAGTTGCGACTTCGTGGCGGTCCAACCAAGATCGCGAAGAATAGTAGGCTAGTAATGTATGTTAGTATATGAAACTTTCATAAAGGGATACTAGCTTACCATAAACAGAGAGATACCCTGTACAGTGATGTTGATAAAGAAGAAGCCAAAGGCGCAAAAGTAGTTTGTGATGTTCATCACAGCCCTCTTCACATGGTGTACTTCGGTCTTCTCATTCTCATCAGCTCCACCTTTTAGCACAAGTCGCTGGGTAGCAATCATTCGCTCGCGTTCGTTCAAAAACCAGCATTCTTCTGGGCTGCGAGGCATGAGGAAGGGGGCTGCAAGACCGACAAGTACGGTAAAAAGTCCTTCAAAGAAGAAGATATTACGCCAGGTATGGATAATCATGCTCGAGGCTCCCCACGGTGGAATACGAGCGAGACTGTTACTGGGTCAGACTTCGATATGATCAGAGTCCTACGGCAGACTTACACAGTGGCGAGCAGTCCACCAAAGGCTCCAGCCATGGAGGCTGCGGAGACGTAGATACCGATACGGAACAACAGTTCGTTGCGCTTGTAGAAGCAGGTGATGAAGAATGCAAGGCCACTATGTGATGATTGTTAGCAAATGCTAGAAGCAACACAAGAAAGTACTTACGGCATTACACCACCTTCAAATACGCCTAGAAAAGCTCTGGCAGCTAGTAATCCCTCGAAGCTATGCACAAACGCGCTGCAGAGTGACACGAAGCCGAACCCGCATACAAGAAGCGGCAAGTAGTACTTCGGGCCAAGTTTCTTCAAGAGGATATTGCTGGGTACTTCGACAAACATGTAGACAATGTAGAATATCGAAGTTACCCAGTTGAAGCGGAAATTCCTGTCGAGATCCAAGTCCTTCGCCATACCCTGGATACGCGCATTTCCAACGTTCACTCTATGAAGATGGTCAGCAAACGGTTCTAAATGTATTAAAATTGTTCGTACCGATCGAGGAAACATAGCAAGTAAAGGAAGGTAGTGAGCGGCACAATCACTCGGTCTAGCTTGCGTCGGACCTTGGTCTCTTCCTCAGGTGTCCAGGTGAACTCGCCCTCAGTAGATCGGTCACTTCCATTGGCCTCTTCAACTACCAAGCCTGTTAACATATGACTGAAGTAAGACCGATGATCAACGTACAGAGAACGTTATCCCCTTTCTCCATCTCAGCAGGCGTGCGATTCAGGCGTGCCCCCGTCGACGCCAATCCTATCTGTGCCATTTCGACGAAGTTGGATTCCGAGGTCAAGATTCAGAGTCAGCGAGGCGAAATCTCTTCGTCGATGTGTTGTGGCCCCACACGTTCCGTAAGTCTGGGGAAAGGAATCTGGGGAAGAGCACAGCCCATATAAGGACGTACGATGCGTCCCGGTATCCGATGAGCTCAGACGTCGTACAACCGTGTATTGGGGCGCAAGTCGAGAGCCAGGAAGAAGGAATCGGCAGTTGTTTCGCAACCTACAGAGGAAAGGAATACGGCGCCATGTCTAGCTCGATGTCCGCTCCACCGCGCTCTTATCCTGTTCAAGATGGCGGCTTGATTGAACAGGGTGCGAAGTCGGTGCGGAAATTTTACCGAGTCGATACAGGAGCCCTACACAACGCCGCATAATTGCCAACGGCCTCCTCTTTGGTTGGTTTGTTGCGGGGCCCATTTCTTGGCTGGCATGGGTCGACTCGTGGAGCATGCGAAGGCGACGGGAGGACGTCTTCGTTGTGGTCATTTTGAAACGCCATGCTTGGCAAAGCGGGACAAGAACTTTGGCGTTGCTAGCAGTTCACAACGAGTTTCGGCAGTTCTTTTTGTCTTCGCAAAGCTTCTTGACTATGCTAAAGTATTGCAGTTATGGGAATCTTTCTTGAGGTTGTCCAATTTCGACAGGGCGGACTGCGGCCGGATTGCGGGTGTTCCATGTATGAGGACTTTACCCACAGGCTCTTCTGGACATGATGTACATGAGCGATTCTTCTCCTGTCAGCCCGAACAAGTGCATAGTATCTGCTGCACATCTGTGCGTATATTATCTAGGTGTTCGGCATATCTTGGTACAGTAATCGGAGACATCCAGAGGAGATCCAGCTGACTGTGTTCTACTACACGTCATAATCTGCCGATGCGCATGGATAGCAAAGCCCCTGCGACCTCAGAATTCACCCGAATCCCTTGACCGCTTGCTTGTGTTGTATGTTGGTTTCCTTGCCTTTTTGTGAGCGACATAGTATCGCATTCTACCAATGCGTGCAACCGGTAGGCAAGTCGAGATTCAAGAACTCCTCAGCGCAAGCGTGCGCAATAGGATCTATTCAAGTGGGTCCTGCTCGCATCTGGACTGTTCCGGCTCGGTTTAAATGCATGGTGGCTGCAGCTTGTGACCAGTCTTCTGCATCGATAGAAAACGAAGTCATAGACCTATGCGAGGTAATTCTCGGTGACTGAAGCTGCTGGAGCCATGGAACAAAAGGCTATTGCCAAGCTGCCACCGCCACATGGGTGGGAGGTAGGGTACGAGCTAGAGACCTACGAAAGATCGACCACTTCGAACATCAATATGATATTATATCAACACCATACACAATGCCGGTCTCTTTGTAGAGTCTCTTCTCATCGACACGTCGTGTCCATGACCCACAACTTCACAGTTCCATCGCAATGACGACCGTTTCCCCTCACAACTCCATAAATCCCCACAGCCGCTTGCCGGGAGGAGTGTCCTTTCTCAGTAGCACTATCTCTCGCGTCTCTATGTCGTATCCACCAACTCCTTCATCGCATCTCTAAGCCCATTCGGTCTTTCCGGCGAGTCACTTAGATCTACCCTTGGAGCTGACGATAGCTGTATGGGCTTGGTGGCTTTCCCGGCTTTAGTTTCGGTACCTGCTGAGTCACGGCAGTCGCCACGAATGCGGTTTCGTTCCTACGATTATCCTCGGTTGCGGCTACCTGGTCCCGTGATCGTGCTTGAACGTCACTTTCGGAAACTTGTGTATCGGCAACGTCGGCTCCCGCTGTCTTGCCAAGTTGCTCTCATCCGTTGATACTGATAATACGTGGTATCATCAAGGCTCGATCTGATGATCGAGCCTGTTTGACACTGTTCTCTTGCAATCGATTTTGTGTTCAGAATCCCATTCACCGTCCTCTAGGAAAGCTGTATGTAAATCCTCCTCGAGCTGTAGGATCGCGATATCCATGACTGCATTCTTTTCATCCATCCCCTATGTAGACTCACCCTGTTGTACAACCAGGATGTTGAGCTAGGTATCGATGTCCTCGCTTTGGCGTTGATCGTCTAGTAGTAGCTCTCGCAGATCCGCCATGACCTCGCCCTCGACCGTATTAAGTCTTTCCACCAGCTCATTTCTCTCCCATCTCAGGCGCTCGAGCTCCACCCAGATATTCCATATCTCCTCTGTTTGCCCTCTCCATCCATGCACTGTTTGGGCCTCGACAGCATGAACTCTAGTCAATCGCGCGCATGCTTCGCTCCGATTAGCCCCTTCCTGTACTTGACATCCAATACAATTTTTGTCACTCTTCAAGAGGGGGTTCTGTTGTACATAATGGTGGTGCACAGCTTCGGCGTCTTTAGCAGCATCTCAGGTTCATACTGTTTCGACCTTATGCCAGCAAGTGAAGGTCGTAGTGAGATATACGTGGATACAATAATCTGCTAAAACCACTTCTGATCCTTTCTCATGATTGGTTTTCTGTTTCTGGAGCGTCTTGTTGGGGGCGCTCTTCGCATCTCGAGCCTTCTGCCTTTCTTCGCCGCGTTCTCGTTGAAGGCGACTTACCAAACAGTCTTTGCACAAGTAGTGCTATGTTCTATTGTCTTCTTCAACCTTCTTGCACCTATTATTGTGGCAGAAGAAATCGCTACTGTCCTCATGACCACAATTGTACTTGGCTGCGAGGTCAATACACATGACTAACGATGTAGTTTGACAACCAAACCGCTCGACGGTCTCGCGTTGCGATCAAAACATGAGTGATACTCATGGCTTGATGTGTAGATTTTGAATACACACACGAAGATGGCCAAGAACACGTCACTAATAAAAGATGTGTCAGTAACAAAATGTTGATGGCACTAATTTCACCATGTGAAGCACTACAATCGCAACCCTCAGAACGTATCAGACTGGAAACATTCACGACAGATTTTCAATACAGGACTCTTGTACCTGCCACGCCAACGCTTTCCATACTTCACACATTATCTGCGCATAGCTATCACCGAATACCTCCCTAATATACTCAACTGCTTAATCCACTAAATTGACCCAGGATGTGTACGACATATCGCATATACTTCTACTGTGGGCACCTCAAATCTACGACTACTCACAAGCACTCCGGAAACGAGTGTATAATCAACGAAGCGAGAAGCATTACGATCGACGAGAAGTGCAAGCGCTGTGTGCAACGAACGTCTCAGCGGAATGCGTGATTAGGCGCTATCATGAACGGCGCTGAAGTACCATCAATAGTAACAGGCGCAGAAGATGGTGCTCATGGCAGCGGCAACCAACGCTAAGGGGGATGTGAATAACTGAGTACTGGGACTCGCAGTCTAGGGTATTCCTCAATTGCTCCACATACCACCAGAGACTTTTGTCAGCATACGGTTCATAAAAGGCTGTCATCAATACACATGAGGTATTTGGTTCTATGAATGGGATCCCAGTACCGAACCGAGCTCGTACAGGCTCTGTCTATCATGATATTGCCATCACTGCTATTGTTGTTGTTTGCGCATCTCAAAAGCTGTAGTTTTATTGAACCAACGCATGCATGAACGCTCCGGATCCTTGGGTTTATATAGAAATGACAGCTTGAGTGAAGTACTTTTAAAACCACGAGATGAGTCAGGTGTCAATACTATAGTCTTGCAAGCCGGCCTACGAATTTTCATGGCCTCTTCAAGTGTTAACCATCGTCACAGCACTATGATTAACAAATATTGTTATGCCTATCTCAGGCCCATACAACCTACCTTCCCTCTTTACACTGTATTGGGAGCCTCACGACCGTACCATGGACACCGGATCTATCACCATCGCGTCTTCTGCGCAATGTTGTCCGCTTGCATCAAAGTTCCCATCGCCGTTGTTCACAGCGCGAGTATGAGCTGATTTTGTGCGTAACTAACTCCTTTTGGCCCTTCTACGTGAACGGTGGAGCTTTTGCTCAGACGCCCTTTATTGTCCAAGGTATCGTGTTTGAAGGTGAGCCGCGTTATGACTTTCTCAATGGCTGAAAGGAGTAGGCGAAGATACTGCGTCGACGCGTAAGACGTAACTGGGAGGCCTGCTTCTATGTGGAGTACTGGAAACGAATCTTGGATTCGGAGGACGTGCGGTAGGGGCGCTATACATGGCGACGTGTTTGACGATGTGCGTTACAAAGGGTGCCGATGGAGGGAAAGCGGGGGATGGTGGGTGATAGTCGTGTCAAAAAAGGAGGATACGAGGAGGCAATCGACAAGATCCATTCCGAAGGAACAGGCGGAGATGTAGCGGGGATAACACATGCCTTCATACAAGTAGAAAGCAATATGCGCGTACATGAACTGTGTAGGAAGGGTCCGATGCGCGGCCGCTTAGTGCCGGTTGCTATCGATAAGTTCCGACGAAGATTCCGATGAACTCACCACTTTAATACTAAGCCGCCGCCTGACTTCAAAATTGCACAATTGGTACCACATTCCATCTAAATCACGACATATCTTGCCTTCTACCAATATGGCCAAAGTCGAAGGTGCACCAGCGCACGGTGCTGTAGCTCACCTCCTGCCACAAACATACAAGCGATTAGTCTCGGAATGGTTGGAAGAGGACACACCGAGCTTCGATTATGGTGGCTTCGTCGTGGGCGAGGAGATGTCCGAGGCGAAGTTACTTGGGAAAAGCGAAGTGGGTGTCACTCTTCTTGCTTCGGTTCCAGCTAACATCGATAGGGCATAGTAGCAGGCGTCCCCTTCTTCGATGAAGTCTTCCGACAACTCGGCTGCACGTGCGTCTATTATAGTAACAAACATCGTCAGACCTGATATTGACACTTACTAGTGTAGAATGGCACGTTAAAGAAGGTGCCTCCTTCCAACCCATAACTCACTGTGCTACTGTGCGCGGCCCTGTTCGCCACCTCCTCCTAGGTGAGCGGGTGGCTCTCAATACTCTTGCCCGCTGTTCGGGCATCGCCACCAAGTCTAACCGCCTCCTCACTCTTCTACGTGGAGCTGGCTACCCGAATATCCTTGCAGGTACCAGGAAAACAACACCAGGGTTCCGACTTGTGGAGAAGTATGGCATGCTAGTGGGTGGCGTGGACGCGCATCGGGTTGATCTGAGCGCGATGACGATGCTGAAAGATAATCATATTGTCGCTGCAGGGAGCATTACTAACGCTGTGAGAGCAGCCAAAGCGGCGGGTGGTTTTGCAATCAAAGTCGAAGTCGAGTGCCAATCATTCGATGAAGCCGATGAGGCTATTGCCGCTGGAGCTGACATCGTCATGCTAGACAACTTCACACCTGAGGGTGTCCAGATTGCTGCCAAAGACTTGAAGGACAAGTGGGGACGAGGAACTGGAGATAGGAAGCAGTTCCTTGTTGAGGTGAGCGGCGGGCTTACGGAGTATAACGTGGAAAAGTACGTCTGTGGGGATATTGATATCGTGAGTACGAGCAGTATACACCAAGGAGTACCGCATGTAGACTTCAGCTTGAAGATTGTACCCAAGAGTAAGAAGGATGGTGGAGAAAGTCTGGCAGTATGATCAGGGGGGTGGGTGAATGGGAATGTGAGTAACTATTAAGTAACTCTTCGGTGTCCTAAGAATCGACCGATTGACATAGATCGCAGTTACGACTTCAAAAGTCTTAACATCAGCCTATTTATCGTTCAATCTCTGCAATTCTGCATACCTATCACACCAGCGCTTTCAGGCGCAGCTGTCACGCGCATGCCGTGTTTGCCATTTATGTCGTTCCGCGTTCACCTTCACTTCTGCCAACGACGTCGACGTCTCTTAACTGGAGCAGATAGATCACCCTGCTATTGTTCGCGTACAACTACAATAAAGAAGCATAGAGAAGCTAGAGGAGCATTGGATGATTGTGCGACAGTGAGTCCCATAGCTACAGTATTACATTGTACCATCACAACGTCCCCTTCAGACCAATCACAAATCAGTCTTTCTACTTCACGTCCATCTTTCCACAACACAGTATCACACTGTCGTTCTGGACATAACAATTCTTCCACCGCGAACCGCGTTGCTCCTTTCTTACACGCATATTCCGATCATTACCATCAGCTTCTGTAGGACAGACGCTCAAATATGCGCTCAAAAGCACTCATTGTTACGGTGCTGGCCACCCTGGGCAATGCCCACGAAGATCACGAAACTGGATGCGGGCAGTACGAACTGACTGACGACCTAACTTACAAAAACTTCTTCTCCGCCTTTGACTTTTTCGACGGCCCAGATCCGACCACAGGATTTGTCAAATATCAAAACAAGGAATGTGCGATCAAGCAGGGTCTGGTTGGCTACCTCGAGGACACACAGTCTGTGTTCATGGGTGTTGACTTTACGACCAAGGATACTGCTGGCCGCGCTTCTGTTCGCCTTGAGAGCAAGAAAAGTTGGAATCACGGACTGCTAGTGGCCGACATCCGTCATATGCCTGCGTCACAGTGTGGGTCTTGGCCGGCCTTTTGGCTTTTGTCATCTTCAGCGGATTGGCCTCAAGGTGGAGAAGTCGACATCCTTGAGGGTGTTAACGACTACGAAAGTAACTCGGTCACTTTGCATACTTCTACGGGTTGCATGGTCGACAACTCGACTTCAGCTCGAGGAGGATCCGGTGCGGCCGGCGACATCAATGCGGCACCATTCACTGGTCTCATGTCTACGGACGACTGTGATGTCGCTGCATCAGGCCAACTCAAGAATGTCGGTTGTTCCATTCACGCTCCCGGCATCATGTCTGGTATCCCAAATGGTGGTAGCGGTAACACTGACACCAGCGGTGCTGCACCGTTCCCCTCGTACGGTACGGAGTTCAACAATGCTCAAGGTGGTGTCTATGCTATGGAATGGACTACCACCAGCATCTCAGTTTGGTTCTTCCCCCGCGACTCCCCAGGCTTCACAGAAAGTTTCTCTTCCAACGCCACTGCTCCCAATCCATCAGCCTGGGGCACACCTATAGCGCACTTTGGTGGTTCCGGTTGCGACTTTTCTGGGCGCTTCAAGGATCTCAGGATCACCTTTAATACCGCTTTTTGCGGTGAATGGGCAGGAGCCGAGTGGGACAAGTCTTGTGCGAAAAAGACTGGGGTTGCTACTTGTAATGCGTATGTCCGAGATAACCCGGAGGTTTTTAAGGAGGCGTACTGGGAAGTCGCTGGGTTGAAGTGGTTTCAGAAGGGTGCTGCGCAGAATAGGGATAACGTTGCGCCATTACCGAAGCGTGACAGTGTTGCTCATGCTCCGGTGATCAATCTTAAAGTGAAGGATACATGGTTTTCTTGATAGATGGCTATCTATAAACTCGGCGTTTGGTCCCCAAGCTGCACCCAAATTTACGATGTTAAAGCCAAAATAGCAAGCAAGAAAGACGAGTGCGTACCTCATGTGCACAAGAATGGGTTGTGCCAAACGTCTGCTTTCTTTCAGACTGCTACGATGCAGATATGGCAGGATCGACCTCGAAAGTCTATTGATCTTACTTCGAAAAACAAAGATACTTCTAAAGCGTACTTGCAATGGCTATATGTTGGCAGAATTGTGGTATTTTACAAAGCAGAACCCCGGAAGACAACACAGCGGAATGGGATCCTAATTCATATCCTCTCACTGATGATCTGGTGAAACAGGATCTCTTGGGGAAGAGGATGCTACTCTCAGGTCTCCAGCTCTAGAATTATGTTACTACCTTAGAACACAGGCTTACTATAGCATATTCCCAAAGCGTGGTACATTGCCGATGCGTAACAGGGGCCAGATAGGCCTGTGCGAGAAATCAAACGTCAAAGTTACCAGTAGCTAAGCGAACTACGATTACTTCGCTCACCTTCCGTATACGCATGTCTCTCTATATTGTTTTTAAAATTTTCAGACCAGAGTTCGCCCAGACTCCACCTCGTTGCAGCAAGCTACGGGGTCAGCAAACGCCCGGCACGGCTTCAGCACCCAATCGTTGGTCACAATCCCTGGCGCTCACACTTGAAGGACCAAAATCCTCTGGCCTCACTCTCGTGTCGTTAATTATTATGCTTGTTTTTTCTGAAGCCGAGTTGCCTTCCTTACCGCCCTGTAAAGCTCGATTTGCCGTCTGCTTTGTGGAGCTTTGAACGTTACATCCGGTAAGCTGAGTGATAGAGCATACATGTGCATCGTCTTACGTGTGTAGAGAACACAAGTATAAAGGGGTGAACTGGAGCGGATTAACAAGGCATCATCTTCGCACCATTGATCTCTCGTCCACAAACTTCGGCCTCATACCTTATAAGACTACTGTTCTCCTCGGCTTTTCAATGTGCAATACCTTACCTCTATCCCTGCCCTTACTGCTGCAGTGTCAGCTATCGATATTCAAGTGCACGCTGAGTCACACTGCGGTGGTGGTAACAGTATCACGTTCACGAACGCAGAGCCTGACCGGTGCTATGCCACCGGCGGCATATCATGGGCTTACTCATTCCATGCCATTCCCACAAACTGGAGACTAAGCACTAAGTCGTATAAGGGCGGGAACTGTAGAGAAGTAGTTCATGTATTCGACTCAAATGGCAAAGACCTAGTCTGCCATGGTGCAGATGTCGACAACCTACCGTACACGGGAGCGGGCTACAGCTTTATCAATAAAAGGAGGTCAAGCAACATTGCTTTCGATAGCCAAGATTGCGTAAGGCCGGATCTTTTGACTCTGGAAGATAGCCCGACACACACCCTTTCAGGTCTTGGAGATGAAACATACAAGATAATGGTAAAGCCCCCCGAATAGAATTCTTGTAACATGCTAATAATTCTGTAGTAAGAGAAACTCTGAATACTAAGTATGATCTTAGTTGTAGTATACTAACTGTATTGTCCTATGTAGGCTCGACTATGCTTGGAACGGCACGACTGTTGCGGATACGCTAAGCGCATTTGATAAGTATATTGTACAGTAGCGCTAATAATTGTGCCATCGACATTTGTTGTTGGTGGTCCTTTCGATAGAGACTCATATTGCCCTGAACAATGTAGGGAGACTATATATGTCAGGAATGAAATCGAAAAGGAACTGCGCAAGCCTATTCGACTAGACGCGTTGTCTGTGTATTAATGACTACTTGTTGTGAATGTTTACATGTTAGCAGATTCTGCCTTACCACTCTACGCCCCATCTAGCCTATTCGTATTACTTCTCTTACCTCTATCCCTCTTCTTCCCTGTGGCTTTTGGAGGATGAGGAACGTATCGCTAACCACCTTCTTTGCATAGGAGTGAAGACGGTAAGCCCAGTCAATTGCAGACCGCTTCCCTCGCACAATAAAGCGTATCAACGCATAAACAGGCGCTCCCCTCAATGTCAATCACTCTAAATAGGTGTCTACTGACACGACTGAAGCTGTACTTGCTTCTCAAATATCTCACATGTAGGTTTTATGACCAGTTTTACATCATTTGACCCAGTAGTTGATGCTTAGTGTTATTAACAACAACTATCGTCAACTCGTCACCTCCCACGTCCCCTCAGATAGTGTATCTGAATCTTGGACTATCGTCACCCATCTCCGCGACATCCTCCTCAGTCATCCCCTCGACCAAGTGCTCTTCCTCACCCTTCTCACGTCTCGAGTTGATATGCCTAAGCTGGAACCACATAACAGCATAACATATACAAGCAAAACCCACCATGGCCATTGTGATACCATGACCCTTAATAAAACGAGGTCGATCTGCTGTAGGGTATATCTGATGTTTGTTAGTACGCAATTCGTGGTACCCTAGCGACTGAGAGAAAACTTACAAAAGCGCTCATAATACCCGCACAGTTACCGATACTCAACTGCAATCCCGTAGCGGTCGTCCTCTTTCCATATCTTGGCAAGTTCGTAGGCAGCCAAGCCAATGGTAAACCGACACAAACATACAATCCCATCGCAACAAGAAAGCAGCCCGCATAATGAACGCCAGAGCTAGCATCACTGATCAACATGGCGTATCCAACGATACTGACCACACCGAGTAAGATACTGTAAAATCCGCGCTTCTGCTGTTTATCCGAGAAACGCGCAACGACCAGATATGTGATTGCACCAAGCGCGTAACACGGAATAGTGAGGACCTGCACCATTGCACTGCTGGCAGTAGTGTTGATCGACCTGATGATAGTTGGCAAGAAAGTAGAGTAACCGTAAAGCATGGTATCACTCCCGAACTGCGCGAAGCAGAATACCCAAACTTTCCAGTCTTTGACACACTTCCTCACATCTTCCCAGTGAAATTCTGCCGCCTTCTTAGTGTATCCAGTTTGGCGCTTGAGACGAGCTGCAGCGAAAGCCTTCTCCTCGGCAGTGAAAAAGTAGGCTGTTTCCGGAGTGTTGGGAAGGATAAACCAGGTTGCGATGCCCAGAACAAAAGTGGGAATACCCTCTATAATCATGATCCAGCGCCATCCGCGGAGGCCGGCCGTGCCGTCCAAGTGTCCGATTGCGTAAGCGAGGAGACCTCCGCAGGCTCCAGCGAGGGCAGCGGAGACGAAGAGGTAACCGATGCGCAGGGCGAGTTCGCGCTTGGTGTAGAAGAATGTCAGATAAACGGCCATTCCAGGGAACAGGCCTCCTTCAACGGCACCGAGAAGCAAGCGACATGCGATTAGGCCACCATAGCTCTGTACGATACCAGTCAAAGTGGCGATAATACCCCATGCAACGGTGATAAACGCTATCCATCGCGAAGGTGTGAGTTTCTTCAACACGAGATTTGATGGGACCTCGGAGAGAATGTATGTTACGAAGAGAATCGAAACCGCAGTCTGAAACTGAGAATCGTCCATATTGAGGTCTTCCTGTAGACCATAGAGACGCGCATTGCCGATGTTGACTCTGCAGTCGCGTTAGTGGGGTTGTTGAGTGAGTTGACAAATTCCAATTCCACGAGAAGTTGTATTTCCTCATCCCAATGCCCCGATCGTAGACAGAGAGTAAAAAGTAGGAAATTTTTCAAAACTCACCGATCGAGAAAACTAAGCAAGTACAGCAGCATTACCACCGGAATAACAAAAAGATCAAGCTTGCGCACAATCTTAGCCTCGAAAACCGGATCAATCCCCTCTAGCTGTCTCCCAATCTCATCGCTCTCTTTCGCAGCATCTGGCACCGCCTGGTCGTACTGTTTCTCGATATCGCTCATGGTGTCGTCAAGCGTTCTCGTCTAGTTCCTCGGAGAATTAAAAGGCTGATGATCGTTGACTTGCTCGACGCGAGGAAAAGGCCTGTCGCGTGAACTTCGCAGTGTTGCTCGGGGGGAGGTATGATGAACAAATGGCAGCGTCCCGTGTCTTGTTGCATCTAGCCAAAAGTCTGATCCGTCATCCTGTCGTACACTACGTTCGTTTTGCCACGAGAGGGAAATGCTCATGCTTTAAATTTGTCGGCTTCGACATCGGACGAGTCTGCAAAGGCCCACTACTGGACGACATGCCGGCGGGCAGATCCATGGCGGGGGGGCTGGAGCCAATGGAGCACAGAGCTAGCTATTTATGGTATGACGTCGAGGGCTTCCCTGCCTGTAACACAGATATGGCCACTGGACAACTGATAACGAACCACACGTTACTCTGGTTTGTTGTCTGCCAACGCTCCAAGGTTGGGGGAGACATCATACGAAGGATGGGGGTGCTCACGTGCCCCTTGCGTGAAGTGGCGTGGACAGCATTCTTCCTCGATCGTATTAGGCCGCTGTCATGTAATCGCTTAGGCAATGCGATTAGTCCTTAGTCGTCTGTCCGACCAGACAATCGTTGTAGCGGGAACTCTAGACGCGATTGCATCACATTGCACATTGTTGTGCAGATCAGCGCTGATCCGGAAACATGTCCCTCAACACCCTCTCATCACCCATTAAAACCATTCAAGTGGAGATTTGTATTCGTAAGCAGATAGACACGCTCATACCAGCCCAGATGATGTCAAGGACGGATAACTAAAAGCCGTTGTATCCCAATCGATAGGGAGCACGATACCAGAGTAAATATCTACCTGTGCCGAAGGATCAACAGGCCACACGATTTCATCGCGCGGTAAGTCGATCTCAGCAACCGCGTGTCCCGCATCCATGGCCACCGTATGCTGGGTGTAGGTACCGACAAGACTTGACCGCGCGATAGTCCGAACCTCCTTTGCCATCTTCTTTCCGAGAGGCCAGAGAGTGGCCATTGTGTTTAGGAAGCCGATGCTCAGACGGACACGATCTTGCGCTATCGACAGCGCATGCCCGTCCAGTAGGTAGGTACACGCAGATACTTGTACAGCTGCTAGTTGTGAGGTGATACACATGGTGAAGATGTTATGCTTTTCAAAAGCGCAGGGGATTGCGAGGAGCTTGGTATGTATCTCTGTCGCCCTGAGCACACGTGCGGTATGTGCGTTTCGTCCAGCTTTCGGTGCAAGTGTGAAAGGAGAAGGTGCTAGGAAAGCTCGCGTGGCCATCTCTTCGGGACAGTATCCCAGTGACGAGAAAGGCCGGTGTAGTGTTGAGGTGGTTCTGTCGTAATCAGTACATCAGCAGCAACACATGAAGGGGTCAGCTACATTGCAGCACACATATGCGCCATGAACCTATGCACGTATCATCAGCGAATATCCTGGGTTGCACTTGCTGCTCGTATAGTATACATCACCTCATCGATTTGGCCATCTAGACGAAGTGGATCCTTTTTACAAGCCGGAAGCAACGATGACCAGATCGCGAGTTTCGTGTCGCAGTTCTCGACCAGGGCCTCGTTTACTACACCAGTGTCGAGAAAGGTGTTCATGACTGATGTCGTCAGTGTCTAAGCCACAGTCGTTGTCATTCAGTAGGTGAGGTAAGTAATTGTTGTCTATGGATACGTCTCCCTGTGAAACGTACTTACCACAAGCGATGACCATAGCGACGTCGTACAGATACACTATTGACGAATAGATCACCTCAACTTCCGCAAACTCACGAACTTGGTATTCAGACCAGGTCGCTACAGGTGGGATATTCTGCTTATGTTAACATTTCAACCATAGTTGCATACCATTCCAACCTACTCCTGACTCGAAATGCTCATCGTCGCACGGAAGATCAACCGTGTTCGATATTGAAAGCAATGAATGGAATGGCGTATTCGTCACGACCGCGAAATGTTGATCCACAATGTAAAGGATATAGTACGTCCGTCTCCAACACTCTTCCAGCACTGCATCACTCTCACCGTAAGCTCGAGCAAAGTCTCTTTCATTCATGCGAAGTTCTAGTGCGATGGCGGTGGCAGTGCTAAGTTTCTTGCGAGCCTCGACTCTGGAATCGCAATGAAACTCGGCGAGGGAGAAAAGCATTAGCGCCTGAACATTGAATGGTGTACGTGCGAGATTTGGCGACGTGATGGCCTTTAAAGCTGCCATGTAATAGGGTTCCGACGACGTCCAGGGCGCGTAGATCGAGCCGATCCATTCTAGAACAGAAAGCAGTGTGATCATCCCGTGGTTATCTTGTAGGCGCCTAGTTTGTAGATAATGGAAAGGTAGGACGATTGGGAAGGGAGGCCAGAAGTGTTCAAAGTATAATTCTAACAGTCGGTTGTTGTCGATCTGAAACGAGATATGGTTGTGTTGAACTTGAGAGGGTACAATAACTGGTATGGGATCATCTGCCGAGCTGCTCGTGAGCGTTCCCAGACTAGATTGATCAGATGGCGATGTTGCTGATATGTTGGGTTTTCCGCTAGGACAATCATCGCGTCCGGCCGCAACATGGTGTGCGTTCTTAGCCTCCTGCTGCAGTCGCAAACGTCGCTCCGCGAGTGCAGCCTTGTTCAAGCCTCCTCTTCTGGACTTCTGGTAGACACATTCTTTCCCGTCGCGCCTGCATCTATTGCAAATTGGTTGCGTAGAGTCGCATTTTACGTGTCTACTGCGACATTGTACGCATGCTAGCACTACTCGATCGACGCGTTTCGAATCGGATGATGGTTCCATCTCTGGGCAACAGAGGACGCGAAGGCTGCTATAGGGTCTTGATTGTAGTCTGGAATCACCCTGCGCGGCAATAGGATGATGAAAAGACCACAATCATTCAATACAGGAGTTCATACTGGAGAGAATAAGAGGTAAGCACGATGCTTAGGGCTGATCTGACTGGTTATACACCGTGCCGCCTTCCAAGCTGGAGGCCGCGCCTGCCGAGTCGGCAAGAGTCGGACGTGCATGTTGGGGGCCGGTCCTTCGTACAGCCTAATACAAACCAAAAAATGTAGACATGTGCTGGTAATGATTAAGAAATATGATCACATATGGCACAACGCTTGTCTTCAGCTGCGTAAACACGTATAGTGTCATCATTATTCCCGTACACTCGCAAGCCTTTCTACCCTACCATAAACTAGAAATAATCGCACTAATAAGTCCACATGCAGCCTTCATGATACGACAGGCCAACGTAGCAACATCCAAATCGGGTCTCAATGCCAAACATGTAATCATATGCGTTCCAGACCTGACGGGCATAATCCGTACCAGCTGGGGTTGTCGCTTTTCCATCGTATATCTATAATCGAAGACGAGAAAGCAGCGGAGACAAGTTGCGAGCTTATCGCAGCTTGCCATGATCCTGGGCCTCTTTAACCTGTTCAAAGACCTGCAATACTATGTTAGCTGTCTGAAATCTGTAATCTCACATGATGCGGTGTTGCATACCTTCAGCATCTTTCTACGCGCACCAAGAGCATTGACGCCACGCTTTTCCAAGCCTTCGTCATCGAGCTCGATAAGCTCCTGCCACTTGAGATCCTTCAGGTTATCTGTGTACTTGTGCAGGCGGAGACTCCGAAGCCAGTTGGGAATGTCCGAAAGCAGTCCAGGGTCGGTAGGGTCCTCCGGAGGCTTCGAGCTACCACGACGGCCTCGGGGAGATCGACCACGATCAATGTTGTCACCGAGGAAGCCATGGCCGTCATTGCTACCACCAGCAAGACCAAACTGAGCGAGGTTCAGCGCGCCCATGCCGTTGTTCATCATACCACCGCCGTAGTCAGCAGCCAAGAATCCGTTAGCCTGAGGCGAGGTAAAGTTACCCATAGCACCCATGCCCTGACCCTGCATCGCGAAGCCAGGGGAGCTAGGTCGAGATCGGCGACCTTGCATAGCGGCCAATTGCTGGGCCTGAAGAGCAGCCGCCTGCTGTGGAGTCAATACTTGGCCCAGCTCGTTAGTCATAAGGATATTTCCATTGCCCATCTGAGGCATGCCGGGGGACATGGGCCCATTGTCCGAAGATCGGGCGCGGCGGAACTTGCGCACATCGTCCAGCTGGATGCGGTTGTTGACAGTAGACAACGCAGCCAATTTCATAGCAGTGGCGTTGGCTACCATATCAGCCTGGTTGTTTGACTGCTGAAAGTTGGCGACCATGGGAGTGCTCAATTGAGAGGCCCAACTTCCACCTGGGGCGTAAGAAGGCGAAAGGAGTGGCATGTTGGACGAATTGGCCTCGAGCGCATTCAGCGTGGTGGTCTGGACATTGTTGCTGTCGTTCTGGAGGGGGAGACGGGGCGAGCGAAGACCGGCGGATGGAGGTGGTTGAGAGAACTGGCCCATGGGCGGCTGCTGGTGTTGCTGCTGGCCCGAAGACTTGGGGCGATTGGCACCCTCGTTCCAGGGTGATGCTGGCGGAGCGTTGTTCTCCCGCTTGCTGTTATCTTCGGGGGCGGAGATGGTAGGAGCCGCTAGAGAGCTGCGATCTCCGACGGTGCTATTACGGTTGGATGCCGGCGCAACACCGACCACATCGGTAAATTCAGCCTTCTGCTTGGCGATGGCAGCCGCGGCGTCCGGGAACATGCGGTTGATCTGGGATGTCTCCAAGCCCGAGTTGCGTTTTCCAGCCCCCGGGGATGGCGGAGGACGACCGAGACCCATGGAATGACGGTTTTCACCCGTGCTGAGCTTGCTCATGGCGTCGCTCAATTTCTGTGTCATGGGATCTGGTGCATGTCAGCATGGGAAGTAGCCCCTAGAAACCATCTAACTCACCCTTCTCTCCAAAGTTAGCAGGAGACAGAACTCCAGACATGGGCACGTTCTTGGACATCTGCTGCAAGACTTGAATAAAGAAGCGAATCTGCACCTGGGTCGTCTGCTGCAGCAGAGCATAGAGCGCTGCGGTCCTCTCGGCTTCGCTGAGGACGCGGAACCACTGCTCTATAGCGCTCAGCTCGTCCTTGAAGTCCTGGTCGAGAGTCGCGGTCGCCATTTCTTCGAGTGTGGTTTCATACTGGTCAATGTCGGCGAGCCACTGCTGAGCAGCGCGTTCCATCTCGTCAGGGTTGCCCGACTGTGTGTTGTTGCGACCGAAATAGATCTCGGAAGCGGGACGAATTCCACGGTTGGCAAGAGGGGAGGGGAAGCCGCCTAGATCAGCTGAGGCACGAAGATGGTGATTAGCACCGAGGGAAGTTCGGGCTTGGGGCGGGCGGAGCGAGCTGGAGCCCTCGGGAGTGCTGTTTCTGTTCGCGGCTATATGACTGGCAGACATGGTGGCGGTGGAAGTGGTAGCCTGTGGTTTGCAGTGGAGAGGTTGAAATTCTGTCCTCCGGTCAGTATGGCCAGGCGGGTACAACTACTCGCACATGGAATGCGAGCAAACATACAGTGTGGGTAGCCGAGTACACGGGTGGGGGTAGTAATGTGTGCACACGAGTCCTGCAGTCCCAGCTGTGCCTCAAAGGACGTCGAGATGCGAGATATCAGGGGAGTAACAGTTTCGCGGGAGGGCTGATGGATGCAGGGGATGCGCTTTGCGGTGATGCACGGGCAAGCAGCGCAATAAGAAGAGACACCGTAATATATCAAGGTACAGAGAAGGGAAACGTCAGCGAGAGAGAGGTGGAAGAGCGGAAGAGCTCACTGCAAGACGTGAAGGGGGAGGACGGTGTGAAGGTCTCATCGCTCGAAAAGGCGTTGGTTCGTTAGCGCGCAGCCAATCACGGAACCCTGCGCAAGGCTGAAGCAACGGCTCGACTCTTCTAGCGCTGGTGCTCACCTGTTACAGACAAATGGGGCAGACGTGCGTACAAGGTGTCTTCTTGGATGGCTTTGATTGTTGTCTCCGACTATCCTGAGGTGGTAATGGTTGCCTGTGAAGCCTTCGAGTGTCCGTGGAACATCTCCGCACACCACTCCACACGCCCACCGAACCACATGGCACTTTCACTGTTTCGAGCCAGAGCAAACGCTCAGACGCACTGTCCATGGCAGCCACTCGATGGCAGGCTGTCAGCAACAGAAGCATACGTATCGCACCCTTCCTGTAATAGCTTCTCTGCCGTGCCCTACTGCTTGTTGGCGAGCCGCGCCGTCAAACGCTCCGAGAAACAAAAGAAATTCTTCCCGAGACGCGTTCATGCGCCGCTTGTAGCTAAAGCTAATCGTTCGGAGCCACGGGTATAGACGTCGCGCGTCTTCAAGTCGTGTTCTGTCATTGCAGGAGTGTCGTCGATGCCTGAGGGGGACCCACTTATTGCCTGATATGACATCTGATGCCCGGCAGGTACATGCACTAACGGCAGAACCTACAACCGCTGCATCTATTAAGAGCTTTGTAAATGTTGGCAACACTTAATACTCAAAGTCTGACCTCGAGGAGTTATCATGCCATATTTTATTAGTATGCTAACGTAGACCACTAGCCATCTTTAGGCTTGGACGTTTATCAGGGTAGAATGGGTAGCTGGTTGGTTTCATAGACTGTGACCTGATTTTGATATGGGCCAAATGCACTGGTCACATCAGAGAAGGGACGTGGCCACAAAGCAGATAAATCCACCTGCGCGGATGCAAAATCTCTCTCGCTCGTAATGGGTATCTTATTGTTTTACATCTGCCATGCTCAGTCTCATGATGATGCCGCTGCTTGTTGTGACTGCTGTGCGGCCGACTGTATCTGGATGATCTGGCTCGTTTGTTAGCATTACGCGCACCACAACTAGACGCGTTCGGAACGCATACCTCGCCCTTGATCTTCTCGCTCTTGTCTTGTATTCCCTGGATCTGCTTCTCGATATCCTTGCTGCTTCCAGTCAGACAAGACCCAATTTCATGTCACCCAGCCCACTCACATCTGCTTGTCGATGAACTCGAGGCGACCATTAACCGACATGACCGCCTCTGTCTTGTCCTGCTTCAACAGCACTGGTCCGATCTGCTTGTAGATGTTGGCATCGTCGTCGAGTATGTCAAACTCCTGCGACACCGATGAGTACAGATTCCGACGGCGCGTGTGTTGTGGTGTGTCCCACCTTCTTAACCGTACTATTCTCCTGCTGCTGCGATTCGAGCTTCTGGCGTGCCTCTACTGCAGTTCCGAGCTCTGTTCCGAGATTAGCCAACAATTTCCAAGCTGCGCAAGTGACTTACCAGCCTGGAGGCCTTGGTAGCTATCAGAAAGTGCCTGGAGCTTCTTTTGCACGTCCGCCATGGCTTTGGTGATGCTGAGTAACGCGTTACAGAAAGTTTGGTGCAGTCTTGTTCGGAAGTCGCGAGTGGGATGCTGAACTTTCCCAATGCGGTTAGAAGCAACGCGGGGCTAGGTGCCTTGGCCGTACCTAGAACGATGGTCACCTCCAGGGCTCCTGTGTACGACCGCAAAGCCGATCCCGACAAGCAAATCTCGAGTGTTTTCCTGCCCGAATATCGTCACCCCAAGCAGACACCTCCGCCGTCATCTCATACAGTCGCCCTTGCCTCGCGAAAACACCGGCAAACAACACGCGATTGCCCCACCCGGATCGCCCTTCGCCGCCCATACATCGATCGTTCACAACTCAATCGGCGCGCGCCTCAAGTTCATACTCGCTGAAGCCTCCACAAACCTCCGATCTCAGCTATGAGTAACGCCGACTTTCTCGGCCGGGCCATCGAAACGGTCAAAAAGGCAATTGAAACGGACACGGCAGGGGAATATGAGAAGGCATATCAGCTGTACTACAGCGCTCGTCAGTAGCCCAAAGGATAGCCCGTTTGGTTTTGGACGCTAATTTCTCATGCAGTTGAGCTCTTTATGCTCGCTCTCAAATGTACTATGACCATCTTCTTGGGATCGGTAGGCATGCTAACACTCAGCAGGGGAGAAGAACCAGAAGTCCAAGGACATGATCCGCGGCAAGGTCGCCGAGTACATGGAGCGCGCTGAGAAGCTCAAGCAACATTTGAATCAAAACGACGCCTCGAATCGCAAGAAGCCAGCAGCCATGGGCTCCAATGGCAAATCAGCGGGCGGAAGTGGAAAGGGCGGAGGGTACGCACTCACTCCATAGTTCGAAAGTCCTGAGATCTCACCATTAACTTCTGACAGTGACGAGGATGAAGGCGAACAAGACGCCGACTCCAAAAAGCTCCGCGGTGCGCTCGCAGGCGCCATCCTCTCGGAGAAGCCCAATATTCGATGGGAAGACGTAGCAGGTCTGGAGATGGCGAAAGAAGCACTCAAGGAAGCCGTGATTCTACCCATCAAGTTTCCACATCTGTTTACTGGCAAGCGACAACCATGGAAGGGCATATTACTCTACGGACCACCTGGTACGGGTAAGAGTTACTTGGCAAAGGCGGTCGCTACCGAGGCGAACAGCACATTTTTCAGTGTCTCCAGTTCCGATCTCGTCAGCAAATGGATGGGTGAATCAGAACGGTAGGTTGAGACAGTCGAACTTCATGCAACGCAACAACTGACATAATATCAGGCTCGTTAAACAGCTCTTCGGCATGGCTCGCGAAAACAAGCCCTCGATCATCTTCATCGACGAAATTGACGCCCTCTGCGGACCTCGAGGTGAAGGAGAGTCGGAAGCATCACGACGTATCAAGACGGAACTGCTAGTGCAGATGGATGGTGTAGGCAAGGACTCAAAGGGCGTACTCATTCTCGGCGCGACCAACATCCCCTGGCAGCTCGACTCTGCCATTCGACGACGATTCCAGCGAAGAGTTCATATTTCGCTGCCAGATACCCCTGCCAGAATGAGGATGTTCGAGCTCGCAGTCGGCAACACACCTTGCGAGCTGAACCAGGCCGACTACAAGAAGCTGGCGGAGCTCAGTGAGGGATATTCTGGGTCTGATATCTCGATCGCGGTACAAGACGCGCTCATGCAGCCCGTACGTCTGATCCAGACGGCGACTCACTACAAGCCTGTCCAAGTCGATGGCCAAACAAAGTGGACACCGTGCTCACCTGGCGATCCACAAGCAGAGGAGAAGTCATGGACAGATTTAGATGGCGATCAGCTGCTCGAGCCACCTCTCAAGGTTAAAGACTTTGTCAAGGCGATCAAGGCTTCAAGACCGACTGTTAGCGGCGAGGATCTGAAGCGCAGCGCCGAGTGGACAAAGGAGTTTGGTAGTGAGGGCGCGTAACCGGGTTGTCGTTATCTAAGACGGTGCTGTATATCTTCGAGGCGCTTTTGGTGTTTATATCCCCTTCTAGCATAGCGGTTCCAGGCCGTAGACGGACCGGCCGGCGTTGATGCTTCGAATACATGATCAACTTGAGCCTTTCTTCCTTGTCAGTTTTGGCAATTACACTTTACTCCAAGCCAGCCTCATTTCAAGTGTCAAGAAGAGGAAACTGTATACCGTATTGGATCATCACATTATGAGGTAAAGGTGATTGAGTGATGATGCCTTATTTCTCTACACTAAGCCAGACCGGCCGAGTCTAATCCATAGCACAATCGGAGTGGGTGAGGGGATGAAGGGGAAGCATTGGGGGGGAATCTGTGTAAGCCTAACCTGACCTGACCTAACCTAACCTAACCTAACCAAAACAAGCATTCCGCCGTGAAAACAATGCCACTCTACACTTCGCCAGCCTTGTCAATCATCATGATGAAGCTCAGAGACCCTCACGTCATGTCCTTGCATACTGTCTTCATGCTAATGTGCTCACGTCACAATTCCAAATCGAACGCCGCTCATGCATCGTGTCCCATATGGATGAAGTTCCACAAGTCCGTAAAGTTGATCGTCCGAGAATAGCCTACTCAGTCTCTAGCTAAAGTAAGCTTGCGCGGTACGCTGCTGCTCCGGTGTCAGAGTCGCAGCAGCTTGGCCTAAATCGGTGCTAGTCGCCTGTATGAGCGCCTTTACGGATGCGACGACGCGGTTCGCGGTCTGTCCTTGCAGAGTCTCGGCCTCGAGAGCTTGCACAACGTAATTGAAGACCTTTGCGGGTTGGGAGAATACAGCCTGGTTTTGCCTATAAAACAATTAGCGGGGCTCCCTTGCGTATCCTGCACAATACCAGGTAAACTTACTGTTCGATCAACTGGGCTAAGAAGGCATATGCGTATGGAGTAGCTTCCTCGTCGTTGGTAATTGGGAGGGTGTCGATCCAGGCTGCGGCGACGCTATCCCAATTCGCAACCTTGCTTGCGTTGTAGTGTAGGATCTTGGCGATCGCAGCCGATGCGTTCTCTGTCGCAAAGATGTCGTCGTCCGCGCGGGCATTGGGCCTCTGTGTGACCTGGAAGAGCGTCTCTAGGGAGGCAGCAACAAATTCTGACCAGTTCTCTCCTCCCTTGTGGGCTGCGACACCAACACCATACACGGCTGCCTGGCGGTTAGCAGGAACCTCGTCCTGCATACCGTCAATGAGGGGTTGGATGATTTGATCTTTGTATTGCCACGACTCTGGTCCACAGAACTCTAGCACATCGTCGTAGATGCAAATCGCCCATTGACGCTGAGTAGGATCGGGGTTGACAACGGCCATGCTGTAGAACTCGATCAAACCTGCCCAATGGGGCAGGAATGCAGTGCCCATAGTCTTGAAAATGCTGTGGAACGCCTTGTTCATGTCCGACAGAAGATTCTGGTCGTCCTCGATAGCGAAGAGAATATCTTCTGAGGCTTCCTCGCCATCTTCATTTTCGGCTTGCTCCTCCAGGCGTTCTTTGACGCGAATGTTGTAGTCTTGAAGCACGCTTCTAGCGGACTCAATGAATGTAGTCATGTGTGCGTCTGTCAGACAGTTGCGGCCAATGCACTCTAGACACTCGTAGAAGCACTGGTACATCTCGGCAAGGGTATCAATGGCGGGCTCGGTGCTGAGAACTTCAAGGACGCGCTCGACAGTACGTCCCCACAGTGCACCGAGCTCTGTTGACTCCGGACCGTGGGCCTTCTTGTACGCGTTCAATAGTGCCGGGACACATTTGGCGGATGCGACCCGTACGGGGTCGTGGAAGAAGAAGGCCAGACCTGGAAGAGCGATCTTCTCCATAATGTCGTTCACGTAAGGCTCGAAAGCATCCTCCAGCACTTGCGCGTAGATGACGATGAGTTCGATGGCCATGTGCTTGTCATCGAGGATGCTAGTCTTGATTCCAATAACCTTACCCTTGAGTGGGACCAACTCCCAGCCTTCTTCATCTTGGATCTGAGCAACTTGTTCTTCGTCATCAAGAAGTTGGATGTCAGCCTTGGCTCCAGCAAGCTCGGTCAGTGGCGGGATGACACCAGCGAGGAAAGGAACAAACTCGCGTCCTAGCACACGGCACATGCGGCCCCAGCAGTGAAGCAGATAGGAGGCTTGTGGGTCATCAGGCTCGGAGACGCTGTTCTGAATCCGGCCAAGCAGTTGTACAAGATTGAGCGCGTCCTGACCCATACGGTCTTTTCCGACAGCGAGAGCAATAAGTGTTGCGCACTCCATAGCCTTCGCGCGAAGAAGCCTGTATTCCTTTGATTGCTCTTCCTGTAGGACGTTGAAGAGAAGGGGCATAAGGGTATCGTAGTACTTGGAGAAGGCAGCCTCTGCAGAATCCGCAACAGTGGCAATGGTAGACAAGGCTTGTTCCTGCACAAAGCGCTTGGGGCTCTGCAGAAGCATGAGCAAGTGGTTGAGCAGCTGGTCAAGATATGGCTCAAGAATGTTCTTTTCAGCCTCCTCGCAGAAGTTCACCAGAGCGGCGGCAGCGTGCGCTTGCACACGAGGTTCGGAGGACTCAAGGACCGGGATGATGTTTGGCAGGACGACCTGGTGGTACTTCTCTTGCATGGTGCCAGCAAAGTCAGTCGACATTTGACCGACAGCATTGCAGGCAGCCCATCGCACACGCGGATGGGGATCTCGGAGCGCAGGTAGAACGAGGTCCAGCACCTTGTCGAGCTCGCCAACCATTAATTCACGGCAGCCCTCGGAAATGGCTGATATTGCCATGAGAGCTGCGTGCCTGTCGCGCCACGCTGAAGAAGTCATCATGCGGGGTAGCCAGTTGAAAGTCGGGGGAAGAATGGCTTGTCCACCGAGCTTGTTTGCCAGGCGATCCATACATTGCTCACCAGCAACGTGGTTGGAGTCGCTCTCTTCGTCCAAGTCTTCGGAAACGTTCCATTCTTCAGCATCGTCATCATCAGCGCCAACGTCGGTCATCAGAGACAAACATTGGGTGACCATGTCGTTGGTGAAGTTGGAATCCTTCTTGCACATGAGTGGCGCGTTGTCTGCGAATGTAGCCATGAGCTCTAAAGCGTTCTGTCGGGCCGTCTCCCCCAAATCCTTGTCCTGGATGACGGAGATGCTGAACTGAACGAGGCTGTTGAACAGAGGCTTGAACATCTTGGGCGCGACTTCAGCAAGATCGATGAGCGAGATGAGGGCCTTGCTGAGGAGCTCTGCATCGCCAGAGTTCTTGATGGGTGGCAGAATGTTTAATATCTCACCGATGAGGGAGTAGTACTTGGTTTGTGCCTTCTTGGTGATGGAGCGGAAGAAGGATGCGAAGGCTTCGACGGATGCGATTCGGACCTGTGCAGTGTAAGTTGAGAAGGTCCAGGTGCATGTGGAAAGCGTACCGATGTCTCGCTGTCGGCAAAGCCGCCCTTGAAGGCAGTCATGACCACATCTTCGTGCTGCTTCTCGATGATCTGCGGGGTTGTCGAAAATATCCTGAAGGCGTTCTCACGTTGCGCGGGGTCTGCGGATTGGCTTGCCTGGAACAATGCGCCCAGCAGCTCTGGCCATGCAACACCTAGGTGGATTTAGACATGTTTTGTGAGGTGTACCGTTTTCCTCGTACCTTCATCTGTGTGCTGGCGTGCGAGCTCGGCAACTGCATCTCCAACCTTGGTGCGCACCGAGTTGTCGGTCTCATTGGCGAGGCACTGGAGCAGTTTTGCGCGTATGGCTTCTCGCTCGGGGGCGTTGAGGGTCAGGAAGAGGTCGGCGGTCTGGCCAGAGGGCGCCTTTCGCGGTTTCGACGACTGTCGCCTGAAGATGACGGCGGCAAATGTCCTTGTCTGCCACGGCTTGTAAGCTAAGATGCATGATTTCCACCAGACTGGAGTCGTACTGAAGTGTCTTGCGCCAGCTCAATCTGCTCCGAAAGGCCCATCAAGAGCACCTCGGGCCTCTGGGCAACCCATTCCTCGTTCAACTGCTGCTCGGCGGCCGTACGCTGAACATTGTCCGGCGACTGTAGACCCTGCAGCAGGGTTGCCAGCGCGGTATGCACCTCGGCAGGGAGGACAGACATGTCGTATGTGTGTATTCGTCGTGTGTATCGTGGGGAGCGGCCCCAGTTGGGTGTGTTGTTGTTCGCAGGCAAGGGATTATGGTCGCTTGGTCGGTAGTGCTTGCGGAGCGCGTGTGACGTGGTTCAAAGTCGCGCCCCTGCTGCCGTGAAAATATGCAGAAGCAGCGTGTGCTCTAGTACAGAACGTCGGTCGGCGGCAGAATCGGGGGCTTTGTGTGGTTTCAGCGTTGCCGTAGAAATAATTTCATTCATCAATTGTTTTGGCGGGGCTGGCTTCGCGAGTCGGAGCCATGTCCAAAAAAACAAGGGTGCGTGTAGAATACAACCCCGCCATGTCATTGGCTAGTTTGCACTCTTCACCGACTGCATGTGCACGCGGAACCTCTTCTTGGGCTATCCGTGTACTTGAAAGGTTTCTGAAGGGACATGAAGGAACAGGAATGGGTCAGATGGCATCGAAAACGTGGAGACGGCACCCTATGCAATGAAGAAACCGAACAGGCAGAGATGGCTTCGCAGCCTACAACAAACTGGTTAAACATCTAATATAGATGGATGGATATGGTGGAATCCTACGTTAGTGTTAGGTATCTTGTGTTTTCTTGTCATGTGATATTGCAGACAGCAAGAAGTATATCTACACTTGTTTATTTTCTTCCTTGGATAGGGTCATGATGAAGACCAGGCGGCTACAAAGCACCCCAAAAGTAGTGACTCTATCCGACACGGACGTTAGCATAATAGAGATTTCTAATTCCAACATAAACTGTGCTGTTAGATGCTGATGGAACGGGCTAGGTATTTGGGCCTTGTAGTATGACCATGTGCACATGTGCCATGTTAGCAGTCAAAGAGGGAGTAGCGGTCTGGCCCCGGCGCTTGCACCCTCGCGTTGTTTTCGTACCCTGGCAACCACGTCGACATCCGATTTCCTTTCCCCCACCTGCCAGCAAACTGCTTTTTGACCAGGAACTTGGTTCGTAAGCCTACCATGTCGCATACCGGTACCATGCGGGGGACGCCCAAGCCCACGAACCGCAACCAGCCCCAGCAATTCCCCCACAGCCCATCGGGGATTCCACGACCAGCTCTCGAGACTCACGCCTCTCATGTTGCCCAGAGCGAAGCGGGCGGCTCTTCGCTCAGCGCCAGTCGGGCCAAGATGTCGAAGCGCGACGACGTAAGCTGCCCTGCTCGCCATGGACAATTACATACTCATCATGCCTAGGCCATCCGCCGAAAGATCGAAACCGACCTGAACAAGAAGAAGAACCCCAGCGGCCGAGTCCGACCCTCGAAAAAAGCCCCGCCTGGCACAGTCCTCGCCCTGAAGCCCTCCCCCGCGCTCCAGATCAAGCCCTCTACCTCAGTCGCCGAGGCGGCTCAGTTGATGGCAGCTAAGCGCGAGGACTGTGTCCTGGTTACCGACGACGATGACCGTATTGCTGGTATCTTCACGGCTAAAGATCTGGCCTTCCGGGTCGTTGGTGCTGGAATCAAGGCCCGCGATGTCACTATCGAAGAGATCATGACCAAGAACCCCCTCTGCGCAAAGACCGACACGAGTGCGACCGATGCCTTGGATCTAATGGTCAGGAAAGGTTTCCGTCACCTTCCCGTCATGGATGAGAACCACGACATCAGTGGTATCCTGGATATCACAAAATGTTTCTACGACGCCATGGAGAAGCTGGAGCGCGCCTACAGCTCTTCGCGCAAGCTGTACGACGCCCTGGAGGGTGTGCAGGCGGAGATGGGCTCCAGCCAGCCGCAACAGATTATCCAGTACGTCGAGGCCATTCGTCAGAAGATGTCCGGGCCTACACTCGAGTCTGTTCTGACAGGACTTCCACCAACCACCGTTTCTGTGCGCACCTCAGTCAAGGAAGCTGCGGCACTGATGAAGGAGAACCATACCACTGCCGTCCTGGTGCAGGACAATGGATCCATCACCGGTATCTTCACCAGCAAGGACGTCGTCCTCCGTGTTATTGCCGCGGGGCTTGACCCGATGACTTGCAGTGTCGTACGAGTGATGACTCCCCATCCCGACTTTGCGCCCATGGACATGAGCATCCAGTCTGCTCTCCGCAAGATGCATGGTGAGTGATCCAAGTCAAAAGCGAATCGGGCAACCGCTAATGTTATGCAGACGGTCATTACCTCAATCTACCTGTCATGAGTGATGCTGGAGAGATCGTAGGCATGGTCGATGTTCTCAAACTGACCTATGCCACTCTTGATCAGGTATGTTCAATTGCTCTATCAAACGTATTCGTGCTAACTCTCTAAAGATCAACAATATTAGCACAACGGACAGTGAAGGTCCTGCGTGGAATAAGTTCTGGTTGTCTCTGGACAATGAGACTGAGTCGATGATGTCAGGCGAGGGTGGAAGCCGTGTGCACGACCACCGCTCATACGTCTCACATAACGACCGCCCTGGTCTCATGGATCGTGGTGACAGCGTACTACCCAACGAGTCTGCCAGCCATCATGGAGGTGATTCACCAGATCTGTCTGCTGTCGCTAGTGTTCCTCCCTCTCATATGGAGGACATGCCGTTCCCTTTCAAGTTCAAGGCTCCAAGTGGTCGCGTCCACCGCCTGCAGGTCGTCGTATCTGCAGGCATCGAAGAGCTCATCCACAACGTAGCCAACAAGCTCGGTAGCGAGGTCGAAGCCATAGGAGGCACACCAAGCTTTGAAGAAGGCAAAATTTCTCGCGCTGGCTTCGCTCTGAGCTATCTTGACAACGAGGGCGATACCATCTCCATCACCACGAACGACGACTTGGTCGAAGCTGTCAGCCTATCCCGTATGGCGCATCGCGAGAAGGTCGACCTTTTTGTACACCATCCCGAGAAGGCTCCAATGTCTGTCGAGGTCAACCCGCAACCTGCGCTATCCAAGCCTGTCACACCGCCAGAATCCACCCTTCGCGAGCGCAAGCAGTTCTTCGACGAGGACGAGGAGAAGCCTAGATCTAGAGGCCGGAATCAACCAGTGCCTCTCTCGCAACAGCCGGAGATCATTGCTGGTGTTCCAAATGACCTCCTCTTACCTGGAGCTATCGGTGTACTAGCCGTCGTCATCGTTGGTGTCTTTGTTCTTGGTCGCGCTAGCCGGTAAGACTTGGGTGGACTTGGGTGGACGTTGGGTAATGGGTGTTGGAGTAATAGCGAGAATGCATTGTTTCCTTTGTAAGAACCTGATATCCCTTAGATCCCTGGGTGTTTCCTAGCAGTTTTGGCAGTTAAATTGAATACGTTTTACTTCCATGAATATTCTTGGTAATATTGACTTTACACTCAAATCACGTGTGGATATGATGCGCAGAGTACAACTTTCAATGTCTTGGTATATAATCAATGCGGGGATTAATCAGTCACATTCCTTGTAATCACCAGGGGGTCAAGTGGTTTGATGTTGATGCAAAACGAACACGTGTCTGCTGTCCTCTTCTGCCTCTGGTGTTGTCGCGATAGCCGGAGCAAGATGTTCTCATTACTTATGTGTTGTGCCCTACAAAATAGGTATAAAGTACCAAAAAAAAGGCTTTAGAAACATACAGTAGACAGGGATACTTATCGTCTCAAGGATTTCTTCCAAACTTGTGCTCGTAGTAATATAAAGGATGCCCTCTTATGTATTACATCTGGTATTTGCGACGACGATAGAGTCTATGTTCTCGTCACACCTAACAGGAAGCCACTCATGGCTTATATCCTGACAGATACACTTGGCTCTCGCAATAATCAATATAGAAACACAGATTTCTTAGTTATCTACTTACAGATATGATATTCCTATTGCGTGTTGTTGGTGTTATTGTAGGCAAAGAAGAGGTTATTGAGAAATCATGGCAAAGTACTGTTTTCATCTTATTTTATTTTATTTTATTTTATTTTGGATAGGATATTACGGCACTGTCGAGCCCACGTATAACTGACTCGATCTCATCCTGATATCAGAAGATGTCTAAATTTCCAGAGAATAGCCCATGTTATGCCTCCCGAGTGATGCTCTTAGGCTATATGCGGCTAGCGCAATTTGCGCCAAGCGATAAGATTAGATCCGCCACTTTCGCTAATGGAATTTTGAGTGCTGTGCCGACATCACGACTCCGACGTCAGGAACGACTCTCACGACAACCACCCCACTGCTGACTTTTAGATACACATCTTCAGTACGCACTCTCCCGCACACCGTCAACCCAGCTCCCGCTTACAAAACTCGATAGAATCAGCCGCAATCATGGTTAAGAAGCGCGCGTCCAACGGTCGTAACAAGAAGGGTCGTGGCCACGTCAAGCCCATCCGCTGCTCCAACTGCTCGCGATGCACACCCAAGGACAAGGCAATCAAGAGATTCACCATCCGTAACATGGTCGAGTCCGCCGCCATCCGTACGTCTCACGATCGCTCTCATACCACGCCGGATACCACAAATAGAGAAGCGGCGACTTCGGGACATCGAGGACTAACAGCACACAGGTGATATCTCTGATGCCTCCGTCTTCCCCGAGTACACCGTCCCCAAGATGTACCTGAAGCTCCAGTACTGCGTCTCCTGCGCTATCCACGGCAAGATCGTCCGGTACGTTCAGCCCGCACGAGGATTCGGATGAGGTGAATTCTAACACATTCGCAGTGTCCGCTCGCGCGAAGGCCGCCGCAACCGTGCTCCTCCCCCACGTGTCAGGTACAACAAGGACGGAAAGAAGATCAACCCGAACCAGGCCGCTGCTAAGACTACCACTGCTTAAGTAGCGTGTGGCTCGCAAAGGGAATGATCATGGCGCTTGGTGTGGGGTCTTAGGGTTCTTTCGGAATGTCATACTGGAAAATGCATGAATCCAGAACGAATCATGGTTACGGCTTGCTCGGGAATGCCTGCATGAGCAGCACCGAGAGCTAGCTATGAACTTGTAAACGAATATCCAAGTCGACTTGCACCACCCCTACGTCTGTTTTGGTGATGTTTCTGGATATTGACCACTCGTACAAGCGACTGATGGTGGGGCTTACATGCTGTTCACATATGACACAAACAACACACGTTATTGCAAATGTTGGACAGATCACGAAGAACTGCGACATTCGGTGCTTCGTTCCTCCAACCCAAGTCCAAGTTTCGTTATGCGTATCATACATTGTGATCATCTTAGTCGTTCCGCTTCTTCCCCTCGCCTAGATCACCTCCATCATCGAGACTCTTCTTCCCACTCACAGGCTCCGGTTCAGTAGTGTCCCAATCTTCTGCATTCTCATCCCATCGTTCAAGCTCTTCGTCCACAGTAGATCTGACAACACCGGGTTCCTGCCCCTCGACATTCTCGCCCAACTCAATGTCTCGTTCCTCGTCTCCGGCGACGGCTGTGTATCCGCGTGCAGCTCTCTTTCGCTCGAGCATGCGCTTATGGTACCAATTACATAGGCCGAGAGCGAGAAGCGAACCGAGGACATTGGCTACAATGTCGTAGTAATCGAAGTCGCGATGTATCTAGACAGCTGTTAGCTCTCTTCTCTCTCCATGTCCTTCCCAGAATCAACTGACGGGCAACAAGCCTTGCACAACCTCACTAGCAACCCCTAGACCAATGGTACACACCGTGAAGGTGAGTTGCAAGACCTTCCTCCGACTTGTCTCCAGTATCCAGTAGAAGCATAGTGTGAGGAGGAAGAAGGCGATGAAGTGAAGTGCTTTATCGGATTGCTTGTACGAGGGGATTTTGTAGTCGGGCGGGGAGAAACCGGCGCCGGCGCTGATGAAGATGAGGGCTACGAAAGCGCCTGTAAATACGTTAGCGTGGTGTTGTATAGAAGTTGCGAGCAAGTACAAATAGAATGCGCGTTGATTGCTTGAATGCAGCAGTGCCTCGAGCTCTCTGACGTATGAAACGAGCAAGTGCTACCTACCAGCAAACGGTTTGCGTATACGCATCATGAAATGTTTCGACTGTGGCTATAAGCGCTCAAGGAACATGTTCAGGTCTTGGAGATTAGATGGGTGCTGTCAGCGGGCGGCTGGAGCTAACGGTCGTTGCTATGCTGCCACGAGCTGGCATCTGGCGGAACTGGCTTGCAGACATGGACTAACCTATCACGGTATCATAGTTGTCGATCACGTGTGGAACCTGTGAAAATCGACAACCTGGGAAACTGCGGGTAGACCCAGGTCGCAGCTCCGAGTGTACCTGACGCTATTTCTGCTGGCTTGCGTTCCGCGGTTGGTATCGGGATTCGACACGGTACCACGATTCAGAAAACATGGTGCTCTTCTAAAGTGTGGGTATCAAGAAGCTCGTTTTTTTTACTGAGCTATACCAAGATAAACTTTACCTTGAGGTCTTTGCTGTATTTTACATTTGTACAGCTGCAAGTTACGATATAGAGAATACTTCCAGCGTACGTTTTGCTGGATATGGCTTGGGGAAGACGAGCTTCTTAGTAAACGTGACCGAAATACGCCCAGGGAGCACAGTCCATGCCATCGGCACCATGGCAGCGTGCGCAAGACCACTGAGGGCGAAGATGGAATACCTTGGGCGTGAATATAATGAATTGCCATGTTGCAAAACGCGACCGACAAGTATGCGCTAGGGTCAGGGCTTCTGATATCCGGATGTGGGTGATTCATGGGGTTCGTTGCGGGAGTCGAGGTGCTAACGCTAAGGCGTGCCTGGAGAAGGGATAGGTCAACCTGCAACTATCGACTTTAAACCAACGACCAAACTCCCAGGCCGCATCTTTGGCCATCAAGACGCGAGCCCACAGCACCCCTTTCCATCTCGCAGTCATCAGAAATCGACTCGCACGCCGTAGACTCTTCTCACATGCTTGATTTTATCGCGTTGCGACACCTGGAAGACGGTCGCCCTGCTGGCGGGCCATCCCCGTGAGGCCGCGAACCGCCAAGACCACCCCCCACAGCCGACGACGACGACTATGTCGTTCAGTGCCTCTCCATATCCGCCATCATCGCGAGAACGCCCAAGTCATACCCGCTTTCTTCATCAACAGCCTAATGCGACCCGTTTGCGGACTCCCAATGCGCTGAACGATGAGGCCATGTCAAACCACAACGCGAACAACTTCGGGGATGGGGGAGACATGGCCGCGGAGGAAGACCCTCGGGCGGCGCGTTGGCGCGAACACTATCTACGCACCGAAGCGCGTCTGGCTTCGGTTCTCGGTGGCACATACGAAGGCGATGCTATTGATGCCCTGGACAATGAGGCGTCATCCGGTGATGCTCCGGCGCATGACGCGCGACCAGCCATCACACCGAAGAAGCTAACCCGCACCATCGACGAGGACGACTACGGCGATGACGAAGATGATGAAGACGACGACGATACTCGCACCTCTCCGTTACACTCGAAAGGCCCAACCAATGGCCTTGCTGCCGCCGCCCCCAGCACGCCAAGCCTTCTCCGCGTACCCTCCATATCAAACAAGTCAGGTCACGACCGGACTGGAACACCTTCGTCGGATCACACAAAGACATCAGATGATGTGCGCAAGAAGCTGCAACAAGACAAGAAGGCGGCCGAGGATGCTGCAAAGCGGAGTTTCCAAACCATGTTCTATCCATTGGAGAGCGATCGTGACGCGATGCTAGAACAGCAGAAGCTTGACGAGCTCGACCGTCAAGTAGAGATAGAAACCTCTGGAACTCCTGCGAATGCAGCACCTAACAGCGCCGTCGTTGCCCCCCAGCAAGGCACTTTGAGCACCACCAACCTTGGGGCGTCCAGTCTCACCCTCAAGCACCTCATCTCCCGCATCGATGCACAAAGAGACCGAGTCCATGCGACCGACGCGCAGCTGCGAAGCCTCATTAGCGAAGTCCGAAAGAACAGGAGCAAATGGGCAAACGAAGATCGCGTCGGCCAGGAGGAGCTATACGAGAGTACGGAGAAGGTCCTCATGGAACTTAAGGCGAACGAGCATGCCCATCCCTTCCTTCAGCGCGTCAACAAACGAGAGGCCCCGGACTACTACAACGTGATCAAACATCCCATGGACATTGGCACAATGATGAAGAAGCTCAAGCAGCTACAATACAAATCCAAGAAGGAGTTTGTGGAAGACCTCATGCTCATATGGTCAAACTGCTTGAAGTACAATGCGGACCCGAGCCACTTTCTCCGCAAAAAGGCGCTGCACATGAAGAAGGAGACGGAGAAGCTGGTACCTCTTATCCCAGATATCACCGTTCGCGACCGCGCGGAAGTCGAGGCCGAGGAGCGGAGAATACGTAATGGCGATGCAGACGCTGACGGCGCTGACGACAGCGAAGACGAGGAGCCCATCATGGCTTCGCGGGGAAGAAAAGCACCAAGCAAAGGAGGTAAAGGCTCAAGTACAGCGAGAAAGGCCCCTCCAGCTGGTCTGGAAGACACGCCGGGCCCAGAAACAAAGCCGTCAATTCCATCGCTCAACAATGCGGTATCTAACCTTAAGAATGAGTTTTTACGAGCGGACTCCGAAATGGAAGGCAGCGTCAACGGGTTCTCAACACCTCCTCCACCCGGTACGTTGACACCATTAGGGCCGAACAGCATCTCGCGGAACGGCGTGAACGGCAGTCAAGCCGACGTATCGGAAGCCGACGGCACTGGTGTCTCGGTCAGTGATGCTTTAGAAGAGGATGCCGATCTCGACGACCTGGAATACAAAACATGGAAACAAGTGACAAAGAAAGACCGAGCAATCATCGCGTCAGAAAGACATAGACTGTTCCGTGACGACCACCTGCAACCGGATGAGCCTGCTATTCTGCGCACCAAAGCTGGCATGAGAAGATGGCTACGACACCGAAAGCAAGCTATCGAAGAAGAATCTGCGGGCGGAGCTGTCCCTGCTCCGGACGGCAAGGACGGCGTTCAGGCCACAGCTGGCGAGTCACTCGCCGAAGGTATTGAGGGCGAGGAAGAGCGTCAGATCCCTGATTACTACGACCCTGTGTGCGCCATTCCTGACCTTTCCGAGCGCCTGCAATGGGTTGAAGACATGGAAGGTTACGTTATCCCACAAGCTGAAGAGTACATGCGCATCGTGCCAAAAGGACAGTTTATCTCGCCGGACAGTGCACTTGTGCATAAGTTTGATGACAACAACCACATACTGCAAGAGACCAGGAAGATTTGCGCAAAGATTGGGATCGTCAAACAGATGCAGATTCAGTCACAGGTAGGTCTTTATCAGAGTTGCGGAGTAGTGGCGCCGCTGACCCCCGTAGTTGTACCAAAACCAGTTCCAGAGATACGAACCACAGCCTTTCCATGAGGCAGATATTGAGCCAATAGTCACATCTGAGGATGGGCCGATCATGGCTCCTTATGTCTGTCGTGCCGCTTTGCAGCGCAGCGTCGGCAAGGTCTTCTATCACGCTGGGTTCGAAGAGTTTCAGCCATCCGCTCTTGATGCTGTGACTGACATTGCGGCGAAATTCTTTCAAAACCTTGTTGCAAGCCTTGGAATCTATCGCGAAACGCCGAAGATGAAATCGGATACACCTATCACTCTTCCCAACGGCCAGGTTACAAGCTGGGCACCACGCTTTACTCAAGAAGAAGCTGTGCTCCACTCTTTGCATGCTAATGGCGTCGATCTCGAGTCTCTAGAAACCTACGTCAAAGACGATGTCGAGAGGCTTGGTACAAAGCTTGGTGGCATGCACGATAGGATGCGGTCATACTACGCTGAACTTCTGCGGCCAGCTATGGACAACGCTGGCGCTGACGGTGCCGGTGCCTTCAATGATGGCAGCGAGCAGTTCGTGGGCGGTGACTTTGCCGAGGATATTGGAGAAGACTTCTTTGGTTTCAAAGAGCTTGGTCTCGATATTGAGTTCGGACTCACATCTAGTGTGCCATTACATTTGCTGCAAAACAGAGTGCACAATGCATATGCCAGACAGGATAATAGGTATGTTGGACGATACGTCTCGACGAGGTTCCTACTAATGTTTCCAGCAATATCGCAACTACTGGTGTCATCATGCCTGAGCCGGCGAAGTTCGAGCCGGTTACCGTACAGACCGCTGAAAACCAGATTGGTCTCCTCCAAAATTGGCTCCTCAGCAAACTTCATGACAACAACAGTCAGCCGCTTGTTGAAGATGACGATCTTCCTCCGAAACAGCGATTTCCTAAGCCGCGCTTGCCACCTACGGGCAAGATCTCCAGCCCTCGGAAACGTCCTCTCAGAGAGCAGCAACAAATGGCTCGTAAGAAGCGCAAGCTGGATGAGGAGAAGGACGAAAATGGCAATGATCAAGCTGGCTTCATGAAGGGCATTGGCAAGCCCATTGGCAAACTGAAACTCGAGCCAGTACAGAGAGAAACCCACAGTGTACAAGAGCCGGAGAAAGAGGATGGTAGTGCGCATGGAATGCCGAGCCCACCCGAGTCTTTCTAGGGACAACTGCTGGCTGTTCACCTCGACTGGATTTACTTCACCAGTCACCTTCCATAATTCCGACTTTCTACCACAAATTCTAGGTGATAGGAAGTCGCCTTTCGCAGTCATTGTTTAATTCATCGACATATCTTTATTCTCCTCGCGCTTTTCACGGCTGCTCTGGGCCTACACTATCATCTTTCTACCCCCGCGGAATTTACTAGTCTTATAGTGTTTGTCTTTTTTCCATTTCCTTCGCTCACCATGTTTCTATGGAAGCAAAATTGTCTTACTATATTGGGAAGGCGGAGGGGCTGTCCTTGTATACCCAATCTTGCATTTTGCGCAGTGGCTTTCTGCGTGTGTTTACGATCGCGTATTTGCGACGTCAGCTTGCACTCATGATGGGCTGGCTTTGGACTTTGGGCTTCATGCTTCCTTCTTTGTATATACCAGGTCCATGGATTTGAGAAGGTGACTGTGGCATTGATGGGGCGCTTATAGTATTTCAATGCTACTCATGGAGTATGACCATGCTACTAGTCTTTGTTCTGTGTGTGACTTGGATAACATATCGCTAGCAAGGTAGTACAGCTGCTCTTTCTGAGATATGCATTCGAAACATGGTTGTTAATGTGATATACAATGACGCTTCTCATATGGCAATTGATTGCCATTGTATTCGTCGTAATGTGGTCGTCCAGATATTGAACGGCATACTACAGGATGATCGCGCGCAAACAAACACGGTCGACCATGGCAGTCGTAACAAGAATAAAATACATGTAAGTAGCTTGCAGGTTTTTGAGCATGCGCCGAGACAGAACACCTCTTTCACGTTCGTCACTCTTCCACCCGTTGCGGAACTGAGCCGCAGTGCGACTTCAAAATTTAAAGTACTAAGCACGTGGTATCCGAAAGCTGCATGCGAGCCTTTCTAATCGTTCCTGAACTCTCTCCTAGCGATCAATATCCTCTTGTGGTAGTGAACAAACTTATGTTCCCAGAAACTCGCGTTGATAGAGAAGATGTCGTCAGTACCTTCCTAGAGCAGTTGCCAGAAGCACATAAGTGCAGAGAAAGGTGCAAGTGAGCGTGACAAACCCAACTGTCCAGTAAGGCGCAGTCAAACCTTCAGCTATACGATGTATGTTGAGGAGTAAAAATGAAGTTGTTGATATACCTCGACTCGATAAGTGGTCGAGCTGAAATTGGAGGTTGTTATTAGCGCAACTTCTTTTCCCTTTTGCGCGGACCCTCTCCATTCCCGCTTTCCACACCTCCACCTTGGAGCGACGTTTGCATCATAATTCGAGTCATACTTTGATTGAAGTCAGTTGCTTATTTCCGGTAAGTAGTTTGCCGCCGCCCGCTTTATCGCAACTGGCGACGTTGCTGATTCTGAGCTAACGTGCCACGAGACGTGGATCATCTCGGATGGACTTGGATCTCTTCTGTCACTTCACGACACCGACTTTCCTCGCGACATTCGTCAACCTCGCGCGCATCTTCCCACGCCACTTCATTTCATACTTCTAGTTGGCCCATTTTTCTATCGCGCATTTTTGGATCAAAATCATCTGCGCGCATCAATTTCTTTCATCTGTTCTTGCGCTTCCTTCAGCTGGTCAATCTTGGCTGCGATTGAGACTTTTTCGGTTCATCATGGCTCCCAACGGCCACAAAGCGTCTGGGAAGAAGGGTATTCACAATTCTAGTGATAGCTCACCCGTTTTTTGGGAGGATAAACATGGCCACCGAGAGTTCATGGATTGGAAAGAAGCAAATCAGAACGGTCCTTTTCCTTCGTACGAGGAATGGGTTGAGTCTCAAAAAAGGTCAGGTGGTCTCTCGTTATATTACACAGCGCTGCGCATGTTCGAGGAGTCTGATTCAACTGTAAGTTATTGTCACGACGAGCCAGAAAATTGTCGTTTGCTAAATGCACCAGGACGAGGAGACTATGCCCGTCAAAGCCAAACCCCAAGTAACCAAGGCTCGTGGTCAGGTCGGTCGCCCAAAGAAGACTGTGAGTACGAATGGCAATGGGTTGTCGCGTGCGGCTGAGTCTGCGACACCATCTGTCGTCGCCAATTCGGAAGACCTTAGTCCTTCTGGCAAGAAGAAGCGTAAGGCGCGCAAGAAGCCACTCGTGAGTACTTTCCGCTTGATATCGTCTACTAGCTAACCATACTAGTCTGAGGAGGTCGTCGCTTCGGCTAGTGACAGCGGTGAAGTTATCAAGGATCTTGGAGCATCGGCGCCCGTAGCTGAGACTGCGACACCCACAGCACCGATGATTACCGTCAACGGTCAGCGGAAATCATCGACTCGTAAGGCAAGGAAGAAGCCTATCGTAAGTTCCATTATTTACACACACTCTGCTACATACTGACCTATCTAGTCCGAGGAAACCATCTCACCGGAGGACGAGCTAGAGGACCCAATGGAGAATACGATCGATGAGGTTGTTGCATCTTTGGTTGCGTCTCCTCTTCCTGTTCGATCAGGTACGTGAATTTCTGGAACTATGTGGAAGCCTGATTACCCGACCTGTACAGCTTCGTCACATTCGCCGAAAACCTACTGTGCCGGAACCTCATGATGCTTTGAAGCGGATTCTTGCTTGAAAATTTCTTGTAATTAAGCTAAACATTTTACAGCTCCGAAATCGCCAGCCGCAGCACCAACTTCGGACCCGCCGAAGAAGAGCCATATCCTAAAACTGAGCACCAGGAAGACACCGAAGAAGAAGACTGTCGTGAGTGTTCATCCCGGAACACTCGTAAATTTTGCTAACATGGTGAAGCCTGAGCAGCCTGCTATCGAAGGCGGAGCTGGCGATGTTGATGCTCTTACTCAAGCTACGCCTAGCAATGTCTCAACTGCAGCCGAGCCGAACATCACCTTTGACACGAACGTCACGCCAAAAGTCAATGACAAGATGACCCAAGATACGGACTCTGCTGCGGCTTCGCCGGACCCGACTACTGCATCAACAGGCTCCACCCGACGCGGACTTCGCACTAGAAAGCCTGCACAGCAGAGGCCATACTATCATGATTCGCAGCTGTTCGAGGATGTAGAGCCCACCAATGGAGATGCACAGGATTCAAGCAATACGTCACCAGTTACACAGGGCAGGAGAGTGTCGGTCGCATCAATTAGCAAGAACATTGACGATGCGCTACTAGCCTCACTAGATGAAGAGGCAATGGCTCTGCTTCAAGAAGAAACCGATCCCGAGCCCGCAAAACCCAAGCACTTTAAGGGAAAAGGTCGCGCGTGGAAGAAAGAAGGTTCTGACGAGGACGAAGAGTTCTCTCTAGCTGCCAAAAAGAAGGCTGCCAAGGCGGCACGGATGAAGGCAAAAGGCCAAATCCCCAAGAAGCGGGGCAGACCGAGGAAGAGCGGCCGGTCGGAAGAGCTCATTGATGAGGAGACGGACGAGGACAAAGATGCGGTCAAGCGAAAGCGACCGCCTCCACGCAAGAGCGCTTTGTCTGAGGAGGTCATCATCGATAGTTCCGATGAGGAAGAATCAAAGGAGATGGAGGTAGAGGAGAGCACGACACCCAAGTACACACCAAACAAGTCTTACACACCAAACAAGTCTTATACACCAAAGGGCTTGCCAAAGTACATGTCCAAAGCCGATAGTGGTGCAAACGGCGGCTCAGAGCTCGGCACTGATGACGAGCTGGAGGTTGTCAGTCCGTCCAGGAAGACAGTAGGAAGTGAGGTTGAGGAGTCTGGTAAGCTACAACACCTCGGCCAACTAGTGCTAGGAAGCATGCTGATATGTTGAGTGCAGATGTGCTTCACAAATGAGAGTCGATTCGATCTTGCATTTCATCTGTCACTCTCCTGGGTGGCATATCCGGATGGGGCTGTATGACGGTGTTTGAGTAGAGCTACAGGCGTTCCGGAACTGCACATGCAATAGGAAGGAAGAAACATAGTATCGGGCGCATGTATCATCCGTCTGCAGCAGGTAATAGATCATAGTATTTAGAAACTGCCTCCGGGCCATGATGTTCGATCATTATAGTATCAAGGCTCGAAGCATACAGCACACTATCAACTTGATGCTGAGCCGAAGTCGCGGTAGTCTTACAGCACAAAGAACCTCAGCAGGAAGCTCTTTACATGTCCAGAACACGCTGAGAGCATCCCGGGTATACTACAACCCTCAGAACTTCAAACCCCTGAGCCTAGCGAAGTAATACACAAGTCCAAACGCTAATCCTCCCAGATGCCCCGCATGACCGACGCGGGAATTCGTGCTGTTGACATAGTAGCCATCGTAGAACGCGTAACCCGTAACTAAAGCCCAAAGCGGCATTGGCACGATACCATAGATTAGCACTTTAGAATGCGGCGCTAGACACGCAGCCACACTGCTGATGCCCATGACGGCTCCAGAGAAACCAATGCCACGCGTGTAGTCTCTGGCACCAGGACCTTGGGCCTGCAATTGATAATACCGGTTGAACAGGTAGCCCACGGATCCCGCAAGCCCAGAGCCAAGAGCAATAGTCAGGTAGCGGAGCGGCGTTATGATAGGCGCCGAAGCCAAGAATGAACCCAGGAAGTAAACGGTAAACATATTCGAGAATATATGCCCAATGTCCACATGCGTAAAAATCGCAGTGATCATGGAGAAGTAGTTGCCCTGCTGAAATGTGGTGAGGTTCAACGACATTCTGTTCATGAAATTCACAAAGGGCGCTGGGAAGCCCTGCCTGGCTTGCTCCTTGAGGTAATATGCGTACCCGAAGACGGCGATGTTGGTCCCCATGAGTCCATATAGGACAGCCTCGTTCATGGATACTTGAGATTGGTAGCCACCGTAGCCGCCCGAGGAGTAGAAGCGCGGTCGTGGTAGGGCGATGTGTCGGGATGTGTGGGAGGGAGAGAAGAAATGGGAAGACATTGTTGCGGTACTCTTTCGTGTCTTGAGTGTGCGGAGAGTCCTCAAGAGGCGGAGGTGAGACGACATGGCTCTGTCTGGGTTTACGCAAGACACGTGTGGCGACAAGTAGATATAGACGGCAGGTAAGTCGACTAATTGATACAAAAGCTTGGCGGGTAGATTTCGAGCCAAGGTAGTCTACACGGATTGTTAGTGTTCATACTCTGCCCAGGACACAGGGTATGTCGACATACATCAAGCGCGAACTTGGTACGTGTGCGAAGGGCTCAACTCAAGCTGAGCATCTAGAAGGCAAGGACCGACGTCAGCAGGGCCAATGACAAGCACGCACGGGCCCCTGCCCTCCACCAGCTTCAGATTCCTGCTGCATAAAGCGGCCCGCCCAGCTACCACAACACCACACAAACCGCCCTCAACTGCACAAAATTACACCATCATCTCTGCGCCTAGCCTCCCGAGGTTTACACTGACTCTTACTGTTCGCAGTACACCCCGCGCGCACATCGACTCGCAGACGACTCTACAAGGCGAAACAACGACATTGCGACTCTCTCGAGGCCAAAGCAGCTGCCTCCACAACGCAAACGACTACGAGAAACCGACATTTGCCTTGCTATTAAACAAGAGGCACTCCTATCCCGCGCTTACCGAACCCCACTTTCTCCGGGAAACACCACACCAACTTCGACATTCAAACCCCTCACTTTGCATCTGCTCTGCCCTGCCGCAAGCGTTGCACATACCCCAATTGCGCCCCTACCCACACTACTAGATCTTGACGTCCCGACCAGCCACCCCACCTTCGGTGGACCCCACATACACAATGACTTCAGAAATCACCAACCAACTAGCAGCAACGCAGCTGAGGTGAGCCAATGTTCCAAGAAGCAAGAGCTACGCGCTGACACGCTTCTAGCGATGCTACACCATCAGGAGAGGCAAACTGGAAAGCCGGACTGCATGCGCCAGCGAAGGATGCGCGACCGCAGACAGAGGTGCGCTACCAACGCGGGGATTATCCTTCTCCGACTTGTGCTAATGCTTGGTTAGGATGTTACAGCGACCAAGGGCCTCGAGTTTGAAGACTTCTTCATCAAGCGCGAGCTTATGATGGGCATTTTCGAGGCCGGTTTTGAGAAGCCGTCGCCCATTCAAGAAGAGACGATCCCAGTAGCCCTCACTGGCCGAGACATCCTCGCGCGAGCGAAGAACGGTACCGGAAAGACTGCCGCCTTTGTTATTCCTACCCTCGAGCGCATAAACCCGAAGAGCACCAAGACGCAAGCCCTGATCCTCGTACCCACCAGAGAACTCGCACTACAAACATCCCAAGTATGCAAGCAACTGGGACAGCACCTCGGTGTCAACGTCATGGTCTCGACTGGTGGTACAGGACTGAAGGATGACATTATACGGTTGAGCGACCCCGTTCACATCATCGTTGGAACACCTGGCAGAATCCTCGACCTGGCTGGAAAGGGCGTAGCAGATCTCTCCGCTTGCCAAACGTTTGTCATGGACGAGGCTGACAAGCTCCTGTCACCCGAGTTTACCCCGGTTGTAGAGCAGCTTCTTGGCTTCCATCCCAAGGACAGACAAGTCATGCTCTTCTCCGCTACCTTCCCTATTGTGGTCAAGAGCTTTAAGGTATGTTCAGCGAGCCTCTACACTATAACTAGCTTGCTAAACCAGCACAGGACAAGCACATGAACTCTCCGTACGAAATCAACCTCATGGACGAGCTGACCCTTCGTGGTATCACGCAATACTATGCCTTTGTTGAGGAGAAGCAGAAGGTACACTGCTTGAACACCCTCTTCAACAAATTGCAGATTAACCAGTCCATCATCTTCTGTAACTCCACAAATCGGGTCGAACTTCTCGCGAAGAAGATTACTGAGCTTGGATATTCCTGCTTCTACTCGCATGCGCGCATGCTTCAGCACAATCGTAACCGCGTCTTCCATGACTTCCGCAACGGTGTATGCCGAAACCTTGTCTGTTCGGATTTGCTCACTCGTGGTATCGATATCCAGGCTGTCAATGTTGTAATCAACTTTGACTTTCCTAAGAACGCCGAGACCTATCTGCATAGGATTGGTCGATCTGGCCGTTTCGGACATTTGGGTCTGGCTATCAACCTGATCAACTGGGAAGATCGCTTCAACCTTTACAGGATCGAACAGGAGCTTGGTACCGAGATCCAGCCTATTCCCCAGGTCATTGAGAAGAATCTATACGTTTACGAATCACCCGAGTCAATTCCCCGTCCCATGTCCAGCGCCCAACGCCCTCCGATCCAAGCTCAATCACAGGAACAAGACGGTGCCGCGCGCGGTAACGCCAATGCTCGAGGTGGCTTCCGTGGTGGACGTGGTGGTGGTGGTCAGTTCCAAGGACAGCGCCGAGGTCCTCCACAAAACCAACAGAACCGTCAACCAAACGGTCAGAACCCTCAGCGAAACCCTAGGCCGCAACCTACTGGCCCGCCTCCGGCATCGTAAAAGAGCCCGGTGGGTCTTGGTTTTCTGCACATTGTGTTGACTTTGATACCGGACATACGTTACCATGTCACGACAACTCTTTGTTCAGAGCCTGCGGTGGCATTTGGTGCTTTGCCACCAAATGCATTTATTAATTTCTTTTTCCTTTTTACGACCATGCGATCAGTTGCCGACGACGCGGTACGGGATACCTGGACTTCTACTTTCAGGTTTAACGAATCGAATCATCGGCGCAATACGGTTGTTACGATTTGGACCTTTCTCCATGTACTATATACCAAGGTCTGTCAGGGTCGCGTCTAGTTTTTGTTCTTTTGTATCGGTTGGCTGGTTTCGCCGACTGCGTTCTTGGGGGCTTCTGTCTCTATAGTAGAGCGCATCCTCTACATTTCCGTGTGCTCCTAGTTTTCTAGTTCTCACTTCCATTCTCTACTCAACGGCATCGGCGGTTGTTAGTATAGTCTTTTCAAAAGCCCAACCTTCCTTGTGTAGAGGATCACAATTGGGCACGATCCTCTTTGGTACGACTATACCCTATTCACGACGCTACTGGATATTCGTAGCTCCTTCGAGGCCATCCTACATCTCCTTTGGCGATTCTAAGTCGCTTTCATCTCTGGCCTTTGACAACAATTACTGTCTTTGGCCACACAACTACACTCCCTACCCGATACGTTACTGCACCATGGCACATGCTATTATGCTGTGGAGTTTCAGCGGCCCTTCTCCCTCCCCTAGGTTACCGCACTCATCAGGCGCTACAATTGAGCTCCTTTTAAAGCTGGTCATCTTCAGCTTTGCACTGCGGGCAGAAGACCAGACTAGGCTGGGCTCGTGCTTCCAATGCAGTTACGGGCGACCTTTAAGACAGCACGTCGTATCGTCCATACTCGTGACGGCCTGGCGTCGACTCCGAAGGTTCTGCCTATTGGAAGGACTTCTCAGTTAGAAGAAAACAGCGAAACGAACCACGTTATCGTAACAAGAAAAGAAGAAAAACGTTTTTGAGGGCACAGTTTGAGGAGTCATGGACAACCATCACAATTTGCTTTGGGTATAACGGTCGTTAGCAGCCTACTACCGTGGCTACCACTACCGGACAAGCGATGTTGCTCTAGTATCGTGTTGGATCTAGTTGAAGTTAGTTTTAGATCTTCTCAATGCAAGCCTACTTCCCTCAAACCTTGTTTCCCTGGTTTCCTGTTCCTCGCTTCCTTCCAAATAGCAAACTTGGTGGTCATGAGCTGCATTTGGGCCGTATGACACATCCTGTCCTGACATGTATGTACGCAGTACCGACCCATTGATTGGGGTAAATACAAGCCATTTCAGTGACATGAGTTCTATCGACAATTCTCTCCACTCTCCTTTTTCAAATTAACATGGACCGCCCACTACCTAATGTGCTTGATCTTATCAAGGGCTGACAAAAAAATCTGGCCTTTGTCACGCTTTCTCTTATGTGGCTAACATTGGCAGCAAATGTCCGCCTCCTCTATGGAATGGTTGAGTGGTGGGGTTAGAATGAGCTTAAGAGTGCGTTGCTGGCCTGAGCAGGTCAGTTGGAAGTTGGTGGGATCGTATCGGTCAAAGTTCAGTCTCTACAGATTCCAGATGATTCCAGATCATGATTGTTTACGTGAATACAAACGTTGCCATAGTGTGCCCTGATACATCTCTGAGGTGATGTAGGTACCAACAACCCTGTATCTTCACACAATTCTGCAGCTAGAGTTCTAATGAGTGCACTATTCCACCGCATATATTCGTCATCTACCAACAGCAATCGTTCAGCTCAAGTCTTGCGCTATCTTCTAGAATCCCACAGCAACGCCTGGCCTTCTCTTTTCGATTCCCAAAACCATGTCCACGTACTTCTTGTTGAGACTCTCCTTCTTCCGCGCAGCAAGGAGCGATGCACTCTTAAGTACATTCTTGATCTGGCGCCCGTTCAACTCCACGCTTGCTAACTCCTCTACGTCCTCATCCTTCCATTCCTCCAGGCCTCCCAAGCTCTTTAGGAAATTCTGCCAAATGCTCTTTCGCGAGGCAGATGTGAGGTCAGGGTATGCCAGACTGATGTGAATACGAGACTGGAAGGCAGCGTCTATGTTATCAACGCGGTTAGTAGTCAAGAACAACAGGCCCTCATAGTACTCTAACACGCGGAGGAAGATGGAGACGAGTTTGTTACGCTCTAGGTCGTGCGTGCTGCGTGCTTCAAGGAAGACGTCGCATTCGTCGAGAAGAAGCACAGCATTCCATTTGGATATCATTTCGAGAATGTTGGTGAGTTTGGTCTCAACTTGATCGGGATCGATGCCCAAGTCGCCTGCTGACATCATAAACAATGGAGCGCGCATATGCTCAGCCACAGACTCAGCGGTAAGGGTCTGAGGAATGTCAGTATATGGATTGAAATCATTTCGGTAAACAAAGAGGAGAAAACTTACTTTGCCGACTCCGGGAGGACCGCTGAGGAGAGTAATATGTCCACGTCCTTTACCACTAATGACATCGTCGAAACTGGTCTGGTTCATAGCCTGCGACTCGGCAAAAGCGAGAACGAGCTCTTTCTGGTCTTCGGGAAGAACAAGGGAGGCAAATGCATCGTCATTGAACTTGATGTCTTGAATGAGTTCGATGTAGAAGAGCAGCCATTGTTTCTTCTTGAGCGAGTAGCCCCTCACCCTAGGCAAGCAGAGGAGATGATGATCTGCGGTGAGTCGTAGGCGTTTTTCTTTCTCCTGCTTCCCAAAGACATACTTTGTTTCAGTTGGGTCTTGGATGTCGAGCTTCTCAGAGGCGTTTTCAGGGTCCCTGGCGCATTCTTTCGCGGGAAGGGGCTCAATTCGGCCCACAGAACGAGGAGAGAAGCGCTGGTAGCTGTCTGAGTCGATGATAATACGGCCGGTGCACATGTAGGGTGCCTCGTTCCCATCTCTATCCCAGGTAACTGCGAAGCCCTCGTATGCCATGTAGTGACTGCCTGCGAGTGCTTCGAACTTCTTACCGCGACTAATCAGCGCTTCCTTGACTTTGGATTCATGGGGATGAAAGGACAAGGGGAAAGCTGAGAGCCCCAAGATGAGCGCAGTACCGTGAAACTCCCAAAGTCGGATTGTCTGGCTACTGCGACCGAAAGAGGTGCCGTTCCAGTCGATAGCTTCAACGTTGAGCTGGTACACCCTGCCACACTGGGTATTTCCGTAGGACCCAGATTTCAATCTGTAGACTCCATAGGCTCCATTGTTGGAGTTTGAGTAGATGAGAGCACCAGGCTGATACATGATCCAGATGTGATCAAATGTTACGATACCATGGCTAACGTAGTCTTCAAATGTCTTGATAACATCCTTCAGTTCAGTGCAAAGCACCTTGTATAGTAGCTCGACGTGTTCAGCAGTGGTGGCATCGAGATCCTTCCTGCTCCTATACTCAAGTAGCTGAGGCCATCGATGAACGAAAGGACTAAATGGCGCCTCGAACTCCAGTCGCTTCAGTCCGCAGTGGATGCCGGGATAATCGTTCAGGATCTCAGCGAGTGCATCCTTTAACCACGGTGACTGGATGATGATTGAGTGCATCTGATACTTCTTGCGAGAGTCGTTCGCCTTCTGGAGACGAGTGATCAGGGCATGCTGGGCAGTTTCCTCGTTCTCAGCAGGGTCTGTGGCGTCCTCTGGCTCCGTCTCCGTCCAGCCCCACTTCTTGTTCTTGTCTGGCGGGCCCTGGTAGAGGTTCTTGAAGGATGCAAGTGAGCCCTCTTGGGCAAATCCTGTAGTGCCGTTTGTGTTATCGACACCGTTCGCGAAGTCCTTACTTGGCATGATGGTGGATGTTCAATGCAAACGAGGTAGAGAGCAGAGTTAGAGTGATGAGAAATAAGTGTCTTGAAGCAGTAAATAGGATACGCCTTCTGTGCTCAGGTAGATATACTCATAGACTTGCTGAGATGCATTCACTTTGTGGTCAAATCTACCTTCAGGCACCAGCTTTACCCCAATGAATCCTCAATTTCACCTGGTTTAGGCGTTCCAAGCCGAACTGAGTCCAGACAAAGAAAAGCTCACCTGTGCATTACCTTGTAGCATGGACAGATCTGAGTGGTCATCACAGTCATGATTATGAGGGGGATGTGGCGCAAGGCGCAAGAGGGAGGCCTCAAGCAGCGGTGCCTAGAGGTGGCGAGGCTGATACCCGGGGCGATAGACGGATGTAGAGTCATAGTTGACTCAGGCAAGCCGTGCAGTGAATGTAGCACGTCCAGTGGATAGGATGCATGGCGCGGAGAAGATGCGGAGGTCCAACAACGCGCTAAGATGATGATCCCTGTCGCGACTTTAGACGCAGCAACCCAAGCATTGCGCATCGTCATGGTTAGAGCAATCTCCCACCATGTCCAAAGATGATGAGCCTTCATACATTGACTATGAAGCCTTCCTCGATCCAGACTTCTCGGCAACGTCTTTCGCGAACACGCTCGTTCTCTCGACCAACAACCCCTCCGACACCCCGCTAGATCTGTCAACACCACTATCGCGCGTCCTCTTCGATGTTCAGGAAGTCGACACGCATATCGATACTTTGACTACCAAGTCGGCACTGCCCCTACTAGAGCATACACGAGACCATGCCGAATCGAGCGGACGCATACTGCACGAGGTGGAAGGACAGGTTGCCAGTTTGACCGAGTCGTACAGAACACTAGAGAAGGAGGTTGTTGAGCGCTACGAGGTCGCTGAGCAGGTGCAGTTGACAGCAGAGAGACTCTGCGAGACTGTCAAGCTTGGACGAGCCGTAGCGCGATGTCTCATGCTGGGAAGGCAGCTCGAGGTTCGCATGTCGGAGCTGGGCGGTGTTGGCAGCGCAAAGAGAGAGGATCATAGGGCCATGGTGCGCTCGGCAGACACGATACTATCGCTGCGCCAAATACTTGCGGCTTCAAAGCCAGGCGAAGAGGGAGAAGGTCTGGACAGAGTCAATGCGGTGAATACGCTCAAGAACGAGCTTGTCAGCCCTGGCGAGCGAAGCATATCGTCGCGTGCTCAGCAGGTGGTCAAGGAGTTTTCCATGTCCTCGCTGCTGTCTTCAGCAGGTCAAAACTCGGCTTCCACGTTTGCGCAAACCGAAGACACAAAGTCGAGAACGACGTCTGCACTGCTCACCCTCTACCTCCTCTCACCAGTATCGACCAAGGCCACGACCGACACATTCGACCCAACATTTATGCTCAATGCGCTACAAGACTATCTCCAGACCCAGCTAAAGTCGTCACTCGCTTCACTTGCGCGAGCCTTGGGCCAGCTTCCCACATTGGACCGCACGCTGCTCGAGATATCCGCGCGGTGCCAAAACATCGTAGCGCTACAGTCTCTCCTCGAAAGCATCAAGCCACCTTCGCATCCGCTACTCGACTCCTCGCATACCTCGACTCCCACCAACTTTCTGCAACCCCTCCTCCAAGCCCTCGATACATCCTCCCTACCCAGCTACTTCTGGAGAACCCTCGCCTCCAACATGTCGCCCAGAGTCCAAGAGCTCATGAACAAAGGTGGTGTTTCTGCGAGGACACTGAGGAGTAACAAGACTGCAGTCGGAGATTCGGTTCGGGAATGTGTAAGTCGCGGCAGTCAGTTGCCTGGAGCGTTGTCGAGTAAGGGTGTAGCTGTGACTTGGGAGAGAGAAGCTGCCGTCATGGTCAGGAGTATAACAGGACAGATCAAGTGAGCAAATAGTTGCAAGAAAGTGACCCGAATAATAGTCTTGACCTCCAAGGTTGCTAGTGACAGAGAAGGCGGACGTGCGTGATATATCCTAAGCTCAAGAACGATATTCGATCACTTCGAACCAATTCACAACAAGTATGCCAACATATGACGATACGCTAAAACAAAAAAGAAATTGTCGATTATGAAAACCTTCTGAAATATTACCGACGCGTTGCACTTTTTCCACAGTATCAGATATTGCGTTAGTATATGTGTATTGATAAGGTCACAAAGGTTGGTATCATCACAACATTCACGGGAAACAGACTCAAGAGTGATGATGAAGAGTGAAACCGGAACTCCATTAGCTAATTGCTACCCAAGTTCTCAAAAAGAGAGAAAACGAAAACCGTGTCATTCCCCCCATATAATCATAACTATTCTGTACGCATATACCTCAGCATGTATGAAAAGCTATCAAATGCTGAAAGGGGTAATGGTACACATGAAAGCGCCAACGTAACCAAAGAAACGCGAAACTCGAGTCATTTACAACTCGTCCTTGACGCTTGAGGCCGAGGCTGAAGCCTCTGACGCAGCCGATGAGGCAGAGTTGGTGACCTCGGAGGCGGCGGACTTGACAGACTTGGTGGCCTCGGAGGCGGCAGAAGAGGCAGAGTCGGAAGCGACTGAAGCTCCAGACTTGACGGAGTCGGAAGCAGCAGAGGCGCCCGACTTGACGGTCTCAGTACCCTCGGAAGCGGCGGAGGCAGCAGCGTCAGTAGCGGAAGAGGCGCTAGCCTTGGCGGACTCGGTAGCATCTGCGGCGGACTTAGCAGCAACCTCGGAAGCGGCCTTGGCCTGTTCAGCTAGCTTCTCAGTCGTACCTTCAACAGCCTCGCCAACGCTGGCTTCGGCCTTGTGTGAGCCGTTCTCCTTGATGAACTGAACAAGGTCCTCAACAGTGCGGGAACCGGAGTAGTCAACTGGGGCATCCTTCTTGCCAGCGGGGAAGAGCTTGATGGTGGGGAAACCTTGGATCTCATCAGGAACGTCGTTGAGAGTAGCGTCAACCTTGGCGATGGTCACAAGCTTGGAAAGCTCATCGGAAGCGTAGAGCTGGCCGAGCTCCTCGTACTTGGGAGCAAGCGCCTTGCAGTGACCGCACCAGGGAGCGTAGAACTCAACGAGAACATCCTTGTCGTTGTCAATGACGACCTCGTTGTAGTTGTGGGCAACGACGGTGATAACGGGGCCGTCGTTGGACTCGGGAATGGGCTCAGACTTGATGCTGGGGTCGACCTTGCCAGCGAGGAAGTCGTCGACGAACTTGCCAATATCCTTCTCGGTGATCTTGGCCTCCTGGTCGTAAGGGAACTTCTCGTTCTTCTCGGTGCGCTGGATAGCGAAAGCGGGCCAAGTGCCGACCTTGAGGTTAAGGTTACCAGCGTGCTGGCCAAAGGACTTGGCGTCAATGGTAGCGAAGTTGATCTCGCCCTTGTGCTTGAGAGCGAGGGGCTTCAGCTCCTTGGCGAACTCCTCGCGCTCCTCGGGAGTCTCAGCGAAGATGTATGCAAGAGGAATGCCAGCGGCCATGTATCCAGCGTAAGTCTCGGGGCCAACCTCGCCAATGAGCGGGGTGGAGGCAACCTTGGCGAAGTCGCGGATAGCGTCCGCATCGAAGGTCTCGGTGAAGACGTCCTTGCCGTCGTCGAAGGACTTGTAGAGGACGAGGCCGGGCTGCTTGACACCCTCAGCCTTGGCCAGAGCAGCGTCGTTGGTGGCACCGAAGAGGAAGTTGTCGCGGAGACCGTTGGCGACCGAGGTGAAGGTCTCGTTGGAGGCCTTGTCGTCGGCGGCGAAGTAGGCGACGAGGACGACCTTGTCGGCGGTCTTGAACTCCTCAAGCGTGTCCTTGGTGACTTCGGAGACGGCAGGGAGGGCCTGCTTGGTCATGTAAGAGATCAAGCTATCGGCCTTGCGTTGTCCGCCATAGGGCGAGACATTCTCGGGGCCGCGGAAGACCTTGAGGGTGGGGTAGCCCTCAACGCCGTACTCCTGGCACAGATCCTGCTCCTCTGTGCAGTCGACCTTGACAAGGGCGATGTCCTTCTCCTTAAGTGTGGTAGCCGCTGTCTCGTACTCGGGGGCAAGGGCCTTGCAGTGGCCGCACCATGGCGCGAAGACTCGAAGATTGTTAGTTCTGGATATGATTTGGGGAATTGGAATCTGCAATTGGTACTTACACTCTGCGAGGACAAGGTCGTTCTCCTCAATGAAGCTCTTGAAGTTGTCCGTCTTCAGTTGCTTGACGTCAGACGCAGCAGCAACGGCCGCAAAGAAAGCAGCGCAGACAGTAGTGTACTTCATTTTGCTGTGGTTGAATGTGGTTTGAGGTGTGTAGAGGAAGGGTGAGTTGATGGTCCTCTGCACGGCGTATAAGAGTAGAAGCAGAGGAGAGCGGTGAAGTGGGCTTTTATTCCAAGTGGAGGCCGTGGCGGCAATCCGCAGTGAAGTTAACACATTGCCAGTTCCCGTAGTAAGCGCACGGATGCTCCAGCTGAGCGCTAGCAGCATCCCTGCATAGACTTTCACCACATTGAGACCACGTTACTCTTACCCGCCGCATAGCCTGTACCCACCTTTACTTAACAATCCGCCGCACCGCCTCTCTATCTCGCTCATCTTGCCTTGGTCGTTCCCTGTATTCCACCTGCTTGTGGTTAGCTCCTTGTTCCTGTCGATCCTCAATACATATTATTAATCTATGGAGCACTCTTCAATTGCCATATCCGACTGAAGCGAGTGTCAGCACCCAAGGACAGGTGTTCATTCACTCGGGTCGTGACAAACCGACTTACTGGGTGTGGCTCGTATATCTTTCAATCGGGCCTCAGCTAGTAGGCAAACTATAGTACATGTCGCTCGGGCAAACCTCAGACCTTTTTGGTTCCCAGCTTGGCGAAAATCTCAAATGAATCTCTGGGGTACTCACGAGTATCTATAGTGAAACTCGAAAACGTGTCAAAGAGGCAACGTGGTATCGTAACATCTAGCCGCGGAACACTTCCGCCCCTGTCCTATCTAAATCTCACTTTGTGATTACAGAACGGGATGCCCGTGTTCATTGTGACCAAAAGCCAATCCAAGTGCCCGTGTCGCCGTACGGTGCACCCAACAGCAAGCATGTGGTTTCAAAAACATCCGATTCGATCCACGAATAGAAATTTACGCAACAGGAGCAACCCTCTGGCTCGCCTCCTTCGCTTCATCCATTCCCGCTCCTTCCTTTAACTTGCGCAACCGCTCTTCTTCCTTTCTCTTCATCTCCTCCTGAATTCTCACGCGCTCAGGAATGACCTGTTGCCTCTTTCCAGTAATCTTGAACCCCTCGATCCTGTCTTTACCCAGCGCTTTCATCGTCTTGCGCTCCACGGCGCTGTAATTCCCATCCGCGCGATCAAACACAAAAGGCTCTTTAACCGACACCGGCGGGTTGGTAATGACGCGGACTTTTCGAAGTTGATTGTTGGAAGCGGAGTGCAGCATCAGCGGATGCAGAAGGTAGACATCGCCGACTACACCAGTAGCTTCGACGAAAGCTTCATCAGGCATGCTGGCGGCAAGATCGTTAAACCACTTTAGCCCTTGCTCTTGCACAAATTCTGGGTTTTGCGCCCGTGGCGTCATCCTCGGACTGACTCCCTCAGGATTCTCGTACAAATGCTTCGCCACCGTTGGAATGGCTCCCGGGCAGATGTAGGTCCCACCTCCGCCCGCAACAATATCCGTCCACAGTGGAATGACCAACAGCGCTTGCTCAGGCGAATCAAGGTAATGCACGAAGAAATCGCCATCGACATGCCAGCCAGGAAGTTCTTGTGGGCGGATAACCTTGTTGTGGCCCTCCTTTGTTCCAAGGTTTACAATGAAGCCGTCTTTCCACGTCGATGCATTGGAATCGACGCGATCGCTACCGCCGAGGAGGTTGCAGATGCCGGCCCACGCTTTTGGTGCAAACTCTTCAACGGAGAACTCGTTGAAGAAGGGCATATTTGTTCGCTCGGTATGCCTGTACTCGTCGTGTTAGTACTGTCGCCATAAACGCACCACACAAGGTAGGATAAGAGGCCGTACCATGTCGACATGTCATTGGGATCCATACCCAACCTCGTCCAAAGCGTCTCTTGTAGTCCCTCTGCTTGCTCTCGTGTGAAGCAATTACTCAACTTCAACCACCCATTCTCTAGGAAGAAGTCGATTTGCTCCTGCGAGAGCTTGTACTGTTCCTCGGCGTTCACCATCGTATTGTGTAGTATTAAACAAAAGATCTGTGTATTTTGTAGCACTCCCTTCTCTTACAATAGGCTGTAGAAAATCCGAAAACGGTTTGAGTGTCCAAGACTGCAGTAAAAGTCAAGCTTTTATGTCGTACATTGGAAGTAGAAGAACGGAGTTATGCGCATAAGCAATGGACATTCTATCGCCGCCTATATTCGATGCGTAACGCCGCCGACGGTAGGCGCATTGCTGCTAACGGCATTATTGCGATTTTATCCGGTGGACGATTAGCCATGCGCCTGTTGGAGACGCTACACGTGCCGTCCCCAAACATGGAGATGTGCTGCGGGGGTGAGCTGTTTGGGGAAGCCGGCGGGGCAAGCGATGCTGATGTTGCTCCGCGGACACGCTCTACTCAAGTTATTGGCTGCTGAGGTCGCGACGAGACCTCGATAATGGAACATAGACTGCACTACGGCTGGACGGGTATTTTCCTTCGACCGTGAATGACTAATACACGGAATTCGTGGATACATGATGATTGGTTTGCGCATTACATTCTACATACGATGGTTACTTATGTACTTCTCCATCAGCAGCGTGGTTCCCACAGCATACCACCTTCGTCATTCATATCATTACCGCGTCGTACACATTTAAGACATCGCTAACCTAGTTTCCAGGCCACCAGATATAGTTGTTTGTCTCCTCGGGTGTATCAAAAATAAGCTCACTGCTTGAGTTTACCGGCCTGTCGGGGAAAGCGTTTGTCTCAATGTTCCAGACCTTCATGTCCGAAGCCTTGACGGTAGAGTTGGCACCAGTCCATATACTGAAGCCTGTGCTATCGGTACGAGCAGGGTAGATGCGAGTTGTAAGCCAGAAGCGATCGTTTACAAGAACCTCGACGAGCGATCCATCAACGAAAATATCCATGTGCAGAGACTCGGTAGTGCCGTTGGAGAATGTGTAAGGGTAAAAGTATCCGAGCATGGTATAGTTGGCGAACTGCTCGATAGAGGATGATTGCGAGCGGTCGACATTGATGGTGTAGTTCTCAGGGCTGTACCAGACGATTGTCTGCTCCTCGTGCCCGGGTGACTGAGCGACCACAACACCAGCAGGTCCAGTGAAGTCGGACAGCGTAACCTGGAGATGCATGTGGCTGGTACCATTGCCGGAGACATCACCGGAAACGCAAGCGGTCTTCGCGGTCTCGATGGTTTGTGGCTCGGCTCCACCATGGAGACCCTCGACAACATCAGGTAGAGGGCGAGCTCCTAGAGTGTATCCTGTGAAAGTACCGTCACTGTGTTCTACCACGCGGGTGTTTCCCTTGGTGGTCAAACCAGCATCGGTGTTGACCAGATCCTTGGTCTTGATGACATACATCTCTCGCGGTATGGCCATGGCACCTTGGAAACCTTGCTGATTGACGGCGAAGTTGTTGTTCTCCTCGTTTGCCCAACCCCACTGGACACGACGATCGTTCTTTGCATCCCAGAAACTGGTCACTGCGTAGAGTAGGCCGGAGTCGATGGCGCCGCCGGACAGAGGAGTGAACTCGACTGAGCCATTTTCCCTCTTGGTGACTTGGCCTTCGTTCCACAAACCCCACTGCGCGCGGGGGTGCCAGGTAAGGTTACCACCTTCAGTGCCCATCAGGACGTAGTAATGGACATCGTCGTCCTCATCGTTCAGGGAGAAGAAGTTCGATCTGCAAAAGTCAGTACTTGTACCGTAAACGTAAGAGGCTTTACACTCACACTTCAAAGTTGAAGCCGTAGGTTCCGGTCTCAATCAGGGAACCAAGAGTCTCGTTCCTATCGGGCTCCCATAAGGCACCAAGGAAGGTCCAGTCTGTCAAGTTGCTGGCAGGAGCACTGTAAAAGGGAATACGGCCACCTCCACCTTCGCCTTTGATACCGGAGCCGAGAACCATGTACCAGTGAGGCTCCTCTTGTCCCAAAAGAGCATCCATCTCTGGCCAGGGCTTGTACAGGTTAGTGGTTGAATTAGAGGGAATTTGAATGAGTATCGTACCTCGACAAAGGGATCGCGCCATCCAGTGATGTTCCAGCCCTCTGGCGGCTCAGTCATAATAGGGTTACCGGCAAACTGCTCCCAGGTCTTACCACCGTCATTGGAAATGACGATGCTTTGGCTCTCAGTTCCTGGGATGTATGGCAGAGCCCAGTTGGTAGGCAGATGCTGAACCGAGGTGTAGAAGTTGATGAGAGTACCATCCTGTTCACCTTTGAGGTTGTAGGGCTGTCCCGAGCCCGAAAAGATACCAAGACCATAGTAGCTACTGTTATGGGAGTCAGGGTAGGGCCCAGTGCCGACAGATTGGGCCTGGTCGTCTTCCCAACCTCCAACATCTGTCCAAGTGATCATATCTTTGGACGTCGCATGACCCCAAGAGATATTGCCCCAGTTGACGTGGTTTGGATGCCACTGGTAATGAAGATGATAAGTCTCCGTGGTAGGATCGTACATCATACCTAGAATGCGGGTGTACGAAGTCAGTATATGTCTCATGTTTAGTTCGTACAGGGACGTCGCTTACCACATGGGTCGTTCAGCCATCCTGCTGGTGCAGAGAAGTGGTAAGTCGGGCGCCATCTCGTGAAGAGACTGTTGTTGCCCATGCCCTCAATTATGTCGGCGGTCAGTACTGCAGGCAGCTCCTGCGTGCCGACAGCGGAGAGGCCTCCAAGCGCCACGCTCAGAAGAGGGAGAGATCGAAACATCTTGTTCAAGGATGGTTATTGTCGATGCTACGCGTGGTCAGCTCAGTCATAGATCGAAGAAACATTTTCAACGTCAGGGGAACCTCCAGTCTGAATCAAGATAGATTGACAACTATACACAGACCAGAAGTTCTCCAAGTGTAGGAAAGGCTTACCTGAACAATGAGTTCGCTGATCGATACTCAAACTAAACAGCAGCCATGAGGGGTTTATGTACTTTTCCACAGTAAACAAGCAGGGTCCACCAAGATAGTCTGTGACCATGATACTCAAATCCAAGAGCTTGTGCCCCAAGCCTATGGTCTGGGCTGGCGCAATCCCGAAGCTGGGATGCAGTAGCCTGTTGACGATCCCCGCAAAGTTGGTACAAGCTCCCCATGATTCCACACAATCGGTGCTGCAAAGAAGAAAGTGTCGTTCTCGAACATGCATAGAAAGGCTGGTATACGCCACCGAGTCATCTCTTGTACAACTACTAAGCTGCTGTGGGACAGTAGCGAACCTCGAAGTCCGGAAATCGCTCCGATGAATCTCGTAATGGCTGCACCTGGTCCAAGTTGAAGAAGACTTTTCTTGTGTACATGACATGGCTTGGCTGGCAATTACCGACAACGGTCCTTAGTAGGTAGTGGGTTGTTGTACTACCTACCGAGTATCTTCCCGAGATCCAAGTCTTGCTGCGGGGATAACCAAGAGCTTGACTATATAGAATTCGGATCGCTTCGGAATTCTGGAGAGTAGCTTTGGGATATGCAGCTCTAGCGCAGGAACGCTCGAGCAAGGCAGTGAGCTATTCCGTGGGTAGTCTGCATGAGATGGAGTAACCTAGTTGATGTACTATGGTAGGAGTGCTTATGCGCTATTGCACGCCCCAGCATTTCAAAGCTCATAAACAATCGGAGTGCAACATAGCCTCTTGTAGTCTAGGGGAGTTCTGATGATTGAACTATATCGAGGAAAACACAGATGTGCAAACGAGTTGAATGAAACGCAGTTGTAGAGCGAAGTTCGCGAGGGACCTTGGCAGGCTAACGTCATTGCAGCAGCGTGGCCAATCATGGCTGCCTCGTACTCCGGAAACGTGTTCACCAACGCGAGCAACGCCGCAACGCGAGACTTCATCTTGTAGCCACTGTTCACACTCTCCGATGGGGACTCGCAGTCTTTCCTAGTCGTTTTGCAGCTTTACTATAGCACCATGAGTCGACTCAAACTCTATGTCGCGGTATTACTTCTCCATCACCTGCAGGTGGCATGTGTGTAATGCTAACACCCACAGGGCTCGGCCGTCATGGCCAACATCGTACTGATGCGCGCATACTACGAGCGCCCAAACTTCTACTCGGCCGCCGTCTACATCTCCCAGAGCACCGGTTCTCTCATGTTCCTGGTCAACCTAATGCTCATAGTCGCTGCGAGCTTCGGATATGGACTCCAACGACTCTTCTATGGTCCTCTCCGCCCCATCGAGACCGAGCAGCTATACGATAAGGCTTGGTTTGCTGTGAGCGAGACATTACTAGCAATGACCATCTTCAGAGATGATATTGGCATGTGGTTCTTCGCCATGTTCCTCTGCCTGCTCGCAGGCAAGGTCTGGCAGTGGATCGGGGAGGGGAGAGTGGAGTTTCTCGAGCAACAGCCGCCTGCGAATCCAAAGCTCTTCCACACACGCCTGATGAGCTCTTTGTTACTTTCTGTTGCCTTCGACATATTCATGATGCAATATTGCATCGATTCGATCCTCTCAGAGGCGCGGCCTGGTGTCATGGTCATGTTTGGCTTCGAATACGTCCTCCTAGCGACCGCATCAATATCGACCCTACTACGATACACACTCTCGCTCGTCGAAATGTTCATCACACAGCGCCAGGAGAAGGCACGAGAGGAGGCTCGCAGAATCGCAAGGGAACACGCACGTCAACAGGCTACTATCAATGGAGCCGAAGCGCCCACCGAGATAGAGGACGATGAAGATGAAGGCGACGTGCCGGGATGGGAGGAAAAGGGCCGCTGGGTGTTTTACTTGGACCTCGCGACAGACTTCGTCAAGACTCTTGTCTACCTGGGCTTCTTCGTCATCCTCATGACATTCTACGGCATACCGATTCACATCATGCGAGACCTATTCATGACGATCCGATCTCTCCTCAAGCGAATCAACGACTTTATCCAATACCGAAACGCGACCCGCGACATGAACACCCGCTATCCAGACGCAACAGCGGAAGAACTCGAACGAGAGAACACATGCATCGTTTGTCGCGAAGAAATGCGGCCATGGACACAACCAGGTGCAGATGGCGCGCAGCCCGGTCGAAGGATGGACGAGCGACAACGGCCGAAAAAGCTTCCATGCGGGCACATCCTGCATTTTGGCTGTCTTCGTAGTTGGCTTGAGAGACAACAAGTGTGTCCCACGTGCCGAAGACCAGTACTCGCATCGGCGACGACACAAAACACACAACGCAACAACCAAGCCAATCCTGTGGAGCAAAACCAGCAGAACCGAGAGGCGCTACGAGCAATGTTTGGAGGAAATGCACAGCAGGGTGCTGCCGGAGGGCAACAAGGCCAGGATCAAGGCCAGGGCCAACAGGCAGCACAGCAAGGTGCACAAGCAAATCCCCCAGCAGGCAACATGCGCGTCTTCAACTTCGGGCCCTTTAGGATAGCTCTCGGGAATATTCGTGTACCACCAGGCCAACAGGACAACGTCGCTGTGCAGAATGCGATCCAGCGACTGCGTCAACAAGCCGCTGCGAACAACGTGGCGCAGAACCAAGACCAGCAAAACCAAGCACAGAGCCAGATAGCCTTCACGCAAGGCGTTACTCCCAACTTTCCCACCGGCCCCATGCCCGGAGCTGTCGCGCTTCATCCGTCAGACATTCAGTCGGACATACTACGTATACAACAGAACATCATTGAATCGATGCGACATTTGAACGCGCAACATGAGCAACTCGAGATTGTCCACAGGCTTCTTGCTGAGCTCAACCGGCTTCAGCAAGCCTCTGGCGTAACAGCTGCAACAGGGCAAGAGTTACCACCTATTGTCCCCTTGAATCCACCCAGTATGAACTCATTCATGCCACAGGCCTACTTCTCTAGAGGTTCCGTCTTGCGTCAGGGTGATCCTGGTATACCTGAAGGACTGACGCTACCGGAAGGGTGGACATTGAGGCCGATGGCACTAGCGCCACGGACTGGCCAAGAAAGCGCGACACGTCCGTCCTCGCAACCTGGACATCTGGCGCAAGAAGGCAGCCCGGCCCAACCACAATCACAATCGTCGCAGCCAGTAGCGGAACCTGCAGCAGGACCTTCAACATCTCCTGCTCTGACTCAGCAAAATCAGCCAACTCCGTCAGCGACGAACACGACTGCTTCCGATCAGCCTTCGAATTCGTCGCCAAAGCCTCCCGAGCCTAGTAGTCTTGAGAGTAGTCTTGAGTCAAGCTGGAGCTTTGGCAACGTAGGGGAGAGGGCCGAGACTGAGGGTTCAAGCTCTGCAGTCGCTGGCAATAACTCAGAGAGCCAGAGCGCGACGAGGCGGACGGTCACCATAGAAGATGTCGAAGACAGTGAACAGTAGATAGACGATGGATGATGACACTGTTATGGTTCTGTATAGCATAGCGAGGCGTTTGGGTTTGTCTGATTATTCTTGACCGACAGGGAGTCGCAGTTGTCCAATGAAGCACGACAGGCAATCCCTGCGAATGACAGTTCACTCACCGGTCGTTGCTCCACTGTGTTTCGCGACAGCATGTTTGATAATTTCGCCGTCAACGAGCGAAACAACGAAGCATGCCTTCCTGTCCATTCATCCCGTATGCACCCCACACGCATACTCCCTCCGAATCGCAGTAACGTATCCCACGAGGCGATACTGGACGAATGTTTGATGCACATTTATATGCACATGTAAGTGCACGCTCTCGAGTCCTCCACTCACCAGACCCACAAAGCTTATCGATGCCAGTCTAGCCTGCCTCATCCCGTCGTCGCTTGTCGCTAGCGTAAAACACGTGTCCAGTCAAACCTCAGCTACCTCCCAAGACACCACAACGAGGCGGCTACGTGCAGGTCGTGAACAGCACAAGGTTGAAACGGTGGCCTAGGCGGTGCGAGGACGGTGGGTAGCACCCAGTAACAACTGCAGGAACGCAAGCCCTGCTACACACTTACGAGCAATCGAGGGCGTGGGAGGACATGGGTCGGATGCCAACGGGATAAGTGTCAGGGCCCCCGTCTTGGGCGAGCGTGTTAACGGCGACTTTGACTCGACTTAACACAACTTGAGGTTAACGTTGTGATTTGGCTTTTTGGATGACTCTTCATTCACCCTCGCTAATGAATGCTTAGACCGCACTTTGTTTATTGCAATTTTGTATACCTATCGTCCTCTTCTCTTCCTTTCTCTTCAGTTCCATTCTGCATTGCATCTTTTCCTTGTTCGTTGTCTTGCGTTTTAGCGATGGCGGTCAAGTTAGACCATGCGCATGTTGCGCGTAAGGCTGAAGAAGCCGAGGTATCTACATGCGTCTCTGGCATTATAGAAGCCTTCACAAATGGATTGGACATCTTCAAAAAGTTGCGCGAGAGGAGAAGAAAGCGCAGATCAAAGAGAGATAACGAAGCGCCTGATTCAACAAGTACTGCCGAGCACCAACTTTCAAAGAGCTTGCGCAAAGGGCCGGAGGAGGTGGCCGAGAAGTATACTGAATGCTACTACAGCGGCATAGGGCCGCGATTCGCAAAGGGCGACTGTAAGTAGAAGGTTCACCTACCGTGTTCGTCAGTCTAACATAATACAGCTATTGCGCATGCATCCCTTGCAGAAATCTTGATCAAGTTAAACACAGGTCTTGTTGCTATCATCGCAGCATTTCTAAATCATGATGGGCACAAAAGCGGAAAGGGCCACCTAGATCTAGACTACAAGTCGCTGACCCACCTCTCCGATGCATCGCGTCGCGAAGCACTACAAAGCCTTACCCAATTGTATCAGCGACTAAGCCATTCTCAACTCCAGCTGCATAGCATTGGCGCTCCACCTTGTCCGCGATGCGGCACAAGTAAACACCACGATTGTTCTTCTCGGAGCACCAGCCCTGAGAAAGAGAAGAGAAAGCACTCAAGCTCTTCTCGCCAACGCTCCTCGGGCCCAGTAGTAACGCGCATGTCCATCAAGAGTCGGAGCTCGAGTGAACCACGGCTCGTCGTCATGAGGCCTAAGACAACCCGCAAAGACAGCTCGTCGAATAAAAAGTCTAGTTCAGTGAAATCGCCATCCAACTCATCACGCAGCTCTTCCCCACTGGCGTCTCCCGAGCCTAAGAAGATTCAGATGGCTCCACAGCTACCCTTGTATGTACCTGTCGAGCCATTCGAGATCGAGACAACTGGTGTCATCAGAGGCACACTAGGTGGCGGTGCAACGAAGACAAGCGGTACTGTCAAACAACGTGTTGACTCCTTCGACGACCCGCGCGAACCGTGGCCTCAAGAAGCTGCCTACACAACTAGCAAATCGCCCTCCCCAAAGCACCTCAACGAGCCTACCCCCAAGCTCCCTACCTTTGTCCCTACATCCCGTCGCTCCTCGTCTCCTGCTCACTCCAAACCCTCAGTCTCTTCCAAGCCACCAGTTCCAAACAAGCCCTCCTACCTATCCCCTCCACCACTACTCGACCAGGCCCCAGCTACCCTTCACTTCCGCCGCCGCTTGGACAAAGCCACACCATCCAGCTACACCTTTGCTTCTGACAGCACGAGATTGGGAGAAATACCACAGAGACAGTGGACCAGGCCCTTCGATTACGAGGAGGCTGAACGACTTAACGCCGAGGCTGCCCTGACTGGATACCCGAATGCGCCAACGGCAGATGCCAAGGACGCGAAGAAGAAGAAGCGTTTTGGCTTCATGCGACGAGGTGATTAAAGGAAATCATCTCGTCGAGATTTGTCTTTATGTTTGTACATTTGGTGTTCATTTCTTTTCATGTTGTATTTTGTACGGATCTGTTGTCTCTTTTTGCTTCGAGCTGTTCGCGTTCATACTGATTTGTTTTCCCTCTCTACTCTGTTCTTTGTATGGCGTTGGGTTGTATTGCTTTTTGTCTCTCTCCACTCTTGGCATCTGGCCCTGGGGGTCCCGGTAATGATGGTTACGTCTACGATTCTCCACGCTTTAACGACTATGACGAGGTTATACCCTTTTCCTTTTTTGGTTGTTAACGGCGGCACTATATACCCATATCTTGTTTTTGTTAGCGATGTCCGCACATAGCGGATGCTTTTGGATTACTTGTTAGTATAATTAATTTGGATATGGTTTTCGGCTTCTGCACTTAACGATCATGCTTGGTGGTGACTGTGATTGCCGTGGTTTTATTGATAATGTTCGAACGAAGTTCAGATTCAAATTGTTGATCATACTCTCAGATACCTTGTCTCGGTCCCGGTCGCCCTCTACCCCATCCTCTTCGTCTACCTTCAGACCCTACATATACTGGGTGTGGGTTCTCCTGCACAAATTCATCGCCTCCGAATACCCAATTGTTCGACTTCTCCACGATTTCCATCATCGTGTTGCCTTCGGCATTCCTAGGAGTCTTATGTGCGCCTATTTTCAACAGCAAATTACACACTGTAGGGCTGGAACCCCAAGAGCGGAATCCCTGAAAGTGACAGTTTGCGACTGAGATTAGCAACGGGGTTTGTCCCCTCTCGTCGGTCGCGCTCAAGTCAACACCATGATCGAAGAGCATGTGAATGATTGACATGACCTAGGCTTCACCCTGCGGTCCGGTAAATGTACACGCGGGATGTAATGAATTCGTATCAGATGTAGTTGTGGCACATACATCAGCGCCGTGACCGACGAGGTAGCGTACAAGCTCTTCGTTACCACATTCAGCGGCTCGGTGAAGTGCCGACAAGCCGCTAAATGCAGTGATCTTTAGATCCGGCCCGTACAGGTGAAGCAGTTGTACCAACTGGCTACGATTCGCAGGCGTGGGCTTGCGATATCAAAAGGGCTCACCCGATTCGAAGAGGAGCGGCGTCCATTCACCTTCTTCTGAGAGAGCATCATGTACGTCTACACCGTGTGTGAGTGATAGCTTGGTTACTGAGCGACTAGCACGATCGCATGCTGTGTGGAGGGGGTTATGTCTCGAGGCGTTCTTGCAGAGATATCCACACCGTTTGCAACTAGGACTTATGCAAAGGAACCGTGCGCTACCGAATGCAACGGCGTATAACCGTTCATATCCGTGTTAGACACGCTTGCCCCGGCCTTAATGAAATCTTCAACAAGACTGGGATCATCATCCGTGTCGTGAATAACGTCGAGTAGTCGTGACCGTTCCGAAGGATCACTGACGCGAAGCCCGTTGTCTAGAAGAAACCGTACAACCTCTCGCGGTATAGTCGGCTAATGTAAGCATGCCGAGAAGGCTGAAGGGTGTCTACCTTGATAATCCAGTGTATTCATACAAACACCATCTTCGACGAGACTTTTCATGATGCTAGAAAGACGTTTGTCTGTCGGGCTGTGTACGACTGGTGGTCTACATCGATCATCGCAGTCGTAGTCGCAGAGAACCAATATAAGAGTTTTCCCCAGTGCTTCTCCATTTCCCTTCAAGCGCAGAACATCTGGAAAGCTTTTGCAGTAGTAGTCGAGAAGCAGATCCAAAGCTTCAACATGCCAACATCGTGCTGCTTTGTCCATAGCTTCCCGTATACCTCTCAATCTGGACATGTCAAGGAAGTCGTGGTCGCTCAGCTGCTCTAGCATCAGTATAAGGCAGGTCACATCGTTCAGGGAAGCGGACAGGTAAAGCGAGCTTGCTGGTATACTGATCCCGTGATTTATGAGCGCGGATAAAGGCATTCTGTCTTTCCAAGTATGCTGCGAGATCGAGTGCAGACAACGATACTCCGTTGCAAGGTTCGATATTGTCTTTGAGTGTAGGGGCTACACCGGCTTTTAAGAGAAACCGTAAAACCCATCCGTGATCAACGCGTATAGCGAGATGTAAAGGGGAACAATCACCCCTGTCGCGTGTGTTGATGCCCACGGTGGCTGTATCATTGTCTAGTAGCGACATGACTAGAGCAACATCGTCATTGTAAGATGCAGTGTGAATGGCGGAATCGCCGTCGTGAAGTGGCCACTGTTCTACCGAGGGTGTCCCTTCTTCGTAGTAACTGTGATGAATGTCGATGTTTGCGTCATGCATATCTGGAAACGATAAAGAAGTGTTTCACGGAATGGAAAGGTGAAAAGTAAAACCTCTTATCTTTGAAAGATGAGGTTTTGTGATGAGGGGTCCTCAATCAGGAGTTCTGTATGAACAACTCTACGCCCTTAGCTTCACGCATGAGGGCGTGAACATCGCGACTTCCGTCTGCCGAAGAGCGCTCAGTCGCTCAATCAACTGGCGGAGCGCCTCTATAGATCGTATCACAGGATCCATGGTTTAGAGCGTGATCGTCGTCTAGCCTTCTGAATCACCAAGACGACTTGAACGTGTGCGCGAAAGGCGGGGCGTCTTCGTTGGCCCCAAAGTGAAGGTTCCGTCGTCATTCTGGGTACGTGCGTGGTGGCTCAAGCTTCGCTTCTCACTCAGGCTGTCTCACAACTTCGCCACCAACAACCTCACTGCATCTCATCACTTTATCCAACCGAACACTCCGGTCACTGGCTTTGCAACAAACCATCAACCTGCTGATCTTCGTTACATGCAGTCACTGTAGCATAAGGTGTTGGTGTCAAGGCAAGTGACATCAACGCCCTGCGCCCTGTTCCGACTGGTAGGCTTTCAGTGTGACCAAGAACTCCGGTTACCAGAGAAACGGCAAGACAATAATCGAATCTTGATACGGGGTAAAGTGCTTCTTCTCGAAGCTCATGCGAGCTCTCTCGCCTACGGTTGCGATCCGACGGCATGCTAGGTACCCTTAGGTACCTGTTCATGCATTTAAGAAACCCGTAGGAAGCTGCGTTTCGGACTTCCCAAGCACTCTCAGGTCTGCGTTGATCCGATCTAATATGATGCTCCCGAGTGGGGGAGTCGGAAGAGTACAGTTCGCATATAGCTTGCATTTAGGGCGAATTCGCGTGTTTCAGTCATGGTACCTGTCAATGTATCCTTCAGTTACAAACAGGCCCTGTATACTCCCCTTGATGCTTCAAGACTAACCGGCTACTATGAACCTGATGGCTCACTCAAACATCAAAAAAGTCAACATGATGTTCTCAGGGGTGTTGACGATGGATCTCGAACGGTTCTGCTTCGTAACGACCTTCAAGATTAGGTCGGGGAGTGCAAAGCCGTGCGTTCGTCCAACGCCATATTAGCAACAAGCACACAAGCTTACTTGTCCCTCAGAAGCTTGGTAAGAAAGCCCACATGCTCAGTTAGGAAAGTAAGTACCAACAAGCAGCTCGTCACATGCATCAACATGTACGGTCCCCCCGACACATCTGATTCCTTCGTTGTCCATTTTAGCGCGTTCCTCAGGGCTGTCCCAATAGCACAAATCTGTTCGACCAAGGTACATGCGCCGAGGTTAGCACGGACACGCTCTAGGTACATCTGCATCTCTGATACACTCGCCAGCCATATCTTGCGAACATATTTGTTCCTTTCCGCGCCGCAAAGATGAGCTGTGGCGGTAGTATTTGATGGTTGCCCCACCCGCAGGGCATGCGCCTAATCGGATTGCAACTGTTCGTTCTATTTCCTAATTTCAAATTCCCGACTACTTGACTCTGGCAGTCAGACGCTGGTAACTATAGTTCCTCTGGTTTTGCTATGGACTTGTCGCATTATGCCTCGCCAGATTTTCTGGCTGAAAATCGAGGCCCAACCATTCAAGCGACTGTACGTAACCTCTATGTACGAACTGTATGTGAGACATATGAGACATATACTGACTTCGTACACCTACACTCAGGCCTGTCTAATGATCATATTCTGTACTGCATTTGTTGCTTTGCGCTACTACTCTCGCTATCTCACGAGCACTGCTTTAAACACCGAAGACGTTCTTATTCCCTTTGCCTGGCTGGCTGAGATGGGTTTGTGCATCGTTAGTATTGGTACGCAATGCCTTAAGACACCGTTCACACTCACTGACACATGACCTAGTCATGGTTGAGAAAGCTAGCACCGGACGACACATGGCGTATATTCTATCAACAGATCCAGCGAAGATACCCGAACACTTCAAGGGTATCATGATTCAGGAAGTCCTACATCCAGCAGCTGTTGCCTTCCCGAAACTTGCAGTGGTGCTACTCTACTTACACATCCTTACCAACAAGTATGAGCGTCTCACTGCTAAGGCGTTGATATTTCTTATCTTCGCCACATGGCTCTCTTTCACAGTGGCCGCTATGTTTCAATGCATGCCGTTTGCTTTCAACTGGGACAAGAGCATTCCAAATGGACGGTGTTTCGACGTTCAGGTCTTCGCGAACAGCTCGAGCGTACCAAATATTGTTACTGACCTGGCTGTCCTAATACTGCCTCTTAGAACCGTGTGGTGTTTGAAGATAAGTATTGGTAGAAGAGTTGGGTTGCTATTCATATTCCTTACCGGCAGTGTGTATGTCATCTGTCATTCCCCATTCTCTGCATATAGCTAACATGTGTACAGCGGTATAGTCGCCTCTATAATCCGCACGGTCGTGTTTTCCCAGACCCTTGCAGAAGCCGGACCTCTTACAGATGTAACATGGAACCATGTCTCACTCATAAACTGGACGATGATGGAGCCTGGGATGTATCTTCTAAGCGCATGTGCTCTCTCCTTCAAACCTCTTCTCCGTTCATTCGCCAAAGCTCTACATCTTCAGGGCTTCGTTACACATACAAGGTCTACCGTTGGTGGGACAAAGAGTCATGTCAAAAAGACATTCACATCGACTCAGACGCAGCCTGAGGTCTTCGAGTTGGGGCACATCAGGAACGTCTCCGAATTTGGCAAGTTTCACCGATTGAGTGAAGGAGTGGAGAGTAACAGTACGGAGGAGTATGCCGAAAGAAGGCTTGAAGTAACTGTAACGACAACCATCGAACTGGATTCGGAAGGTAGAGTCGATGACGATCGTTGGGACCACCGTGAATTGACAAGCGACCACTTTGGGCGGGCGGTTTGATGCATTAGGCATGCAATATATACGAATAGATGCCTCAACGAGTATACGTACACTTCTGTCTTCGTCATCTACTAATAGGAAGCCATTTCGCGTAGTACAATTTCGTGGTTGAGCTCCCCTTTCGCAACTGCAGGGCCGTTGTATTGCGGAACGACACCGCTGCCGAGACCCACTCCTCTTCATACCTGCCATAGACAATAACCGCCCCCACGCCATCGGTAAGACGGCATTTTCCTGCAAGATACGAAGCATCTGTTCGGACTCCGTGCATACCGGCCCCCCAGAAGGCAGATCTTGGAAGGATCGATCGCGCGCGTGCTTAGCGTGCTGCGCACCTAACGGGAATTAACAACGTCGTCATGCATATGTCTAGATGCCTCTACCTCCACCCAAAGTGACACCAGCCAACTGAACACGCTCCATCACGACGTCATGTTGCTTATGGGGCGGCTCTCAACGAGCCACATGTGCTCGCGTCGGCGTAGACTATCCGCTGTTACTTGACCCTCTGATCTCACCGTTACGTCCACGTACATACACGAGCAGTCTATACCAAGATGTCTTCTGCCCCTCGTCTACTTGTACGCTCTGCACGAACTGTTCTACCTAGAATCCAATTTGCGACGCGCATTACAACACCTGCGAGAACTACTATTCCTCGATACTTCTCAAGTACACACATCTTCAGAATGCCGGACCAACTCAAGGCTAGCGAAGTCAACTCCAAGACTGATCCCTCCGTTGCGAAGCAGTATGACGACGAGACGCCCAAGGACCAGCAGATTAAGCAATTCTTTGAAATGGTAGATGGCAAGAAGATTTGCATGCTCAACACATACCGCAATGGTGTCGGTACGTTGCTCTCCATGTGTCCCTCCTCAAGTCGCATCCTTCCCTGTTCATTCAATGTGAACAAGAAGTAACCAACACTTCCAGGCCCTGTCGGTCGCTCCATGGCCCTCGCCCGCCGCGATGGTCCCGACTTCCTCTTCCTCGCCAACGCACACTCGCAAAAGTTCAGCGACCTGGACCAAAACAAGGAGGTCCAGATCTCCTTCCAGGACCTCAAGACCCAGGAATGGGCCTCGATTACCGGCACTGCCACAACAACCGACAATAGCGACCCCCGCATTAAGGAGGTATGGAGCCGTGGAGCTGCCGCATGGTTTGGTGACCTCGGTGACGGAAAGCACACTGGTGGCCCTGAGGATCCCCGTATGACCTTGATTGAGATCAAGAGCAAATACGTCTCGTACTACGTGACGGATGTCGGTCTTTTGGGTTACGCGAAGGAGATCATCGCTGCGAACGTCACAGGTGGCGTCGCAAACACAGGCAAGCTGAGGGAACTCAAGGAGGCGGACTTGGAGAAGGCGCGGTCCATGTAAGTGCATATGAGCACTGTTAATGTAAGGGGAATGTGTTGAGATTGTGGTAGATCTCCATCGAAGCTTTGAATGCTTGCAGATTCAGGAACAATGAGTTACTTCCCAGAGCACATAAAATGATACCAGGTGCCTCGGATACCATATCAAGAGTGTCTTGTGCGACGTTAATGTTTTCTCCTGTTGTTGAATTGTACAAACTTGAAGGAGTCTTTGAGGTATGGATAATGCACATGCACCCCGTAGGATGTGTCGACCAGCTTCCAGAGTCGGATAGCTTCGATTGGATCATGCCCCGCTTTCGTCATGACCACGACGTTTGGCAATAATGCGATCACAACCCATACCTATGGCGTCGAAGGTCGCGACGATGGCGATCGCAGCTATATAATCTCAGAGTAGACGCCAGTTGCCTGAGTATCCAAATTGCGCTACGAACTCTTCTCAGATCAAGCATATCACCACTACCATGGGCAATGATCACCCTGACGCGGACCTTCACCCTGAAGCAACGGGGCTTGCAGCAGCGACTGTCAAAGTGAGCCAATTAGCATCTCCCGCGTGTTTCCCGCTGCTGATTTGATGAGGCTCATGCTGCAGACTGCCCACTGAAACTGTATTCAGGATGGTTTTGCCCTTTTGTGCAGCGCGTCTGGATTGCGCTAGAGGAGAAGGGTATACAGTATCAGTACATTGAAGTCAACCCATACCACAAGCCAAAGTCTCTATTGGATCTCAATCCGCGCGGCTTAGTTCCAACGCTACAGTACCAAAACAAGCCACTCTACGAGAGTACTGTCCTCTGCGAGTTCCTCGAGGAAGCGTACCCTCAGCACACACCGCACCTCATGTCCACGGATCCATACGAGAGAGCCAGAACGAGGATCTGGACGGACTATGTGGGTAGTCGCATCATCCCTGCGTATCACCGCTTTCTGCAACATCAAGGCGATGGCTTGGAAGAGAAGCAAAAAGAGTTCTTGAATCACCTCAAGGAGTTTACGCGCGAGATGGATGCCGAGGGGCCATTCTTTTCGGGCAAAGACTTTCAACTCATCGATATTGTCATCGCGCCATGGGCAAATCGACTCTGGGTGTTTGATCACTTCAAGGGTGGTTCGGGTATCCCTGATGAGGGCAAAGGCGGGGAGGATGAGGAGGTCTGGAAGAGGTTTCGGAAGTGGCTGTCTGCTGTTGAGAACAGGAAGAGTGTCAAGGAAACGCTAAGCGAGAGGCAGCATTACCTGCCTATCTACCAGCGTTATGCGGAGGATAGAGCGCAGTCTGAGGCGGCAAAGGTAAGCAATGTGCTTGCGCGAGTTGCACGTGAGACATATACTGACTTGGTACACGTATATTTAGGCCATCAGAGCTGGTCGAGGGATTCCGTAGGTCTACTGTATGCTATGGACGTGCCTTATGCAGAGTGACGTCAAGTTCGTGATGGTCGTTCAGTTGTTTCCGTGGTGTTGTTGCCTGGGTGATGATGTTGATAAACGGGACCCACCTCCCGCGCCACAACCGGCTAAGCGTCAACCCACCCAATTGATCCTAAACTCCCTTGGACGAGGATTCCTCACAACCTATGCGCCGGCGCTCCCAACATTGCCAGTAATTTCGAAATTATCATCCGTCAATATGTACGGATATACGGCGGGCACACCCTGCCCAGCGCCCTATTCATCTACCAGCAGCTATTACAGCGGCTATGCGAGCCACTACGCGCCGACCTATTACGACGAGAACAACACGACCACAAACCTCGAATACACAACCGAACTGAAGCCCACTCGCCAGGCAAAGCCGCGACGACCAATGCGCAACACGCACAAGCCTGCCTTCAACCCATCGCTGGATATCTTCGAGGATGTGGCACAGGAGGAGGAACAGCAACAAGCAGAGTTTGAGGTCAAGAGGAGGAGCCGCGCGAGCGTTGTTCCTGCGGCTGTCAGGACAAAGAAGAGCACTATACTTGCGCATCCAGCACAGAGGATACCCAAGCCGGTTGCGCCTGTCCAGGAACCGCAGCATGAGAGGCTGCACCGAAGACGTGTCGCGCAAATACCTAGCGACAAGCATGCGACAGACGTCGATGCGACAGTGCAGCTACGGGAACATGTTCTGGAGAAAAAAGAGCTCAAGAAGCAGGCCCCTAGGAAGGACTTGCGACGCAGGACCATTTACATTCCGTCCGATGACACGTCCGTCTTCACTATCCACCCAGGACAGCCTACACATGCGTCGCGCAACGTTCGGGAGACCTCGCCAGACATCGGACTGGATCTAGTTACATTGTCCGAGGAAGAAGGAAACAACCTGATGCCGGCGTTGAAGAGGGACAAGAAGGTACCGCGCAAGTCTCTCGCTGCACCACCGAAGCGAGGTCCTTTGAGCACGACATCGCGATCATCACAGAGCTCATCCTTCTCGAGCGACATTGTGGGCTCAGGCGGCGGGAAAGAGAACGTGCCACCAGGAACCGACGCCATTGAGAACAAGAAGATCGGTACACACATCGAAATCAACTTTACCAAGGCAGATGCAAAGAAGCCCGCCACAAAGGCCCCCAAGGTCCACTTCAATGCTCCCAAAGAACCCGAACGGATACTACACACCAAGAAACGGCCAGAGGGCTCACAGAAACGACCACGATCGCACGTGGCTCAAGACGAGATGCCAGCGAAGGCACTCAAGGCAAGAGCAGACGGCACCGCTTCTGCCGCAAGTAGTAGGGCATCTTTGAGGACAACCATCAAGACTGAACGAGCGAAACTGGCCAAGGCCAAGCGCGCACCGCTTTCCTCTTCGCCGTTTCATACCGATAAATCTCCACCCACAGCACTGCGCCGTCAGAAGACTGGAAGCGTAGCAAGCAGCATCACCATGCTACACGAAGTGGGCCAACGACCGCAATCACGAGAGAAGTACCCAGTACTACAGGAAGACCTGGCACAGCCAGAGTTGTACGAAGACAACTGGCTTACCTACCAAGAAGTCGCCATTACACAGCTTCTAAACTCAGTCTTTGACTCTGCGAGCAAAGACCCAAACGCTGAACAGAGCCCTGAGGACATGCGCAAGAAGATGCTTGCCATATACCACGACCCCACAATGCCCTCACTGCACAAACGATTACAAGCTTCACTTCAATTTGGTGCGCTGAGCATACCGAAGGATCTCCTAGCTCAGACGCTCAGGCTCAAGGACGATGTTGGCCTGCGCAAGAAGTTCCTCAACCTATGGACTAAGTCGTACGACCTGAACGCACTACGTGCTGCAGCTGAGACTATTGTTGGCCGCCAAATTACAACGCCCTGCCGACTATCCACTGGTTCAACATGCTCGGATGATGGATCTCGTCAGTATCGCGCAGAACGCCGGGCTATTGAGAGCTTTCTGTCCGCCTTTCTCATCAAGAACGAGGATGCTGTTCGCGTCAAATCCGGAGGCGGCAGCATTGCTAGCCTTACACGCGGCGACGATGACTTCGGTTCCCAAGGCTGGTCGTGGCGTCGTACCGCATTGCGAAGTCTGATGCTGATTCTGGTCCTCGATCAAGCGAAGATGACGGATGCTTTACCCGGATGCCTATTCCAAACGACGTCACCCTATAAAACGTCTGTTGAGATCCTGCACCAGTTATCCAAGATGCTGCTCTCTTCACATGGTGATATCACTCGACCGCTAAGCCATCTCAACTACAAGGTCGAACATGTTCAGTATCCACTACAGGAGTACACCTACCAGATCGACAACATCGCCATCGATCTCCGTGATGGGATCGCACTCACTCGTCTCGTAGAGTTACTTCTTTACCCATCAACCGTCCTCACTACGCAACAGGAGGACACCGTTACTCTCAGCCTACCCAGCGGGGAGCTTCTCAACAGCTCTCTCGATTCCTCGCACAAGGACACTTGGGTCCTCTCCCAGCACCTCAAATATCCAGCCATTGGCCGTCCCCAGAAGGTCTACAATGTTCAGATTGCCTTGGCTGCATTGAGTCATGTCCCGGGCATGCCCAGTGCGGCAGTCAGCGGTATCAGAGCTGAAGACATTGTTGACGGGCACCGCGAGAAGACACTTTCACTTCTTTGGTCTCTTGTCGGCAAGTGTGGTCTTGGAAGTCTTGTCGACTGGCCGCAGCTTGTTAAGGAGACGGATCGCTTCCGCAATCAATGGTACAGGGCGCGGGATAGCTATGAGGGACGAGTCCTCGATTCCGAGGACGAAGAGGACGAGACGACTGAGCTACATGGCATGGCATACCACAAGCGGCTCCTACTTTCTTGGTCCCGCTCCATTGCTCGCCTTCATGGCCTGCGTGTTGCAAATCTGACGACAAGCTTTGCAGACCCAAAGGTCCTAGAGGTTATCGTTGATACCTACTTGCCATCGAATCTTACCACCTCCGCTGAAGGAAACGAGCGATTGGGGCTAGCAGCAAAACTCAAGGTTGTCGGCTGCTCCACTTCATTCATTGCGCTTTTCACGCCACAGCACACCACAGCTCGCTCCATTCCAAGTCGGGACTTCACCCTTCTTACTCTATCTTTCCTGGCAAGTCGACTATTGCCGCTTGCACGCACACACCGTGCTGCTTCTACTATCCAATCGGCTTTCCGCCGTTTCCTACTCCGCCGCCAGATCAGCACTCGCATTCAAGCAATGAAGATAGCGCATGACTGTGCAGTAGTGGCGCAAGCTCGACAGGAGATGGTCGATGCTGCCACTGTGATTCAGAGACGTTGGAAGGCAATCCAAGATACCCGACACAAGCAACTTGAAAGCGACGTCTTGGCTTTCCAAGCCCTGGCCAGGGGTTGGGCAATCAGGCGGTGGGTCCGACGTATCACTGCTGGTCGAGTCGGCGGAAAGGAGAAAGTCAGGAGGGTCAGGGGTGGATGGTAATCGACCAATACGACAGACGAGTAGTAGAGATTTCAAGCACCGTAGGCGAACGGGCTACGAACGAACCCAGGGGGAAGTTGGGAAGTTGAGAATGAATGTTTAACGACGGAGTTGGTTATTTTATTGTTTTGCGTGGGGCGTTTCCCCTACCTGCACGGCGTTGCAATATGCTTTCATCCTTCATCGCGATCGCTAGATACCACTTACAGATTGTCTGTCTCGTTTGAATTATCATACCTTTTCGGTTTAGCACTCTACTTCTGCTCTACTTCGTCAGTGCGGTAGTGAATGTGTGGGTGCTAACATTTCCAATCAAAGTGCAGGTTTCTTAGAAACGTAACAGAGACGGGAAATGGGAACAAACATCCTTCATGTTCGCTCTACCACATCACGGTATTCGGATGACACGCGTCACAGAGAGCAACTGTTGCTTATACGTTCTTATTTGAGATTGTGCATGCGATGAAACAGTCATAGACTGAAGCTACACAGGCACTCCGTTTCTTCTTTGCACCTTCATCAAATCGTATCTTCATACCTCATACGCCTTCCCATGCATCTAGCTGATATCCTTTCACATTTGGAACTTAGACCTTGTTCTCGATGCTGCGCTCGTCCCTCAACTTGACTAGCTTCTCTATCGCCTCATCAAGCGGCACAATAACACCACGCTGCTGTGTCTCCTGGTCGTCACGGTTCCTCCAGTTCACAGCTCTGGCCTCTTGTTCCTCAGCACCGACGACCATGATGAAGTTGTAGAGGGCAAGTTGCGCTGTACGGATCTTCTTTTGCATGGTATTGCCGCTGATGTCAATGTCGGCGTGGAGATGGCGTTTGCGGAGGGCGGCTTGCACTTCCTTGACGTAGTCATTTGCGCCTGGCATGACGGGGATGACCATGACTTGGCGAGGAGAGAGCCAGAAAGGCCATCGACCAGCGAAGTGCTCTGTCAAGATACTACTCTTGTTAGCAAGCATACTTGATTGTTCTAGCGGGGATAAAGCTTACGCGATGAATCGCTCAAACGATCCATAGATAGCGCGATGAATCATAACAGGACGAGCGTAGCCTGGTTGTGGTTCTTTGATCTTCTTGGGGATGGTGACATCAGCGCCTTCCAGCTTCTCCTTCTTCTGCTCGATATGTTCGCCTTCCTGTGGTTGGTCCTTGGATTTTGTAGGAATGACCTCAGATGTCATGTACTCAAGCTCAAACTGGTTGGGTAGTTGGAAATCAAGTTGAATGGTGGCGCACTGGAATTCGCGCTTCAAAGCGTCAGAGATGGTGATGTCGATCTTGGGCCCGTAGAAGGCACCGTCACCAGGGTTCAGCTCCCAAGCGCCACCACCGGCAGCTGTGAAGTCATTCAGAGCGTCAGTCAGCTTGGCCTCTGCCTTGTTCCATGTATCAATATCGCCAAGGAAGCCCTCTGGACGTGTACTCAGCTTCAATTTGAATGTGAAGCCGAACTTGCCATAAACCGCCTTGAGGAAGTCGAAGAGTGCGAATATCTCCTCTGTGATTTGGTCTTGAGTACAGAATACGTGAGTGTCGTCCTGTTGGAACCGGCGAACTCGCGTAAGTCCAGTGAGCGCACCGCTAGCCTCGTTCCGATGTAAGATCCCGAAGTCGGCCATGCGAATGGGCAATTCTCTGTAACTTCGCTCGCGGTGCTTGAAGATCAGACAGTGGCCAGGGCAGTTCATGGGCTTCAGCGCCCACTTCTCCTTCTCAACGTCAAAAGTGAACATGTCTTCGGCATAATGCTGCCAGTGACCGGAGATCTTCCACAGCGCTGAGTTGTACATGTTTGGTGATGCTACCTCCTGGTACCCACGGTTCCAGTACTCCTCGCGCAGGAACGCCTGCAGTGTGTTGTAGATGATTTGACCGTGTGGGAGGAAAAAACAGGAACCCGGGCTGTACTCGTGGAAGAAGAAGAGCTCTTGTTCTTTTCCAATCTTGCGGTGGTCTCGCTTGGCGGCCTCCTCGAGGAACTTGAGATGGGCCTGCATCGCGTCTTTGTCAGGGAATGACACACCGTAGATACGTTGTAAGCTGTCGTTCTTGGCATCACCCAAGAAGTATGACGCCGAGTTCTTCATGACCTTGAACTGCTTTATCCGTCCGGTGTGTGGTACGTGTGGTCCTCGGCACAGATCGATCAGTGGTCCATTGCGGTACACGGTAGTGAAGGTGCCGTCCGCGATTTTGTCCTTGATGATGTGCTGCTTGTATTTGTTCGACTTGAACATCTCGAGCCTGGACAGGTCAGAACAGACGCTTAGGTATAGAACATCAAGCTTACAGGTCGTCTTTGGAGAGAGTCAAGCGCTGGAACGGCTGCTTCTCCTTGACAATAGAGTTGACGATGGTCTCGAGCGGCTTGTGATCGGCGGGGTCGACTGCAGCGTTATCTGGAAGAGCCATCTGTTATACGATTAGTTGGGCTCGTCAGTCAGTAGAGCCGAACTGACCTCGTAGTAGAAACCATCCTCAATTGGAGGTCCAATGCAAAGGTCGCAACCGAATCTGCGTTCCGATGCTTCTCCCAGGATATGTGCGCTCGAGTGCCAGAAGACCTTCTTGCCCTCGGGATCGTCGAAGGGCAGGAGCTCGAGCTTACAGCTCTTCTCCAAAGGTCGCTCCAGATCCCATAGTGTCTCGTCTGGTGTGCCCTTGTCCAGACGCGCGACGACGGTGCGCTCGAAAAGGCTCTTCGCAATGTTTCGCGCAATGTCGGCGGGACTGGTGACCCATGACTCTCCTTCGATGTTCTTGCCGTCCTCGAGTGTAATAGTGATCTTCTCTACAAGGCGCGATAGGTCAGTACTGTAGGAAGATTATCGTCATGGAGTGGTGAGCGTACCGCGAGGCTTCTGAGCAATCTCCTCGTCGTATTTGGCCTTGAGCTTCTCGAAGATCTGAATGCGGTGGTCGATAAAGGCTGGCGCAGGGTCGAGCATCAAAGGACGACCGTCACCAGCATCTCCCTTGGCCTTCTTCTCTTTCTTGGGTTTCGGGGCCTTGTTTTCCTTCTGCTGGACTTTCTGCTCGGCAGCTACGGACAGGTTCTTGACGCCCTCGACAGCCGAGTTGACTGCATCTTTGACTGCGTCGGCCATGTTGATGTTGTTGATGTTGTTGTTGTTGTTGTTGTTGTCGTCGAGTCTGAAGCGCGTTCGGCGGGGTTATAGAAGTTGTGACTCAGTCGTATGCGAGGTGTTGCAACCCGGGAGCGTGGCGGAGGTGCGGTGACTCTGAGTTGAATGCGGAGGCTGCAATGATTCTGGGCCGGTGTGAAAAGCCAAGTCCGGAAGCACTGTAACGTCCAACTCAATCACAATGCCAAAAAGAAGCGCGCGCACGACAGCCCACTTAGCCTTTAGCAGGGCGCATTTGGTGGGGTTGCATGCGGCGGAAGGAGCCACCGGCGAAACGTGGTGCCGATTGGTTGCGCTATCTGCAACTTCATTTTCAGTTCGAACTTTTCGCGAAGCTCTAGACCAAGCTCACCTTTCGCGCACCGATCCACATTCACCACAACGAACAACATGGCATTTCGCGGTACTCCTCGTGGCGGTCGCGGCGGCGGCTTCGGCGGACGTGGCGGATTTACTCCTCGTGGAGGTGTGTGGCATGCTCGAAGCTATCGACGACTTTTCAACTAATGCGCGACAGGACGCGGTGGCATGGGAGCCTCATTCGGACCCCCAGACACTGTCATCGGTACGTGTAGCGATTGAGCAGTCAAGGAAACCGCTAACAGCCATGCTAGAGATGGGCAAGTTCGTTCACGACTGCGAAAACGAAATGTTCTGCGAATCGATAAACACCAAGATCCCATACTTCAACGCGCCCATCTATCTGGAGAACAAGGTACATGCGTCGCGATCGAGAAAAACGCGGACAACGAGCTGACCAACCTACAGACGCCCATTGGCAAAGTCGACGAAATCCTCGGCCCGTTGAACCAGGTCTACTTCACCATCAAGCCTCAAGAGGGCATACAAGCCAAGTCCTTCAAGGCTGGCGACAAGTTCTACATTGGAGGCGACAAGCTGCTGCCTCTGGACAGGTAAGCCAATCTAAATGGTATTAGGAAATTTCGCGCTGATCAATGCAGATTCCTTCCCAAGCCCAAGCCCGTTGGTGGTGTTACGAAGCCTAAGAGGGCTGCTGGCGCCGGTCGCGGAGCACCCCGTGGAGGTTCTCGCGGCTTTGGAGGTCGCGGCCGTGGAGCACCCCGAGGACGTGGCGGACCCCCTGGACGTGGAGGTAGTTTCGGTGGCCGTGGAGGAAGTGGATTTGGCGGCCGCGGTGGCGGCGGTGGTGGTTTCTCAAGAGGTGGACGCGGTGGTGGTGGTGGTTTTGGTGGACGTGGACGAGGAGGATACTAAGTGCCTCGGACTGGGACGGCAAACACCTCTTTCGGAATACGCTGGCAATGCGCAACCGTTTGCGCTGCCGTTTCGGCTCGATCCTACGACTACCTACCGATACCATGATCATTTGAGGCGTTTTGGAGTTGATGGGACCACTGTATCATGTCTAGACATGGCGCCTTGCTATGGACACTCTGTGAAGGGTGCGCGAGTTATATTTTCTAGTCAAATTACTCTGAAGTTCAACTTGCCCGATGCACTTGGGCGACTGAATCCTTCTCCAGAGGAGGGTTCTGCAATAGCGTCCGTGCTGAACAAGCTCGGAAGGTGATGCAAGTTGAACTCGTCAAGTCAGCTACCAATGGTTGCGAAGAAGCAGACCACGTACTACAGCATGTTCCATCTCGATAACCATTATTCTTTGATCATATCATCAGGTGATGCATTCAACCACCGCCGCTCTGACAAACTACGGCTGAGAGGGTTGAATTTCAAAACATTTCATTTCAATACATGCTTGCTATACACAGGGTAAGAGCAGAGTCCACTCTCTTTGAAAATCATCCAAGCATCTTTTCAGTATGAAATTGGAGTGCAGATTGTCTAAAGCAGCAGAAGATCCGATGGCTAACCTCGGGATTATCAACATCAGCAATATGCGCAGATCGACTATTCGAAATGTTGGAAAGGTTACTCGCAAACATTAATCCAGACGTCACAATTGTTTAATGTTTGAAATATCCTAGATGGCCAATGTTCCAGGTTTTTAGCAATGGCTGTTTTTGCCGCGCCCAATAGTCTCGTTCCCAGCCCCATCCAAGTTTGGGAGGCTGGCATGATGGTTCCTCGGACCACAACAACAGGGGCCTTCGCAATTTCAGCATCTTGTAATTGCAATTCCCATCATTCCCGTTTCTGCATCTTTGCAAATATCATTCCCGGTCTTCCTACCCATAACAATAACATCCTAAAGGAAGTTGTTCACCGTTGAGGCACCTCCGAGACCTCCGCATCCCTCCCCGCAACACATTCTCACGTTGCTGAGGCTACCCGTAACGTCATCTATCATCCGACGCACTTCTCGACCGCGCGTGCAAAGACTTGACATACCTTTGCGACAAAAGCAATCGAGCACCGGGAGCAAAAAAGCATCCGCCTCTTGTGGTATAGGAGAAGGGAGACATTGCGACAGCGCCAAGTCCCAAGCCCAATCTACGGATAGGCGGCATCGTAAATCAAGGACACAAGGCTCTGTATCTGGAGGCGCAAGAGGTCTGAACCTGAAGGAACATCTCGCCAGCGGACAACCACCATCGCGCACATCGAGCGCAACAATATCATCTTCCTAGCGCAAGCTCGACCACAATCGCATACTCCAAGCCCCTCTCAACTTAGCCGCCGAGACACGACAGACAGACACAATGGCACGCGCAGGACATTCAGGCACAGTTGTAGGGTCAGCGATAGTAGTACGGGAGAAGTACTACTGGCCCGACTTACAACTGAACATGTGGACAATTGTCATGCTGGCAACAGCCGGAACAATTTTGGGAATCAATGCGCAATTCATGGCAATACAAGATCGAATGGGATTAGGAACACCATGGTATGCCCAATCCGCAAATTCCGATTTACCCAACACGGCAAGAAGGGAGGACATGTATTGTAAGACCATTGTACTGACAAACTTCACAGGATCATGCCCTACGGCGTCACGGTCGGCACACTGGCCATAATCTTCATCATCATCGAAATTGTCTTCATTGCCCAACGAAGACTCCTCCCAGGCACTATGATGCTACTCTCCTTTATCCTCCTTGTCCTCTTCATTGCCGGGATAATCGGAACCGCCATACAACTCTTCGCCGGACCAAACATCAACAACCAATGCAATACATACGTCTTCAACGATGACGCAAGTGGGCCGAATATGGATACATTGGCGTTTTTGCAGCAGAGGAACATCTGTGAGTATTCTCCCGGCCTCCACAACCAACGTTGTGGCTTGGAATTGTGGGGATCCATGTGGCTAACTACGAGTAGGTCAATGCTGGCAAGCCGAATTCGCTTTCTGGATCATTGGTAGCATATTCCTCGTGTGGATGATGGTCATGGCCAGTCAAGTCAACTCGAATCAATATGCTCGATGATCTGAGGACCTGAACCTACCGATCTACTTCTCTTCTTGGGACTCTAGTCCGTCTACTTTGTCTTTACTTTTTGCTGCCTCAGAGAATGGGTCATGTGTATATGAAAGAGCATTATTGCGTGTTTTCTAGCAGTAGCGGCGGCGTTATACCAATATTCTTTTTCTTTCTTCATCACGAGATACCGAAGGGATGCACACGATGGAAGGAAGGAAGGAAGGGAGGGAGGAAGGAAGGATGGATATATGATAGGAGCGATGGGCTTTCCAACTGCCATAATCGTACGATGAATGGAACCAAATTAACATCTTAAATAATACCTACTACTCAAACTTGAAGAACATATTCGTATCTAAAAAGTGCCAACATGCTATTAGACCATCGGGAAACAAGGGTATGAATACTTCCTAGCCGCAGGGTAGACAGGTCTTCTTTACCATGAAAATTGGAACCTTCCGGGCACTGGCAGCATCCAACATGCAAATACCGATAAAGAAACGACCGGTACCGCGAGTTCACTTGCATCTCGTTCTCTCCGCGGAACCTGAAAGTAGTGCTATAAGCACCAAGCCCAAATCCATTATAGCCAGGGCAAAATACGAACACGGACATGTACCACCGAAAGCAGGTTTGTGTAGAATCCCATTTCCAACGAAAGCATTCCCGGGTCTAGTTCTATCCGGGGATGGAGCCGCGGGTCACGCTGGACATGAGGCTAATACTACGGAGAAAGAACAAAGAAGATGATGGTCAGAAAAAAAGAATTCCGTCTCCTTTGCACCCACAGCCCTGGGAATGCGAAAGTGTGTGCTGCGCATGTGTTTCTTTTCCCGAAACCAAATGTTGTGTTGACGATGATGAAAGCTTCACCGCACCGTTCCGTCCCATCACCCAGTCGACACACACACAAACACACACAATGCCTAAACCCGACCCCCATGCCGCAATCCATGCACCAAACCACCAACCACCGAATATGGCCTAAATACCCACTAAATCGGCGATCGTCCCGTCATCAATCCACATTAGTTTCCAGCCCCCCTCGTCTTACATCATCACGTTTCAATACCAGCCATGTCTTCCAGATCGGGACTTAATGGTAACCCTTGGCGACCAAGGGCAAGCCTCACCTTTCCATCATCATCAGCCAATCACAGTGCTTCAAAGTGGACACGAAGCTGGCACGAAACGCGTCGGCAATCCATGGAGCGCGTCGCTTCGGTTAAAGTTGATTGGTGGAGAGGTTATGCGGAGGTTAGGAGGTGGGGGCGTGTGGCTGGGCTTTATGAGTCTTATGTGGGCTTAAGTGGTTCGAGAGTGTTCAAGTTGTTCTGTGTCATGTATGTAAGGCACATGCAGGTAGTACTTTGTGGTGTGATGATCATGATGGCGTGCGGTGGTAACTTGGTAAGCTACCGCCCATGAAAGGGTGCATGAGCGATCTCCACTTTACCCCATCCTACGACACTCGGTTGATCATGTTCGCATTCGTCGCGTAGTCGTAGGACATGTAGTTATCGGAACTGAGGTGGTAGTAAAGGTGTGGCGTAGCAATGATTCGCTGTCAAGCACAGTCACCCGGCAGCGCAATGTATGCTAAGTACATTAGCGAAATCAGAAAACAGGTATACACGGCATTTATCGTTCAATGCGTTTTATTATTCGCCTATATGACCATACCCCAGAATGCAAATGCATCTTTGTAGGTGCCTGGCTAGTCTTTCGGTCCCTGTCTACCAAAATCGCATAACGTGATGCTCTTGTACTATGCTGTACTGTGCTGATAGCAAACAAATGAAACGGAAAATAGCTTAGAATACAGTTGCTCGAAAAAAAAGAGTGCAAATGGGATATGTAGGAAACGTATGCAGTATAATGCATGGATTGTGTCAATAATGCCTTCCATAATCCAGAAGGAGGCCAAGCCTCCGTAAACGCCATGCTTGTCAGAGAATCCAAATGAACAGAAGGGAAGCCACTCGATAGCAGCAATGGATGGAATAGTAGGTGTGCGATGCATTGAATATGCTCAATGCTGCCAGGGAGTCGTTGCGTCGTGCCCAAACGCTTGCTGGGTTGTATATGGTGGGTAATATGGATGTTTACGAGATCAGTTCACCGCCGAGGTCCATGCCGAAGCCATCTACTTTTCCCATGTGAGCACTCATGTGCGAAGTGTCACCAGATGGAACGATGTTGTCAAAGTTGAGATGACGTCGTGCTTCCCGGACAGCAGCGGGTGTTCGGGCGGCAACAGGTGTGCGGTTCCACGATGAAGCATTTGCCTGCGCCGGACTAGGCGACATGTTGAGGAATTCTGCAAAGTTGAGGTTTGTTGAGGGTGTCGCAAGACTAAAGCCTGTATAGTGAGAGCCACCACCACCGGGTGTGGACATCATCGACGAGGGAAGAGGTGTGGCTTTTGGTGGCGGAGTCGATGGGGCCAGCATTTGCGGCTTCTGGTGGCCGGGTCGGACCGGCGTCGGTGATGTAGCTAGGTACATCAAGAGGTTTGCATCGTCATCCCCTTGTTTGCCTTCCCGAGCTGCGCCGGCAGCATTGAACCCGCGTTGTCGAAGACGTGCTGAACGTGCAACGTCCGGGGGCGGTGTGCGTGGGGCTCTCGGGGGCGATGATTGAAAGGAGGATTGGAAGTGCGATCTGTTGAGAGAGAAGGATGTGATGGGTAGGTCTTCGTCGTCGTCTTCAGACAGTAGGGGTGAGTGCGGGTCGGGAACGGTCGAGGTTTCCGAGACGAAGGATAGGCTCGGGACGTGCTGACGACCGAAGCGTGCATGTCTGCGATGGTATACAGGCGAAGACTCGGGCAACTGGAAGTTGTTCTTCCACGATGTGGCAGCGCTGGTGGCAGTCCTAACTTTGACACGGGCATGGTTGCTCGATGCTGGGTACTTTGTTCGGTCGTAACGAGGGCGCTTGTTTTGCATGTAACTGCCGGTGCTGACGGACCGACCAACAGAACGTCGAATATCGTCTGAGAAGATGGGCGCTTGGAGTGGAGAGGAGTCGAGGACGCTGGGTTGATAGAAGCGCTCCGAGACGCTCGATACATCCGACATGGCTTCGTTGCTAGAGCCGGGGCGTTTGCGCTTGCGCTCAACACCGTCGAGGACAGGTTCAATGGCATCCAGACTGAGGCTCTCCCAGCCGTTCTTCATCTTGACGTTGGCCAGAGCGAGGCGGTTCTGCAGCGTTCGAGTCATCTACAGGGCACAATGTTAGCAAACAAGGGCGAGGGGCTGAACATGGGGAGATGGACCTTTGAGACCTGAGCCCTTCGCAGGACCTTGCTCGCGACTTCATCCTGTTCAGCCATGGTGTAGCAATTCACTGAGAGAGGCGTGTAGGGGGGATCGAGCCGATGATATGGCCCTTTGGACGTCTCACTAGAGTTGCTACAGGCGAAACAGCATGTGGGCGGAGCTGAGGTGACGGTCGGCAAGGAATGTGAGGAGTTGGCGATGCAAGTGGACTAGCTTCAAAGTCTGCGGCAGCACAGGCCCCGTGCTTGTCAGGGCGTTGTGGGAGTGATGATGAAGTCAAGGTGCTAGGAGTCGCAAGCGGCACAAAGGCCTTAGTGACCCCATAGCGGGCTCCTATCCGGCGCTGGAGCCTTGTCCGAGTGCGCCTGCAACAAAGAAAACCTATGCTGCTGAGAGTTTGGCGAGGGGCAGGGGTATGCATCTGGTGGCTGCGGTAACATGGCTGAGTAAGGCATCGATGGGCGTATGTATGGTATGGTAAGGTATGGTAAGGTATCAGCAACGTCCATCTTTGGGAATGTTTCAGACTGGCTGCATGCCATCGTCGGGGAACGGGCGCAAATCCGTTGATTCTGAAGCTACACCAGATGAGTGCGCGGATGACGACGTGCAGAATCTGTGATGCGTTCGGAGCACCACATGTGCCCTCACAGCTCACATACATTGCATCTGTGTGTCAATTGTGTACAGCTAGCCTACCATGCCAGCAACAGTCGACGCTCACGATAGCAATGACAATGGCAGTACACATGTCAGATAGCGAGCTGCCGTCCCGAAGCGGCTAGAGGACGGTTATGCGGCCAGGCCAGGCCTTCGCAACGTCATTTATCGAGTCGGGACGTCGCGAACCCTCACCATGCGCTCGTCTCGGTGCAACCCACCATTCTATCCAGCTTGCTTCCCGCAGTTGCGTATCAAGGCCCAATTCTTGCCAACTGACCCTTTTGGAAGCCTCTAGCGCGACCAGCAGAACTGCCTATTTGGTCCTGCTAGCTTGCATCACCGCAGCACTTCACGTCGGCGCCCTCTCCACCTTGACATTGCTGCCTCATTCGACAACACCAACTTTCTTTGCTCTCTCCCGCCATCGTGCATATTCTGCCTTCACTCGCTTCCCGCATGCATAGTAGCATAGCTATTGTCAGTACAGCCTCCCATTCGCTTGTTCCCACCCTACAGTGACTATCACGCCGTATTACGCGTCCCCCAAGCTCTCCATAGCTCCACAATCGCGCCCTCCTTGTCGCTCGTTACCTACGCCTATGATTCAATAATTGGACAAGCTTTCGAACTCATCTTGAGCACCTTCAAGCTTCACGTTCGGCGCAAACCAGCGCAGTAGTTGTCACGATGCCGTCTTTCCTCAGAAACCTTGGTAGGAAGAGCAGTCGCATGTCCAAGAGCGGCGACAGACCAGCAACCGGTACAGAGGGCCATAATGGCAACGCCGTAACCCGCCGCGTTTCCGCTTCTACTGTGAACTCTTCACAAGTCGGCTCGTCGTCGCCTTCTACTACCCCAGCCACCTCTACCACGGACGAAGTCAACACCCAAACCAAAGACCTCACCAATGGCCCTACGCCTGCGCCTGCGCGACCTCAGCGACCGACTGTCGACCCTGTGAAACGCTACAGCATCAATGGCTTAGCATCGCCAACCTCGACCGGCTCCAACAGCTCGTTTAATAGATCATCGCTCCTCGCGCCGCGCGTCTTGTCCGTCTCGGATAACTCATGGGTACACCAACAGGTACTGCTGATATTCGGTCAGGTTGGAGAGGCACAGAGCAAACCGCTGGACGGCACACTCACGGTTAATCACCATCAGGGCCGCTTCCCATCTACTTGCTGGCCGGTACACGATTCCTACTTCAAAGCCTTGGTGCACCTGGAGCCCGGCTGCAACAGAATTCGACTCGACTTCGCCTCGCCCAAGGTCTCTTCGCTAAACACCTCGGTGTCCGCTCATGCTTCTTTCATCAACATTAATTACCTCCCATTGTCGCAATCGCCGCCCCTACAGCTTGCAATCATATTGGGTCATGATTCCCCAGGTACATACGACGCTCCACCCGAGCGCATCGAGCGAGAAGGAAATAGCCTAGAACTTGCGACCAAGAAGTTCCGTATGGTTGCATACCTTTGGCAAGCCTTTACTGGCGAACAGATGAAGCGATATGGATTCGGCCGACGCTGTTTTCGTTTCGAAGACGCTTGGGAGCCTGGAACGCTAAGCTATCAAGATTGGGAGCAGAACCAATACCGAACGCAAGCAAAGATTCATGTCATCCGCTCACGGAAATCTGTTGCAGAGATACGCGATCTGGAACGCGCCCAGCAGTACGGCCCAGGAACCAAGAAAAACGAGCTTTTCGACATTGCCATAGAAGCCTGTAGAGACTATTTCCCCATGGTACCCGGTCAGAAGCATTACGTCGCCTGTCTATTTCTCGATACACATTGGGACACAAAAGAGAAGACAGTCCGAGGACATGCGGCTCTAGGCGGAGGAACTGGGGATTTACAGCTGGCCATCTTCGGCTCTCATGCGCTTCACAGCTACCCATCAAGCATCGAAGAAGTTTTCCAAGCTTTCCAAGATTGCACAAAAACCGATACTTCATTTGTCGCGAATGACTGCAACGAGTCCGGAAGCAATTGGGAAGCTGCCAACATAGGAATTGGCGCCCATCTCCATGAGACAGGGCATCTCTTTGGTTGTCCTCATCAGGAGTCGGGTGTAATGTTACGCGATTACGTTACGTTGAATCGCACCTTCACCTGCCGAGAACCTTACTCAACACGCACCAAATCATCTGGCCAGCGGCTAGTCCTCCCAAACGATGAGTGCAGATGGCACAAACTCGATGTATTACGTTTCCGATTCCATCCTTGTTTCCGGATACCTATCGATAACCCAAACGTCAACGGAGATGGCAGTGTGCAAGTGTGGACGGTTGATATTAGTCAAGGCGGCGTCATCGCGACCTCCAAATCGGGCATCGCTTGGGTCGAGCTTTACACGGAAGGAGAGGAGGTCTGTCACCACTGGAAAGAGTTTCCTGAGCAGGACAACCAGTATCCACGACAGGTTACACTGGAAGAAGGCACGCTTCGTTCCCTATTACCCAAAGAGAAGCAGAAATCGCGCTTGAAGCTCGAGGTATACTCTGCTGGTGGAGGCAAGCACGTTGTTGAGGATTTCAGTCAGCTTTCCAACCAAAAGAATGCCCGTGTCAAGATACCAGATGGTCGATGGGGTTACCGCGGCGGCAAACTAGGTTACTCGCAGATGGAGGGTTCACAGCCACAGGAAGTGATATTCGATTACGTTCACATCCAGACCAAGCTTTTACTCAGCATCAAAGTTTACCATGGTTTCGCCATGGATGGATTAGAGTTCGTGTATGAAGATACGGATACCCAACTCTTCGGCAAGCGAGGAGGCAGCATGTCTGAATTTGCACTAGATACGCGAAAAGGAGAGCTGTTGCTGGGCTTTTCTTTACGCGCCGGACTATGGATTGATGGCCTACAGATACTAACAAGCTTGGGAAGGAAGAGCGAATGGTACGGAAACCCGAATGGTGGCAGCGGGTATGTATAGATCCTTTTCAAAGCAAATGCTAGCTAACAATGTCCAGGCACACGCTCATTCCTCCTCGCGGCTACACCATCGGTGGCCTATCTGGCTCCTGCGCACAATGGCTTGACGGGTTCTCGCTGATTATTACGCGGTGATCGCACCACTGCAGCTTGATATATTTTCCTTGTTTCCGCTTGCGGTCGTCACGTCGCCCACATCATAATAGACGTCCCTGTCGTCAAGCAGCTACCACAAGATACGATGGTACCGGGCTGCAATTATCCTAGACGAAGTTTCTAGACAAGCTACATTGATTACTGGGACCGAGACATCCCCTTTGGCATGTTTGTACACGCCCGTACCGAAAGCCCGTCTCCTTGTAGGTACCAGGCTGGCATCGGGTCTATTGGATCAGAAGCTGTCTGGTTCCTGCTGTGTTGGTTCAGCAAACTTGATTCGCAGATTTACAATCATGATACCACAGTCATTGAACTTGACTTTCTCTGTAATAGTAACAATTTCAATAGAATTTCCGAACACTGCGGAATCTCCGTCATATGATGGTCATTTACAAGTGCTTCACATGCAGATTCGGTTGAGCTTTCTACCATTGTTTCATTGATAATAGGGTATCATCGTATTTTGTACGCCCGCTAATCGATCATAGCATCGTCATGCAAGCTGATCTCTGTGTACAACCAAGTTCCGCTACTCCCATCGTCCGAGCAAGGAGGCCCATGTGCACAACACACCGGACCGCTTTCCTCCGTGAGACCATGATCTAGGGCTTGGGAATCTTAACACTCTTGCTGACCATCAAGCATCCATGAAGGATGAACATGGCAACAACGGGATGAAACTCAAACGCCGTGCCCTCAAGCCAAAGGCCCATGGGAACCTGTTCCAGCGTCCAGCCCTTGTACACCCAATACGCCATAACTTGCACGATACCCAGCGACATGGGAATGGGAGTGCCCTCAAAGTACTTGCTCTTGCCCGTCGCATCCTTTGGCACCATAGCAACGGTGACATTGAACCTGGCCAAACGTGTAAGACCGCAGAGCACGAAGAAGCTCAGGAGTAGGTGGTCGACGGGTGTGCGCAGACCGAGACAGAAGGCAGCAGCGGCGGGGCTAACGCCAAACGAGACGAGGTCAGCCAAGGAATCGAGTTCCTGGCCCATGAGCGACGCCTTCTTGCGCCAGCGGGCGACTTTGCCGTCCATGAAGTCGAAGAAGAGACCGAGGGGGATGAAGCCGAGGGCAAAGTACAGGTTCGTGTAGTTGAAGGGGTCCGACTGCGTGCAGTAGCGGAGGGAGGAGAAGATGGACATGACGCCGCAGAAGCCTAGAAATTAATCCTGTCAACACCATGCCCTTAATCCCCTTCGCTGAACAGCCCAAGTCTATTCTTCTATTGAATGTGCACTGTATCGCAAAACGTACCATTGAGCTCCGTAATAAAATCAGCCAGATGCAAAGCCCTCACCAGAGAGAAATGCCCAGCTTCCTGCGATAAAAGCCTCGCCTGCTTGTCCTGCGCTGTTCTTCTTATTAGCCTTCTGGAATCCATATGCGACGATTGCTGATTTTTCTGCCAACATACCCTCACCCTTTGCTGGTGGCATCCCGTCCTTGGGCTGCGGCTCTCCGCCGTTCCGTCGCTGCGACATTGTTTGTCAAGGTTCTTGTGTTTGTGTTGTGTAGTAGTCGCTTCTGCTCGCTCAAACGAGGTCACGATAACAGGAGGATACCAAGTACTTTTGTTTGCGCAAGGTGGAATTTGGAAAAGAGGGAAGTGCGGGAAAGTTAAGGGTCTAGGTAGGGTTGTTGCATGGAGAAAGCTTGTTGTTGGTGTGAGCAGGCGGGCAGTGACGTGCCCTGCGCAATTCGGCCTAGATCAAGGCTGGGGGGACCAACGTCATTTTCGTCCTACGCAAAACTTCCGCGTTGCTTTGCACTGCCCGGCTCAGCCCCATGTGATTTGCCATGTGCGACGATTGGCTGCAATATCGGCAGTCATGTCCGGTAGATGCCAGCTTGGATAATGTATCGAATGCAAGGAGTTGCGTGTCTACTCGGACTTGTTTGTAGCCTTTGAAAAGTGACGTGTCTGTAGTCAGCACACCGTGCAATCGTCTTTGGAGTTTATGTAATGTTCAAGTTGCAGCAGATGAGCTATTATGCATTACGAATATATCTATATAGCAAGGAAATTGTACAAGAAGTATATCATACATTTACACAAGTCATCACCACATGCTCGAAGCCTTGCTCGAAGCCTTAAACGCCGCCCTCATGCCGACAATGACCAATGCTCGAGACGCTTGTAATCTACTTTCGCCTGCTCACGATCTTGGTGATGGCGTGTCTTATGATAGTGCCAGCCTTCTCTGTCTCCTTCTTCGTCAGACCGCTGGTCACACACACTTTGAGTGCAGGGGTAGGTTGCCAGCCAGCGTCGCGGGGGTTTAGTCCAAGACCGAGAGGAAAAGACTTGAGTCGTGTTATGAGAACGCCGTTTGCGAGACACTATGGTTGTCAGCACACTATCCCAGATCAACCCGGAATACAGTATCAGGAAACGTACCTCGTCGACAACTTCTCTGAAGATCTGGTTCTGATCATCAATGCTCAATTTCTTGTTGTCAATGACTTCGTCTTTGAGAACAAGCAGCATGATCGGGTTATCTCCCGAACTACTGCACCTGACCCAATCACTCCTGGGGTCCAGTTGTCCCCTCATCGCCTTTACATTTTCCCTGAGTCCCGCCAGGATATCCGGTTGTTGTTGTAACAGGCTGATGGTCTCACTGGCTGTCGTACTCAGCAAAGCAGGGAGGGCAGCGGAGTAGGTATAAGACGCGGAGGAGATGCGCTGGTGCTCAACGACTTCCTCGTTGCCGGCGCAGAAACCTCCTGCCGCACATAGGGGGCCAGAGAGCGAACCGATAATCATGTCTACTTCTGCTGCATCGACGTTTTGCGCTTCGGTGACGCCGCCGCCGGTGCGACCGAGGACGCCGTAGGACCAGGTTTCGTCGAGAATGAGACGGAATTTGTACTTGAGTTTGAGTTCAATCTGGTCAAGGTGTTAGCCAATTCATCCACTTTCCTCTTCAGCATGGATATGTGATGGACGCACAATCTTTGGCAGGTTCACCACATCCCCAATGTTTTCGAACAGACCCTCGGTGATGATGAAGCGTCTAGTAAGCGGCTTCTTTGCCTGCTCCTTGACAACCTTCTTGAGGACATTCTCTAGATCGTCCATGTCATTGTGTTCAAACCACCTAACGGTACTGCGACTAATCTGAATGCCCTTCCTTGCAGCAAAGTTGAGCGCACGGTCCGCCACAATGATGTCTCCTCTCTTGCTGAAGCTGGGAATCACACTGCTTATCGTCGAGAAGGATTGCGCATAAATGATGCAGGCGGGGACACCAAGATGTGCAGCGACGTCGGCTTCGGTCTTCATGTGGACATCTTGTGTACCATAGAAACCAGGGGGGCCACAGGGGCCGACGCCGTATGTGCGCAGGGTCTGGATGGCCTTGTCTTTGAGGACATCGTTGGAGAGGAAGTTGTAGAAGTTGTACGAGGCAAGGTTCGTTACGGTGCGGCCATTGGAGAGCTTCGACTTGGGGCCGGTAGGTCTGCGCGGTGCTTGATTAGCATTGGTTCGCAACCCTGGAGATAGCATTGGGGCTGTAGGGGGTCATACCCAACAATAATGGGTCGCTTCTCGTTTTCTAGCTCTTCGAGGGCAGTAGTAGGTGCAACAAGCGGTTCTGGGGTCCAGTCTTCGACCAGTTCATCGATCTCCTATTTGCTCGTTAGCCTGCTATGTCTACGCATGTGAATTTAGGGCCAAGAACGTACAGCATCGGTGAGCTGCACTTTCTTCTGCGTGCTGTATTTGGGTGCAAGCAGATAGCGGACTGCGAAGAGGAACAAGAACAGCTCTATCGCGCTGCGAACGGGGTCGTTTTGGTAACTCGACTTGATATAGCGGACTGCGATGGCGGAGCCTGGTATGCGATTGAACTGCGCATTGGCATCGGTGAAGAAGCGCGCAGTGGCATTCTGTATTTCGTTGAGGTCCATGATTGCTAGTCGTCTTGTGGCTGACGGCTGTTCAGGTCGTCAATGTTACAGGTACAAGTCATGTCGGGGGTTGCGGCGAAGCGCGGAAGTGTCAACCGAGAACGTTAGCAGGGACGCGAAACCATGTAAATTAGTCGTGCACGCGGAAACACGACTAACGTGTGCTCACGAAAGACCACTTTCAACAGGCTAAGAACGCTACAATACAGTGCTGTTAACAAAACTCTCTCGCTCTGTTTTCTTTGTTATCACATCACTTCTATTCTTTTGCTGTTGTAGCGTGTGGATGCTTCAAAGTAGGGGAAAGCTTGTTGTTCTACTCTCTGCTCGCACCATCGGCCGACACACATGAGGTTATTGGGCCACGTACAAAAGCTATCTTTAACTAGATTTTTTTTAGTAGCGGAGTCAACCACAGGCCTATGCGATAAAGTTTGCTACTAAAATTCGCGTGGCTTGAAGTTGTGACTCCATGTTACAAAAGTGTGTATCGCTGCTCGTTAGACCGCATCTCGCATTAGCCAAGATCAGTGATTCGGCAAGAGTAAGCAAACAGCCCCACGCTCTACATGTAACAATCACTTAACAAATGGAGAAACGGGATTCTTCTTCAGATATCTATATATTCATCTGCAATGCATTCACTCTCTAAGATGTTCGCCTTCCCATGATAAACCAAACAACCCTTCGTAGTATATGTGCAGACAAGTCCGCGCCTGAGGCGGACATCAGTGTTCAAAAAAAGAGAAGCAGGGCGATGGAGCCCGCTATACAACGCCAAGAAAACGAAGGAAATGCTGTAGTGAATATTACAATCATTATGTGACCAACCAAGTCGCTGCGCTCATGATTCGCCAATATTGTACAGTGCAGGCTTCGAAAGCAGAGCACAACGATTCGCAACGTCTGCTTTTAGTATGCCATGTACCGGCGGAATCGACGAGCGGCATCGTCGGTCGCAGCAGCCCCGCCACCGCCGCCGCCAGTTGCGTCAGCAGCTGGGTTCCATACTGGGCACGGTCGGTTGTCGATACACCTGCCAGTAGGAGTGTTGGTAGTGTCGTTGTTGCTGTATCCCGTAGGCTGCATGATCTCCATTGGCAACGAGTTGCCAATGTCGAGCTTGATGTACTTTCCAGCGACAATCGGGCCGACGATTAGAACCAGGAAGACGACGAGGAGGACAAAGTACAAAATGGCGTAACGGATGACGCGACGCTTGCGAAGCTTGGTCTGCTTGAGCGAGTAGATGGGAGGACGGATCTGGCGACTATTGAATGTTAGCGGGAGTTCATTAGGAAGAGTGTGTAAGAGGAACATACCTAGGGCGCAGCCAGAACAGCATGACAGAGTGACCCTTGTCGGCGTAAGGAATCAACAAGACCGGAAGCATGAAGAAGAGCAGAACGTGACCGAGAATGAAATCTGCGGCGAACATGCCCAACTCGGTGATCTTACAGAGGAATTCACGACCAGGTTGAGAGATGGTGTGCCATCCCATAGTGTACCACTTTCCTGTCCACCAGGCAATGTTGGAAGTGTCGCCCTTGAACTCACGAGTGAGGGCGAGAGCGATGATAAGCTTGAAGATGAATCGCTGAATGGCGACAACAGCGATCATGCCAGACAATGCTCTTGGGAAGCTGAAGCCCTCGAGGAACATGAGAACAACGAAGAAGATGAGGAGAACGAGGACAGCAATGGCGTGAGCAATAGCAGCCAGGACAGCTCCGAACTTCTTGCAGCACATGCTGAGAAGGGGACCCGCGCAACAAGCCAAGGCGAACATGCCACCCAAAACACCGGCGTTGATGGCAATAGGACCGAAGGCAATGATTGCGATGCGAACAAGGGCACCAGATTTCTTAGGATCATCAAGGTTTGCTGCTTCGTCTTCTTTGTGGCGGTTGTCGTTGACACCGGTCTGGGCGTTGATGAACAAGAAGGGAATGAGGGTAATAGCGACCAAGACGAGCGGTCCAAAGATTTCAGCCAGGAAGATGTTGGTGAAACGAGCACGAGGAACATCGCCAGAGAGTTTGGCAGATGGGTCACCAAGAATCTTGCGCTTGAAACCAGTGATACGAGTACGCGAAAGACGGCAGTATCCGATCCATGAGGCACTGTGAGATCGAGTGTTACCACGAGACAGCCAGCGAAGGTACTCCCGGTAGTCGATGAAGAAGTCGTCCCATGAGAACTGGTGGGGGTTGAAGAGGAATGGTGCCAGGCACAGGGACAACAGGGACGCCCAGAAGTAGATGAGCCATGGTCCCCAAACTGTAATGGTGGCAAACAGCAACATCATCAAAGAGCGGGCACCAATGTAGATGGAAGGACCAGCGAATCGCGAGAACAAGATACCGAAAGGAATACGAGCAGTCGCGAAACCACGACCGGTACCAATGTAACGAGCACCACCATATGACAAATTGGTGTGCAGAGCGTTGGAGTAGATCTGAGTGACGAAAACCTCGAAGAAGGGCGATCCGGATGAGAAGTGCTTGGCAAGACGAGTCGCGGCACGCCAGAATCCTCGCTCAGTCAACTCTTGAACCACAAGGGGAACGAAAGAGATGAAGAAGACGATGAAGATGGACACGATACAACGCGCGACCCAGTCGAATACAGGAACCAGATTGGCACAGCCGTTAGGCCATTGGGGATCGGTAATGGGGAGATCCTTGTTGAACTGGCAGAGAATCGTCTCATGGTTGAGCGCACCGAGATGGAGGAGGACGAACATGAAGCACTGGACCGACAACATAATGAACATGTTGTTGATGTGGAAACCGGGATGGGCGTAGTAAAAGGACAGGAAACGGTCGAGAGGTAGTTGGGTACCCATGTAGTAGTACTCGCGAGACAACATCTGCTCTCCCATACCTGTACCAATCTTGGTGGTGAAGTTGAGCACGGATCCGAAACCAAGATCACGACCCTTACCACACTGGTAGTACTCGCAGTGCTTTATGCGTCCACCACGAAGAAGAGCATTCATACCAGCGTAAATATCCTCGTTGAGATGGAGACCCTTCTGAGCCTTGGAGACACCACCACGAGTCGTCATGAAAATGCCGTTGAGGAAATCAGGATGACCGTAATGAAGCTTACCACCGATTTGAGCCAGTGTACGAGCGAACATAGTACCGAATGTTTGTTCCTTTCCAGCAGCGATGTCACCAAGGATACCAATGTTCTCGGAGAAAATGTATTCACGGGCTCCGAGAATGGCGACAGGGTTGAAGTTCGCGTTAGGAAGACCAGGGGTGTAGGGCGAGACGTTGTCGGTTGTCATTTCTTCGAATTCGGCGAGAACACTGCGAATCTTCAGACACTCCTCAAGGTAGTTGTCCTGGTTGGCGTCGATAAGCTGGATGTACTCTCCACGGTAGAAGATGATAGAGTGGTTTTGGTTGTCGGACTTTCCATCACCAAGAATGGGGTTACCGGAGAGTTGGATGCGGAACTTGGGACGACGCATGCCGTTGTCCATGATCTCAGAGTGACCGTCGATAAGAGCAGAATAGATGCGGGGCTCCTCACCCTCGTTTGCCGGCGGCTCTTCATCCAGGTAGGCAATTTGGAGATCAGGATAAGCACGGAGAAGGAACTCGGTGTTCTCACGCTCCTCCTTGCTGAACTTGGCGTAACGCTGCATAGATACGCAGATCTTGTACTTGCGCCTGGCCATGCGCTCCAGTTCACGCTCAAGCTTGTCGGAGTTGCCGCCGAACATCTGTACGACCTCAGGGTTCTCAACACGATAGAGAAGCTTGATAGCACGGCTGTAGTTCATGAAACCAGAGATGGTGCGGTAGAGAGTTTGCGAGCGAAGAGAAGCCCAGATACGAGTGCGGAGTGTGTACTCAGGAGCAGCCGACTTGAAACCAATACAGTAGAAAGGAAGATCGTCGATCTTGCTCTTAGCGGTATCCTTCTCGCCCTTCTCGTCATCACCGTTGAACTGGGATGTCTCGTCGGCAAGAATCTTGGTGTCCTTGACGAAGCAGTCCCACTCGTGAGGGTGCAATTGCTTGAGGTACTCAAGAAGAGTGACACGGGAGTATGGCTCATCCTCACGAATAATCTCACGAAGAGACAACAAGATCTTTTCACCATAGTGAGGAATCAAGACAGTGAATGTGGGCATGTTGTCGACGGGAAGAGGCTCAGGAATGGGAGTTGACAAGGACTGAGCAAAGAAAGAGATACGACGCTCGGCCTCGCTCTGAGCAGGGAAAAACTCTGTCTTGAAAGAGTGATCTTCCTGGGAGACGAAGAAAGTAGGAGCACGTAGGGTGCGCTTGCCCTCCTGTTCAGAGGGAACCTGGTGGTAGAGGAGCTTCTGGACATGGTCGATCGCAAGGAGATGCTCGCGGTACATGGAGATGACGACGGCGTTCCAAATCTGGGAGATGAGGACCTTGGGCTTGTACTTGATCTCCATGTCGGTCGTAGCGAGGACCTTTGAGTAAATACGCTTTGGCAGACGAGAGAAGATGTTCCTCCAGGGTGTCCAGATGGAGACACCAAGGTAGAACGACCGGGAGACGGAGAACAACATGTTTGCAATGATGTACCAAAGGTAGGAATCCAAGAAGAACAGGATCAAGTCCATGAAGTACATGAGACCAAGCAAGATTCTGGGCTGGTACTTGCAGAGAATGTCGCCGAAAATAGCATCTCCCAGGCAGTCAGGCTTCTTCATGTGAGAAAGGATACGAATGGGATCCTTGATCGATAGAGTCAAGAAGAAGTAAGACTCAGCAAGCTTGGCGGCGAAGACCAAAACCCATAGGCCGTACGACATCCATTTATCGTTGCCGGTAAGACGGGGGTAGCTGGCAGTGAATGTCTGACTCGCGACGTACTTGCGAGAGTTGCGTGTCAAGTAGCTACCGAAGAGGCCGCCGATGGGCATGAGCGAGAAGAAGATGTACGTGACCAGAGCAATCGCGAACTGTACACCTCCAAGAACGTTGGCGATGGTACCAGTT